TGGAGGGGCTTAGAAAGGTGGGTGGGGTTTATATTATTTTATATCATATCACATCTTATTTAATTATTGCATTTGGATATAAGAAGCAGACTAAATTTGGAGCCACTTCGTAAGTTAGATAGAATGCGAAGTAAAATGAGGTGAGATACTCTGTTTACGAACTGATCGGCGGATCCAGCCACTTGTACTTTAAGATGTACTTCTGCAACATGTGTGCTCATTACTGATGTCATTCCGCTTTCGCGCGATGGTGCTAGCTTCTGAATTTATTCACCTTCCGCACTCTCTGATCCAGACGTGAGTTACAATTTTGCACATATTAGTGCATTGTAAAGGTCAGCTAAATGTATAGAATTTCTCTTGTACTCATCAACGAATAATCGTTTGTAGATACTTCAGACTTTTCAACCCTAAAGATTAAGAGTTGCCTGTATTCGCCACCATTCTTCTAACCGTGCGCTAGAGTATTGCTGCATGACGAAGTGGATACATACAAGCTTTTACGAGAATTATCATTACATAAGCGCACCAACGAGATTTAGCCAATCAACCTTAGAAGGCACCACCCCTGATCCCATAGCTCATGCTACTATTGACAATACTTCTACTTTGGTTTAACCATCAAAGACAAGACTGCGTCACGGTCTGAAGAAGCAAATATATGTTGGTCAGTGCTAGTCACTCTTCCCTTGGTCACATCAGTAGCGCCGCTGGCCCCTTCTGCGAAGCACAGCCTAATTTAATCTATATTTGCACTTAATATCAATAACTACATGATGGACAACTCACTGCCTCCATTAACCCCATTTTTCTGTACATTCTATTTATATATCAACCGACTATATTGGGATTTGTTATCACGAACAGACGCAACATGCATGAATGTTTTGATGATTTTCTCTCATGCCGCACCAACTGCTTTTTTTTTTTTTTTTAAAATTGCAGCCATTCTTTTGAGCCCAAGTTTCTCCCTCTTTCATTTGCGCATTGGCAGAGAGTATAGCTGTAGCCCGGTATGCCCGTCTAGAAATGGAACTCACTGTCATCAGATCTTATGGAAGCCGCCGAACCGCTGGCTGCTCTCGTAGTTCTGGAATCTTCATTACCTAAAGATTGCAACGTAGTTGCATCATCGGAGTTCGAGTATTTACTCAGCTGAAATGAGTACATTCTTTTCACATCAATAGCTTTCTCATTTTCTTCATGTTGTATTCCTCCCTTCTCCTGGTCGGTGGTCATATTCACTCCTCTTAACGGAAGTTTTTCACCTCTGCCAAAAAAATGTACTGGATGGAATATTCCAAGTAGAAATGAAGCAAGAAATATCATTATCGAGTCGAATATTATTGAATACAACTCATGGGTGTAAAGGTAACCTGTCCAGCCTCGCAAAAGTTCTATTACTCTGTATACACAACGCACATAAACAAGAGTAGTCAGTACAATTATTAGCAATGGTAAGTACTGGAAATCTCGCCGTTGTCGTATTGACCTGTATTGTGGGTCATAGTATGGTTCTAGTATCCTACTATGTAAGTTTACAGCTTTCAGACCCCTATGAAAAATTGTTAGTGTAAACAACTTGGATAAGGAAAATTCGACTTTACCAGAAGCTCTGAAGTTTATTCTGAATAGGAAATCAAATAAGAACCATATGAATAGTGTCATAGAAAGTACCTGGAATGCAATTCCTGCAACCATTATATGAGTGCCAATGGCTGGGTTTTCATATATCACTACTGAAGTTGCAGCCAAAGCACCCCCTATTGCTTGTATGCATAAGCTTAGAATATCACAAAGTATGAATATGTACAGATACCATATCGGTCTTAGCATCGAATGGCTCTGCCCATAGACAACTACCATTGTACCCAATAGATAGTAAACTCCAGCCATTGTGAATGCCGGCGCCATGGTGATAGAAATTATCTGAATTAAAAAATAGACAGTATTGCGATCATCAGATATTGCTAAGAATCTGGTTAAGTAACCTGCAAACTCAAATCCACACCCAAGTATAATGCAGCAGCCGAAGTACCAAAATTTCAGCCAAACCGTAAATCCCCCGTGCAATACAAGAAGCGTTGCGAACAATCCCATAAATATACAATTTGCAAGCACAGATAAATGGGTACCGTAAGGGCTCTCTTCTAATTCCAAGCTTTTCAAGTTTAATGTTGCATCAAATATCGCCTGAGTGCACAAGCTTTTAGTGTGATTGCTAGTTGCAGTCGCTAGTATTGATTGTGCTTCAATAATGGTCAACGAAGCTTCAGCTCCTCTGATAACCTGTGAGAGTCGATACAAGGAGCCTATCAGTGTCTGTTCCATGATTGCCAGAGTTGCGGAGACAATCGATGAAGTCAATGCTGGGAAGTTAGTTGGATCAACATAAGATAGCGAAGTAGAGGTGGGGATTTTGGTTGGTGCCCAGGTGGAAAGCGAGAACGCCAATGAAAGTTGAGGTATCGATTGCATAGATAAGAACAAAGAATCAAGAGTATAACTACAAGGATAGACAATTTCATCAAAATTTCGATTGCATGAATTTACATTCAATATAAACTACGTATGGGTTGCTCTACTGAACCTTATCCTCTGAATACCAATAAGAGGGGAAGTCACTTCGCTAAGTAAGAATATCTTCTGTATTACTTGAATGGTCAAAGATACATGAGTTTATGCAGATTATCGTAAAAGTGAAAGGGATACAAGGAAATTCCCCACAATATCCAAACTAAGTATAAATATCTACCCCATTAGAGATGATAAATTGATGAAGTACGTGCTACGGCTAAACACCCCTCCCTCGAATACCCACAGTCCTTGAATGATTACAAAATTAAAGTTAAATTTAGTGGCTTATTCTTGAAACGTCTTTTGACCAAGCCCTGAGAAATTTCCTTTTTGAGACAGTGTGTGAGAGACTTTCGCTTATATTCGAATAGTCCGCTTTGTTTAGTTTGACAGATTATTTTCATGATCGCTGTCAATTGATGAGATCTGCCATTCCGATTTAAAACTAGTGACACTTTTAAGTTCCTTCCTAATTGGGACTTAATTAAGCTTGGGTCACCGAAATGTGTATTTGGAAGTTATGCTCCAACGTGAGAGATTTAATGCTATAAATAAGCTCGTGCTTCGTTCTAGCCTCGGTTGATCAGATACCAAAAAGGTTACAATATATCATTCAATTTCGTTCGTACATTAGTCTATATACAAATCATGAAAACTGGAAAAAAAATAAAGCTATGAATACATGTAAAATGCCCTTAAGTTGTAGAATGCACTTGCGATTACGACTGGGATTGGTGTTCATGCAACTGTTGCTCAACACCGCTCCCAGTGCTTCGTTCTTGTTGTTGCTGCTGCTGCTGTTGCTGTTGACCTTGATATTGATCACCTTCTGTTTGCGAAGGTTGTTCAAAGTTACTCGTGCTTCCGTTAACTAGCTCTGCTGTTACTTCTTCCCTTTTCCAAAATCTAAGCAAAAGGTCCCCGTAATTCTGGAGGTCTTCCACTGAAATCATCAATTTAAAATCAAGTAAGAGTAAAAATTGTAGTTCCAAATAATTCAATTCTTCAAGAGGTAAACCTCCCACTTTAGCGTATCTCAAATTCTTATAGAAGATATCAGAGAAAAACTTAGAAGACACGGTTATACCGGATATGATAAGCCTGTGAATATTGTAAGAATCCATTACAAATAATTGCTCGGAAGAGGGGTCTTCTTCTCCTCCATCCAAAGTACTCGATGCTTCTTTCTTTTTCCGCAAGTTGTTTGCTTTCTTAGCAATTCTATCAAAGTAAACCAAAAGGGATAAGAACACGTCTGAAGTCACTGGACAGTATTTTAAAACTCTCGTAAGATAAGCGTGTAGCGAAATACCTGGAACGTTTTTTCCATGAAATGCAAGAACATTGGCAAGGTACTTATTCTTCATCTCGTCTTCTTCTTCATCATCTGAAGAAAAGTCGACCACCGTAAGGTCTACGTGATTATGGCCATTTTCATCACCTCTACCATACTGGTGTTGTTGGCCATCTATAATCTTTTGCTTTTGTAGCTTACGGAGCTTTTTCTCTTCTTTAGTCTTTTGTCTCACAGCAATAGTGTTATCAAAATGGTTGGGGTGAAGTTTATCGTTAGCCTCCACAATCTTGCTCAATAAACACGAAAGCATTAATATAAGATCGTTAATGGAATAATCAGTGATATTGAGATGCTCTTCTGGGGGTACAGGTGAGTTACCAGTCTCTCTTGAAGTTGCTTCCATCATTTCTGTATCTTTTTGGTTGAGGGACTCAAGGAATTCTGCGTAAGTCATGTAATGATCTGGTTCCGCATAGTATGGAACGTGTGACAGCGCCGGCGCCTGTGCTTGCTGCTGCTGCTGCTGTTTCTGCTGCTCCTGTTGCTGGTGTTGTTGTTGCTGCTTTTGTTGTTGTTGATGTTGCTCTTGATCTTGTTGCTGTTGTTGCTGGTGTTGAAGCTGGTGTTGCAGCTCTTGGCGATTTTCATAATCCGACTGAGGTGAAAAAGAGCTATTGGTACCACTGTAGTTAGTGGTCATTCTTGCTTGCAGAAATGACGGATTGTGAAATGAATTATTTACTGATGAAGTCGGAACGGGGTTTGCCGAGTCCATCGAAATGTTAGTGGTGGGGATGCCCTGACTCAAGGTCATTGGCTTGTACGATCCTGAAGTGAAATGATTCAGATAACTCAGTTGCAGTTGCAGAACAGGCTCCAAGGCATTTTGCTGCAGCGACAGGTATTGCAATGGGATGAAATGGTTCCCACCACCCAGCTGGGAGGGAGTATATGAATGATTGGATGTGTACGAATTGTTCACCATTGTAGGAGTGTTGTGAGTGACAGGGATGTAGCTCGATGGTGCTGGTGCAACGACGCCATGAGATCCGAAAGAACTGTGCTGGTAAATATTATTCCCCCCGCTCTGAGGAGCAGAGCCAGGTAATGATCCGGCACCAGAGTGATCTGACTGACCACTACGAATGTAATTGAGGCTAGGTTGGTATGAACTTTGATACAGATGGGCCTGAAGCGATTGGCTTTGTTGCTGTTGCTGTTGTTGCTGTTGTTGTTGCTGCTGCTGCTGCTGTTGGGCCTCCGTCCACGACTTCTGATTGTCTATAGAGGTGGATGATGACGACATTAGATGCTTTGTCAAATTGGATACGGGATTCAGGCGGGGCCCCAGTCCTTCTTCATCGACGAATTGTCCCTTATTACTTCTCTCGCTTGAGTCCATGACTTATGCAGCTATTTAGTAGATCAACTTTTGGTTTTGTATGGAAGAAGTTCTCGACTGTTCTTCAGCTATTCTATTTTTTTATCTCGGATTGGTTCCGTTCTTTTCCACCTATGGCCTTTCTTTTTTCGCTATTTATTTCTACACTCTTACCAAATTGATAAGTTTCAGCGCGAACTTGCAAATTTACAGAGTATTCCCTAATTGTAGAAGTGAACAACCCATGTCCTTTCCCGTTTGTATCTCAAGAATTTTTGGCTAAATTACTTGCCTGCATGAACACCAGGAATTTAAAAAAAAAAAAAAAAAAAGTAATATGCAGAAGCGTACAGATGATGCTGAATACTCACCACCATGAGTTGCTCCAAGAGAAGAGAAGTAGAAGTAAAATGGTACAGAAATAATAGAAATTATTTTAAGGGGAGCTCTTTTAGCGAATTGTAACGAATTGTAACCAAGAAGACATATATACTATCTCCAGCCGGGTTATATGTCTCCCTGTAGGTACTTTCTTGAGCTTCCTATGTTTATTTCTTTAGTATGAACTTGCGCATATTGCACAGATTTCGAGCATAAGAGGCATGTTTTGTGTAATACTGCATGCACGCATGGATTCTTGATATTTTTAAGGCTGGAGTTCCTCCCAGGCGGATGGATTCTCTTGGTTTGTAAGCCATCTGGAGGGGTTAATTGTTGTGTTTCCTTATACGAGCTAGAGCCTGCCTACTCTCTATAGCCACTATCTATGGAATGCTTCACCTCAGAAGTGTCTAAAAATTTGTACCTGTCCATGCAATTGTATGCTCCGTTCGGTGAGCTCTGTGCGTTTTAAGAACGTTCAATAATGTTGCATGAGCCACAAGTAATGTGGGAGCTTTTTTTTGTAGCAAAGGTGCAGGACCTCTCCAGCTCCGTCGCTCCTGCACCTACTCACATATGAAAGTCCTCGGAATGGAAAATCTAATGAGGTGAGAAACTAAACGCTTAAACACTTGAAACATCTAAATCGAAATAAAATAGTTCTAGGGGCTTATAAATCCTTTGGTTAGTTCAGTAAGAAAGGAAACCTCTTAAGTACGTAATGTCTACTGCCTCGAAAGTAACACTAGCAGTGTCCTGTTTATTCGCTGTCGGCTCCTTTGTTGGGATCAACTACTTGCAGAAAGCCGAGCAAGCTGCAATTAGACAAGGTCCAATCAAAGATGCTGCCCGTATAGCACAAAAGGAAAAGACAAGAAAGCAAATACTTAATGAACAAGAACAGAAAATGCAATTAGAGCTAAAGGAAAAGTTCGAAAAATTACAACCCTTGAAGGAAGAGATCATCACTGGTGTAGACAAGAACTGAGTAAACTAACCGAGTACTTGAGGCTAAAGTTGAGACGCAAAATCCGAACGAAATGCATGAAAAAAATAGAAATAAATATACTAAAAATGCAAGAAACGGTGTGGTGTACCATAACACTGGTCCAGAATTAACAGCCAACGCTCTATAGGGGTGCATAATCCTGCTAAATACTGTACATATCCAAAGATGCTTGAATATGGCACCACTTTCATTACAATAATGAAATCAGCCTGTATATAGGTCCCATACAAAATACTACACAGTTATGATCAGTTTACTTAATCAAAATGATACATAACATATATACAAATCATTTACAAATGTGTGTGTTCTTGGAGACACCGGTAATTTGAACTCCATTATCATGTAGATAATAAGTGTTGTCACTCGATGTACTATGATGCACCTCTCTTTTCTATACGAATTACACCGCACTTCACCATATCCAATTGCTTGGAGACGGATACAAGGTTCTTTTGCACGTCCCGCCTCAAGTAACGCACCAATACGGATTGTCAGTATGAAGGTATTAGACAATTGAAAGTCATGCCGAGACCGAAAAGAAAAAATATAATTCGATATACTAAGAAAAGAAAAGATAAGTGTAAGAAAATTGTTTCACAATTTTTTTTTCTGTTAAGTTCATGGAAGAAGACATTGAAAATTAAAGCACATAGCAAGTGGTTACCCGGACATTGTTGCATACATGGTCAATAACTCGTAATTTAATATTTGCAACTTTTATGAACTTACAGATGATTAGTGGTCTGTTCTTGAGTTAGATAGATTTATATTTATATACATATACTCTAGTTGATCCAATACCTTCCATATGAAATCCTTCGAAGGTTTGTTCCATTTTTAGTCATTTTTTTTTGTGTATAATTAACTTTTGATTCTCTATATTCTATTTTTATCTAAGGTTTGTTTGGGTTTAGTTTACAATTTCATCTATTGAATTCTCTAATGAGCCACTTTCTTGTGCCTCTGTCTTGGGACTGGAATGTGTAGAAGCACTTGGAGATGGCGAAAACACAGGAGGGTGCAATGGCGTATCCACATAAGTCATTCTTGAGTCAGGCGACGCCAACCCTGAATCTTCCATGCGATGTCTAGAGTCATGATTTAACACAATCGAAAGCGAACGAGCTTTCTTATTATCGTTATTACTGTCATCTTCTGCATTTGTATCCAAGTAGCCTCCTTCAAAGGTGGAATGAACTCCAGGTTCATTTACCTCTTTCTTTCCAGAGAGATATGATGGTGGGTATTGTGATACAGAACCAGCTCTACGAGACTTTATTGAAGTATTTTCATAGCCAGTAGAAAACCTTTTAATTTGAGCTGCTTCGGTACTTTCTTTACCCTTATCTATAGAATTCATCGGAGTGTATGAAGTATCTGACGATACAACTTGCTCGTAATCGTCATCTTCGCTAATTGGAGAGAAGTACTCCAGATTTCTTCTACTGGACGCGCCAGTAGCATTCTTATGCGCAGCGGGCACTGCTGCACCAGTCGGTTCATTCATTCCTACAAGAATACTTGCAGCCTCCAAAAGTTGTACCTGCTGGTGCTTTGAAAGTAGTAATTTCTTCGTCACGTTCCATTCTGGTGTATGCTCCCATAAGTGTTTGGCCAAGGATGAAATATGCTTATAGCCTTTGCCACAAGATTCACACTTCAACTCCTCTTTGAGCCTGCCAGTCTCACCTTCGCTAATCCTACGAACTACAAAATCTCTAGAAAGAGGCTGGAAGCCTGCTTGTCCTGTGTGTGAAGGTGTGTGTGAAGGTGTGTGTGAGTGTGAATGCGAATGCGAATGTGTGTGTTTATGGTGGTGGTGCTTCGGAGGTACCGTGTACGGAGCGGAGGCGGAATTTCTTCGGTTGTAGTTATATTGAGGGTGAGCTGAAGTCATGGCGCCGATGGAAAAAAAGTCTTTCTATGCTGTGTGTATGCGTGCTTTTCCTTCAGTATCAACAACTATTTGAAAATTATCTCTGTGTTTTTGATAGTAGCAATTATATAACTATATGAAATAAGGAAATGGAAAAAGAAAAAAATGTTTTCTCAACTGGAAATCTATGTGTGCTTTGTACTGGTCCAGTTATATGTTATTGATCTATCCAAGAATATCGAACTTTATGGAAATATATCCTCACTGGCTTGTCTAAAACTACTAAAAGAGATACTTTTGTTGTAGTTTTTCTATTTTTTTTTTTTATAAAATTTTTTTTTGTTAGTGGCTATGGTTTGGAGCGATGCCGCTCATCAAAGTTTATTTACATTTGAAATTTTTCGGAGAAGTGGCGCGTCCTACACATAGAGAGACAGAAGGTGAAGTGGGATGCTTTAAAGAGGGTTCCAACACCCTGGAAGTTTGTCAAATATATCAAATTTGGTATCTATCGATGTAGCAGTATGAACCTAGTGATTGTGGCTAAACAATATTTGATAAGTTACTTTCGTTGGCCAGCAGGTAATTTTATTCCATTCGTACTGAAATTTTCGGCCCAGCCAGGAGACGTAACATACTAGCAAAACACCCTACCGACGCATACAAACGTACCCCGACTTTTGTGTTTATTTACTTATTTTCAGATTCTTGTCAGATCCTTTTTTAGTTATTTCTTCTTACTCCTCGTCTTCTTCTTCTTCGCTCGGTATCTTCACTTTCTTTTCTGTCGCATCACTCTCAGAAAGTCTCCTCGTCTATTCCTTCCATCTCGTCAGCAACCTGGAACCCTTCTTCCGTGGAATACAAGATTTCTTGCACTTGGTTCGCCAACTCTAACACAGTTAGCCCCTCAACCACATCTTTGTTTTCTTCAGATGTAGTATTCCGTATCAAAGTCTCGATTTCGATCAACTTATTGAAATAGAAGTTTCTTTCCGTTTCTTTACTTTCATACAGGATCTTGTACTCATAAAGCTCTTCGTTAGCCTGCTCAAGCTGCTTGGAAAGCTCGTTGAATTCCTGATTCCTTTGTTGTAACTTGTTTGGAGTGGTTGGGTTCAAGTACGTGTTAGTCTTTGGCGAGGTTTCAATCGTGGATCTTCTCTGCCTAGGCAATTGTCGTACCTGTGGAGTTCCGCCATTGCTTGTAGATCCATTGGCAGGACTAGTGTTGCTGCTAAGAGCAGCACCAGATGCTGCTCTACTTGCTGGTCTGCTACTGCCATTCCCACTGGCCACCGGTCTTGATGTTATGCTATTTCTGCTACTTGTGGTTGACGTTACACCGGCACCTCCGCTACCGACTCTGACACCAACTCCACCACTGCTGTTTCTACTTCTTGGAAGAGGGTGGGAGCTACCATTGCTTGTCCCAGAGCTGGAAATCGTGCCCGCACTGGATATTCTTCTCAGTTGGGGGTCGTAGTTCCCATGGACGTCCTTATTCTCCATCCAGTATTTACGAATGAACTGCAACAACTCCAAGTTATCTTGTAATCTGCATTTAATCAACTTTTCTACCTCAATCAGCTTGGTTATTCCTGCCCTATTGAAGGCGATTTGCAAAACCTTCATATTTTGACGATAATCTAATTCATTTTTCGTGTCGAATTTAACTTTGTTCATTGGTATACCTCCAATGATTGAATCCATAAGCTGGCAGTATGCGGCACCGGTCCCGCACTGTTCTACTTTGGTATAGTTTAAATCGAGTTCTGAATTAACCCATTGAAGGAGCTCATTTCTTGATTCACCAACCATGCTGAATGTCTGATCTGATATGAGGTCGGATATACGATCAGTGGAGAGAAAATGATGGAAAAGAAGGAAGAATAAAACTCACAAAAAAAAAAAAATCAACAGTATCAAAAAACTGTCTGAAATTGTAAATAGTGGTCCTGCAGGTAGAAAGGGGTACTGCAGGAGGCGTGGAGGACCAATTGTGCAACAAGCGGAGAGTAGAGAGACAAGCGACTGAGACGACGGAGAGTGGATTCGTCGTGCCGGTGATTAGCTGGTTCCGGGTATGGTTAAAGCTCTTCTTAATGGCTTAATAAGTATAGATTTGGGATCTATCTCTACGTTACCCCCTTGTTTACTCTGAATGTGTGCCATCCTTTCTACAACCTTCTCCATTCTTGTGATGCATTCCCTCCTGCACATCACCCATTCTTCTAACAAATCACATGGGTCACGTGCTGATGCGTTGACTCATTTTGGTTAAGGTATGCGGCTTAGTGAAATTTTTTGATGGACTTCACAATCATTAATTGAACGATGAAAATCTACTACCACGTTTGTTACCATACTCTTCTTGAATTCTTATTTTGATAGCAAAAACAGTAGTAAGATGGATTTAGTAAACCACCTCCCAGACCGTTTATTATTTGCAGTCCCAAAGAGTATGTACCTAAATGAATTTGTGTTGTAAAGTACCACGTACCAGGCGTAGAATATCTCGAAAGTCCAGGAATCTAACTAATTGACTAAACTATAACTTGGTGCTAAAAAAAAAAAGTTCGCTGTTGGCTGATTTCTGATTTTGAAGGATTGATGGAAAGGGGATAAGTGATGAAGCTGTGAGACTGGAAAAAACAAAACGTTTCAGGCTCACATTACACTGAGCGCCACGGAAGTTACACATTTGAACATAAGCTTAAGCCGGGTACAATATATGCAACTTACTTGCTAGCTAGCATTCTTTCTTTTCTATTTATTTATTTCATTTCATTTATACCATTGAATACTAACAACCAACAGAGGGTCGTTTATACGAAAAATGCTGTGGTCTCCTTAGTGGTGCCGATATCCAATTTAGACGTTCCAATAGATTGGACATTGCTCTTTCTACGAATTTACCAGTCGCTTTAATCTTCTTACCGGCTGCTGATATCCCGATTTTCGTTGGTGAAGGTAATTGTGATTTGGGTATTACTGGTTTCGACCAAATCATGGAAGCTGATATGTTTGACTCTATTGAAGATTTGTTGGATTTAGAATTTGGTAAATGTAAGCTTCAAATTCAAGTTCCTGCTGAGGGTCCCTACAATGAAGCAAAGGATTTGATTGGTAAAAAGATTGTTTCATCCTTCACCAAACTTGCAACTGATTTCTTTAACAAATTGGAGAAGGCTGAAGGTACCCCTGAAGGCACTACCAACTTTAGATATGTTGGAGGTTCGGTTGAAGCTTCTTGTGCTCTTGGGGTTGCGGATGCCATTGTAGATCTTGTCGAGAGTGGTGAAACTATGAAGGCTGCAGGTTTGAAACCAATTGAAACCGTATTAACCACATCCGCTCACTTAATTTCTTCAAAGAAGACTAAGTTCCCAGAATTAGTTTCCACAATCCATCAAAGATTCGAAGGTGTTTTGGCTGCTCAAAGGTATGTATTGTGTACATATAACGCACCAAGATCCATCTTAAGCAAAGCATTGGAAATTACTCCAGGTAGAAGATCGCCTACAGTCTCTGCATTAGAGTTGAAGTCTGGCGAGACTGAAGAATGGGTTGCTGTTTCTGTTATGGTTGAAAAGAAGGCTATCAGTACCAAGATGGATGAGCTTAAGGCCGTTGGAGCTTCTGACATTTTGGTGTCTGATATCAGCAACTGTCGTGTCTAACATTTTATAGAGTTGTAGATTAAAGATAAGTAAGAAAAGGGTAAAAAAAATGTAAAAATAATTAATTTAATACATGATAGACGTTTGAAAATAAATACAGAGTAGAGTAAGCAATATTTAAATTGGTTCCTCCATCTGTATATTGCTTTGTAAATATAATTGTAGAGTAGGAGATTTACGCTTGGATTAGAGTGAGTACAGGAGCCATCATAGAATAGGACGGAGATAGTTGGCATAATATTTGAACTTTCTTAAACCTGTAACTCTTTCTCAGTCATTGAACTAAACGATTGTATTTGTAGTAACAGAATTCTTCAAATTTTCTAAGCCTCTAGTTAAGTTAAATAGTTAAGTTTTCTAAATCTTCGACAACCAAGAAGATGGATCCACTCTTTGGTGCCTTCTTGTAATATTGGATATTCTTGAAAAAATCTTTGAATGCCTTTTCAGTAACCTTAGAAGCATAACTGTAGTCTTCCAACTCATTATACATATGGTAAGAAAATCTAGCCCAAACCTTACCACCATGATAGAAGAATGGGACGAAGGTATTGTACTTGAAGCAAATTTGTTTTTCAATTTCCTTCAACCAAGTGGAAACACTCGCTGGGGTTTCCTCAGGTAGCCAAGAAGAGATCGGAACTTCAATATTCAACAAAGCAGTTACTGACTCTTTATCAGCGCCGAACAATTCCCTGTCATATTCATTCCAGATCACTTTCGTAGATTCCCAAGCTAAATCATTAGCGTACTTTTGAATTGCTTTCTCTCCCCCACAAATTTCGTTTCTAAATTGAATGGCAGGAATAATTGAAGCAATTGATGCCTTGTTAAGAGAACCAGCAAACCAAAATGTATCAATGAATCTCATATCTTTCAATTCCTTGGTTTCTGGCTCAAAGTCATCGTCCAAATATGAATGTGAAACAGATAAAGGATGAATGATGTTCTGGTACTTAGGATCTACATAAAACACAGAGCAACTTTTGGGGGTAGAAAGCCACTTATGTAAGTTGGAAACAAAAAAGTCTGGTTTAAGCTTCAGCAAAGATAATTCCGGAACCAAACCAATTCCATGAGCACCATCAATTAAGGACAAACAATCATTTTGACGACATAATTGTGTAATTTCTTCATAGGGAAGTTTTGCTCCCGGCATTGAGGAAACAGTATCGAAGAGGGCCATCTTGATGGGGCCCTCTGTTTTGAATACTTGCTCAAATTTCTCAACAATCTCCTTCTGAGTCAAAGGGTATTGCAAGTTGACTTCTACGGGGACAATTCCAATTCTCTTTGCAATAAATTTAACAATATTCTTACATGCACCATATGTGGTCGTAGTGTAAATTACCTTATCGCCAGCCTTGAATGGATAAGATCTGAGTACAGTGTTTACACCAGCAGTGGCACTGTCAACAATAGCTAAAGATTTATAGTCACAATCGAGTAAGTCAGACACACTCAAGGCCTTCAAGGCTTCAATGTACTCATTTCTTTGGTCAAAACGAAGGTACTTGTCGAAATTCGACTGACTCGATTTAAAGTTTTCACAATAAACTTCGAGGACTGGATCAGGTGTGACACCCATAGCACCGTGGTTCACATTGATAAACTCGGCATCTTGGTTCGAGAAATACTTCTTTTTGAACTCTTTACCAAATGGGACAGACATCTTAGGAAGCGTATGAATGAATGCAGAGTTATTTACTTAGAGAGAATAGGCTAATCTATAAGCTATGCGACACAATTTGCAACTTTTATATACTGCGCGCGCAATGCGAAGGTAAGCCGTACCAGCAGTGACTCATGGAGTACCAAGAACGTAGAGTCACATAATAACTAATCACAATATTTAGGGGCTGCGTATATGACTACATACGATGATAAGGCAGTATTGATATCTCCTAGTACATACGTATATCCATTGAGTTAAGCAAGGTATAGACTTGACTCCTATATGGTAAACGTAAAGTTGAATCATGTTTCATTCGTCATTAATGCACGAGCTCGAATTTTCCAGCATGATGACTTCTCTTTTTTTTGGGGTATCTTGATTGGGAAAGGAATTGAAACTCAATACTATTACCTTCTCCAAGTATTTATCAAGACAAGCCATGTAAAGGAGTTGCCACGACTCCTTGGAGAGTTTAGACGATACAGTATGTTCTGAATATTTGGTCTCAATATTACCTACGCAGAAAGTGCCTTGGCAGTCTAGCCTGCGAACAATAACCTAGTGCTATTGTTGGAGTTCTCTGCGCATAAACGGCCGTTGGAATCGCGAAATCCATTGATTCAAAGCCTATTTTAGGTTTGAATGCGAGGAAGAAACATTTTCTCCCCACACAATAAATTTTCAAATTTTCGACTCAGGCGCTTTCACATTGTTGATCTTACCAATTGTTTTTGAAGTGATTTTTCATTCTGGACTTGCGAAGAAGCTTCTAATTAGTATCAAATCAAAGGAAAAACCGTTCTTATGTCTCTTAAATTTCGTATTAACAGAACTAAGGGTTGAGCTTGATTGTTCCAACCTTAATGTTTGAACTACAATAGTTTGCGAGATGTAAACAATTTCGTTGCGAAACAGAATGCTACACTTCACCTGCTACAAGTTGCAAAAAAAAGGCAAAACAAACAAAAAAAAAAGTCAAAATTCTTGTTTTAAAAATTGTATATATTACAAATCATATCCTATGATTTTGTACCTTTCTCCTCCTCTTCTTGTAGCGTAGAAAACATGAAGCTCTTATCATTGTACATATTTTTGGCATCATTCGCTACAACTTTTGGAGCAAAGTTCAATCTCCGACTCTTGGCTAACACCTACTCAGATAGTACATTCAGCAACTATGGATTGGCGCCAGTGTACCAAAATGACAGCTACTTTGACGGGTTGGTTTTTCTCCTAGGAGAAAATCCTGTCACGTTCGTCTACGATAATGAAACACAGATAGTGTCGTACACACAGAATAATAAGGAGTACTATCTCTATGTCCAGGACGACTACTTGGTGGGGCAGACTGACATCGATATCGACAAAATTGGGTCGTATAACAAGTTTTTGATGAATATGGACGGAACACTCTGGGTAACAAAGATAAATAACAACGTAGGGTACAACTTATTCTACACGTATCCTACCAAGACTGAAATCTACAATCATAAGACCTATTTATCAGTCTTCTTACTAGCTGATCAGACCCAATCCCTCGACACTCAAATGTTCACCATCGTTTATAAAATACTGGGGAATTCTACCAATCCCATTCTACCATACAGTAGCGAAGAAACAGCAACAAATATAACAACTATAACTTTGATAAACAGCACAGAGACTTCGAGTCCCAATGCAACAGCAGGAGGCGCACATATCTCTTCTTCGACCTCTGGTATTCGCTACACTTCAACAGTTATTAAAACAGAAACTCAAAATTATGCGGACCGTAGCCTGTGCTCTTACACATCATTAATGTCCACCTTATTGTTATCCTTACTAGCTATATTATAATGCTTCCATGATGAGAAACGTACAAATACCAACACCACACATAAAAATGGTAGCCTATTATCACTTTCTTCACAAAGAAGGAGATCCAACGTGAATAACTGATACATACACTTCACGTAAACATAATATACACACATGCATACGAGATCCTAACAACCCATGTAGGTAAACCCTGTTGAAAAATACTTGGCTCCAACGAAAGGTTCCCTCGTGGTAAGCTGCAATAAGGGACTACCTCCTTTTTACTAAAGTATGTGCGTAGAGCCATTCTGAAACCTAATTCCATTGTGAAGCATTAACACGATTTTAATGAATGCAGCATTTAGATTGTGGTGCGGCTCAAACTAATCTGACGTTGTCGTATTTACGCACGGTTGCAAAAAAAAAGACTCATCGGATCTCGAGCGGTGAAAATAAACAAAATATTTTCGGCAATCGTGCCCTATGTCGCTTTTATTAGCGAAAGAATAAGCCCTGAACAGCTCCGTTCGCAGTTTTAACAAAATTAGTACGATTGTTTTTTATTCGTATTTTGTTTCGTTTTCTTCTTCGGTAAAATTGCCATGTTTCAGGGAATTTGGTTGCTTCTCCTAATTTTTGTCACCAAAGTAAGATCAAGCCTCATTGAGTTTGAATTGTACGCAAATTCATCCAGTGATACTATTGATGGGCTCGGGTTAACAGTAATGCCAGCCGATGATGATCAGGCCCTGGTGTATCTTAGCACAGATTTGTCAAATGCGACAACTTTCTCGTATAACAGTAGCAATAAGGTCATTTCATTTGAGATCGATCAAGTGTTTTACCTTTCCATAGTGAGTGGCCGCTTGGTCGGCGTTGCTTCACAGGCGCTGAACTTCAGCTTGAACTCTACTGACAGTAGCCTATGGACAAAAGGCGCAAATACGGGAGGCTCAGGTTTAAAAGAATTCTATACACATTTGGAAATTATTGAATCAGAGTTAAACGTGAACAATGTTACTTACTTCCCAGTCAGTGTGGGATCATCTACCGCAGCAACTTCCATAGCTCTAGAATTGTTGTACAAAGAAGATGATATTACATTGAATACTAACTCTTTGGTATCTGAAAGCAGTACTAAAAGCTCTTCTTCAGCTAAATCAAAATCCTCATCCAAAAATGACGGTGGTCGTGTTGAGACAGCACATGGATTATTACCGATTATGGTAGCATTCTTCGCATGGTTGATTTAAGATCAAATTTCATCAAATGAAACGATCATCCTCTTCAAAAAAGATGTGGAATAGCAGTTTGACATTGGCTCGCTTATACTTAAAAAAGCATAAGCTTCTTGTTCCGCTCCTACATGCTCAACAAAGGCATCTGCAACCTCTTTGCTTAGAGCAAGACGTTTAGATCTTCGAGAAAATGTGGGACATCTTGAACGCGCGATGAACAAAAATAAAACTTCAGAGTTTGGCACCTTATAGAAGTAAATACAATACTTCTTGTAGTGAATAGTTGTAGTTTTTGTTAGGATTCTTACATACATAAAATAAAGTATCAATCTCCGAGGAATGTGCTTGTAATAGTGCGGCAGTCTAGTCAGCAGTCAAAAAATCGTTTTTGCATGTATGCTCCATCATTTGGAACTTGCCAAATTGGGTGTGGCGCTTTTTATTTTCTGCTAAGTGGTTCCGCATGGAAGCACTTGTCCGCTTTAAGCCATAGTAGTTGAGAAGTACCTCAAAATCTACAGGCTGGACTGAAACACTTCTGTAACAGGGATAGGTTGGCTCACCTTCATAATCTACCGTGTCTAGATCCAATCCTTTCAGCCAATTCTCAAGATCTGTATCATCTTAAAATGTAACTGTTCTGCGAGATATGCTGCAGAATGAATAGGCGTAAGATAGTAGAACGAACAGAAATGAAACACAACCAACCAAGTAAAATTCTGCTCGGTAAAAATTAGAGCATATCTATCCCAACTATGTCCCTAAAGATGAGCAGCTTACTATCTTACGCCAATAGCAATCATTGGATCCATTAACACCACCCTGGTCTGTTGACTCTAGGCCTTCTCAGAAATATTAAATTGGTCCTGTATATAGACAAATACACATACAACTTTGTGTTCAGTATCTATATGCACTCCTTCTGATTGCCACCACTGACCACTGCGACAGAAAAACCTCGACAGTCAAGAAGGCAGATAACTCTGTCCCCTGGAAGCACACCATTTACATCAAAACTTATAGTATCGAACTACTAGCAATCACATCATGTCCAGAGAAGATCCCTTAAAGGCAGAGAAGGATTTCTCCGCCACCCTCGATGAACAATTCCCCATTATTGCCGAGCTCTCAGACTACAAGCAAGCTATTGACAAATACCTTGTATTAGAGAAGCAAACAAGACAATCATCGGACTTAGAGTCGTCCAAGCGTCTTCTTGTTAAGATTGTGGACACCTTGGCGGAACACAGGGACTGGAACTACTTAAATGATTTGATTTTGACTCTTTCCAAGAAGCACGGTCAATTGAAATCATCCATTCAAACATTGATTCAGCAAGTTATCAGCAAGTTGGAGCTGAAGGATTACTTCAACGATGACGACAAGGAACAGCTCGACTGGAAAATCAAGCTAATTGAAACAATCAGGACTGTTTCTGACAAGAAAATCTTTGTAGAAGTCGAGATGGCCACTGTTTCTAAGATGCTCAGTGAGATTCACTTGCACAAGTTCAACGACTTGGATAAAGCTTGTTCCATTTTGTGTGATTTGCAGGTGGAAACCTACTCACTCATGCCATTCTCTGATAAAGTGGAGTATATCTTGGAACAAATCAGATTGACTTTGAAAAAGGGTGACTACCTGCAAGGTAGAATCTTATCCAGAAAGATCTTGTTGAAGACATTGAAGGGGTTTGAAAAGGCGGAGCAATACAAGCTGGAGTATTTGCAATATCTTATTGACATTGATGTCTTTGAGCACGACTACCTTTCGATTGTTAAGAATTCACTTTTGCTCATTGATTTGGATGTTATCAAGGCAGACCTGACGAGGTACGCTAATATCTTGACAGCTATTGTATACTATGTTATATTATCCCCTTATGATAACCTTCAACGTGATTTGATACATAAAATCAAGTTGGACGAAAACCACAAGTTTACCAAGAACATTAGCAGCAAAGTGTTCGCACTCTTAGAAACATTCACCACCAATGAATTGATTCATTGGTCAAACATCGAAAGGTCATACAAGTTAGAATTCTTCGACAAGTCAGAGATATTTGCATCTAATGAAACAAACTACAAGAACTTGGAGAAAAGAATAATTGAGCATAACTTGAGAATCATAAACAAATACTACCAATGTATCAAGATTGATAGGTTGGCATACCTTTTGCAGTTGAGCGTAAGTGAACTGGAAGTTTATGTCAGTGAATTGGTCAACAAGGGTATGATAAGCGCAAAGATTAATAGACCAGAAGGTATAATCAGATTTGAAAACTTTGAACAACATAACAGTAGTAGCGGAGGTGATGGTGCTAAGAACGTCAATGAGTTATTGAACAGTTGGTGTTACGATGTTGATAAGTTGTTAGAGGAAATTGATGTCATTGGACATTTGATTAACAAGGAAGAGATGATGAATGGGATTAAAGTAAAATAAATGGGCTAACTGAGTGGGGCCGAAGGCGTTCCTGTTGCCTCGTCTCCTTATCCATCCTGTCGATTAATTGGTGAAATAGAATGTGTAAAGAAAAATAAACGAAAGATAGAACAACTGACGTTGTAGAGATCCGATGTTACTAGAGGTATGTGTAAAACAACGTTTATTTGATATAATTTTTCTTATTTTTTTTTGCTTTTTACTCACTCTTCATATTCTTTTCTAATATTACAATAACAGCATGATGGCAACGACTATACCGAGGAAACCATAGGTAGAAACTTCCATTATAGCACCATCAGACTTCTTGGTGGAAGAAGACGCAGTGGCGGTGGACGATGAAGTGGAAGTGGAACTTGATCCTGTAGAGGTTGTCTTGGAAGATGAGTCACTGCCATCGGTATTGTTATTATTTCCATCGACACATGCCCATTGGGTAGAAGCGTCAAACCCACTGCCCAGAGGTTCAGTGTTACCATTGATATACTTTAAAGCTCCACCTGGGGTATCAGGTAAGGTGGTGGTAGCGTTCCATGTGGACAGTTCTGCAGGACAGTTGGATGCTGCCTCACTTGCGTGGTAGTCACCGTCACCAGAAGGATTAGAAGTCTTAGCAAACTGGCTCTTCAAATTGTCAAAATCTTCTAAAGTCGATACAGATGAATTGGATTCAATTTCCACTAATCCATAGTTACTGACTTCTTGAGAATATTCATAGACTAACCCACCGGAGAAAACTGGGGACATCTTGTCAGAATAGATGGTTCCTACTTCAGTGAATGGTCTTGGAGATACTGTGTTACAACCATATTCGGAGAAGAAAAGAGGCACAGAGTAGTTACCATACTCTTCCACCTTAGTACTGTAGCCAGAGGTGGTGAAAGTAGCCAGGGATCCACACCAGGAGTAATCGTTAAACCCAAACATATCAACTCTGGCCATAGAGTCACTTCCACAGTTCAAGTACTCAGCGGTGTCCAAACCCTGAGTAGTATCAGCGGCAGAGTAGCCTACTGGAATCGATCTAAGACCAGTATTCTTAATGAAGTTTTTCATATCTCTAACAACGGCCTTAACATAAGGAGCGGCTGCGATGGAAGGACCATCATTAATGACTTCGTTTCCGGCGAAAAATCCTAATGTGTTGTTGTACTGTGCCATGTTCTTTACAGTAGCAAGAACTTCGTTCAAGTACATGGTGTTGTATGAGCATTCAGCAGAATCTCTGGAGATGGAAGCGTTAGGGATGTTCACATCTAACAAGACATAGATCCCAGCATCAGCAAGCTGCTTCATACAATCGTCGTGGTCTGCAGTGTTATCGATCGAGTAAACTCTGATGGTATTTATTCCCAAATCTTTGAACTTCTCAATATCTCTGGAACAGGTATCTGAGTCTGCCAACGGATCAAAGAGGACGGATGACCCACCAGGTTGGTAGGCGACCCCTCTAATATAGAATCTTGAGCCGTCATCGGTGAAGAAGGCGTTACCATCGACAGTGATGGACGAAATAGCAGCAGCAGTGGAAAGGAGCGTGAGGAAGGGTAACAACATCTGAATAAAGACACGATAACTGTCAAACCTAGCGTAATAAGAACAACAACAGCTAGAAAGAGTGCAATGTATATAAATACAAATAAAGTGGTATATTGGACTGATATATGGAGGGGTTGTGAGCGTGCGCCAAGCGAAATGCATTGTTTATTTTGGTATGTTTTGAAAAAAAAAAAAAAAAATGATGCGTTTCTGCATCGATGGTCAATAATTTGGAATGGAAAATGTTAAGACATTCAACATGAGTTGGGGAAATTTGGGTTAAGGTTAAAGCAAGGGCTAAGAAAAAAGTATGCAAGGATAAATTAAGCTGGGAAATGGGGTGCACTTTATCATTGCAGCCCACAAGTGGCTTATTGAGGAACATTGAAAGCCTACTTTATCTCACAAGCAGAGGCTTTTCAATCACCTGAAGTATCTTCTTTTTCATGTAGGCCGTTCGTATTCTTAGGGCGCGCGTTCAAAACAAGGTGAAGATTATTTTTTTCAGTGTGCTTTCTTTTTATTATTGGAAGGCATTCCAGGCTATTTGAATAAGTGTGGGCGCGTTACAACAGTGACAGAAAAGTTGGTCACAGTACGCGTGAAGCCGTCAGCGGGGATCTTTAGAGTCTGATTCAGTACCGAAAAAGTATATGAGCTATTATTAATACTCGTAAATGCCAAACTTGATGCAGTGCGCATGGAAAAGGCTAATACAATATCACTGAGTCAACTTCTCAATAAATAGCACTGAAAAAGAGTTCAGTTCCTGAATAAATAGCACTGAAGATGAATTCAGCACATCGCAGCAGCGCCACGGGTGACTTAGAAGTCGAAGGGACTGAAATCGGGGACAAGTTCTGGGTTTGCTCGCCGCTCGTACATAGTAGAATATTGTACTGGGCGCCCCACATCACTATTGGGGTTAAATCGAAATCGTCGAGAGGAAAATAGAAACATTGGCATGTATGGTCCATTCCTGATTAATCAGCGATAAGAGGGCGCTTCTCGAGATGTGCACATTGTCTCAACTATTCTTTCATTCCTTGTCCATTCCTCGATCCGTCGATGTTGCACCCTATCTAGTACGTTCCGGACGAGTGCAGATGGGTTTGGGTGCAAAACGACAGTGCGTTTTGTGTAACAATACTCTGTAAACGACCATTAGCCAGTACTTTGCCTTCTTTACTAGAAATGTGAAGATTATTTTCTTCATCACAGTGTTACTCTCTCCTCAGAGATTTCGAGCGGGTCATGTAAAAACGAAGACATTCTTGTTCTCTTCTGTTTCCAATTATGCCTCTATGGCGTTGGCTCTTACATTTGCTTTTATACCTTGCGACATCAGACTCAGAAGTCCTAGCATCTCCACTCAGTTTTCGAAGTAAAAGTTTTCGAAGTAAAAAAGAAGACAGGTAAACTATTACCTTCCCACTTGTAAGTTTGAGAGTGCTCCCCCAACTCCTGCCAGTTGTTACCCAGATTCTGAAGTACTGTATCACAGTGCTAGCTAGCTTCGTATCCAGTATGTTTTGATCCTGCACATATCACACGGCCGGGTAACCCCTCGAAAGATTATACGTAAACTAAATCAAATTGAAAATTCACAAAAAACGATTACAGTGCAGTGCAGTGGTACAGCCTTTCAATTCATAGATTAATAGCAAATCGGGAAAGGAAGTAGTGTAGATTTGAAATTCGAGATCTATCAAATCGCAGACCCATCATCGATCAATTCTTCGCAGAAAATTACAGCTAAATCAGGGTATTAGGTCGGTAGTTAGGAATGGCGTCGCAAATTCATTTTCTTGATATCAAAGGCAAGCCGTTGCTCTCTCGTGATTATAAAGGAGACATACCAAATAACACAATTGACAAATTCCCATTGTTGTTGATGGAAAATGAAGACCAAGACAACAATGAGGACTACAAGCCATTTATAAACTCCCAAGGTATAAACTACGTGTATATCTCTCATAACAACCTTTACTTATGTGCGCTAACCAAAAAGAATGAAAACGTTATGGCAATCATTATCTTTCTTGGGAAGTTGATTGAAGTGTTGACCCAATACTTCAAGTCGTTGGAGGAGGAAAGTATTAGAGACAATTTTGTCATTATATATGAGTTGTTGGACGAAATGATGGATTACGGGTGTCCTCAAACGACGGATACCAAGATATTGAAGCAGTATATTACCCAGGATTACTATAAGTTGATCAGACAAACATCGGCATCCAGCCGTACAATGGTCCAGCCTCCCAATGCGGTGACTAATGCAGTTAGTTGGAGAAATGACGGCATTGTATATAAGAAGAACGAAGCATTTTTGGATGTTATTGAACTGATCAACATGTTGATCAATGCTAACGGTCAAGTTTTGAATAGTGAAATATTGGGACAAATCAAAATTAAGTCCAATCTCTCTGGTATGCCAGACTTGAGATTGGGATTGAATGACAAGAACATTTTCAATATCAGTGGACATGGTTCTGATGCTGCAGAAAGTGGTGCCACTGCAGGTGCTGCAGGTGCTACTGGTAAAGGGATTGAAATGGAAGACATAAAATTCCACCAGTGTGTTAGATTGTCCAAATTTGAGAATGAGCGTATAATCACGTTTATTCCACCGGATGGGGAGTTCCAACTTATGTCATATAGACTTTCTCTGGCACAATTCTTGATGAAGCCATTAATCTTGGTTAATTGCAAGACCAAGGTACACAAACATTCTAGAATTGAGATTTTATGTTCAGTCAAGGCACAAATAAAAAAGAAGTCCACTGCTAATAATGTTGAAGTCATTATACCAATACCTGAGGATGCTGATACTCCTAAGTTCACTCCGGAGTATGGGACAGTTAAGTGGTACCCAGAGCGTTCCGAAGTTGTGTGGAAATTGAAAACTTTCCCAGGAGGTAAACAATTTCATATGAAGGCAGAGTTAGGGTTACCTGCAGTTATGGACCAAGAGGAGATATTCAGTAGCAAAAAGCCAATTAAGGTCAAATTCAATATTCCGTACTTTACAACTCTGGGAATTCAAGTTAGATACTTACGAATTAATGAACCTAAATTGCAATATCAATCATACCCGTGGGTTAGATACATTACCCAATCTGGTGAAGATTATACTGTTAGAATGAAGTAATGAAGCATAGAGTAGCGCATATAGAGTAAGGAAATTCAAGAAGATGAAGAACTAAAAACTTTAGATAGAAAATGGAGACAGAAGTGAAGTAATTTTGTACAACATTGAAAAGGGCTGTAGAATAATTTATATACAAACTGGTTAGTATTGTCTTATTATTAATAGGATGATCATTATTATCATTACCATTATTAGCCTCATCGCTGTATTCGTTAAAATAGGTGTATAGTTGTAGCAGTAGAAATACCACAATTAGAGATGAACTCAAACTTTGAATACCAAGCCAACTCCCTCATTGTGTATCGAGCGATGCAGCCACATGTTTCGATTTTCTCTAACTCCCCTAATATTTAGCTGGGGCCCTAGTCCTTCAGCAGCAATTTGAGTGTTCTGAGTTGTGACGTGCGGCTCACATGCAGATATGCATCAGGCTGAAAAGTTTCGAAGCTAATGCCTTTTTTGAACACCAGGCTCTTTACGTTGAACATAGCTCTAGGTATGGCTATTCATTCTGATTATCTCAAGAGTACTATACACGAAGCAATTGGACAGTATAACCGAGTTTCCAAGTCGAAAACCTTGAAACATTTAGTCCCTAGCAATGAAAGCAGACTATTCGAGTTGATCAATGGAGATAAAAAGATCCAAGCGGAACTCCAAGACATTCTAAGCAAGAAAGACCACTACGTTAATAAATTAAACAAGTTGCTAGATTCCTTGATACAGAAACATGGTGTGAGGGTAATAGAAAGCAAAGATGTTTCGTTGGTCAAAGATAATGTTCCATTACCTAACAACGATGCTACATCACTAGATTCTAAGTTCATATGTACCAGGTATCACGCAAGACAATACATTACAAACGTTCTCCCACAATCTTCAAAGCAGGAAATCAAGAAAACGATAGAGCGTCATTTTGAATTTCAAAAATATTATGAGGATAAAAGGAAGGAGCTTATAGGTAATCCGAGCTATAATGATGAACAGCTACAGACACGGTTAGATGAGATGGATTATGAGGTGTTCAAGCAGCAGGAGACATACGAACAAGAAAGTTTGAGCATACTAAAGAGCTTCAATATACCTTTCTTCAGCATAGCGAAGGGGTGGGATTATCCTGAGCTAGATGAAGATAAAAAATTTATCCTAGAAGTGATAGCAGAACATTTTGGCAAGTAAATGTGAGCGGCAGATCTTGCTACTTGCTACATCAGCTCATTGGGCTCGCCATAGTCCGACCATATACCCTGGATAAAGATTTCGGGGGAATGTATTGCGTACTGGTGGCATTTGGTTCAGAAGATGTAAATTCTAATGCACATAATCATCCATTGGTTACAATTTACTACAAGTGCCTACAGTTTGATAATTATTAATGGAATCCTTTCGTTAGGACATTATGTACGGATAAAAAAATATTATGAACAGGAAATGTATGAAAAAAATGTATAACCGAACAGTACAACAAGCGTAAGGGAGGCATTCGGCAGACACTAGTAACAAGAGAAAATCCTGTAGCTTTCACTTCTGTTCCTTAGCACTGCAGCTGGGTTATGAAAGTCCCTGTTAACGTTCATTGTATTGCTCTTTATTGAATTTTTTTAGTGATTGATTTTTTAATGATTTTCTTTTTAATGTTACGAATTGAATTATTCAAGGCTAGGGGGCCATTCAAAGACCAAATCTAACCTATGCTCTTCTTTCTTTAAGTATTGATTTTCTTTCTTTTTTTTAAGTTTTTTTTATTGTTTTCTTTGCACCTTAGACTACTTCAAACTAGAAGTTGTCAGTAACACAACCAGTAGATGCATCACTTACTAATGCAGCATACTTGGCTAAGGTACCTCTCTTATATCTTGGAGATGGGGCAACCCATGATTTCTTCCTTTCAGCAAGCTCTTCCTCACTGACTAACAAATCAATTTTGTTGTTATCAGCATCAATAATAATGACATCACCATCATATACTAAAGCAATTGGTCCACCTTCAGCAGCTTCTGGAACAATGTGACCAATAAGGAACCCATGGGATCCTCCTGAGAATCTACCATCAGTCAATAAGGCAACGTCCTTACCTAAACCATAACCCATGACGGCTGAAGATGGCTTAAGCATTTCTGGCATACCTGGACCACCCTTTGGACCTTCATATCTGATAACGCAAACAGTTTTTTCACCCTTCTTGATTTCACCTCTTTCTAAAGCGTGAATGAAAGCTTCTTCATCGTCGAAGACCTTAGCCTTACCTTCAAAGTAGGTACCTTCCTTACCGGTAATCTTGGCAACAGCAGATCCTGGTGCTAAGGTACCCTTTAAGATTTGTAAATGACCGGATGGCTTTAATGGGTTAGAGAGAGGACGGACAATATCTTGAACTTCTGGCAAACCTGGCAAGTTCTCCAAGTTCTCAGCAATAGTCTTTCCAGTGACGGTCATTTGAGATCCATCGATCTTACCTTCAGCCAACAATAATTTCATAACAGCTGGAGTACCACCGTATCTTTGCAAATCGGCCATAACATACTTACCAGATGGTCTGAAATCTGCCAAAAGTGGAGTAGAATCAGAGATTCTTTGGAAATCATCAACAGTCAATTCAATATCAACAGTTTGCGCAATAGCAATAAGATGAAGAACAGCGTTAGTGGAACCACCAGTTGCAATAATGTAAGTAATAGCATTTTCAAAAGCTTTCTTGGTCATTATGTCTCTTGGCTTCAAGTCCAATTCCAACAAGTTCTTGATGTGGTCTCCTACAGAGGCTAATTCATCACGCTTTTCTTGAGAAACAGCAGGGGCAGAAGAGGAGTATGGCAAGGACATACCCATAACTTCGGCAGCACTGGCCATGGTGTTAGCAGTGTACATACCACCACAAGCACCAGCTCCAGGACAAGCGTTCTTGACAATATCTTTACGTTGTTCTTCATTGATATCCTTGGACAAGTATTGCCCGTAAGCCTGGAAAGCACTGATAATATCGATGTTATCCTCAGGCTTTGGAGCACTTGGTCCAGAGGTACCACCGCATCCACTTGGGTGACCAGGTAAGATGGTACCACCGTAAACCATGATACTTGGTCTGTTGTGTCTACCCATGGCCATCAAAGTACCGGGCATGTTCTTGTCACAAGATGGGATGGCAATGTTAGCATCGTACATTTGAGCCATAGTCATGGACTCAAAGGAATCAGCAATGATTTCTCTACTTTGCAAGGAGTATCTCATACCTTCAGTACCGTTGGTAATACCATCGGAAACACCAATGGAGTTGAACTGCATAGCTTTCAAACCTGCCTTGTTGACAGATTCAGTAGCTCTCTCGTTGAAATCCATAAGGTGCATGTTACAAGGATTACCGGACCACCAAACAGAACCAACACCAACTTGGGCTCTGTCCATATCTTCTTCAGTGAACCCAGTAGCGTAGAGCATGGCTTGCGATGCACCTTGCGATTTGTGCTGAGTAACGATACCCGAATATTTGTTCAATTTCTTCTTTTCAGCAAGCACTGGTGCCGTAGAGAACCTACGAGCTCCATTGGCTGTGATTCTACTAATAGCTGACTTCATTATCGATACACTTTACTGACCTAAAGAAAAACTGTTGTTGTCCGACTTTTTTTTTTTTTTACCACTGGCTTCGATTTTTCACCGTCCCGCTGGAGCGGGTTCGATGCGTCATAGTGAGCGGTAGCGGAGGGTGAGAGAGAAATTTTTCAGAGGTGCGAGGATCCAGATGGGGAGTGTATACAGGCAACCAATTGGAAAGAAGAATAAGGTCAGCGGAGGGGAGAGTAGCGAGATGCGTTGAGAACAGAGGAGGTGAGATGGAGAGGGCCGGCTAGGGAGATTCGAACAGGTGGGTCGAATTGTGTGAGCTGGTCGGTGTAGATCTGGTGTCAGCGGCCGTTGTTGTGTTGTAGTCTCTCATTCGGTCTTAGTATTGTGCTGCTTCGAAATGTGTTGCTAAGAGAGGCTTCAAATAATGCAGAAGGTAGGTTAATCTGCAGGAATGCAGCACTCCCCAGAGTAGAGAGTGCAGCACTACGGTATATCGGCACCCCATCGCTTCTTCCATATGGCTTGCTTACAGCTTGCTTATAGCTTGTTTAGTCTTCATTGTACAGGAAGTTAGAGCAGTCTCAAGCTCCGCACATGCTGGGGTGGTTGGGGCCGAAGGTACCGATGGACGGTGTGTGCTACCGGGCATTTCTCTTCTTTTCTCGCTGTACACGCATAACGGTTATACACCGATACCAGTGGTCAGGGCAGCGTGCTCCCGTGGCAAGCGAAATACACTGGGTTCCTGCTCTATATACCTCTCCAGCACCCTTCTCTCCCATCTCTCCCTTCAATTCCTCTCTTTCGTGATCATATATTCATCCTCTAACCACCTATCCTAGGTGACCTGCACATAATATCCACCCATCGGCTTCTCGGTCCTGCATGTCGCTCTACTTTTTCTACACTAAACAAGCGGCCGAGGTTCTCCTGTTAGTATGTCATGGGAAAATGCTGTGTGACAGCTTTACTATCACCTAGAATCGCTGTTTGCTCTTTAGGTATACTCAAAAGTACATATATCGCAACAAGGAGCGCTTCAGTCGGTACATAATGGCAGAAAAACGTCTCATCAAAGAGCTAAAGCAGCTTGCTAAGGAAGCTGCTAATCCCCAGATTTCACAAATAGGACCCGTTCTGGAGGATGACCTCTTCCAATGGAGAGCCACTATATCTAAACCATCTAGAGATCAGTCTGATTATTACTTTAATGGCCAGTGGGACTTAGATATCAAGGTTCCACCCACATACCCCTTGATACCTCCCAATATATCGTTCAGCAAGACCACTCCTATAGCCCACCCCAATATAGATTTGAAATCTGGAGAAATCTGCTTAGACATCTTGAAACTGTCAAGTTGGTCTCCTGCATGGAATCTCAACAATTTGGTGGTTGCTATTTTGATGCTTATAGATGACCCAGAGCCTGATCTGCCTTTGAATATTGATATGGCGAACTTGTATCGGTTTGATAAGACGGCGTATACAAGCATGTGTCAGTATACTATGTGGAAACACGGTACGTTCTGTGGGGAGAGTAGCAATGGCGAGGATTTGAGGCACAAAAGTGGCATCAAAGTTGTGGATGGAGTAACTCTTGATAAGAACGTAGACTCGTCTCCGGATCTCAGAGTCGTCCATGAAGTTGAACAGGAAGTGACCAAGCAGTTTCTCGATAAGGTGAATGCAACTCATTCTGCTTCCGGTTCCGAGGAGTTGACTGGTGATGACTTAGACTCGGTTAAACAGATTGTGAGCCACAACGTTTCGAAACAGATTGAACTGATATACCAGAAAAATGCTCCACATTCTGGCCAGAGTTCCGGAACTGTAGTGCTGGTGAGCGAAGACAATGCAACGAAGAAGTTGAAATATGATTTTGAAAGACAAGTGGACGAGCAAGTCGAGCTTGTGCGCAGAAGACAGGATATAGAGAACGAGACTGTGAGTGCTGATTCCACGGACATCGAAAACCATGAAGAAGGAGAGGATATTGATCTAGATAAAGATGATGAAGGAAATGAAGATGACGCTATGGAAGATGACGATCTGACCATTGCTCAGTCAATCCCCTCAACAAATAGCACCTCCTCACTAAAGAAGCTTAGAAAGTCCATCACCAGACGAGCAAAGGGCTCTAAAAAGATAGAGGACGGAGAAAAGAAGAGATTTTCTAAGCTCAGAAGCTCAAAAAAGTAGAGCTAACCTTATTTATATTGATCTTACTCGGCGTGAGACAAAGGAGAGAACAAACTAAAAGAGGAAAATAGGGAAAAGGTCCCTCTGGGGGGTTCACAGCATTTTCATGGTAATCTTATGTGATGCTATAGGTTTTGAAAAGAAAAGGAAAAAAGTAACGAGCCGATATCGCATCTGCTTAATGTACAATATACTACAACAGGGTAAATATTTCCACACATTATCTTTCTTGGTTTATGTTAGTTTACTTTAATTTAAGTTAGTTTAAATTATTTTATTTTATTTCATTTCATTTTTATTTATTTTATTTTATTCGTGCCTTTCCGATTGGAATGACGAACTAAATATACAATTCAACTAATACAAACGATCACTGTCTACTGTGTAACTCAGTGTAGTTCGTAGCCATTCAATAATCTTCTCGTTTCATGATATTTTCACCTGCATATAAACGGATATGTTAAGCTTAACGTAATCTTCTGGCTTCTCTTTCTGATTCCATCAAACATAAGAGATCACCTTCTCTTACCGGACCCTTGATGTTTCTGACAATGGTTCTGGAAGAGTCTTCAACAAATTCAACTCTAACTTGGGTGACACCACCTCTGGAGCCGGTTCTACCTAAGACTTTGATGACTTTAGCTAATGTAACTGGGGTTTTAGTGTCCTAAAGAATAATTAGTATATGAGATCAAAAGGGGCTCAAAAAATGGGAGAGTCTAGTTTTACTCTTGATGTTCAACCATTCTCCTCTACATTGGGCGTCCTATACATACCATGTCTGTACTATTTTAATGTTATATGTATCAAGTCTGTGTCAGTCGTAGGCTCTTGGGGGTGCGCTGAAAAATTTTCTACTCCAGCTGAAAGAACAAAAATAATCATGGGGTCGTGCAATGGATAATAACCTGCACCAAAGCATTTGGCATACAGGGCAGTAGTGCCTAAGCTGCTGCACACGGCATGGCCAGGCACTGGAAAGTAGATGGGGTTGGACTGAAGATCCGATGATTTGCTAACCGGTTGCTCTAAAGTTATTATAAAGACGAAATTCGGAAGAACTACAAATTTTTCTGGCGTTTTCTGGTCTTCGTTATATTCATTATTAGTCGATTAGCGTATATAAAGAAATCATAGTGATTAGTGACCTTCAAATAAAGTTAATGTGTATGCAAAAGGGTTTCTATACCAAGGCCCACATATACAAGATGAATTAAGGGGTAAAAGACTTTGAAAGACCATCTAGTAGGTCGAATGAATGTTCTATAAACCGGGAGAAATGCGAAACTCTGCTCCGTCCAGACCCAGTTACTAGGACAAGCTTGGGAACAGAATGATATATATGTATGGGGATCCACCACCATGCTACTGAAACCAGTGGATTGCGATACGTAAGCTCTCTTTTGAAGAAACAGGTAACATTTGTGACGAATCGGGGCCATGCCTGACGAAGAAATCATGGAGATCATCCATGTCTTCCTTCCTTCGAGGAAAGAGCCAGTGACCCATAAAGCGAGGTATTATGCTCCTCTTTTACTCGTCATTAGAGTATTGTCTCGTGGAGATTTTTATTCATCTGCAGATGTCACTGTGTCTAATTCGTCGGCCTGGCCTTCTTTATCATCATTGTCGTCGTCATCGTCATAATCATCATCTTCTTCTTCATCGTCTTCGTTATCCTCTTCGTTCTCCTGTATCGAATATCTGTCATAGCCTGTAGCGCGTTTGCTCGGGTTCGATCCTATTACGTCGAATGCAGTACTATGGCCTCTTTCGTCAATGGTAGCCACAGATGACCGTCTGCTCTCCTGCGTCCCACTACCAGTATGATTTCTCAGTCCTGGTCCTCCCGTATTGTACCCTGTATAGAGACCGTTCCCATGTCCATACCAGTACATATTGAAGCCCCAGTTCAATAAGACCTTACACATATCCCAAGCTCTGAAGTCTGGCCAAAGTTTCTCCACAAACACTACAGAGCAAGTCAGCGGCACACACTGCCAGAGCAAAAAATCAGATAGTCTATAAGTTCCCAGTGTTCTGACTAGGATGTCCAAGGGAGGAGAGTCCTTTGTGTATAAATTGTCAGTCACAAGCTCTTCATTAATCTCCAACGTAGGTCTTGCTACAGATTCAGCCACAACCAGTTGCACTGCATGGGTCATTTCATCTCTTGAAGTGTACGGGAAGCAAACGTTCAACACTGCCCTCGTATTATTTTCAGTCATGGCCTCAGTTTCTCTCAAAATGGTCCGAACGTCTTGAGGTAAAAGTTTTGTGTTCCCCAATATCTTGATCCTTATGCCATACTGTTCACAGAGGTCTCCATGCTGACAAATTTGTTGTAGCTTCAGCTTAGCTAAGTCCATGAGCCATTCAACTTCATACTTCAGTCTCTTGAAGTTCTCGATGGAGAATGCATACACCGTCACATGCTCCACTCCTGCTTCATAGAGCAATTCCAATATATTTGCCATACTTTCGAATCCCATATTGTGGCCCTCTTTGATCTCAATCTTGTGTGATTTGGCGTACCTTCTATTTCCATCCATGATGATCCCCACATGACGAGGTGTAGGACCCGTACGAACGATCCCCCCAAAGCATTTTTTGATAGTCGTGAGTACTTGGGTATAACCAGGGAAAGTCGAAACCCAATCTGACATTTTAGATTTCTTACCTGCTAGGTGATATAAAGAGAAGTCTTCGTTGTCTACATTTTTTCATTTCTTTGAGTAGAGCGGCCATTTGTACTAATTTTAAAATGCCCTGCATCTGGGTTATATGCAGGATATAGTCTTCTTATTGGGTTGCAAACTGGAAGCTACGTAGAATGGTTCTCACGGGTAGTCTTTTGGGTGAAGTAGGCTAGTTGGTGGGCTCATTCGTGCGAGGGAGATGCTTCTTCATTGAAAAAAGGCGCTTACCTGTAATCACCTGGAATGACTATAGAAAATGCAACGGGAGACGCTAGAAGCTGCGTACCTTCAAGTTTAGATGCTCTGAGCATTTGCATCAATGGTGGGAAGACCAGTGGAGAAGCAATGAAGATAAATGAGCCCCAAAACAAAGCAAGACGATGCAAACTCTGGATACATCGAGCCTAAACTGACTTCCAATTTGTAGAACCAAGGAATATTTGCTAATGAGGCCATTAAATTCGGTACTCTTCCACTTGATGCAGATGTTACCCTTGCTGGAGCGTACAATCTCATTCAGTGGGCATATCAATGTCACGTGACGAATCACTAAGTAAGCTAATACTATTTTGATAAATTTAATCGCTTGCTAGGTAGACTATTCTCGTACAATTCGGTAAGCAGCTGGTTAGCTATTAAGGCACCCACGCTGAAACAAAAAACTCGTGTAAGGTCCTGGGCATCTCTCCCAATTCGTTGCCATATGATAAGCTGTAACATCAGTATAACCAAGCTCTTCTTGTCCTGCATATAAGCCTCATCTTGAAAAAAATCAATTACTAAGAATTTTGGCAATTCCTAAGATATAAAAGAGACTCTTTTGCCATCTCTTCGATATAGGTGATATATTTCGGTATTATTCTTATTATTAATCATGTCTAGAGAAGAAGAAAACCCCAACTTAGTGCAGGAGGAAGATGAATTTCTCAACGTTGACGAAGTAGCTGAAGAAGTCCCCGAAGCAGAAGGTCAAGAACCAGAAGATGACGAAGAAGATGTAGATATGGATGGAGAAGGACAATTTGATGATGATGATGAACAGCGTATTGAAATAGATATGTCTAATAACTCATGGACATATTTCGATCAACACAAGGATTCCATTTTCAAAATCTTCAGCCACCCAACTTTACCAATGGTTGTCACTGGAGGTGGAGACAATACCGCCTTCATGTGGACTACTCATACTCAACCACCAAGATTCGTTGGTGAATTACAGGGTCACAAGGAATCAGTAATTGCCGGATCTTTCACTTGTGATGGTTCATATGTCATAACTGGAGATATGAACGGGTACATACAAGTTCACAAATCCACCAAAAACGGTCAAAAATGGGTCAAGTTTGCTGATTTGGAAGAAGTTGAAGAAATTTTATGGATCGCCGTGCACCCAGTGTTGCCCCAATACTTTGCATTTGGTGCCAATGATGGCAGTGTGTGGTGCTATCAAATAGATAGCGACAGTAAGAGCTTGGTGCAATTAATGACAGGATTCCTGCATTCATTGGAGTGTAACGGAGGGTTGTTTGTAAACGTTAACGAGCCTGATACTTTATCATTAGTCAGCATTTCTGAAGACGGTTCCATTGTCAATTGGAACTGTTTCACTGGAGCAGTCAACTACAAGTTATCACCTTTCGATGACTTCAGAGGAGTGGAAAGCCCTTGGGTTTCCATTGCTGCCCATAAAAACGTTATAGCTGTTGGTGCTCGTGATGGACAATTGGCAATAATAAATAACGATAACGGGAAGTTGGTACATTCTGTGAAGACCATTGATAATGTTGAAGACATTGCGGAATTATCTATTGAAGCGTTAGCTTGGTGCGAAAGTGATCAATATAACTTATTGGCTGTTGGATTGGTGTCTGGTGATTTGCTTTTGTTTGACTCAGCACAATGGAGATTAAGAAGAACCATAAAGTTGGACGACACAATCACTAAATTACAGTTCCTCGACGGGAATAGTCCATTCTTGGTTGGTTCAAGCATGAACGGTAATATTTACAAGTGGGATGCTAGAACTGGTGAAGAATTGTTCGTAGGTGTTGGACACAACATGGGAGTCTTGGACTTTGCTCTCACTGAAGATGGTAAAAAGTTGATAACTGCGGGTGACGAAGGTGTCTCATTAGTGTTTAACACATCCGCATAATATCATCATATCGCTCAAAAAAGAGAAAGTAGAGAGAAGACAAGGGCAACACCAGTAGTTCTAAATTCAAGGGCATACTTTGAAACAACAGAAGTCACCCAAGGATCAGTTAGAACGACTCAGCGCCGCTTTTACTGGCAGGAACAGTCACATGTTTGGAATTCCATGTTACAAGTAAGGGAGCTGATTATCAAGCTACAGAGTCCAACACAAGCTCTGTTTTGTGTCTTCTTCCCTCTTCTATGGTTCCAATTGTAGAGCCAATTTCATAGAATTAAACTAATACAGTAAATTTAGATCTTGCAATCATCTTGTAGAGAAACCAGTAAGCTCTAGCCACTACCTCTTCTCTCCTCTCCAACCAGCCCCTAGTTCTTTATCTCCATATCTTACCACTTATTCCAAGTGAAAACACATTTCAGGACAAGACTTCAAATAGTTTCTTCCCTTCCACCTGCTTCACTGGACATGCCTGAATCGACACTTGATCTACAGTAGCCCGCTGCCTTCAATCTCTCTTCCCCATCTCTAAAGCAGTCTGGTCTTATATGCAGTCTTATCAACAAACATCATCAGCAAAACGCGTCTGAGATCAACAGGAAATATTTTCGTTACGTTCCACCTGAAGTCACAGAGAAGTAGTATAGCAAACGCAGTATGACGGTCGCGACTTCTTCGGCAGGACTATCCAGTGAAACAGGTGCTGAAGACACTTCTTCTACAACTCTCGAAAACACGCCAACTTTGCAATCATTTACGAGAGACAGCGAGAATGATGCAGATGGTGGTGCCCCAGCTAAGAAGAGGGCCGCACCCTCTTCGTCAGATATGCTCTTTTACTATGAGAGACTTTTACCTTTTAGGTACATTTTCCAATGGCTTAACCATTCTCCAAAGCCCAGTAAAGATTTCACCATGAGAGAGTTTGCTTTCGAATTCAGATCAGGAGCCTACCAGCGTTATAACTCATTCAGCAATCAAGACGATTTCAAGAAATCTGTTGTCAACGCCAACCCAATGAGATTTGAAGTGGGTGCTGTTTACTCAGCCAATCCTAAGGAACGTAAGAATCTCCCCAAGCTGGCCCTCAAGCCTCTCTCCAAGGAATTAGTGTTCGATATCGATCTTACTGATTATGATGATATTAGAACTTGCTGCTCTGGAACTGCCATCTGCACCAAATGCTGGAAGTTTATTCAAGTTGCTACGAAAATCATGGATGCTTCGTTGAGAGAAGATTTTGGATTCAACCATTTGATTTGGATCTTCTCTGGTAGAAGAGGTGCGCATTGTTGGGTAAGTGACAAAAGAGCTAGAGCTCTAGATGAAAATAGCAGAAAGAGTATAGTTGAGTACTTGGATGTGGTGGGTAAACATAACGTGAAATCTGGTAAGCTTAATTTAAAGAAACCTTATCATCCTCATATTGAAAGATCGTTCAATATCTTGAAAGATCAATTTGCTACAATCATATTGAGGGAGCAGGATCCTTGGAACACATACGAAAATAACACTGAAATAGACAAGAAGTTGGATGAATTGTTATCCTTCTTACCAGAGAAGGCTCTTCAAGAAGAGTTGCGCAAACATTGGAAATCCTCGTCTTCCAACTCCTTGACCAAATGGGAAGATATAAACGTTTTCGCTAAGCGTACTCTTAAGAGCCAGCTCCAAGTAAACATGCTTAACGACGCCAAAAAGGACGTGATATTGTACTTCATGTACCCCAGACTCGATATGGAGGTTTCCAAGCAAGTGATCCATTTGTTAAAGTCCCCATTTTGTATCCACCCAGGCACTGGAAATGTATGTGTGCCGTTCGACCCTTTGAAAAGTCTTGTTGACAATGACGAGGACTCCGACTATGGATTTAATCCTATGACTGCTCCTAACTTGGGCCAGTTACAAACTGAAATAGAAAATTGGACCGGGAATGGTTCGACTGGTTCTAATTCTGGGGTGAAGACGTTAGACTATGAAAAGACAAGTTTAAAGCCATACGTAGATTATTTTGCAAAATTTGTAAATGGATTGAATCAAGAAGAGTTGAGTGTTAAAAGAGAAAGAGATGCTAGCGATAAGTTAGACTTTTAGGTTTGGGTAATATATATTGATGAAAGAATAGAAAATTAAATGCACTTCTATGTAAAGTAATATTAAAATGTTACGTGGTTGAAGGTTCAACTCGTTTGTGAAGTGTTCTGAAAATTACTTCATTCAAGTGATTGGACAGCTACTCTCTTGCGAAATTCTATTAGTAGCATCATCCAATTCTCTTTCTAGTGAACCGCTACTGTTTTTTATGACAATGGTTTGCACTTTATCGAACTTGGTGTCTGGGTACCATTCGATATATTCTAATTTTTCATTGTACTGAACTGTACCAGATGAGATGTAAACATCACTCGCATTCAAATATGGATAATGCCATTTTGGAACGAATATTACAGTAGGAGAGGAGCTTATGTCATTCTTCTCCATATTTAAAACCAAGCTGTAGGTAACATTTTTCAAGTCAAAGTATGAACTTTCAATGTCGCCTCTTGTTGCTAATACAAATGGTCTCACAACTGCACTAACAGCTCTGACACCATCTGGAGACGGATAACATTTTCTATGATGGTCAACTTGCACATTCAGTGTAGTTGATTCGATTATTGTGGATTGAATTGAAAAGAGCTCGTCATCAGTACCAGTCACATCCTCTTTAGACGATGATTCAGAGCCTGACCCACTCCCATTTGACTTAGCAGATCCATGAGATCCACTTGATCTTGGCCTCCGTATACCCAACTTCTTATTCTTTTTTCTAACACTAGCCTTTATACTGGTCAACAGCATTCTTCTTGTTGACGCGTCATCTAAAATGGACGCATCTTCGTTTCTATCTTCAGGTGACCAAAATGAAAAATCTTCCTGATTCCAACGATCCCCCCACTTGTGACAATTGACACTATTGTAGCACCAGTAAGTATGAGACATTCCCAGTCCTTCCAATGCATAAGTAAGTGCATCCAATGCTGCGGTTTGAGAAGTGTACCTTCCTGTTTCATAGGCAATTTTATTATCCATATCAAATGGCATACCTGTTTCTGACATGAGGACTGGGATGTCCCCCAAAAGCGATCTGCACTCTTGACGAATATCCAAAAACTGCTTTCTGATGCAATTTCTAATAGCTCTTTCCCCAAAAACTATTCCCAACACTGGATTTAGGTATTTACCTCTCATAATTCCTAAAGTGTCGACGTTATATTTGGAATTCCAAGTCTTATACATAAGGGAGATACCATCATAATAGTGTGGACAATAGATTGTCTTCAGGTCCACAATACCTCTTGTATCATTTTTCAAGTCTGGAGGAATCTCCAATACAGGTGGCTGCATCAATACGAATGCCAGGGGCACATATTTTCTTATGACATTTTTGTGAGCAACATAAAATTTGATGAAATGGTTATTCATGAAAAAATGATGATCAACGATCGTTGTGTCACCTATTGGGGCATTTGGCAAAGGCTTATGGAAGTATTTTGGTTGTAAGAGTCGACAGTTCCTATTTACAATGGAAAGTCTTAAATGCTGACTCTTACCTTCAAGTTTATCAAATTTTATTCTATCATAAGACCATATCTTGTTCTGAGCAAATATACATTCTCCTATAATCCACAGAGGGTCTCTTTCCCATCCATAATGCTTGTCGATTACGGCGGCTTCTTCTGTAGACATCCACGCTCTGGCTCCTTTGGGGTCAACACACTTCACCGCATGCTTTTGTGGACCTGTGACTGTAATTCTATAGACGTCAACATCACAAGGTAATCCCATTCCCAATTTGAAAGTTTGGAATACTGTGGGGGTTGTTCCAACTCTGAGTTGTTGGCACTCAGGGATTTCTCCTAGCGAAGGATGTCCTACAAGACCACAGTTTGGTTCATTCATCAGCTCAAACCCTAATAGAGTTCCATCTTCAATCATCTTCGGCAATTCCTTAGTCACTCTGGACCACACATGTTCAGTAGCTGCAAGGAAATGGCTCTGAAGGTAATCTCTGATGTTCTGACCATTGATTCTACATTGGGGAAAATAATCGTCTCCAGCAAAGAAAAAGGTAAACATGACCAAAGATGCTAGCCTCTTATAGTTAGATGTCCAAAGCATCTTTTGGTAGCCTTCTGGGCTCTCAGGGTTTCGATATTTTTCGTCATTATGAAGTAGAGCTGCCTCAGTCGCAGCAAATCGTCTAGGTTGCAATCCAGCAGCATAAAAGGTCCAAATTGGAGCCCCACTTCCTCCAGAGAACCGGGACCACACATCTTGGTGAAACTCAAGAAAAACGTACAAACCTCCAACTTTGTGTAGAATCCGGAGCATTTTAACGGTATAGTCCAAAAAGTCCTCGTCGTACTTGCCCGGTCCCTCGTGCTCTAGAGCTTCCCACGTAAGCAAGTACCTTATGGTGTTGTAGCCCCAGCTCTTAATTCTCTGGAAATGCAGTTCGGCTTCCTCTAATGGGAAGGGTCTGCCAACAAACGAAACTTCATCAGCACTGGTGAAGAAAAAATTGTCAGGGTCCAGTGAATTTCCCTTATGCGATGGTAAGTCTTGTGGCTGGGTGGGAAACTTCATTGCTGAGTCTACGTTAATCCCCTTCAAAACCACTTTTCTTCCGGTCTTGGGGTCCAAAAAGCTGCCCCGACCATCTGTTTCCAAGGGGGTACATTCTAGTACAGAAGTGGAAAGGTTTGTCCTTTCTTTAGTCGAGGGTATAATGCCGTCTGCGTTTGCTAGATCATCTCTCAAATTTCTCAATCCTGCAGTAGACACCACAGGCTGGATGCCGTACTGACTAATTTTGTCTTGTATCGAGTCCTTTAAATATGATAGTGTCATGCTGGTGTATGTATGAATAATGGACCGAAGAACGAAGTAAAACAATCCAACAGAAGGTGTTTTACTTATTCCTAACCCCTCCTAGCTTCTCCAGTTTTCAACTCTAATTTTTTTTTTTTAGTTTTCTGATTGTTCCAATTTGTGGAGTATTTCGAGCAACTGGAGCACATGAGCACTGGGAGTTCCATTAGAGCATGAAATTCACTCTCCAGTGGTGGCCCACGGAAAGCATGGGATGATGCCGGAACATTGCAGTATTCTTATTTTAGGTTGAAAAGGTGAAGTAACCGATAAAAGAGGCACAGATGGAATAGGGGAATGACAGGGCATGAAGCTTACATTTTCCATTTTTTTTTATGTAGTAATTCTATAGTATGTATTATATGCGTGGTTGTCTATGGTAGCGGCGTTCTTTTAGGCTTGTGAAACTCCTATTAAATTGAAGGGTATCCCTTTCTCAGCATGGAAATGTAGAGTGTATGGTCTAGCATCTGTCCTTCGGCAAATTTGCTTAATTTCGATGGCAATAATATATACCTTTCAGTGCTCGTATAAAAGCTCTAATATTGTGTCCTCTGGTAATCTCGCTTAATTTCGATGCCAGTGCTACACCTTCAACTACTCGTAGATGCACATACGGCGCAATTTTCACTCTCTATTTGCTTCTTAAACTATTCAATGCTTCTGATTTAACCGCAGTCTTGCTCCTCAATCTCCACGCGTCCTGGTTCTTATTGAACTTGTCGAACAACGGAACAATCTTCTCGTTCTTCCTCCTCTGCTTGATATCCTTCAAGTCGGACTGCTTGAAGAAGGCAGGTGCTAATTCAACCAACCATTTTGCATCGATGACTGTTACACAGTGCATATATTCCTTGCTGGTGAGAAGCAACGTATGGTAAATCACATAGTCGGGCTGCTTTCCAAATAAGGAACTTGATGGATGGAGGTAAACAGGAGTTTGCTCAACAAGTGACTTGTAACCTCCATCTTCTCCTCTATCTCTCTTGGCTGTAGACTTGAAGAACCCTGAGCACAATGCTCTCCTAACTTTATCTAAGTCCATGCCACAAGAAATTATTGGATATCTATACTTTTGTAAAATCGTCAATAATTGCTTTCTAACTTCCTTGGCTTTGGACATACTTCTCTCTTGGATGAAGTTATCTTTACACCATTGTCGTGAAAATCCACTTAGCTGCCATGCCTTATACACGTTTAACAATGTAAGATGGTCTCCCTGAGAATGATTAAAACGGGACTTCTTCTGGTCTGCTAGTTGTTGTTGTCTTTTATCCCTCGGCCTATAGAATATAGTTTGCACCGAGAGCATAGCAACAATTGACAGGATTTCATCTGAGCACCCAAATTGTTGCTCGGCTGACCTTATAAGAGTTTTTGCAAGAGCTGGATTCATAGGAAAATCTGCCATTTTCCTTCCTAAATCGGTCAATAACCCTTGGTCATCTAACGCTTCAAGTGTGTATAGATCTTGTAGTGCAGTTATCATGGTGTTAATCGGAGGTGGATCCATGAATTCGAAGTTTATTAAATCATTTATCCCCATTGCCTTTAGCATAAGGATGGTTGAAGACAAGTTTTGTCTTTGAATTTCAGGAATTGTATTGGGAAGCATTTCCTGCTTGAATGCCAATTCTGTGTACAATCTATAGCATTTTCCAGGTCCCGTTCTACCTGCTCTACCACTTCTTTGGTTTGCTTGGGCTTGTGAAATGGGCGACACTATCAAGGAATCCATACCCAATTTCAGATCGTAAGCATTCACCTTCACAAACCCAGGATCAATAACAAAATAAATTCCATCTATTGTAATAGATGTCTCTGCAATATTAGTAGCAAAAATACATTTTCTGGACCCTGGTGGAGTTGGTTCAAAGATTTTACTTTGGATTTCAGAAGGAAGTGCTGAATAAACAGGTAATATTATCAAATTTGGAATTGAAGGACCCAAACTCTGTATTCGGTTGAACAAAACCTCACAACTAGTATCAATTTCTTCTTGACCTGTCAAGAAAACTAAGATATCTCCTCCGTCTGTCGGCTCTGATATATGTATTTGAATTACAGAGTCAAGCGTAGCTGTCATATAATCCAACTCTGGCTCTCTGGTATACATAATTTCCACTGGAAAGGTTCTTCCTGGAATTTTCATAATGGGGCAATCATTGAAATATTTGGAAAACTTGTCTGAATCTAAAGTTGCGGAGGTAACCAATATTTTAAGATCAGGGTTAGATTTAGCTGCATTCTTCAAGAGCGCAAATAAGACATCTGTCGCTATTGTTCTCTCGTGAGCTTCATCAAGCATAATAACTGAATATTTACTCATTGATGGGTCTGTTAATGCTTCTCTCTGTAACATCCCATCTGTCATGTATTTGATAACAGTTTCAGGACTTGTTACATCTTCAAATCTAATAAAATAACCAACTTCCTGCCCAACTTTACATCCTACTTCTTCGGCCACTCTTGTAGCAACAGAAACTGCAGCAACCCTTCTTGGTTGTGTACACCCAATAAGTTTTCCTCCTTTGTTTAATCCCTCTTCAGCTAAGTATTGTACAATCTGTGTTGTCTTACCAGAACCAGTCTCACCTACAATCACTAGGAATTGATTGTCCCTCACTGCTTTTACAATTTCTGACCTCATAGCAAAGACTGGTAATGATTCCCTTTGATCCTTTATTGAAAGATTTGTTCTCTTTCCATACGTGGCCCTTGCTTGGGATTTTGTCCATGAGGGTGTATTTATTTCAGCCTCAACACCAGTTTTATTCTTAGCCATAGGGTCAAGTTCTAGCAGTTTCTTTTGTCTTTCTTTCTTTTCCATTTCCTTCTGTTCCAATATTTTCTTTTCTCTAAATTCTTTAACAAAGTTAGAGCCTTCTTTGGCAGCCCTTCCTAAGGAGCCTTCTGGGTTTTTTATGATCTTGACTGGAGCTAATTGGACTGAAGACTTAGTCTGGCCCTTAAGAAAGGGTGGTTCGTCATCATTTAGTTCTATTTCGATTTCTTCTTCGGTATCACCCTTGCCATCAATTCCATTGGTCTTGTCATTTTTATTTTTGTTATTCGCTTGGAAAGCTGCATTTGGGTCTTCATTTACAAGATCTGGATACTCGCTAGCAGAAATAGCGCCACTGGCGATAAGTTGACGAATCTCCCATCTTTCTGGCGACGTTAAACGCTTTTTGGCAACAGGATATCGCAGGTGGTCATTCTGCATCTCCTGTTCGTTTTCTCTTTTACGCCCCCTAGGTTCCTCAAAGTTCTCTTCTCCTGTGACTTGATCTATGCCTCTCATAGTCAAGCTAATCTTATCTCTTGATTGGCCCCTGTTCTGAACACTTTCTATCTTCTCCACCTTGACAAACACTTCCTGGTTCAACTTAACAATGTCATTGGGATGTTGAATTCTTGTTCTGCCGTCATAGGAAAGTTTAGATATGTGGCAAAGACCAGATTTATTTTTGGTATTGGGTAGCTTTATGAATGCTCCATATGGAGCGACATTAGATACTATGCCTCTATATACACTTCCCACAACTACCTCTTCTTCTTTAATTTTCGACAGATACTTGGTTTCATGCTTTGCAAAAGTATCCGGTGATTCGGCATTATCGTACTCGCTCTCAAGCTTTACCTTTGAGTTCGGTATGCTCAACCCATTGAAAGCGGTTTCTTTTTTTACTTGAGGGTGGACTGCCTGTTGCACCTTGGGCACCTCAGGTTTTGTTTTAGCTTGGTAGCTACTTATTACTTCAAATGAGTCGTTTATTAACTCCTTGGGAAAGTCTTCTCCTCCCTCTTCTTTAACAATGTTCTCGAAACTTTCATGCCTTCTCTTGAAATCGGTAGACTGATGATCTGATTTGAGATACAAATTTACAAGAAACTTGGAAAGAGTTCCATCTTCGTCTGCGAGCCCTAAGTGCTTCGAGATAGACAGTGATAGCGATGAGAGTATCCTAGGATCGCTAAGTAGGTCCATGGCCAATGAAAGTTCGGTATACAGAATAAGGGAGAATGCAACTACTTTAAATTTTGAACTGTTTTGCTTTTATGGTGATGAGGTTTATCTGTGCGGCTTGCACCATTTCGAAATGCCCCAGTTCAAAATGGTCACCTACCAGTAGTAAAAAATAACCATCAAGTAGTAACAAAATGTGGTATATTCTATGTTGGCTCGGTCGAGAGAATGTTGATGCGTCCGTGAAGCTCAAAATTTAGTTTGCTCTCAAAATGGCTCGCTACAATTGCAAGTGTACATGCTTTATTCAATTTTTTTAATCTTTTATTAGAGTACAGCTAAGATTGAACCAGACTATTTATTCTGATATATATTCTAATAATCTTTCCTCTGCAACAGATTCCAAACACCAGCTCGATCTGTGCTTACTTTCTGATTTTTACTCTTTGATATTTCTACTACTTTTTATCTGCTTAGCAGTGACCCTGGGAGAAGCTACAAATCCGCTCCACACGCCTACTTGGTTATATCTCTTACACCATCTTTATCTACAACCTTGATGTAACACCCCTTAAAGTCAATTGGCATTCTTCTTTCCAATTCTTCCAAACAGTCGTCCAACAATTTCAATCCCTCGTCAATATTCATGTCTGTCCTATAGTGTCTATCCAATAAAGAGGAACAGTAGAATGCAGCGTATCCGTGGGCACCGTATGGTAATTCGGTCTGAGTGCCCAAGTAATCGATCCAATTTAATGTTGGTGTGTTCGTCTTAACATCATATCCTGCAAGTAAGACGTTCACTTGGTATGGTTTCCTGGATCTAAGCAGAGTGGCCAATTGGTTTCTTACAAAGGAGGCAACTGCTGATGGGGATAATTCCAAGTCATTTTCTCTCATTGTGTGTAATTGGATGTTGGCCTGGATATATTCAGTGAAATGCACCGTATCACCGGATTCTCCGGTAAACGCAACCAAATTATGTGTATTAAGGATTCTAGTCTTGTCGTCAGTATCTTTCAAGATGGAGATCCCTCTGGTGGCTGCTTTGGATGCAGCAATTATAGTTCCCTCTTGAACTCTGATACCTAAAATGATGTCCATGTTTAGAATGTGTGTCTACAAATGTGTGAAATGTGTACTAAAATGTATTTAATCTGCTTTTGTTCGCTGCAATCCCGTTACTGTTGGACCTTGCCGTTGTTCACTTTCTGGCGTTGGTGTTTCAATTTTGTCGCAGTGTTTTGCCTTCCTGCGCTAGCGACTGGAAAAGGTAGTGTGGGGGAAAATACTTGGATAATGGTAGAGCTCGACCTGGAGAGCAGGGAACGGAAGGGTAAGAATCAATGTGCGTAGAATATGGTTTGGAAGGGATTTTTCGACCAGAATTAGCTAATATCTACTGTTTATACCTGCTACATGCAAAGTCAAGTAAAAAAGGCTCATAAAACTCATAATAATTATTGTTAGTGTAGTACTGTCTATTTAATGGCTACCCACCGAACAGTCGAAATGGCTGCGAAAAATTAAATATTGAAATATTCATGGCGCCCTTTAGTGAACGGAGATCGTGCTTGCTTGTTCGGGTCACATTGAAGTCAGCCGTTACTTCAATTTATAGCTCTCCAACTTCTTGTCTATAATTTTCTCAATTAACTTCACCAAGGCACTTCCCTCAGTGGCAATTTGTGACTCGAGACTTATTTCGATTTGCTTTTCGATCAATTTTCCAGTTAAGTCTACTTCGATATTTACGCTGTCTCCGAGCGCCTTCTTCGCTAAAATTACCTTACCCTGAGAATAGCTAATCAACATAATCAGAAATTCGTTGGTAGAGTAATTTACGTCCGTTACAGTTAAAGAAGTACCATCGATAGAGATAAACCCTTTCTCTACAATATAAGTAATATACTGGGTGTCTCTCAACTGGAAAGTGAAAGTAATTGCATTTCCATCGGGGACCTTTTTGGTGATGTTCGCAATGGTATCAACATGCCCTTGAACTACATGGCCACCCAATCTAACGTCACTGGTTACGGCTCTTTCGAGATTAACTGGAGATCCGTTCTTCAAGTCTCCGAGGTTAGTTCTACGCAATGTTTCTGGAGCAACACCAACTTTAAAATGTGTCTTTTCCAGATCGAATTCCGTCACTGTCAAGCAAACACCATTTACTGAAATGGAATCACCTAAATGGACATCCACCAAAATTGGTGCGCAATCGGCGATAGTGATTGAGACTCCTCCACCACCAGATTCAGAGGAGTCTAACGGTGAATAGTCGCTCACAGTACCTATGTGTTCAATCAACCCGGTAAACATTGTAAAGCTGCGATTATTTGATCTTGGTCAAGTGAAGAAGTACTTAATGGGTTTGACTGAATCGACCACCTTTTATTTCATGAGTAATCGATATTGACAAGGCGCTTATATGTAGGAATATTCAAATTTTAGTAATAAATTATTAAGCTCATCCGAGATGGGAGTACACGAATGGGAATAAAATCAGTAATAGTAATTAATAAAATGCGCTTCTCTATTGTGGATTCATGCCCTGGACATATCGAAGTCCAGACGTAATATGGAACGTAAAAGTACCATGAATTCATCGCTGCAAACACTAATTCGTCTACTATCATAGTCAGTAGAACCGCTGCGATCTGGTCCCTCGCTGGAACCGTTCTCCTACCTACCGAGGTGCGTAAATCTCCGCATGAAATTTTATGATACACTTATACTTGAAGAAAAAAAACCATCCAATCTACTTTACAACACCTACCTTCAGAAGTAGAGATCTCATAGTCAAAATGGTATTCAGATTCCCAGTAAAGATTGCCCTTCCTAAGCATGCATACCTAAACGGAAGAGTTATCAAAGATCACTTTAAAAGAACTCAAGTAGCAGAGCATGAAGTGACTCGTAATGCTTTGAAATATATCGCTAGAAACACTGAATTACCTGCCAGAGCCAGAGTGGAAGCACAGTTGCAATTGACTTCTATGCCAAACTACACTCGCCCAACGCAGATTGTGGACAGATGCATTGCATCTGGAAATGCCAGATCTGTTGTGAGCGACTTTAAGCTCAACAGAACCGCTTTTAGAAACAGAGCTAGATTGGGCCAAATCCCAGGTGTAAAGAAGGCCTCTTGGTAAGCAAATAGAAATAGAGAGAGGAAGATAAAACGAAAGAGAGGAACTTTGAGGGAGCTCGAATTATGAAAAAATGTCAGTAATTTGCAATAAGCTGAGAGTTTTGAAGAAAGACCTGAACGATAGTTGAGCCAATTACATGTACATATATATGTATTTATGTTGTGGTGGGGAGGATATATCGAAGTTCGTTGACTCTTTCAATTCGAGAATTCGTGTAAATAGAAAATGTATGATAGAAATGAACGATAATTAAAGAAATTTAAGAAACAAAAGTGTAAATCAATAGTGAGTGAGTAGATGTGCCCTTTCCTGTCGCTTTTTAAGGGTTATTAGAAGCAAAGGAAGCGTGTCCGCCTTTCCAACTGTTGCACAAGGTCCTACTGTGGTGGTTGATCCTGGTGAATGAATTTTTCACTTGGGGAGCTTTTGTGTAACCTTCTCGAGTATCAAAAGCAGAACGATGGAGAAAAAAATGAAGAGCAAAGAGCTGTGACCCAGTAGATTTGGATCTTCCCCTAGTAATACTAAAACAAAGGCATAATATAGATCTTAAGATGCTTTCATTGACAGGCCACCTCTTATCAAAACCCTGTATATTTAGAACTTCCGTTCGTGGGTTGAAGTTGATGCCCGATTTTTCAAAATACAAGAAAATTCCTCAACCTCCAGGACACATTGTGGGGACAGTTAACGACGCATACAAAATACCCTTGGTGAGTTTTTATGAGGGGGGGTTTCACTGGGCTTATGAAAGAATGTTAACTGTTGCATTGATACCCTTAGCAACCTTTCCTTTCATAGGTGGAGTGGAGTATCCAATGCTTGATTCCATCTTTACTGTAGGGCTTTTATTTCACGCACATGCAGGATTCCAATCGTGTATAATAGATTACATCCCATTAAGAGTGTTTGGCGTTTGGCATAGGATAGCCAAGAGGTTGTTGGCATTTGGAACCAGTGTTTCCATGTATGGTATTTATATCTTAGAGACAGAAAACGGGGGATTATGGGACTTAATTCGTAGCATATGGACTGTTTAAGCGGTGGTTCCTGAGTACTGTCACTCTGCAATGCGAGTAGTAAGAAGCAGAGGAACAGAAAACGATGATTATAGACTGCTTACCGTACGCCAAAAGCCTCTTAACTCTACTGAGGTTAGCCGTCATCGAGGATCAGTATCCTCCCCGTGTATATAATTTAATAAATATTATAACTAATAGTACAGATTCTAGTCTTCCTATTCGCCTACACAGACCAGCACAACCTTCCTTTATGGCACGCAGCTGTGGAACCGCTAGCGGTGATATGTTACACAAAACTCCCCTCTATGCGAGGCACATTTCTCAAGTGAATCTAAAAAAAAAAATTAAGCTGCCAACAGGTCAACTGCGGTCAGTTCTCTTCTCCACAGCTCTAACCCGATAAAAACAGTTTCCATACCAGCAATTGCAACATAATGAGCGAAGAGGATCTCAATTACGACAGAATGGAAGATCATGAAAGAGATGAAGAACCAAGAAGGGATCGTGATCGGTCTCCTGCATATGAGCCAGAGCATAGTGATAATGGAGCCAAAAGTGCTGGTAGCACTGGAGGTAAGAAATCCAACCCAGTTGACCACCAGGGGTTGAAAAGCCAGGACGATATTGAACCGCAGGAGGAGGTCACATATGAAGTAGTTGAGGAACCTGCTTTCAACAGGACACGTGCTTTGTTTATTGGGAACTTAAGAAGACCCATCAACGCACACGAATTTCAGTTGTTCTTGAAGGATTTGATCAAGCAGGCGGATGGTGAATATTATGTGGAAAGAGCGTGGTTGAACAGAACAAGAACCCATGGAATTGTTTTAGTTGATAAGGAAGAGGGGTCCGAGTTCCTTCGTTCCCGTTTGAACGCATCTATCTACCCTTCAGAGGAAGATGATTTAAAGCTTAAAGAAGAATATGAACGAGTGGAGCAAGAGAGATATACTGAGGAATTGGAACGTTATGAAAGGAAAAGGAAGGAAGTTGAGGCTGAACTTGAAAATAAGGCAGCTACAGAAGCTCCGAAAGAGACGGATACGGACGACACTGCCCTTGAAACAAGTGCTGAAGTGGAAGGTGATATGGAAATTGAACATGAGGCTGAGCCCAAAGAAGAACCCAAGGTTGAACTTGCGGCTCCAAGACCACCACAACCTTTCCAACCGCTCCGTCAACCCTTATATGTTGATTATATCCCTGTGAAGGCAATCAATCAGTGGATTTTTGAAGAAGACCGTGGCCCTAGGAACGGGAAGTGGAAAATTATATATGAACAAAATGGTGAAGGCGGAATTTTGGCAACTCACATATTGCTAAACGGAGACTTTGTTCCAAGATATAACGCAAACAGACGTGGAGGAAGAGGTGGACCTAGGGGAGGTCAAAGAGGTAGAGGCAGTGGTGGAAGATATCCTGGAAGATACTCCGGCTCTGTCCCAAGAAGAGGCGGCGGTGGATACTACGACGCGCCCCCACAATACGATTCGTACCGCGGAGGTGATTCCTATCGCGGAAGTGAATCTTATCGTGGCGGTGATTCGTATCGCGGAGGTGATTCTTATCGTGGCGGTGATTCGTATCGCGGAGGTGATTCTTATCGTGGCGGTGATTCATACCGTGGCGGTGATTCATACCGTAGAGGGAGCAGAGACAGAAATTCGTATGGAGATCGTTACCCTTCATCCTACAATTCTTACAGAGGTGACGAGTACGGTGCCCCTCCACCAGCTCCAAGAGGTATTAACAGCAGCGGTGGAGGAGGAGGAGGTAGGAGCAAGTACAGACATGATAGAAACGATAGAGACTCCTATGTACCTGGCCAGAGGTCTTCATCTGGGCCGCTGCATGGTGGTGACAGTTATGTCCCAGGTAGCAGGGACGAACACCAATACAGAGACAGATCTAGATCACCTTCGAGGCAAAGATCTCCAGATTTCTAAGGTGTGTAAATTAAAAGACTATATTAAAAGTGCAGGAAAACAGAAAAGAGTAAAAAGTAAATAAAAAAGACGGTAGTATCCCAGCAAATATTATGTATTATATTGTAGTGAATGTAAAACTTCGTAAAATGCAGTTCATGTAGGTAATGAGTAAGTTTCAAACTTATTTTAGGAGAGACCAAGCGGCATCCTGTCCGCATGCTCCTTTTTTTCTTCAGGCTCTTCTGCCATCCATATTCTGTGTATGTGGGGTTAATTAGGCAAACAACAGGACCAAGGACCACTCAAGGACCAGCGAATGAATTGATAGAAATGGCAGGACGGTCAGCTAACCTGGGGTGCAAACCTCGCTCCGATCCGACTCCTCGAGGATGTTTTCTGTACTTATATCCATATTATCTCCATCGTCGAGCGCCGAGCTTGAAATGTCCATCTTATCGTCATCCAGTGTATTAGTTCGTGGTCTCTTGGTTGCCTCTTCATCTTCTTCAGTTCGCCTACGCCTCACCGGTGACCGAACGGAGAGCGGTGATGAGATACTGGTTAGTTTGGGAGATGATAGTTCGGGCGCAGAAGGAGATTCTTCCATCGCTGTCGGAGCAGACAGTTCATCGGCAGAAGCAGTGCCCTCTTCCGTAGTGGAGAGCGTTGGCAGGTTTTGTCCATTTTTGAGCCATGGGATTTCAACCATATTGACATGTATGTTGGCAGGAAGGGAAGGAAGCGGTTTATCGGAGGGCACATCAGTGTCCAGTTTTAGCATTTTGATGATCTTTGGCTCGGTTTGCTGCGGCTGCTTGGCAAGAAACGTCGTAGGAGGAAATTCATCTATGTTCGAAGAAACACATACTAGCCTACTCAACGCGTTGAAAAATTTAAGGATATGCTGGATGGACGTTAATGGGTAGCCAGTGGCTTCGGGGTCTTCAAGAAGCTCCGCCAATCTTACTAGCGTGAACGGCGGAGAGCTCGTGAAAGACCTGTCAAGTTTCCGAGTAATACTGTCTCGCTTTTGCTGTATTAATTCAAAGAGAATCGGGTCTTGCTTTTTTGAATGAGGATCAGTTATTGCGCACTGCTTGATTCGCGTGATTATTTGCGGTAATAGTATCGCCCAGTCTTCATTTAGTTGGTGCGTCTTCGTGATGGCGTTAAGAGATATGGCAAGTTGAGCGTCCATGATGATACATCTGACTACTCGTGTGACTATATATTCGGGCTTCTTCTCGAGCCATGTTTATCTGTGTTTCCTGGTTGGTATTTTGGTTGCGCGATGTTTACCCCAAAAAGAAACGCAGCTCGCGTTGGGGTGTGTATGCAGGTTAGGAAGTGGTGATGGTGGGAGGCTGTTGGAGAGAGAGCTGGAAGGAAAGAAAGATGGAGTCTTCAAGGTGGTCTAGCGAAATTTAGCCGATTTTTGTGTTGCATCGTGGAAGACTTCCCTCGGGATCTGAGCTATGTGGTTTTTGTATTCTTCCCAGCTTTTACACCCTGTCTTCCTACTCGTACTCCTGCTAATGATCAGTGCTGAAATCCTGCATGTACCACACGTAGATCCAAAATACATGCCTACACTATACCACGTAAAAGTCACATTTGCACCAGCGATATCGCTGTTAACTCTACTCCGTGGCCTCAGACCTCCCGCTACATTCTCCATATTGCCAAAACTGCACCATATCAGCACCGTATTCTGTCTTTAGCTTTCCCTTCTACCCAACACCATCTTCACGCCCTTTCCCTGCCGATCTGCAGCATTCTCAATTTTACGCTGCGCGCGTAATTCCACGACCTTACCTAAAATTTTTCAAATTGACCAGGCCAGTGAAAACCACCAGCTTGAAAAACACCTAACCTAACCTCCAACAGTCCAATTCAGCTGATTTACCTACAGATATCATGTCCATGTTGCCAATAACTAGACGTGCTGTTTTCAACTCTGGTGTGAGAATAACATCTGCAAGATCCATACAGTCTTTCCGCTTGGGAGCCATAAGATGGAACTCATCATCATCCAACGCTAAGGAGCCTGCACAAACGACGTCAGGTCCAGCTACAACACCTAAAACATCCACCACATCACCCGCAGCCGAGCAGAAATCTGCCTCGTACAACCTCTTCACGCAAATTTATCCTATCGACAAAGACCAAGTCACAGAGTCCGACGTTGATGAATGGTTGCTGGCTGTGAAAAAGCTTAAGGCTTCTAACAATCAAAATGCCAGTACCCCAGAAGAAGTATACCTTCAAGAACTTACTCAACAAGCACCCCAAACTCTCTTAAATGATGAATTTGAACCCACCGAACAACAACAGGCCGAAGCTGACGCCGTCAGGGGTACAGCTATGCCTTTATTCCAGCACCCAGCTATCGATAACTTTGTAGGGCTTTTGATGAAGGACGGTAAGAGATCGAAATATCAAAAAATCTTAAACAGAGCACTTTACTTGGTCTACTTGAAGAAGAGACAAGACCCAATCGAGATCCTTGTAGAGACTTTGGACAAGTTGGGTCCACTTATGGCCACTAGAACTGAAAAGACCGGGTTTGCCAAAAACAGAATTGTTCCATATCCATTAAATCAAAGACAAAGAAACAGATTTGCCATTAAATGGATTATGGAAGGTGCTTCCAAAAAGAAATCTTCTGATTACTCGGTCAGATTGGCTGAAGAAATAATGGCTACCCACGAAGGTAAATCTGCTGGGTACGACAAGAAAGCTCAAATGCACAGGACTGCCATACTTCAAAGATCCTACGTGAGTCTTTAGAGTCTTAGGATACCATCAATATTGTAAATAGTGAAATGCATACGTTAATTAACAAAGGTGCAAGTGTAAGTGAACGGTGAAAGGGCATGGTGTGTGAGTCCTGTATATAGTACCCCACCGCCACCACTATGGGACAGATCTGTTGATACAGTAGGAGCCAGGCCCTTAACAGGTGTGGGTTGTATATCTAGTTGTGAGGAGCAAAGAGCCTGTGACTGGTCCCATCCAAGATTCTTCCCCTCGTTGTAGCGTACCGTAGTTGGTATCCAGTCTAATCTCAAGCTGAAGTAGTACTGTGAGTGAGCCGCATGCAAGTAGAAATTATGCAACCATTTTGTTGTACTATAGGAACATATTCTCTTTACTTATACTCTTATCATACTGTATATTTACTTGAAATGTGGTTTTCTATCCATCTTTGGGCGGTGTATTTCTCATGTATAGGACTAAGGTATTATAATTTGAATTGTTTTTTGTGAACAATGTTCTTTTTCACCCACATTTGTAATTTTGAGACACAAGTACACTTAACTCTTCACTAAGAGCATCTGTAGATAAGGAAGTAAACATATTCTGCTATTAGCTAACTACAAAGACCCTTGCTTTTTGCATAAAATCGATGTACTGGTCTATCATTGAAGGGTTTCGAGATCTTCGGTATCATATCAATTATGCCAAAATAGACTATATTCAACGTTATTACAGTACCAGCCACAACCCGAGAGTAATACAAGCCAGGATTGGTAACGAGCAGCTATTGTCGCTTAGAACTTACCCTCAGGATGAATATTTGGTCAAGCCGGGTCAATTTTTGGTTCTTGAGAAGAGGTGTAAAATGGAAGATCTAAGGAATGAACTAATGAAATTTCAAAGTGCTGGACCAGAGAGTAGCTCAAAATTGCCGCCTTTCAACAACGACGACTTTTTGAACTTTTCGAGATTAAGTTCATTCCAGGAAGGCGAAGAAGAACAAGAGGACCAAGAAAATCAAGAGGAAGAACTAATATCTATACAAGAGAAAGAAACAGATAATATTGAAATTGGAAACATAATAGATAGTGATCAAGAGGTTCGAGTTGAAGTCCATCTGAGCGCTGAGGACAAAGAAGAGCTACCCAAAAAAAGTTTGAAGCAGAGATTGAAAAGTTTTAAAACTTGCTATCTGGGTATGCACCTGCTGCTGCTCTTACAGCTGGGCCAAATGTTAATTCCATCACCGATCCTTGAAACATTAAGTGGTGCTCAACTAGTTGCAAAGGAAAAAGAACAAGAAGATGCAGGGAAGATCGAGGAAGATGCGAGAGAAGATCAATGCAAAAATCGTCGAGAGAGTGAAATTCCCCCAAGTTCCGTATGTTCGAAGCAAAGTAATGGCAGTGAAGTTTGGAAGAATGTTCTCAATGACATATCATTGAGTGCAGCTAGAGTGTCAATTGGCTATCCGCCCAAGCTGAAACAACATTTCAAAAATTTGAGTAGCGATTTTATTGATGCAGAGATGATATACTTACAAGAAAATGACAAAAATATTCTTTATAGTCCTAACAGGGCAGTCAGTGAAGGCTATACTGACATGTTAAGGAATAAGAATACAAAAGAGAGAGAGATTGAATCAGTAGGAAATTATTATGACGATTTACTAAGTGTATACGAACTAACTAGAAAAGATTGATATACTGCGTTATTTATCTACCCACATTAAATAGTCCTATTCTGCTACCCATTCTCAGCGTTTAGCCGCCTCATCTAATACCTTTTCTTTATTGCTTAAGAATACACCCACTACAGCTCGAATCAATCACGCCGCCATAGCAATACCTTAATCTTGACATTGACCTTTAAACCGTGCTCTACTCACTGTCTCTGTTTCTCTTCTCAACCTTTGTGCAGCAATTGCTGCATTGGGAACTTTCGAGCCTCACAGAACCGGCGAGTGCATATCTCGTACAATATTTTCCCTCATCCTTCTGTGTCACCTGACCAAATCTAATGATTCTCACTCACCTCCAGCTCGAACTAATTCGCAATAATGTGATTGGCTTGGGTTACCTGCAGGACGCCAAATTTTCAGACACACACAAAAAAAAATTCATACAAGCACCGAAGTGAACAGAAAAGAAACAACACAACCCCATCGTCATTTAGTAAAGATATAAAGTATCATGTTGCGTTCTACTGCTGCTGTCCGTTCAGCTTCCAAAATTGTTGGTCGTCGTACTATTTCCACCGGTGTCACCGGCCAAACTAAGTACACAACTTTGTCAAATGGTGTAACCATCGCTACCGAAACCAACCCATTCGCCAAGACCTCCACTGTTGGTGCTTACATTCAAGGTGGATCCAGATCTGAACACCCATACAACAACGGTGTCTCAGCATTAACCGCCGAATTGTTAGCTTCCTCTAAGGCTGAAGCCGGTGTTTTGGTTTCTGCTGAATCCACTCACGAAACCAATGCTATCTTAGCTCAATCCACCAACGAAGATGTCTTGGAAGCCGCTAAGACCATTTCCGGTATTATTTCCAATGCCACTGCCAACTTGGAAAGCGGTGACTTCTCCAAGGCTAGATCCACCATTTCATCCAAGATTGCTGCCATTGAGGCCAACGAAACTTCCAAGGTCTTATCACACTTGAACGCTACTGCATTCCAAGGTTACTCTTTGGGATTACCAATTAACGGTACCGTCGACTCTATCAATGACATAGAATTACAAGATTCACTTCGTTTCACCGACAAGCACCTTGTTGGCGAAAACACCGTAATTGCTGCCTCTGGTAACTTCGACCACGACAAGTTAGTCGATGCCTTGGAAGCTTCCTTAAAGGTTCCTTCAGGTTTCAAGCCAGCTGTCAAGCCAGCTTCTTTCTTGGGTTCCGAAATCAGAATGAGAGATGACACCTTACCAAAGGCCTGGATCTCCATTGCTGCTCAAGGTGAAGGATTAAACTCTCCAGCCTACTACGTTGCTAAGGTTGCTTCCGCCGTATCAGGTAACTTCTACGACAAGTCTGCCATTGCCAAGTTCCAATCTTCCAAACTCTCTTCAATTGTGCAAGAATACCACATTGTTGACAAGTATACCTCATACTCCACCTCCTACTCTGACACTGGTCTTTTCGGATTCCACGCCGAAATCTCTAACATCTACCAAATTGATGACCTTACACACTTCTTCTTAAAGGAATGGAACAGATTATCTATTTCAGTCACCGATGCTGAAATTGCAAGAGCCAAGAACCAGGTTAAGACCGAGCTCTTGGCTTCCTTAAACTCAAGCAATGCCATTGCTTCTGACATTGGTAACAAGGTTTTGCTTGCTGGTTCTAGACAATCCGTCAAGGAAGCTCTCAGCAAGATCGACGCTATCTCCACCAAGGATGTCAAGGCCTGGGCCCAAGTTGCTCTTTGGGATCAAGATGTTGTTGTTGCTGGTACCGGTCAAATTGAAGATTTGTTTGACTACATGACTATCAGAAACGGTATGGCCATGATGAGATGGTAAGCGGTTAAGTCCAGACATACTGTTTTAATCCCCCTAGAAACTAAACCAAACCACAACCCACTCCTCCCTTTACAACGCATATATAAAGATATAAAGATAACAAAAATAAATAAAAATGGAATGAAGATATATTTCTGAATCACTTACAAGTGGAATGAAACCTTAGTATAGTTTCCTTTAGAATCAGTAGGTTTATATTACGAAAATTAATTAGAAAGATGTAGACACTATATTACGAAAATTAATTAGAAAGATGTAGACACTATGTAAATGAAAGATACTATATGATTCCACTGTTGGCCAAATTTTGCTGGATGATAACATCTGTAACTGCAGCCAACACAAACTTCATTGACTTGGTGTCGGTGGCACAGGTTCTATGCACATAGATCGGCTTCCTTGTCCTGTTTAGACTCAAGAACAAATCAGTGAAGTACTTAGTTGCCTCTTCTACCAGCTTTGGGTCTCCCTTGTACTCTGGGAAGTGATAATGAAGAGGTGATTTCTTCAATTTCTCCTCGAAAAGATCCATCTTGTTCAAGAAAAGAATGAATGGAGTGTTAACAAACCATTTCGAGTTGCATAATGAGTCGAACAAGATAATCGCCTCGTGCATACGGTTGACACGCTCATCTTCGAACAAGAACTGGTCGTACTCTGAAAGTGCTACGACAAAGAATATGGCCGTGACATCTTCGAAGCAATGGATCCATTTTTTCCGTTCAGATCTTTGCCCACCAGCATCTAGAACTTTGAAGTTGAAAGAGTTGATGTTGAAGTCGGTCTCTGTTATACCAGTGGTCTTAATCCTCCCCTTGAGGATATCGAGATCTGATAGAATGTAATCCGGATCTGCGAACTTGGAAGCGTTGTCGAAGTAATATGATGTGTTGGTTTCCAATTGGAACTCATTGGAGATGTCGTACACCTTCTTTATACCGGAATCCTCCGTCCAAAGCTTGGATATGGCTCTGGCCACCTTAAACCTGTCAGGCTCAGCTACCTGGAAAGTGGAAACATTACGGAGCTCATCAGTTAAAGTTTCCACGGAGAAGTCCTGAGATTCCAGGTCAACTACAGATTCATCGAATCCTGACAACTTCCCCGACAGATTCAAAGTCCTCCTTTGCTTGAAGTTCTCGCTGTACTTGACGACATAGTCATTCAAGAAATTGCTCCCACCAGCAGCATTTGTCTCGATTTGATGTAATGGGTCAATCCTCAATATCAACTGCTTGTAGGAGTTCAATGGGTTTCCAGGCTGATCGCAGTCCAATTCGATTCCTCTTTTTCTTGCTTGGATGATCAAGATTTTCATGGATTGAATCAAATCCACCCACACGATCTGGGCGTACTGTATCCTTTCTGGCTGGGTGAACCCCCCTTGGTGGAGTAACCTCAATTGTTTCAAAACAGTAGATTTACCGGACTCACCAGCACCAAGAAGCAAAAGCTTGAGCTTTGCCTTTTCGTTGCGCTTTCTGGCAAGGAGCTGCTGCTCAATGATATCGTTGATCTTACGCTCTTGGAAAAGAGGCGATGTTTCCTCTGTTAAGGTGGATGTGGCACAACCCATTCTGGTGATTGCAAAATCAGTAAGCTAAAACTGGAAAATAGAAGGAGTATAAGAATGCCAATTCTGCACCAAACTTTTGCAAAATTTATTTCCGGAATTCAAATATCTGGAAAAATAGTACCAGTTAAGAACGAAAACCGACCCCATGTCCCTGTGGTACACATTAGGGACCCGCTGTCTTTGGCCCACTAGTAAGCGTTGTATTTTAACACATCTAAGAAAGATGCCTCATCTCAATTAGGCAATTTCGTGAGACACACCTGAAACATCAAAATTATGCAGCACAATCTAAAAAATAAGCCCCATCTAAAAAATAAAATGCAACTCTCTTGAGGTATGGGCCAGAGAGGCTCCTGATACACCCTGGAAGAGGGCAGAAGCAAGTGATGGGTGTGTTCGGCTTTATTAGCAGCAAGCATTTGCGGATTATAGTAAGCTTAAAAGAAGCTTTAATGTGCTTTAGCGGCTCATTGTCCCTTGATCTCAAGGCTTTTTGGGCCTTATCTCTCCGTGTCTTTCTATTTTTACCTCTGTCTTACCACTACATAGTAAACTAAGATATACCTATATGATTAATAATATCGAATGTGTTAAGGCTATAATGTACAGCAAAATCCTATGTAGTATAAACCAATGACAATAGTCCCTAATAATGCGGAATGTTTTAATGATTCGATCAAGTTCCATCTTCTCAAAAAATGACCAACTTGAAGAAAAGCTCTCTTAAGCTTGGTAGAACCCTCGCCTTCTTTCTGCGTAAATGTGTATAATGGCAAAGGAGTCAAGTTAATTTGGTTATCGTCAGAATCCTGTCCCCTGAGAAAGTTTGAAAGCTTAATAGAAGTTCCATGCTCTTCGTCGCCACTGCTTCCTAGACTACCAACTCCACCGCTGCTGGTGCCAGCAGTGTTGCGCTTGGACTTGGACTTCGATGAGGTCGACAATGATGAATAGGAATTATGTGCTGACTTCAGCTTAATATTCCAAGTTATGATAGCGAGTCCAGAAAAAATTGCCAACACAACATACACGTATATGTTTACATACGGCGTTGGTAAGTAGCATATTTCAGTTTCATAGTGAACTTGATTTGATTCCTTTTCTAAGACTAACGTTAAAAGCTGCACAGCGGGGTAGCTGATTCCCATAGCCATACTTATAGATTTCACAGTAATTTCTCTAGTTCTACCTTCTACGTGGGTTACATCACAGTAGTCATGATCATCTCCACTGAAAATCATATCAGGCTCAATCTTCTGTAAAATCTCACTACTGAGTTTTTCATTAATCGCATTTTGATACTGATATCCACTACCCAATTTGAATTCTGCACTTTCTCTCAAAGGACCACACTTTTGTACTTCGGGATCCCTATATAACGGAACATGAGTCAACAAGATTCTTGGACGTTCCTTGGGGAGCTGAGCGACATGGTCTAAAAAGTTGAAGGCTTTCTCGTTAACCTCTTTTTTATCCGATGATAGGGATACAGTATCCATAGCAACAAACTCAACTTCACATATCGTAAACCGTGTATTCATTTGACCAAAAGTTTCCTCAAACCTATCTCTATTTTTCACAATTACATTATCACCGAACCCAATATCATGATTCCCAGGAACATTAGTATGGAAGGTGTAGGTCAGTTCATGCTTTTTGAAAATTTTCTTAAACCTTTTAACTTGACTTTGAAAGTATCCATCTTCAGATTCCCTTCCATTATCCAAAAGATCACCGAGAAAGAATATATGCTCAGGTTCTAAATATTTCATCAAGGCATTATACGATTTCTTGATATACGTATCTACAGTGTGCTGAGAGAGCTTCAACAAGAGAGAATTTCTACCAGGATACGTATGGGCATCAATAAGTTGTGGATCAGCAATAAGCATGATTCTGGCGTCTTCCAAGTCTCTATATTTTTCTGCCTCTTCAACAACAGAACGTTCAATAATTCCTACTTCCACAGGAGGTTCAGCTTGTTCCTCTTCAGCTGGTGAGTTCTGTGGAAGAGACTCTGCCTCCATTTGTTCCTTTTCAGCAGGCTTCTGTTCTACTACAATTGGTTCTACGGGTGGAGGGTCCTGTTGCCCTTCGGCCCTGGCTGGTGGCTCTAACACAACTTTTGGCCAGGAACATGATTTTGCTGCTAGGTATGGCACATACCGTTCATAAAATATGAAAACTACGAGCCAAAGTACCGTAAGGCTTACTAGTAATTGGTTTATACTACGCTGGTAATTGAAACGCATTTTACCGGTGATACTAACTATAATATATACCGCAATTGAAACAGTATAGGGAAAGAAACAACAAGTGTATGCTAGCTATAGTCTTCGGAGGACAGTCCAAGAAATACTTCGATAAACACAAAAGGAACCTCATACTAAGATTATGCAGGAGACGCGCGCGCTTAACTCAGACAAAATTTTTCAATAACGTGAGCGACTTTTTTATACGAGATTAGGTTGATGCAACCATAGGCTAGAGAGGACCAGATCTATACGAGGACAGAAAGATATTTAATGATCTTATGATCCTGTAGTACAATTCTCTAAGTCAATTAAAGTTGTATTGAATTTTTTCTATTCAAAATGGAAGATTGGGAAAAAATTCTAATTACTCTCCTCTGTCTACTTCTTTTGAACTATCTGTATCCTAAATTGTTAGACCATTGGAAGGATGTTCCGGATCTATACTTGCAAGAACAATCTGTTATAGGAACTACTCGTAAAGCCAATGAGTCTGCGATTTATACTTCTAATAAATTGTTCACCGGACTCAGGGGAGGATTGGAAATCAGGTACGATCACTACAAGATTCGTACTGGAAACCTTAGAGATATATGGGAGATTTTTGTAAACCAGGCTAAGAAGGCACCGGAACCAAAATTGATTAGAATTAATGGCGAAACCATTGAAGCAGGTATTTTGAATGCGATGGCTAAAAAATTGGGCTCATCCATTGAAAAGAGCACTAGTGGTGGCGCGTTAGAAAAAGTATATATTCCAAGCCATGACTTGTTTAGCAATGTAGATTCTCTCGTGGTCTTGATCGGATGCTTCATAACTCAGATCCCCGTTCACATTGGTGCTGATAATGCTCAGTCGAACGAAAATGATGATGTATATTACTACGACTCGTCTGCAAGAAAGGTAGGACCCATTGTGATTGAGAATATAAACACTCCAGACTATGTGTTTGAAAACGTATATAACATAAAGTATGACCAGGGAATCCCTTTGAAAATTAGTAACCGTAGTGGGCATATAGCAAGTGAAATATCCTTCACTCAAGCTAACTTTGCAAGTGCCGTGGCATCTCTGTTAAAACATTTGCCTGAGCTGCATTCTATAACCAAGGATGATTCTTTATTCATTTACCATGAGGCAGGATCTGAAGTAAACGACATCGTGAAGATGTTGACTAGTTTTATTTCATTCTGTGACCTAGAAATAAGTACGGAACACTTAGAGACTTCTATTAGCAAAGCATCTATAGTTTCAATTGCAGAATCAAAATTCTTGGCTACAGAACTTGGCCAGAAGAAGACTACAAGCTCCTTTAGGTTAAACAGATCGTTGAACTACTTTTCAAAAGGGATCTTTGCACCTATTATTAAGAGTGAGAATAAGCCAAGGATTATAGTGATCAGCCGTAAGATTGGCCTGAAGATGTTAATTGGCCCAGCTGAGCTCAACCAATACAGATCTTTGTTGGGGTGTAGAATAATAGTAGAGCAGACTTACCCAAACGTTGCAGGTCCATTACTTTTAACGGATTTTTATGACTATAGAGTGATTCCCACTAGGAACATAAATGGGTATGGATGTCTCTCCCAGTCACTTGAGATTAAATTAGTCAATGATGATAAGAATGTAAATTCCAATTACAATGGAACTTATGGACAAGTTTTGGTACGCGGTTACAATATAGGCAAGATGGCGAAATATGCCATTGGCCTACCAAAGAGACCTTCCAATCAAATTGACATAGCAAATGAAGGATTCATGCCGTTGGGAATTAAAGGAAAATGGGGAAGTGATGGATGCTTATACGTTTAGCGGAGCTGTGTTGCTAGTATAGAAGATTTTGCACCCAAAAATCCACATCCTGTATATAAATAGAACTGAGGTAATTTAATAGACAGTAATATGCCTGATATGCCTAAGTATTTTCTCTTTCTAAAGATAAAACTCTACATTATAGGACTGACAGGAATAGTCATGTGCCTTATACGCTGGTTCCTCCTATTGGAGTCCGTGAGCTTTATCCCAGTGACTCGCCGTGTCCAGCTTATCTTATCAACGAAATATTCATCTGTTCACGTGACTACAGGCAATATTACTTAATAGATAAGAGCACTAGTAGTGCATCATGCAACTCATTCACCATCTATTGCCAATCCGCCAGGAGTCACGAGTATATGTGCAATTCTGGCAACGATCATGGTTGACTTACGACATGGAGCGAGACTAGAGTCCCTAAGAGTAGAAAATCATCCGTCAGAGGGTACTATTATTAGAGAATTATGTACAGCTATGAGTGCTGCAGAGCTTATTAGTCAGAAGTTTTTAATTTCCAGCAGTCTTACCGCCCGACTCGAGGAAATACTGTAAGAGTTTTGCCTCTCGCTCCCAAGTAATGCTCCAAGCCAATTTGCCGACTCCACTATACGTGCCCCAAATATTGCCGCCTACCCCAAACGGATTTCCGGTACGCCAAGTGGGCCATCAGAGCTTCTAATGACGAGAACTGCCATAATTAGAATGCGTCATGCACAGAATAAAAGGGCGAAAGCGAAAGCAAGAGCAAAAGCATGATCTGACAAATACTACAAAGTGACTAACTATTAGAAGCAGGTGCTTGCAAATTTTGGTTCACTGTATTTGAGTTATACTAAAGTAACTATGCTGATATTCAAGCCGGTGACGGATTGCTTATGAGTATTCCACTTACTAACCGCCCCGTTGTGAGTGGAACCTAGATCTTTAACGTTTCTTTTTCACCTCTTCTTCCTTCCCTGTGCGTCATACTACATTTTTTTTTTTTTTTTCACCTTTCGCAGTGAGCAAACTAAGCATTTTGTGCCGTAGAACCGCTTGGGTCTGCATATAACCTCTTAGTCATGGACGTAATCCCGATCGAGGAAAGTTGACTCATTATTCGGCTGCGGGTGTACAGGTGACTGACTAACTGTGGATGGGCATTTCCCAAGTTATATATAAAAGCATCCACAGTACAAATTTCAGTACGGAGCAGATTTGGAAAAACAGTGGAGTTCTTAGTTTTGATAAATAAGCAGCAGCTGTTGTCCAATTTTGAAATTCACAACACGTCAAGGATATCGTCTTTACAACAAGTTTTTGTTTTGAAAAATTTCAAGCTACTACAACGTATTTACTTCACTTTTAGATAAGAGGATTTGTATCATTCAGATTTTCTTAGATATACAAAAAAAAGAGGTAGATAAAAAAACATCAACACATTAAACGAGTAACACACTAGCAACACAATTTGTTAGGTTGTTGAGGAGTTTATATTTTTTTTTCACAGTTTTTTATTTCATTTAAAATAATTAATATTATACAGGTAAGTATAGTATTATAGGCGTTCGGTCAAGGATAAAATAGAGGGAACGTCTGGTAACGTCACTCATACACACACACACATATATCATTTTATTTTTTGTTTTTTAATTTTTGCTTTATTCGATTGTTAGTGGTTTAGTAACCTGAGCAAAAATGTACTAGTATTATTCCTCTTTAGTTCATAAAAAGAGGTCCAACAAAAAATCATATTTTTTTCATAAAAGGAAAAGGAAAAAGTAAGACTCCGCACAACTAGCTGCCGGCCAACCAAGTTTTATCTAGTTATTAGGTGTTTCTAACTTTTTGCTTTTTTTTGGTTCCTGTTTTCCATTTGGTATTATACTGTTATAAAAAAGGTGGGTTTATTTATATAGTGGTTTTATAGAAATTAAATTATCACTAATATGTCCCCACAAAATATGTCATTGCGCGTTCCACTCAGTAAGAGCGGAAGCGGCGTGACTTCACCACCATCTTCAACCTTTTCCACCCAAGAACTTTCATCCCACCCAAGTCCGACTACCAACTACTCGTCCCCGCAATCACCCACATCGATCAAACACAACAGTAGTGGTAGCACCACCACAAGTCTCCCAAATCAATTTTCATACTACTCGGAGTTTCTTAACAAACCTCAATTTAACCTTATCTTGATTAACTCGTCTATAAAGTTAATTCAAATATTATATGCTAAGAATTCTGCTAGTGCAACTCGAGTTGTGGAACTGAAGTTAAGATTCTTCATCATCGAAATCTTGAGAAGATCAAAGACTTCAACCCAATCATTACAATTGGCTTGCTTCTATCTTGCAAAGTTAATTCAACTGGAAAAGAAAATTGAATTTTGCCCAAAGAAATTATTCTTAACTTTAATAATTTTAGCAAGCAAGTTTAATCAAGATCATAACTATTCCTTTAAGTCTTGGCTTAAGATTTGTGGTGAAGGCGGCGACCTCTCCATGAAGGAATTGAAAAGTTTGGAAGTGGCAACTTTGTCACTCCTTGATTACAAGTTATACTTGAACAATGTAAACTACGAAAATTGGTGCAACATCTTAATGATATTCAGCTATGATTACATTAAGTTACAAAAACTTGATGTGATCAGTGCTTCTGGAAATCAACTTGAATTCGAAACATCTTCCAATGAAGTATCCTCAAAATTAAGGAACTGGTGTAGAGTTTTTCAAGGTATGGATTTCAAATTACTTGACCTGGTTGATATTCAGTTCAAGTCCTACTTTAATAATCAAGTTGGCAGCAAGATTTTGATCGAAGTGGATCCTTTTCAATCCACCCAAGTTCCTTCGTTATTTTCGAAGAGAACTCATGAAGAAGATCATTTCATAGCTAAGAAGGTAAAGGTTTAATAAAATACGGTAAGAAAAAATTGACAATTAACGTAGAAACTTGTAGGTTAGCAGCTTGCGCTTTTCAATAAAATGCAGCACTTCCGTAATGGTTGCAATATTATATGCAGGAAATTCATTGACTATACTTTGGAGCTTCTTCATGATACCGCATATCTTTACACTCACTACAACTTCTCTCTTTACATGCACGATTGGTCTAAGATCTACCCGTCTCCGTTCATTTTCTGTTTTTTTTTATTCTGTTCATTTCATATTTTATGTTTTTGAAAAATGACGCTATCTCATTAAACTTCTAAATGCTCCTCCAACCAACTCCTTCACTTCCTTATAACTAACTATAATACAACTTTTTTCGTCTTCGCTCACCAAAAGTATCTTCTCTTCTATTCCAGCATCTAGCTTATTCAAGCAAGTCAAAACTCTGCTTAAATTCAACGTTGGTTTCCCAAACTCATTAACTTCGTTGAAGACATAATCCCTGAAGAGTCTGATTATGTAATTCGGCCCATTGTCTCCAGCATTATTGAGATTCTTATCAACAATAAAGTCAATCTTTGTAAGTAATCTGAAAAGTCTAGCATTTTCTAATTCACTCGTCAATTGCAGTTCCATGAAATCTTGTCCATCTTGGGCAGAGTTTATGAAATCAATTAACTTATGGCTTAAATATGTTTGATTAAACTCATGAATAGAATTGACGTCGAAAATTGCCCCCAAAATAGTAATATATTCTTGAGTGAATACTCCCTTTAAACCGCTTATGCCTTGATCTCTGAGCTGTGGTGGGATGCATAGTAAACTCAAATCAAGGATAAGCTTACCAAACTTTTTCAAGTCTTCTGCTTGTAAATGGCTAGTATGTGAGGATAAACTTATTGAATCGATTTCCTTCTGGTCATTTTCGTAAGATAAAATGTCAGATATTCCAACACAGCTCAATTTAACTCTATTCTTAGAAGTTACTATGATTTTATTAATGTCTAATGATGATCTTGCAGCCAATCCCTTCTCGTGAATCAGTATCAAAGCTGAAGTAATTTGGATTATATATGCAGTGAGAATTTCTTCATTCAACGGCTCAAGCTTCCCTCCGATTTTTCTATTGATATGATGCTCCAGTAAAGTAAGAGCATTGGGGTAATAATCGTAAATCATAACCAACACAGAATTCTTACCACCAAATGCCATGCTTGTGAAGGCTTCTTGTAGTTTTACTACATTGGCAGATGAAATGGATTTCCACTTTTTAATAGATTTGAATGGGAGTTCATTCTGAATTCTTATAACGGAAAAATTTTCCACCTTTGTAAGAGTGTACGGATTCCCATCGTTATTTGAAAATACCTTGAAATGTGTCAATGGAACCCCAAACAGCTTTGACTTCAACCCAGTAGTGCTGAGATCTAAAGGATATAATGAATGGTAATTATTGACGTGTTCAGGTAAGTGCGACGTTCTAGGGAACAGTTGCAATGTGGCTTCGTTTTTCTTTGTAAGTGTTTCTCTTAACTCATTCAGGATAAACAACTGCTGAGAATTTGTTTCCGATGGTGGCAATGGGATCGTTAAACGCGGAGGCGGTGCTGGGGCATATAAATGGTATTGAAGTGGATAAGCTCTAGCTGTGGGCTGATGTTGGAAGAAGAGATCTGATGATGATGGAGGTGCCGAATAAGGGTTGCCGTAATTTGAAGGAGCTCCTTGGGGCCCCTGTCCCGATAAGGGCCCTCCTAGTCCTCCTGGTCCATGTATTCCTGTGATTTGTCCTTGTCCCTGTCCTTGTCCTGGTCCTGAAAGTGGACTGTTGCCTTGCCCTTGCTGGAGAATTCCAGTGACATGTCCTGGTCCTCCTTGGCCCGGTCCTGCGCTATGACCCAATCCAGGCATTCCACCCGTTATTCCTCCAGAAAGGCCACCAGGACCATGCATTACTCCATTTCCTTTTCCACTGACATCAATATCTCCTCCTGGTATCCCAGGTTGATGTGATTGTATTGCGTGCTCTTGGGATGATCCTGGAACAAACGATGGGGTGAAAGAAGCAGTGCTGGGGTTGAACTTCTTTGCCACACCGTCATTGGGAGCCATTCCCTCAGGCACAAACGTTGGGATTTCCTTTAATTTAGGAGATGATATGTATTTAGAGCTGTTGGACGAAGCCGCAATGCCCGTGATAGGGTTGTTTCCTGGCGGCGCTGGTGAAGTCGATGCTAGAGGTATAGATGGTTGGAATGACGGTGTGTTGAAATTGAATCTCTTCTTCGTGTCCACTCCAGGCGTAGAGGTACCTGTGGATGTCGATGGAGCAGCACCTCCAGCTGTAGTTGGTGCACCAGAAGCTGGTGCTAACGAGGGCACTGATCCAGCGGCTGTAGAAGCTGTACCGCTGGTGACTGCACCTTTATTATGATTGAATACACACCCCTTGTTCTCATACTTGCAGTATCCATATATCAAAATGTTTTTACAAAGGGTGTCTCTAGCAGAGTCTATGTTGATGTTCATCCCGTTTTTAGAAGGATTTCATACAATATCTAGGTCCTTTTGCGTCTTCTGGGCTACTCTATCTAAGGGAGCATTTACGGAAATAGAAAAAACAAAGAAAAGCGACCAGGAAAAAATTCTGAGTAACGCGAAAAGAGTACAAAAGGGGAAAGAAGGTACTGCAGGGAGTGTTGGGAAGAGGCTGGAGACAGAAGGTTGGGGTGGTAGAATGATTGGCAGGGAGAGAGTTTCGAAGCATGAACTGAGTGAGGAATTGCGTGAAGATGGCAAAAGATCTGATATACAGGTTCAGTTGCGACCATTCTGATTTCTTTCATGCTGATGTAGTATAGTGGGTGTAATGCTTGAGAAGAAAAATAAAATGTTCCAGATATGTACCAGGTTGGGTACTGCATGTATCAGAAGCTTGTGGATGGGTGTGGAAAGAAAGAGGAAGACGATGGCCAATGGGTCTGTTCGTTGACATTAATTGTGGGTAAAGATGAAAGTTTGGTGCAGTCCTTTAAAAGATTCGAGTGTATGTTGATTTAAAGTTTGCTTTGGTAGTGATCCTCGTTCAGTCTGAGCTAAGTACTCATTTGCAGCTATTGTGTGCCAGGAGTAAGTGATACACGGAATGTTGGTTTCGCTAGTTAGATGTATCACGGTCACTTGGAAATGCAATAGAATAATTGTGGTCATTCTATGCGTATGACATCTTTTTTCACACCAATGTTAGAATATTTGAAGTATGGATTTGCGCTAGCACCATGCCCATGGGTTCTTAAAGGTCATTCTGATAAACCTTTCCTGCATGTAAAATCCCATGCACCCTACGCAGTGCCTTTTTGCTCAGAAATTATTTAATAAACTTTTGGTGATACTATGGCTAAGCAATAGTACTTCAGTTACTTCAAGAGATCTTCGGTGTAAATAACTATGGTGCACGTTACTATCTTAACGGGTGCTTCAAGAGGTGAGTACTGACTTGAACTTAAGGCAATCCCCTTTTTAATTCGCCAATTGACGTTGATTACTTTGGGCTAGCGCAATCGAAATACAAGTGAAATCGATTTGGATCACGTGACAATGATTTCTACTTCTTACATTCTTCCTTTACTAACATCATCCTTTCTTACAGGTATTGGTCTTTCAATTGCTGAAATATTACTTAATTCTAGTCCAGATACTCGCTTAATTGCTATTGTAAGAAATCTGAGCAGCTTGGAACCTTTAATCAAAAGATTTGGGCCTGGCAGAATCGGTGTATGTTTGGGTGACGTTACCGAAGCTGAAACATCTCAAAACGCGGTAAAGTTAGCAATTTCTTCTTTCGGACAATTAGATACCATAATTGCAAATGCTGGAGTGTTGGATCCAGTCGGTCCAATTAGTGAGGCAGTCGTAGAAAATTGGAAGAGTCTTTATGATGTAAATTTCTTTTCCGTGGTTGATCTTGTAGTTGCTGCACTTCCAGAATTGAGAAAGGCTGCTTCTGGAAAAGTTATCGCGGTTCTGTCTGGTGCTTCTACTAAATCTTATGACGGCTGGGCCGCCTATGGATCATCTAAGGCAGCGTTAAATCATTTTATCCAATCTGTGGCAGAAGAAGAAGCTGAGCATGGTGTCAATGCTATATCTGTTGCACCAGGAGTAGTTAACACCTCCATGCAGGAAGACATCAGAGAGAAGTTCGGATCAAATATGAAACCTGAAGCTTTGCAAAGATTTCTTGACTTGCATAAGAACGGTGATTTGTTAGAACCAGAAGTACCAGCTAAAGTATATGCTGATTTAGCAATAAACGGATGGAACTCTAAGATTAATGGAGGTTACTGGAGATACAACGACGAGGTTCTCAACTAGAGAATTGGTCAAGCGAAATCAAAAAAAAAAAAAAAAAAAATACCAAATAAAATAAAAGCGAAAAATGAAAAATAAATCTCTGCTGTAGTAGAATATGTATACCAAAATAGAGTGTGACTTTCCAGTGTATGAATGAATCACCAGGAACTGGAGAGGAGCTTCTGCTTGCCATACTTCTTGATATTCGATCACATTCTCATGTGCCACTTCAGTGCGACAGAAGACGCCGCTAATTAATCCGAGATTCAAGATATTCACGTGATAAGATCTACGAATTCCGATGCTTCTAGTTGATGGCTTGGCTCAATCTTCAATCTTTAGTTCAGTATGGGCCCATATCTCTCTTTTTGATTCGCTGTCTTAACGCCTATTTAGTTTCGTTTATGAGTCTTACATCGATGTTAATCTCTAGTGTATTTTTTAGAGATAAAGTCCGTTTCAACGATTTTAGTCTCTGCTCTGAAAAGCCAAACTTGCCTTTGTTTTTTTTAGTGTTTATTTTTTTGGGCTCATTTTGTATCACAAAATTAGATCCGTATCAATTTATTTCGCTCAAAAATGTCTCTATCTAGACAACCATCTTCTCTTCTTTATCATTAAACGACAAGCAAAATGTTCCCTCGCACACTCAGATTAGCCTCTCGTACTCCATTAAGGAACACTCTTAGGTCACGCATTGCTTTAAGGAGCTTATCGAGCCCAGCACCAAGGTCAGGCGGAAACCCAAAGGGTAAGATCTTAATAGGAGTCGGATTGTTAGCCCTCGGATCTACCATTTTTGCAGCAACTTACAACAAAAATGATCCTAAATCTGCAGTTGATCCTTCTACTGCAGCAGAGGTGCAGCAGAAGTCTAAGAAAACGTTCAAAGACGGACAGATCTCTGTTATCTTTGTTCTTGGAGGACCTGGTGCTGGTAAAGGTACTCAGTGTGCTAACTTGGTTCGCGATCATGGATTCGTCCACCTTTCTGCTGGGGACCTCTTGAGAGCCGAACAGAATAGAGAAGGCTCCCAATACGGAGCTTTGATTGCACAGTACATTCGCGATGGGCTCATCGTACCACAGGAAGTGACAATTGCGCTATTGGATAACGCTATTAAAGAAAAGTTCGATAAGGAAGGAGCCACCAAATTCTTGGTTGATGGATTTCCAAGAAAAATGGACCAAGCTCTCACCTTTGAAGATAGCATTGCTACCTCTTCATTTACTCTTTTCTTTGAATGTCCTGAACAAGTCATGCTTCAGAGATTACTTGAAAGAGGTAAGACCAGTGGTAGAGCTGATGATAACATTGAGTCTATAAAGAAGAGATTTAGAGTTTTCATCGAAACTTCGATGCCGGTAGTTGAATATTTTGAAAAGCAAGGAAAGGTAGTTAAGGTCAGCTGTGACAAGCCAGTGGATGAAGTTTACAATAGCGTGAAGAAGGCATTGGCTGAAAGAGGCATTTAGAGGCTTTCAAAGTTCTATAATTAGGAGCTTGCGGTGGAGTTTCCGTCGGCCCACCATTTTAAAGTTTAACGATGGCGCAGCTGCTGCAGAGAAGCAAACAACTCAAAAATGATATGCGGTGGAAGCCCTTTAACACTATAATTGCATGGGCAGAAGGAAGTTGTCGAGTGTCTCTGCTTTATTTTTAAGGAAGAAGGAGGCATGTATATATTACTTAATACATATAGAAAATATTACTATGAATGTTATAGCCAGCAATTCGATCATTCGTCTATTGAATAATATCTATTGGATACTGTTGCTCAAGGATCGGCTAACTCTCATTCGCCTTTCGAATGTCCATGTTCAAAGGTCGTCTATCTCTTCATGCGCCTCTTTAATACTGCTGCTCAACATCGTCTATCTCTTCATTCGCCTCTTGAACGCCTTAGCTCTAGGATCGTTTATCTTGGACCTTTGGTAGTTTGCACTAAGAGGCTTAACTTTATCCTTCTGTAATGCTATAGTAGCCAAAGCGTTTTGCTTTTGTTTATCTAGCTCCTCATCACTGTCGTACTCTGGTTCCGAGGAAGAACCTTCATCTACGGATCCTTCTTCTAGTTTCAAAATCTCTTGGTGAACGTCCTTGTCCTTCAAAGTATCTACTGCAGCTGCTACGTTAACCCTCGGTTTCATCTTCCAGTTTCTGGTAGTCCTCTTTTGGGTGGAATGTTTCTTTCGCTTGCGGCTCGGCTGGTTGTTACTTTCGGTATCAACACCGTCCTCTACATCGATTCCTGAACCTTCCTCTTTGGTCGACACTTCACCCAATAATCCGTTTCGGACCTCTTCCTTAATCATTTGATAGTCATTGAACAATGTGGTCATTTTGTTATCGCCAAACGAAAGAAATCTGTGTACCTTCAATGGCGAAGGAGAAACCTGGAATGTGGAAGCAACCTGCACTGGCGTTATAGGAGGAGGCATTCGTTTTTTGGTCGGCAGACTGTCGCTTCTTTCGACGTCAAAGTCAATGTCGAACTTATTGTTATGCTTGGATATGTACAAAGGTGTGTCCAATATTGTGGAGGATGCAGTAAGCTTCTTGTTTGGCGTTGTGATTTGTTCCTTAGGTATTGTAGCAGTCAATTTCTGTAGGAGAGAGTTTCCTCTAACAGGTGACAGCATCCCTGCAGAAGGCGTCAAGATCTCGATTTTGCCAAGTCTATTCTTCGTAGGTGTCTTGAAGATGTTTCCCTCTTCTAATTTAGACGATTTGGATTTCAATGGACTGGACTCCGGTGGGGTCATCGAGGTGAGCTTCATGTCGAAGATTGACAATACTTTGCCATTGGCTTGTGGGGTAGGACCCAACTCTGCAGTGTTGCGTATAAAATTTGCATCAGAGGAATGATCCTTGCCATCTGCATCATTTGGATTATTATTATTGTCATTATCATTATCATTATTATCCACTCCCCCCTCTTGCACTATCTTGGTTTCCTTCTCCGATCCACTCTTTAGTGCCTTATAGCTCTTGTACAACTGGTAAGTTTTCGGATCTTTTTTTATATCCAGCTTGGAAGGCACTCTGCCATGATGCTTAAAATAGTTGTGCTCCCATCTTTTTATTTCAAGTTTCAAGCTCTCCATCTCTGTCTCCCTGGCTTCCAGCTGCTTGCTTGACTGTTTGGCTTTGGCGTTTTTATATACGCGTGAGATTTTCGTGCAGCATTTGAGCACGTGAGACAAAACGGCTGCAAAAAAAGAAAAAGAAAAAATCGGACTGGGCTGGACTGAGCTGGTTGGTTAACACTCAGTGTGACATGAAGGTAGATCAGGGAAGATGCTGAGCTCAGGTATTGGTAGTGCATAGTAAATTAGATATGCTAGGTGAGGGATGATGAATGTCTTTCACGAGATCGCAAAAAAAAGTTGGAAAGAGTTTGCTCACTTATTCAAATGGCTCTTAGTTTATTCGAGTTATACTATTTACAAATTATATACATACGTCCTCTATGTCCATTTCCACATCCATTGTCATTTCCACCTCCATTTCCATGGTATCACTATATTTTCTCTGCGTACCAACTTCTATCACTAGTTCATTAGACATCCCTGGCAAACTCCAAGATTCCTTTGTACGCTTCGTCCTGAGTAATTCTTCTGACATTTTCTACTATCTTGACTATGGCACTTTGGAAGGCTCGCTTCTCTTGTTCGCTGCTGAATGATCCCACCTCACTGAACAAATTTAGGAAACCGCCCAGCAGTGGTGCCCACTTTTCGTTGAGAAACTGAGTTTGCAATTTGACACTGCCCTGGAGAGAAAGGTAAACAATTAGTCTTACCCAGTTCGTTACACCTTGAGCAGGAGTGGAATTCACATAGAGAATTTGAGTCTTCTCCCAATGTTCCCAGAACATCGAGGAAAGGTTAGAATTTCCCAACGTGAATAAAACTAACTCATCGAATTCCTGAGTTGTGGGTATTTGATTCAATTCAATAAGATCGAGTATTCCTCTTGCTCTATACACCGAAATTGAATGGTGTGTAGCATTTCCATTAAAGCTACTGCTGAGTCCCTGCATTACGTTATTCACCACTTGGGGACCAATGAAATTGGTCTTATCTATAATAACAAATCCCCAAAGTAAAACAAGGAATTGAGGCGATACCGTAATAGAGTTAACTGTCAATTTTTCACCCGAGAATGTGTAGAGCTGACGAAGAAACTTGGAGAGAAAGTCTAACTGTTTATCAGCTAACTGACGTTCATCTTGCTCAATTCCATTGAATTTAGGAAGCTCTTCATGAGTGTCCATTATCAACTTCATCACATTTATAGAATCTTTGATGCGTTCCATGTCTAAATTGATTTCTTGGTCTAGCGAGAAATAAATGTATTTTTCCCAAATCGTAGATATAACTTGATCTACTGATATTATTTCTGGGTAAAGGAGATGAATATTTTTATACAATTCGAACTTGGAATGGAAGTCTTCTAATGAATTCATTGATAATTGCTCAAATTTAGCCAATAGAGACTCAATATCCGATCCCAGACTTTGCATTATTTCACTAACTGCTGATTTAACTGAACTGCTAGTATCACTATGAAGACCTCTTTTGAATGCCGTCTTTGTATGATACTGTCTTTTAATTCCAATAAACAAATCGTCTGAATTAAGGGAACTTTCAGCTTTCACGCCCCCCACCTTGTCTACTGTGTGATCCTCTGTCCATAACAGTTCCAAGTCTAGTTCCTTTCTACGGTCTACGGTTAGGATATGTATGTACACTCCCTGTCCCACATCGCACATAATCCAACTATTGGCACCCATACCGTAATCATTGTCAGTGGCCATGGGGCCCTTTCTAGCTCTTCTAATCATTCTTCTGTAATTTGCATTTCTGCTGGAATGAGACACAAACCCTTCCAACTTAGGAATGATATCGCCTTCGCTTTCCCGCTTGATATGCATTCTGAATTCATTGGCGGCCTTATATATATGCTTATCTGACTTACCACTGCAAATAATGTTATAACTGGAGTTCCTTTCCTCGTTATCATTCTCGAGTTGTTGGTCTTTCTCATTGACATGGAAAATTTGTATGTCTTCCAATCCATAGTTCTTAGACAAGAGGGACAAATAATCAGCAACTTCTTGCGGTGCACCTGCTGGAACTTCAGGTATTGGTGAAGCTACAGGTTCTGACACAGCGGACGATGCATTTTCACGAAGATACCACGGCAAATCATCAGCATCACTGGCTTCATTGATGATGTCACTGATGTTAGCTTCATTTTCACCTTTGGTACTGTATGTAGAGCGCTGACTACGGAGTATAGATATAGAAGTAGAAACAGATCCAAACCTTTTCAAAATGACACTTCTACCAGACCTGGTTATTGCCGATCTGAATCCAAGCATTATACCTAAGAAAATAGTACACGATCTATGGATAAGTATGATGAACTACTTGTACCCTTTCGGTTCTCGTTCATGATCGCACTAATTTTTCACTTTTCGAACGCTCTCCAACTTTCGCAAATCTCAACGCATCGCCATGCACATAGAAAAAAATAATTAGCATGCTCATCTCAAGAAGTTCAATGTGCAAAAAGAAAAATAGAACCAGGTTCTTTGGATTGATTAGAAGAGACTAAACTCATTAAGCTAGTAGAGCAGATATATCATAATAAGCGTCAGCTCGGCATAAAGTAATTGAGTGACCAGGTTTATTAACTTTTGTTGGGGCAATTTTCCGATTTTTCATTCACTTTATCGTACATATAGAAAAACTTATAGATATCCATCATGGCAAAGCTTGTTCATAACATCCAAAAGAAGCAACATAAAGAGCGTTCTCAAACTTCTGAAAGGGCCAGATATGGTCTCTTGGAAAAAAAGAAAGATTATAAGCTTCGTGCAGCTGATTATCATAAGAAACAAGCAGCTATCAAGGCTCTTAAATCTAAGGCAGCAACATATAATCCGGATGAGTACTACCATGCGATGACATCTAACAAAACCGATGATAGAGGTATCTTGGTATCTGATAGAGGTAATGAATCACTCTCTGTGCAACAGGTGAAGCTTTTAAAGTCCCAAGATGTGAATTACGTAAGAACTGCTAGACTTAATGAACAGCTGAAGATAGCCAAGCAAAAGCAACAACTTCAGTTTGAAGGTAAAGGAAAACATACAGTATTCGTTGATTCCTTTGCAGAACAAGCCAATTTCAGGCCTGAAGAGTATTTTCAAACTGATAAACTGTTACTTTCCAAAAGAGAAAATCGTTTAAAGGTTGACCAGTTGGAACAGAATAACCAGAAATCCTCGCTTGTGGAAAGATTAGACGAAAAGGATCAAGACTTCAATAACCTTAAAAAGTTGAAACAGTATAAATTATTAAAACGAAGGTTGGATAGAGAAAAGGAGTTGAAACAAGTTGAAAGTAGAATGGAACAGACTAGAGAATTAATGAAAAAGGGCAGTAAGAAGAAGCTGGTCGACAGTGAGGGTAAGGTTCAATTTAAGTGGAAGAACCAAAGAAAGAGGTGATTCTTCTTTTATATAAAGCAAGGTCATTAAATTGATATCACCTTCGCTAGAAGGTCTGGGCATTTCAGAGTGATATTAAGTGTAGTACGATCAACTTTTATATTATGTACTTAGTATATAAGATTGATTGTGCAGTGTAGATTAATATAATATTAAAATGATAAATTCTGTAGAGAAGCTGCTAACAAGCAAGTTTCTTCTGACTTCTTACAAAGTTGAAGTCCATGAAAAGTGCCAGGGTTAGGAGGGACACAAAGTCTAGTCCCGTCACTAGCTCAAAGTAGATGCGTACTTATTTGCTCCATAAGGTAAATAAGCACAGTTCTAGTCGTATGACTTACGAAGTTGAAGCTAAGAGGCTTCTTACCGTAGTTCTTCTCCTTTAAACCAAACTCTACATCACCTATTAATCTCAAATCTGTGGGCAATATCTCGCTTACGAGTGAGTTTTCTGTTTGATGGAGGCGTTATAGTCCTCTATTCGTTGTTCAAACTACGGTTGAGATAGTCGACGAATAGCGGAGTAATTCTTTCTACATCAACGCTTCTCATTCTGTTCAATGTGACATATGTTCTTCTGATTCTTTGCAATTGAGCAATAGAAACAGACGACAGAGGCATTTCAACGTATAGCACATTGCTACTATTCTTAGATTTAGAGTCTGAAACAAGAACCTGCCCTCCAATGGGAGCAAGCTGTTGGTGCTGTAATATCTTTTGTATCACTTGTTGGGTCTGGTTATCAAGTTCTTGAAGGAAGTTGTTACCAGACGTAGTCTTTACTATTGTAGCTGCATTAGGAGGTGGAGCTTTTTTGAGAACCAAAGCTTCCCATATGGCATCTATGGATAACAGATCTTCAGCATGGTCTGCTACAACACTAAAGAGAGGAGAGTCCCAACGATTCAGTTCATTTGGTTCTTCGTACCTCATAGCCAACTGCTCAATGATCTTGGAGCCCCATTGTGCAGATTCAGGTGTCTTTGCTGCATCCCATTCCAAACATTTGTCGACTGGGTTCATTACATAAACTACACAGTTGGGAGTTAACACACCTTTGGCTTCACAAAAGAGTTGGTATCTAAATCCCTTGATGTAGGTCAAGGAATCTAAGATTACAAAGTTAGTACGCGAGATATCACGCTTAACAGCAGCCATCTGGGAACCCCTAGCATGTTTTTCCAATCCAGAATCAAAGTAGGTCTCATGAGGTATTCCTAATGTTTTGTCTGAATGATAGATAACAGAGTAATTGTGGCCGAGTTCGGTTGTTCCTTTCAACGAGTCGATCTTCGATTGGAGTGCAGCTTGAAGCTTCTTGGCTACTGTCGTTTTCCCCGAGGACGGATGACCAGTGAATACAATAAGTGGCATGTTTATTTAATAAGATGGTAAAAAGGATACTATATACCTAAACTAGTCCCACTTAGTAACAGATACTGTCGACTTGAAGAGTAATGTAGTCTTCTTTGTCAATAGCATCGCTGAAAAATTCCAACCTGCCTCATCGCGAATCATCAACAAATCTGAAAAGTTCCATTCGGATAGACTTCTTATCTAACACCCATTAAGTATTGTGGAAGAGTACTTTTAGAGTGGAATACTTAGTCATTTATTGCATTTACGAAAGCTAGTGTGTATAAAATTTGCTATTTTGCAGAAAAAGGTGTAGATAGTTCGAATTATAGCTGTATAGAGTATTGCATACTTGTGGGGTAGATCAATTGAAAATCTTTAAGAGGTATCTATCTGCATATTTCTTTAAAATGGCATTTGTTCCGAGAAGAACGTTTCCAAATTATAACTTGCCTCTTGCCAATTTCAAGGGACATCATCAAAAGGCACTTACAAAGTTTGGGCACTTGGCCCCTCAGATAGACCTTGTTCTTGAGGTGAGAGATTCACGAGCTCCAATATCGACAACAAATGTAATCTTCGACAAAGTACTTGCCCACAAACAGAAAATAGTGTTATACCTGAAAAAGGATCTCTCTGTCTTGAAGAAGAATCTCTTGGATAAATGGCATGCCCAAGAAAATGAACAATATATGTTTATAGATGCTAGAAATAAGAAAGATGCAACAAAGGTGATCGATCTTGTTGCCAAACATTATCGCAGTTTGAACCCGCCCCCACCATTGGGACTAAGACTCATGGTCATAGGGATGCCCAACGTTGGAAAATCAACTCTAGTAAATAGCTTGAGAGACGTGGGCTACATATCTCAACTTTCCAACAATAGAGTATCACTGAAACGTAGCAAAGTTGCCAGAACAGGTGGTCAACCTGGAGTTACAAAGGCAACTAGTGAGATTATTCGTATTAGTGAATCCCCTGATTTACTAATGCATGATACTCCTGGTGTTTTCCTTCCCTCGGTTAAAGATGCTGAGACTATGTTGGCTCTTTCTCTCGTAGGCTGTGTTCATTCTTCGTTCATAGATCCCGTAGTGCAAGCAGATTACTTACTTTACTTGTTGAATTTACAAGACCCAAAAGGTAAGTTGTATCTGGAATATTTGCCACATCCAACTAATTCGATTATGGAGTTGCTTCATGGGATTGCCAAGAAGCGTGATGTACTTAAGATGACCAAGCCACTACATTGGTCGGTGGGGGAGCCACTAGAAGAAACTTTTGATGAATTGGGAATGGCTAACCATTGGGTTAATTTATGGAAACAGGGAAAACTGCCCAAGTATAAAGGGTTGTTTGATTTGAGTGCCATTGTAGAAACAAACGGAGAAGCTCTTCGTGAAATCTTTCAGCAAGAAAAGGAGAGAGTAGGCACCATGAACATCAGCGAAAAAATCACCGACAGCTTGGGAAATGATGGCTCTGGGAAAGAAAAGCATAGGAAGAGAACTGCAAAGGATAGGGAATATGATTTGAAGAATAGGCTATTTAAGATTTAAATCATAAGTTCTTTCAGTCTACTTTCCCCAAACTACTTGTATAATAATTGTTTTAAATTTACTTGTATATATTAATTTACTTCAGCCATTTAATAAATTATCTAAATCTGGCATAGCGTCATAATCTCCTTCATTAGCTCCAAATGTACCTTGTGGGTTTTTGCTGAATAAAGAGTGAACGTTGGTGCCAGCTCCCTTTCTACGTTTATTAGCACGCTGATCTGCTTCTTCCTTGGTAATATACCTCACATCTAGCTCCTTAATAAGCTCTTTAGCAATTGGGTTAGACTTGAGATTCAAGTTGGATAGCCACTCTTTATCGCTACTTGAATTCAACAGTAAGACATTGGACAAATTGAACAAATTGGTTTCCTTTGAAACGAGATATTTCTGTACAAAATCTGGGTCATTTAAAGCGTCATTGATATCATCATTCGATAATGTTGCAATGATCATTCGACGTAAATTAATGTTGAACTTGTGAATTGCCGGCGAGTTGGACAAAAGCTTGGAGTCTGTAGAATCTGAAGGTCTTTCTGGGGGAACAGGAAGAAGGGAAGCAGATTTAGCAGAGGAGACAGTCTTAGGTATTGAAATATTGGTATTGGAGGTGTGACTGTCTTCTTTGTCCAAGTCTCTTGATAGGATAAATGACTCCATTAATTTATTTACCTCTTCTGAAGGATAAGTTATGACACTCTCTTCAGCTTCACCATTTTCTTCTTGGTCTCTATTCGACTTTTGTTTAGGGGTCAAAAATGGGAATCTACCAATTTTTTCATCTTCCTTGAACGGAATTCTAACCATACTACATGTGTAAACAAACTCACCATCATCAACTTCGACAGTATATGGTAATAGTACGCACATTCTTACTTCAGAATTTTCCTTTTGAACATAACGGACAATTGCATAACATTCTAATTCTATCATCGCCAGACAAAAGGAATTAAATCCAACTACGCTTCGCATGAGTGAGTTGGATTCCGGTATCACGTAAAATGATTCCTCAGTCAAGTATGCATACAGGAATGACGTTTTCTTTAAGAACCCTACTATGTCTATCCCTTCAATTGATTTTAAAGTAGTAGCTTCTTCAAGACCAGGATCCAACGGTATTAAATCATAATTTGAATACTTGAATGCTTTAATTTTATCAAAATCTTGAATAGCCTCGACTTTAACCTCGGGATCTTCTTCTGATTTCACTTTACTGGTCGAATGTCTTGTCCCAAGTTCTTTTTCTGCTTCATCTTTCTCCTTAGCGGTTTCAATATAGTACTCTCTTATTTGTGAAATTTTGGAAGCATTCTTGGACTTATCCACAAAAAAAGAGTGACCACTTGGAAGCAGCTCGATTTTGGTAGCAGGGTAGCATTCTACATTTAGACATAAGCTGAAAGTATCTAAATCAGGCTCGTAGGACTCTTCTATATCCTCCTTTTTAACATCAACCTTGAAAGTATCTCTCTTAGAGTGTTTTAATAACTTTTGGTAATCAATACCCAATCGAAGTTGGCCCTTGAATGCCTTCATGGGTCTAACTTTTTTCAAAGGTGGGTGATACAAAATCGATTGTAGCGCCTCATTTCCGGTTATCAATTTACCATTATAGCAATTAGCACAAATGTCTCGCCATTTTGCTACGTTTTTACGTTTGATATCACTGAAATGATCCACATTCTCGAAATCTATCCCAATAACTAGCAAATTTATTGAAAGCTTCTCCATGGCAGATAACGTTGGACCAGCCAACTGAGAATCAAATGAAGTGATTGATGACTCCCCGTTAGTTATTAATACAATATTTCTGTTAAATTTAAGTTTCAGCGTATCTTTTAGCAACAGTACAGCTAAAACTAGTCCTTCAAATACATCACCCAACTGATTCTCCAGGTATTCGGAGTTAGGCACTGGGTTCGGTTGAAGCTTACTATGAATATTTTTCAAGTCTACATAGCTTATAGGAGCAATCCTCTTGGAGACAATTTCAATGTTTTGAAAGGAGTCATCGCTGGAATACGGGTTTTCCGTTTCAGGTGAATGTACGGCAATCACGCTTATAAAGTCAGTCTTCCTACCTCTAATTGCTTTGGCAGATGCAACATCAAACAAGTACTTCAATCCCAAATCTAGATCCGATAGTTCCCTAGATGCAGGAGAGGAAGATACTCCCATTGAGGAAGAGATATCCACTACAAAAGTAGTGATTTCCTTATCAGCCATGGCAATGACTGTATGTTCTATCTCTGTTTCAAAGGAGCGGAGGAAGCACTTAAGTTGCTTGTACAATTAGGCTCGCGTTTATGCAAAGGCATACCCAAGTCACGTGCCGTCTCAGGTGCTCTTCGATTTGTAGGGCGACTTGTCCGAAGTTTCATCTTTCTGCCTTCAGCAAGCACCTGCATGCGCGTACATAAATTATATGTCCGACAACGACCGTAGATCGGCTAAACTGGCATTAATATATACACCAACACCTTTAATACATGATTACGAAATAAAATAATATGCCACCAATTCCACGGAACTGTATTGACAAGAGACAGGTGAAATTGAAATTTACCACCTCTATTTCAACCCCACTTTCTTTTGACTTTTGACTTATGGTTCACGCCTCCATGTCACTTACTTTAATATTTTAAAATCTTTATTTGATAGATGTTTTTTTTTTTATTTTTTTTCACCTCAAGCATGTACAAGCACGAGATCAGGAACCATCTTTTCGTAAAATGAAACTAGACAAATAATAAATTCGAAATCACTGAACAAAGAAAATGTGTGCAAGTTAGGAAAGAAATTTTGGAACGAGGAGAAGTGAATCGTATTGTTCACAATAGACCCCGGTACGCCTTTTTTATTGTATACTTCGATCTTTTTAAGTTTAGTTTACCTGTTGCATCTCATGACAGAATCATTGGATTTTTGGGCCACTTTGATTTTTGCATGCAAGAAAGTAGGAAGAAAAAAAAAATATAAAAAAATATTAAAAACAACTTAAAGTAAAGTACCGCCCATTTGTAATTTGCAAGGATCTCTTCGAGTCGCCCAGCCCATTTATGGTTTCACCTTGTTTCAACCGTTTCAGCTGAACGGGGCAACCCACCACACCATGGGCTTCTAATAGGTAGAAAAGCAGGAGGGAGCTGAAATACAAAGTGAACTAGAGGAGACGCCGACCAACCATGCGTAGAGCCCGCATAGTTTTTTTTTTTTTTTTGCTTTGGGGATTTCAACCTCGTATTATTAGGGCCGACATTCCAGTGAAAAAAAAAATAAATGGCTCCTACACCAAACCGATTTGGTAGTGTTGATTAGATATGGAATGAACTGTCCTGGTACAGCAGTCGAATCAGATATTAGATTTCGAGGCTCTGTACTTGATCAGAAATAACGTTTCAACCCCTTTAGATCGATGTGCGACAAAGGAAGGCACGCCGGATCAACCTAGCGACGAACCTTCACTCACATTTCCCATCGATACAAACTCACCTACCAGTTTATACTATTCTTTTTTTTTTTTTTCGATTATTTTTTATTATTAAGGTTTTGGGTTTGGACAAAAAACTCAAAAAAAAAAAAAAAAAAGAATACAATTACAAAAAGTGTAGAGCAATGGAAAAAGCAGAAGATTGTAGGTGTAGCTATTCCATGTACCTTAATCAAGTGTATATATAAATAGGGTGATCTGACATTCTTTTAAAAAGAAATATAGAAGAGAAAAATGTCACATCATAGTTTCCTCTATGGAGAAGATGATATGAACATGCCTAAAGACGAAAATATATTTCGTCAGAATGTGCCGAAGCACAAAGAATACAATTATGGGTATAATGAGCCAAATTTTAGCCAGTATCAACAAAACCATGCACCCTATCAACTGCAGCTGATAACACTGATGCAGAACCAACAAAATATATACCCATCACTTCCACATCAAGCAGTGGCATTAGTAGTGCAGCACCCGCAGCAAAATATAACACAACTGATAGAGCATCACACTCCACTGCAGCACCAGACATATTCGATGCCTCAAATAGTCCCACAGCATAAGCAAGTCCCATTTCTTCAGAGCCATTTACCCCCTCCTCCAACTCCTGCTCAGGCATCTCAAGCTCCTCCGCTTGCCCCGCTGCAACAATATGGTCAATGGCCGCAACAATTCCAGGTTCCCATTACAAGTCATGGAAATGGTAGTAACGTATCATACATGCAACAACCATATCCTCCAAACTCCCAGAGTCAGAGTACTGCCGCCAATTCCGTTCAAAACTCGAGTACTTATTTCAATCAGCCTCGAATGCAACAAGTACATCAAAGTCAACCATCTTCCAATAGCTCGTACCCTAATCAATCATATAGATTTCAACAACCACTGCAACAACCCTCATTCGGATATCCTTCCAACTCGAGCTCTGGGACGTCATCAAGCTCGATGGGATCGCTCAACTCTCTTGGATATTTGCCTCCCTCGTATAGTTCAAGTAGTACTAGCCTCAAATCGGATCCTGATTCGGTAATGCAATCGTACTACAAGCCAACTAGAACAAAAAGAAATTCAAGACCTAGAATCAACAAGATTCTTGACGGTAATACTAAACCAGCTTCAACTTCAAACAGTAACATTTCTACTCTGATCCTGAAGTCCTCCTCTGTTGAAAATAAGCGCATTGACCTAACTTCCACTTCGCTTTGGGGAGTTTTAGGTGAAGTTGCTATAGATGAAATTAGAGTATCCTTCGCCAATGCAATGAATATAAAAGAGCCATATTCCTCCCTGTCTGACAAGAATGTGCCTAAATTAAAATTATCAAACCCATTGGAGTATAGGCTTTTTGATATTTTTATTCATATGTCTTCGAAGGCAATGGATCATTACTTGGGTCAAAATATATTTCAAGAAATAGTTGCTGAGCTTGCTCTTTATGATGAAACAGAGATGTTGATTAACCTGATAATATGCTTATGTGGTAGTATATTAAATAAAGGTGATCCTAGCTCACTAAGTAAAGACGTACCTACAAGTCACTATCAGCGAGCATTGCTGTCCATTAGGCATCATCTAAGCGAATCATCAGGAGAAGATCCATTGGATTTGGATGGCGCAGCTCTCAAAGAATACATAAAGCGAAGGGATGGACTTATCAATAGATGTCTAGTAAGTACAATAATACTTTGCTTGTACGAATTTGAAAATAATAAAACCGAATGTACACATATTAAGGGAGCTACTTCAATCTTGACGACCATTTTAATAAGGCATAGAGAAGGAACCGAACAAAGTTCCTTTGGTGAATCTAATTCCAGTTCAAGCAGTTTACTCTCAACTTCATATTTTCATTCAATCTGTTTTTGGTCGATATTTCAATTAGATATTTTGATATCAATTAGATATGGTGTTGCTACTATGTACTCTTACCTGGATTATTGGAAGCGCTATGACAAATTATATTTCGAAAGTTTTGAAAGAATTCCGTATCGAAGCTTGAGTCCAGTTCACGATTACTTCAATAGAGATACTGCAAATTGGTGGATGCAAAGAGCATTTATAGACTTTTCCCTCATAAATGATTTCAAGAACCTGAGAGATACTATGAAACAAGATCCAAACATTGGTATCGATTTATTCACTAGTTGGCATAAACTAAAGAAGAGTGTTGATGAGTATGAATCAAATTTACCTTTGAATTTAAAACCGACTATTTATCAACCTTGTTCACCTTCAAGGCATTTTCCAGTCATATACTTCAAGGATGAGAAGACTGCGATTACTACAATTATATATAAAGTATCAAGAATTTTATTGTATGAAAGCTTGGTTTTAAATGCTGATAAGAGTGAACTTATGAGGCAGGAGTTGGCTAAATTCTCTCCTGGATACATACAGAAGGTGATAAAGGATGCTTGTGGGATTATTAAAACTTATGGAAATGATTTCACACTTTGGCCCATTGGCACAAACATAGTTGATGATTTTAGAAATTATTTCAAGGCAGAACCTGAGTGTGCAAAGCAATTTGAGCATATTTTGGCACAGGTGAGGGCTGCTGAGCGAAGACAATATTGGAGAGTTACAGAAGAGGCAAAAGAATCCTAAGGCTTGAAGCAAGTAACAAGAAACAAAAAATAGAACAGCGCTATCCATATAGAAAACATATAAACGCAGTTAAAGTCCTAACATAAGATTAAATTTTAAACGCTGTTGTTAGGCTCGGCTTCCGCAAGGAGTCTAAAAATACTAATGTATTTCAAAATTATCAGAGGTATAGCTCCTAGGTTTCCTGTAGTAAGTTCTAGATTCAATTTAACTCTGAGGTACATTGCTTTCACATTTCTTGGAATATGATTTACCTTTCCGCAACGCCGGCTTTCTTCGAGTTAGTTCCCCCTGTCCCTCTTGTTCCTGCTGCAACAGATGCACTTCCATGCATGCTAAAGTATCTCACATTTATTTTTTTCATCTATATGCACAACGTCATATCTGTGCACGATGTGTTACGATTATATAGGGTCGCTCTAAACTTGGGCTATTAATCATTTCCTTTCTTCTCCACAATTAGCAATCTTATTTGAGCGAGGTTCAATCAACTTATCGGTAAATCTCAAATTTTAATCATAGCAAAAGACTTCTTAAATTTAACGTGTTGGAGCGTACTATACATTGTGCGTCGAATTCTTTCTTGTATACCTGTAAGCTTAAACCTTAATTTACCAATCACTCTCACCACCTAATAACCGAATTATTAAGCTTCTCGTAAATAATGAAGAATCAAATCAAGAAATTAAGACAGCAGGGTAAGAATCCAGTATTCTGTCAAGAAGTAACGAATGATGAATTTGATGAAATCTTAGCATTGCTCAAGGACAATTATCAACAAAATTTGAATGAAGCCGAGATTTTAGACCTCTTGGCAACCTTAGCTAATATAATATTAATTAATAGGAAGCTCCATTATGAGCATTTCACTCCAAATTGCTCCAAAGAGCTATTCAAAGTTATAATCAATTTAATAGATGATTCAACTCGCAAGCAGGAGTCAAAAAGAGCTGAAAGTAAAGAATTCAACTTTGTAGCTGCGTACAGGTTAGTCTTTTTGATATTGTATGATAGCAAGGAAATCAATGAGCAGTATCTTAAACACTCAAATGAAGTGCTAAAAAGGGCATTTACATTTTACAGTAAAAATTTCGAGCAGTACAATAAGGATACAAGTTATCAATTGAGCTTTAATGAACTCTTGAAATCATTGTATACTCTTTATCACCAGCATGCTGATCTAGATAAATTAGTTGGCACGGCTGAATGCATTCAAGTTGCTAATCGTGTGTTGAACTTCCAAAGGATAGGAGCTGTCGGTAAAGAATTGAAGAAACGATTCACAGATCTTGAGATGATGCTCATGAAGAGTATACTTAATTTCAATTTAATACTTCTTGGGGAATACAAACTTGATGATGGTGATGATGATTATGACGTTGGCCTAATTCATTCCCCACGACTTAGTGTAGATGAATTAAAGGAATGCAGCCTTACGTTCACAAATCTAGCGTACTTTTTAGAATTTGCATTGGAGCTGTATGATACCCAAAATGAAAGCAAACATACTAGCAAAAAGAGCAATTCTGCCATAGTGTTGGCTGATTTATTGGCAGTGTTGGCAATTTTCCGTGTGGACTACAAGAGGATTACTTCGTCAATAAATCAATTAAACGAGGATGGAAAGGATGAGCAAGATTCCTCATTCACGAAGTCAGTTTTGGAACTTAAGCAACGATATTGGGAATACTTCATTCCCAGTGAAAAGCACAATAAGTTATATAATCAATTATTCCAGTTAACTCTACTTTCACATCCAACAGTTTCTTTGAATACATCTGAAATAACGCATGCAGCACATATCAGATCATTGATTTACGATTTGTATTTTGAACTTTGCAAATCCAATGATCTACAAGGTGATAAAATTGATAGTGACGGGCAACTTGAATTGTTCTTACAATTATTTGGGTATAGCCATTCTATCCCATTCTTTCTAAATTCTAACAGAAAATCGCCTAGCGAGGAAATGAAGCAAAGATATATGAACCCTTCAAGCCAATTTCTTCGAGATTGTCCAACATTATCAACGTCAGGTAAAAATTTACAGTCGCTGGAGATCATAGATTCGCTATTCAATAGACAGTTCAGTTCTATGTCTACAAGTGAACGGGAAAGACCAGAAAAGTTGGAAGAGCCCATGACTCCGGAAGAAAAGGAGAGAGAGGCAGAAAAGTTATTCACGCTACTTGGTAGAGTGGAAAAAGACCCTCTCTTTGAAGGATTTGTAAATCCAGTAAGAGAATGGCAACAATCAGGAAAGTTTGAAGATATCGAATAAATGTCTTCGGAAAGAGAATAAAGAGAAAGCGGAATGGGTGTTGATATAAGTACATTTGACTCATATTTGGCATATAAGGCCCCTATTTAAATAGTGTTTTTTTAGTTAACATTTTCAATATACTAATTTTGATAATACTTTTTTATTTCTTCAAACACATACTACACTTTTTTTTTAATTAAATTTTGTATAAAATGCTGCTTAAGGGAACGATACTAACAATGTTTAAAATACAAAATGGGAAACAAATTGATTGGGGATCAAGAAATGAATACAAATACAAGCCTGGAAAGCTTCCGTGCGCTATCCTTTAGTTCACTAACTTGTTACTGGCTTGTCTTAAAAGAAACAAAAAAATCAAACTAGAAATTAGTTAGTCTAATTCTTAACCTTTTCTTTTAATTGGAAAACCAATGCAGTTCTGGTTGGAATATAAACTAAAATAGAGTTTTGTCTATTGTTCCAAGCTTCAGGTTGGGTCCAGAATTCAAATGGTTTACCAGTCTTCTTATCAATTTCTTCAATTCTTCCATGGCCACCGAATTTTTCGTCGTCAGAGTTCAAGACGATCTCATATACACCGGCAGTTTCAATTCCTAATTTATAATCTGGGTAAGAATTGGTTGGATGGAAGTTGAATACAAATAACAATCCACCTCTTTCAAAAACAACAACTTTATCCAGCTCGTGCTTAAGAGAAACATAAGCTTGTGGAGCTGATAATACACCATATTTGGTGTCTAATCGTTGCATTGAACAATCAAAATCAAACAAGAATCTGTAACGAAGTAGATCATCTTGGATAAGGTTGAATTGTCTTCTGGCATAATTGTACAGCTCGCCATTACCAACTCTTGGGAAATCTAACCATTCTGGGTGTCCAAATTCGTTACCTTCAAAATTAAGGTATCCCTCTCCTCCAAGCGCAAAGGTAATCAATCTGATTAGTTTATGGAGTGAAAGTCCCCTATCAATAATAGGGGTAAGTTCCGACAATTTAGACATATGAGTGTACATCTCTTTGTCCATGAGCCAAAAGGCTAAAGTCTTATCTCCAACAAGTGCTTGATCATGAGATTCACAATAAGCAATGCAATTTTCACCATGTCTACGATTTGTTAATGTATGGACAATATTACCAAAGTCCCACTCTTCATCTTGCTTATGCTTTAAAAGTTTAATCCACATATCTGGAATAGCCATAGATAATCTGTAATCATATCCAACACCACCTGAAGACGTTGGAAGACAAAGGGTTGGCATACCACTTACGTCTTCAGCAATCAGGATAAATTTAAAATGTTCTTCTTTGCCCATTTCCTCAATTAATTTATGAGCTAAAATCATGTATGCTATGGCATCGTTGTCGACATAATCGTCAGAGAAATACTCATTATAGTTACCGCTGAAGCCGAAACTCAATCCATGATGCTTGTATAGCATGGAGGTAACACCATCAAATCTAAAACCATCGAATTTGTAAACGTCAAGGTAAAATTTTAAGTTCGACAACAAGAACCTTAAAGTTTCAAAGTTGGAATAGTTAAACAACCTTGAGTCCCATAAATCGTGGTTTCCTTTTGCACCACCGTGGAATAAGTAATGATCGGTTCCGTTGAACATATTTAAACCATCTTCTACATTTTTCAGGGCGTGAGAGTGCACCACATCAAGTAAAACTCTAATACCAAGCCTATGAGCCTCGTCTACAAGTTCCTTCAAGTCTTCTGGAGTTCCAAATCTCGAGGAAATGGCGAAAAAGTTGGTGATCTGGTATCCAAAACTGGCATAATATGCATGTTCCATAATAGCCATAAGTTGGATAGTATTGTAACCTAATGTGTGAATCACAGGAAGAATGTTCTTCGTGAAATTCTTATATGAACCAATCTTTGGTTCCGGAGTCGAAATACCAATATGGGCCTCATAAATCTTAATTCCATCGGTCAAAATTGGTCTTGGACTCTTGAATTGATAGGTATCAGCAGGAGATGGATTCCAAAATCTTCCCTCGTATATGTGACTTTCCACTTTCCCCTCGCTGTTTGGTTCAGGTTGGGTGGCTCTAGTCAACCATGGAGACAACCTGAAAACTCTTTCACCGCTGCTCAAGACCAACAGCAACTTTATCTTCAGATCGTGCGGAATAGCGAACGACCCATCAGCGTTTGCCGCGATTTTCAAGTGCCATAAACCAAATTCGTTCTGCAACTTTAATTTGTGCGCATTAACGTCCCAATTGTTAAAGTCTCCAACAAGCGAAACTTCTTGAACATCTGGAACATACTCAGTAACTTGAATACTGTGATCATCCCAATTGGCATGAATACCATAAGTCTTGTATGAAGAGGCAAATTCCGAAAGCGTACTTTTTGATTCCGCAGTCACCGAATTGATCAACAGTTGGGCATGCTTTTGACGGTGAATCAATGCCCCTTGGAAAGGTTCTAACCAAGGATCTAAATCCAAAGCACCTTTAATCAAAGGATCAGTCATTTTTTAAGTATCAAAGGTTCGTTCGGGCTAGTTTCTTAACTTCGTACAGCAATAGTGGTCTACAATTGATATAAGAAGCTTGATTATAAGAAATTTATGTAATTTCCTTGAAAAAAAAAAATACCTGGGCTATCTTTCAATAAATACAAAAACGGGCTAGGATGTAATTTGTGGGGCTCCGAAGCTTTTGGGGGTTGCGAGGGTTTGTGGAGCATTTAATTTTGGGTGATGGTTTGATTTTTTTCCTCGTTCTATTTTGAGCGAGGGGGTCGGTGGTGTGCGTGTTCTGCACCTTGCAGGGAAAATAAGGTTCTCACGCAGCAATAGCTCAAATTCGGTGGGTAAGCTGCTGGGGCAGTTCCAGGAGATATTGAGAGAGAAGAGATAATGGACGATATGAATAGCTACATATTGGGTTGCTTCGAAATGGGATTTTGAAAACTGAACGTATCTTCTTCAGTCCCTTCAGTCGTTCAAGTTCCTTCTCTTGCGTTGGCCACCACTTCCAAGCAGACAGCTGGACTCCTAGTTAGGCGATATGCATTCTCGAGCATGTTCGATATTTTTCCGAAAGGTCGAGTATAGAGGGGAAATTTTGTGGGGGATGTCTGTCCAGGAAGAAAGCCATCATGGAACTTTATAAGATAAAATATTTTAGGGTGCATGATGGGTGCACCTAAAAGGTTATTGGTCTTGAGCAAGGGCCTAGCGGTGTTGAAGTGGCGTATTTAGGTGGGTCTATCGTCGTAATTAGTCTTTCAAAGGTACTGGCGTGTGGTGCTTTCCGCAGGGCCCTGAGCCAGCTTCTCACATTGGTGAAAAATGAACCACTTTATCATTGCTGCAGATTGCGCAAATCAAAGCATATAGACTTTCGCTTAACTCAGTGAAGAATACGGGCAGTCTATCTACTCTGGATGACTGCCTTCTGGAAGTGGTTTTTATTCTACACTACCAATTACTTTTAAATATTCCGTCGTAACTTATTTGATCTTTTCAAAACGTTGTTCAGTAAAAAAGCGGGCGACCTACTTGCTCTACATGACTGTTTTCTAAAACTTGTTTCTTATTTTACAATTCTAATTACTTTTCAACCCTCCGTCATAATAACTTATTTGATCTTTCTAGAAGGCTCTTCAATACCTTTTTAGCTGGAATAAATTTAGCTTCATTCCTGGTCATCGCCGCTTGTTAAATACAATTTCTCACCGCTTTCCTCCCGCTTCCTCACAAATTTCTCTCTGCTTTCTTACGTTTTCCTTCGCTAAAACGTTGACTCGTAGCCTTCTTCATCGTAATCTTGTTTTTTTCTCTACTGTTGACCATTCACATGCACCCCGCTTCGTCATATTCTCGTCCCTTCCTTCTCTACCTGAAACGTTGGCTCAATATCCTGTCAGACCCTGCTTCTTCATATTCTTGCTTGCTGACCCACATTTGGTGGAAAGTACCCAACGATGCTAACACACTTCCACCAATCCAAGTTTGATTGAATCTTTCCGTAGAATTACCTGTGGCGTGAAGTCTAATCTTCAAACCTGGGTTCATATTGGAAAGTTCCGTGTATAATCTCTCTGTTAATTTTGGAATCATTGAGGTTGAGCCGGTTATGATAATGTTATGTGCTACAGAAGATCTCAAGTCAATGTCCACTGAAGAAAGGGTATGTGTGATTAATTGGGACAATCCACGGCAACCTGTCACAGAGTTGGGCCCATTTTTCCTCTTCAATTCTGACGAGCCACTAGTAGAAGCAGCATCCTTCCCGTCAGATGGAGGTGGTGTGCTAGTGGCCAGTTCAGCCTTCCTTGCCCTTTTCAATGGCTTATATTCTTCAGCTGTGGTATTAATGACCAATTCTCCACTCTCATTAGGATATTTTTTCTGTAAAGCTTCATCTTGGAACTTATAGCTGTGCGGTTCGAATAAGCTGTCAGCGATTTGGAACCTCTCAATGGCAAAGTCTATGCTTTGTCCGTTAGGGAGTTCAAATTGTCTCTTATAAGAATCCTGCTTATATAATTCCTTTATTGAATTATTGTGGTTTATATTATTGCTGACTAATTTCTTCTCGGGAACTTCCAACAATGTTTCCTTCAACTCATGGAAAATCTTCTCCTCTTGGTAGTCATGGTACGTCTGCGTGATATTGCTTGGATATCCGTTAGCCTTTGGGTCTTTGGCACTCTTAAGTTGGAAATTAGGAGGGTCTGTTGGATAATGGGTCGTGACCCTGCTTTGAACTTGGTAAAGCGGCACTATGCTGAAGTTTCCTGGTACATTTTCACCACCACTCTTGACGTACTTCCTCTGTAAAAGATCTTTAAACTGGTCGTTTAAGTATTTTCCAGCGTAATGAGTTCTCATTGAATTCTTCAATAATGAAATTCCATCAACAACTGGTGTAACGCTTACTGAGTCGTGGCCAATATCAACTACGAGGCAATTGGGTCTTCCCTGTTGGAAAGATACACATGTTGGAGCTTTCGCCAAGAACAAAGCCGGAAAGTCAAACTCCTCATAAAATGTCTCCACAATCTTTTTACGGTATTCTGTAGAGGTCCACACTGGCTCCGTGATCAAAATCGGCTGTTCACGGAAATCCAAGTGCAATACGTCATTGAAATATTTACTGTATTGATCAACTGCCGCGTCCCAGTCAACAATCTCTGAGTCTTTCATTATAGATTTAACCTCGTAGCCGTCTCTGGGTACGTTAATGGAATCTCCGAAAATACGGCCGCTCTTGCTGGCATAACTATTACTCACTGTAATCTCCTCGTCGTTTTCGACTTTTGCAGTCTCCTTGGACTGTTTGCTACTATCCAGACTTTGCGCAAAGTATGAGGGTGTGATTACTTTGGGGTAGTCGTCTCCAGCATAACCAATTCTGGTATGGAAAGAGCCAGCATCTAACACAATCGCGTTGATTTCATCTCCTCCGTACACGTTAGCAGCGGCAGCAGCAGTCGACATGTTTTTGTAAGAGTTCTGGGTGTGGGTATAAGTTAGAGAAGCTCAAGTGTCCAATTTTTCATTTTCTGTCTGTGTTTTTTTTTCCATAAAGCAATTCGTATCCTGCATATAGCCCAAAAGGTGTTGCAATATCAAGACAATGCCCAGGCAAGGTAAGAGGGAGCTGATCGACTCTCGAAAGGTGTACCTGGTTCTGTTCGATCCGCTTGTTTTGCTTACATAAAGGGTTGGTACTTCCCATCTACTGGAGACTTAATTTTATTTTTGTTTTTTTTTTCTGTTTCATTCTGTTTATATTATCTAAATACATCATCATCATCATGTAGCCTTGCTTTTAAAAATAAAACGCTTCAAACGCTTCTGAAGTCCTTTTATTTTCTCTCACCACCTTCACTTTACAACACTCTAGCCTCAGAGTCAATCAAGTTCAACAAGAACTCAACTTCTAATCTCTTTCTTCCTTCAATAACCCAATCATCAGCCAATTTTCTTGACCATCCCTTCAAACTGGCTACATCTTCCACAGCAGCGTCTAATTCACCTCTAGTAAGCAGTTGTTCTACTCTACCGATAACACTTTCGATGTCCTTTCCGTCTGGCTTAGATCCCTTTGTAGATAAAAGCAACTTGGAAAATAAAATTGAGGATAAATGTCCCAAAAGACCGGCGTTAGGTGGTAATAAGGATGCTGATCTCAATTCAGGTAATAATTGTTCCCATCTGGAAAGAAGTTGAGACAGAGAGAGGATGGAATGTGTAGATTCGTTGGCTGCAACTGAGGCAAGGTCAGCTACAGAAAGTTTCAATAATTCATCATCAGTGGAACTTACTGCCTTGGCAAGTGCATCTACGTACGGACCTAAAAGTTGTGGCTTGGAGCCGTTACTCAGATTGAAAATAACAGCTTTCAACTTACTTAATGCCTTTTGCACTTCAGTCTTTTTGTGATTTTGAACAAGTTGACCCTCTAAGTCTACTATGAACTTTTCTACAGACTCCAATCTGGTATTTACATTGGCCAAGTTCTTCAATCTGCCGTCTCTTTCTTGGTCAATTTGATCCTTGACAAGCTTATCGAAGTTCTTGGTGGTTTCAATCCTCATGAGGGTAACAGCGTTTACAGCGGCCTGACTGATAGTTTCCTTGGCAGATTCAATCTCTTGTACCAATTGCTGATTTAATTTTCTTTCCAATTGAACCTTTTCAGTGTTGAATTGATGCAAGAAGTTTTCGGTAAGTTCCAATTCCTTCTTGGTGTAATTAGCCAAAACTTCGGTTTGGCTCACCTTCAATTGAGACGAAAGCTCCTCGTTGAAACTTGCAGAAAGCTTGTTCAACTTGTTTTCCAAAATATTAATATTGTCGTTAATAGACTTGATCAATGCGGAGGAAGATGGCAGCAAATGTGTTACGTCAATGGATTTGATAAGATCGTTGAAGGAGTCTACTGTCTTTCTGACAGAATCTTCTGCAGAACTACCACTGGACAACTTGAGAAGTGGCAAATGAGTTACAGCCTTTTGGGCAAGTTCTACAGGCTTTTGGAGTTGTTGGCCTGGTGTTCCTTCAATGGGAGTAGTGACAACGACCTCCTCATTGACTTCTTTCTTGGGGATGGAGAAGTTTGGAGAGTCAAATTTGGTCTTTTCTTCGATCTTCGACTTCAAATCTTCTAAATCTTCCTTGGTAGGTAATTTGAATTCCACGTCGGAGAAATATGCCTTAATTTCAGACCACTTCTTCTCCACATCATCGAGAGATCCGGTCTCAATTAAGTCGATAAGTTCCTCATGGTAGGGTAAGTTGTTGTCAATGACGAAGTCGAGAATAGTGTCATTCTTGGTGGCTGCGTACAAAGTACCTCCGTAGACAACAGACAAGAAAAGGAATGTCTTCAAGAGTAGTCCCGTCAAGGAAGTCGACTTCTTTGCCTTAGGTGGTGGGGGTGGTGGAGGTAAGTCACCGGCCTTTGGCGGTACTGGAGACAATCCTGGAGTTGACTTGACTGCAAGTGTAGAAGTGGCAGCAGAAGAAGCAGCGGAAGCAGCAGCAGCATTGGCAGCGGCACTGGCAGCAGAAGCAGCTGGACTTGGGCTAGTTTGAATGGTTGAGCCTCCTTTTTGTTCAATGGTGAAAAGTCTGGCGCTATTGGACACAGAACGGATGGAAAGTCCAGTCGATCTTCTAGATAACGAAGCAAGGGCTCCACGAGATGTTCCTGAGATCATTCTTTGCTACGGAAATCGGACTCAATGGCTGTATATTATAACTTGTAAGTCTTAACCTTGGTTTCTACGTGGTTGTGTTTTTTTGTGTGTGCATTTTCTTCCGCTCCAATTGGAAGAGCGAAAAGTGGGAGAGTGGTTTTGTGTAACATCCTGCATGTGCTGAAGAATTAACAGTAGGTGTTGGTGGTGTAGATGGGGGGAGAAGTAGCGTAGTAGTAGATGTTTGATGTAGAGATGGGCTGATTGGAGACGTGGTAGCTGAGTTGGAATGGAAATAGAGATGAGAAAGGAAGATTGCATGTATAATACATCTACTTGATTATGGGAGACGTTGTGTTCCTGTATATAAGTGTTAATATTGCTGCATATATTGGAGGTGGTGAGTTCTAGCTGAGTCTATAGTTGATGGTACTAGTGGCAGCATTAGTGGTGATGGTGGCCAATTATGCTGGTTAATCTATTCAAATATGCTATCTACTTGCTCTACCCATTCATCTAATTATTTGTTGCGTATTGGCTCCTGGTCAACACTGAAATTGGTCAATTGACACAGTCTTCTAGACTAACAACTCGTTTGTCTCAGAGTCATTGAAGAATTGTACTCTTGGTTTATTAGGTAACTGCTGACCCAATGCTTCTCTTCCCTCGCCATTTTCTACACCACTTCCAATGTACACTGGCTTTTCCCATGTTTCAGAATCCTTTTCATAATCCCAGACATTCTTGGAGATACTCAGGTCCTCAATTGATTTCTTGTCTTTAATTTTTTGTTCCAATTCCCTTATCTCTGCTTGATCTTCAAAATCACTTGCATCTTCGTTTTCTGAATTTGGAAGTGAAGGGGTTACTTCTCCCGGTATAGCATTTCTCTCCACCATTTCAACCTTTCCATTTCGAATAACCATTTCAACGATCTTTTTTCCTCTTCCAGTTCTGTTCATTTCCGTGGTCTTGTTTTTTCTCAACTGCCTTTGCTGCTTTCTCAACTGGAGTGCTCTTTCTATTGGAGAAAGCCACATACTTCCACTGGAAATACCGCTAGATGCCGCTGAAGTGTCAAAATCGGCTGCATTGTCTATAATTCGTGTTCTTTCAGCTCCAGTTGCCTGGAAATTCAATAAAGTCTCCAATTTCTCTTGAGCTGCTAAAAGTTCCGGTGTAACATTCTGTGCTCTTTCATATTTTTTCAATTCCTTTGCTTGTTCTTCAATCTCGGCTAGTTCTTTCTTCTGTGCGGCCAAGAGTTCAGCAGCCTCCTTCTTGGCTTTATCTGCCTCCTTTAATGCCCTATCTTGGGCATGCCAAAGGTTTTCTCCCGCTTTCATCGTGATAGTAATTTTCTTTGCCTTAGCTTTCTGTTTGGCTGCAATTGCGCTGGATTCAGCTATCTTTTTCTTCAAATCAGGCTGCTTTTCTTCTAGAGACACCTTTTCAGTGTTCAATATTTGCATGATCTCCAACTTTTCACTTGCACTTAACAATTCATTACCGCAGTATGAGCAGGGCTGTAATCCTTCCTTAGCACATATTATCTTCCCACAGTTCAAGCAGTTAGGTGCTACTTCAAATAATGGGTGTCTTGTAGCCATGCAATTGCAAACTCGCCGGCCCGAATGATCGTCACTATTTATTTCCAACTCCGTTAAAAGTGCATCTATGTCCTTCAAATTATCAAGGTTTTTCTTCTTCAGCTTTTTACTGCTTGGTTTCACTTTGCCATCCAAAAGTTGTGAAGTAGTTGTAGACTTAGTCTTACCAGATAATCTCCCCTTATTGTCAACTCCTTGCGCAGTACTAGCGCTAGCACCAGAACCCCACGCAGGTTGCAGCTGCTTCTTAGACTTTGTTTCATTCTCATGGTGGGTGTCATTAAACTTTTTTTTCTGCGACAGTTGCGACTTTTTCGTTATTTCGTGTTTCCACTCGAGAAATTTATGAATAAACAGTAGCGAATCATCACTTTCACCTAGAAGCTGAAGAAAGTAGTTTTGGATTTCTGAATCTGTTCCAAGCGTCAAAACATGATCAACCATTTGCAGACATGTTTCTCCATCTAATGGCAAAATGCTGGAAATCGAATTAATAGAAAATTGTCTTAAGGCATCTAGAGACATTTTATCTATGTGTGTATGCTATTATCAAAATATCTCTTTATAAGTTCTGGGGAAACTCATGAGCTATAAGGTTGGTGATGTTAAATTTGCCATTGGTATAAATCAAATTTTGATGTGTCATATGATATATGCAGGAAGCAGCAATGCTGGGGCGATCTCTACTTCTAGAAGCAACCAATAAGAAAGCTGCTTGGTTTTGTAAAAGACGCTGGAGGGCTCTTACGAGAATACATGCATAATGAGGGAGTACCAGCTTTCAATTCTTCTCGAAGTATACTCTGCGTGTCTTCCTAGCCTCTACCGTGTACTTTTGATATGTTTACCTCAGTTGTCCAGTATGCAGGACTCGAAGAGCTGATATGGATGAGGTGCATTGTACCAACACAAATAAAACTTCTTCCTACTGTTTTGTTGTATATATTCAACTTTTTCTATATAGACACAGTAGTAAATTACGCTGCATATTCATTACTAGTGTATACATAATGTCCGGGCCGCCTCCTCCAAATCATATGCCTCCTCCTGTACCAGATTCTGAGGCAATGAAGGCAAAGTATGCTGAAATTGCAGCATTGAAAAAGTCCATTGAGGAGAAGAGGATGGCACAACATTCTAATAAACCGGTACCTGCATGGTACGGTGGAGGAAGAGGTGGGTTTAAAGGTGGTAGGGGTGCTTTCATGGGTAGAAAAAGAGGTGGCAACTCTCACAGAAATATGTCTCTTATCTTCAATGAAGGTAAGGAGCTGCTGCCCATTGCAACCGCATCTGATGATCCTTCTGCTGCATCGTCTTCATCTTCCTCCTCTCCCTCTGCTACAAACTCTAATATAGCTTCTTTTGTATCTTCCGTTTCTAGTGGTGGTATGACACTTATCAATTCCGATATATATCACCAGGAAGCTTTATCTCGTCAAAAGCAAATTGACGCTACTAACAATTTAAAGGAAAAGCTAAAACAGCGTAAACTTGAGAGAATTAGCAATGCCAAAATACAATTGAAAAGATCAAAGACAGATAGCTGCGATAGAGTAAGTATCAATGGAGAAACCTTTGCTGTTTCAATGGGTGGCTTGGCATTAAAGTTGATCTCTGCTCAAAAGAACCATGAGGATAAGGTAGTCCAATGGAACAACTTGCTGTACGTGAGGCAAGACAATGGCGATTTGATCTGTCCCACCAACAGAGGAAGGATCACGGTGAGCCATTGTACATACTTTACAAAGACCGGTACGTATATATTTTTGTTGAAACAACATTTCATTCTTTTGTTTTATTTCTTATACTAATTTATCCAATCAACTGTTTCCGAGCTTTTCTATATTTGATATAGGTTTCTGTCAGAAAGGCTCAAATTGTCCGTTCCAGCATGATCCGAATCACATTCGTTTGTGTAGATCATCACTAAACAACAGCTGTCACAATGCACAGTGTATGCTTTCACATAAAAGGACACAATTCAATACTCCAATTTGTCGCTATTTCTTGGAGAATAAGTGTTCGAATCTGCAATGTATGTTTCTGCATAACAAGCCAGACAAATTCGATGATCCAGAAGTGGAGATTTGGGTCTGTAGACCATTTTCCATCTCTGGTGTGTGTAGTAGAGGCTCGAGATGTCCATTTTTGCATTTATATATATGTCCAGATTTCCAAGAAGAGGGGACATGTCCTAGAGGTAAAAGCTGCTCATTGAGCCATTTGATAACTCAAACAACCCAAAGGATGATTTTAACTAAAAAGGCCGAGAATGAGGATGAGGAAGATGTCTTGGTTGAAAGCGAAGATGAGGAACAAGGCCGGAACCAAGGTGAAGGCGAAGGTAGAAGAAAAATAGCGAAGAACCGTAGTCCTGTCAAGAAAATCATTAGTAGCTATACAGTGGATCCTCATGTACTCTTTGATAAGGGAATGAATGAAAAGTACAGCTACTACATTGATAGCAACCCTGTGGCTCCTTCTAAGAAGAGTACTAGTACTTCAGATATACTTGCATCCGGTGAAAATAGAAATACTTACAGTCAAGACAGAGAGTTTATGATTCACCTTGAGAGTAGTGATTCAGAATTAGATGATCTAGAAGAAAATAATGACTATGTTGGGTTAGAGTACAGCGCAGAAGACGAGCAAATGGACAATCAAGTAGTTGATGATAGAGATGTTCAAGAGGTTGAACGTATAGAGACTGAAGGAGATAGAGATGTGCAAGTAGCTAGAAGAGCAGACATCCAAGAAGATAGAGATGTTCAAGAGGCTGAAAGTAGAGCAAACATTCAAGAAGATGGAGATGTTCAAGAGGCTAATGATTTAGCCAGCCAAGAGGATAATCTAGACGGACAGAGTGATGGAGAGCTTGAATTCTAGGGTGTTAGTAGAAGAAACCAGAAGAAAAGGAAAAGAAAGGAAAAGAAAGGAAATTACTAAAAAAAAAAGAAGAACAAAGAGCATAAGAACATACACATAATAGATATCAATTAGCAATTTTTGTAAGTAGTCCGTAGTTGTCAGTGCTTTCAGCTGTTTCAGTACAATACGAGGTGTCATTCAATCGTACTTCTCTATCCGAAGTAAGACGGTTTTTTTTGAGTACACTGCGGGTGTACGATGTGCTTATCAGTTCATAGCATTCCCTTTAGTACTTGCGAATTTTGCAGCAATATTTTTTTGTTCTTGATGTTTTACATTAGCTGCAAAACTCCTTCTGTGGTAATGGTAGTTCTTGTGAATCGAACTATTTATCTTCACAAATAGACGATAGCAGTAATCTTCTCTGCATTTTATGTTAATAAGTACTGCCAAAAGTTTACTTTCTGTGAATCCTTGCCTGTTCCTCCATACCATTTCTAGTTCAATGGACCAAGTTCCATTTTTGTCTCTTCAATCGTATCATAATGACTATCAAAGTATTTCCACCCTTGGTAATGGGTCTTTTGGAACTGTAGTCTTGGCAAAGTATCGACATCCTATAGAAAACTTAGTTGAGTGGAATGTGAATAAGAAAGGGACGATGCTTGATTTATTGTCCGACTCTTCGAACCATTTGGGACCCTTGGTTGCAATAAAAACTATGAACAAAAAGCTCACCTCTATCGAGGATTATGCTAGAGTCAAGGAGTACAAGTTTATAATCTCCATCCCACTGCATCCCTCTCTAGTTCAAATATACCTGATGTTCATCGATAGAAGTTATTTGAATTTGCACATTGTGATGGAAACCATGAATCAAAACTTGTACCAGTTGATGAAATCGAGAAAGAACGTCAAATTCTCTTCGGTTACTCTTAAATCCATATTGAGACAGTTGGCTGATGGTATCCGTCACATTCATCGACATGGGTACTTCCATCGTGATATTAAACCTGAAAATATTTTAGTCTGCCATACTCAGCAATACTATTGTTCTAATAATAATGGCTGCAAATTTTCAAATGGCACAGTTCCCAGTAGCCGTTCACGGGATAACTTTGTTGTAAAGATAGCAGATTATGGGCTAGCACGTCACGTAAACAACGTTAAGGCCTTCACTGAATATGTATCTACAAGGTGGTATAGATCACCTGAGATTTTACTAAGAAATAATGGATATTCCAAGCCAGTTGATATTTGGGCATTTGGAGCAGTTGCTGTAGAAATGGCTACTTTCAGACCTTTGTTTCCAGGTGCAAATGAGCTAGACCAAATATGGAAGGTATTAGAGATACTAGGCTCACCTTCTAGTGATACTGGGAGCGATTCAGAAATTGACGTCGACAGTAACGCACCCTTTGGTGGATTTTGGGATGAAGCTCAGAGTTTAGCTTCTAACTTGGGGTTTCTTTTACCAAGCAACCCCGGAGTAACAATTAATCAAATACTTCCTGAAGAAAGTTATACAGACTTAGGAGAATTGGTACAAAAGTGTCTTACCTGGAACCCTGATAAAAGGATTAGTATAGAAGAAGTATGCCAATTGGCATATTTCAGGAACACTAGTTTGTCAGGGCCATATGTTGAACCTTCAAGGTTCTTCCAAGAAGATGAAGTGGCGGATGACCATCAAATACAAAATAACTATTCTGTACTTGACGAAAACACAGACCCGATGCCAACTCTAGACCCTTTCTACGTTCATGCTTCACCTGAAAAGTACGGAAGGAAGAGAGATACTCAGTTGAATCTACAACAACACTCATTAAAAAATGCAACCACTGACTACGGTCCGAATTTCATGGGGTATAGAGGAGCTGATTTTTATTTTACTGATAGAAATAATAATGGCAAGGAGAGAGAAGAAGAGGATGATTCAGTTTTAGAAGGAGTAGAAGAGGAGGAGGAGGAGGAGAGTGTGTTAGAAGATGTTCTTGAATACAATGGGTATAATGAGCAAGAGTGCAATTATGAAGACGAGAGTATTCAGTACATTCTATCTCATTCGAAAAAAATAGGAATCGAATACTCATGGGAGACAAACACGAAGCTAGAGACACCGGCTTTAGCGACGAGTTTACTTTTACGTGGAGAGTTATTTGACACAGAAAATAGTGATGTAGAAAGAACTCATGGCCAGGAAGACGAATTGGGAATTGGCGATATTTCCATTGGAAGTATTAAAGAGATCAGTTGTTGAGCTAAAGTTTAAAAATTTGGGTATAACTACCGCCCTATAGATCTACCGTTTACCGAGGAGAAGATTCTGACTGGGTGCATTTTTGTGCTGCCCCACATTTATAACTTTAATGCAAAACGCCAAAAAGCCGTCTGGCTAGATTAAATGCGAATGACCCCAGAGTTTACCTTGGTATTTAAATACACAAATGGATCTGATACATAAAAAATACATCAGAGAGAAATACGAGTAATAAACTAGATATAAGCGAAAGTCAGTTAAAAGGTTGACTTTTATATTTATATCTTTCTTCGAATATAATGTGTATTTTGCTATCTTCCACAGAACATCCTGACTACCCATTTATATTATTGTCAAATAGAGATGAATTTTTCAGAAGACCAACAGAACCAGCGGATTTCAGAGATACAGAGGATGGTAAAGTAAAGATTTTAGCTCCCTTGGATTTGGCTAGACCAGAGCATGGGACTTGGATTGGCGCTGCAACTGATGGGAAGTTGGCAGTTTTGCTAAATTTTAGAGAAGAAAATTACTCAGGTACGTATTACAGATTAAAGATAATGAGAAAACGAGTTGATACTAACAACTACTAGAATCATACAGTGAAATATCTCGAGGAATCATCCCATTAGATTATCTTAAGTCTGGAGATATTAGCGTAGATGAGTGGGTAAAAAATCTTGAAACGTCTATTTCAAAAGAACGTGGAGTAGACCCAAAAGAAGAGTATCCACTTCGTAAAGTTGGCGGTTTTACGCTTATGTATGGGAATCTCAGCTTAGAATCAAATGGTAAAATATCACATTTAAACATTCTCTCTAATAGAGGCGATAGGGGGAAAGTTCATGTACCTATTGACTCGGATGTTGCCCTTCTTGATGCTGATATCGGGCACAAGACAACTTTTGGATTGTCCAATTCATTGTATTCAAATCCATGGCCCAAAGTGAACTTGGGTGAAGAATTGCTTCTGAAGGCAATCAAGTACTCCATAGTTCGCAGAGAAAATTTACAAGAGTTGGTTACTTCATGTTTTGAAGTTTTGCTGACTGATACATTAAGTCAAGAGATGGCCAGTGATAAGACACAAGATTTTACTGCTAAAATGATGGAGTTGAAAAAGTCAATATTCATCCCACCAGTGGAACTGGGCTTTGAGATTGCCATAGGAAGTAATCCTACCATCGGTAGATATTATGGTACTAGAACACAAACGGTGATAGTCTTAGACAAGGAAGGCGAGTTGCACTATTTCGAGAAGAATATACAAACATCAGATGTTCTTACTGAAGGAGAAGTTGAAGTTAAGCATTTTCATTTTCCAATCAGGAAAAATAAATAGCAATTTGGGAAATTGTGAAATTTTTCAGCTGTTAAAGATAAGAAAGTATTTGATATCAGAACAAGAAAATTATTTTAGACTTCACTCTAGTGAGCGAAGAACAACCCAGCTCATTTTCTACCTTCTACACTATTTCACAATTTTTTTATAGAAATTCTAGAGTGTATTGGATTTAAAGGGTTTCATGAAATCTTTCCATATTCAATATGATAATTAAAACACTAATATACATAATAAATGGTAACTGAAGCATGTGGGCGGTTGCGTAATATACTCTTTTCTGTAAGCAGTATCTGCATGTTCATCCTGCATTTTGCTTATCACATGTCCCCAACTTCTTCGATACGCACAATTGTTGAAGCAATGAAGTTGCGCAGATTTGGGTGAAAATGGGCTGAAGTGAAAAGTACCACATTAGTTAGTTGCCTTTCTCTGTTTTGAGTTGCAATTGAGTATGTCCTTCTACACGCATCCTTCACAACCTTTGACTTCACTCTACCATAAGCCAGCTGTAAAACAGTCGTCAAAAAATAAATTGCTTTTGTTCATTCCTGGGAATCCTGGCCTTATAGACTACTACACCACTTACTTGGAAATTATTCAAAAGCAATACCCCAGTCTTGAAGTATTAAACATATCTCATGCAGGGTTCCAGACAACTGATAATTATATTTCAAAGGGAGAGAATTCTCCGTTCGTATTTTATGACTTAAATTACCAAATTAACCATAAGGTTGAAATAATTGAAGAATTTGTAAATGAGAAATGGAAAAAGAATGGTGGGGCTGGTACGGAGAAGATCGAATTATTTTTTTTATGCCATTCAGTGGGTGCATTCATATCACAAAGAGTCATCAAGAGGCTCTTGGAATTGCCGGATATCTCTAAAAAGATATCTATAAAGTTTGTGGGGTTAATTTGTCCAACCATTCTTGATATAAAGATTTCATCTTCTGGGAAAATATTCACAAGACTCTTCTGGCTCTTACCCTTAATTAAAGTGGTTTTATTTTGGACCAGATTTTTGAAATGGATTCTTACACCACAAAGGATCAAGGGTATCATAAGATACCATCTTTCCAAGAAAAAGGTGGCCGGTAGTAGAGTAGACCCAGATGCAACTGCAAACATGGAAAATTCCATTATTGCAACTTACAATCTTGTTCTGTCGCAGAGAATTATCAGACAAGCATTAACCCTTGCAGAAGAGGAAATGGAAGAGATCTCTCAACATAAATCTACAAATGATTTTTTCTTCAAAACTTTAACAAATAGTGAAAACCGTGTAAAGATATGGTCTTTTTTTGCAGATAAGGACTATTGGGTTCATGATAATACGAGGGATTCGATACTCTCTCAGTATACTGATCTAGATAATAAAAATTTAAACTTTCAGCTTGGAGAAAAGTCGGGTATCACACATAGCTTCTGCGTTGACCAGAATAAGGAGTTTGCCCTAATTACAATCAATGCTTTGGATAAGTTCTTTAACAATCAATTGGATTAGGATTGATCTCGATCCACATGATGAGGCTCAATTATTTTTATGCAGGGAGTGCTAAATAGTCTGTGAAGGTGTTCTCGTATACCTCAACTGTTTAACAATTAATCCTAGTTCGTTATGTGACAATGTTTCACCATGAGCACTAGTGCCACATTGGGAATTATTTTTTTGGTTAAACTAGTATTGAGTTTTGTTTCATGCCCCTGGTGGCTTTGAGATGTCTCTGATCTGAGAAAATATTAGGGCAAGACTACCACAGTGATAAGACAAATAGGGGCTTGGAATAGATTGTATTGACCACTATTAGTTTGTTATCTTGCCACACTAATGCCAGCCCTCGAGGATTCGAAAGACGCCATGATACCCGTTTGTTCAAAGACAATTCTATTGTTTCTTTCGTATTGTTTCAGATGTATGCTATCTCGGGTGAGCTTGGACGTGCGTCAAGACTTGGGACTTATGCGAATCTTGCGTATTTCCCTCTTACACATTTAGAGCCGCATTACATAGATAACTTAATATCATGTGAGATTTTTAATGAACTAATGTATTAACTGTCTAATAACTCTACATGATCCTAGCTCTAACTATTTCATTATTTCCAAGCCAATTCAAGGTGTAAATGATTTCGCTTTTGCTGCAATTAGTTTTGAAATTAAATTTTTGTTCGTAATATTCGCCAATGTTAAATTCGATAATTTCAAGCTCGCTCGATTCAATAGCACTCTCATGCATTTGAAAAGTATTTCCTTGTAGTATTATGGAAATCTTTGGTAAATATACGTTGTGATAGAGATCAGTTAACAATGAACTGTCAATATCTTCTAACTCTTTCGTAATTATCTCTACCGAAAACTTTGTCAATCTCTCAGAACCTAAAACTGGTTTCCTGAAATGTTTCTCAATATGACCAAACACTTCCAGAGACTGTGTCACTATAGAGATCGATATGTTTTGTCCCAATTCTGTTATGAGCTTAATGGAATCTTCCTCGAAATTTCTACTTTCAGCTTCTGAACCATGCTCATCTATAAAATCGAAGACCACCAACTTATTGACTTTTACCTCAGATATATCCACATATTGAAGCAAGCTCTGGCATTTTTTGAGTCCCAACGCTAGCTGTTCAAAGTTATCAAAGAATACGTTAGGGTTGGAAAACACTTCAATTTCATCTATGATCAACCTCCAGCCCTCCCAGTTCTTATCTGCGTAGCCCATAAGGGAGCTTTGCCTACAAGGTTCCCCTCTCAGGTTTATTCCAGTAAAAATGAGGCCAAGTTTATCGTTTTGTCTCATTTCTGAAATAACTGAATAGAGAACTGACTTAACTTTAAGCTTATATGTTTCATTGTCGATCCTTGTGAAAGAATTTACTAAACTCAAGCAAAGTATGATATTTGCGGTAGAAATTGAATCAATAGGGATAGGGTCGGCCTGCAATCCTTCATTGTCAATTTGATCCAAATGTGGTCTCAAGTCTGTTGGAATCATTCCCCATCCATTTGATGTTATGGGATTGAATTTGCAATACGAACTTAAATTATCTTCACCCAGTATTATTTTGTCAAATATTTGCAACCATTTCTCGACAATTTTCCACTCTTCGATGTGATATTCACCAAAATAATTAGCCTCCACTGTCAACTTGATTTCAGGAATCTTTTCACTCTTCAAATTTAAAACAATTTCGTTACTTGAGGAATAAACTGCCGTAAAAAATTGGCTACTTTGAAGGATGCATGTTTCCTGTGCACCCTGCATGATAATCAAACCGTTTTCAAATAGATATACTTCAGAATCTCCTATATCATTACCATTGATATTTATATCAAAAATATCAAATATTATTAGACCACCCAAACTTTCAACAGTACTTTGGGCTATTTTTTGAATTAAGCTGCCAATTACAAAGTTTTGTATAATAACTTCTTCACCTGTTGATGAAACAGATTTCTTACGCTTATTCTCCTCGTTTGCAGCACAAATCTCTGGTGCCTTGATACTTATGCTACACAAAATCGGACTTGGCTCATTATCATCAATCTCGTTTTGTTCACATTTTTTAATTTCAACAATCGGCTTCATATAACTATCTAGCTTACGCCTAGCACTAGTTGGTGACAGCTCAGGAGTATAGCTCTGTAATCCAATTTCTAACTCAGTGTACTCTTTCTTTCCTAGCATTTGAGTAGTTATGTCGCTAACAAAACCATCTTCACCTGTCGGTGTTTCAGGATCGCAAAGCTTCTGAATAGCGTACTTCCTATTCAATAATTCATCCATGCATGTAGTTTCAGTGTGGCATAATGGACATATTGGCAGTTCTGTAGCTACAGGAGGCAATATTAAGTAATAGCATAGCAGGTGACAAAAATCACCACACGATAGTTCAATCATCCTCTCTCCAGCAAGATTCATGGTTATTCCTTCGTCACAAATTGCACATTTCGTATTTCTCGATATCAACTGTCTGGATTTCTTAATCTCTCGACTAGATTTGAGTGACGGAGGGGTACGTAAAAAAGAGTGCGATTGCTGCAACTCAGGTGTTTTGTAAGGATCCACTTGCATGGCTCTTGAGTGTATTATAAACCCCAAAAAAAAAAAAAAACAGCAACAGCTGTAGTGAGCCATAGTTTAGGAAAAGGGGAAAATATATAGTGTCGGTTTAAAGTATTTGACCCTTATAGACCATCAAACTACAGCGTTAGAGCACGTTCTATTCATTCTCTATCGGGTAGTTTAAGATCTTGTGTGTCGATAATGCATAAAGGCTGCATATTCGAAATGTGGGAGACCTGCAGAAATTTCTCCGACTCATGCAATGCTTAATAATTTGTCCCATAAAATGTGTGAATATTTTAGCCTAATTCATTTAATTACTTTCAAGATAATTATTCCTAAGGGGACACAAGAAGTGGGCAACGGGTTAGTTTGAGAATCGCCAAGCCTTCCGAAAGTAATAATTGATAACCTAGTAACACAGTACTACCTTAGATGCGATGAATGATGGTACTCTAAACCTAAAAATAACGAACTAAATACCTTGTGATAACCCAAACCCACTGCACATCTGGATTTTGGCTGGGTATTTATTTTCTCAAACTAGGGCTAGGTATTATTCAATGATTTCATGCACATGCCTGCAATAAAATGCAAGAATGTCACTATCACTTTTTCAAAGCCTTCCCGCATGAATTAATGAATGCTTTGTCTCATACGGACTTATTCCATCCCTAGATCATGTCTTGCATAGTTCAAGTCAAGAAAAGAAAATTATATATCAATTTCTTTATCTCGTATTTTCAGTCTTTTTTCATCCTTTGTATCTTCACGTAAAGAAATGTATGCTGAGAAGATCAATAATGCAAGGAATAAGACAAAACTTTTGTATAACGAGCTCCAAAACGTCAAACTTTCTACCCAAGATTCAACTTTTTTTGATGCAGCATCATCCTCAATTCCGTTCCTTAGAGGGCATTCAATAAAGTTAAGAAATTATGTAACTCTCAAGGGTCATTTTGACAAAGTTGTAGACCTTCGTTGGACTGATGACTCGTCCGGTATAATTTCACTTTCTCAGGATGGTTTCATAATAATATGGGATCCTGTCACAGGTTACAAAAAACATGCAATTCCTTTACAAAATCAATACTCTTTAACCTGCGCAATTTGTCCTAATAACCGGTACGTTGCGTCAGCAGGGTTGGACAATGCATGCACCATATATCAAATACACCAGGACAATTCTTCTAACATAAAAGCAATATTAAAAGGCCACTCAGCTTATATTTCAGACACGATGTTCCATCATAATGGGAATTACGCAATAACTGGGTCCGGTGACATGACTTGTATTTTATGGGATTGCAATCGTGCTTTCAAAGTAAGGGAGTTCGTAAATCATGTAGGTGATGTTTTATGTTTGGGTGCGAATGAAAAATTCAACCCTAACTGTTTCGCATCTGGTTCAGCAGATGGAACAATAAAGTTTTGGGATGCTAGGCAGCAGAGGGAGGCGCAATCGTTTCATGTATCTAAGCTGGACGTAAACACGATGAAAATGTTCCCTGGAGGAAATTCCTTCGTGACAGGATCGGATGATGGAGTAGTTAGGCTATTTGATTTGAGAGCCGATTGCCTTATGGCCGAGTACTCTCTAAGGGACCAGCTAGAATCTTCTATGTATCAGCAGCCCAATTCGCCGTATTCCGAAAATGTGACAAATAGCGCTCTTCAGGCAAGACAGAACAGTAGAGGTAGTATGAATCTGGCGGAATCCTACAATCGGGCCCAGGCAAATTTGTATACGCCGGGGGTAAACTCTGTAGACTTTAGTGCTCTGGGTCGCTTAGTTTTTTCCTGTTACGCGAACTATGGCTGCATTATTTGGGACCTTCTCAAGGGAGAACCAGTAGGCTCTTTAAGCAATCATAGTAGCAAAGTTAGTAAAGTAGTAACTAGTAATGATGGAATAGGAGTTGCCACTGCACTGTGGGACTCTAAAATCAAGATTTGGACAGCTTAAGTGTGAAAAGAAATGGACTATGCTGAAGAGAGGCTTGCACTCTTGATGAAGACTTTTTGCAGCCACTTGAGCGGCTGATCGTGCGCAAATCTTGCAAGGAATTCCATAAGTAAGAATCACTATTGTATACGCTAAGACTTTGGAATTTAATTTAAATAGGAGTAGATAGATGATTAATAAATGGTCAGTCATTGGCTCCGTCGTGTGTACACCTTCATTGTAGAAGTTTTATCTGAATGATATGTAGACAAATCTACTCGGAAACAGTGTAACTTTTTCGATTTCTTTTGCAGCAAGGGGTATTCCAGTCTTGCAGCACCTGCAACACCTATAAAAGGAGCACTTCCTCCTGTCTAGCTGAAGTGACTTTGAAGATTCTTTTTCTTTGGAAGATCTCTTTTTTTATAAAATCTCTTAAGAATATGTCGTCCATATATGAAATTAGATGTATGGATCACTTGAAGCTGTCGTCGTGTTTCTCCCATGGAGATATTTTCACCAATAGTGACGATTTTGCACTAGTCTTTACAGACATCAAAAATAATCACGTCGAGTTGAATGTTTTCTATAGGGGATACACATTGGTATGTTTCACTTTCTTTCAAGTCTTTCTTTGGAATGTTCAATTTAGCCAAAGGGTGCCGTTGTTTACAATATTTCCTTACTAACCAATTAAAGAACACAATTTCAATAGACAATAAGCGTTCTAAGAATGTAATTCTCTTGGTATACATCGATGCAGAAACAGAAATCTCAATAGAAGTGGAAGATTCATCTTCAAGTGCATATTCAAAAAATATTGCTTCCATAGAATTTTATTCCAAAGATAGCTTTAAGAGGTGTTTAAATTTGTTGAATAAAATGGGAGTTGTATGGCGAAGGCAAAGACTCACAGCAGCAAATTTACTCTCTGTGGAACGTGAATCAGAAGTAGATCTCAGTCACATTAAAGAGCCCAAATTCTTGGGCAGAAATCAACAACTGGAGGATAACATGGATAAAGATATCAGTGGACAGGCTGCATTTATTAAAAGCTCTCCGAGAAATCTACCTAAATTGAAACATGATACAATAATTTTCAGTCAACTTATAAACCTCCAATTTAACAGAAAAGAATTTCTAAGACTGAAGTGTGATAATTTCCAAAGATTTCAAAACTTACAACTAAAACAGCAAGAAGAGATAGACTTACAACTTGAAAGCCTAGAAAAAGACAACAAATCAAAGAATGAGCTTCGAGCAGAAGAATGTGAAGAGGAATTGAGAAATGTTCTTGAAAAAGTAGATAGGTCGACTGACGAATTTAAAGTCGGAGAACCCGTAAGTGACGGGTCCCCAAATATGGAAAGTTGCGTTGAAGTTTCTTCAAGATTTCCCCGAGAAGCATTAAAGCGAAAGTATAAAAAGCCTGGTGTACAGATAGAGTTGCATAGTCCGAACAAGGTTGGAAAATATATACCACAAGTACTAGCCGGGGCGAATAAGGAATCAGAGTTCAATTTCTCTCCACCCCGATATACTACTCATGCTCGATTACCTACAACTATGGTTCCTCCTGCTGCCAACTTCAATAAACCAATTTTTCCATTGATCCCTCGAACCATGACTGGTGAAAATGAATTTAAACTACTATGCCCGCAAATTCAATTCAAAACCAACAATCCATTGAGATCGGAAAGGTCCTATGCAAATAATTTAATAAATTCGAGATACGGTGGAAAATCTATAGACTTTGAATCAATAGAAAAGTTAAATTCAAATTGCTTTTGAATCAGAACCAAAGCTATAAATATCCCAACAAAAATGATATCCAATAATAGAAATGGTGTGTCATCAAAAAGAACGAGTCAATTGCCATGTTTCAAAGTTGAAACGGTTACCTAATAAGACGTGTTGAAACATCTTCGCTAAATGCAACATTTACTCTACAGTTCGGCAAATTTTAACTCGCATACATATTTCTTGTTTTATTTCAATAATTACATGCAAGGTGACTATATTACAAAATTTGTTGTAAAGGGTTTTTACGATGGTATTTGAGTAACGAAACCTTGTATAAGAACTACGATCCAATCTTTAATGAGGAGGAAATATCAGATTCAACAAAAGAACTGTAATCTAAACCTTACAAGTGCTAGTATGGCAAAGACGTATTGTACTTTAAGATTGATTCGAGTCATGCAAATTTATGGAGATATGCAACCATTTGTACATGCCGCATGAGATTAAAAGACCTCACCAAATCTTTACACGCTATTGGACAAATTTTGAGGAATGACTACGAGTCATTGTCAAATTTTTACAAAAATTTTGGACATGCGACTCAAAATCACTTTCGTGCATATTTCTGACTCAAAATTTATTAACTTAAGTAATTTTGGCATATACTCATCTCCTTTCTTCGAAATATTTTGATATTTTGGGCGTAACTAGATTCCAACAATCCTGCTTGGAATTAATATTTAAATAAGGGAGTATCCTTAAAATAAAGGGCTTACACAAATAGTTGAAAAAGTAAGGCATCAATTCTCTCCATTCAATAAAATAGAAAATGTCAGTTAATGCATATGACTTCAAACAAGTTGAAGAACCCGAAATTTCAACTGCAGTAGGTACTACTCCTGCTGCTGAAAGTGGCCAATTATCTGTTGATGGTAAATCTGAATCTCTTGATGAAGCTGACGAAGAAGAGGACTCCATAGGAGTAGATCAAGCTTCCAAAAAGGAACTCGATAGAATTTATCGAAAATTAGATTTCAGAATTATCCCAGCGCTTTGGTGCATGTACTTTTTAACCTCTTTTGGAGGTAGTGCCTATGGTTTAACCTTGACTATGAATAGATCCCTGGGACACTCGTTGGCACAACATTTAAACTTAACTTCTCATGACACATCTACAGCATCAGCTTTATATTATGTCGGTTATATTATTTTTGATGTTCCCATGAATCTTGTGATGACCAAAGTTAGTCCTCAATCTTGGTTAGCTAGAATTGTTATCACTGTGGGTGTTGTATATACTTGTTACCATGCCCTTGAGAATAGTAAAGGAATTATTGCGATTAGATTTATCTCTGGTATGGTTGGTGCTGGTACTTGGCCAGGTATGTCTTACTACATTTCATTATGGTATCCAAATGAAAGACTGACAAGAAGAATCGGTTACTACTTTACTGCTGCTCAAATTTCAGCTGCTGTAGCTGGATTAGTTAGTGCAGGCTTCCAAAAAATAGATGGTAACAGAGGATACACAGGTTGGCAATGGATGTACTTATGCTACGGTGTCATTACAATTGCGGTTGGAATATCATTATTCTGGTGGTTACCGGATAGACCATTTAAAACTACAAAAACTGCAGAAGAAGAGACAAGCAAGATCATGAAATTTTATCGTAAAGTTTTCACTCCACCTCACCCATTAAATGCAAGGGAAATTGAAATTCACCGCAAAGATATTGAAAGTCGCTACACGTTACTTACTTGGACTTTTAAAGACGTTGTTGCTATAATAACTGATTTGAGAATTTGGCCCTTGATTATCATGTATTTCGGTGTTGTTGGAACCGGTTACGGGTTGGCAGTTTTTGGCTCAACTATCATTTCTGTGGAAATGCCAACTTTAAGTTCAATCGACGTATCGTTACTTTATGCTCCAATTTGGCTCTTTGACTTAGGAGGTATCTTGATTATGACTCCTATTGCTGATAAATGGAAGTGGACGAGACCAATTGTCTTTTCTTTTGCATGCTGTATTATTATCTGCGGCCTCTTTGTTACTACATTTGCAGAGGGTCCATGGAACAAATATGCTGGGTTATTGATTGCTGGGTTTGGATTAGGTCCAACAGTTCCTATTTGTATGTCTTGGTCTGCAGAAATATTTGGGCCAAGGTATGGTGATGTAGGTTGTGCAGTTAGTGCTGCTTTGGTGTCTGGATTAGGTAACTTGGGATCTGTGACTGCAACTTATGCTTTATACAGTGGATGGCCAGCTGACAAGGCAAGATTGTACAAGTATTCCAACATGATGTTGGTAGTAATTACTGGTACAAGTATCCTTGCATGCGGAGTATTACTCTTAATTAAAGATAGAGTAAGACAAAGAAATTGAGGTGAAGGTATGAAATACGAAGTGGATATCCCATCAAGTAAGAAGCCTGATGAGAATATAACTACTATGTCAATATCTCTCACAGCTATTCGAATGAAATGAAATCTGCAAGTAGTCTTACAGTCTACAACGATATACTAGGCTTTTCTGCTTATAATAAGTCAAAAGTAGTCTTAACCGTAGTGATTGAATGTTAAAATACACATATAATTTAAGCAGTTATTGTAAAGAGAGAAGCGGTGATCTCTACTCCCAATCAATTAGTCTTCTGCATCTGTATTCCATTTGTTCAAGCTATATTAAATTAAAAAAGTGCTGACTCTTTAAAGTTTATTAGCCTTATTTTCTTCGAATGGAAGGCAATCATCGTATTGAGCATACGGGTCATTTTTTCTTGTTCATTCAAGTGAGTAAGACATAAAACCCTAATTCAACCTATGGTTCAAGTGGAAACAAGATGAATGAAAGATTATCACCGAAATTAAAACCTAATATAAATTAAAATAGCACAGAGATTATTGTGAAATTAAAACCTTTAGTGAACCAAAACTTCTTTAATACCTAGATTACTATTCAAAAATCTAATTTATTTTTTAAACACTAGCAAACTCAATTAAAATCTTAAAGGCAAAATTAACAAATATATAAGGAGTGGCAAGATGTCTCTCGCAAGTATGATCTAACTGTAGCTTTAGAAACTATTCTACAACAAACATGTCTAGTAAAGCTGCTGTTTTTAATGGCAACATTGAAGACCCATTTTATACAATTGAGTCTCTTCCAATCCCCTCAGTCCCCAAGAACAAGATCCTAGTTGAAGGTATTTCATACGCCTTCAACCCAACAGACTGGCTCCACATTTTATTCAAGCTAGGTCCAGCAGGCTCTGTCATAGGATCAGAAGTTAGTGGAGTTGTTCGAGAAGCGGGATCAGAAGTAGAAGGGTTTTCAAAGGGAGACTTTGTAACTGGCTGGGTGCGAGGCGGGTATGAAAAAGATGTTGGTGGTTTTCAGGAGTTTGTTCTCCTTGACCCTGTCTTTGCCCTTAAACTCGACAAATCAAAGATCAAAGAATCCATATTACCAGTGGGTATTTCTCCGACTGGGTTTATCGATACGTGGGAAGGTGCTGCAGGCATAACTTCTGGACTAACCACAGCAGGTGCGGCTTTAGCCCATGACTTCCAATTGCAACCGCAACCACGAACTAACTCTGAGTATCAGGATGATTATCTTTTAATTTGGGGAGGTTCGTCATCAGTTGGAATATTTGCCATTCAACTAGCTAAGCTAATTTATGGCATCAAGGTTATTGTAACTGCTTCCAAGAAACATGCTGAGTTTCTCAGGAGTATTGGCGCAGATGCAGTTGTGGATTACAAAAGTAGCGATGCAGTGGATCAGATTAAGAAGATTGGTTCAGGAAAAATCTACTACGCATTAGACATTATTGCTAATTTAGAAACCTTTCAAGCTGTTTATGATGCCACTCTGGCTACCAAATCTGGGAAGGTTATCATTGATAACCTTGCGCTTGTTGATGAGAGCTCTATCAAACTCGACCCAGAAAGAACAAACGTCAAATTTCGCAGGACTTTAGTGTATACCCTAAATGGAAAGCCATCAAGTTGGGGACCACATATAATTGACCCGACTGAAGAAGCTACTAGAGACTACAAGCACTTCTGGGAGCAGGTCTTACCACCATATCTTTCCAAGATTAAGCACAACAGGTTGAAGATTTTGGAGCCCGGACTTGAATCCGTGGCTAAGGGCCTTGAATTGTACAAGGATAACAAAGTTAGTGGTGAAAAGGTTGTGTTCAGGATCAAGTAAAATTAATGGTTTGAACTTACAATAATGCAGAAAAATACGAGAAAGCTGTTAAATATGTGTCAATAATATGAACGAAAATGTTCACTGTGTAGAACTCTATGATTTTAGTGTACTAGCCATCATGCATCAACTCTGATAATTTATGCATGGAACCTGTCGCCCTTCAATCTTAATAAAGAGATGCTACATAGAACACATATAAGTGCGTTATGTCATGGACATTTTTTTACTGCCATTATTTTACTGACATTACTTCCTCCATTTATAAATAGCGAAGATATATTGATTAGTGTGTGTACTTTCTGTCCTTTTAGAAATAAAATCAATTATTTAGTCCCACCTCTTTTGTTGAAAGGTAAATTTCTCATTGGGCCGATCAACTTCAATCTGGCCGATACTGAAAGGTGCGTACCTTCACACCTTCCATGAGCTTCTCCATTCTGGTTTTGGTCTTAACGCCGCATATGTATATGTCTTGGCCAACCTTCGAAAATAATCCACCGCAACTCTCCAACTCTCACTTTCAGATTACTAATACCTGCACCTTACTAGTTAGTAGGAACCTTAAGTCCTTACTATAAAGAACCCTCCCCAAGCTGTTTCCAATTGCGTACTGAAATTTGTTCATGTCAACTGATACAAACTAAGAAAAAAATAAAAACGAAAGTAATACCAAACAATGTCTAACTCTGCTGCAGTTTCTAATGGAAATGGCACTGTTCCTTACTTTGAAATTGAAAAAATTTCAATCCCCACTGTTCCAAAGGACAGAATTCTTGTGAAGACTGTTGCTTTTGCTATCAATCCCACTGATTGGAAGCATCTTGCTTACAAATTAGGACCAAAGGGATCTATTGTAGGATCGGATTTGAGTGGAATCATCGAAGAAGTTGGATCAGAAGTTTCTGGCTTTTCTAAAGGTGACATTGTTGGTGCATGGAGCCATGGAGGATATGAGAAGGGCATTGGGGCCTTTCAACAATACGCAGTTGTCCATCCTTCTCAAACAATTAAATTCCCTAAATCCGAAATCGATGTGGAAAAGATTGTTGCTGTTGGTGATGCCCCACTGGGACCAATTGACACCTTTGAAGGTGCTGCGTCCGTTCCTCTCGGCTTGTCTACCGTCGGGATGTCATTTGCCAATCAGTTGAAATTGAAGGTTGAAAATAAGTCTAGTTATGCAGACAAGTATATTTTGATTTGGGGTGGTGCAACTGCAACTGGAATTCTTGCTATTCAAGTCGCTAAAGTGGTGTACGGTTTAAAGGTGATAGCTGCTGCCTCAAAGAGGAATAGCGACTTCTTGACTAGTCTTGGAGCTGACTTTGTCGTTGACTACAGTGATGCTGATGCCGTTGCTCAAATCAAGAAGATTGGAGCTGGAAAAATTCACTATGGTTTGGATACTATTTCCTACAAAACGACCTTCCAGGCTCTTTACGATGCCACATCTGAGACAGATGGACCAGTAGTACTTGACAATCTTTTAGGTTTGAATGCCTCTAGTATTGAAACTGATGAATCCAAAACTAACGTTAGGTTCGGCTCTACTTTGGCTTACCTAGTTACTGGCGAGACTGTTAACATTGGAAAGGGTCCAATCCCTCCACCTAAGGATTTGGTTGAAGATTATAATCAATATTGGTTCAAAATCTTACCTTCGTATCTTCCTAAGTTGAAACATTCAGGTTTAAAAGTTTTGAAGCCAGGATTAGAGTCAGCAGCTGAAGGTCTTGTTTTACTGCAAGAGAATAAGGTCAAAGCTCAGAAAATTGTTTTCAGAGGTTAAAAATGTAGAAGAAAAGTTTCCAGAGTAAATAAATGATATCTCTCACAAATTCTCTCTAATATAAGTGAAAGTACACTTTCATTTGTTGTATATTTACGATTTTAGTATACTTAGCCATCATGCATCAAATCTGAAAATTTATGCATGGAACCTCTACCTCTTCAATTTTGAAAAAGAGATGCTACATGGAACACATTATAAGGGCGTTATTTCACGGTAATTATTTTACTGACATTACTTCTTCCATTCTATGAATAAAGAAAATATATTGATTAGTGTGTATACTTTCTGTTCTTTAAAAAATCAAAATAATTAATTGGTAAGACCTCTTTTTGTTGAAAGGTAAATCTTTCATTTGGCCGAATAACTTCAATGAGACCGATAAATAAAGGTGCGTACCTTCATACCTTCCATGATCTTCACCATTCTATTTTGGCTTCAACGCCGCATATGAATATACCTTTGAAAATAATTCACTGCAACTCCCCTAACTTAGACTTTCAGATTACTAATACCTGCACCTTACAAGTTGCGAGGACCCTTAATCCTATAAAGAGCCTTTCCCAAGCTGTTTCCAATTGCGTACAGAAAATTGTTCATCTCAAGTGATACAAACTGAGAAAATAATAAAAAAGAAAGCAATACCAGACAATGTCTAACTCTGCTGCAGTTTCTAATGGAAATGGCACTGTTCCTTACTTCGAAATTGAGAATACTTCAATCCCCACTGTTCCAAAGGACAGAATTCTTGTGAAGACTGTTGCCTTTGCTATCAATCCCACTGATTGGAAGCATCTTGCCTACAAAAGAGGACCAAAGGGAGCTATTGTAGGATCGGATTTGAGTGGAATCATCGAAGAAGTTGGATCAGGAGTTTCTGGCTTTTCTAAAGGTGACATTGTTGGTGCATGGGCTCATGGAGGATATGAGAAGGGCATTGGGGCCTTTCAACAATACGCAATTGTCCATCCTTCTCAAACAATTAAGTTCCCTAAATCCGAAATCGATGTGGAAAAGGTTGTTGCTGTTGGTGATGCCCCACTGGGACCAATTGACACCTTTGAAGGTGCTGCGTCCGTTCCTCTCGGCTTGTCTACCGTCGGGATGTCATTTGCCAATCAGTTGAAATTGAAGGTTGAAAATAAGTCTAGTTATGCAGACAAGTATATTTTGATTTGGGGTGGTGCAACTGCAACTGGAATTCTTGCTATTCAAGTCGCTAAAGTGGTGTACGGTTTAAAGGTGATAGCTGCTGCCTCAAAGAGGAATAGCGACTTCTTGACTAGTCTTGGAGCTGACTTTGTCGTTGACTACAGTGATGCTGATGCCGTTGCTCAAATCAAGAAGATTGGAGCTGGAAAAATTTACTATGGTTTCGATACTATTTCCTACAAAACGACCTTCCAAGCTCTTTACGATGCCACATCTGAAACAGATGGACCAGTAGTACTTGACAATCTTTTAGGTTTAAATGCCTCTAGTATTGAAACTGATGAATCCAAAACTAACGTTAGGTACGGCTCTACTTTGGCTTACTTAGTTACTGGGGAGACTGTTAACATTGGAAAGGGTCCAATCCCTCCACCTAAGGATTTGGTTAAAGATTATAATCAATTTTGGTTCAAAGTCTTACCTTCGTATCTTCCTAAGTTGAAACATTCAGGTTTAAAAGTTTTGAAGCCAGGATTAGAGTCAGCAGCTGAAGGTCTTGCTTTACTGCAAGAGAATAAGGTCAAAGCTCAGAAAATTGTTTTCAGAGGATGAAAATGTAGAAGAAAAGGTTATAGATTAAACGAATGATAATCCTCACAACTTCTCTCTACTATAAGTGAAAGAACACTTTCATTTGTTGTGTATTTGCATTGACATATTGCAATTAGTGCAAAACAAATATTGGGGTAGAGATGTCTTGTACAGCCACACAGGCCAATGCTAACATTCACCCTTAAGTTGTAAGTATTCATACTGAATTACCTGAACTTCATTTTATTGTTAGATTGTACTGGCATCGAAGCTAACTGTACTGGCAGTACAGTTTGGTGTGCTCCCATGTAGAACGTTTGAGCCAGAAGTCAGGTTAGTTTGGCCTCGCTGGTGTGGCCCTTGATAGGAAAATTGGTTCGGAGCTTATGGGCTATGGACTTTCACTACCGACTGAATAAAAAGAAAACTTTGACGTTTCTGAACTCTTTCAAATAATACCCAGCAACCACATGGAAACTAATCATATCATGTCTTATCATCAGTTGTGTCCTTCGTTCTTACATAACCTATAGTCTTCTAACAATTGCAGCCAAATCATTATACATGCACCTGCATCTAAAATCCTGTACATGGAGATCTCATCGCGGCATCCACCAAGTAATTTTTCAGCTCCCCATCGTGAAGATAGTTTCTTTTTTTTGAATCCTTATTTTTCAATCCATCTCCATCATCTCTTCTCTTCTCTTTATTCATCAAGAAGCCAAACTTATATCTAAAATGTCCTCAACTGATAAAGCTTCATTGCCATTCACCGAACAACATTACTTCTCTTCATATGACCATTTTGGTATCCATGAAGAAATGTTGAAGGATACTTCTCGTACTCTCTCTTATCGTTCTGCCATGTTTAAGAATAAGCATCTTTTCAAAGACAAGGTTGTATTAGACGTTGGATGTGGTACTGGTATTTTGTCAATGTTTGCCGCTAAGGCAGGTGCCAAACATGTATATAGTGTGGATATGTCAAACATCATTGAAAAGGCTAAGGAAATCGTCAGCTTAAACGGATTTGAAGACAAAATCACTTTATTACAAGGTAAGTTAGAAGATATCGAATTACCAGTTAAAGAAGTCGATATTATTGTCAGTGAATGGATGGGTTACTTCTTATTGTATGAATCAATGTTAGACACCGTTTTGTATGCGCGTGACAAATATCTTGTTAAGGGAGGTTTGATCTTACCAGATAAGTGCTCCATGTACATTGCCGGAATTGAAGATGCTGAATACAAGGACGAAAAGATCCACTACTGGGAAGATGTTTATGGATTTGATTACACTCCATTCATCAAGATTGCTATGGTCGAGCCATTGGTTGACACTGTAAACAATAACTCTTTAATTACCACTCCACATAAATTTTTTGAATTCGACATCAACACTGTTACTAAGGAAGGTTTAGCATTCCACAGAGATTTCGAATTAAAGGCTATCGACAATGATCAATGCCATGCTTATATCGCATGGTGGGACTGTGAATTTCCTGGTGATGAAAAAGTTACCTTATACACAGGTCCAATGAAGCAGTACACTCACTGGAAGCAGACTGTATTCTACATGGATCAAGTTTTGAATCTTAAGAAGGGTGACATTATCAAGGGATCTATTGCATCAAGACCAAATGATAAGAATCCAAGAGAATTAGATATTGAAATTGAATGGGATTTAAAGACTGAAGCCAAAGATGCTTCAAGAGATCAAAAGGGTAAGTACAACTACTTTATGCGTTAAGGCCGTCACACATTAGAAATTATATTGATATATGTAAAAGTATCACATACTGCATTATTGAGGCATTACAAATTATTTCCTTCTGTATTATTAGTAATATTAAGATTATTTTAGCTTATATGTAATGGAATTGAACAAGGGGGAGCAAACTGGCTACTATCTAGTGGTTAGCTACAAGTTTCTTTCGGTTTTCGTTAGGGTGGGGCGCATTGACTTACACCTATAATTATCTGCGAGTTTCTTTGCCAGTGTACAGTTGAAATGTGTTACCTTAAAATTAAATTTGAGTACCCCCGAGCACCAAATCTGCTTTCATGCACTTCAACTATCGTTGGCCTTAGAGATAAGAAGAACAATGACCTCTATTTGCCACTAGTGACCTAACCATCACCTACATTTTATTCTTTTTCAGTCCTTAATTTGCAACTTTTTGGTTTGGACAGCCGCAGTGACTGGCGCGTGATTGATAGGAATCCAGAACCACAACTCTACACATTCTTTGTAATCAAGAGATCATTGAAAATATTAAGTTTCAAGCCTTGATTGTTCGAGTATCAATTGTTCTACATTTGAATGTTTAGAAGGGGGTATCCAGTATATAAAGCAGTCTCCAATTCTCTTGTAAGAAAGCATATCAGTGGTGTAAGAGTATATTCAACAATGAGCAAAACAGAAGAAGAATGGAGAGCAATTCTCTCCCCAGCGCAATTCAAAATCCTAAGACAACAAGGTACTGAAGCCCCATATTCAGGAGAATATACTAAGACTCCTGCTTCTGAAAAGGGTGTTTACCTGTGTGCCGGGTGTCTGCAGCCATTGTACAAGGCACTGACTAAATTTAGCGCTCATTGTGGATGGCCAGCCTTTTACCTGGCCATTCCTGGGTCAATTCGTGTCTTGCGAGATGAGTCCCACGGTATGGTTAGAGAAGAAATGAGATGCTCCAAATGTGATGGACATTTGGGTCACATTTTCAAAGGAGAGGGTTATAAGACTCCAACAGATGAAAGACATTGTGTTAACAGCATTAGTTTGAAATTAGATGAAAAGGCAGAGCAAGGAAGTTTGTAGGAGAATGAAACTCTTATCAAAGTAATGATGATTAAAAATGGAGAAATACTAGAGTAGTTGATTTATGTGTATAAATATATATATGAATAAACAAGCATGATATAAATGAGAGTTCGTAGGAGTGTGTTCTCTTATCCTAATGTTCTTTAGTGTTCAGCTTGACACCATTGATCATTCTTGAAGTGACTACATGTTTGGTAATTCGTTCGAATCCACACGTCTATTATACTCAAAGGTATACTTATCTTAAATTACATACGGAATCATGGAGGTTCTTTTCAACTTCTTGTAGTCGTCACCAAATAATTTCAAATACTTCTTGTGTTTTTGAATAGCCCAAATCAACATTTGACCACCAGCAACCACCAAGAAGACGTAGGCAGTCCAGTTTCCGGTCAATACTGCAAAAATGAACCAAGCCAAAGTTTCAAAGAAATAGTTGGGGAAAGAAACATACTTGAAGAAGAAACCATATGGAATAACGTAACCTTCACCATCAGACTTTCTCAAATTTGAAGTAATCAAGTGGCATTTAAAGTTAGCAATTTCTGCTGCCAACCAAGCAAAGAAAAGGGTGTAATTGAGATACGAAGGTAAATCATTAACATGGAATAAAGTCTTTGTCAACCATGAAGACTTGAACGATGGATTTTGTGGGGCATAAATGAAGTATGCCAAATTAAATCCAGATAATATCCAGTAATGAGAAGAATTCTTGAATATGTTAAACAATGGCATAGTAGATGAACTGAACTTGTGTACATAGACAGTTTCTAATTCTCTTTTGAGGAAATGCAACAAAACAATTACATAGGCCAATTGTTGGGTTTGCGTGTGAGCAACATCTAAACCGGAGTAAATTGAGGTCAAATGATAGAAAACTGGATGAATCAAAAGTGGCCCTAAGTATTCAACTAAGAAGACAGTTCTCCAAGCAATCTGAGGTCCTAAATCCTTCACATACAAGGTGATTTCCTGAGCATCGTCAGGTATACCCGCAGATTCCGCGATTGAAATTTTTGGGTCCAAGGGAATTTGCAGAACTTTCCTACTTCCAACATCTTTTATGGTAACACGAAGTCTATCAATGGAAATGTTTCTGTTTGCCTCAGAGATTAATTTAATGAGTTCACTGGTTGGTTCCCCAATAGCCAATTCATCAGTTGAGAGACCTTTCAACCCTTTTGTACGAGAAATTACTTCAATCTTGACCATGATTTGTTAACTAAATTAAGTATCTGTTTCAATTAAAAAAAGAAAGAAGAAAAAAAATTGTAAGAAATTATTATAAATCCTAAACTGCCAATTGCCAGTTTCATTTGCTTTTATGGAGATTTAGTGTAGTCTCGTAATTCTCATGATTTTAAGTGTTTGTTGGATATTCGCCTCTTTTGTTGCGGGTAACGAATGCTCATAAGCTGCAGTTCAGTTTAAATGCTAGGCGCAGATAATCTAGAGAGCAACGGAGATGAAATGTGGTATGTACACCATTTAGAACAATGACAGTAGAATTGAAAGTTGGTATGTGTGCAGTTCAGTGGATACTAGCGGGCTTTTTTGTTAATACTCTTTTTATTTTCTTAGCTCATCGTGTTTGAACTAACATTAGATAACTTACCATCATGCACGGAAGAGCAGCTTCAGGCTATTTTCGAACCGTTTGGCATAATCTCCAAGGTCTCAATTAACTCCGGTACAGGTAAAGTTACCTTTGAGGAAGAAGAGGACTGTTTGGCAGCAGTAGAAAACATGAATGGGTACGAATATTTTGGGAATTATTTAAAAGTAAAAGCATTGAGCTAAATTAGATAGGCTATACATGCAACCATGTAAGATAAGATTCTGTAGGATTGTGAAGATCATGGCAAAAACTGTAGGTCCTGTGTACGATAGGCCAAAGATGTTTTATTTACACTTGCAAGATAAGTCTTTACTGTTGCAATACTACAAGTTAGAAAAATCGCTCTCTATAATCCTACTCCTGTGCTGTTGCACCACTCTAGTCGATCCATTCAGATTCAAGTGGCTAATGGTACCCCAAAGACGCATAGCATAAACATACCAAATTAAACACTTCTAACTAAAAACTTACAATAAAATTACCTAGAACAACTAAGTTTGCTTTCAATACGCAACTATTACAGTTTTCTTCATTCGCCTAGTTCTTAGGATCGCCACCATTGCCATTGCCCCAGCTCTCCACTATTTGCAATAAACCATTCTATTACTCTTGTGTTTCCTGCATATTGCATTCTGGAACATTCGACCACAGTGACGTGCGTTTACCATGGCAAAATGACACCCACACGACATTGACCAACTTTCCAGAGTGACAAGGAGTTTTTCACAGTAGCTTTTTCATGACTAAGTTCATTACACTCGATTATAAATACAACATAGCTAGTAGTTATAAATTACAAACTTAAGTTACATCAGTAAATAAATTTAACATGTCAGATTGGGATTCAGTTACTATAATCGGTTCGAAGGCCAGAGTTGGTGGAGGTGGACCAAGACAAACTGTTGCAAAGACTGCTGGTCAATTGAATGAGGCCAGAAGAACCGGTGCAGTTGTCGGTACTGAAAAAAAATATGGTAGTACTAACACCAAGTCTAATCCAGAAGGTCAAAGATTGACAAAATTGGACGCAACTGATGATGTCGTTCCTACCAAAAAATTAGATGCAAGTGTTGGTAAAGCCATTGCTCAAGCCAGACAAGAGAAAAAGTTGACACAAAAGGACTTGGCCACTAAGGTGAATGAAAAGCCACAAATTATTAATGACTACGAAGCCGGAAGAGCTGTACCTAACCAACAATTGTTAGGTAAGTTAGAGAGAGCTTTGGGAGTTAAGTTGAGAGGAAAGAACATTGGTGAGCCATTATTCGCTAAGAAGTCATAAGTTCTCCAAGAACATAGAAGTAAAAATTGGTTATGTATGGGTGTCCGGATGTTGGACTTGGTCTTCCTATATAGGGCTGGGCTTTATTCTCTTTTACTTCATTTCAGTCAGTCATGTTTACTCCCCTAATTTCCCCGAGGTGGTTTGAGAGTGATCTTTCTCACTTGTCTTGTATGTTTATAGCAGTATAGTTTACATAGTAGTAAAGTATCATGGAGTAGGTGAAAACAAAGTTATTAGAAGTGTGCTATAATGAGAAGGAAATTTCACCAAATGCCTTTTTGTTTTTGACAGTTTCTTTTCAAATTCTTTGGATACTTCTACCTGACTATGAGTGGTTCCATTATTGGAATCTAATGATATAAACGACATAATCAAACAAACATTTGAGTTCTCTACTGTAGTGACTTAAATTGCATCATGTTAAAAGGCTGCAAATCACGAAGTGTGATTCGATAAGGCTCTCTAGCCTATTGACTCTTGTGATTAATAATCCACCGTTTTCTTCAGTTAATAGTGCATTAGTCTTTGGCCAGTTGCTGTCTTGAGATGAATAATCTGCAACTCTACGGAGTAAAAATTATTACTACGATTCTATTGCACGAGAGGAATGTTTTATAACCCTCTAGGATAATTCTACGACAATATATACATTGTAATTTACTTCATATAAAATGTCTAATTTACCATATAGGAACATTATTCTACTCGTAAATACGGGAATTGTCACCGTATTGTGGGAATAGAATAAAAATTTTATCTATTTACACCGCCGCTTCATTTTATCGATTATGACATCGTACCTTGCTTCCTTTACTTTGCTTCTACTTATTTCTATCATATTTACCGTTCCTCAAGTATCAGCATTATATCGGAGCCTTTTCTCCCTTTTTCTGTTTTTGCTTCTTCTCCTCAAATTCAATGCAATATGCCCTAGCTTCTTTTTCTGTTTCAGGCATCCGGCTAGTGACATAATTTCTAAGAGTGTATGGCCTTAATTTGTAGATTGCAAAATCTAAATACTCCCTTTCCTTGATGGTGTTATCACTTACAAGATCTCTATAAACTGCACGAGAGTCATACCAAAACAATTCTGAAACTGGGTGCTTTGAGGGAATCTTTTTAAACCCAGACATGATTCTAAACTTCGCTTCTGTTGTTAAAGAAGCATCCTGGACCACAAATTTTTCTCGAAGCAATTCTATAGCATGTGTACCGCTTTCTAACAGGTCCCTGACTTCAAAGTAATAGTCTTTTGCCTCATCAACAAGTTGGAATCTAAGAGCTAAAATTTGATCAGAAGAGCTCAAAGCATTGGTTTTGACTAAGAAGTCGATCGCAAAGAGATTGAAGATGTTTGGCTGTGTATCTGATCCAGTGCCGGAGTATTTAATGATACAATTGACACGCAATGCTAAATCATACTTGAACTCATCTTTCATAACCAATTTGCGTCTCTTCGCTACTCTCTCCTGTTCACTTTTCTCGGCTTCCAATTCTCTTCTTCGAAGCACTACCATTTCTTCCTCTCTTTCTTCATGATACTTCTCGATGCTTCTAATCATGCTTTTAATGATTGAATCTCTCTTTACCAAAGGAGAGCTGAAAATTCCTTTTCTAAATGACAGGAGTTTAAATTTCGAGGCTTTCGAGGTGAGAGTACCATCGGAATCCGCAGGAGATGTGCTTTTAAGACCTTCTTCTTCATTGGGGCTTTCACTCTCGCTACGTGTATTGTCTGTGGCATACGATGTTGAGCTCGAAAGCTCTATAGTCGAGTTGCCTTCGTCACAGTTGGGCATAACAGTTAGATTTGTTACAATCATGGCATTAAAAGTCTGCCATACCTTAAGGTATGTCTACATATATATACATATATATATTCTACATACGATTACAATTATTATAAAATTCACTCTACAAGTCAAACTTGCTGAGAGGTGATGTTCACTTGAATGACCAATAATTAGAAATACCCATATTTCCCGTTAGGTATAATTGTATGTTCTGGAAAACTAGAATTTCATCACATATGACTTGCATGACGCGGTCAAGCAAGAACCACACATATCATATTTACTCTTTACGTTTCAAGCAGCATCATCGAGCTTATTTACAAAATATTACGAGAGGGATTTTCGGTTAAGGTTCCAATCTTACTAATTGGGAGGTAATCTCGGCTAATGAGATTTTGCAGCTTACTATTTATGACCAACGGCCGAAAAAAGAAATGTGAGAGATTAATTTCCAGTGTCAGCAGTACCTAAAGGAGATTAAAGGCTTCTCTGAGATGCCGAAGCCAATATGTGGGAACCAGTAGCAAAAAATCCTAGCTTATGCAGCATCACAGAATAACATGATTGACAAAGTCTGAATTATATCATTATTTGCATAGAGAAAGTCAGGAATGAGGCGACACTTCAGTCACTTGATATGAGGAAGCCTATTAAGAATAAAGTTCCAAAAAAGCAATTCTTAACTTTATTTGAGCGACTGATTGTAACCTAGCAAACCATAGAAAATAGAAGCGAGATCTTCCACGGTACATGATCCACGAAAGATGGAATAATCGGTGATAACTAATGCTAGTTCCAGTTGCTTGTTCTAACGAACGAACTGGAATCGGCTAGAAGTGTCTTCGGTGTTGCACGTGAGGATATTCTGGTCACGAGAAGCGTGTATTTCGGGCTCGGAGCCTGGTTTTCCAGGTTTAAGACATCGAGTTGGTCCCTTGGCCCAGTTGGTTAGGGCGCGGTGCTAATAACGCCGAGATCAGCAATCCGATCCTGCTAGGGACCATTATATAATCTCCGCTTCTTTTTTGACATACCTATCTGCATCTTTTGCTCTATTAATGTGCTTTATTGGTTAGCTTCTAGTTCCTATCTTGTTTTCACATTGCCCATCTAGGCAGGTAGGTAAAATAAGTTAATTTTACCGATCCTGAGCCTTATAATTTGTGTCCCGCGCGAATTTGAGTTATTTGAGTTAGTTTTTTTTTCACGCTCGCTTGTGTAAGCCCGAAAAACAATCTGGAAAGCATCGTACTTCCCTCTCGATGAGCATAGAAGTACCAGATCAGGAATCTGTGTATAGGAAACTGTGGACCGCTTCACAGATAGACTTTGGGGGCCCTACTTTATTTGACGTGTAACGTCATTTAGAAAGTATAGCTGTAATATCTCCTAGCACTAGATGCTCCCATAACGCCGTATAGGCTTACTTAAGTGAAGCAGCAAAGCGTGACAAATGGCCTGCAGAAAAAATTTCACCCCATGTCTGCCTTCTTGCTGAAAATCGACCTAAAATCTTGGCCCCCGTAATGTTGTTCTGAGTGAGCTACCTGGGTGGTTCTACTCATCACGTCCATCGCTTGGTATATCATCATAAGGTGAAAGCTACTCCATCTCAGATCTTTATTTGGTCGCTTACGAATTCCATTTTTCAAATTGTAAATCTTAGCGAGCTGAGCTATAGCCTATAGGCAAAAAAAAAAAACTAAAAATAAAAAAATAAAAAAAGAAATTTACGCATCTCCAAAACAATTTCCTACACCATTACTCACTTATGATAGGTTAACTAAACTACCACCCAATTCCTTATCTAGCAGTTAGGCAACTTTAGCTGAACTTACCGAATTGAGCGTAACAGAAAATATAATCGACTTACTGATACGCCAAGGCACAGACTTTGGAATCTATCAAGTTCATAGCACCATCCCTCCATCCTGTTCCGCTAGCTCTAATTCTAACTCTATTTCCTTCAGTTCCGTCAAGCATTTTTGCTTCCCCCCTCTCCTCCCACACGGCATTAACCATCTGAGGGCCATAAAATACGCAGCTTCTAGTCCAAAAAGTGTTTGTCTTCTCCACTATTAAAGAAAATATCCTGCATCAACCTCCGAAAATTTTTTGTGCATGCATGGAAAATAATCTCTGCAGGCAGGGAATGACTCCGGTTTTCGTGAATGTTGGACCTTATCATAGTGATAAAGAAAAAGAAAAGAAAAAAAAAATCGTGGAGAAATTCCGAAGTATATAACCTTTATCTAGTTCCTGTAATTATTGAATTTTCGGTTCTGCTTGCTTTTAGAGAATAGTGATTTTTGCTGATAAAAATTATTTTCTAGTAAAATTGTTCCTGTAGACCCTTTGCTGCTTTCTTTAAGTTTTCGCTTCTGCTTGCGCTTTACAAAAGTTTAAGCACACACATTCAAATAAAATAAACATGGGTAAGGACATATTCACGGTCAAATCTGCAGGGTCCCAACATAGACCTGGGATCTACCGTTCTAACTCCTCACATTATGCAATTTCAATTGCAAACTCGAGAATTGTACCTTATGACGAAAAGGGAAATCCATTATCTCCGGATAATTCTCAAGATGCCTTCGATCCAGAGACTTTAGAAAGAGGTCTTAAGTCTAGACATGTGCAACTTATTGCCCTTGGTGGTTGTATTGGTACTGGTTTATTTGTAGGTACAGGTTCCGCATTGCTGGCCTGTGGTCCAGCACCATTGTTGATCTCTTACATGATTATGTCGATTGTTATGTTTTTCGTGATGAACATGTTGGGTGAGATGACTACTTTCTTACCATTGCCAGGTAATGGGCCCCAAGCTTTCGTCACCAACTACTTCGATTCTTCGCTTGGTTTTGCTACTGGTTGGAATTATTGGTATGCCTTCGCCATGCTTGTTGCATCTGAAGTTACTGCTGCCTCCATTGTTATTCAATACTGGACCACTAAGGTTAACGTTGCTGTGTGGATCACAATTTTGTTGATTGTTATTATTGCCTTAAACATGAGTTCGGTTAAATACTTTGGTGAAGCTGAATTTTGGTTTGCAAGTATTAAATTGATAGCCATTACTGGTTTGATTATTGTTGGAATTGTCATTTTCTTTGGTGGTGCTCCAACCCACGATAGGTTAGGTTTTAGATACTGGCAAAGACCTGGTGCCTTCACAGAACATTTGACTGAAGGTAACACTGGAAAATTCTTAGCAGTTTGGACTGCTATCATTAAATCTGGTTTCGCCTTCATCTGTTCTCCAGAATTGGTCTCTGTTTGTGGAGCTGAATCTGTTGCCCCAAGAAGAAACATTCCTAAGGCAGCTAATAGGTTTATCTACAGATTGGCATTCTTCTACATTATGGGAACTTTAGTTATTGGTGTCATTGTTGCCTACACTAATGACAGATTGTTAAATGGTAGTTCTGATGCTTCTGCTTCTCCATTTGTCATTGGTATTCAAAACGCAGGTATCAAGGTATTGAACCACATTGTTAACGCTGTTATTTTGACTTCTGCTGCATCTGCTGGTAATTCCTTCTTGTACTCATCTTCAAGAACCTTATTCGGTTTAGCTACTAACGGATTGGCTCCTAAGATTTTCACCACTGTCAATAGAATGGGTGTTCCTTATTATGCTGTCGCAGCCTCGTGTCTTCTTGGCTTCTTGTCCTACTTGAATGTTTCCTCCGGTGGAGCTAACGTCTTTACCTGGTTTTCAAACATTTGTACTATTTCAGGTTTCATTTCTTGGCTCGCTGTGACCTTAGCCTACATTAGATGGAGAAAAGCCATTGCCTACCATGGATTATCTGAAAGAGTTACGTACAAGACTATTTTACAACCATATGGTGCTTACTTTGTTCTTATCTTCATTGGTCTTGTTACCATCACCAATGGTTATGCAGTGTTCTTTGACTTTAAGGCTTCTGATTTCATTGCTGCTTACATTACTTTACCAATTTTCCTCGTCTTGTACGTTGGCCACAAGCTTTATAACTACTTTGCCTTAGGTAAGACTGAATTTGTCATTCCACTTGAACAGATCGATTTGATAACTGGATTGGATTTGATTGAAGAAGAAGAAAGAATGACACCAGAGAGATTACCATCTAACTTCATGGAAAAAATTTGGTATTGGATTGCTTAAACTGCCCAGGAGGCTGATCCCATGAAGTTAAATACTGAGAAACTAAAATATATGTACTAATTTTGATTCACCGTAGAAGAAGAGATATGTCTTGGAAGTAAGTTTGCTCCAATAAAAGAAGTGTCATAAGTAGTCCTAAACTGGAATGTAAAGAGCCGTGTTCTTATACTTGTATATATACAGCGTTCAGCTGATCGAGTTTCTGGCGTTTTTGTAGAAATCTGAGAGAAATATAATGTTTGAAAGAAATGAAAAATTACACACTATTAGTATTCTGTAGCTCAATTACGCTAAATTTAAGACGAAATCACTGCATACATCGTTTCATAGCTTTCCAAGTATCCAGTTACAAGATCAATCATTATTGCAGCAACTTCGAACTTTGGTACAAGTCTCTTTATATAGGTGTACGGATGGATAATTCACTATTGTAGTTCCAGGTCTGCCAAAATAAGCACTTAACTCTTTTTAAATCTCCTTTCTTAACTGAATTTATACCAGAGCTACTTGAATAGACCTCGGCTTCAATTCCATCTAACGATTACCGTACCTTTTCCAATCACCACCTCTCCACCAAGCTGCAACCGGCTTCTGTCTTAAGATGATCATCTCGTCTATGTGCAGGAATATCGCAAATTTTGAAAAATTAACCGGAGCATCTCAAGAGAAGAGGCAGCAGCTTTGTGGTTGTAAACTTTTCCAGTTCCTTAAGCGATTCACCCTTTAAGTATGTCCAGTTTATCTGCCCAGCTTAATAATATCAGTCAGAAGACGGCTTCCATTGCCTTGGATCGTAAATCTAGGTCGAAGATCCACTCTCGGTCCTTGATTTTCGATCCAAAGACCGCAGCGGGCCAAGATTTTGATTTCATCTATTCCTACTGTTTACAAGGGTTTGAAGAATTGTGTGAATTGGACTCTCGATTCCAAAAATTTCTGGCTACTTTGTTCTCTGAAACTTCAATGAATACCGACCGTAATGTTCAGACAAAAGATGTCGTGGATAGCTTAAACAAGAACATAGAAGTCTTCTTAACGTTGGTGGGTCCATATTGGTTGTTGAATCCTGCTGCAAGAGCAGTTGAATGGTTAGTGAGGAGGTTTCACGCTAACATACACAACGCTGAAATGATCTTGTTACTGGTACTCCCATACTACAAGTCACCCATCTTCGTTAGATGTATGAATGTTATCTCCAAGGGTAACGATTTCCCAGCCATCTTCCAGTGGCTCAGTGGATACAGGGAACAGTTAAGGTCACCAACATCGACCTCCCTCGTAAAGGCATTCGTAAATCATGAATTCTTCAAATTCTACAACGCATATTTGGTAGAAAACTTGAAGAATAGAACCGCATACAAGGACCAATTGGTCTTGTATTTGTCTTGTACAGTTCAAGTAATTGCCAGCTTCAGTAAGAGCTTAGCAAAGTTCCAAGAAGATGGGTGGTTAAGTTTAATCGTAGAGGGGGTTGGCCAATTGTTAGTCAGCAGACAAGAGCATCAGTTTAGTTTGGGTGTCGTTCACGACTGCAAATTGACTGCCTACTCAATCATTTCAGTCTTAAGTAGTATCGTCCCACTCTCTCAGGTTTTGATTGAGTCGATCACCAAAAGTATAGTTAGTGACCCAAGGCTGTTTGAAATTGGTTTGAAGAGACAAACATTGATCGTATTGGGTCAAATTTGGAGCCAAAGTTCAGCTAAGAAGGGGTTCCCTGCCTGTCACAATGGAATTGACAAGTACAGTCTTAAAGAATTGAGCTTGGAAGGATACAAAGTGAACAAGTTGATCATTCTGTTTGTTTTAAGTGACAACAACAATAAGAATGATAACAAATTGGAATTGTTAGAGTTAATTTCTATAGAGAATGATAGCATCTTCAGAGAGATTGTTCAGTGGTTACTTCTTCAGATTGCTACAAATACCAACTTAACCGATTCTGATAGAAAGGTACTTGTCAGTCAATTTCAAAAGTTGATGAATCAAAACTTAAACTTATTGAAGACCTGTTTGAATGAATATAAATCAGGCTACAAAGTAAGTGATTTAGAAATGGCATTGATGGCTACTTTGGGTGGTAGTGTAGATGAATCTGATGATATGGTCATTGATATGGATGAGGACGAAGTCGAAGACATTGACGAGGATGCGGTTGAAGGTCAGCAGGATAACAATGAAGTAAATAGCATTGCATCTGCATCAGTTGTGCCAACTGGTGAATCATTCTTCTGCAATTCATCTCCATTTAAATCGCACTTGACTGCCCTTCTTACCCAACTCTCCTCTCAACCACAAAATATTCACAGAGCATCCATTTCCAAGTTTTCCCAATCAGGATTTAAATCAATCGAACTGTCAATTTCCTTTTACCTTCGGGTTGCATTTACTCCAGCAGTTCCGTACAATGTGAGACTTTTATCGTTGAGATTTATTAAGTTAAGATTGAAAGAGTTGAGTGCTCTTCACGCATATGACTTCTACCTTTTAATTCCTTTGATTTTGCTTGGTCTCTTCGACAATAACAAAAACATTAGAGCATATTTTGTTGAAATTTTGAAGGTTGTTCAAAGTGTTAGCTTAGAAAAGAACAAAAAGACCACTTTGTTCATGGAGGAAGTGATTTACAACGAAGTTGCTGAGCTGAAGAGAGCAATAATCAGTCCAGCGGACGCTTTGAAAATGCTTGATTTATTGAACGACGACATCATCAAGGATGTTATCTTAGATTCGAATCAATTACATCATATCTTGGACGAAATCATCTATAAACCAAAGGCTGGTAAGAAGTTTGGACAACTTTTTAAAACATTTATCTTGACACAATGGGGATTGGATTTGCACGTTGTCTTCAAGGATAGATCCTGGAAGTTGTCAGATGATTGCAAGTATTTCTTCGACAACGACTTTGCCAAGTATCAACAGGATAGAGACAGTATACTTGAAAATATTAGAAATGCCGGCTTATCAATTGAATCAGTTGAGCATGGTTTATTTGACCTTGTAGGCAAGGGAATTTCTACTGCAGAATTCAGTACTAAGTCAGTCAATTGGCTCGTCAATGCGCTTTCCTTCGATAATGCAATGCAGGTATTGGCTGATGCGAAATGCATTCAAGTCTTCGAAGACATTAAGTCCTTAGATCTTAAATTGAAAATCGTTTGTAAATATATCGACATGCTTGTTAATGAAGATTCATTGGAAATTGACCCCATGGATTCGTTACAGTCGCTTACATACGATTTTGATTTAGTGCTTGCCATTTTGAAAATAGTTCAGATCAGCACCCAAATTCCAGAACAAGGAGTTCCAAAACGTAGGCGTAGATCTTCATCTTCGACAAAGCAAGCCATGGCTAGAGATGATATTAATAACATGGCTTCCATTCACTTGAAGAAGTTGACTATCGTATTGGATTTATTAGAAACTGTCTTAAAACAACAAGAACAAAACGAAGAAGAAGGTAATAATATTTCTGCTCCTGCCCTTCTTCAATCACTTTTTAAGTCATTAACTGACTTGGATTACTTAGGGAATGACGGAAACTTACCAGTTTTGTACGCACAAGAAACTTTGGCCAGGTGTATGCTGTTATCAATCGTACAAATGAAGAGGAAGGGAAAATCACATTCATTCGATTCCAACTCAGTGAGAGCAGACTTAATTGTCAATTGTATTAGGTCAAGTCAATCACCACAGGTTCAAAATAGACTTCTTTTGGTCATCGCAGAATTGGCTTCATTGGCCCCTGAAATTATTTTGCATTCAGTAATGCCAATCTTCACATTCATGGGTGCTCACACCATCAGACAAGATGATGAGTTCCTGAACTCTGTTTTGCAGCAAACAATTTCGAAGGTCATTCCAGCAATTGCTGCCAATGGCAGTTCCAGTTTGAGTAATGAAATAGAATTTCTTTTAACTAGTTTTGCCGCTGCTTTTCAACACATTCCAAGACATCGTAGAGTTAAGCTTTTCACCACATTGGCAAAAACTTTAGGATATGATAAGCTGCTTGACATAATCTTATTTTTGATGGGTCAACAATACTCCAAAAATGGATCTGTTTCAGTTATTGAATTTTCTCAAACTCTTTTAAAGCAATTTAGTGCTAGAGAGCAATTGACTTGTTTGACTAAATATTTTAAGTTATGGAGTTTAATTCCTGATCAACCATTGGAGAGTGGATCAGAAAAGTTCAATGAATTGAGTAGTAGATCAATTTTTGGTGTACAGATATTATCGTTATCTAAATCAGGATTGGTCCAATTGAAATCATCTTTGTTAAAATTTATTGATGAATTATTAGTAAAGCAAGAATTTGAAGACTTCTCCGACTTGAAATTGAAGGTTGCATTCAAATTGAAAGACGAAGGAGCAGCTGCTAACACACTTTTAGAACCATTTAGAGACTCAGTGTCATTCTTATTAACTTCGCTCGAGCAATATAACAATGAGGAAACTGGTGCTACCAAGTTATTGCCTTACTTGTATAAGCTTCTTTCGGACATGTTAGATTTGTTGCCAATAAGTTACTTTATCGATTCTATTATTGAACCATTAAATGAATCTCAATCTGGAAGTCTAGTTTCTATCAGAATAGCAAGAAATTTGTGTATTTTGGCTGGAACTAAGATCGAAACTGAATTAAATAGCAACAACATTGATAGTGACGTTGAGGGAGCAATTCTTGATAGATTATTGCCGGCATTAATTGCCAACATTAATGCAAGTACCACCGTGGTAGACATTGAGTTGCAACAGGCATTGTTGGGTACTTTCTCAACGGTTATTGAGAAGATGGGCTCTTCTAGCGAGAAGTTGGGAGAACCTAAGTATTCTAGAATTGTAATTGATTCCTTGAAGTTTATCACTAGTGAAAAGGGATTATTGAACTCTACGCCAGAAGTAATAATCCTGTCTATCAATGCTATTTCCAGTATTGTGAATGTATTGGGAGTTAAAGTGATTGGATTTTTCCCTAAGATTATTCCTCCAGTACTTGCTATTTGGAAAAAGACAGAGGTAGATAATGAAGTTGCAGATTCAGATTCATTTGCTCTTTTGCAAACATCCATTCTCGTTCTCTTCTCTTGCTTTATCAAGAAAATGCCTGCCTTTATGAACTCAACATTAGATTCGACACTTCTCACCATTCTCAACTCAAACTTAGTTGATACGTCCATTAGGTCAAATGTTCTTCAAATTATCATTCAACAAATGGACGAGCAGCACATTCTTAAGACTTTGTGCAAGATTTGGAATGAAGGTTTCCGTTCAAACGGCGATGTTGCAAACTTGGGACTTTACATCAATACGATGCAACTTACAATTGACTCAATGGAAAAGAAGACTGCCACCTCACAGGCTACTACATTTGTGAAATGGCTCATTTCAGCTTTTGAGTTTAGAGAAGAGGCCGAAAATAAGCTTGATAATAACACTATTCGCAGATTGGAGAGTTCTTTCCATTCATGTGGTATTAGTTATGTTATGAAATTGAACGATAAGGCATTTAGACCATTATTTGCACAAATTGTTAGATGGGCCACCACTGGAGAAGGATCTTCATTAGATTCAAGTTCGGCTAATACTCGCTTACTTGCATTCTTCAAGTTTTTCAATAAGCTTCAGGAACAATTGAAGTCAATTGTCACATCTTATTACACTTACCTTATCGATCCAGTAGCCGTTTTATTACAAGACTTTGCCTCATTGAATTTGACTGATATCAACTTACGTCGTGTTGTGTTGAATTCTCTTACTTCATCTTTCAAGTACGATCAAGATGATTTCTGGTCCACTCAACTGAGATTTGAGACTATATTTGAACCGCTTTTATCTCAATTATACAATATTGAAGATAGCATTGGTAAGTACATCGTAAAGGCGATTACTTCCTTTATTGTCAATGTTTCCTCCGATGAGTACAATGAGAAGTTAGTTCATGGTATGATCAGCAGAATCTCCAACGATAATGATCAAGTGAATTCACAATGCAAGATCTGGAGTATCAGAACATTAAAGTCCATTTTCCAAAAGATGGGTGACCAATGGTTGACATACTTGCCTACTTTAATTCCATATATCGCAGAGTTATTAGAAGACGATGACGAGGAAGTAGAATTGGAAGTTAGAAAGGGACTTGTTAGAGTCATTGAGAATGTTTTAGGTGAGCCATTAGATAGATATCTTGATTGATTAGCATATAAAAAGTCAAATAAAAGTTAAATAAAAGTTACTACAGTATTTTTAGTCAATTTCTATAAGGTTTCGTAGAGTTCTGGGATAGAGTAATACCTTTAGTCAATACTCAATAATGTTTAGAATAATCGGCTAAGCAAACAAAACACTCTTCTTCTTAACAAGCGTCTTGTAAATGCCAGTTTCGCAGCCATTTCATCTAGATGATCTACATCTGAATTTTAGAGATGGAGCCCTAAAGAGGAGCATATCCTCCTCTTGAAAATATTCTTGACATCTGTGTACTGCTATATTCTCTCACCTTGAAAAGTAAACTCGAATTGGGCTTGGAAATTGGGCCCGATAACCTCCAATTCAGATGTATTAAACGTACGGTGGTATAGTGTCTTCCTAAGAAGTACGACCACCACCTGCATATAACATTTGTCGTGCGACATTCAAAAGAATATTCTTTGAAATTCTCCCACTCAAAATTTTTCAAAACTTATAACCCCAAGTTTTCGGCAGTCCCGCCAGTTCCCTCTCATCGCTTGTAAAGAGACTAAATATATTTAAAATGGTAAGTAATTATGTATTTGTCGACGGACTCACTATATATCAATAATTATTGTGTATAGGCGCTGCGCTATGAAAAATTTTATACATATCTACAACTGCAATTATGCTGATACTAACATTCCTTTAGTCCTTGTTGAAATCAGCTCAATCATTAAAGCCTTTGTTTGACCGTGTGTTGGTCCAAAGATTAAAGCCAGCTACCAAGACCGCATCTGGTATCTATATCCCAGAAAAGAACCAAGAAAAGTTAAACCAAGCCACTGTTATTGCATCTGGTCCAGGTATCACTAACACCACTACTGGACAAGTAATTCCAACTTCAGTTAAGGCCGGTGACAAGGTTCTTTTACCTTCCTTCGGTGGTAACCCAGTGAAGGTTGGTGACGAAGAATACTTCTTATACACCGACAAGGAAATCTTGGCCAAGATTGAAGAGTAAATATAAAGAATGACGGAAGTTACCCTGTAAATAGGCAATATATATATTTTATTAAGAGCATTGTGACTGAAGTGTAGTGAGAGCAGATCTGCAAGCTAGTCAGTGAGTGAAAAATGTAGAAATGTTCAGAGCTGGAGTAGATCTCTTGTAAGGATCAGTTGAGCAGCATTCTCTTCAGCTGCGTCAAAAGTGGATAACACGAAAGCTCGGTAAATTGCCGAGTACCCACTCGTCAACCTCAGAGAGGAGTGCTAGCTTCCTGTGAAACAGTACTAGCAGTAGAACTGTACGTTGATTGTCGCTCAGAACGACATGGGTCGGCCGATTGATATGTAGGCACGTGACACTTGTATCCAGAGACTGTGCCACCAGGAAGGGAGCCTCTACAAGAAGATACGGCTGAAGTAGTGCCGTACTCCACGAAAGCATGGCGAATTGTCAATTGCGCCACTCGCCAAACTTAGAGAGGGGTCCTGTGAAACAGTACGAAGCTGTATGAATGATATATCCAGTAGCTCACAACAGCATGGGTGGGTGCTGATTGATTATTAATCACGTGCCTACGTTATTCAGAGATACAGTCCACCAGACTCTAATAAGCACAGAGCACTTCAGCTCTAAGTTTTCCCGCTCCTAGACGGTAGCCCTCTTCCAATAGTTCAGTCACCGGCAAGGGTCCCACCTCTCCCCAACCGCTCCAACTAACGCCTTGCTTGAGCCCTTAATCCAATCACATCAACCATTCAACCAACTCCTCCACTATCGCAACCAAGCTATGTGCAGTACACACATGCACTCATTGCTTTTTCCCTCCGTAATCTTGCCTGCCTGCCTGGCTACCTGCCCAGCCTCCATAGCTCCCCCATCGCCCTCACAATTCAGCTAGCTCAACAGTTTAGTCCCGTGCAGCGCATTTATTACTGAGTGAAATTTGCATAACAGTTTCCTTTTTTAGCCATACTGCTCTATATACAGAACTCATAGGTTAGACTTCCTTCCCTGTTGACTCTACATAAATTAGCCTTTTCCGTAGTTTGTTTTTGTTTCTGATTGTGGTCTTTTGTTTTTCTTGATTTCAGTCAATAGAAAAAAAAATTGTTGACCAACCCTTGCTTGGCTTCTTCTTGAGTGTACCCCCTTTTGCTTGTTACCACTCGCCCCCTATTGATACTACATTTACGAACCCACACGTCCGTTAACCATGTCAGAAGCAGCAGAGAGATTCGCCCAATTCAAACTTGTCCTCTTAGGAGAAAGTGCCGTGGGGAAATCATCAATTGTACATAGATTTGTCAAGAATACCTTCGATAACATGCGTGAGTCTACCATCGGGGCCGCCTTTTTAACCCAATCAGTGCACCTTGCAGAGTCCAATACTACCGTTAAGTTTGAAATTTGGGACACCGCTGGCCAAGAACGTTACAAGCTGTTGGCGCCAATGTACTACCGTAATGCCAACGCAGCACTTTGTGTTTACGATATCACTAGTCGCTCGTCGTTTAGCAAGGCCCAGGATTGGATCAAAGAATTGAAAAAGCAGGCTCCCGAGGGGATCGTAATCTGTCTTGTGGGAAACAAAGTAGACTTAAAAGATGAAAGAGAGGTTGATGAACAGGAAGTCGCTGAATACGTAGAAGAGTTAAATCAAGAACAGTCGTCTGCTGGAGCACCAGCTGGTAAGGTCATTCTAGCAGAATGTTCGGCAAAGTCTGGTGATGGTGTTTTGGAGACATTTAACGTTATCGCTAGAGCTTTACCCGTTGAAGATGCAGTCGGAGGTGCCCGTAACAGACAATTAAGGAACAAAAGATCCAGTGGCGTTGACTTGTCTAGAGGCAGACAACAGCAACAGCTGCAAGCAGCATCGAGCTGCTGTTAGGAAATACTTTTGTTTCCTTGATATGAACTGGTCAGTTCTGCTCATTTGTGGACAACCTTCGCTCAGTGTGTTGCACCGCTTGTCCCAGGAGAAGTTAATCTCTATAGACTGGGGACACTGGCTGGTCCGCTGGAGTCCTGAATTACAGCCTTGAGGCGAACAGAAGAACATTTGCTAGAAGAATGCTACTCTAGTGGTGTCGAATAGTGCTCAGTTACAGCTTTCCTGAATCGAAATCTACACAGCTCACGCTTTTACTTGAGACGACTCCTAGGATGCCCTTTACATTACTTTTTTATTTTTATTATTTACATTCTTGCATTTGGTTACCCCCAACATTTCCTAAATCCTCTATATTGGATTATTATTGAACAATTTTAATATATACATTTACTCTGGGCATCGATTGTAGCGGTTCTTCTGGACTCATATGTATATGACTATATACAGGATTACCAAATGGGATACATGTTGCACAATTTGCAGCCTAAGCTAAGAAGTCACAGAATGAACAAAGTCTTCTTGTTTGATTTATGTCTTGATATTCCTGATATGTGCATGCGCTGATACAAAAATCTAAATTTCCGTTTCTTGATTATGTACATTTAATTACTATAGAGCGTGAATTCTTTACAGAGTTACGCTAGAGAAATACAAGCTTGGAACTGGCTGGAGCAGATTACCAACCGAGAACTTTATTGGCCAATTTAGCCGACTCGACTGCGTATTTTTCAACTAGTTCTTTGGTGAGTGGTTTGCTTGGGTCAATGTTCTTACCCTTGTTGTTGAAAATTGCACCAGAGCGAGTTTCGATGTCGGGTGTTACCAAGAGAGGAGCAATACCTCTGGCATACTGCTCTGGACTTTGAGAGAGCCAACCAATGAAAAATTCCACAATGGAAGACTTCCAACTATTTTCACCTAAAAAGTTATTACGAATATTCGTCTTGACTAAACCTGGGTTCAATCCGAAAATGTTCACTTCTGGGTGTTTTTCAGCAACATCATAAACTAATGCTTCATTTGCAGCTACAGTGGTCATATGAGCGCCCATAGCTTTATATTTACCTTCCGAATTGAAGTCTTCAACGTTACCAGCCTGACCATCACCTGGGTATCCCATATTAAAAATACGAGGTTTTACTCCAAATTGTTGGCTCTTAAGCCTTGGGAGAAGCTCACGAAGCATGACAAATCTGTTCAAATAACTTACAGCTAAATCTCTCTCAACACCTTCTTTGGTCTCTTCACGAGTTCCAGCTGCAAAAATACCGGTAGTGAAAACTAGAATGTCCGTCTTTTCTGCTGGTAATAATTTAGCAATCCTCAAGGACTCTTTCATACTACTTAAATCAGACTTGACGAATTCAATACCCTCTTTATCTGAGTCTCTGAAGGTTTGACCTACTACAGTGACTGCAGCACCACGAGAAGATAAAAACTGGCTCAATGCACGGCCAAGGCCACCAGTACCACCAACAATAGTCACGTTCTTTCCTTCAAGTTCCAAAGAATCTGGAGAAACTTGAGTCCATTCAAAAGTCATCTTAGAGTTTAATTTTCAGTTTTGATAATTCTAATTTAATAATTCAATTAAATATCTACACAATTCACATTCGTATCCATCCACTTTGTTGAGTATCTCGACTACTTTATATATGATCTTAGCGCTGGAGATAACAATTACAGAAATAACAATTACAGAATATTAGTAAGTGTGAAGAGTCGCAATTCTCATGACCTTGCTGGAGAAGTGCTACTAATCGCCCAAGAATTTAAATCCGGAAATAAGAATGCCAAATACGGATACCAAATCCATTAGTAATCTACAGGAAGTTACGTTGGCTAATATCTATGATGGAGATGAGATGAGACGGCCGAGTACTATTATTAATTAGAATATCACGAAGTTTCAATTTTTCCGGTTCTGAAAAAGAGAAAATATTTGACCGATTGTGGGACAGGTTATATGTTTCAGAAAATTCAACCCGGAGTACTAGAATACATATGCACAATTGCTCGAAATTAATGTTTCCCTCCATGATTATATCAAAATCTCTCTTCTTTTCATCAAAAGGTGCAAATCCTACTTCTATTACTTGCCATGAAGGTTACTTTGTACGAAACTTGAAGCTCTTGTAGACAACGTCAAATGTACCACTTTAAAGTGGCTTGGATGTTCCACGCATAAATTCATGCAGGCTCATATATTTACGAGAAATTGTGCCAAAGTTCAGAGAGCTTAGAGAGCGTACTACATTGCTTAAATATACGTGGAACATACACTTTCATTTATTTATCTTTATTTGTTTTATATACACGTGTTGATTGTTTCTTAATTGAATTTTTAAACTAGCATAAACACATCATTGTTGACCTGGGCCCAGCAGCTAGCTTTGCCAACTCGGTTGCAAATCTCTCCGCGAACTCCTTTATGAGCGACTTGCTTGGATCAATGCTATTTATCGTAACTCTCTCAACATAAATTTCTATTTCATATTTATTCTATATAACATCTATTGAGGATTATCTATTTGGCCCTCTTTGCAAAACAGATAGTATATTCCTTCGGTATTCTGCAACAATTCGTCTGGGGGGCCAAATTCAGAAACCTTACCTTTGTCCAATACTAAAATTTTATCACTATCTCTAATAGTTTCTAACCTGTGGGCAATAATCAAAATAGTTTTGTCTTTGAACTCTGTTCTAATGGTCTCTTGTATAATTTTATCAGTCTGAACATCAACAGCAGCAGTTGCTTCATCTAGCAATAGAATCTTAGAAGGGTTCAATAACGCTCTTGCTAAGCACAATAGTTGTCTTTGCCCTGCAGAGAGATTTGATCCATTGTCTTCAATGATAGCGTCAAGACCGTACTTTGTTTCTTCATCTTTATTATCCTTTAATTGCTTTTCAGTGGGTTCTGTTTTCATTTCCTCCACATGGTTTTTAAGATGAGCTAGTTCCAATACATTCCAAAGCTGATCATCAGTAAATAATTCTAACGGATCCAAGTTTCCTCTGACAGATCCCTTAACAGTCTGTGAATCCTGAGGAATAATACTCAAATGTTGACGAAGGGTGGAGAGGGAAATTTTAGAAATATCTAATCCATCAATCAAAATTTTCCCTGAGGTGCTTTCTATTATCCTGAACAAAGCTAATGTCAAGGAAGACTTTCCAGCTCCAGTTCTTCCTACTATTCCTATCCTTTCTTGACTATTAATGTGAACATTAATCTGCGAAAGGACATCATCTAAATTTTCAGCATACCTTGTAGAGTAATTGACAAATTCAATTTCACCATGAGTGGGCCAATTCTTTGGTGGTAATACATAGTCATTGCTCTCATTTTCCTCTGGTGGTAAGTGGCAATATTCTATGATTCTCTCAATAGAAACAGCATCAGTTTCTACTTGGGCCCAAATCCTCACGATATTATTTAAAATACCAGTAGTGGAAAGTGCGTAAGTCATAATGAATCCTAGAAGTGCCGGCTTAATTTCTCTACGGCCACCAATTGAAAGCAAAGATAACAACGACGAAGCATAAATTAAGATGCACGATATTGATTTAATTCGAATTGACAACCACATATTACAAGCCTGACTTGCATATTGAGCTGTAATGACTTTATCAATATTTCTCATGTTTTTCATCTGGAAGCTTGATTGTCTATCATAAGCTTTAATTGTTTCAATCCCGCTCACTGTTTCTTGAAAATGATTGATTGCAGGTGATTTTGACCTACTCAGTAGCCTCTTCAATTCTCTGGAGCACGGAATGAAATATTTCCTAATGTTGTTATAAACAACCAAAAGCCCAAAAAGTAATATGGCAATAGAAGGCAAGTTATAAACTATCACTGAAAATGTCAGAAATGCACTTACTACTGTCATAACGAAGCTTATGAAGGTAAATGGTAATGAAAGGTCAACATCTGAAATATCCAGTGTGAATCTATTTAAGATCCTACCGATCGGTGTTGTTTCAAAGAACCGCATTGGAGATTTCAAAACTGATTGAATCATCTTGTCATGAAAGAAACGTGCACCACGAATAATACAAAGAGACCATAATATAAAAGATGTGAACAAATTCAAGAATGCACCGATTACTCCAAGGCCAACATACTGGTACAAGAAATGAGATGAATCAACGTTCTTGTTTGCCTTAGAATTTAATTCTGACCATTCTCTTAGAACATTATTTTCCAATACACCGATGAACAGGATAATAATAGTTAATACTATGTATACAATGGCCCAATGAAAGTTACAAGCTTCAAAGTACTCAATGAATACAGAAAATGGAACTCCACCTTTCTCTGAATTTTCATCATCTTCTTTATCTAATCCAGAGATTGAGTTAGATACAGAATCTATCGACATATTTCCAACTGTTTCACGACTGGCCGTTCGTTTAAGAGAATTATCTGCAGAAAACTCTGACTCACTTATTTCTTTAATCGATTCGTCCCGTTTCCCAAATTCTCGTATAAGGTCATTCAATTTTCCTTCTTTTTGAAGAACTTCAGACAATGTTCCTTCTTCTATTATAGTTCCATCACTTAACATGTAAATCCAATCAGCGTCATGTAAAACTTTAACTGAGTTTGTTGCCAAGAGTATAGTTTTACTGTTCAAAAGTCCATTAGGACCCAATACCTTCTCAATTATATTTGCTGCCACATGAACATCGACCGCTGATAATACGTCATCCAAAAAGTATATGTCAGACTTTGAGTAAACTGCTCTAGCCAAGGAGATTCTTGCCTTTTGTCCGCCAGAAAGAGAGATTCCCTTCTCACCCACCAAAGTTTCATCACCGTTTGGCAAAGAATTGAAGTCGGACATTAATTCGCAAGCATCAATTGTTTTTGAGTAAAAGTCGGGATCATATTTGCAGCCAAATAAAATGTTTTCTTTGACAGTACCATTTAAGATCCACGGAATTTGTGCACAATATGCAATCGACCCAGATATGGTTATTTCTGTCTTTGGATCATTGTGTGGCATTTCACCAAGGAGTGCCTGGAAAATAGCTGACTTACCTGAGCCAACTTTCCCGACGACACAAGTTAACTGTCCTTTCCTTGCAAAGATATTAATATTTGACAACGCAAATCCAGAATTAGAAGAAGTAGTTGATGATGATACCTCAGAATTAGGGATATCCAGCTGTTGTTCCTGGACTGGTTCTACATCAGGCACTGTAGATGATTGACTATCCACATTTGAAGATATGTCATTCCCATTTTCTTTCGTGTTTTCCTTATTGTCAATCTTTTTATCCCATTTAAAATTACCATCTGTTAATTTGACAGTAATGTCTCCAATTCTCTTCCCTTCTGCACTTTCAGTTTTAACAAACGTAGAATCAGCCTCTTCCATTAAAAACAATTCACGTATTCTTTCCACACTAGTAAAAGCTTGAACAGTCATAGATATAAGGCCTGGTATCATGAAAATTGGCTCATTTAACATCCCAATAATAGTTAAAGAAGGAAAAAGTAATTCTGGAGTAAGTGGAATGTCGTACATTCTAATGAATGCAGTAAAACATGCTGCTGAAACAAAAAATGGAATACACAGAAATAAGAACATCACAAAAGACATAGCTATACCAATCTTCTTCAATGTGTCCAATTCTTTGTCGTTTCTAATTGCTCTAATCTTCTCCAACATTGGTTTCTCCCAGGAATATAATTTGATCGACTTGATTGAATTTAGCACTTCGGTTGTTAGGGTAGCTCTTTCGTCTTTAGCTTTCATTAACTTTGGAAATAATGAAACAAAGGTAAGACTAATTAGTCCACCAACTGGAATTAGCACTCCTATGGTAATAAGTCCAGTCCATGTGGCATCCTTTATTAATTTCTTCAACAGGATTAAACATAAGGCAAATTTTAAGGGAACACTAATGAAAACTTGTAATTGACTGCAAAAACCTCCAATAGTGTTTATATCGGTACTGACATTGGTGACAAATTCACCAGCTGACTTATTCCTTCGGGCTGCTGGACTTAATTTCAAAGCTTTGTTGTAGATCATGGTTGAAAGGGAAGATTCAAAACAGAATCCCAATCTCAACTCTACCATTGATGCTTGATTGAAAAAAAAATAGTCGAATACTGAAATCAAATACATTAGGGTAGCAATGAAATAGCCAATAATCAAGGGTGGTGGATTATCTTCATGTTCCATTGTTCTCTCTGTGAAGAAACTAATAAACCATTTCAACAAAAATGGGTTGATAAACGTAATTGAAATATCCACCAAGTCAGAAAGTATAGCAATAAGTATAAATCCAGGATAGAACCTTAAAAGTGGAGAGAGTAATGACACTTTAAGTTTACTATCTGGAATACTCTCATCTGCTGTCGAACTTTTATATGCATTCTTTCTTGCTCTTTCCAATTGTCCATTCCAAAGACTTTGAAGTTTCTCCAGAGTTGGAGCGGACTTGACAAAAGCAGGGGGTTGGAGGATCGATTCGAAGTTGACTTCATCGGTATCGTACACTTGAGATATTAAGGGAGTCACCCAGTTGTAAGTTAAATATGAGAAGAGGTTCGCCTCTTCTTCAATTTTCCACTCGTTCAAGTCATAATACTCTACAAGCTCCTTTGTAGGATACCAAAAGTAAACCTCTAATACCAAAATTGCGACCACCAATATGAGACGTGATATTTCAAGTGTGAGACCCAAGACGGATCCTGTGGAGTAGATCCAATGCTCGGAGAAGACATCTTGAGCCGTTCCAACCAAATTCAAGACAACAGACAAGGACCAAAATACCAATAAGGATGCCAATTGAACAACAGACTTGGTAGGTTCAAACAAGTGAAGGGGCAAAATAATACAAGAAGAAATCAAGACAGACAAAACTAGAGAGACTACTGAAAGTAAACATCCCGAGTTAAGTAGCAATTGTCCACCTAAAATCACCGTTTGAAGAACGATAAATAACAATCTGAACTGTTGGAATGGCCCTGACGTACCAGAACCAAAAGAATACTTTAATTTATGTGGACCATATTCCTTGCTGAGGGAAATTCCTAGAAGCTGATATAATGAGAACAAACCGCTAACAGTCTGAAAGACAATGACTACGAAGTAGTAGAAGTCTGGGTCAATTGAATTGCCAAATGGCAGATAAAGCACATTTGGAAAATCAAATTCAATCATTAATTAGTATTGCTTTGACCGTTTACTACGGTTTCTCACTAAATGACAGAAAGCAGTCCCTTTATAATTATCACCTGTTGCCTTTGCAATGGCAAAAAGTGAAATTTGACATTATTTTTAGTTCCCGAACTTAAATATCCACTAAGCCATGCGGCGCATCATATGCACAAGAGCTCCGGATTTAAACAAAGATGTGCGATGAACTCTAAAGTGATAAGAATGTGGAAAGGATATGGAGAGTATGGCACAACTCCGTGAAATCCGTCTTCAGTGCTGTTATAAGATATATTCATATGACAAGGAAGGTTGGTTTTTTCGTGAGGATATGGCTTTCGTTTGGCTAGTAATTCATATTTCTCATTTAGGGATCTTAGCCTTCCATGCGCCAAGCCAGTGCCTATCATAATTCCAACGCTAGAGATATGAAAGATTAGGAATTGGTCCGTCACATCACAGTAAATGAGGGAACGTGCATATGCTACAGAAAACTTTCGGAGAACTTTAAATAGCAGCATACGAGACAATAGTTTTAAGTTTGAGCCTGCGTTGCAATGTTTCCGATCGTCGAATTTCATGTAACATGCGCTGTTAGTGTTGGGCAACTCCTAAGCTGATTCGATAAGCGACGGCTATCTACTAGCTGATAAAACCTTTCTACGGGTATGCTCAGAGCAGTTATCTTTGCATAAGAAACTCTTTTCGAGTTGAAAACTATGGCTAATGGAGTTATGTAGAAAGACTAAATTGGGTGACAATCTCATATCAGCTTGTCACGAAATGTAAATGCCTTCCAGATAAGAATTCTCTAGGTAGGGTAATAAAAAAGCACACAGAAGTCAAAAAATTACAATCATCAAACTACTGGTAATTTGAGAGGTTATCCATGGCGTTAAGAATGGATTCCTTGAAATATGATCTGTACATCATTTTCCCAATTGGGCAGCAACACATTTTTGCAGCAGGTATATTCTCAAAAGCGCTCCAAGGGAACACAGTTCCCCGTTTAATCCTGCTGTTCCTTTCCCTTTTTTATCTTCCTGAGTATTGCTATATATCCCCAATACGCCCTACTCAAAACAAGCGCTTGAAATATCCCAACGTACTTTACCTCTTGTCTATCGTTCCCCCAAAACATACCATGAAATGGTCTGCCACATATCCTGCATCCGGATCACGTCAAGCGCCTGCATTATGTCAATTGATCCTGCACCCAAATATCCAAAGCCTTTCCCACAGTGCTCCGGGTAACACCACAGTAAAAAAAATCAGTTTTGTGTCACTGAAAAATTTTCTTTTAGCGTCTCACTGAAAAATTTTCAAGACTTTTTTTACCTTAGCTAGTGCAACGTTCTTCTTCTTCTTCTTCTCTTTATCATTATCGATACATATTACAATGTCCCGTCCTCAAGTTTCCGTTATCTCAACCGAAGGTAAGGCTACCTCAGCCCAACTCCCATTACCAGCTGTCTTCGCTGCTCCAGTTAGACCAGACTTAGTCCACTCCGTCTTTGTCAGAGTCAACAAGAACAAGAGACAAGCTTACGCCGTCTCCGAAAAGGCCGGTCACCAAACCTCCGCTGAATCATGGGGTACCGGTAGAGCTGTTGCCAGAATTCCAAGAGTTGGTGGTGGTGGTACCCACAGATCCGGTCAAGCTGCTTTCGGTAACATGTGTCGTGGTGGTCGTATGTTTGCTCCAACCAAGACCTGGAGAAAGTGGAACGTCAAGGTTAACCACAATGAAAAGCGTTATGCCACCGCTTCTGCCATTGCTGCCTCTGCTGTCACTTCATTGGTTCTTGCCAGAGGTCACAGAGTCGAAAACGTTAAGGAATTACCATTAGTTGTTGCTAACGAATTCGAAGCCGTTACCAAGACCAAGGAAGCCGTTGCTGTCTTAAAGGCTGTTGGTGCTCACAAGGATGTCATCAAGGTCATCAAGTCCAAGAAGTTGAGAGCCGGTAAGGGTAAGTTGAGAGGTAGAAGATTCACCCAAAGAAGAGGTCCATTAGTTGTCTACGCCCAAGACAACGGTTTAGTCAAGGCCTTAAGAAACGTCCCAGGTGTTGAAACCGCTAACGTTAAGCACTTAGGTTTATTACAATTAGCACCAGGTGCTCACTTAGGTAGATTCGTTATCTGGACCCAAGGTGCTTTCGAATCCTTAGACGCTGTCTACGGTTCCGACTCCTCCAAGTCTGTCAAGTCCGGTTACACTTTACCATCTAACATCATCTCCAACACTGATGTCACCAGATTAATCAACTCTGCTGAAATTCAAGCCGTTGTTAGACCAGCTGGCCAACCAACCCAAAAGAGAACTCACGTCTTAAAGAAGAACCCATTGAAGAACAAGCAAGTCTTATTAAGATTAAACCCATACGCCAAGGCCTTCTCTGCTGAAAAGCTCGGTTCTGCCAAGGCTCAAGATGCTGCTAACACCAAGCCATCTAAGGGTCAATTCTCTGAAGTCTTAAAGAACTAAATGTGATCGATCGACATTCAAATATCAATCATCATAAATTATTCTCATGAAGCGAGGAGTGTATATATTTGTATCTATAAGCTATTGAAATAATGTATGAGTGCTACACTTCTATCAATATACCAACGTAGAGAATAGAGAGTCTGATTTGCGGCAAGTATCCTCCTAGCTCTTGAAGAAGCTCCACCGTTCGTTGTTTAGCTTATAACTGGCATATAGGGGTTAGGAGCACGGTGCAACTTTCTTTTTTTTTTTTTTTTTTTTTTTTTCAAAAATTTTGCAGCCTAATTTGGTTGCACTCAAGGAAAAGCGAAGCTCTCCGCTCTTCTTCGTGCTCTTCTTTCTGCTCTTCTTCCTGCTCTTCTTGATAAGTCATTCTACACTTGGCTGGTTGTTGTGTGTGCTACATTGATATCGTCTATGATACTGCTGTTTTCTCCGTAATTGTTTATTTCATTTATATTATATAGGCAAAAGGGGAATAAGTGTCTAACTTAAACTAGACGGGAGGGAGAACATTCTCTTCGAAGTAGGATTTTCCTGTAGCCAGGTCCGTTCCCACTATATTACCTCTGGACTCGGAATATTCGCAAATGGTGTATTGTCTCCATTCATTATTACAGGCCACTAATGCACATCCCAACTGAGTGGTGTCTTTCCAGACAACTTGGGTGAAATGCCCTGTGGCTTCTGAAAAACCAGGGCTGTCGAAGTTGTAGAGTGAAATTTCATCATACCATGCATCTACTGGAGATGCTCCTCCAACATAACCAGCAGCCAAGTTTTCACCGTAAGGTCCACCGGAGTGGATCAATTGAACGTTATCACACAGAAATGCCTCAGCAGCATAAGCGACAGCGTAGTCTACTAAAGTAGTGTTCCAAACCAAGTCTCCGACTCCATGAAGGGCTCTCTTAACGTTGTGTTCATTCAATATAGCAGACTCGAATGAGTTCAATCCAGAAGAAGTAGATGCAGCTGATGAACTACTGGAAGTGGTGGTTGAGGTGGTTGGAGTAGTAGATGTGGTGATTGGAGTAGTAGATGTGGTGGTTGGGGTAGTGGATGTGGTGGTTGGGGTAGTGGATGTGGTGGTGGGAGTAGTGGATGTGGTAGTTGGAGTAGTGGATGTGGTCATAGGGGTAGTAGATGTAGTGGTAGGGGTACTAGATGTGGTTGTTGGGGTACTAGAAGTAGATTCAGAAGTACTGGTGGCTTCAGTTTCTGGAGCAGGAGAAGTAGATGTAGTTGCAGAAGTTGTGGCCTCAGTTTCTGGAACTGGAGAAGTAGATGTAGTTGCAGGAGTAGTGGCTTCAGTTTCTGGAGCAGGAGAAGTAGATGTGGTTGCAGGAGTAGTGGCTTCAGCTTCTGGTGTAGAAGACGTTATAGCAGTAGCTGATGGTGCGACTGTACTAGTCTCAGGGGAAGATGCTACTTCAGCAGCAGGTGGTGGTCCACTTACTGTAGCGACGACTATATTAGTTTTCAAAACTGTGTTTGTAGTATAGGTGACCCATTGTGTTACTGCTGGTGCAGTGTGGTATCTCGTTATGATGGCAGGAGCAGCATTGGCAGTGGCTGCGAAAGCAGCGATCATAAACTTTATTCTCATAGTTCTGTTTGTATAAGTTGGATATTGAGTGGTATAGAATTCTTCAGGGTTGTGGTAAACAAGGTGAAGAAAATGGAAACAAAAGTAGGGAATGTTTAAGGTAGATATGTTAATCTTATTATTTTTTATGGACACTTAACACGGGATTCAGTGGATATTTAAATACCAAACTTGCAATATTTTTTAAGCGAAGACCAATCTGCTTGCCAGCTTTAATTTTGAGCCTGGGAATACGACCCCATATACGGAGAGAAACATGCAAGAAGAATAATCCTGTCACTGCATAATACTGTAACCACACTCTAAGATCTATGGTAGCATATATCTTTAAACTTGGTTCCGGCTTATCAATTAGGCAATTCCGTATTTAACCAGCTAAAGCTTGCAGCAAAGTCGTGGTCGAACCGCTCAACGGTTTGTATTTTCGAAGAAAACGCATGTAATTAAAGTATGCTGGCATAAAAATACTGTATATTTCCATAAGGTGCAGAAAAAATATTCCTTGTGCCTAAGCTGATGCGCCTTTAAAGAGAAATTTGTTCCCGAGTTGGACAAAACTTACGTTTATCAAGCACCAACGTGAAAACTGAAAAGAAGGTGAAGGGATTGTGAATTACAAACCTTAAGTTTGAGGAAGAATATAACCGACTTACAGTTGGATGAGGTGATTTTCAGTGAAAAACAGAAGTTCATTTTAGTAATTTTTAACAATTGAGTAGTGAAGCATTCTTTGCAAGATCGAAGGCTCAACCTTAGGGGTGAATGGTGGGCAAGTTTATGCGCGCAAAATCCAGAGGTTGGGAGGTAAGGGCAGAAAAGTGGTTTGCCAGTAAAAAAAGAAGCTTGCTAAGGCTTTAAAAATTGACAAGTAATTTGTCAAATGTCAAATATTACTCAAAAGTCAGACAGGGCACAGTAAAATAGAACAAAATGGGACAAGGCAAAAAAAAAAGGGAATAGAAGCTACCTTCTTTGTCTTTGGGGCCTTCTCTGCTTAACTGATTGTGTGTATGTTTCTATACCTGTTGTAGTGGACTAATTTTCAATAACATATGCCAAGTAACCTAAACTGGACATAATTATTAAGAAATTAATAAAAATGCTTAAATGTTGTTCGAAAGGGGATTAAGGTGGGTTCGATGAACCCTGATATTCATTAAACCCATCTTCATTTACATGCAATATCTCAATTTGTAAATTTCGTGTCCTGTTATGGGCTAAGCAAGCCATCTTCATCCCATGTCTTGCAGTTTAACGTTTCTTGCAAGAAAATCGAGCGCAGCAAATATACGAGGAACTGGTTGAACTACTTTCATCCATGCACCAGCGTGAAAAATACACAGTGCTCGTAATCCTAAAATAAGAACTGGTAACAATCACAGCCTGGATATAATACAAAAGAAGCTCAGCAGCATAGTAGACTGTGATTGTGTGGAGGACAGGGAAGAAGTAAGTTGAAGTCAAAGGAAATAAAACGGAGAGTAAAGGGCTCAAACTGAAAAAAAAAAATGAAGACTGATAGGGTATCTTGACAGAGCGAATAGTTATGCAAGAGCAGACATGAGAACGGCCATACGAGAGACCTATTCAGTGCACTTGTTGGGAACATATAAGGTGGGACAAGTCGAAGAAGCACACTGCAAAAGGATCTGTATAGCATACAGTGTCCCCGTCCAAAATAGCTCCCTGAATTGAGTCCAGTCCAGTCAGCACTGAATGGTCACCCTACTTCAACAGCAGAACTGGACACCCACTCATCTCAATTTTGGCTCTCTCCCAGCAGTGCTGCTCCGGCTGCAGTGACGTAATTTCTAAATATTTTGATTTGATTTGTTTGTTTTTGGGAGGAAGAGGCTTCTACATAAATTTTCAGAGTGACAGTTTTTTCCGGCACACAACCGTGAGATGCGGCGCCCAATGTGCGCTAAAATATAGGGGCTTACTGTGAAGAATTCCACTATATTCCGCTGTGGGACTGACTCCGGTGTCACGAGCTTAGTCCGGAAGAGCTGGAAGTTCACCCTGATTGCCACCGCCATAACCACACAGTCACAAGAGGAGCAGGGAAATGGATCCCTAAGATGGGTTGAGAGAACAAGGATAGACAATTGGGGGTCTCCACATTGTCTCTAGTGGGGTAATTGAATAGCTTCAAAATAGTCCAAATTAGGGACGCGCGACTTCTATTTTTAAAGTCAATAGGCCAGAGCAAGCCAAAAAATGCTTGGTATGGCCAGTGTTTTTTTAGCCATGAAAATCCATGTAGGAGAAGTTCACACGCTGGACCTTGGAAAGAGATAGACACCAGCACACCGGCAAGCAGCAAAGGTTACCAGTTGCCAGTTCTGGCTCGCATAGCGTAAATTTTCATGTACATCTTGCGATGCTACCTCTGTTGTCCATCACCTTCTCGTTCCTCTTTTCTTGTTCCTAACGTCTCTTGTTTCAGAACCCCTAAATTTAGCGGGCCCAAAAGTCGCGCAAACTTAATTCTTTGCACTATATTTTTGATTTGTCGCCATTTTACTGCCCCAAATAATTTTTCACTGGGGGCCCTACACGGTAAGCCTAAAATTTTCCACTACAGCTAGCCCAGGTTGAAATTTCTTATCACTAGCAGTGGATTCCTTTCAACACACTTGACGTTGTAATATTTTTTTTTCGGTCTTTTCCATTTAGTACTCTTATCTTTGTAGTTCAAGTGGTACTGCTGGCTTCTTTGGTACATTTATACTACTATGTTCAAGGGATTACGGAAAAAGGCTTCGCTTTTATCTTTAACAAGTACAACCTCCAACGAGCTGATTAAGCCAGTGGATTCGGTAGGCAGCAATGGTAGCCCATCGGCAGGATCAGACAATTCTAACAGGAACCATGGAAATTTGGTAAAAGTATTGAAGCAAGTTCGAGATTTCGAAGTTGCTCTCCAGTCTATGGATTATCTACTTGACGACAGGGCTCCCGTTGGAGTGGAGCTCTTGAAGGTCGAGGAGAGGAAGCTGAAAAATGCAGATCAGCCCGCCGCAATCTTGCCATTGGCCTTAGGAGTCATGGAATTCATTGAGGCAACTTTGGGGTTTGAGCCTGAAGTCATGAACAAGGCACACTACACGTTAAGTGAAGCTGAAACGGCTTCTTTGAACAATCAAAAGTATAATGTCAAACACAAATTGGTGACGAGTCATATATACCCCCCAGGAACTGAGTTCCAGGTGACTTACGCCGAACTGACGTTGTTGAATGCATTGGTCATGTTGTTGAGAGAAAACAACGGAATGGTGGAGAGTGCCAAGGCATTGTTCAAGTTGAGGAAGGCATACTATGCCTTGGATGCGATCTACAAGAAGATCAAGGAAAGCGAGCCAGCGTTCAAGAGAAACTTGGCCAAGTTCACATCGGAAGCTGCTACTAGGGAGAAGCTTCATGGAAGCAGCACCAAAAGTGTGAGTACAGTTGATTTGCCAGGGTTTAATCCAAGCGACGCAGTTTGTGCTGCAGCTGGCGTGGCACCTGGGATTGGTGCTGCTCTCTCTGCCGGTACGGGTTCCGCAGCCTCTTCAACTTCTTCGTTGCCGGATGATATCAAGCTTATGAGAGATCTCGAAGCCGTCTACCAAATGCGTAAGACTAGAATTGAGGGCACAATGGTTTCTTCAGATATCGATGAGGATAGCATAAACTTATTTTCGAGTACTACAAGTAGTTTAAATTCTTCAAGGACGGCTTTATCTAAGAAGCTGCTGCTGCAGCTGTTTGGAAACAGTCAAGGAAATACAACCATAGCTGCACCAAGACCTTCAACTCCCGGTGCTGCTGGCAATGTCAGACCAAGTTCTCCCATGCAAATGCTTAATAGTAGATTCTTAAAGGAAAAGGAAACAGATACCAACGAAGAGGAAGAAGTGGATACCCTGGATGACGATGTTGATGATAGAGCGTCATTTGCCTCCGCTGAAGATGAGCTTGCTACTTCCCAAAAATTCTTTGGAGATTCTGGTACACTTCCAGTGCCAACCATCAATGATGGAGAGTCAGTGGTCTCAGGTTCTCCACAAGCATCCCAGATTGCACCAGCTCACTCAAACCATCTACACGTCTCTACTGTTGATGAATTCATCCATTCTGGTGTTCAACTTTGCTTTGGTATTCTTCAGGTAGTACTTTCTCTTATCCCTCCAACTATTGGTAAAGTGCTCTCCATTGTTGGATTCAAAGGTGACAGAGACACAGGGTTGAGAATGCTTTGGAGAACAGCAATAACCTCTAGAAACATACATGGAGAGCTTGCTCTTTTGTGCTTATTGGTATTCTATGATGGCCCAGTTCAATTTGTTGATGTAGGTTACCAATTTCCTGGGCATGAAGATTCCAATGTTACTAATGTACTCGCTATTGATAATTTGACTTCCATTTCGGATAAAGAATTGGAATTGGTTTTGCAAAATCCCTCGCTTTATACTCCACAATTGACTACAAAAGCCCGTAAGCATTTCCCTCATAATGCATTATGGTTACTCCAAGAGTCAAGAATATTGGCCTCCAAGGGTGACTTGGAAACTGCATCCAGGTTGATGCAAGATTTTCCTACGGACAAGATTCAAATGCAACAAATAGAGGCTCTTTTAGTCTTCGACAGAGCTATGCTTTTTGCCTTTAAACACGAATTTGATGAAGCTGCAAGAGATTTTATTGCTCTTATTGATATTAACTCTTGGTCAAAGGGGGTGTACTTGTATATGGCGGCCTGTTGTTACTTATCTAAGATGAGAATGTACAAGATGGGACTCATCTCCACCAAAGATGAAGATGAGAGGAAGCAGATGATCCAGAAGTACATGAAATTGGCAGAAAAATACTTCAAGTTGGCGCCAACTTATGTTGCAGGTCATGCTAATAGCACTAATGTCAAGACTGGTGGCATTGGAGGTAATAAAAAGCAAATGCCATTTGATAAGTTCCTTTTGCGTAAAATAGCAACAGTGGATGCAGAGATGAAGAAGAACCCCAATAGTGAGTACTGTGATTGCTTTGGCACTGCTCCTATGCACGAATTGATGTACTTCTGGAATGGATACAACAGAATGACTGCCAAAGAATTAGATCTCTCATTGAAACTATTGGATTATAGTGCAGATGAAAACATTTCAGATTGGAAGAGCAGTACAGGTGATCAATGTAGCAACCTTCAAGAAACAAAATACGAGAGAACAATTAGACTTTTCTTACAAGCAATCGTACTTAGGCTGAAAGGACAAGTTAGTGATGGAATGTCGTTGCTTGACAAGTTTGTAATTCCTCAATTTACTGAAGGTTCAGCTAGCGTATCTGAAGTAAAATTCACACGTAATTACAGTCCATATCTTTACCCTACTGTGTTATACGAGAGGAGTATGTTTGAATGGTTGTTAGAGACAGCCAAGGGAGAAAAGTTTGATGGAAGAAGGGCATGTAAAGAGAGTATGGAGTGGTTAAGAAGGGCAGAAGTTGCCGGAAACGTGGGCGATTATGAATTGAGTAATAGAACAGGAATGAGAATTAAGGCTGCAATCGATAGAATCGACCTGTTAAGTCATCTGAAAGAATAGTTACATAGAATTGAGGAAAGAAAGAAACTGAAAGAGCCCGAAAAAGAAAGAAAATTAAAAGAAAAATAAAAGAGAAAGCATCTAGGTAAAGACTTCAAGCATATTACAAGAAGGTAAAATATCTCCAGACCACTGCCTCTAGAGAAATGTAGACATCAACTCAAAATGCACTGCTTCTTTGTAAGTCCAAACATTTTGCACCCATTTACTTAGTGTAGTCAAGTAATACGTCTAAACTCAAGCCTAAAAAGACACCTGTGGAACTTTTGTGTCATAAAACGACTGAGATCTTCTCTTCGCCGCCAGTTTCGAAAGCTTATTAGGAGCCTTCTCCTACTGCTTCATACCTTGCCTTTGAATTACCTTCACATCTCAATGGAACATGTCTGACTTAGCATCCTGCATGTTGCGCATCCATCACTCTAAAGTTTTGACAAACCTGCATACAAAATTTTCACTAACGAATAGCGACCTCAAGCTCATCTCATCGCATATTTCAGTCAGCACTTCTCTGCCCATTTGTGATATAAAGACGTTGAGAAATGGCCAAGAAACCTAGCAGAAACGCCAAGAAGGACCACAGGAGATCTTCTCGTCAAAAAGATGAAGAAAAGTTGGTGGAATTACAGAAGAGAATAGATGAGTTTGACCCCAAGACAGATGGTGCGAGCGTAAAGCTCTTCTCTGATTTACCGTTATCTTCTGAGACTTTACAAGGATTGAAAGAGGCGCTGTTTGTGCAGTTAACGGATATCCAGAGACAAACAATCCCTATCACGTTGAAAGGAGAAGATGTTATGGGTACTGCCAGGACAGGGTCTGGTAAAACTTTGGCATTCTTGATCCCCACAATCGAAGCCTTGATCAGAGCCAAGATCACTGAGTTTGACGGGCTTGCAGCCTTGATAATATCTCCCACTAGAGAATTGGCGGTCCAAATCTTTGAGGTTCTTACCAAAATTGGTAAGTACAACTCTTTCTCTGCCGGTTTAGTCACTGGGGGAAAAGATGTCAAGTTTGAGAAGGAAAGAGTCAGTAAGATGAATATCTTGGTAGGGACTCCAGGAAGAATCCTGCAGCATTTAAATGAAGCCGTTGGAATGGAAACTTCTAACTTGCAGATTTTGGTATTGGATGAGGCTGATAGGTGTTTAGACATGGGGTTCAAGAGACAAATTGATAGTATTTTGGGGCATTTACCTCCCACGAGACAAACGTTATTGTTTTCTGCCACTCAGAGTGAATCTGTGTCCGATTTGGCCAGATTATCTTTGACTACTCCAAAGAGAATTGGAAATACTTCGGACGATCGTTTTGGACCTAGTGAATCAGCTACTGGTGAGATTTCAGCAACTCCATCCACTCTTGAACAGTACTACATAACTGTTCCCCTTGACGATAAGTTAAATACCTTGTGGTCTTTCATTAAATCACATTTAAAATCGAAGATATTGGTATTTTTCCTGTCGCTGAAGCAAGTCCAATACTGCTATGAAACCTTCAGGACATTGCAGCCTGGTATTTCGCTTTTGAAGCTTTACGGACGTCACAAACAAACGTCGAGAATGGAGACTACCTTTAAGTTTTCACAGGCACAACACGCCTGTCTTTTTGCTACCGATATCGTTGCCAGAGGATTGGATTTCCCTGCTATCGACTGGGTTATTCAAGTAGACTGTCCTGAAGATTCTGCCACCTATGTGCATAGAGTTGGAAGATGTGCTAGATTTGGTAGAAAGGGTAAATCTATGTTAATGTTACTTCCTTCAGAAGAAGAAGCAATGTTGAAGAAGTTGGAGAGTAATAACATATCAGCAAAGAAAATGAACATAAAGCAAAAGGTCAAGAAATCGATCAAACCCCAGTTACAATCATTATGTTTCCAGGATCCTATCATGAAGAATTTGGGACAGAGAGCATTCATCCTGTACTTCAGATCTGTATATGTTCAGAAGGATAAGGAGGTTTTCAAGTTGGATGAGTTGCCAAGCGAAAAGTTTGCTGAATCCTTAGGGTTACCTGGTGCACCAAAGATTAAGTTTAAAGGTGGAGCAGCAGCAGCTGAGGCGCTCTCTGCCGCTGGTAAAGAGAAGAAGAATGCATCCAGACAATTACTACAACTTGAAGCTGCCAACGAAGATGGTGAACATACCACGGAAGACGCACAAGGAAATGGCAAAGTCAGGACTAAATATGATAGAATGTTTGAAAGACAGAATCAAACCGTCTTATCTAAAGAGTATTTGAATTTGACTGGCAATGCCAAAACTGAGGCTGACGCAAACAAGAGTGATTCTGATGATGATTTCATGCTGATTAAGCGTAAAGATCACGTACTTATTGAGGAAGAACTTCCAGATTTGAGCATTCCTGTCTCCAAGAGACAAGCCAAGAAAGCACTTTCCAAGAAATTGTCTGTGACGAATAAGGGAAATCCAACGAAATTGAAATTCGACGAAGATGGTGTCGCCCATGCCTTGTATGAGTTGGAAGATGAAGAAGACTTCCAAAAGGGTGGTGATGCTTTGACTCAGAAGGAAAACTACGTGACTAAAGAATCCAGTGCCATGAACAAGGCTGACGAGGCTGATAAAGAAACTGCAAGAGAAAAGAGACAAGAAAAGAAGAGGAAAAGAAAGGAAGCTGAGAAGAGAGCCAAGGAGGAAGATCTGTCGGACTATGGTGATGAAGCAGAAGGTGGAGTTGCATACTTGGGAACTGGCGATGTTGATTTGGATAGAGACATGGAATCAAGTGACGAAGAAGAGGTCGAAGTACCTCTGACTAAGAAGCCCAAATGGTTTGAGACTAGTAAGAAGGTTAGTAGGAAGGATGTGGTGGAAATTGAGGATCCACAATCTTTGGAAGATTTGGAAGCATTGACCCAGAGGTTGTTGGAGGGATAGTAGAGTTAATTGCATATAGTATAATAGATTTAAGATTTAATTTAGCTGTAGAAGACAAAGAACAAGAAGAAGAGAAATGAGATGCTACAGTGGAATCCATTGCAGGCATATAAGCTGATGTGTATACGAATTTTATTTCTATGCTATTATCTGAATGTTTTAGTCTATAATGAAGGTGTTGCAATAAGTTTCTCTGTTGATGCTCCCAACCTAAGAATCTTGCCCTTTGGTGGTTTCAGCTGCTCTTCATCAAGAATTTCACCAACTTCAGCGTCTACCTTTGCCGCCTCTTGCTTTGTATCCAACAATACAACTTCTTGAAGGAAATTCGAAGTCATACCCTTAGTAACGTCCAATACATTATCATTTCCTAGGTTTATGGTTACTTTTCCCGATCTATGAATGTTCACATGCCCTATTTGGCCCTTTTCATGGTAAGGTCCACTAGAAAACTTCGAAAAGTTGTTAGAATCAGCAGCCATTGATTCATCCACCTTCTCGTAGGCTGGAAGAATTTTGGGTAAATGCATTATTATATAGTTTTGATTATCACCGGAGTATGATAATAAGTTTGATATGTCCTTTAGCTCAGATTGAAGCTTTAATTCTTCTTGAGCTTCAATATTGATAGCCGTCTCGAGATACAATTTGGCTTCCAACGCTTTAGTTTCGTTTTCTTTCTGCTGAATTGTGGCCTCAATAGAATCTTCATCAGATTCAGACTTGACGGCCGTTGTCTCATGGACTGCAGGGGTAGGCGTGTTGGATTTGCTGGTTACCAGTTCAGGTTCAGGTGAGCTTTCATTGGAGCTAGAACCTGAGTTTAGCCCAGCCTTAACTTCGTTTCTTTCCTCCCTCACTGGTCTTACAGGGAAGAGAGCAGTTTCCTCATCCGCAAACCTATACTCCTTGTTCATATTTATTCTCGTAAGGTCTTGCACCTCATCATCTGAAAAGTCATCTTGCAAGCCTCCGCTTGGACTTGGACTAGGGCTCTCTCTTCCCTTGGTGTTACTGATCGAGAGTTCCTTAAGTTTCAAGGTTCTCAAGAATTCGGGGGTCGGAGACTGTGAATTGAATACTCTGTCGCGAGTCAAGCCTGTCTTGGTTCCGTTGGCACCGTCTCCAATAGAGACAGACCCGGCAGACAAGGGACCTGAAGAAACGAGGTGCGTACCCGCGTACATTCCACCTCTACCCCCACCTCTGCCACCTCTCATGGACCCTCTTCCACCTCTTCCACTTCCTCTACCGCCATGGGGGAGTCCTTCATGTTCACTCTTCACAGTCACGGGGGCATCTTTGGCTCTTTCTTCTTGTGTTCTTCTTGTTACGTTTGTCTTTGGCTTAAACTTGAGTGAAGTCTTCCCAGCAGCATTGGCTGCGGATTTCTTGTTCGAGAGAGACTCCAATCTGTTTGACATTTTATGCTAAAAAAAAGGTAGCTAGGACAGACTCAGTACAATAAGAGTTATTCTCCTTTATCAACAGCCTGAGAATCACACGCAAAGAATAGTATACAGCTCTTCTCTACCGCCAGGATGCCTTGGTCTCTTCGGATTTTTTTTTACGCCAGTTTTTTTGTGGATTGATATCGGAGTGCATATAAGCGATATAATTTTCAGCACAGACACGACCTCTGCCTACTTGCGATGAGTTCAGTCAAAAAGTTTACAGTCACGATGGATGTAGATCAAGGTCTTGCAGCACTGAAAGCAGCATCTCCAGCAAGCATGTCGGACTCAGAATATGACGAGATAGATAAGTTCAACGCTAACCAGGAGAAAATTTTATTGGAAGAGGCCGGAAATTACGGGAGACACTCGGAGGGCGATGAATCATCCGAAGAAGAAGTCTTGGGGATTGATGAAGATAGTGACGAAGAAGATGTGAGGAAAGAGGATGATGATGAATTGGATGAGAGTGAAGAGGAGGAGGAACTAGCCGAAGAATCAGACGATGAGAAGAATTGGGGAGGAAGAAAGAATTATTATGGGGGAGAAGACGATGAAGATGTCAAGATGATGACTGAAGAGGCCATGAAGCAACAAAAGAAGCACCTTCAAGACTTGGCAATGGACGATTTTGTTGATGAAGAGCTTATGGAAGACTGGAAGAAGAAATCAGAAGACGCTTCTAAGGAAGGTTTGGACGAGATTTCCATCTTGAAGGCCACTGAAAAGGGAGGTTTGGATACCCTTTCCAAGAAGGAAAGGTTGAAGTTATTGAACCAGCAGTTCCCAGAGTTTGTTCCCTTGTTGGGAGAGTTACAATCGTTGTCGATGACGTTGAAATCGTTGGAAAGTAAGAAATTTGAGGTAACAGAGGTCAAAAGGATTGCACTTTCTGCTTACTTGGGTTCTATCTCCAGTTACTTTGCCATTTTTATGGACTCCATGAAGAACGACGATGGATTCAATAGCATGAAAGAAAACCCGGTAATGGAGAGCATATTGAGTGCAAAAGAAGTCTGGAGACAGGCAAATGAGTTGAGTGACGATGTGGTGGAGCGTACCGTGCAAGTACATGGAGATAGTGAAGCTGAGATGGATGTTGCAGAAGACTGGGAAGCTGAGATGGAAGACATGGAGAGAAGCGCAGAAGAAAACCAATCGGAACCAGACTCAGAGGATCAGTCTGAAGAAGAAGAAGAAGAAGAAGAAGAAGAAGAAGAGCAAGCCTCTTCAGGCAACGCTCTTCCTGACATTACCGTCAAGCGTACCAAATCCAAGGGTAAATCTGCTGCATATGGAGACTATCAGGAATCTTCTACCGCCCACGATGTTGATCTTGAAGACAAGACTCGTCGTAAGAAGACTCTTCGTTTCTATACTTCTCGTATCGACCAGGCTGCTACTAAGAATTCCAATGCTGAGAGGTTTTCGGGAGATTTAGATTTGCCATACAGGGAAAGATTATTTGAAAGACAGCAAAGGTTAGTCGAAGAAGCCAGAAAGAGAGGTTTAGAAGAGAAGGATGTACTTGGAGGAGATGATGACGATAATGACTTTAATGACGACGCTGCATTTGGAAATTCCGGAGACGACATAGGAGAAGACCTCCAAATCGGAAACGACGACGGGGAAGACGATTACTACAACTCGATCAAGCAGACCAAATCTAATACTAAACTTGCACGTAAACAAGCACATGATGATGCTGTGAAGGCGGCCAAGGAGGGTAAATTAGCAGAATTACAAGAGTCCGTGGGAGATGATGGCAAGAGGGCAGTCAACTTCCAAATTCTCAAGAACAAGGGTCTTACACCTCACAGAAACAAGGACAATAGAAATTCAAGAGTTAAGAAGAGAAAGAAGTATGAAAAGGCCCAAAAGAAACTTAAGTCGGTTAGACAAGTGTATGACGACAGCAACAGAGGTCCTTACGCTGGTGAAAAGACTGGTATTAAGAAGGGTATTTCTAGATCAGTGAAGTTGAATTAGAGATGAGATGTGATGTGATGTGATGAGATGTGATGTGCATAGGTGGTGCGACCTGTATATAAATTGTTCAGTGTTGCAAATGTATCATAGTTAATAAACCATTTTAAAGTGAAATCGGCTCTTGTAAGAGGCAGAAGTAACTGGATGCAGTACAGTATCACTGTAGTAGTGCTACGTACAAGACCAGCAACATGGTTGTAGCAGAGTAGCAAGAGTAGAAGTGTTCCATACATCACGACCTGCATATAGCAGTGCCTATATGGCTTTGGCTAAAAATTCCAAGAATGGTGAAAAAAATAGTGGAATACCTGCTTTTTTAGTAGTTGATTTCTACTTTATTCACGCATTTCATAGAAAGTTTGTCCACTATGGCAGTTATAAAGCAAGAGACCACCTCGGAGAAGCTTAGAGGCGAAAGAAATGGCTCTGATACGTTTCTGAAAGGTTCTACCGAGGATACCTCAGATCAGTCCAAACCCGATACACCTGCACCTAAACCATATGTTTCCAATGATGACTTATACCGTAGATCAAGCCAGTACAAATTGTGGTCATACACTTCGGCTACGCTTCTCCAAATTAGGCAGGATGTGTATAAGGAAGGGGTCAAGCTAGCAAAGGAAAGGCTCTCCGAGACCAAACAGAATCTTATTCGTGATTCCACACCCGAGGTGGTGGAGCTTCTAAAGTCGCATGAGTTCTCAGTGGATTCGCTCTTGGACCCTCCCAATTTAACTGAGGAGAATAAATTCCTTACCTACTACAGCAAGATATTGTTGAATACCGGAGACTTCTTTCGAATGCCTACCCAAGTAAAAGCCACAGCAGCACTGTTCTTCAAGAAGTTCTATTTGATAAACTCCGCGCTTGAATACCACCCCAAGCTGGTCTTGTATACCTGTTTGTTCCTTGCCGCGAAGCTGGAAAACTATTTCATGTCCATAGAATCATTTGCTAGTAAATTGCCAAATACTGAACCTAAAGATGTTCTTGATTTGGAATTCATAGTATTGAAATCGCTCAAGTTTACTCTTTTGGTTCATCATCCTTTCAGGCCCTTATATGGGTTGTTCTTGGATACACAGGCGGTGCTATTATACCCATCTCCGATGATGTACGATGTGAATGTAGACACATTGGGAGGTTTGTACGACAAAGCGAAGAAATGGTTGGTCGACTATGCTATTATCAGTGACGTAGAGCTATTATTTACACCTCCCCAAATCGCTCTAGCAGCCATGTACGATACAGACAAGAGAATAACAGACAAATACTTGAAGAGGAAATTCTCTGATACCAACGAATATGACCAGTTGGTCCATACCATAGTTAAATGCATACGTAAAGCTAAAGACGTTGAGATACCAAGCAAAGATGAGCTGAAATTGATCGATAAGAAGCTATTTTTTGTGTTACACCCAGAAAGATTACTTAAAAAGAAGACCAAGCAAGTCAATAATGCAGCTGCTCCCACTGATGCTATTCCCCAACCAACGTCATCTAATGAAAATTCAACGGCCGTTGCAACACCTGTAACACCTGCTGCTCCATTGAGTATATAGATACAAATATTACATACAATTTGGAACTAATGCATTATGTCAAGGTAACGTCTACAGTCTACTTATTGCACGTAGGAAAATACCGCTCTAACTAAAAGTATATCAGCACCTGGCTAAATACATCATTTTTCTTTGGGAAATATATTCCATTAAAAATCTATATATATATAATGTAAGAATTTAACCTCACTTGATAAATCTATGTACTTAAAAGTTCATCCCAGGTTCATGGCGATTCAATCTCATTTAATATTCTCATTCAACTTCACACCTTTCAATCGTTTTCGGACTCCATACTAGTTTACATTAACAATGCCTATATGAAAATAGAATTCCTTCTAGGCAGTTTACCTACTAAAGGCAATATCGTCAATTCTCAAAATAGACTTCACACACTCACTAGCCAAGTTGATTGCACTTATACTGACTAAAACTGGTTGCAAAACGTGTTCATCAAATGTGTTTGAGGCTCCACTACGTCTAACACTTACCCCAGCGTTCTTTTCTCCCATTTCATGTCTTTGTCTTAAATCTGTGACGACGTTAATTGGATTCAAACCAGCATTTTCAGCCAAAGTTGTAGGGATTACTTCCAATGCTTGGGCAAATTCTTGCCAGACGAATTGCTCCACACCAGAAAGTGTGTTACTTTCTCTCATCAACACTCTGGAGACTTCGATTTCTGGGGCTCCACCTCCAGCGATCAATGCTCTTTGTTTAACTAAACACCTAATGACACAAAGACTGTCATGAATGGATCTTTCGGTTTCATCAAGGATCAAGTGATTGGCACCTCTACAAACTATGGATACAGTTGGCTTTAAGTTCTTCAGAGTGACTCCAGTAATTTCAACAATCTTACTTCCAGACAGTTCAATTTCTTCGACTCTGTCGGCAGTACCCAATCTATCTTCAAGGAAATTGTCAACATCTGCAATTGGCTTACAACCAGTAGCCTTTGACAAGAATTCTACTTCATCTCTTTCGATGTCCTTAATGACCATGATGTTCAACTTGGCTAAAAAGTGCAATGCTAAGTCATTTACAGCATCTCTTAAAATGGATTTTTGAATAAGCAAAACATTACACTTCGCTTTCTTGATTTTCTTACAGATATTAAGCAAATAGGCCCTTTCTTCCTTTAAGATCTTATCCATTTGTCTGTAATCATTCACCACAACGTTGTTTTCCATGTCAGGCTTTGGAGGAGAAATTTGAAATTGAATGATAGCAATCTTAGCCTTTTCAATCAATGTTGGTCCACCAGCAGATTTAACTACATTTTGAGTCAACACAACTCCGTCTACCAACTGGGTTTCATCGATAGTACCACCAACTTTCTTGATCAAACGAATATCGTTCAAGTCTACGTTATTATTTTCGGCTACTTTCAACACAGAATCTACGGCCAATGGCGACAAGACGGAGGAGTGTTGCGAAACAATTTTGGATGAAAGAGAAGTAGATGCAGCTCTAATTAAAGCTTCTCTATCTGTCAATTCAATTTTGTGGCTCATTTCAAGCAAGATCTCCGACGATCTCTTTGCAGCTCTCTGGAATGATTCGGCAATCAAAGTTGGGTGAATACCCTTGTTTAAAAGCTTGTCAGCAGCTCCAAGGAGTGACCCAGTGATAATTGCCACACTGGTAGTACCATCACCTGCTTCTACATCCTGTGCTGCTGAAACGTCAACGAGCATTCTGGCGGCAGGATGCAAAACAGCCATGTGTTTCAAAATGGTAGCACCATCGTTTGAAATGATGATTTCGCCTGATCTGGTTTTGATCATCTTATCCATTCCCTTAGGTCCGAGCGATGTTCTAATAGCATCAGAAACAGCCCTGGCGGCAAGAATATTGGATCTACGAACCTCTTGAGGCTTTTCCTTGTCCTTGAAGGTGGCGTTTGAAGGTGAAGGTCTTGCAACGGCTGCCATATTCTATGATTATGTGATTATTAGTGATGAAGATGAAGCAAACTTACACTGAAAATGCTATGATTCCAATTGTTATACGTTCTAGTAATAAATTAGGGGTCGGGAACAAGCAAATGGGGTGTATGTCGTTGTCTTAACAGCTCAAACAGGGTAGAGCTCTGGTTCGTGTCGGAGCTTTTCGAAAGAAACGAAGAAGAAAAAAAAAATGGTTTTTCAGCGTGGGTTACACAAAGAGGATAATATGTACACGTGACTGATTTGGAACAGGGTTCCAGAAGGACGTGGAGCTGTAGATCTATGCTAGGATATACTGTTAGTTCTGTTCTATGTGCCACATTTGAGTGGCTATGGCTATAATATGAGGCTAGTTTGCACTCGGGCTTACATGAAGCAAGACGATACAATTGTGCCGCTGTTTTAGAGCACACATACTTCTGCTATAAGCTCTCTAGGTCTCCACCGTTTGGTTTCTATGCAGGAACACTCCAAAGTTTGACCTATCTGCTCCTGCATGGTGACGGCATCAGTCTTCTCGATAGAGCCCTGCCATTACTAACGTAATAGGTCTTCCCTGCCGTTGCCTCTTCTTTCTCTTCAGGTTGACGGCTTTCTCTGATGACAACGCACGTTTTCAACAAAGTATCTGTGACGCCGTCTCAGGTTGTCAACTGTTCGTATTCCAACTGGCTGCGGTTGTTCCCGAAGTTTGTGACCAAATCTAAGGTCTTCTCTCCGCTACCAAAGGCTTTCTTGGAATATTTGGAATCTGACAGTATAATCTTGCACGATGATGGAGACTTGAAAGTGGTTATTAACAGTGATAATGACTACAGTGAGTGGGAAAGTGAAGATTCAGAAGATGAAGTTGAGAAGGATAACCAGAAAGGTGAATACAACAAAGGTTTGCTGAAGGATCAGCCTACAGTGAATAAAAGTAAAGTGCAGCATAAAAATCCAATAGCAGGATTTGAAAAATTACACAACGACATAAATTTGGCAATTAAAGAGCTAGGCGGTAGCATAACACCAAAATTGAATTGGTCATCTCCGAAGGATGCCAAGTGGATATTGCCCAATAGCACCACTAGGTGCTTTAATGCAAATGATGTGTACTTATTGTTGAACTCTTCAGACCACATCGTTCATGATTTGGACCATGCATTTGATGATTGTTACAATGATGGACTGCATGTAGACCAACCATCGAAAGAAAGAAAAATTAACATGGAGCTAGTTTTAAGAGAATGGGTAGATATCAACCCTGCCTTGGAATTTAGGGTATTTGTTAAAAGGAACCAGATTATCGGGATATCTCAACGAGATTTAAACTACTATGATTACTTGGACTCTTTGAAGACGGAACTAGGTAGCAAGATTACTAGTTTCTGTAAAGATCACGTGATTGGGATTTTTCCGGATGCCGATTTTATTATCGACTTGTACGTACCAAGACCGTTTACTAAAGTGTGGATAGTGGATATAAATACGTTTTCCAGGTCTACAGACCTGTTGCTATTCACGTGGCACGAGTTGACGGAAGTGCAAGAAAAGATTGAAGCAATAGCTACGGAAGAGGAGGTGGACTTTAGATTGGTCACTGAGCATAATGTGGGTAGATTCGCAGCCAAGGAACACAGCGAGAACTATGTGCCGAGAGATATAGTTGATGCTAGCTTGGATTCGCTGGCTATGGCAAACTTAGCGAGAGAATGGAATAAGTTGAGCTACAGTGACGACAGCGGTAGTGACGATGAAGTGAACTAGCTATGTATAAAGGTAAATCCAGCAATGAAACTCCCTGCATATACCTGGGCATCTGTAGTGTTAACACTCTTACTAGTAGTTCCATGCACTTATGTGTTCCTTTTGTCCTCTTTCGCCTGTATTCAGAAGAAAACTTATCCCCCATCCTGACCGGAGTCGTCACCTATCGTGTCAACTATTTTCAGTTCACTGAGCACGTCAAAAATACACCGATCTGCATCGCTATGCTTCTCGGTTGATGGAGAGTGGGGGAAACTTTTCTGTGCGAACGTTTCCAGTAATTTTCCGAACCCTCCCCAACATTCAGGAAGACATAAATAGAGCCAAGGGATTCAACACTCTTGAAGGGTATACAATTGAGTGTCAACCATGTCAATCACAGTCCATAAAGCCAACAATGTAAGTATTGATGGGTAATGACACCCGCCGAAAGATACCATCGATGCAATTGGTATCTACTCCTCTCTCCATTCTCATTTTCTGTGCATTCCTCGCTAACAATTGCAGATTTTCTTACCTTCATACAGAGGTAGGCTAACCGAAGGAATAACCTATAACCCGAAGAATAACACTTTACTTTGGGTAGATATCATTGTAGGCGAAGTTCATAGAGTCTCCTTATCTGATCCAACAGAAGCCACTCATGAAGTATTGAGGTTCACCAGTAAGGACGATGAAAAGTACGAAGAATCTATTGGAGCCATTGCCTTAACGAAGGACAACGATAAGTTGCTTTTATGCTGTAAGTACGGCATAGCCATCGGTAGTTTTGTTACCCAGGAAACATCGTACATTCTCAAGTATCCTGGAGATTTAACTAAATACAGATCAAACGACGGAATCGTCGACCCATGGGGAAACCTCTGGATAGGTACAATGTCGGACTTCTACGTTGGTGGTGTAGAAACAGAGGGAAAATTGTTCCATATTGATTCTCAGACGTTGAAGGTCACGACGATGCTCACGAATTGTCAAATTCCTAATGGGTTAGCATTCAGTAAGGACGGGAAATCATTTTTCTGGACCGATCTGAAAACGTTCATTATTCTGAAATTTGACTATGACCATGAAACCAACACCTTGAGCAACAAACGAGAATTCGTCAATACAAGAAAAAATGCAGTTTCTTCAATTTTGGAAGGAATAAGCTCACCTGAACCAGATGGGTTTACAATGACTGACGATGAAGAGATCTACGGTGCAATTTTCTCAGCGTCAAAGGTGGTACACTATGGTCCAGCTGGAGGAGACGATGTTTTAGAAGTATTTGAATTACCAGCTGCTAGTATCACCAGTTGTATAATTGCAGGCAATGATACGTTGTACATTACTTCTGCACAGACACATTTGGATGATGCTAGCAAGTGTCTCCCTGCAAGTAATAAAGAGGGAGATTTAGGAGGCTTTTTGTTTAAAGTTAAACTACAAAAGCCAGTGAAGGCACAAGTCAAGAATATCTGGCAGGGCCAAGTCTGAACTCACTCAGAAATATGGTAGTGCTGACGATTGGCAAAAGATGAAACATATTCAAAAGTATACAAAAGCAAAGTAAATAATAAGTTCATAAGAAAATATTCAATAAACAGAATGTAAATCAGAATTGTGATAAATCAAAATTTAAGCAAATAATAAACTTGAAAGAAAATATTGAATAAGCAGAAATTAGAACTGAATGATAGTAAATCAAAAGTGAAGTAAATATTTAGATCATAAGAAAATATTTAAGAAACAAATGAACGGAATGTAAAACAGATCTATAAAAAAATCGAAAGCAAATTAAATAATAAGATCATAAGAAAATATGAATATATTCAATAAGAAGAAAGTAGAACTAAATGATAGTAAATCAAAAGAGAAGTAAATAATAAGAACATAAGAAAATATTCAATCAACAGAATGTAAAACAGAAGTATGATAAATCGAAAACAAGTTAAATAATAATAAACTAATAAGAAAATAATCAATAATTAGAGAGAATTAAACCTGAATGATAGTGAATTTTCTACCCCACAAGGTCTTATCCTTCTTAAAAGAAAATATTTAATAAACTGAAAGAAGCAAAACTGAACGACAATGAAACGGAATCATAATAACGGATCAATAATGAAACTAAACGATAATAAACCTATCTAGTGTTTACTCTTCAACCTGTTTAATTTTCTGTCAATCTAGATTGCTATTTTTTAGTTGCATGAAAATAATTTTCTGATGTTACATGCATAGACTTTACGAGATGCAAGTGTGGGAAGCACATCAAGCAGATGACATAAGCAATGGCACCACTTTATTTTTGCTGATATGCTCTACAATAAGCCATGCAAAGAGGAACTGCACTTTAGCGCCCTGTAAATGGTTTATAGTAATATCACGTTCATTAGATGTGAGCAAACGTGAAACCGTTTGAATGGCGGGCGAGAACTTTGGTCTTTGTTTGTGCTTTTTTGTCTTCACTACAGACAGCTGTGAAAAGACCAAAGTAATTTCGATTCAAGAAGAACAGTGCTTGCTTCTAAATTTCATGTAGATGACGATCCAATAATTGTTCATGAATAGCCAGAAATAATTGGATTTTCAGCCTAAAACAACATACAATAAATTATAGCAGGCTGTACATGATAATCAGGGCTTTCTAAAAAGCCAACGGTTAAGCATATTGAAAAGAGTAAAAAAAATTACTTGATATTGTATTGAGGTGCGGCTCAAATCTAACTAAACTATCACTTCTAAAACCCACACAAGAGTGTTACATCTTAATACAATAGCCATGCGTAGTCAATTAACACACAAATTATTAACGGTAAATCAAAATAATGTGCAATAATAGAGAAATTCACTCACAGATTTAAATTTGGCCTGTGCCTTAGGGCCAGAACTACCAGGCTTATTGTTCCAGGTTGATCAAAAGAGAAACTCCAAAGTCCGCAATTCGTAAGTTGAACCAAGAGGCGCTGGTAATTTAGCTGTTTGGCTTTATTTTAAAGGAGTCGGGCTAAAAATACTTTGATCGGTTTACATTGTTTGATATTTTTTGGGAAGGTTATTTGGTGATGAAGTAAATATTAGTAATCTATTACATAGTGAGTGTACTGCTATATACAGGATTGGATTTGGTGCTAATGAACAATGTGGGGGAGCTCATCGCAAGTTCACTCACATTTAAAATAAGCTACTATCTTAGCTCAACCTCGTTCAGTCTGTATTTCTTCTATGCCAACAACGTCAAGACTCTAGACACAAAGTCTTCAATCAACTCGTTCTCCTCTATACCACCAATTCGTAAATTGCAGAGCTTTTTATTTGCTATTTCTCTTCGTCCCTCCATTGTAGACTCATTCGTAAGCTGTGGGTCGTTCAAAATCCTCAAGATTGTAGATAGATGAAACTGAAGCGATTTGATTTTGAGCATGGACTGGATTTGCTCGTCTCGTAATACATCTTCAAACCTGGCTACATTTCCATCGATGGATTGTTCAACAATGTCATTTTCCTTTGAAACCGCTGATTCCTCTGATGTTGACGTGGTTGTGGGTTGGCGCTTGCCCAGCTCATTATCTAGCTGAATATGTTTTTCCCCCTTAAAGCAACTCAATGAACAATAAGGTACGGAGCATTTTGGGCACCTATACTTAGAAATGTTGGTATTGCATATACCACAAAGCATGAATCGGTAGAAATAGACCGGATGTGACAAAAAAAATTGATGACTGACAGGTTTATATTAACGAGGTGCAAAGAAAAAAAATCCCAGTAAAGTTTCAAGTGTGAAAGCTTAAAAAATAAAATTGATAAAATTAGGTGGGGAGTAAGAAAAAAAATAATATGCTGTAAAGTAAAAAATTGAGGACAATCACCAATTCCAAATGCAATAGAAAAATGAGAACCGAAAAGAAATTTTTATAAAAAATAGAAATGCAGTAAAAAAAATCCATTTGTCTCTTCTGCATTGAATCTATTTGCACTGCAGTCTTCACCGCACAATAGGTGAAAAAAAAAATATTGTATATGGCAAAGGTAGTAGTGCATAGAGGCACTGCACACATCTGTAAGAGACAGGACTAGATAACATGTGATAAAGTCGACTATCCAAGGATATTAAACCTCAGGCTAGATGGCGAAGTAGCTGATAGTAGATTCTATGCATGAATCAATTATTTGCAGACGCCAGAATAAGAAGAGGAATTGAACGAAAGGTTAAATTTGTACTAGATGCTCGAAATACACCTTTTTGCTTGACTCCAGTCGCTCAATTGAAAGATAGGAGCGGAGCTCTAGAAACGGAAATTAGTCAAAAAAAAAAAAAAAAAAAAAAAGAAAAGGAAAGCTTCTGGCGAAGTGGAAAGAAGTCAGTGCGCAAGCAAGCAGATTAAAATATACTGAAAAAAAAAATGTAGCAGAATCGTGAAGGCGCTTGTGTTCTTTAGAGGCGAGCAATTCGCTGGCCCTACATTCTGTTCTCTTTTGGCGTGTGCTAGATATAGTCTTTTCCTCGTCATGTATGTGCCTAAGCTATGTGTTTTAAGATTTATTCTGTATGATGTAAGAATATTTTTACGTGGGAACTGTGCAAGAAATATTTACACATTACAGTATAAGGTTTGAAGTAAGAAAAAAAAATAAACCTAAATACGGCATGTCAGAGTGAGCAGCATCTATCATAACTTGCTACTTTGTGGCGCGAGACGGAAGACGGAATCGGGTGATAAGTGGTGGGCGGTCGGCGGGTTTGAGCAGCTTGGATGGGTAATTAATTGAGTATCAGGCTTTTACCTTTTTCAAGAATTTGAGCTATATTGGCACTCCTCCTCCTTCTCCTATAGTTAGTATATATGCTAACTATGCATGCGTGCTTATTTTCGGAATTGTCTTGAAAACATAATAACCATTCATCCTTGCCAGTGCTTAGGATGCATTCGAACAATGCAGGAGGGCTATTTCACTTTTTTAAGCATCTGTCATTCCCACTTAACATATTCTTGTGCCGTATGATTAATATGTTGGATATCGCCTATCTGAAAGCGTAGCAAAGAGCGTTCTAGGTAAAAAAAAATAGGACAGTGGAGCTGGGCTCGTAACCAGTTCCGTTGAGTGTATCATTTGGTAGCAGGTTGGCTCTGTTTCACCTACACCACCGGCCTTAGCCTACAAATCGAACAAACTAGCGACTTCTGAATCGAAACGCTTTAGTTTGCCTTAGCAATTATTTCTAAAGTTTATTATTTATGTAATGTATGTAAGCGTATGAGACTATCTAATTTTTTTTTAAGGTTTTAAGTACGGAATTTTGTTGTGACGAAGTAATTTGGTTGCACCAACAAAGGAAATTAAAAAAATAAGGTAACAAGACTAAAGTAAAAAACCAATTCTGGGGTAGCTACACTAGTTCCTTATTCCTGTAAAATCCTCTATCATTTCCCTTTCTTAAAACCTCTCTCGTCAAGTGTAAATTATTTTGAGTTTATCATCGCTTTATGCAAGTCGTAAGTCATTATGTATGTGTGAAGTGTGTCGAATTCCCCGTTTTCTTGTAGTTTCCAAATATGCTACACTTAAAAGTGTAATTATATGTAGGAAATGCTAGTTGTATCGAATTTGTCTACGCCATTCAAAGCCATATATCCCCCGTTACACATTGGAGTTAACATCATTTGTGGGGGCTTGTACTCAAATGTAAATTGGCTTTGGGGAACTACGTACGGCGGCTGGAGGTACTGTGGTATTTGATGTGCAAACTGCTTGTACTTGGGCTTCTTGAATAGCGGTTGTTCGGTAAGAGGTGTGATCGGTGTTAACGGCGACAAATATGAGTTCATTGGTGTAATGAATGGAGAGTTGGTTAACTTGGATAACGGCGTAGTCAAGTTTGACGTTGGGCTAGGGCCGTACAACTGTTGCTGCTTGGCCGCTGTAGTAGGCATTGAGGTAATATTAGTAGATGGAGTAGCAGGTGCCTCTTGTGGCATGCTGGTTGGTGCTACAACTTCTGGCAGATTGGATTGAGTCCTACACACGGAATCCTTCAACACTTTCATCCACTTGTAGCCTACAGAGGACAATCTACCCCAGAAGGAGTCGTCAACGTCAATCTTTAAGAAGCTTAAGCTATAATTCAAGCAGCTCAAGAAGTGGAGTTCCAAGCTTTTCAATAATTTAAAGTCAATCGTTACAAGTTTCAAGTTGTCTTTAGACTTATCTCCCAGTGTGGTAGTTTTACTAATTCCATTGCATATATTGTTCCAGGTCTTTAATGTGTAAGACTGATCATCAAAAGTCTTATTGGAAAGAATTAGCGAGGTCAAAACGAGGTATATCGTCAAATTTGACTCGTTGTCACTGCTATTCACCTGGTTTTTGGTATATTTGTGCAAGAAGTACAAGCTTATCACCAAATTCTGCATTGTAAATTGGCAGGTGTTAATTAATGAGCAAAGGTACTGCTCATACAATCGGGATTTCTCTACATCTCCGTCCAAAAGGAGCCATGCACTTCTCACGTAAACGTTAATATAAGAAGAGTCCAACATTTTGTAGTTGTAATATATTGCTTGGTTTTCTTTTAAACTACCCAGCTCTTCTCTCCAACTGGGCGGATTCATATTCTATATAAATCAATCTTTAAGAGTTATGTGCTTCTTTTTTTTTTTTTTTTATTATTTTGCAACCTTACGAAGAAACAGACATACTTGCATATTTTTCTGAAATGAAATTCAAACAATTGGCTCAGTGCAGCAATAACTTGCATACTACGCATCCAAGAAAATAATTCCTAAGTAGTGCAACACTAAAAATTATTAGTGTAATGTTCAAGGTGCATGAGACTATGTGCAGTTGGCGCATTCGAGATGACTAGAGTTTGTGGAAAAGGAAAATTATCTAACGCTGTTATTAATAATGCGTTTTGTTTTTATTTAAATTAAACCCAATTTAATTTTTTTCAAAAAAAATATAATTTAACAAAAAAAAAAAAAAAAAAAAAAAAAAGAAAGAAAGAAAAAAAAAAAAATGTGAAATGTACTAAAAAAAAATGTTGATAATAAATGAAGGCTCTGTGTAGCGTTGTGATAAAGTTAAAATATGGGATAAGAGCATGAGAATGAGAATGGAGAGGGCAAAGTAGAATGTCCTAACAGTATGGCTACAATTGAATTGATTAGCGTTGGAACGAAGATGAAGAACCAAAAACTGGAGAGTCCTGGCTCTCTCCCTTCCTCTTTCTCTCGGTCTCTCTATTCCAAAAAAAATTGCGAATACGAAACTATCTCCGTCGCTATCACATTAATTTCGTTGCTCGTACCTACGGAATCTACCGAGAAACTCAAAAATAGAAATGAACTAATCCAGACGCTACTCTAATCTCAAATCGCTTAACTGCATGATGATTTTTTTTTTTGTTTTTGAGGACTTTTGTCATATGTACGATAATAGGTGGCACTCCATTTTGAGGCGACTGGCATGGTTAGTTCGGTTGAAACTACAGAAAGTGAAGCTTAAAATCAATAAAAACAATTCCTGCAAAGTCAAAAAAATAAAAATACTCCTTTGCATTTTTACACTTTTGTACTTGAATTTAAACCTCCAACACACAGGAATAGTGCATAAAATATTTTTAGTTCTTCTGGACTTCAGAATTATCAGTAAATTAGACTTTCCAAAGGAAAGAAGAATAATATCTATCCAAGCAATTTTTATGTGGCCAGACTACTTATGGCAAGATCAAAATGTGTGCATATTTTTTTAGCTTAACTTTTTTCAATCCTTACATGTAAGTTCATTTCTTCTAACTAATTGCTTATTTTTTTGAGACAATGTTGCCTTTACTTTTTACCATGCCTGTTTCTGGATCAAGTTTTTTGTCATGCAGGAAATTAAGAAAGTCATAAGGACAGCGCTTAATTTAATTCGTAATCTTAAAAGCGACTTTTCTACTGTAGAGCTTGAATGTTCTTGCGAAAAGGGTAAATGCTAAGGTTAATTTGCAGCTGAGTAAAAAAAAAAGAAACATTGCGCAAGAACTATTACCGCCATTTTACTATTATTCAAATTTTGAAGCCTTTTCGCTTTGAAAGTTTATATTGTTATTTTGCAAAGCATGGCCAATTCTACTTAACTCAACCTGCCTTAGATTCCGCTTCACTGTATATTGGCTCCGATTGGTGTACGCAAGTAGTCTCTAGTGGGAGGACACAAGTGTCAGCTAAAGGTAAATTAATTTCAATTGTTTGCTGCTGCCACGAAGTTTGCAACAGCCTGGGTCTATACACATTTTCGTTACCACTTGCTAGGTGCCTACACATTCCACTTTGGCTGCATCAAAAATATTCTGTTTAAACTTTAATGTATGTCATTTTATCACTTGTTTTATTTTTATATTTTAATTAGAATTTGATTGAGGCAATTCTATGCAAGTCATGTAGAAAATGCGGCGAGCCGTAACCTTGATGACGAAATTACACAAACTGCGCATCACCTCACTTTATTGTTCATTTTTAAGAGCCCATGAAAACTGGTGCAGATTACTAAAAAAGCAACAGAATTATTTTAAACTTCAAACGCCGAAAATACCATAAACTTATTCCATTCTTTTACATTATAATGTGATGAAGACAATTGGTACGGCACCATATTGTAATGTGAAAATGAAGACACACAAAGCTAATGTGAGATTGGATTTTCGTTCTTAATAAAGTACCAAAAGTCAAACTGTACCGCAATCACCATATATGTCCCACGTGAATTCAAGAGCGTAATTGTAACAACATTTAGAATAAATAAGCCTTTGCAACTTCAGTATTTTGTGTTCTAAAGGTACCTTGCAGTTTCATGTAAGTAGTGGAGAATGTACTATTAATTTTTTTTTTTTTATTTTTTAAGCATTTCTTCTGCCTTACCGCTTTACCCTTCTTGCCCGACTGAGGCAGCATCAGGGTCGTCAACCATAAAAATGTCTTGGTGCAGCTGACGAAAAGGAGACTGTCAATTAGTGTGGAATTCAGCCAGATGTCTACTGCTTCAATTCTTCTGAATTAAATTATTGTTAACCACTAAGCTCGACTTGGCTTCGCTGGGCAGTACTCTTGTTCTTTGTGGGCTGTCTATACATTCTGCGCGACATTTTTTTCTCTATTTTTTACTGTTGTCCGCATGAATGTCATTGCTATATGCAGTTAGGGCTGCGAGTTTATTTCTGAAACCGTTGAAAAAAAAGGAAAAATAACGTACAACATACGTCGTGCATACATGCATATACAGTAACGCATTCTTAATGTATTTCCATTTCTTAAATCATGAGGGCTAGTCTTGAGGTCGAATACGAGGAGAATGAATGGCACAACCGGTGCCTATCCAATCCTACCTTCATTATAATCGAGGGGTTCGTGACGAAAATCACTGCGGTACAAAAACATGTAAGTCAGTGGAAATTACTAGAAAGATGAAGTAGCGGAAGAGTTGGTATTTGATAGGAATCTTTTGGCTGTGAGAAGCTATCGGCTCTAACTTCCATGATCACCTAGCGCATTCGCAAGAAATGTACGGTTCGTGATGAATAAACTGCATGATGCTCAAGAATGCAAGAAAAATGTCGAGCTGCATAGGCACGTGCAAGGAAAGTGATGTAGTTTAAAGGAAGATTGACGGAGATGTACTTTAGATGAAATATGCAAGGGTCTCACTGACCTGCATATAGAGAATATGATGATGCAATGATTATCTAACTAACCAAAGCTAGACAGTCGAGCATGATTGGGGCAATAATAGACGACCACGTCGTATTGCACCAGACCGTAGCCTATCAACAGACTAAATTCCAATTGTAGGTGCGACTATATAAATTTGCAAGCGCACAGTGGAAAGCCATTTAACATGGTTATGTGCACATTCTGGGCTCCAAGGAAATGATATTTGTTGCGTGACAACAGTTGGAATTGCGGTCCAATCGGTCGCAGTTAGGTTCCGAATTCCGTTGTATGTGTTATTTTCCTGCATATAGTCAGATTTTTGCTACATACACCTTTGTAAGAGGTGCCACTCTATGCACCAGCTTCTCTATGTAAGTTACCGTAGGTTCATTGGGGAGCCTTTTTAAGCGCTCCAGAAAGGGGTCGACATACCTGCAATTTTTGAATCTATGTCTTAAGCCTCAATGGGGTTATTCATCACGCGAGCAATTCCAAAGTGAAAATTTTTGCCTACACACTAAGCAAGAAACCGGATATAATGGAACCAGCCTGTATGTTACCTCCGAAAAACTTACAAATTTGGAGCCCTCAAGACATAGCCGAAGTAGAATGATGAAAGACAAGGCAACAGTTGTCACCGTGGGGCGCAAGTGAAAGCAATCAAAACCGACACTCTAGAATACATATATACAATAGTTTAGCCTAGAATACAAGTATTAAGTGTGAAGAGACGTAATTTTTGGTGGCACACATACTTCTAAGCTGAAGCACAACGACGCGCTCTTTAAAGTTAAACCAAAGTAGCATTCCGAGAAGAGCCTCACGTGATTGAATCATAAGAAACGACTGGATATTTCCTGGAATTGGCAAGTCTTAACCATAAAAGAAACTCACAAGGTGACTTTCTCTTTTAGATCTTCTGGAATCGTGTATTATATTTCGTAGTTTGGTTTTATAGCTGACATATCTGATACTGTAGAAGAATCATACGAATTGGTATTTTCTCAGAGATGGTGCATCGATATTTACAGTTCAAGAAAGTTCACTACTATGTATTCCCATTGGTCGCAATGGTAGTTTGGTGGGGGATGCTTACTGCATTGATAACCTGTTGGGGTGTACAGGGCCATCCAATATATGCATTTATGGATGCTAGTCAGAACCCTGTGTATATATCTGACATTGCATCAACAAATTTACAACCGATATTCATATCGTGTACTGCTGTAGAAGGTATCTTTATGGTTTCTACCTTAGTAATGGATTTTGTCTTGAGAACAAAGAGCAAAATACAACCGTACACCTTCCCACTGCAACGTATATGTGGTATTTTAGCAATCGTCGCTTCTATTATCGGTCAGTTTGGAATATTCTTCGTTTCCGTGTTCAACAACAAAAACTTCCCGTCCGTGCATTTTTCAATGTTGATCGTTTTCATTATATGTATTTGCTTTGCATGCTTTTTCAATTTTTATAATACTTTCATGTTTGGATTTTACCCTGTTCGTTTGACCTTAGACCCAGAACTGTACCCTTCCAGAGAGACGATGATTTTCGGCAAGAAATACAGAATTCAAAACCTTTATTTCGTTTCCTTTGTATTGAAAATGATCTGGCTAGCAGCCGCTGCTACTTTTGCAATTGGGTTTGCAGTTTGTATTACTGAGGGAAAGAACTCGCTCGGTGCGAAATTCGAATGGACCTTAGCATATTGGTACGGGTTTTTGTTAGCCATGTGGTCAATTGATTTATTCCCCTCTGCACGTAAGCACTACAGCCAGAAGCATGCCAATAACATAGACCAAGTCTCGTACGATAAGGAAGATAATGACACCTTTCTGAGCACTGATATAATGCAAAACCCTCAGAGTTAAGCCAAAAGAAAATATAAGGCATTTTACACACTTCCATGCATGATATCTTCCATCTCATTTTTTAGCATTTTTAGAACAAAATAGATTATTGAAACCAGTATATACGATCAGCAATAGAAGTATTTCACTTTTTGATAGAGCGTTGCCAAGGTGTAGTATCCATTATATATTGGTAAAATATACATGAAGATTATTCGAAAAGTAGTTTGTTCTATTTTTTAATATCGTGGTGGCTTTGTAGAAGGAAGAGGCTTATTCAATATATTTTCATGTTCCGGAAAATCTTCTATGAAAAGTGCTTGTATGTCCATCATACCAGGTTGTCGTTCATACTAAGTTGTCCACATACTAAGATGACCGTGTGCTCTAGACCAAGGAGCACCGAACATCGGTGCAGAGATAATCGGTGCAGAGATAATCGAAAAAGTACAATTGCTGATATATGTGCGTTCACGCCAATGTTGTTTCAAATGTATCGGTCGGAGAATCTATCAGCTTGGAGGGAAGTTGGACTCGTTACCCACAATTGATAACGAGAACGAAATTCTTATTGATTGGAATGTTCTCAACGTGGAGAAGAGGAGCCTATCATATCACAAGAGGGGAAGCTCACTTAGTATCAACCTTCCCAATCTGACTATGAAGGGCCGATTATCTGACCACTTACCTGCAATGATAATGAAATGCTAAAAAATATCCTTGCAGTGGGTCACTGTCGGCCCAAAGGTTTAAAAATACGCTTGAGAATACTGCCACACCTCAAAGTTTGTACCGATTTATACTCCTATTTCTGGTCCCTAATCGGATAATTTGAGAATTAGAGTTTACGAATGCTGAGAAGAGACGGCGGAAGTTTAAAAATATTTCGATATGTGCATCAAGATTCAGTTCAATTAGCAGGAAAGAATCCCACACATTCTCTCCTCTCTAAAATTTATTGCCTTCAGCAGGGAATTGAGCTTCAATGATGTGATAGTCGACTTTTTATCGTCCGTAAGCACCCATTCGCTTAGCAAGTAAGCCTTCCCCAATCCCAACCTTCCGAAGGTTCAGCCCGTCGCATGAGTAAAAATAGATCATCCAGATTATTCAGATTATGCACGTAGGCAATCTCAGAAAACGGCCTTTAGAAATTTTTCAGATGATGCCCCTCATATTCTGCATAATAGCACTTGGACCAAAGATGTGCCCCCATTAATTTGTGCACGGCGCCGCCGTATAAAGTGTCTGCACTCGTTCGGTTCCATTGTAACACTTGCAATACTTGTTCCATTTCATTTTGAAGTGCATTTACGGTGCCAATTCCATTTTCTTAAGGCTGACTGAGCTCCCTTTTGGGATACTCTTTCCTCAATTCTTCAAGGTACAGAAATTCATAACAACCCTGATTCTATTTGGAGCTGACATAATCCTAGACCCATATATACCTCATGCAATCTCTCCGTCTCCCCTCCCCCTATCCATCCTTTAGCTACCTGGGCACCTTAAAGTACTACTCCGGGTTAACACGGCCAGCCAATCGCTAGCCACTTCCCCATTTACCCGTATTCCAATTGAGCGCTTTTCGCTTTATAAAGTGTGGTCACGTGACTTTCCTTTCTTCTAAAGCATACCAAAGCAATTTTCAGCCCTGTCCATTTTTTTATTTTAGCATGTTCTATTCATCAGGCCCTAACTATACCAGTATGGAAGACAATCGGTTTTTAGAGGATGATAACGCCTCTGGTCATCACCAGCAATCACAGCATGTACCGCAGCAACAACAACTGTCTTCTTCTTCACACTTTCAATCTGGTTATCAGCCAGAGCTATTTCCTCCAGGACTAAGTAAAATAAAGCACTTGCAATCGCTTCCAGATCAACAGATGCACCAACCACACAATTCCAGAGGTAGGACCGGCTACAACCCAGTGACACATAATCGCCAAAGCTTACCTGATGCGGATAATCAAAATAATACCACATATAGATCAAACTATCCTGCACCTGACCCAAGTACATCCGAGATGTATCCGAACCAAGCACCTCCACTCAAAGGTAGAATAAGAGTCAGCAAGGCCTGCGATAGATGTAGGAGCCAGAAGATAAAATGCTCGGGTACCTTCCCCTGCAGTACTTGTATAAGGCATAAAAAGGACTGCAAGTACAGCAAGAATGACAACAACCCAGAGACAGCGTTGAAGCGCCATAAGGTTGACGACGATTCCCCATTCGAGAATTCAGCGGGAGGAGCTGATTCTCCCAAAGATCAAGTTTACGTGAGGCTGCTTGAAAATAGAGTTAAGTACCTTGAATCATTACTTTCTGCAGACTCTGATACGTTGTTTAGGGAAGACCCAAGTCCCAACGCTGATATGTCAAAATGGGTACAGCTAATTAGTTCTTCAAGTAAATGGAGATTCTCCAGAAGACATCAAAACATAATGACCATTGATTTATGCCAGTATGTTTACAATACTTTGTCAGAAGAGAGCCGTAAGCAAGTCACTTTGCCAAGGACTCAGTACTTTGGTTGGAACATGAGTGGTGTGCATTATTTGCTGCCTGAAAACTTACCTGAGGAACCTGAGTTTGACCTTAGTAGGGAACAGGAAACGGTATTCATTGACTTTTTCTTTAAGGAGGTGAATATGTTATATGCTATTTTACATGAGACTGTTTTTAGAGAACAGGTAGAATTGTTTCATAAATTAAGAGAAGCTAAAATGCAAGAACCTACTAATATTAGAGTAGAAGAAGAACCGGAGCAATACATTCCAAAAGGGAAATCTAGAAAGAGACAAGCTGCGTCGCAAAAAGAAAATGAAAAGGAAAAGGTACCACCGCTTATTCAGAATAAGAACAATCAGACTAAGCTCTTTTCAGCGAAGCTCTATCTTGTTTTCGCAATTGCTATTCGTTTCATTGAGTTTCAAAAACCGCAAGGACCTTCTCTAGAAATGCTTCAACTTGAAGAAATGTTGTTCAAATATTCTCATAGAGTAGTGGAGATTCTTGCCTTTGAGTGGGAATCGGTGGAATTGATTCAATCGTGGTTATTGATCGCTTTGTACCTTAGATTGACACATAGACAAAATTCAGCGTATCTGGCGCTTGGAAGAGCCATCACAATGACTAGATCTATGGGTCTTGGATTTGAAGTTCCTGTTGCCTATAAGGCTACACCTTATGAACTCTTGAAGGCCAAGAGAATATTCTGGGCTGTTTATACATTCGACAGATTAATTGGTTTACAATTGGGGAGATATTGTGGACTCCGAGATAATGATATCTACAGGAGATTTCCTTCTAGAATATACGAAGAAGAGAAAGATGATTGGATGACTTTGCCTGCCTTTGTGATGCTTCATATTGCTCGTATCAGTAATTTCGTTCACACTTTAAGTACTGATACCCCACCATTATTAAAATTCGAACAAATAAATAAAGAAGTAGAGGACTTAGACGTGTGGTTTAAGGAAATAGGGTTTGCTGATGACGATGTATATAAAAGGGGCCAAGAAGAGGGTGAAATTTCCTCCATGGTTAAGGCACAAGCTAAGTTGCACTATTATGACTTGGTTATCTCCATTCACGGTAGAGGAGTGTTCAATTTTGTTGGAAGGGTAATAAACAATGAAGGATTAAAATTGCCCTTGATAATTTCTTCTTGCGAGGGGATAATCAAGCTTTTCAATAGAATTAATGGAGCCAAATTGCTCACAACACCCTGGTATTTGACCTTGTTACTTTTATACAATGTTGGGATAACATCCTTGACATTCATAAATGGTGGTTACGAAATTCCGAGAAACCGAGAAATTTTCAGATGTTCAATCAATTTAATCATGGCAATCCGTAAATCTAATGTGAAGGAAGGAGGTAAAATCATTAATAGAGATCGATTTAAGATGGCGAAAGAGTGTCTTTGGGCTTTGAAAATGACAAACCATATTGTTATGCTTAGGTTACAGGAAGATATTGAAAATATGAATAAGATTGGGGTGGACCACGGCTCTGCTGATGTTAATGAACAGAACTTTGGACAATTTGGTAAGCATGTTTCCAAGAATGGGCTTGATTCCAATGAGCATTTATTCACAGGAAACATCCCCAAGAATCAAAAGTATGGTACTCGTGCATACGATAGAGATCAAGAGCTTAAAAGTCGGCAATTAGCTAACAATGGAAACGTTATAGTGGGAACTCCGTTGGAAGAAGACCCGAATCGTAGTCTACACAAGCGTCTTCGCGGTCTTGAGGAAGAAGGAGAAGACGAAGAAGATTCTCAGACTAATAACCAGCCAACACCGGCTTCTGATACATCCTCGACCTCAGCTAATAATTTTGTTCAGCCCGCTGGAGAAGTGAACGACCCTCTTGGAAATGACCTTTTAGGTAATTTGCAATGGTTCGACCAGTGGTTGGATTTCAATTATGACTTGTAGAGGAAATCAGCCGCATGGTAATGTTGATAAGAATATGTTGGTAGTACGTACGAGGTTGCCAAGTGCAGCAGCTGCTATATATTTTCCGAAAGCTTGACGCTGAGGCTTACGGATGTATTCCATTAGGTGTGTTTATATGATGTATATGCAAGAAACTTTAAACTTCTATCTTCAGCTCGTAACCATAAACATATACGACAGCTTCGGAGGTTAGAAGCCTTCCGAGTGCGCTAATTTGTGTGTCAACCTACCAAATATATCTCTCAAGGTAATGTACTAACATGTGTGACGCATCCTTGAAAAAATTGCGCATATGTCGGGGTGCTTTAGAGACATCTTGATTTGGAGCTGTGCATAGCGGGTGGATATACTGCAGCGAACAACGTAACATACGCAATCCGGCGGGTTGAAGCCAAGCCTGCTGACAGATGATATACAGTGTCCTCTTTAGGGATCCTTCAACCAAGCTCAATCGGTATAATGCATATACTGAAGCATGTAATGAACGGACACTTGGCAAGTCGGTTGTTTCTTTTTATTTTTCCGTGGCCCTTGCTGTTACCGTCTTCGTACAGTGGGTTTAAAAGTGTGATATACAGGCTCTTTCACGCATAGGCACGCGTACAGCCAAAGCGCTTGTTTTTTTATTTCTTTTTTTTATTCGTATGACCTTTGAAAACTTTGAAAAGGAGAAATTGGGACACCTAAAAGACGTTAACTACATCCAAGTACTATACGCCACACACACACCCACACTCTCTCACTCTCTCACGCACTTTCTCACGCACTCTCACACACACATATTTACATGTATAGATACCAATACCAAATACTTCCACAAGAACTCGTAGGAACAGCCAGCGGCCCCTAGCCTTGTCTGCTTCTGTGAGTCCTCGCTGCTCCATTTGGAACATCTGATGTCAGTTTTCCCAAGCATTGTGTTACCTCTTCTGCATCATTTCCTCATCCTTTTTTTTTTTTTTTTTTTCCACCCCATCGGAGAAACTCCCCACCACCTCCCAATTCAACAAATGCTTTTACGCAAAAGTTTTTCCGAGATTGCGAGCCCTTCCCACCTCTCAAAAATTATTACATGCGAAAGGGGAAGAAAACGATATCCAGGGAATTTTGTTTTCATTAGCTGGTACGCTGAGCACGATTAAGCACTGGCCTCCCCTAAAAGCGGTTTATTTTCTGTGTCCTCATTCCTTGTTAATTTGATAAGAATTTCTTTTCTTTTAGCGTCCATCTCACACATTACGAGCTAAAGATCCAAATCCTCCAAAATAGCTCTGTTTCATCCTCGAACAATATTGCCCCGGTCATCTCCACACATCCCCCAACTTTTATTTCTTTTTCCTACTTATATCAGCGGCCCTACGTACCGACATTCCGGATTTTAGTGCACAAACAGATTACCATCTGAAATTTGTAGAGGCCAAAAAGAAAAAAATTACCGATTGAATTTACATCGTTTTCTTTTCTTAGCTAGTGACCACAGAATGTCAGAAATAGCACCAAATTTGAGCTACAGCTCCAGCCCGAATGCAGTTTCAAGTAAGACCGCAGATTTGAGCGAAGTCAGCACCTCCAAGAGCAATAGCCCCGTTCCTACTCCTTCTACTGCTCCTGCCAAGTCGAAAGAAGATCGTCCCTACAAGTGCACCGTTTGCTCGAAGGCGTTCCACCGTCTTGAACACCAGACCAGACATATCCGTACGCACACCGGTGAAAAGCCCCACCCTTGTACATTCCCTGGGTGCACAAAGAGGTTTTCTCGGTCAGATGAGTTGACCAGGCATCTTAGAATCCACAAGAACCCATCTTCTAGAAAGAGAAGAAACAATGACCAGATGATGATACAGATCCCCAGCACCGTCGAGCAGCAGCAGATGCAGCAGCAACAGCAACAGTTCCAGCAGCATCCGCAGCTCCAGACTCAGGATCAGCTTCAGCAGGGTATCTTCCCCCAACAGCGCACGATAAGCGTCACGGTGGACAGGAACGGTAATCACATATATCATCTGCCTTATCCAGTGTATATCATGCAAGGAGGGCCCCAGCAGATGGGTTCTGCGCCCATGTCTGGTCCTCAACCTCAGTACTTTCAAGATCAGCAGCAACCAATGCTGGCCATGCAGCAGAATGTGATACCCAACGGTGGAGCTCCCCAATACTTCCAGTCGGCTCCAATCCCGATCAAACAGGAACAGAACCAACAGCAGCCACAACAAGTACCACAAGTGCAGCTTTTACAACCACAAGGTCAACAGCTACAACATGGACAGCCATCTCCAATCTCCCAAACCGCTTTCAATTTGCCCACCTCCCCTAATCAAGCCCAGTCGAGCACTTCTCCTCCACTTCTTGGTTCGTTAAACAAATCTTTATCAGCTACGTCTATCGTATCAAATTCCAACTTCCCGGTCTTTAGTCAGTCAGGAACAATATCTACCAACAACTCCTCCATCCACTCTTTAAGTAATTCTCCGGAGGCTTCAGTAACAAATGGAGTACCTGTTGGACTTCATAACAACAACAATGGCAACAACCACTTCAGCGGACAGTTGCCTCCTATCACCTCCATGGGATCTTCAACATCACTCAAATCCAAATTGTTTAACGCATCATCCACTTCATCACTTTCATCACTTAAATCAAACTCGTTTTCCAATCTCTCTGGGTTACAAAGAATGACACCAATTAAGCTGAATCTTCTGCAATCTAGATTGGTACAACCGCAGCCACTGCCACTCCCACTTCCTAAACAGAAGTCATCTTCATCCTTAAACCTTGAGTTTTACGCTAGTAACAAGAAGTCAAGACCAAACTCGCCTAATTCTTCTATGGTGAATGCTCAACAATACTACCAAACTTCAAATAGTTCTAACTCAACAATCCCAACATCTAGCAAGATATCTTCAACTGGATTTGGAGGTGGCCTCACTCCAGCTCACCATAACTCATCTGGAGAAGCTGCCTTTATGATTTCTCCTAATGAAACTCCATTGCAAACTCCTTCGCAATCACCACACTTACAACCTCAAACTATGAGCGGCTTTGATAAGACCAATCACTTCAGTTTGTTGAATGCAGCTATTCAGAAACACCAAGAAAGTAGCTCTACGCCTGCCCCTGCTCCAACCTCATCTCCAAGCAGTAACTCTACTCAGAGCATTGCCACCACAGGTACACAACTCCCTCCGATTCGCAGTGTTTTTTCGTTCACATCACTTGCCGCTGAGTCCAAGAGAGAGTAGGTGAAGTGTGTCCACACGTTAAGAAGATACTCTCTGCATGGATCAGGATTTTACTCGATTTGAGAGATACACTAACAACAGTTGGCTTTTGGAGCCCTCGGCAACAAACATTTCAAGAACATTATTTTATTTATTATCTTAAGATTTACCGTTTTTTTTTCATGATATTCAAACACCCCATTAGATAGAGAATTTATAGAGAATTATTGGATTACTTTGTAGGTTTATAGAAATTGAATTTGGCTTAATCGGTGAAGAGAAAATTCGGCGGAAGATTTACCACTTAACTTAGGTGGTCAGGTCTAACACTGCAGGATATATCTTTTTTTACGCTAATTTCTTCGAGATCCAGCATCAATTGAGCCAAATCGGTTGATGTCACAGGTGGGGGCCATTGGTGGGGACCACTGGCTTTAATTAGCTTAAAAGCTGCTATTGATATTCCTGTATATAGCATAAAATTAAAGGGCTAGAGATGAGATGGGCGTACTACACTAAAAACTGTAAAGAAAAGAAGATTGGTATACTCTTATTTCCACTTATACGAGTGGCAAACACAATGGTAGTCAGCTGGAGATCTTCTTTTGACCGGATACTTGATAAACAGTCTACTATCCGATTATCCACGGTAAGCACTCTACATTATCGTCACGTGAAAGGTAAGAGAGCATCCCTAGAGCTTTATGCAGCGGTCACGTGATATTGTATATCCAAGGTTTTCAAACTTGTTCAAAGTATACTTTGCTTTCCGAAACGAGAGATCCATAATGCTATTCGGTCTCTTTTCTTTTTCTCTTTTGTTAGCTAGGCCAACATTAGAATTTTCCTTGGTGATATTTTCTGGGATTTTTTTGTTTGCCCTGGGAAATGGTTATGATACTTTAAGATTTGTAATTGCCCTCTGCCCTTCTGTTTAATATCCTGTAAAATTACCATTATAACACATACGATGACCTTTCATTTGCTCTTTTTAAAGACTCATCACTGGAGTAAGCGCATTGGTTGCTCCATACCTATAGTTGCCCCTATCCCATGGACTTAGTTCTGACTTCTCTTCCGGGTCACAAGATACAGCCCATGCCACGTGAACTCTGTGCAGTTCTAGCCAACCAGCCAAATGTTTTTGGTGAAAAAAAAAAAAAAACTAAAAAAAATAACAAAAAAATTAATTAAAGTTTAAGATAAATGAAGTTAACAACCAATGTTGGTGAGCCAAATTGGGGGACCAAGGTGAAGCATCCCAGAAAACTGCAAAGCAGCAAAAAAAAGGGGGGCCTTACTGGCCGCTAACTTAGTACTTAGGTGGCGTTGGAACAACGCAAACGTCACGTCAATTCAATACGGTAGCCCATATCTTACAGTGGTACCACCAGTAAGGCGGATGTGAAAAGTTTTAGCGGTTCTGTTCCAGTCCTGCACTGAGATGTTTTCTTTTTTTTTTGGTGCTGTATTCAACAATGAATCATGGCGACATGAAAAAGCAAAGAAAGGCGTGTCTGGTAACAAAAAATAATACCTCGAAAAAAGAAAAAACTCAAGAAATCACATAGCCGGTGCTACCACCTGCACGGGCCAGTCCAAGAGCAAGAGTAAGAGTCACATAAAAGTGTAGGATGTATGCTACATTTTATCCAGCTTACTGCTGCAAAGTGAACCAAAGTCTGCTCACGTTGTATATACTCTCAAAAAGTAAGCCTTAGGTACGTTCTCTGTCTCGTTTTTGTCATCTCTCTCGTTGACTCTCAGTGTTAGAACCAATTAAAACTTATGCATGTTGCTATTTCTTTTTCTTCATCATTTCAGTCATTTTCTCGTACACGACCATAATGTAATTTCCCCTTCGGTGTTTTTTTTTTTTTTTTTTTTTTGCCTGTTGCTGATGATCACAAGCGACACAAAACTATTAGCTATTAATTAAACCCTTCTTGCCGTTTTTTTAATGTTTTTTGATTCTCTTCTTCTTCAACCCACTTTCAACTTACAAAGTATATATTAACAAGAACTAAACTTTGTTATATTGATTTATAACTGTATTTTTAGTTTTTTGTTTATTTATATATATTTTATAAATAAAGAGAAGAAGCCACTCTTCAAGGTTAACTGGTTAGTTTTTAAAAAATAGTCAAATTACAACATCTATTCAAATAGTTGTTGATAATTTTTCACTATAAACAACAACCACAAACTTTTTGCGAGATATTGATTTATCTTACAAATTGTAGAAAATATATAAAACAAAAAAAGATCGAATACTCAAATAAGTAAGCAGCTACCACATTTCGTTAGCTGCATAACCAGAAAAAGGGAAGTCTAAATTTTCACACATAAACGAGCTTTTCACTAAGTCGTCGTTTATATTTTTCATACAAAGGTTAAAACTATTGATAGATATTTATAAAATACATCTTTAAGAATGTACAGTCAACAACATTATCACCAACTCCAGCAAAATTACTACTTGGGGACTGCAGGCCATCGTGCTACGTCCTCGTACAGTTACTTGCCGAGTCTTAACAATAATGGAAATTTCAGTATTCGTGATGCTGCTGCACAACCTGGTGTCAACTATGCCAACGCTGCTTCTGCTGCTGCTGCCGTTGTCCCTCAACCTGCTGTTGCCCCAGCTGCTGCCGGTGATGAACCTGAGTTTAACGGTGGAATCACCTCTGTACTCGAATACAATATTAACAACATGTCAACATTTCTTTCATGGTGCACATTTGGAATCTTGAAGCAAAACAGAAACCCAAGCAAAGAGTTTGACAATTTGGTTGTTTCAGTGTTGTTTGCGACAAGATTACCCAAATCTACCATCATCATTGCCCTTGAGTATATGAACCAAAGATTTTCCAACAAGGCAGTAGCCAGCACTCTCTCCGAGTCTGAGATCTCTACTATTTTAATCGTTTCATTAATTTTGGCCAACAAGTTTAATGACGATAATACTTTTACCAATAGATCATGGTGCGGCGCTGCCGGTTTAACCATTGAAGTGGTAAATTACGAAGAAAAGGAATGGCTTAATGAAGTGAAATGGCAATTAAATGTAGTTAACTTCGAAGATAACATTAGAACCTTGGAAGAATGCTGGAATACTTGGTTAGTGAAATACACTGGCAAGAGCAGTCAACCATCAGCTAATGCTTCATCACCAAACTTACATGAATCTGGTGTATCTTCATACAATTCAATTCCATCATCGCCAATATCTCCATCATACTTATCATCGTCCCCAGTTGATTCATCACCCATCAAATATCAACATCCACAGGACTCGATTTGGGCCCACTCATCGTCCATTTGGTCATATACTCCAACTTACCAATATATGCCACAACCAACCGTGTATCAGCCACAAGCTCAAGCACAGCAACAACAACAACAAATGCCTGTTGCAACTCAACATCAGATCCCACCAATTTACCACCAAGTACAACAACCTTACGTTGATCCAAGTATTCATTTCAATACAGGATACCACAACGCAGGATTTGTTGGATATAATAATCCTTACTATGGTTATAATATGGCATCATGTTGAAATAAATTACAAAAACACACATAAAAATAATAAAACTTGAAAAAAATATTTATTGTTGTTCATTTGCATAGCAATAACGTCGTTTAAAAGAGATGAAGACCCTGTCTTCTCCAAATGTTTCCTTCTATCTTTCTTAATATTTATTGATTGATTATTTTTTTTTTTTTTTGCTTTAGTTTTTTTTAGGTTTCGTGCTTTAATAGAGATAGAGAAGTTCTTTGAAAGCTCACTGGCACCAAATACTTTAATACAAGGTTTCGCCTATTTAAAATGCGTGTAGTAAAGACTGTAGTACCTAGTTGAAGGGTCCTACTACATAATAAGTACTGCATGCGGAAATGCAGCAATTGGAAAGTGGTACTGCAATATGCTTAACTTAAAATGTGGTAGTACCATACACGTTCGATATACACACACAAACTAGGAGAATCGTGTGCGTTGGATCTATCGATTCAAAGCTACATAAGATAATACTAATACGATTCATTCCGTATATTTATTGTTTCCTTTTTTAGACTTATATTAGACAGTAATATGTAGTTCTAATCTTTCTTTTCTTCTTCCTTTTTCTCTTCAAATTCCACATCTTCTTCTTCTTCATCCCCTTCTTCGATAGTTCCTTCTTCAGCCTTCAATTTTTCAGCAGCCGCAGCAAAATCAATAACTTTTCCACGAGTTCTTCTACCAGTAGTAATGATGTTAGAAGTGTCAATCTCCAATAAATCATCCTCAGCCTCATCGTCCAATCCCAAGTTATCTTCATCCCCATCATCCTTATCATCTTCTTCTTCGTCTTCTGACTTCGTTTCTTTTGGAACATCATCATCGTATTGGCGTCTTCTTTGCTTTTTCTTTTTCTTCTTTTCACCTGCATCTTCTTCAACCGATCTCTTGGTGGTGCTAGACGCATCATCAGCAACTGCCTTTACTTCAGATTCTACAGGTACTTCCTCAGCACCGACATCTGCTACTTTACTTTCTACTTCAGACATTCTACAATACAATGAACTATAAGACGACCTTATCTGTAATAAAGAAACGCGTTCCTCCAGTATACTCCCTTTTTTCATCTACTGGGGTGTAGTGTGCTTAGTATTTCGCTTTGGTCTCCGCACGACTTGGTGATGTTTTTTCACAAAGGAAAGAGAGCTATCAAATCAGCTCTTCACGGTACGACGTTGTTAGCTTCCTCATATATACACCAATATAATCAAGATGGCCACTCCAACAAAAAAGACTAAAATGTCTGACCTCATAAATTATCGTCTCAAAATTACAACTATTGATAAAAGAACTTTTGTAGGACAATTATTGGCCTTTGATAATCATTTAAATCTAGTCTTAAGTAATACCGAAGAATCCAGGATCACCAAAAAATCATACTCGGATCTTAAAAAGGGTTCCATCACCTCAGATAGTATAGTAGAAGAAAAAAGATCTCTTGGATTAATAATTCTCAGAGGTGAGCAGGTCGTAAGTTTCAATATAGAATCTCCACCACCCTTACTGGTGAAAGCCAGAGTATTGGAGAAGGGTAAGGGAATATCTCGTCCCTTAAAAGTGCCTGTGAGTGTGAAATCAAAATCTTTGCAGGGACCTATAAAGACTAAGTGATCGTTATTTACTTGAAAACACTGTATATTAGTATAATAAAACATAAATAGATAGACCCGAGACTATTTGTAGCAGCAGCCTTCGCAGTGCCTTACCTGAAACGCCTGTCACACATTTACAGATGTGTGCAAATTAAGGCACAATCTACGAACTAACGTACATGACCTTAACTTTTCACTTATTATTATACTAGCACTACAAAACAACCATGTTTCTTCTATACTGAAAATGAGCTAATTTGCCCTAACGAGCTAATTTGCCCTAACTTGTTTAGTTCCTCTTTCCCTTCTTTCTAAATTTTAAGATTGTTCTCTTTTTGACCCACGTCATACATTAATTTATATTATGTTATACAATGACAAAGAAGAAGTGGAAGAGCTACAGTAATAACAAAGCAGAACTACAGATTACACCGCCTTCTTCGTTACAAGGGGTAACCCTTCTGGCCCAATTTTAGCATTTCTTTTTATCTCATCTCTCACTTATTCCCTTTCTCATATATGTCAAGTATGCTAGGAGAAGCCTTACTTCGATGCCTAACAACAATTGGAGTTATTCTTGCTCTTCTTTTCTGTTGGCGCAGGAATCAAACTAATAGTTGGACCATTGGTAACCTTGTTGTTACCACCTTCAGTGGTTTCTAATTGATGTTTACTGATCATCTCATAAATATTTCTTAATAGTTGATGGAAAGATAAATCAACGTTATCGCTACTCAAGGCGGAAGCTTCAGTGAATAATAAACTGTTTTCATTGGCAAAGTTTTTAGCTTCATCAGTTGGGATGGCTCTTAAATGGTCCAAATCGGATTTATTCCCCACCAATTCAATTATAATATTAGCATCTGCGTGTTCTCTCAACTCCTTCAACCAACGTGAAACACTCTCGTAAGATTCTGTCTTCAGGATGTCGTAAACAATCAATGCACCGACCGCTCCACGATAATACGCGGAGGTGATGGCTCTATAACGTTCCTGACCCGCGGTATCCCAAATTTGTGCCTTAACACGCTTACCATCAATTTCTAAAGTTCTAGTAGCGAACTCAACTCCAATGGTTGAACGTGATTCTAAATTAAATTCATCACGAGTGAAACGGGACAACAAGTTTGATTTACCAACCCCAGAATCCCCAATAAGGACGATCTTATAAAGGTATTCGTAATCGTAAGAGTAGTCGTCTGTATTATCAGTCATCGTGATTTAATAGATAATATAAATATATGGCTAAATATTAATTTAAAACAATACTGATTTTATTTCTGTAAACCTAAGATTGCTTGTTGGTGTATTTCGATCTCAACTGTTCTTGAAACGTATCAAAAAAGAGGCTCTGTCAAATGGAAAAAAAATCTATAAATCTCAGCCCAAAACGTTACGCCTAAAATTTTACCTATTGTTATTCTGCTATACAGATTCAAATATACTGAATAGAACGACAATATGTTACTATATTTCTTAGAATTCTATGAAAACAAGCTACCTAAGCTCTCCTTTTTTTTCGGATTTCTTTTTTTCCAACTCTCGTTCTTTTTTTAAAAACTACACGCTCGTACACCCGCCAAAACCAAAAAAGAAATGAAAACGAAAGTGAGAAGGCGCGTATATGCAGGCTTGTAGTGTGACGAGAATGACGTGTGCACCCCAGTTGCAGTGTTGCAGTGCAGGTTCATGATAGTTGGTCTACTCTCCAGATATGGGCAAACTGGTACTGATGCTTTGAAATTGGCTATATCTTTGATCTTCTTTCACTCAGGGTACGCAATGCTGCAATGTTTGCTTTTCGTTATGCTCAAACAGGGCATTATTCACGCACAGCAGCCAAAGTTTAAATTCTTCAACAGCAGTCTCGAAAGTTTAATTCGCAGCAATTTCTTGCTACTAAGTGTCCCTAATAAAGTATCAGATAGACGGCTAAGATAATGTAGGCACTTCTTAGCGAGAGAATTTCAGAGCACAGAGAGATTTTGGTAGAATACTCCGTTACATAAATACTACTTACTTAGGTTTGTATTTTATTTTTTCTTCAGAAATTTTCTTGTGGGAGCAACTTTCTTTGTTCCCTCATACATACACACATTAGTCTAGCGCTCTCTTCCAAACTGTTGATCTTCCCTGGCAGCCTTTCTTTCCATTTCATCCCAATCTTCGCCTTCACTTTCTTCATCTACTTCACTGCCGCTACCGCTACCATCACTGCCATCGCTTCCGTAGTCATCTTCCAGAGCTGCTTCACTTTCGACATCTTCGTCACTTGGATCAGCGTCACTAACCTCGAACTCCAGCTCATCTTCTTCATCATCTTCATCGTCACTAGTACCATCACCAGTTAAGAAAACCCAACCCCCATCAGCAAAGAATTGATATGGATCCAGTTGAACCGTTTTCATAATGGTACCCCAATTCAAATTCATTTGACCTTCACTGATAGGAATATCAACATCTGTGAGCCACGACTTGACATCTTCCAAAACTTCTATTGGAATGGTATTGATATGGACTACTGGTTTGCTGAAATCTTTGAAAACAAACACCAAATCAAAATTCTTCAATCCAAATTGAACTCTTTCCAAGTGTGCAATTTCAATTTCTTCTAACGTAACTACCAAGTAGGGAGGGTCAATCAATTGAATAAGACAATCTCTGGTTGGCATACATAATACGGCAGATCTAAAAGGAACACCTTGGAATCCTAATTCTCTGAATGGGATATCTAAATCACACATTCCATGACTGGAATCTGCAATCAATTCAGCAAAGGCTTTGAATTCTTTATCCAATAATGCCTTTCTACGTCTTTCTTCTTGTTCTTGCTGTAATTCATCTTCATCTCCATATCTGTATCTTCTCTTCCTTCCTCCAGTTTCGTCGAAGGCAATGTCACTAGCTTCTCTATAAAATTGGACATCGAATGTTTTCTTCTTACCAATCATAATTGGGTTCTTTAAGTGACAGTGAATTATCACAATCAATTCATCTTTACATGGTTGGAAGAATAAATGTTTGATATTACTGAAAAGTACGTCAACTTTTTGATCCGACCTGATCGACAGTTGATATCTTAAACCATTATCGTGGATTTGTAAGACACCACCAATCTTCTTTGTGTCTGGTTGAGGACGAATGAAAACTTGCTCCAATTTCTTCATTCTAGAACCTTTCAATTCTATTAAATTGGCTTGAGTAATAACATCAGCCATCTGTTTACGTTCCAGTTCTCTCTTTACGCTATCTTTCTTCAAGTCTTGAATTGCTTTATAAACGTCAATCATTCTTTGTCTATCTCTCGATCTAAGAGTAATTGATCTTAAAAATGAGTTATCTGGAGAATCTTCATATGGCAATTCAGTTCTTTTGAAATTGTTACCACCAAGGCCTGGCAGATTAAAGTTCAATCTAAGATATGTAAATTCACCTTCTTCATTTTGGGATCCATTTTTAAATGAGTTGATATGAAATGGAACTGGTCTTCCGGAGATCGGTAATATGATTGTTTGATTCTTGTAATCTACATGAATCTTAAGATCTCTCACAGAACTTGGAATTTGCAGCTCTCTGACATATGATTCATACTTCTTGAATACTGGCTTGAAGTCAGAAGAATCAGTAGCATCCTCTTTGGAGAATCTCGACAATCCCTCTTGTTGTCTCTTTTCGTGAAGCCTCTTTTGGTATTCCTGACGAACCTTTTCGTTGTTTATATGATCGTCATTGTTACTGGACTCATTACGCAATTTGGATTTAAGTAAAAGTGAGTTTGCTTCATTGACTGCAAGTTTCTTTTCAATTTTGATATCCTTCTCTGATTTGATACCTTTTCCATTAGCTTTCGAGGATAATGATGATGCCTTAGAATCTGGTTCTTGCTTTACTGGTTCATCTTCCTTGAAAAAGAATGAAATTTCACTACGAGCTTTACTGTAGTTGGTGAGAGAAGTAGCTTCGTTATCACCAACAATGTATGTATCACCCAATATTAATGAGTACTTCTTGTTATTTTTTGAAGGAATTCCTTGGAATCCAATATTGATACATAAGGTCATCCCATTCTCCAATTTCCTTTCATTCTTACTGTTTAAAACAAAGGTTGAATCTCTGAATTCAATACCTGTGAGCCAACCACAATTTTTTGGGAAGTATGGTAAGAGATCCTCTCTTTTCTCGGCCTTTATGAATGCAAGAACTCCTTCGTATACATCTTTACCTTGCTTGCCAGGTTTTAAAAGTTCCTTGCTTATGTGCTCTTGTAACTTTAACAAGAATTCATAGTTTGTTTCCATGTCCTTAGTGGGGTCAATAAGGAAAGTTCTACCAATGTTAGAACAGTACGACTTATATCTAAGACCCAAAGAAGCCAATATAACACCGTCGCCAACCAACGCCTTGTTGGTAGACTGGGCTGATGGTTTGATGTCGTAATCTCCGCCACTCTGGATAATAGGCGAATAACACCAGTCAAGTAATTCAGAATCAAATCCTGGCACCCCATTGACAATAATTTTCTTACCTACTGCACTCTTGGTAAACCACTTGTCATTATCAATTTTTGCCTCGATCTTGTCAGAAAGTGCCAAGTTTGTGATTTTCAATTCTTCGTCTACAATGCTCATCATTTCATTCGCAAATGAGTCCATCATCACGGTGGATGACTTGGCAGCCTTCTTGGCAAGTTCTACCTCTTCGTCGTCTTTAACTGCTAAGCATGTGGAAAGTAAACTGGAGCAATCAACAAACTTTAATTCCGCGTCCTTGGACAACAGTTTCCATTCGTCAATAAACTTCCCCTTGTACTCATCTTTAGCTATATGGCCAATGGCCAGCTGGCTTACAAGTTTGCTTAACAAGTCGTCGAAAATCTTCTTGTTCACCTCAGCGTCGTTCTTACTTCTTGCCCAAATTAGCACCTCTGACGAGTTTGCTGTTGGCTTTGTGGTCAATGGCTTGAAATGCTTGGAAGATTTCTCCCCCGTAATTATAATACACTGGTCCTGAGTGATGAGGATCCCCGTGGAGGCTAATTCGTAGCCTGTGAGCCACGTCTGTGTTACAGTGGTCTTCTTGTAGGTGTTTTCATCATCAGAGGCTCCAACAAGGAGAAGAATGCTATCGGAATCTGATCCAATCAAATTCTTCTGAATTATCGAAAGCCTACGATGGAAAGTGGAGGGGACAATGTTAACTGACATGATTTATACCTTGTCGTCTTGGTACGCTTTTGCTTTATCAAATTTCTGAAGAAGAAAATAGTCCAAAAAATCCAAGTTTCAAGTCGATACGTCTCCTACCCTGTTTGAGTACAAATGCCAGGTGATTAGACTATTGATCAGCTTGCAGGTGGCGAATACACTGTACAGTCGTCCTGAGGGTCTCCTTCGTTTCGATTCGATTTCTTTTTCCATTTTTCATTGCAAGGATTGGGGGCGGCACGACCGACTTCAATATGGCAATCGCGTGTGTGTGCGTGTATGAAAAATCAAAAACGCGTACACAAACAAACGAGATCAGTGTTGTTAAAAGAAGAGACTTGATTAGTTATAGCTGAGAGAGTAAAAGTGAACTCAGAAACCAGGAGGCTAGAAAGTTGAGAAGTAGAACAAACAGTTCAAGCAGAAATTCAACTAATAATATAGATTTCGAAGGAGATAATCGACGCACCGTTGGCCATATTCCGCTTCCCCAGATAGAAGAACCGCGCACTCTAATCAGTTCTGGTACTCAAAGGCATCTCAAGACACCCGCTTGCTCCTCCCAGACCCAGTCGCCCATTCTCTATATAAATCATCTTCTATCATGTTCCGTCAGAATAAGAGAAGAACTGCAGGAAGAAAGAATTTCGAACCTTCGATCTTCCAGGGAGTTACCCAAATCTACAACACTCGTCTCTCGTTCTACGACATCCCGCCCATCGATGAAATCACGCTTGAAGAATTCGAGACTTGGGCCATCGACCGTCTCAAGATTTTGATTGAAATTGAGTCTTGTGGCCTTAGATCAAAGTCGTTGAGAGAAACAGAGCAGGTGATCAAGCCTTTGCTATTGAAGTATCTCCCCTTAAACCCGAACCCATCGTCATCGGCGTCTCCTCCTGCGAGCGTCATAGCTGAGCGTAAGAAGGACCACTACTCGCACTTCATCCTAAGACTTGTGTTTTGCCGTACAGAAGACTTACGTCGTAAATTCATCAAAAATGAGCTCGTTTTGTTCAAGATAAGGTACAACATGCTTCAGCCTAAGGAGCAAAGGGAGTTCATCGCACAGTACAGCGATAAACTCCCGTGGCAGTACATATCACAGGACGAGAAATTGGACATTTTAGATGATTTATTTGCTGCTACATCATCTACCGTCCGAAACAGCTTGGTCTTTGAAAGTGGTGACCCGCTGTTCACCATCTCAAGAGATCAGCTCTATCAGCACATTCAGAAATCTGAGCAGTTTATAAAACTTCCTTTTGAAAAGGTGCCCAATTTGGTAGCATCCAGATCTGTTTTGCTTCGTGCTGGTTCTGCTTACATTCCGTCGACGCTCCAATTGAATTTGCTCTCCATTGAGTATCAAGATTTGCTCACCACCCTGCTCATTAGAACTTTCCAATCAATGCCACGATTGGAAGAGGATGATAGGCTCTTACCACTCTTGAATAACCTTTCAGCCAACTCGTCGTCTATAGAATACGATATGTCACTGAAGTTCGATGCAGAGAACGCGTCGGATATCAATGCTGTATCAGTTACTACACCTGCTGTAATGAAGCATTACCCAATGTGTGCCACGCATTTGCAAGGTGCTCTTATGTCGAAACTGCACCTTAAATACCAAGGACGTCAACAGCTTCAACTCTTTCTTAAGGGAATTGGCCTTTCTATTGATGAGGCGATGAAGTTCTGGTCATACCAGTTCACTAAGAGCAACTCTGGAATCACCATGGAGAAGTTCAACAAGGAATATAAGTATAACCTTCGTCACAACTACGGGTTAGAGGGTGCTAGAATCAATTACAAGCCACCTGATTGCTCTCGAATTCTTTCTAAGCCAAAGCCTGGTAAAGGAGAATCTCATGGATGCCCCTACAGAGACTTGCCTTTAGATTCACTTATTACTAATTTGAATGAGATGGGTGTAACAGATCAAGTGGATATTAACATGGTGGTAGACGATGTAGGAAGGAATGACTATACTGTGGCCTGTACCAGAGTATTCGAATTTACTCACAAGCAAGAATTGGCCAAATCCAAGGCCACTAGCTCTGAGGGTATGCACATCAATCACCCAAACCTTTATTTCGATAGATCCAGGCAACTCGAGAAGAGTTCGTGAGGAATAGAAAGAGTCATTCTGTAATAGAGTAGTGTAAATTATATGTTTATTTAATAAATAATCTAATGAAAGACCGTTCGTCTTGGTTTTGAAAACCAGTTCCTTACGTGTGCCTTTTGAGTTACAATAAGACTCTGGTAACTTCCTTGACAGACGTAGCCATCTTTTCAAATGCACTGGAGAAGTTTAAATCTTGACTGATGACCACAAGTCTTTGAAATCCCACCAAGACGCACAACTTCCACATACCCCAACCCAAAAAGGCAGTAAGCAACCATCGTACAACGACCAATGAACGACAAGCGGCACTTGAACTAATTGTTTGAAAACGTTGATTTTCCACAGCTTGTCCCATTTGGAAACTGGAACTCTACGGAAAAGTTCTATTATTTCAATCACCAAGTATGCACCCCAAACTCTGGAACACCAGATATAGGTCTCAATGCACCAATACTCGTTATTGTTAGTTCCCACCCAATTATGGTCGGTGAGCCAGCCTGCATTCTCCAAGAGCTCCAATACTAAGCAATTGAGGGCTTGTACCAAGTTTATAAGTCTGTCCAATTTGGGAGCTGCGTGGGCAGGATCTTTAAGTGCTCTGTACTCGTCGATGATCCATGGCATGTATTTGATGGAATCAGTAAGACGATTGAAAATACGGATGTCCGACAAGTAGGAGGAAATAGCTTTGAGGTGCACAGCCAAGTTAGATTTGTCTTTGGAATTGGCAGTTGATGTTGCTGCTTCATTTGACCTTACAATATCACCTTCGGTGGCCTTCTTCACCTCGGACTGTGCAGGAGTTGATCCCAGAATTAATTTTATCAAGTTGTTCCTTTGGGACAGCACAAACGCTCTTATTTTTGGTTTATTATCGAGGATACTAGACAATAATAAGGTGAAATAGCAGATAAAGTATAGATTTCTATCGACAGTAGCACTTTGTGATAATACTTTGTCGTTGATCTCTTGGTAAAAGTTTCTACTGAAAACAGACTTTTTCAAAAGACTGTTTAATTTGAGGATGGATGGTAATGGAATTGGTTTAGACATATCAATGCAGCCACTTTGGTTTCAGCTATTCTCTATTTTTTTGGAGGTTTTATTATTCTCGCACTTGATACCTTTCTAGTGCGGTGCTCAACGATACGAACTTGTGTATATTAGTGTATATAAAATGAATGCTTCAGCTCTCCAGCTCTTCTAAAGTGGAATATTTTTTCCACTTATCTCATTTCATCGACTGTGGTTAAAAAACGCTCGGTTGCCCCAGATTTGGGATAATTTTCCCGAGGCACAACAAAAAAAGCGAGACCCAAAAAGATATTACGAATGATGGGGATGTCTTTTGTGTGACTTAGTGCCCCTGATTGACACCAATACTGATAGGGACGCGCTCGTAAAGCGGTGTTAAGGCGAAGTTTCGTTCTGTCAGAAATTGAACGATAGGTGTACGTTTTACTTGGGCTTAAATGGTATATGCTCTGTAGTTAGAGTGCTTTGGTCTGTTTTGGCCTGCATGTGGAACATCTACCGTGCTGTAGCTGGGCACTTTCCTAATTGGGACAGGAAGATGGTTGCACACCCACCCACCGGGATGTGAAGTCGAAATTGATGAGAAATAGCATCTATGCTTTACTGCTGGTATGATGTAATATCCGACTAATACCTGGTAGGCTCTTTGAAATTTGAATTTAGATATGCAGAATGTGTAGAATGATCTAGTTGATCCGGGATCAACGGCGGAGACTAAAATATTCTCTTACGCTTAAATCTTAAATAGCATATATAAACACTACAGACGCTATCTCTTATTTCCCAACAAGTAGTGCTATGCGAACAATACATGGACGCCTTCGAAGCTCGTTAGCAGTTGCTTTAACACGTCCTTTCGTCTTGTAACAAATAGCTAAATAGCGCTGCATATATACGTCTTACAGAATCATTTACGATGCAGAAAACTGCCCCATGAGGATAGCAGGCTGCAAAATAAAAAGTATCCTATTCTTTACTACCATATTTCTTAATTGCTTACTATATCTTGAAAATTTTAAATAAATCTGTATTATGTTATAAATTTGAGGAAGAATTGAATATATATAAATGTGTTATTGCATTAGGTTTATTCCTGTTTGTGAGAAGAAATGGAAGCGATGTTAGATCTTAAAGCTTCTAAAGTAATTCCTTCCTTTTCAGCGTAAACTTCCATTCCATGATCATCGGCAGAGCCAACGGTTTCCAATACAACTTCATTGATTTCTTCAATTTCATCACTTGTTTGTTTCAAAATAAGGTTAAGGATAACACCAAGGAAACCAGTGATGGCAAACCCAGTTTCCATAACCAATACGATAGCATCAAGGAACCCTTGGAGGGCACTATTACTACCAGAGTAGGTAAATACGTAGGAAAACCAGTCTGGAACCAAAGTTGAACCGAAACCCATTAATAATGATGCAGTAAGTAAGAATCTGTCTCTTCTGGTGAATTCAGTGGTGGAAATAATTTTCATACCTGAAACTGCAACAGATGTGAACAAGAATGAGGTCATACCACCAAGAACTGCCGATGGGATAGACACAATTGCAGCTGCAAACTTTGCGAAAATACCCATAACAATCATGAAGAATGCACACCAGTAACCAACCTTTCTGTTGGCACACTTGGTAACTGAGATAACACCATTGTTTTGCGCGAACGTAGACATTGGAGTTACAGTCATTAAACCGGAGAGTAAACCGTTGAAACCATCAGCAAGAATACCACCTTGAATTCTGGATTGATACAATTCACCTTCAACTTCTAATCTAGAAACATCAGAAGTGGCAGTAATATCACCAATAGCTTCCATCATCAAGACTATATACACCGCCAAAAACGGTAAAACGGCTGGAGCGTAAACTTTCAATGGGAAAGTGTGAACCCACATGAAGGTTGCAGCTGGGGCGACTCTAATGGAATCTGGAGAAAAGTACCCACAAGCAGCAGCAACGATACAACCAACGAGTAAACCAAGAATAACAGCACAAGACTTCATAATTGGAGAACCGAATTTTTCAGCAATGATGATGGAAACGTAAACTAAGAAACCCAAACCGATGAATTCAGCTGAACCATATGGCAAAGGGTGAGCAGTTCCACAAGTTTCACCAATACAACCAGAACCTCCAACCCAATCTTCGAAACCGGATTCAATAAGGGAGACACCGATAAGTAAGACGACTGGACCAGTGACAATTGGAGGGAAAACTTTTTCTAACACAGCAGCTGGGAGAAACGACAACAAGATTTCCAAAAGCGAACAGACAAGACCAGAAGCCAAAATGTGACCGTAAGCCGCAGGACAAGCTTGACTAACACCATCAACGACTTCACAGACACCGTTGGTGTACATTTGAGGGATGGCTTTGGTAACAATAGTAATAGTAGCGAAGGAGGTACCAACGACGGAAAGTAAACCTGTACCGACATAGTAAGGAGTCCCGTAAATGTGGAATCTGGTGATTTGGATACAAGATAAGATACCAGAAACAATCAAAGATGAAGAAACCAAGTATTCTTGGATTTCTGTTGACAAGTTTGCTGTAGCAGCAATAATGATAGGAGGAGTGACAACACCAGCAAGCATTGACAAGGCATGTTGGAAACCCAAGATCATACCCAATACAATGGGCATATCAGAGTTCAACCCGAAAAAAGGTTGAGTCTTTGGGGGTGATTTTTTGAATGGGATGTCAGGAATGAAAAGATAGCCATAATCGTAATCACCGAGAAGACCTTCCTTAGTGGTCAATTTACGAACGATTCTTTTGCCGAATGTAGCAAAGTCACCAGCTTGCATCATAATGGAAAGATAATATTTGTGTAATGTAGATGAACGAATCACAAATTTCACTAAACTTCAGTCTGGAAAGTGGGGCCCCTGTCCTCTTATATATATTTAATATGGAGACCGCTGCATGATTTTCGCCTTTTCGATCCATCGCGGGATTGTGCACTTCACCGTTCGCTTGGGTGTGATTTTTTTTTTTTTTCATCTCTTATCAGTTGGAAGCATGATAATCTTTTCGCAGTCGCACGCACGGAGGAAGGCGAGCCAGTTTTTTTCACTCGGGCAAGTCCATTTAGAGATAAAGAAAGAATACGGGCCAAGAAAGAGTAGGCTTCAAAAATAAAAAAGAAATATGGAGAAGCTGGAAAATAATGTTTTGAAGAAGGTCCAGAGTGTAGGGAGCGAGAAATTTTGAAGAAACAAAGTCAGGTTTTGGGGTGTGCAAGGGTACGAACAGACGTCATTGTTCATGGGGTTAGTGTTTGATAGGTCAGGTTCATGTACCAGATATATTCTTGCTCTCATAATAACCACTTGATAACTTGCATATAACTTACTTACATAAACACATAATACACTTCGTATATACGTTTAGGAATAATTTAGATTATCGCATAACGAGATCTCAATTCGGAAGTTAAAATAACACAGATATGCCTGTTATCTCTCTATCAAGCTATCTGATTAGCTTCCACCCTCTCTCTGTCCTCCCACATTTAGTCCTATCCGAAGCCCGCAGTGCACCAATTTTTTTTTTTTTTTCTTTTTTTGCTCAGATGTGCGTCAAATCAAACGGAATTAGAAATATATCGCCTTGCACGCTAAGATAAAGTTGATCGGGTTCGTCCGAACGCAGCGGATTGGCCCGATTAAGTAGCACTAATTTAAAAAAGAAACAATATATTCGCCATGTTTGACAAGTAGCACTTAGACACGTCAGATTTCTGAAGAAGTGCCATATATGTTCTATGAGCCCCATTGAGTCGACACTATTGTTCCTTACAGTAGCCAGGTTTGTTCGATCAGCTGAATGACCACATAACACATATCATCAGCTTTGTTCTGATTTTAGAGTGGTACCTCAGATTTTCACTTTATTATTTATTTTTATTTTCTTATGCTTTGATAATCAGATTGGTTGATCTGCAGTCCCACTTTGTTCTCCCCGAAAAGCTTAACTTTTCCAAGATAATGCTGTGAGAGGAGAAAAATGTCATCTACAGCATTGGCCAAGCATTGGGGTTCTTTTATCGTCTCGACAAAAGATAAAGAGCGAGATAAACTTCAAGCTTTAAATTTTCAATTACAAGAAAACTCAGATATATTCGGTCTTTAAGATTAGGGTAGAAAAATACTCTCATGAAATTATTGGGGGACTGTGAAAACTCTTGTTCGCTTTGAGCAATGCTACCAAATGTCGGTCTGGAGTGATTTTGACTCACACTAGCGTAGATAAGTCTGGCTATCGGTGATGGATGGATGTGGGGGTTATTCTAAGGAGCGTAATCGTTACTCATTACCAACGCTTCGTATTTTCAAATGCGATATTTTTGGTTAACACATTTGTTCTCTAAATTCGTTTATGCCGCATGTAATCAGACTTATGCGAACGATCTTCGAGATGAGAGGAAAGATATTATTTCCTTTCGCTTTCTACTGTTTATCATTATTTGGCAGCCTCATTTAGTAATTTTCCTCCAGGAATATTCTCCATTGTTACATTTTTCCACGTAAACAACCAATCTTTACCTAAGTCTCAATGCAGAATCATTGAGGCCATTGAGGCAACTTTGTACATGCAAAGGGCTTTGCTTCCTTTAAAAGTCTCATTCTCATCAAGCTAAATCAAACGTGCCCCTTTAGCTCCAAGTTAGGAAAGTGGTACATACATCGTTCACTCATATAATATTTCTGCTACTGCTCTCATTGGTATTCAATCCTGGATTTGAAGAGGAGTTCTCAAATCTCACATTGGGTTATACTTGCAGAAAACCTGCTCAAAAAATATTAGTACACAGTGCTCGATGGGCAGTGCAGTACGACAGGTTGCTTAGAGTATACAAAAGGACCGAAAAAAAAAATATTATGGTGCATAAGATTTGAGTCGATGTGAATCAGGAGGTTGCTGTCAATTTTCAAGATCTACCCCGTAGTTCGGCTTCTCAGCTGCATTCTCTAACCAAGTGGTGCATGGTATGAGGGCAGAACCCTGTGAGAAATTTAAAGCTTAATGCTCGTTAAAACTCATTAACACTCGCTTCTTCCCTAAAGGAGCAAACACTCAAACTATTACATGTATCCACATATTCTTCCTAAATACTACCAAAAGCAACGAAATAAGCTCAAAAGGTTTGGGGTAGATATTTTCTATGATATTATTCAGCTTTGAACCCTTGTTAAGAACGTGCTTCGCCCTAACAAATGAATTCCAAACAATCCAGTTATTTTTTACCAGCAACTGCTCTGTCTCTTGGGTGATGTGTGTGGCGGCCTTGTATATGATAGAAAATATTAAAGTATGGTCCTGCGTTATTATGGTATAACGAACTTTTCTATGATGATTCGCTTAGATGACCTCCTTACGCCCAAGACTCTTATTGGTATGTGTTGACATGTCCCCTTGAAACATGAGGCGGATTTGTGTTTCCAGAAGGAAATTAAACTTTAGTTTCTCCATAGAAATGTGTCAAACATTACCACTCTTTGTAGGGCTGCATATGAAAATGCCTATCTAAATCGCATGACACCCTGAAAATCTCATTTACGGTGAACCCTATTTCGCCCAAATAGGAAGTTTCGTGGGGCTCATCTTATAAAATATTTAGACTTCGCTAGCTGAGCCCTTTAATACTAAGCTGAAGCGAATTCAAATTGCTAGAGAAGTCGATGGAAACTAGGGGCGCTAATAATACTACTGGCAGCTCTAAATAATATTATTATTATTATCATAATTATTTACTTTGAAAATCTAGACCATGTTATTCATTTTTTAAATAAATTGCCGGCATCTGCTTCACCGGTTTTTGAATTTTTTTGACAGCTCTCATATTCTTGGCTTTCTAAATCGGCATCTATAAGTATTATAATGTTTCTGATATGTAAAATATGGAAGAGGACTATTCTAGTTAGCATATTTCTTCTAGTTCTAGCATGGATTACGATTTCCCTGACTTTGAGATCTCGTTTGGAGCAAAGAGCCCGGTTCTCTGGTAAGTTGTTTTCTGTTCATCTGGAAGAAATAAATCAGGAAGAGTTTGATTCACTTGTAGACAACTTGTATAAAAGGAAAAAGTCGAACGTTGATGGAAGTAACTTCTGGTTGTTAGATACAAGTTCAAGAGTAAACGAAATCAGTGTTCCATCCTATTATTATGATAAACTGGTAAGTAAGCCACCCATTCAAATATTTGACCCCAGGTTAACCTTGGCTACTTACTTAAGTCATTTAGCTGAAGTAGGAGTAGGCGAAGTGCCCTTCCATTGGTATGATTGGGCAGATATGTCATTCATAGATAAGTACATTCTAGCCAAACCGGATGATAAACCAAACTGTCATATTGCTATACCATTCTCAGATGATCCTATAAAAGGATATTGTAGAGATGATAGTAGACTACCAACATCCGGAAACAATAATGGTCTTGGTTTCAGTGTTTTCAAGCCATCTCACTCTAGTATAGATCCTCAAGAAGGAGTTTTATTATCTAGGAGTTACTTATATTCTACTGCACCTGTTCCTCAAAGTATAGTATTCAATGCTAAGAATGGCTTATACGAAATGAGCATCAAAGGGAAGCAAAAACTTCTAGAGTCTAAACTTATAAACCAGGTGTTACAAAATGAAAAGAAAGACTCCGCAAGCGGCAAATTTAAGCTTGACCCAACGCTGGCATTAAAGAAGCTTGTGTTGCAAGAACCAAAGAAAGTATTAGAAACTGAAATCTCTGAAGCTTCGTTCCATTTTGATCACGAAGGAGTGATTGGAGATTTTGAGAAGTCTTTAGCAGATGGGGTACAATTCTCTTCTTCAAAAGAGAAGAGATATTATGAATCCCTTAAGTATTCTCAATGGTTGGTGGAGAGCAACAAAGTGAATAAATATCTTAGGGAAGCTAACTTGCATGATGGAGTTAATGGTGAACACTATGATTGGAGATTCTTTTCGGGTGATAAGGATGGTAGTTATGAAGAGCTGCTTGTGTTACATAGATTGATCAGGAACTGGTTATCTTTTTCCAGGAAGGCGGGCGTTAAATCCTGGCTCGCTCATGGCTCACTCTTGAGTTGGTACTGGAATGGGATGTCATTTCCCTGGGAGTCAGATATCGATATTCAAATACCCATTCAAGACTTACACAAGCTTGCGCGTCAATACAACCAGTCCGTCATCGTAGAAGATGTTAGTGAAGGTTTTGGGCGCTACTTCTTGGACGTAACCTCTAGTATTACCCTCAGAGAGAAGGGGAATGGTTTAAACAACATAGATGCCCGATTTATTGATATAGATACTGGTTTTTTCATTGATATCACTGGTCTTTCAATATCAAACATGGAAACACCTTCACGTTACCTTCAAAAGGTTCCTGAAGAATTTAAAGTGAACAAATTTCCGGAAGCCTTCAGCGAAGAATCTGGCGAAACAAAAAAAGAATTCAAAAATATCAATGAACATCTCCGCCTATACAACTGCAGAAATGGTCATTTCATTTCTTATGATGACCTCTTCCCTTTGCTCAAAGCCAGCGTAGAGGGGGAAATCGGCTACATTCCATCATCATATTCCAGAATACTCAGCTCTGAGTATTCAAATGGAATGCTCAAGAAAAATTATGCCCAGCATGTCTTCCTTCCAAAATTGAGAATGTGGGTAAAGGATGAAGATCTTAAATTGTTTATACAAAGTCCAAAAGAGTGGCAAAGATACTATCATCCTGAAACAGGTATCTATGTGAATGGAAATGTTTTACCACTTATACAAAAATCAAGGGAAAGTGAAATTGAACCAGAATCGGAGCCTGAATCTTCGTTTGACCCAGATGAGTATTCAGATACGCTAAGGTTTTCGGTCCAGGAATTCAGAAAGGTTGAAGAACTAACCTACGAAGACCTTCTTCTGCTTGTGCTCAAAAACGATATTTTTATGGAATATGTTGCCACAAGACAGTATACTTCGACTCATAAAGATGACATTGACCGAATCTTCAAAAGCAAGTTCAATAGGGGCCCGGGAATCTCAACATTTATGGAATCTATTCCATCATTTAGGCAAGATTACTTTATGTACCGCTTTCACTCTGATCACTTCAACTACGATGAAGCGATATCAAGGATGATGAAAGAGGTCCAAGAAAGTAACAAATTGTAGAATCATGACAATTTATACAGCATATATATAGCAACAACGAATATAACGAAAAAATAAGATGAAGGTTGAATATGCTAGGATGTAGATTCCCTTACCTAAAGCGGCACAAGTAGCGTCATTTTTTTATTCCCTAACCCAAGGAGATAGCATCAAGTCTGGTGTACTAAGAACATATCAGGACAAAGAAAAGTGACTATTAATTGTGCTAAATATGTCAAGATTGCAGTAGGGCCACATGAGCCATATCCTCTGATAAGCATTCCGCATGCATCAAAGGTATCCACTTCTCACTTAATTTGATATTCCTCCGACTAAATATCTATAAATGCTTCACTTACGGAGGTTTATTTGAAATCATGTAAGCAAAAATGCCACTTCTTAACCTAAGTCTTATAAGTGTAGTCGAACACTTACGAGCTTGGCTAGGATAAATAACTCGCGAGATGAGATACTCGAACAAGTATGCAGCACGTCTTAAAGTAACTTTAAATCCCGGCGTCATGCATACTGGGAAAAATAGAAGAAGCGTCGGGAAGCGAAGAATGAAAAAGGTAGATAATAATCCACTCAATTGCAGTTTTTTCTTAGGGTGTAACCATCCATATATACAGAATATTGAGATGGTTCTACGAGCTTCTCTTTTGGCTCTTATCCTGCTAATATTCGCGCTAGCGTGGGTAACTAAAGTGGAAATTCCCTTCTTGCGGATTGGGGACCTGTTTGACTCCATCGTAAATAAGCTTTACTCCGATATCGAGATAAATCTTGCTAATCGCTGTGGAACAAGTAGCTCAGTGGACGAAAATATCAGTTTTGACTCAAAGCTAGCATTGAGCATGTATTTAAGCACACTAACGGTGGATTTTAAGAGTAGTGTCCCGTTTCAGTGGTACCATTGGCTTGATATGAGTGCACTCGAAGCTACTTCGATGTGCGGTGGTTCAGAAAAACCAAGCTGCAGGCAGCTCTTTGGAGAAAGCCATTCGTCTGTAGAGAGCTACTGTGTTGATGATATAAATAGCCCATTAGGATATCAAATAGTGACAACTCCAAAGGAGGGGACGACTATAAAAGAGCTGATCCTAATTTCTAAATCGTACCTCTTTAATTCGCAAGAAAGGCCCATCCCAAGCGAAATAGTATTCAGTACCAACAAAGGTTTGCACAAGTTAGCGGTAGACGGGACACAGCAGTTGGTATCAAATTTTGACTTTCTAGAATATCAAAAGCGCTATAGGGAAATGTTGAGAACCGGTCAGTTCATTGATCCGTTAGTTGCCTGGACTAGCCTTTCCACATATTCCTTAACTTTGGTTGCAATTCCTGCACAAACGGCTGCAACTCATACACTAAATGAATCTTCATTTCAGGTTAACATCGTTAATACTATGTTAAATCGCAAGACTTCCCATAGGGAAACAAAATATAGAGAGTCATTGTCAAATTCTCTTAGGATGGTCGAAAACTCCGTTCGAACGGGAAAGCCTGTGGATAAATATTTCTCTGAAACTTTTGCGATTGATGCGGAGGGAAACAGGGTAGGGAATCATTATGATTGGAGATTTTTTAGCGGAATAAAAGAAGGAAAGGAATTGCAGATCATCTTGCGTCGACTACTTCGAAATTGGCTACAGTTTACCAGAAAAGCTGGGCTAAAGACATGGATTGCACATGGTACACTTTTGTCTTGGTATTGGAATAGCTTGAACTTCCCTTGGGAAGATGATGTAGATGTTCAAATGCCAATTCGAGATCTCCACCTTTTGGCTGAAGAATATAATCAAACGATATACGTGGAAGACTTGGAAAAAGAATGTAGGGGTAGTTATCGCGGGCGGTATTTTATTGATATAACATCCTCCATATCCCTTAGGGAAAGACTTGATGGCTCCAATACGATCGATGCGAGATTTATAGACATAGACTCTGGTATCTTTATAGATATAACTGGTTTATCAATATCAAAGATGCCGCCACCTCGGAGATATTTATCCAATTTGCCACAAGATTTTAAATTCATGAATGGTCAAGGAGAAGAGGCTAAACTAGACTCATACCAGAAAGGAAACGAAATATTAAAGATATACAATTGCCGGAATGGGCATTTCGCTTCCATATCAGAGTTATCCCCATTGATTCCGGTATTTATAGAAGGAGAGTTGGGATTTGTACCCAATTCATTTCAATCAATGCTTACTGTTGAGTATGGAAAATCCAGCTTGACCACAAAGAGATTTAATGGATATTTTTTTATTCTGAGATTAAGATTATGGGTCAAGGAACATGACCTTTGTACATTTTTGCAGAATAAGGAAGCTTGGGTAGAAAGCAAGGGAGAAATCTCTAATAAAAATGAAAGTTGCAAATTGACCTTTGACGAAGTTTCACGAGTCCTCGAACTCACCAAAGATGACTTAGCCAAATTTGTGACAAAGCAGGAGATAGCCATGGAATATCACGCTACTAGAGAGCTCACTTATAGACATTTTGAGTTAATGAAGAGTATCAGAAGAGAGACTACCACTTCCTGAACAATTCGAGATTTTGGCCCCAAGCTCAAGACACTTCGAATCACAAAGCACTACATGATTTTCTCTATCAAAGAGATGTTACAATGAAGTCATCCTACAAGGACTGTTCAAGATACTTTTTCAAATTTAATACACAATTTAATATACACTCATTAGACCTAGTTTTCTTTACTCTGTGTTACCACTGGTGAAACCATTCAAGCTATTAATAGGCTTCTTATTTCTTTTCATCCTTAGATTGAACTAACTTCTTCCAATGTTCATTTTCACGATAAGCTCTTTCCAACTCCTGTTTCAACTTCTCATTGGAGGCACTTAACTCAGCAACTGCCTGGTCAGTCAATAACTTCTCAAGGGTCCACTTTTCAATATTATTACTTTCATTTTCCTTCAATCTCTTGATGAATTCCACTGCTCTTTGCAATATTTGAGCCTTATTTGGATCTGGAGTTGGGATCAAAGCAGCCAACTCCTTGATTCCTTGGTTAATAGCCTCACGTCTTCTTCTCTCAACTTCCTTGTGGTTCTCTCTACGAAGTTTGTGCCACTCGTCTGAGCCATGTTGAGGTTTGTTAGACTGTGGAGTATGAGGTAACGTAGTTGGCTGGATATGTGAGGGTAAACCCGGTTGTGGGGATCCTTGTTGCAGCTGTTTGTTAGCAGCTGCTTGGTATGCAAGGTGTTGTTGTTGATGTTGTTGCTGTTGTTGTTGTAACTGAACAGCTGCCTGTTGTTGCTGTTGCTGGAGGTGTTGAGCAGCCACTGCTGCCTGTTGTTGGTCTTCTTGCTGTTGATTTTGTTGATGGTGGTGCTGCTGAGTGCTCAATGCGGCTGCTGCAGCATTTGCAGGATCTGCATTGTCTTCGTTAGAGTACGAGGACTGCTGTCCAAGCAACTCAGAATCAATGGCAATGTCATCCTTCTTTTCTTCCAATTTAGCTTTCTTGTCGTCTTGGAGGTTGATGTCTTCCTCGTTTTCCCTTTTACTCACTATAATTGTTAGTATTCACTGTGGAACTAGTACCAACCACGGTCTTGCAAAATACGACGAAATTATGCAGCATAGAATTAAGGCAAGAAATGTGCATTTTTTGTAATTATATGCAGTACAGTGTTTGTTACAAAAAAACAACAAAAAACAACAAAAAAACAACAGCAAGAGCTTCAAATTTAACTGGAGAAATAAAGGGATTGATTCATCAAAGTCTTCCTTAATACCACTAAATTGATGCTGAACTTACTTTTACAGCTTGATGAAGATATATTGCCTTGAAATTTTTCTGAACCTCTGTTGAAAACGTGACTTTCTGTATCAATATACTTACTATTTGTGTGGTTACAGTCTGAAAACCAAAAGGAAAGGATTCTAGTCACGAGAAAATCAACATGTGGGATTCAGGTGATTTTTATCACGACGGGAGGTACATCCGGGTAAATAATTTGAATGGTATGTTGCAAATGTGTTACCCGGATACAGAAAAAAAGAGAGATGAAACTAAGCTGATGCTGGAACCGCTTTTCTTGGGTGAAACGGTATCTCATATGTTCCGTTAAGATCCACGATACGCTAGTATTGCATTACATATTGTACGTGGGCAAAATCTACAGAAAAACTCGAAATAATTACGAAGATGTGCCTAGCGAAGTGGGAACTCACATCTTCATTGAATGAGAATTGTAACCTGTGATTATGTAATCATTTTCTCGAAACGTGACCAGTCTTGGCTTGCTCTCAATCCGTAAATAGGTCCATTAAGCTTCAAGTGCCGAAGTTGCAAGTTGACTTGGTTCACTGAACTTCGGCTTGAGAAGTATTGAGCCTAGTTATTTTGTCAGTAGAAGAAGGCATATCCACACTGAACATCTATGTACGCTTCGAGCTGGGAACTCGTGTTTCTTCACAATCCTATTTCAATCTGGAGGGTTGGCCGAGTGGTCTAAGGCGGTAGACTTAAGATCTACTGGACTGTGTCCGCGCGAGTTCGAACCTCGCATCCTTCATTATTTTTTTTCTTTTAGACATCTTGGCTAGGTGACCACCGCTTGGGGTGTCTCTATGACACTTTGATACGCAGCTCATACTCTGAAAGACTAACGAACAAACTAATCAGCAAGTCTCATAGGCTTATTGGTTACATAGAGGTGTTAGTGAAATTTTGGCGTAAGCCTGAATTCCAAGGTTTTATCAAGAATGCAGCATTATTATATACTACCAACATACTTTACGTATTCTAAGCCTTGTATTACTATAAGTCCTTACTTTTATGAAATTCTAAATATCGTTTTTCTATTCATAGGCAACAAATTGGAACCTTCTGCTCGCAATTGCTTCTTTAGCCAGCTTTTGTAATGCCTTGTCTTGATTGGTATCACGGATGTAGGAGCATCTTTCAGCATTGTATCAAATTGATATTGCCTCTTTCCATCCTTCATCTAAGCCATCTATCTGTAAGAGTAGATAGTATTCCTCTTTTCATCTTCATCTTCAAATGCGTTGATTCCATGTTCAACATTCGCAACAGAGAATTCCAAGTCGTCAGTCGTGATCATATCCCAGAATTTATAAATCATCATAATGGCGAATATATTGCATAATGATCCAAAGAAGATACCATCAATATAATGCGATAAACCCTCGCAAATGTTTTCGCTGAAGACATAAGCCAACACCTGCCCTGTAACAAAGAAGAAGGCACTGAGAAAAATTGCACCCAACGGCCAGTACAGATCTAAAGCAAATATGACCAAGATAATTTGAGAAACGAAATAAGCGGCTAACAAAAGGGCGTTACCAATATAGCTCACGACGAACAAAACCTCGGTGGAACCATCGTTCAATAATGTGCCCCAACTCTTAAACGTTATTATGCTGATAATGTAGTTACAGGCAAACCATGCAAACAGTATTATTCTCAATAAGAACCTCGACTTTCTTGATCCATCCTCCCAAAACTGGAAGCATAAAAGTCCATTGTAGAATATGCAAGCGCAAACAGCAGAAGTAAACCCAAACTGAAGCGCTACAAAATACGCATAAGTTGAAGATGAGGGCGATGCCACACCGCAGTCAACAACCAATGAAGAAATTACCAAACATATGCACAAATAAAAGAATTGCAACATCTCAGTTCTTCCAATGGCCGTGTACTTCGCCCTGACGTGGAAGATAATGATTAACAATACGATCAATGATCCAAAATGAACAAAGGCATTCCCTATTTGAAAGATCATGGTATTAGCTAACTCGACCGATCTAGAATAGCACACGGGGATGACTCCTCTAGAGAAATCCGTGCTATTACTTAATGATTGAATGACATTACAGATGGGAAATGCGGTCTTATTACAGACATGGTCAAACGATCCAAATGACATAGCAACAGAATGAAAATTTAGCAGTTAAAAATTCCCAGAATCTTTAGGATATGTTTTAAACAACTTAATAAGCGAATAAAGTCCTAAATTGGCGCCTTTGATATACTAAAATATCCCTCTTTTGACACTCTGAACCGTCACTAGTCCTTCGTTACTGCTTTCTTTTGTGATGCGAATCAAAAGCGTAAAATTAAAGAAAAATAAAAAAAAAAATAAAACAAAAACAAAAATAGCACCAAGCAAATGCACGACGCCTGGAAATGTGCGGTTATATGCAGTATGTGCTATTTTTATGATGTTTCAAAGGTACGCTTAGGTGCGCTTGGGTACGCTTAGGTGCGCTTGGGTACGCTTAGGTAGGCGCAATATGACAAGTGCATACTAAAAAACGCTTAAAGAAGGCTACAAGTTGGTTTTTAGTCGTCGATTCCTTCGTTTAGCTAATAACAGCCTATAAAAATATAAATAAAAAACGCTTAGAAAGTAAAGCCCTAGAGAATTGAAAGTTGTTTGTCACTGGTTTAAATATATATATGTACAATACTCCTACATTATACTTGATAATATGGAGGTGGGAGGTCTTGGAACAATGAATTGTTTGCTCTTTTGACTGGGATGTTGTTGTTAATATTTTTCGTGTTCTTGGAATGTTGTTGAAGTTTCTTCAAATTCTTATTCCTAATAACTTCGTTGATATTAATGTAGTTGATGGATTTTCTAATTTCTTCTTCAATCTTGTCTCTTTCCTGGTTAGTGAGTGCAATAGAAGTATTAGAGGGGGTGGTTTCCGTTGGTGAAGTAGTGAAGTTGAAATAATTGTTACCCAATCCTAACCCACTTAAAAGTGATGAGTTGGAGTTTACGGGGGATGTGTTGTAATGGAATCTTGAATGCGTATATGGCGATGACGTTGGCGTGGCTGGCACTACTAGGTCTTTCAATTGCGGTTTCTGCTTGATCAAATCGTGGTAGAAATCTTGTGGCACCTTTAATGGCACTGGGTGATGAATGGATGAAGTCTTGGCCATTTCGGTGGATTCCACATTAGCTGGTAAGACAGCTGCAGGAGAATCCTCTGTTGCTACCTTCTTTGGACTATTGTCAACCGAATTGGCCACGGTACTTGAAGCTGTACTCATAGGTGTACTTTCAATGCCAACTTCTGAAGCCTTTGCAACTTCTTTGTTCTTGTTCTTTCTTATTTTGATAACTCTTCTCTTAGGCTTGCTGTTGTTGCTTGACTGGTAGAAATTTGTCAGTTGGATGTTACTGATCTTATTCAAAGTATTATCAATCTTATTATATTCATTAACTCCTCCTCCCTCTTGCTGTATTAAAACGCTGATTGGAATGCCGTTTGATCTTTCAGCAGTTGGGATGTTTAAGCTATGTGATAAGGATGGAGCGAAATTCTTATTAAATTTCTCTAAGTGACTTCTCTGTATAACATCCTTAAACTTAGGAATTTTTAAATCCAATTTCTCTCTTGAATTGAAAAGCTTCAATACCTTAATCAAGTTACCGTTAATACCGTTAGTTCCCTTCATCTCATTGAAGGAAACCTTGTCTACGTCGTCCAAATCAATATCGAGCAATTTCTCGTGCAAGTTATTCAAGAATTCATGCGATGACGACAGTCTCAGTATATATTTGAGCGATAATTGATGAATAACAGTGGGCAAAGTTTCCCTGAACAAATCTCTAATTTGATTTTCAATTTGGACTTGTAAGAAATTGGCCAATACCTTGACATTATCGAAAGTAGAGCTGACTTTAATTCCATCTAATGGGTCGTTCTTGAAAACAAGTGTAAGCCCCTTGGTTTTACTAAACACTAAAATGCCGATCCCCAGGATCTTAATTTGGCTTAATTTCAAATCCAATGGGATATTGAACGAGTCGTTCGAAAGTAAAAAATCGGGTGTTACAAATCTCTGCGAGTCATCTTGGAAGGAGTTCTCACTGTAAATCTTCAAAGGGTTTCCTTCAACCTTGGTATTCAACGTAAGAGAGAAGTCTCCATCGTAGGTGATTTTGAAGATTCCTCTGAATCTATCCTTATCCAATTCTCCAATCTCAAGGATTTCAAAATCTGGAGCGACCTTCCCGAAGTTCAAGTCTTTAATTGAAATCTGGGACGCCAAGATACTAGGTCTCTTCCCAGAGTTCAATGCCTCTTGGAGCAAATCTTTAGTCCAAGAACGAAGAGAATCGGTTTCTAGTGAATTCCAATCGACTTTGAATGACATCTCGTTAATGTAATATGATCGTGTAAAAAGAAACTGATATTTAATTCCTGCCGACTAGGTTTTCCTTTACCTTTAATTCAAAGCGAATAAAAAATTTTTCTTTTATTTTCTGCGCTAGTTTGTGCGGGCGGCTTGTGGCAAGAAGTCACAGAAAAATTGCAGTTCAGTGACTCCAGGAGTGGTTAAATTCTAGTTTAGGGAAGGCAAATAATGCAGTGTGATGGGTGAATAAAAGTGCAATCCTTTCTTATTTCTAAGGTAGAAGGCGAAAGCAAATTTATATTTTGTAACTAGTTTCTTCTGTTTGCCTTTGAAGGGATGAATGCTTGTTATTTAGATTGGATTGATTGATTGTTTTCTTTTTTTTTTTCTGAATTACAACCGTAGTCAAGTCCTGCACGTAATTCTATTTTGCTAGTGGGATCGTGTGATTCCTTTGATTTATTCCGTTTCTGGCCGACTGGAAAACAAAGAAGGAAGTTAGGATGCAGGAAAAGTTTAAATACAGTGGGTGCTAATAAATGTACCAGTACTTAAAAATACGCTTTACTTTGGGTTCAATAACTGAATAACTCAAGGAGTTCGTGGGTATATATTTATCTAAGTCCTTATTCACATTGACCTGTTATCTTCTCAAGTAGTTGTGTTTTTTAACACCGATCGTCTCCTTATTATGGGGATTCGGCTGAAACTTTATTTCTCCTCACCCCGGATTTTGGACCTTCTTTGTGTCATAATATCTGGTTCCACCTTCCTGGTTCCACTTCAAAGAATCCATCGCCTAGCTCGGACCTTTTGAACCCCGTTAATCCGCCCCCTTCTAAAACCAGTAACAAGTGCCCAGAAGAACGGAACACTCTGTGGTGTAGCGCTGGGATCGATTTCCGTCTGTTTCGTTACTCTTCGTTCTTTTTTTCAGTAAGCTGGTTGAATTGCTCTCTATCTAGTGGGAGATCTGCTGCAGTTTACTTTTCTCTTCCAGATCTCTTCACATAGTAGAGGGAAAAGGAAGTGTATTCCCTTAACTAAATGATGATTACCGTATGCACGCCAACCACAGAAGTAAAATACATTCTCCTCCAGACTCGCTGTTTGTTCAGGTGGTTCCTGCTGCCATATGCTTCCCCCTTACTCGATAGACCTCACCACCTAAGTCCGACCGTACTTAATGAGAACTTCAGTTTGCTAGCAATTTTTTTGGTCGCATTTTCGCAGCCATACTGAGAGATCTCAAGGGTTACCAAAAACGTACAAGGCTCACAATGTGATGCCTAAGTATTAAAATTGATACTTATTACATCCTTGTCTTTTCCACTGTGAATCTATCAAACAGTAATGTGTTTTCCTTTCTGCATACCTTTCTCTGAATTCAAGATATAGCCAAGTCATAATAAGCTCTATTTTAGCCATGACTGTACGAAATTTGCATGCCGTAGTCCCATACAAGATCAAAAGTGATTGTTTGATGATACAAATTGCCTCTCTGTGGTTTCCGTTCGCCTCAATGGAGAATATGAAGACATCCCCATCAAAAGGACCCTTTTTTTTGTACTGTACCAACTTGTCTTCGGTGCTCTTAAGGGTCTCATCAAGCTGTCATTAATAATAGTTGCGTGCCCCAACCAAACCATGCAGTGTCTAGAAGTCTTTTGTGAAGCCTACTCACTAATCATATGAAGGGCCATTGAGAGCCTTAAGTTAAGTGAACGTACATACTACACTAGATTAAGCATGGGGGACTATAACTATGAATTTTACAACTTAAGTTGTATAGATCCTCTTGGTAATACATTTAATTTTGAAGCGTTAAAGGGGAAAGTGGTGATAATTGTAAATAGTGCTTCTTATTGTGGATTTTCCAGCCAGTATGAGGAATTTGAAGAGCTTTACAAGAAATATAGCGGTAAGTTAGAGATAATATCCTTTCCAAGTAACCAATTTGGAAGCCAGGAACCTTTCACAGGAAAGCAGTTATTGGACTACCATAGAAATTTTCATAAAATATCGTTTCCAATAATGGAAAGAATTGATTGCAATGGGAAGTATCAAAGTCCTGTATATGCATATTTAACGCAAGCAAAACCTGGAGTGCTAGGATTCAAAGGTGTAAAATGGAACTATGAAAAGTTCTTAATCACGAAAAAAGGGGAGGTATTTGGAAGGTACTCATCCATTACAACTCCTGTAGCCTTAGATGCTATAATAAAGAAGTTAGTTCAAGAGGAGCTGGGAGATGAAGTGCGAGAAGGTTAAGCTTTAATTATGAGAACACCATCTTGAATTCCATTGAAGGTAATCGTAAAATAAACGGACAAACAAAAATATTACATGAACAAGTAAATAGAATGTACCATATTGAGAGCATATATATGCCAATTAATAAATCTGAGGTATCGTAAGCGAAAAGAATGTGGAAACTAAACTTGTGCGATCTAATGGCATCGTTGATTCGGGGCTGCATTTCACTAAATGAATCATGTCAGTGCTGTAGATTTCATACTGGGAGCAAAGCAGTTGTGGAACTTTTGAATACTGATATCAATGTTCTGAGGGTTTCTACTAGCTTAATTCCAGATCAGCTGTCTTCCTTTGCATAGCAGCATTCTACACATAATGAACAAAATACAACGATCGAATAGAGTGTTAGAATGATATAATCTATAATGTTTTGTTATTTTGTAAATACACAAAAATAGTATATAGCATAAAAATATCTATGCTGCTTTGCCAAAGCTATCCTCGCTTGGCCTTCTTACCACTTCCAGATACTTCTCCATCATCTTTTCTCTTTTTGCTTGGAATATCAGGATGAAACTCTTTCATTATACATGTCAAGAGTGTTTGACATCTTCTGCTTAGCTCACCTCCATTTCTAGATTGGAAGAAGAAGTCGAATTTAAACATTTGGGAATCCCTTATGCAATCTCTGATTCTTTCATAAACATCCGGTCTATCCAATCCAAATCTGTACAACTGAACTAACAAAAATCTATCTTCGTCTTCACTGAAGACTCTTTTCAGTGTAGTTGTAGGTGGATATTTCAACGTCAATTCTTGTAATGGATATCTGTATTGAGCTAATTTCCTACGCAAGGATTCTTTCTGGATCTTGATTTTCCGTATTTTATCTTCCCCTTGTTCAATTTGTGATATGTATCTTTCAAAACCTTCAATTTGTTCGTAATTCGACCAAAAAGCCTCAGCATATTCCCTCACATCTTCCAAGCTTTTATCTGGTTCAAATTCGGAAGCGATTGCTCTAATTGCATTTCTACCGTATTTAATACAAACCAGAATGAAATGTTGGAAATCTCTTCTATTCCAATTGGAAAACCCTTGCAGAAGGGCATCTTCCTTCTTGCCACGTTCTTCTTCTGTCAATGGCCTCGATTGATCAATTTCTTCCTGCTCAAGTTTTTGCTGGATTGTACGTTCATTAAGAGTAGCAGGAGTTCCTGATTTTAATGGAACTTTGTAGTGGATTAATTTTTTATAATAGTTCTTCTCTAACTCATACAATTCAAATAGAATAGGTGGATAAAATTGATGATCGAAAAGATTGAGAATCTTGGGGGGTTTGGGTCCATTTTTAGGTGTATCAGCCCCTCCATTTGCTGGTCTTCCTCCGGTATTCAAAACATCTTTATAATACATGTCAATGGAATAGTTTTCCTTTCTTTCTCTTTTACCAGGATTGATCCATCCATGGCCAATGTTTGTAATGGAAGTCGTTTCTTTTTTCTTGAAATTTTCTCCGTTCCATTCATAAACAGATTCATCATTTGAAAAATTTTGCAAAGCCGAAAGATCAAGTTTGGAATACTTTTGGTTCAATTCTTTGGTCTTACTTTGAGAAGCTTCCAATATAGCAGCCAAGTCTACTTCGTCTGTACCATCTTCTTTTCCACTACCATTGCTGAGAATATCTTGTGCACCATATTGAATCATATTTAATAATTCATTTTTATTCAGACCCACTTTCTGCTCCAATCCCAAACCAGCCGTATTTCTTCCTTGTTGAATAACCAACTGGTCAAGTCTTAATTTCTGGGTGGCCCTCTCTAAAACCTTTTCTTCAATTGCATTCTCGGTTATAAATCTAAAAACCTTAACTTGCTTCGTTTGTCCGATTCTATGGGCTCTGTCCATGGCTTGTAAATCTGCTTGAGGGTTCCAATCACTATCGAATAAGATTACAATGTCAGCACTGGTCAAATTAATACCCAATCCACCAGCTCTGGTAGTTAAAAGAAATACGAATTTCTCACTTCCAGGTTTATTATACTCATCGATAGAATTAACTCTATCTGAGTGATCAGTCTGTCCATCAATTCTACAATATTGATACTCTCTGAACATACAATAATCTTCCATGATGTCCAACATTCTACTCATTTGAGAAAAGATTAAGACTCTTGATCCTTCACTTTTAAATTTTTTAAGCAACTGGTCTAAAATGATCATTTTTTGACTGTTGTAGACTAAATGCTCATCAGTGGTGTAAGGAGGGCCAGGTTCAGCACCTTCAAATAAGTAAGGGTGATTGCAGCATTTCCTCAACTGCATTACTATATTTAACAAACGAGTTTTACTCTCCTTTTTTCCGTTTGCTCCATTTACTGCGTCGATATCCTTCTCAAGAATCTTTTGATACCACTTCTTTTGCATTTCTGACATTTTAACGTAAACGTTCAACTCCTGTTTGGGTAAAAGTGATTTTTCGACGTCCGCCTTAATTCTACGAAGTAAGAATGGTTTAAGAACCTTATGAAGTTGTCCCACCACATCACCTTCCTTTCCATCTTCACCTTCACCACCTTTGAACCATTCGTCAAACAGTTCAGATTGGCTGAAAATATCTGGTAATATAAAATTCAACAATGCCCATAATTCATGAAGATTATTTTGCAACGGTGTACCAGTAATTAAAAGTCTGCTCCTTGAATGGAACATCCTAATAATTTGTGATAATAAACTTTCTTCGTTTTTAATTCTATGTGCTTCATCAATGACAATGTATTCCCATGCAAATTTCTTGAAGGAGGATTTTTCCCTAATAACAATTTCATAGGTGGAAATGACAACGTCGAAATCACAAGTAAGTAATCGCTCGTTGATGAGCTTATTTCTTTCGTCTTTATCACCTTGTAATACCAAGACTCTCACGTCTGGGGTCCATTTGGCAAATTCTCTTGCCCAATTGTCTAATGTACTCTTGGGAACAACCACAATATGTGGACCGTTTATCCCTTTGAAATATCTCAAATATCCTAAAAATGAAATAGTCTGTAATGTTTTACCAAGACCCATTTCATCAGCCAAGATCCCACTCAAGTTGTTTTCATACAATGAGATTAACCAATTTAAACCTTGAATCTGGTACGGACGTAATTCTCCATTCTGGACATACCCAGGCGAAGTAGTAAATTCAAAAACGGAGTCAGAAGATTCGTCGACTTCTTCATTCAATAATTCTTCATCTTCCTCCTTTTCAGTCTTACGTCCACGGTGACTTGCTGACCCTGGCTGTATTTGTGGTTGCAGGTTATGCTGCTGTTGGAAATCGCCCTTAGAATCGATGAAATGTTTAAACAAATCTGTAAGTCCAATTAAATATTTGAATCTCTTGACGGTCTCTTCTGCCTTTTTCGAACCTGAAATACTGTCTACAAAATATCTCTGTCTGTTGGCAGCAGTGTCCGTTGTAGTTGTTAAGGAAGTCGAGGTAGCAGTAGCAGTAATTACAGGTGCTACTGGAGCAGCAGTTGGTTCCTCACTCCTTGGCGTATAATCTACAAATTCCTGGCCCCCGTTAGGCAAGTCATTCTGAATATCTTCCTTCTCTGTCATTTCGATAATCAAATATTCAACTAAGTTGCTTTGGAAGTAGTAAAGATGTCTCTGTAATTTTTCATTATCACTGTGTTTAATTTTCGTGTTTTATCTTTTTGCATACACGTCTTTTGGGTTATGTGCAGGTTTCGTTGATTCTTATTGAGTGAATGAATGGCTAAGAAGTCGTTGATACTGGTTCTACTGTGCGACTACTGCTAGTGCGCTTACTACAGTTACTACAGTTACTACAGCTATTGCCGATTACAATTGTTTCTCATAAGTTGTATCCCATTAAGAATAAGTTGATTGTTAAGTTTCTAACTGTTTTTATTCTTTGTTATTTTTCATAAATAAAACTCTCTATTCTTCTTTATTTTCTTCACATATCTTCATTTTCCATCAAGGTATGCTTCAATTTCTACTTTCCTCTTTTCCCATTCTTCAACTTTGGCCAACTTTTCTTCTATTTCCTTGATTTCATTATCAATACTCTGCAAGTTTTCTTCAGATGTTAAGTCATGGAATTCCCAACTATCAGCTTCTCCGTGATCATTCTTGATCTCCAAGATGTAGTCATGGTATTTCATTAACAATGGCCTATGACTTAATGTGATGAAAGTAAAACTCTTCTTTTGCAATAATTCAAAGAGGTAATCTTCAACATCTGTCAGAACAGCATTAGTAGATTCATCTAAAATTACAAATTTAGGATTCTTGAATAATACTCTAGCAATCAGCATTCTCTGCTTTTCACCTCCACTGAAAACATCTTTCCAATCCTTTTTTACATTGAAATTACCTTCTCTAGTTAAAAGGTACTCCAATTTAACTTCTCTCAAGATATGGTATAAATGGTCATCGTTATGGCCCATTTCTATCATTTCGTCGTAAGAGTGAGGGTAAATGATTTGATCGCGCAAGTTACCATTGGTGAAATATGTCTTCTGAGGTAAGTAGAAGATGTCATCATCGTTTGGCTTGGAGAGTAACCCACTATATAACGGCCACAATCCTGCTAAGAGTCTAGCAATAGAAGTTTTACCACATCCATTGGATCCCAAAATTAACATGTTATTACCGTGTTGGATTTGGAAATTCAAGTTGGAAATTAATGGCTGGTTTTCAGAGCCTTCAGATGTTGGAATAATAATTGGAATCTTTTCAAATCTTAATCCATTTGAGTAATTCTTTTGGATGGTTCCATGAATATCTGTAGTTCCTAACTTACTTCCATAATCAAAGGTTGGAGAGTGTACTTTGTGGAGTTGGGTTAAAAGTGTGAAAACACGATCGGTGTATCCAGTTAATTCAGAAATATCTTTAATCGAGTACATAAGACGAGATCCAGCATCTGCTAAGTTAAGTAAAAGACGCTTGTTGATGATGAATTGTCTCATATTTTGACGTTCACTGTTAGTGGAATTCTGTGTAGATGTAGAGTTGCTTGCATCAGCAATTGATGGAGCTTGTTCCTTAGGCCAGAGATCATCTAAAAAGACAGGTAATCCTGCAAAAACATAACCCCATGCTGACCAGGTATACTTTAAGATATAATCTTCTAAAGCGCTATATCCAAAGGAAATGTTGATTTCCTTGTTAATATGTTCCATCAACTTATTGAAGGTTGAATTCAACTTCATCTTTTCGATAATGGATCCCTTATAGAAACCAATTTCTTCACAATTTGTAATTAAGTTAAGGTGTTCGTTGTAGTACTGACCTTCTAAATGTGTTCTTCTCGAAGATAATTTACCAAAGGCTGGAGTATTCTTCTTCAAAAACCATGCAGTGATAATATAGTTCACAAAGATACCAGTTATAGCACCAGTTCCTAAAGTGTCTCTCAAGTAAACTGCAAAGAACACCAAGTCAATAAAAGGCTTACCCATAGAAGAAAACAATCCACAGATGGAATCACAAAACTTAGCAATATCATTGGTAATATATTGATCGATGTTTTCAATATCGTCGTTGTTCAAAGATATCTTGTAGTAACTCATAACCTTGTCCAAATAGACATCATGAACGTATCTAGTCAAGTTGGTTCTGAAGGAAAGTGATAACCTCGAAGTCAAATACTTGATAGCTGCGTTAGTATAACTTGCAGGAAAGGCAATTAAGATCCAGTATATCAAATCTCTGGCAAATTTCTTTGCATTTCCCCCAATCAAATTCTTCACAATTTGACCATCCAACTTGGCAACAAGTAAAGAAAGCCAAGTTCTCAAAATAAGGAAAAAGCATTGGGAAAGCAATAAATAAGTATTCTTCAGGTAGAATTTTGGGATCAAAATTCTCCAGATGATCGTCAACTGGCTGACAAATCTTGAATTTAAGATGTTATTTTGCAGTTTCAACTTCTGGTCGATGTAGAAATTCTTGTATAAATATTTATCAGCAGCATATTGATCGAAGTTAGGTTTGGGGATAATAACTCTTGAGGTATTACCATTCGGTCTGGGTACAAAGATTTCTCTGGAACCGTTCTTAAGGATGGTGGAAGACTGACGTATCAACTTAGGACGCTTCTTCAGGGTATTTCTCTCTTGTATTTGCAAAATCAACGAACGGAGCGAGAAAAGGATCCCCAAACCAGCTGTGGATGCCAAGGTTCCCAAGAACAACAAGACAGGTCTCAGTTGATAATTGATCTTGACTCTATTCTCCTTGTAAGCAAGCGCAAATTCTTGAAGCACTAGGAGAATCTTCTTATACTCATTCTGGAGTGATGGCTTTGAAAAAAGAATCATGATTCACTAACTCTATATTGGAAAGGAGTGCTACTACTAGGTTGGTGGTTTGCTGAAAATAAAGCAACTAATTTTTTTTTGTCTTCGTAACTTTTTCGGTAAAGGAGGGAAGAAGAAATTTTCTTTTGTGGGGTACAGAAGAATCTTGAATTTCGTTTCTTATTCCAGTCGTATTGGTCAGTATCTTTGTTGTTATTCTTTCCTAGAAACTTGTTTTGGCTAATATTCTGTGAATTCTTCGCTTACTTGGAATTTTCCGTACTCAAGAGTAAGAGTTAATCCAGATGGCTTCTGGCGAATGATTCGTGGTTCCTTCTCCACATGTGATTTTTCTGTATTCGTTTTTTTTTTTTGTCCCTCTTTTCATTTATGCAGGCAGCTCCATCTTCTCCACCCACTGCCGAGGATGTTCCAGCTCGCGACTAGACTTCGAAGTAATTAACGGTGCAAGGTGAATAGTAACTACATAGAAACCGTACTTAATGGTAGCAGAAAGAGATGATGAGTGAAAATCAAATATCAGAAATCAAAAACCAGAAATTCTGTTGGTTATATAGGGTGCATGTGGGGTGTTGATAAACTTTTTGTTGTGCAATTCTAAAGTAAATAATATCTTTTGCGCAGGGCCCTTCCACTATTTGGAGGGGTAAAGTGAGGGACACCACCAAGTTTGAGGAAAAGTGAAAAATGTGGTCCTAGTTGGAAATGGTTGCACTTTTCGATCTCTTGGTTTCCGAACGAGAGTGCAGTTTACTCTTAAAGCAAATGAATTTTGAGGGGCTGGAGGGGGACTGGCCGCTACTGAGTCCTACAGAATACGCTGAATCGTATTTTCTAAGGCTGAATTTGCTCTAGTTCCAACTACTTGCTCTCTTTGGCATACATCACTTTCACTGCGCACGCATCGTGGGGCGATGAACTGTCTTATAGAGCTGGGGGCACGCCAGCCTATACAATGATCTGTTACCTTACAATATCCTGAGAAATGTTATTTCCTTGTTATATACATTCAAACTATAGCCTTCTATATAAACCCAATATTCAGCTTGATCCCAATTACTTCTGCATTTAATCTCCTCTTCTGTTCGTCTTTTTTCTCACCTTTTCATGTTAGCATCAACACACAGCTTGAACTTAAGAAACTCCTTCTGACATGAATTTTGTTCTACAGTACTATATTTTTCTAGCATGCACCTCCCATATTCCATTCCTTCAAGCGAGCATTTAGCCCCTGCGTTTATGAGCCTCTTGGCAGGTCTTACGGGTTTAGTCATTTGCTTGCTGAAAAGCAGAGAGTGCTACTGTTCATAATTTTCTTTTTTTTTTTTCCTTCACAGTATCTCAGATTTATATGGTGCACGACAATTTCTAGTAATACACTTAAGTAAGCACTACACAGACTATTTACCGTGCCCTATTGCTGAAGCTCCAGCTGCTATATATTTAGGCTTTTCTATATGATAATCAGCTTTTAACTATTCACTTCTAGAAATAGAGGATTTCAAAGAATGAAAATTAGTCTAATGAGAACTCCTCGTTGCCAAACCCTACTTCTCTTCAAAGAATCAATAATCGGCTGCAAATGTATAGTGCAACAATGAACCTAGGCTCGTAGACTAAGTAAAAGTTAAATGTATACAAAGGATTTCTGTGCTACCTATTATCTTCAATGCACTTAAATATTGACGCCATGCAAAGAAATACCAATGATTCGGTGCTTACAGAATTTATAGAGTCTCTGTGCTTGGCATAGTAGTCTGAAGTGAGATTTATAGCCCTATCAGGGAGTAACTCCGGTGAAGGTTCCTGTAAACAGAAGTTTGCAGGCATTCTCTTTTTGTAATTCGCTTGTGTATTAACAACAATTCCAACTTCTTCACCTGAAAGTTCGGCTTTTCGTTTCTTGGTTTTCCTCTTCGTGGATCTAGCAAGCTCGTTCTTTTTGGATATTCTGGCCTTTTCTTCGTCGAAATTGTCAAATAACGACCTTTGTCCGTCCTTTAGCTGATGCAATTGATAATTCCAGTTAGATCTAAGACTCCATATATCTTCTGCAATCCATCTATAGCGGTGGCCATTAAAAAGAGATATATCAGCAAATTTATATCTTCTGTGGTGCACCATGAAAATTTTGAAATTTTCATTATCATCTAGTGGATTAGGGGTAAATTTAAACTCATAGACATGGTACTTGAAGCGTCTCCGTCTTTTCACTTCGCAAAAGAGGTATCTATCGGCTAGCTTGTCAAATACTCTACTTTCAGGAGGAATTTGATACCTATAAATGGACATATACCGAGGCGATATCAATGATGCTAAAAGATGATGCTGAGTGCTAAGTAAGGGCAAGGCAATTCCTGACCTTTGGGTATCACTACTACTACTTTGCTGTTCTGAAGAGTCAGATGTATTGGTGGACAAAAATAGTTCATAATCATCATGTGCATCTTCAGATACAAAGCTTATGACATCTCCCAGGTATGGTTCATTATAAACTACGAACTTTCTATCAATTTTATTCACATTGTGCTCATTAGATGTTAAATGCTGTGACTCGTTATCTATATCAACTTGAGTACTTTCATCAGAAAAGATCGGCTCAATGAATTCTTTATCATCTAAAGGAACCATTGAGGGAATCGTCTCATTTTCGTGGGAAAGTGTAACATCCATATTTAATGCTTGGAATCTAATGAGAATGTGTTGTTTGATGAAGAGAGATGGAAGAAGGGAAGGAAGGATTTCAAATGAGAGGACGTTTTTAAAAGTAAGAAAGTTCAAACTTTAAATTGGTGTAGTTTGGGCTAGACAGAATTTCAGAGAAGCATAATAATTGGGTCACACGTTTCCTGTGCACTAACAATATTTGAGCTTGGTAGCGAGCTGAGCTAAACGCTTGAGTTGTCTTGTCATATAGATGTACTATATTAAGCTAATGAGGTAGGTTTGGGAAAGAACCCGGCTAAAATTTGACTACCTTAGTTACGGTTTCAGTCCTCGTATGTCTTCTTATCTGCCTACTCTCATGCACCTGGCCCTAACCTCATGCACCTTTCCCCAGAAATTGCTCACACTCCATTGTTCGTACTCTCGCTATACCAATACTTCTTGGCTGCCTTTTAATAAAAGTTCTCAGAAAATAGTTACAGTGGCCGAGTGGTTAAGGCGACGCCCTGCTAATTTAGCAGCTGTTAGGCGTTGGGTTCTGCCTGCGCAGGTTCGAATCCTGTCTGTGACGTCAATTTCTTTTTTTTCATTCCTATATTAAAATTTCGAGATTTTCTAGATTGTGAGTCAGGAGAGATTACAAATGCTACCGGATCACAGTTCAGCGAATTCGAACATGAGTGCAGCCACACGTATAGGGGGGAAATATGTATGTCGCCGAAAATGTTAGTAGATAGGTACCGCTGCAAGGCTCACTTACAAACAAGGCTTAAGAACGGCCACAACCATGTAGCAATTAACCACCGGCTGACACATGTACTTTTTTTCATATATTAACTTGATTCCCACTGCTTAACTCCTTTTGGTGAAGTAGCTTAAATCCTAAGTTGAAACTCCACTTAAAGACAAACCGCAACAGGGTAGTGCCAAAAAAGTTTAACTTTGTGTGACACCGAGAATTCACATCAAAAAAAAAAAAAAGACAAGGAAAAAAAATAAAAGTAGCCTAAGATTCGGATAGTTTCTTTTATTGTACTTTAGTTAGTCTGAGTTAGTTTAAGGAGTTAAGGAATCTGATCCAATAAGAATTGAAAAAGTGGAGAAATCCTTATAAGTTGTTATTCACCGAACCGGAATCTTTCAAGAATTATATATAACTACCGTGGTTTTTCATTTATTACAAACCTCTTCCAGAAAATAATCGGAAGAACTTGATTTAACCCTCACACGCTCATAATTGAAATCAAGAGATGGATCCTACTAACGACCCCAACTTCACACCGCCTTCAAAGAATAGAGAGATCGAGCCCACGGCTCCCTCTTCGAAGATCCCGAAGAATGCTCCGATTCAACCGTTTGTATTAGCAGATTTAGGAGTGGCAGTAGATGCTCCCCCGCCACACCCATCACATCAACTTCCTCCAAGCAGCGTTGCATCGTCGGCAGGAGACATTTATAGATCCAAGATCCCTCGCAGACATACTGAGCTTTCTAACTCCTCATCAGATGAAGAAAAGATTGAAAAACCAATACTTCCTCCAACTATAAAGGTCCGAGCTTCCCAGATCGCTGATTTGGAAGAGGTGCCCCATGGTATTCAAAGACAGGCTAAAACTTTGGACAAATATGAATTCCCTACTCATAGACTTGCCACATCTCTTTCAGATGATTCTAAGTATCCCTTGGTTATAGTTGCATGTGGTTCCTTTTCTCCAATTACATATCTCCATTTGAGAATGTTTGAGATGGCTCTTGACGCCATTTCTGAGCAGACAAGATTTGAAGTGATTGGAGGATACTATTCACCAGTCCTGTCCAACTATAAGAAGCAGGGTTTGGCTCCTGCTCACCACAGAGTAAGGATGTGTGAACTAGCTTGCGAGAGAACTTCATCTTGGCTCATGGTTGATGCATGGGAATCCTTGCAAGATAAATATACGAGGACTGCATTAGTGTTGGATCATTTCAATGAAGAATTGAATATCAAAAGAAAGGGTATCTTGACATCACTGGGTGAGAGAAGAGGTATCAAGATCATGTTACTCGCCGGTGGGGACTTGATTGAATCAATGGGTGAACCAGACGTGTGGGCAGATCAAGATTTGCACCACATCTTAGGAAAATACGGATGTCTCATCGTTGAAAGAACAGGAGCTGATGTTAGAAGCTTCTTATTGTCTCATGATATTATGTACGAACATAGTAGGAATGTATTGGTGATTAAGCAGTTGATATACAACGACATTTCCTCTACGAAGATAAGGTTGTTCATTAGAAGAGGAATGAGCGTGCAGTACTTGTTACCCAATTCGGTTATCAGGTATATACAAGAGCATAAATTATACATAAATGACACGGAGCCAGTGAAACAAGTTATGAGTGATAAGGCTGATTAAGAAGCTATAATTTTGTTGTTATTGTGAAGAAGGATATTTGAGTTGAGCTTGCATATCATTTTTTTGGAATGAAGATTACTTCGTTTTAAATTTTTCATATTTATTAAGTGAAATCACTATTAATATAGATGTAATATATATTTAGATATACCTATAAATTGTATGCAATAATTTATTATGTGTGACTACTAGTGTGTCACATGTGTGTCTATATGTAATGTCTACGTACTGGTAGTACGTTGAATGCATAAATCAGTAAAGTCTGAGTTATTAATGAGCTCTAGTCCGTGTTCATTCGCCAAATGCAACACGCATATAAAACAAAAGCTAGTGGATAGATTACTCAACTGATCTGAGGTATATTTTGAGTTTAAAAGACCAATTGTCTCACTGAAATTTTGTTGGATTGTGTGATCTACTGAAACTAGACAATCTTCCTTGGTTGCCTCCTCAACTGACAGCTCATTTTCATACTTATCTCCCTGAATCGATGCCTTCTCATTGTTCAAGCATTCCCAAAGATTCTCTTTCAACAATTTGACGTCAACTCTCTTGGCTACCTTTGAAAAATTTATATATGTGGGCTTAAACAAATTCCTTGCTGTAACTAGCTGGGAGCCATATCCACCAATGTTGTCTATATTGTCACCCATCGGGTTTACATCTTCATGAAGATCAGGACTACAATTACCATCATCGAATTCTTCATCTTGAAAGAACGATTGATCATATGACTGATGTAATTCATGCAAGTCTTCTTTAAGTATTTCATTCAAGCGAACGTCCTCTCGATACTTCTCCGACCAAAATTCTTCATCTGCTCGTTCTGTTAATGACAGTAAAGTGCTTCCCTCCTTTCTGAACGGAAAAACTTTCCTTTTCTTGTTGAAAGTCTGCAAAGTAGCTTCAGGTTTAATAAATAGGGATATGAGCCTTTTTGACACAAATTGAATATCATTTGGCAATGTGTGTCTCGCTGAGGCATCAGAACTACTCCTTTGAGAGCTCCACTTATGTTTTGGCAAAAAAGTTGTTGTACTTGACTCTGCAAATAATTCGTCTTCATCAATTTCATTTGTGCCGTTTATAAAATCTATGATATTATGACCTTCTTCGTCCACAACTATTTTATTGTCATGTTTATGAGTCGTATGCACTCGATACTGATTTTTTGACTTAAGTCTAGTTACTTTCCAGTGTTCCAGTACATGCTTTTGCTTCTTAGGTTGCCAAAATTGTTGCATGTGATTATCGAAGTAGGCCATTAAATCGTAATCAAGTACTTCAGTTGCCATTTCAACAGGATCATGACTTTCGCTTTCTGCTGCTATGTAGCTATCATTAAAAAGTCTCTGCATAGGTATGTTTAGGGATATTTCTGGATATTCGTCCATGTCTTCATTATCATCATAAAATATTGATCCATTTGCATAAAGATCGTTCTTATCATTGTCAATGATATCATCATCATGATCTTCATAATTGGTTCTGAGATTGTCAAGTAAGGTAGACTTTATTAAATTTTTAGAAAGATGTTGAACTTCTGCCATAGAAGGACAGACCAGATACTTGGATAAGTCATCAGGAATATATTGTCTGCCTAGGGCGTATATGTCAATATCTACTGATTTGTTTGCTTCCGTGTGTAAATCAGTGGACATCTTGGCTTCACCAGGAGCCAGTTGTCTTTCACTGTCGAACATGACTCTACCTTCTGAGTCTACATTCAACATATTTAGCAATAAGCTTTTAGCACCCCCTTCGTCAAAATCTGCCAATGCTCTTCTAAAGACAGGATCAACAGCCAATTCATAGTCAACCTTCTTCGCTCGTAGGGATTTAAACGACATTAATGATGTGCTTTCACTTTGGACATTCTTGGAAAATGATACTTTTTTGTTCTTCTTCTTAGTTTTACCATATTCAGGGTCATCAGAATCGTAGTCCTCGTCATCAACTTCTCTGTCTGCATCACCTTCTTGTACTGCGTTTACCTTCTCTACTTGGCTCTGTTGATGAGCAGATAGTCCACTAAGAAGCTTTCCGGTTTCTGTTGCTGCAGAGTCTACTCTGGAGGAATAAATCTTTACACATCCATCTAACGTTACAGACGCTCTTTGGAAGTTAATTCCTTCTCCGTCTCTCAACAATGTCAAATCTTGAAAGTAGTCGATCAATGCAAAATTCCATGAATTCTTCGCATTGATCTTATTGTCAGTGGCCATTCGAAGCCATAAATCAAAGTCTGTAGAAGTCCCATTGATGATACTTGTATTGTTCGTTGGAATATCTCCTAGCACCATCATTTACCCCTCCCTAAGTGCAAGTCCCTAGAATATTCGTGTTGGTCCTATCCAAAGATGCATCTGAGTCGCTTCTACTTTCGCGATGATCTGAAATTTCTCCTACAGTAAACATGCAAACACAAAATTTGCACCCAAGAGGAATACAAGAATTAGTTACAATTAAGGTGTATCTAAAAAAAAACTATCGTTTATGATTAAAGATATATGTAAATACTTAGTGATTATTTAATTTGCATAAATACATAATGATTATTTAAATTGCATAAATACTTAGTGATTATTTAATTTGCATGTTTTTTTTGGTTTTTTTTTTTGCTCACCATTCTTGAGCTTTAAGTCCATAGACAGACTTCTTGGCACCCTTGATTGGTTTGATTAACTTGGAACCACCTTCTAAGAAAGAGAATTTTACCTTTCTCATAGCTTCGTACTTAGAAATGAATTCTTCCTTCTGTAAAGTTAAGCCAATATCATCCAAACCATTTACTAAACAATGCTTGGTGAAAGAAGCGATATCAAAGTTTACTAAGACTTCACCATCTTCATTCCTAATTTCTTGCTTTGGTAAATCGACAGTCAACTTCTTTCCTGCAGCAGCTACTGGGTATAACTTGGATTGAATTTCTTCTTGTGGTACTCTAAGTGGTAATAAACCATTTTTACAAGTATTGTTGTAGAAGATATCACCAAAAGATGGAGCAATAATACACTTGATACCAAAATCTTTTAATGCCCATGGTGCATGCTCTCTGGATGATCCACAACCAAAGTTATCACCAGTAACTACCAAGATTTCAGCAGCTCTATAAGGTTCTACGTTTAAAACGAAGTCAGTTTCAACGTCCTTTCCGTTGGCATCCTTTTCGAATCTTAATTCGTAGAATAAACCAGCAGAAAGACCAGTTCTCTTAATAGTTTTAAGGAACTGTTTTGGAATGATAGCATCAGTATCAACGTTAGCCTTGTCAAGAGGGGCAGCAATGGAACTCAAGACAACGAATGGGTCCATACCTGCAGCTTCACCAGCGGCAGCCTTACCGTTTGTTGTTGGAGCTGTTTCGGAAACTGGGGAAGAAATTGGAATGTCATCGATTTGTTCTTCCTTTTCAGATTCAGTTTCAGCAATTGGTTGCTTTTCGTGTGCATACACAGCATCTTGTAATTCCTTGTCTTCGTTAACACCAATAGTAACTGAAGGCTCATCACTAGAATCATAGTCAAACTCTCTGATATCAGTGAAATGACCCTTGATAGCTGCTGCAGCGGCCATAGCAGGACTCATTAAATGAGTTCTTGAAGCAAAACCTTGTCTACCTTCGAAATTTCTGTTCGAAGTCGATGCACATCTTTCTTCTGGGTTTAAGATATCTGGATTCATACCAAGACACATAGAACATCCAGCTTCTCTCCATGAAAAACCAGCCTTTTCGAAAATTTTGTCAAGACCTTCCTTTTCAGCTTGCTTCTTGATAAGACCAGAACCTGGAACAATTAAGACCAACTTGACGTTGTCAGCCTTCTTGTGGCCCTTGGCAACCTTAGCAGCAGCTCTTAAATCTTCAATTCTAGCGTTGGTACAGGAACCAATGAAGACCTTGTCGATTGTAATGGATTGTAATGGGGTGTTTGGAGTTAAACCTTGGTACTTTAATGCTCTTTCCATACCAGATTTCTTAATTGGATCATCAACTAATGCTGGATCTGGGATTGATGCTGTAATTGGTAATGCGTCTTGTGGAGAATTACCCCAAGTGATTGTTGGAACAATGTCCTTAGCTTCGATAATGACTTCACTATCGAAGTGGGCACCGTCATCACTGTGAAGAGTTTTCCAGTAAGTAACAGCCTTTTCCCATTCCTCACCCTTTGGTGCTAATGGTCTTCCCTTTATGTATTCAAAAGTAGTTTCATCTGGTTGAATCATACCTGCTCTAGCACCACCTTCAATGGCCATATTACAAATAGACATCCTTGCTTCCATAGAAAGGTTTTGAATTGCCTTACCAGCAAATTCTATAACATGACCAGTTCCACCGGCAGTACCAATGACACCAATAACATGTAAGATAAGATCCTTAGAGGTGATACCTTCATTTAAGTCACCATTAATTAAAATTCTCATATTCTTGGACTTGGATTGAATGATAGTTTGAGTAGCTAAAACATGTTCTACTTCTGAAGTACCAATACCAAAAGCTAAGGAACCAAAGGCACCGTGAGTGGATGTATGCGAATCACCACAAACGACGGTAGTACCTGGTAATGTGAAACCTTGTTCTGGGCCCACAATGTGCACTATACCTTGTCTGTCATCAGTCATACCGAAGTAAGTGACATCGAAGTCCTTAACATTTTGCTCTAAAGTTTTCACTTGTAATCTTGAATCATCTTGTTCAATAAAGGAATCAAGATCCTTTAAGTTTGCTCTTGAGACTGTTGGAATGTTGTGATCAACAGTAGCTAAAGTACAGTCAGTTCTTCTAACTTTTCTACCAGCATTAGTTAAACCTTCGAAAGCCTGTGGCGAAGTAACTTCATGCACTAAGTGTCTATCGATATAAATGAGATACGACCCAGATTCATCCTTATGGACTACATGGTCTTGAAACACTTTATCATAAAGAGTCTGAGGTGACATATTAATTTAATTTATGATTAGAAATACAATGTATAATGAATAAATCAGCTTATAGCTTTTTATCCCTCTATCAACGAAAGCGATAATCTGGAGTCTTTTATAATTTTTCATCGACATCGCAAAAAGTATGGGTGCGAGGGTGTGGGCAGGGCCGGTCATCTTCGCCGATTCAGGCCCGGTGGTGTGTGCAGGATTTTTTGCTCCGATTCAGCCAATAGACGGGAGATTATAGGTAACCCACAATTATGACACATAATCAGTACACCTAAAATCAAATAGTTCTCTCTTAAGACACACTTAGGTACTATACAAGCTTTGCTAAGACCTGTTTACCATTGAGTCATATATGGCGGAGCAGCGGAATGACATAAATTTAGCCCACTTCAATAGTATCTATTGCACTAGTTAACGCTGTGGAAGTTGTCAATGCTTGAAATATTTATTTTTAAGCTGCAGAAGAAGAGCGGAAACAGGGAGCCGCAAGCGAAATTACAATGTGAAGAATTATGGAGAAGGACAGTGCAGTGAAACGGTAGCAAGTTTCTTAAATAGAGTGTAAGTTTACTGAATCAAGCTGATTTCTGCAGCAAGCTCTTGTATAATCCGTCGGTTAAAGCGGAAAAACATAGCTTTTGAATATCTCTTCATTTCTCGGAAGCAGTCCAAATGTTTTGTAAGTGAAATGTAATTTGGAACCTCATCAGTACACCTGAACAATATAATTGGGTGCAAATATTAGTGGCCAAAGTATTAACCCCTGGGCAGAAAATTAACCCCTGAGCAAAAACTTACCCCGAGAGAGTAACAGCAGGAATCAATTACTCAAAACAATCTAGTAGTCCTTATTGTCTCTGAATACTACTGCCAAATAAAAAAGGTAAAACGTTATTATTTTCAGTGCTAGTCTTCAAGCTTCAGAAAGAAATATACTTTTCGACAATCATATATACACCTAATTCCATCGTTACTCTTAATGTGCATACAGGTGATTAGACTTAAGAAACAAAAGAAAAACACTAACAGAAAAATGCTTTATTGATATGAAATACTTCTATCGTATACTATACTGGTGCTTATCTTCCTTTTAGTTCACCTCTTCCTCCTGCTGCTACATTCCTTCTTCAAAGAGTTCTTTCGGCATTTCTAAATCTGCTGCACGTGTAATATATCACGTGAATGATTGTTTGTGATCAAGTAAACTGCAACTTTACCTCAGTATGAAATTTTCTAATCGCATGTAAGAGCTTATTCTAATTCGGTTCCATTTTGGAGAATCACCCATTTGACCTATATTTAACTAAAGATGCTCCCTCCAGGTAGTAGGAGATCAAAGATTCGTCCTCCTAGGAATTCACTTTTGAGTTCATTTGTGGGAGGATCTGCATCATCGTCATCCGGATCATCATCAACAGCAAATGCTGGAGCCGAAGACTATGAGAAATCTTGGGCCATACTCTCATCAGCCATTATTCAAATTCAGAACAAAAATGTTTCCAATTTATCATATGAACAGCTCTATCGAAAGGCTTATATACTAGTATTAAGAAAGCAAGGATCCAGACTTTACGAAAATGTGACTCAATTGATTGTGAAGCATTTACTAGAAAGAAGGGAGGCATTACTTGCCAAACTTTCCAAAGAAAGTGGCGGAGAATTCTTGAAAACACTTTTATCTGAATGGACCGAGCATTTGCAATCTATGAAGTTCATATCAGATGTATTGATGTACTTAAATAGAGTTTATGTCAAAGAACGCAAAAAATTATTGATCTATGACCTTGGAATACAATTGTACAAGGAGAACCTCATTAAATACAACAACAATGAAGTTGGTGAAAAATTAATAGATATCATAATTGAAGAAGTCACAAAAAGTAGGCTAGGTGAAGTGATAACTACTAAAATGTATATCGTCAAGGTAATTAATATGATGGAGTTGCTAGAAGAAACTAGTCCCTCCTCAAGTTCTATGATTAGTGAAGTTGATCTTGGTGGAAGTGAAGGCGAAAATTACTATCAACGATTTTTCGAACCCAGATTTCTTGCATCATCCGAAACCTTTTTTTACCAGCTATCTCATCAATTCATGTCAGAAAATATCAGCGGTAGTGCTTACCTCCACGAAATAAGCCAATTTATCAAAGATGAAGAGGAAAATAGAGCGAGATATTACCTACCTATGTCCACATTCCCTAAACTTATAGATTTGATGAACAATATATTGATAAAAGACAAAATAGATGAGGTGATATTATTGCCAATGGATAGACAAGGTTTAAGCTTTTGGATGGAAGGTGTGGTACGAGGGGTTTTCGAAAGTCAAAATAATCCGGCTCCTACAAGCACCAATTCCACAAGAGCAATAGAATCTTTTGCTAATGTGAAGGAGCTTGCCATTTTATATGAACTTGTTGGTAGAATTGACTCTGAGAGAGAACTTCTCAAAGTTAGGTTGAAGGAATTGGTCATAAGTCAAGGACAGTCATTGCCAACTTTAGTCAGAGAGAAGTTAGAAAATAACAGCGACGAGCTAGGGGTAGGCAATAATTCTAAGAAAACTCCTGCGTTTTCTTATAGTAGCACCTCATTTGCCATTGAATGGATAAATACTATACTGGAATATCAAGAACAGCTTTCAACAATATCTAGAATTGCTTTCAATAATGACCCTGGAGTTGTCCAAGCTATAACCGTGGCGATAAGAGATTTCATCAACAATTCTACATCAACAAATAATAAAAAATCTGGGAAGAATTCTCCATTGACAGCTTCTGCATCAGAGCTACTTTCCATATTCATGGACAACTATATTAAACAGTTTACCAAGCAGTCTCCTTCTAAATCTTCATCTATAAATGAAGAATTCTCAATAGACCAAGTAATCAATAGATCAATAACATTCCTTAGATTTATTAAGGATAAAGATACTTTTGAAGCTCATTATGCAAATCATTTTGCAAAGCGGTTTTTGAATACAAAAGCCCAATCGTCTTTGACTACCACGACAACTTCTGCAGCTGCATTGAAGTCGAATAACAAATCTGATAGACACTCCACGTCAATAGATCTTGAAGAACTTATATTATCGAAGCTAATGGAAGAAATGGGTTCATCTTCATTAGAAAAGGTAATGAAAATGAATAGGGATATAAAGCTGTCTAGAGATTTGACGAATGATTGGAAGAGGCATATCAAGTCAAACGACGTTCAATACAGCTCATCTAATCTTGTCGAGCTAGAGTTGAAAATTTGCAATGTTACAGATTGGCCAAAGTCAATGACAAAGGATTATAAGAAGTATTCTGATGACAATACTGGTGGTACCAGTGGGTTCCCATGGCCAAAACAATTGCGGGGAACTCTTTCAGAATTTGAAGATTATTGGTTGACAGGTAAAAAGAACGACAACAAATCATTACATTGGAGCCCGAAATTTGGATCAATGGATTTACGGATAACTTACCCGTCTCCAATGAAAACATATGAAATAAATTTATCTACATATGCTGGGATTATCATGTTACTTTTCGCTCCTCAATCGACTGACAATATTACTGGAGAACTAGTACTGGCCTTCTCTGAAATGAGAGAATTGAAGTATGAAGAGATTAGAGAATTAACTAAAATTCCTGAGCAGGACTTGAAAAGGCAACTTCAATCAATAGCAGTGGCACCCAGGCTGAGATTGTTAGTTAAGGTCCCTATGACAAAAGAGGTAAATGAGGGGGACATATTCAAATTGAATGAGAAGTTTAAGTCACCTACCATTAAAGTCAAAGTATTGACGGTTTCTGCAACTAGTAGTTCTAGTAAGAGGCCTACAGTAGCGAATGTTGGTGGTGAGGGTCTTCCTTTGAGAAAAACAGAAGCACAAGAAGAAGCGGAAGAAGTAGCAGCAAATATTGTGGAAGGTAGAAATGTCGAAATCAATGCTGCTATAGTTCGTATTATGAAATCTCGCCAAACGCTAAATCATAATGACTTAATTAGTGAATTGATTAGGCAATTGCAAAATAGATTTTTACCTCTGACTATTCAGATCAAACAAAGAATTGAAGATCTCATTGAAAAGGAATACCTCAAGAGAGATTCCGTCGAAAAGAGCAAGTACCATTACGTTGCATAAAATTTCAAGAAAGTTTTAAGAAAGGTAATATGATAAAAATATAGAATACAATATACCAACCTATATATATGTCAAGAAAGTGTATATTTAATGAAATGAACGAAATTACTTATGGTAACATCCCCAGTAAGTGTAGAAATAGTCATCGTGTGGTTACCAATTCGAACTACTTGAATTTTCGGCAGGCAAAACGAAGTTTTGAGAGCTTTGAAAAAAAAAACCATTTGAAATGAAAACAGACAGTGTAGTAAAGAAATAAAAACTCCATACACTTAGGTTTAGACAAACTACATATCCTAGGATGTCTGCAAATGATATTTTAGACGTATTAAATGTCCAAAGGGACCAAAGCCAGCAGCAACCTGCCAAAAAGAAGCAAAGAGTGGATACGCACTCTTCGAATGCTTCTTCAAGTCAAAAGGGTATGGCTCGAGAACTTTACAACTTATTGGGTCCAAACACCCCCCCTATTAACTTAAGCGGTCTTAGTAGTGCAGGAGCTGGTGCATTAGGAATGAATGGCAGTAATAGGATAAAGCCTAATGCTAGGCCATCTCCTTGGACAAGAATGAAATTCAAACCACAAAGTCAAAATGCTTCATTTTCCCATTGGATGAAAGGTTCCAAAGAGTTGTTAGAATCAGAAGAACTAAAAGGAAAGGGATACTTCTTTGATAAGTTTAATACCACTTTGAGTCTCCCAGAGTTGGTAGATAAGGAAACATATGAAAGTTACTTGGATGAGTTCAAGGAAGCCGAAATGAAAGAGAGGGAAAGAATCGCAATAGAAAAGATAAGGTTGAAAGAGAGAGCAATTGAGAAGCAGAGGGAGAAGGAAGAGAAAGAAAAAGAGAGATTAGAAAAGGAAAAAGCGACCAAGCAAGCAGCCTTGCCAGTTGTGCCCAAGCCAAGTGCATCAAGTTCCTCTGAATCTGGGAATATCTCAAGTCAGGCAATCTCAGCATCTTCTTCCACAACAACTGCATCTGACATCCCGAAGAAAGACATTGAAAGTGCAGATGAGTCTTCCACCAAGACCAATTCTACAGTTGCAGCTAATCCTGTTACGGTTACCACGTCATCCACAGCTCCAAATACATCCCCTTTAGATTCAGCTAAGGAAGCGGGGCAACAATCTGACTCTAAAGATTCATCAAGTGAAAATAAAGGTGAAGTGAAGAAAGATTCTACCGGTGATTCAGAATTGGCATCCACGAAGATAGATGGTGAAGTGACAACAAAATCTGCTTTAGAAGAACTTCTTGAGCTAGAACCTATCCCAGAAGAATTCTCGTACGAAGAAACAGCTTATCTCTTCGATCTTTGCAAAGCCTTCGAATTGAAGTGGTATATTATTACAGACCGTTATTCCTATCCAATCAAACGAAGCCAAGAAGATTTGAAAGAACATTATTACAGGGTCTGCTATAAAATACTTGAACCAGAATCAAATACTAATCCAAATCTACTTGAATCGCTTAAATCTTTTTCCAAAACCAAAGAAGTTGAAAGAAAGCACTATTTGGAAAATTTATTGAAGCGTACCCCTGCAGAGATTGCTGAAGAAGAATCCCTTGTGATTGAAGCAAGAAGGTTTGAACTTGCGGCCAAGAAAATGCTTGTTGAAAGGTCCTATTTACTTAATTTACTTGATTCTCCACAAACGTCACAATCTGTTCAACAGTATCAATCTTCTCAAGGTCTTGCAACCTTGTACAGTAACCTAATGATTATTGACAAACACCAAAAGAAAAGGCAACAACAGCAACTTCAAAAACAAGCAAATGCAAATGGCTCAAGTAGCGGCGGGTCTGCTAACAATGGCCATAGTGCACAAACTGATCCTGTTCCGCCTGCCATTCCAATAGCAGCTTCCTCTTCATTCAAGAAGGAGAGAACATTTCAAACTCATCTTCAGCAATACCTATCTGGTCTTCTCAAGCAACAAGGAGTTTCAAATAACAAACACGAGCCTAGCCCAATTCAACAGCTTCTTTCTAAGAGACTCACCGTTAAAGAAGAAGAAGCTTACGGTTTACATTATCATGCCAATGACAAAATTGTTCCTGGTGTAACATTAAGATCTACGCAAAAATTGCCTGGATTACAGCAAAGGCAATCTGTATTAAAATCTGTAAATAATCTTTTACAAGAGATGGATATACCCACAGCTGGTGGAACTAATTGGAAGCCTGCTATGCCTACGAGGAAAACCATGGCAAAATATGACAGCTTGTTGAGGGCCGTTGTAGCTTTGTTGGATGTCAAAAAGGGAAGAGATAAAATAGAAGCTGAGATAAAATTAATTAAATCTCAAAGAAATCTCTGATTGACTTCAATGTAATTTTTTATAGGTCATGATGCATGTATAGTAATTAAGTCTAATAAAAATTATATTAGGTTTTCTATAAAATGCTAAGTATATGTAAGTATGCTAAAATTCGAACTCTAAAAGAGTTCTTTCCATGGAAACGCATTCAGCATCAGTAGAATTATCTGAATACGTTGTTTTGTACGTTGACGTTACTAAATGAATCAAATTGTTGAATGAAGCTGCTAAGACATCTTCATCGATTTGTTCATTTATTTCAATCGGCGATTCCTTCATTTCATTTGAAGTGCTAGAAATATCGAACGGCCGTAAAGGAGAAAAGGATTGAAGAAAGTCATCGATCTGTATGTAGTTAACATTTGCATGGTAATTTTCAATAAATTTCAAAACCTCCTCCTTAAATGCAATCTGATCTTTATACCCGTCATATATATAAAATGTGGTATGTAGGAAGTTTGTAATCGAGTTTAGTGTGAGCAATTGGTGACGAAAGTAGCGTGAATTGCTATCACGTTTGAGATATCCTATTTCTGCCAACAGTGATGTGAATTGTTTCAAAGTTCCGTCTGTGAGGTTTAGTTGGCAGGTATTCAATTTCATGGTAAGAAATGAGACAAGCACACCAATTAGTGTCCATTTCTCAGATTGAAGTATTACAACCGCTTTCGAATATATACTAACCAAATGATAAATGAAATCTACTCCACCTCCATTAATCTTGACGAATTTCTCAAGCGAATCAAAGACCTCAGTGTAACTAATATAATTACTTTTGCTCAAAATGGTTGTCACTTCTGAATGTATTAAAGATAACTTTGTTTTCAAAGATAAGTCAAACCAGGCATATGCATCGACTTGGAATCTCAGTAAGCCCAATTTTCTAGTTAAAGTTTCAAAGCAAGCATTATCTTTTAAATATTTCAGTCCATGCGTTTGTAATATCTCGATATTCCTGATATAGCTAGAATAGATATCATCGTTTAATGGTGAGGGTGCTTCTGACAAATACTTTAATAACATATCAACATACAGCTTAAAATAAAATCCTATACTTTGGCCCGTCAATGCTGTAGATAAAACAATATTCTGCATAAGTGTATTCAAAATTGAAGTTTTGCGATCAATAAATTGATCATTGGTTAACTGGATACTATTTTGAATCTCATTATCGAAACAAAAGACGTTGCCATAAGTTTTCTTCCTCAAGGAGTTAAAAAATTTAGCTTGATATGCAAAAGAATTCCCCGGCACCAATGTCTGTAAAAATAGTGTAAGGTACGTATCCAAAAAATTTGAGAAGTCTAAGTATTCCAATAGCTCTCGGTAAAAATAAAGGTTGAATTTTACTCTCAGATAGGTATTACCCAAATATGGGTACTTTTGGAATATCAACTCATTCCAATTGACATTCGGATCTAAAGACACTGAACTAAGTATCCAGATGCTAATGCAGACTTCAATAATCGGCGAAATTTTCAGTTCGTCAACAATAGGTAAACGACCCATCTGGGTTTGTAGTAATGTTAGATTTTTTTGATAAATTAATTCAAGTAATAATTTGTCACTCTTATCAAGCTTAATTAAATTATTGAAGATTAAATCGCAAAGATCAAACAACATCAGGTCATCAAACACGAACAAGTTGATATTGCAGACCACCAGAAGCACGATGCTTGGATTAGAATTCCACTTGCTTATCAGCGTTTTCATGAAATCCCAAATCATTAAACATTCATGGAATTTCTTTCTCTTATATAAATCCCCAACTCTCTCAATAATAATCGAATAGCTTTCAAGTGGTAGTTTGTCGCTATTATCTTGTACTTCTTCAGAAACAATTTCAGTATACATGTCTAAGCCTTCACAAGTGACCGCGTAAAACACCAAGTCATCAGATTTTGCAATTCGAAGAATTAAGTCAAGCACCTGCCCCTTTAGGTTGATTTTATTCGATAACTGATTCAATAACAATATAAAATTGAGCCTATTGACATACATGGTTAGGTATCTTGAGTCATTTCGGTAAATGAAATGACTTGATGTAAATAGCTTCGAAATGAGTCTTTTCTTCTTTACACCATCGTCGATTGGTATTTCTGAAACATAAGAAAACAATAAATACATAAATCTTTCGAAAAAAGATGTATCCGGTATGCTATCTCTTGTCAATAACTTGCCTATTAATTGAGGTTGGATTAATTCATTTGAAAAATTGGCAAATTTTCTAACAGTAATAGTAGAAGAATAAATCAATGTTATAAGTTTCTCCTCTATTGGCCAGAAGTACTGATCTTTTAGTTGAAACACCATGTCTAGAAATTTATCATATACATATGAGGTTGAACTTGTATCCAATTCTGCAAGGCTAGCATAAAAAGAATAAAAGGGATTCCAGAAAAGATTGCCTCTCCTAGGTGGAGGAGAAATGTTAGTTGATAAGAAGTAGATAATATCCAAGACGTTAAAATGATCAACTTTACCCTTCACATCTTTTAATCCGTCATCTATTGCTACCCACCACATACTAGAATCAGAACTGCTTGCATCATTTGTAATCAAATAAATTATGTAAAGCGATTCAAAGTGGATCGTTGATTCTGAATTGCCATCTTCTCCTTCTATTGAACTATGGAGTTCTTCTATAGTCATATTTTCAAACACTAATTTAAAGTAATATTTGCTAAAATAATATCCATCTTGAGAATACTTTGCCGAGTTTATTCCTAAACCTATCCCGATTTGAATCCATACATGTAGTAATAATACGAAATAAGGGTATAGAAAGAGATTTTCACTTTTCCCTCCATATTCATTACAAATCTTGTACAAAATTTGCCAACAAGCATCATCATTCGGTAGCTCTTGCAAGATTAAATACCATTCAATTAATCCACTAATTGCATTGTAAGCTTCAGTTTTTGAAGTCGGGTTTGATTTAATCCTACTATCACTTACTATGCGGGAAAATTGGCGAAGTAGCAATAAAGTATTCTCGTTTGAGTTTGATTTGTTTAGAAGAGAAAATGAATAGGACCTTCCAAACAAGTTAATAAAGACTGAATCTTTCGTGTCAACTAAAAGTTTAGTATGTCCATTTCTCAATAAATTTAATTTCGAGTATTGGAATCTTGACAATAAGAACCCTGTGGGAAACTCCAAAGAATCATCTTTATTTAGGTTAACTGGCACACTACCCAATCTTCTATTTTGAAATGTTTTAATAGGATGCATATGTTTCATGAATCTTTTTTCACTATCGACTTCGACAGAAACTGTCGATGTAATCGGGTTCCTTGAAAATTGATAGCTAGATTTTAAAACTTCTTTTGCATTCTGAATATTTCGGGGAGAGTTATCACTTTTACGAATGGAAGCCTTCCCCTTAGATATTTTGGCCACGTTTGATCTTATATTTATCTCAGACAAAGGAGTTCTTTGTTTCCGGGAATTTGTTACTTTTTTAGACAAGAAGGATCTATTATTCCTCAAGTTCGATAGTCTACTAAAACCCAGTATTGCTCCACCAAATAATGAAGTTTGTTGGGAAAGATTACTGAAATGGGGTCTCCTCTGACTCGTAACCGAATTCTTTTTCGGTATTCTTGTTGGATCTTTGAGTCGCCTTCTCTGTATTTTGTTCCGTTTGAAAGTCGAAGTGCCATTCCTGGCCGAAGAATTTGCAAACATTGGATCTATATTATCTTCCTCGATAACTTCCCAATCAAATGGTTGTTGAATCTCTTCTCCATTTAGTATATCATCCCCGCTATCTTCTGATTCTGAGACACTTTCTATAGCTGCTGAGGAGCCATATTGATCGAGTAAGGATTGGTCATCATCACCTATAGAATTAGTCCCCTCGTAAAGTAAGTTTAAGGGTGAATTATTATCTAGCACAGATATATTGTAAGGACTTTCAATCTCATTGAAATATTTGTTATCGTCTACAAAATTTTTGAGAAGGTCAGAATCTCCCAGCACTTGGAGGCCATTCTTCTTCACAGCCAAACCCTTCCTGTATTCTACCTTTCTTGGTCTCTTTTTATCACGTTTAGGTCTTGGTTGGTAAATAGAAAGTCTCTTTGCAGATTCAGGTAGGGCCCCATGTAATATACTCTTCTCTTTCAAGAGCCTTCCGCCAACCTGAATTAGAACATCATCTTCACTGTCGTCTGTACCCTCAAATTCATTATTAGATTGGTTATCTTGATTCTGTATAAAACTTTCTGCCTCTGTGACTTGAAACTCATCGTTAGGGAAATTAAAAAGATCATCTTCATTTTGAATATTACTGTTTAACTGTTCCATTTGGGAAAATCCTATACTTTCTTGGTTGTTTTCTGGTAAGATTCCTTCATAGTACTCATCGTCAGTCTGACTCTCATCTTGACCTTCTATATATTGTTGTGACCAACCAATATTCTGTGAGCCTAAATTCTGTGATTCATCTTTTGTAGAATCAAGTATGCTGTGGCTTTGACTCTGGTCCTGGTCCTGACTTTGATCCGCATCAGGTTCTTGTAGCTTTGCACCTAATCCCCTGCCATTGCTCAAAAAGGAATAGAAATTCTTAGATTTAAATTTTTCTTCCCTTGGGTACATTCTTTTATTTTTCAAGTATTTCTGGTTCAAAACTTTGACGATTAGTTCGACGTCATGGTTCTCTCTGTAGAGATCGTTAAGTATCTCAACGTCTGCCAAACCCATCCAATGGGCACTATCTGCTAAATAAGGATGTGCATTCGCAAAACTTCTATCTCTAAGTCCCCTACGACCATAAATACTTTGCTTTGATCCAAGATATGTCCTCAAATGATTAGCATTCTCGATAGCATCAGGGTCCTCAATTTCAATTTCTTGCTCAGTAGAAGTTGAAGTCAAAGGAACCTGGCTTTCATAAACCTCCTGTATCTGAGATGTTTGCTGACTCTTTATTGGTGCATTTTCTTCCTGGCTAGCATATGTAATATCAGAAAACATCTCGTCAATATTATAAGTTCTTGACGGAGAGAACGATCCTGGAGATTCTCCAATCAGATTTTCAATTGAAATTTCATGTTCATCTAGTTGTGCATTGAATTGGTTGCTGTTTTGGTTATTAATGTGGTCTTCATTCAACTGGCTATTTGAATTCAGTTCTCTTTGCTGAAATTGATATCTATGTCGTATTTTGTATCCTGAGTTTTGTAGTGATGTTGCAATGGTTTCTCTATCATCTAAAGGGAGTCTAGATAGCACCTTGCGAATTCTCGTGCTTGACACAGATAATGGAGTAATTAAACTTGAATCTCCTCCTCCATCACTATCGGAGTCAGATATATATTCCCGAGAATCCATTATACATGTTTTTGTAGTTCTATTTACGGAGTATTTGCTTGTAAAGGCTATGATGAAACACGAGAGTGAAGAGTTCCTAGTGTTATGTTTTTTTTCTTTGTACGCGTAACAGCAGATCTACAATAAAACAATGATCACGTGAAAATCTTCAAAATATGTACGACTTGTAGAAGCAAGGCTATTGAAAGAGATAAAATATTAACTCAGGAAGTGGACTAGGATAAGTATTTCAGTATAAAATAAAGTACAGAATCACCATTCTTACTTTGTTTAACTAAATTCTAATCTCTAGTTGACAGCACCTTAACTTCTACTACAATATAATGTAATCAAAATAACACCTGCATACAGACAGTAACATTTTTTCATATTTTTTTTGTATCCAAGATGAAGTTTTAGAAGGTAATTCAGCAGGTGTGAAACTAACCAGAGTATCAGCAACAGAGAGTAAAATCAATCATGGATAATCGTAGAGTTATTCATTCCTACCGTGAGAAGCAGGCTGCTTCAACTTCCTCTACTCCTTATTCTCGACCTACCAGTGGATTATTTTCAAAGGTGAAGCAATACTTTGCACCTGCCTCGTTGTGGTCTAATGAAGAGCAGCAGGAGCAATCTCAAACGATGTCCCACTCTCAGTCACAATCGCATACACAACCACCAAGTCAAGCCAGTTCAGTACTGCCTTTCAAATTTCCTGAGCCAGAGCTTAAAACTCCTCTTAAGAAAAACTCGAAAGATGTAACAAAGACACCAAACCACGTTCTTTCTACATTCTTCCAATCGAAAGGCGATAGACCATTGACAGACGTAGAGTACGAAGGAGTAGTAGCATTATTAAGTAAATCTCATCAGAATACTCCTACAACAGTGAAAAATTCTCAAAATAACCAGCAAAGACAATCCCAAACTCCTTCTCAAAGATTCACGTCGCAGGATGACATCAAAGTTGGTTCAAATAATAAGAGAGGTAGCCATGGAGGTGCTGCTGCCAATTCTTCCAACCTTTTCATCACTCCATATAACCAAAAAGTCTTAAAGAATGACTCTTCTATATTCTCAACTCCAGAATACAAACCTATATATCATTCAGTAAATGAAAATTCCTTTAGTCAAGGGAGAGGAGCAGGAATGTCTTCCATACCATCAGTGAAGAGAGTGTATCAATTTTCAGGATTACCTTCGCCATACAGAACTAGAATTAGAACTCCGAATTTATCTGCGAAGAAGAAGAATATTAGCAAAAGTAATGCTTCATTTGCAAGTAATGGAACATTTAACTCAAGCTTATCCAATACAATTACTGCCCCCCCAACAAGCTCCATCGACAACAAGCCACTTAGCAACACTGCTAATGCGTTATTGACTATATTGGACGGTGGAGATGAATCAAACGAAGCCAGCATAAAAGCATTTACGAGCCCGTTTGCGAGACAAAAAAGAGTAAACAAAGACAGAGAAATGGAATCTACCCCAGTGAAGAAAAGATTAACTGCAGCTGACATAGGGAAGACAATATCATTTGATCAATCAGAAAAGTTACCTGAATTAGAAAAAGTTGTTGAAAAAGAAGAAAAATTAGAGGAAAAGCCAGCCAATTTGAAAAATGGTATAGCGAAAGAGGAAACTACGAAACATACATTTGCATTCCCAAATTCATCAACTAAGCCGCTCCACAACGACTCTTCGACTAAAACCAACTTGTCTACTTCTACTGATACTACTGCTGCTAGTACTTTTACTTTTGGCCGCACTACTGGTGAAACTACTTCAGATAATACGCCATTTCCAACAACTACCGAAGGAGAAAAACCAACAATTCATAAAACCACAAGCAATTCTCTATTTGGTGATAGTGAGAAAACATCTGTTCAAATCCCAAAGTTACCTATATCAAATGGTAGTAATGGTAGCTCGTTTTCGTTTGGTGCTGCGAAGCAACCACTTACGGATAACAAACCAACTTCACTATTCGGCAGTAACTCGAACACCTTAAATATTAAACAAACTGCTGGCTTTGAATTCAAACTTCCAGAATTAAAACAGCAGCAAGTAGTTCTTGACCAAAAGAAAGTTGAGTCATTCAAATCATTATTTGAATTTTGAGAAATTAGCAAAGTAAGTACTATATATAATTAATACAAAATGATAGTGATCAACAAATTCAATAAATTTCCTGTACACAATTCGTTTGATCTGCAGATCATCAGATATGTTGATAATGATAATTTTCAGATTTCCGTGAAGCGCGAGTTAAGATGTACGACAGAGCTAAACGACGACTGAAAGAGTCTAGGAAATAGAATAAAACTCTTCTTACACGTAAATGTCCGACTTAAATTCAGTACTTTTAATAGGTGGAGCAGGATTTCTTGGCCTCCACTTGATCGAACAGTTCTATAAACTTGCGCCAAATACTCAAATTCATGTCTTTGATGTTCGTCCGTTACCGGAAAAATTATCCAAGTACTTTACGTTCCCAACTGAGAAAATAACATTCCACCAAGGAGATTTAACTTCTGAGGATGATGTTTCCAAAGCAATCAGACTTTCGAAATGTGATGTAATTGTACACTCAGCGCTGCCAATGCATGGGTTACCGCAAGCCATTTATGAGAAAGTTAACGTGCAAGGTACTATAAACTTGATCAAGGTTGCGAAGCAAGAGAAAGTCAAAGCTCTTGTCTATACTTCTTCGGCTGGTGTCATCTTTAATGGACAAGATATCCATAATGCCAATGAAACGTGGCCATACCCAGAAGTACATATGGATGGTTACAATGAGACCAAGGCCATTGCTGAGACTGCTGTCATGGAAGCTAATACGAATGACTTTTTGACTGTTTGCTTAAGACCAGCCGGGATTTTTGGACCTGGTGATCGTCAATTGGTTCCTGGATTACGAGCCGCTGCTAAACTAGGACAGTCAAAGTTCCAACTTGGTGATAATAACAATTTATTTGATTGGACTTATGTTGGAAATGTGGCCGATTCGCACGTCTTAGCTGCCCAAAAGATCTTGAGTCCAGAATTAGCACCTAAATTAGCCGGTGAAACCTTTTTCATAACTAACGATGCTCCTACATATTTTTGGACTTTAGCTCGTACTGTTTGGAAGGCTGATGGTCATATTGACTCTTACAACATTGTATTACCTAAACCGGTTGCGTACGTTGCTGGTTATTTATCGCAATTCTTTTCAAAACTCTTGAAGAAGGAACCTGGACTTACTCCATTTAGAGTTAAAGTGGTCTGTGCTACTCGTTACCATGATATATCCAAGGCAAGGGAACTTTTAGGTTATAAACCAGCAGTTGATCTTGAAACAGGTATTAATTATACATTAGAGTGGATGAACGAAACAAGTTAAGACTAAGAGTGACATTTCTTTTTCTCATTTCACTTTTATTTGGACTTATACAAGTAGCAACTTAAGTTAATATATGAATTGAAGCGGCCAATATGCATAGTATGCTCACTAAACTTAATTTAAAGCCAATAGATACAGCAGAGCTTTCGGAGTCAGCCTTTTTAGCAACTTTTGTAGTATTATACAAATCTGTAATATTAGTCAAGGCAGGAGCTAATGAAGCACTTGGAGTATTGGATATAGTGGAATCGTTCGCAAAATCTTCTACAACTGTTTCATTTTCAGATTTTGACTCCTGAGATTCTTTTTTCCCTTCTGCATTATTCGAAACCTTAGATTTAAGTATGGTAGGCTCTTCATCCTCACCTTCTTCCACCTTTTCATTTCCATTCTTTTCCATTGGCACGCTGTCATCTTTTCTAAATGGTAAACTACATGCATTGATATCACTTAGACTGGCACAGTCATCAAACAATGCTGTCAAAAAATTATTAGAAGGATTTCCTGGGCACAAGCCATAACATTCCTTCTTCATAGATTGTAATGCACAGCATTCACAGGCTAAGTCATTAGCTTTACAATCGTCGAGTTTATTTAAAACATCGTTGCAGCACGCAGATAGCTGAACCAAATCTTGTACATCACAATTTTCAAATAACCTTGGATTTGGATTGACATAAGAACCTTGCTCGGATCCGGCAATTATGGCAACGACTGTAATTACATATGGGGCGATAATAAAAAGATCTCTCATATTGGTTCTTCAATATCACTAATAGTGTGTTGCACTTATGTATTATTTGGGTGCAAAATCTAAGTTAGTGAAATATGCACGCCAAAAAGGTAACACAAATAAACCATGGTACACAAAATGGATAGCGAATGATAAACTGAAAGGTCGAAATCACAAGTGGTGGAAAGGAAGATATTCAAATTTTTTGTCCTGAAATTCTGTTTACGTGATATAAGATTGGCGTAAGTAGTGATTTAGTTACTTCACGTATAGGAGGAAAATGATTCTAAACATAGAATAATTCGCAGAAGAACATGAGATAAGAGGGCTTTTTTTTCGCTTAATACGGTAGAGGCTTGGAGTTTAATTTTTCTTCTCTCATGGAACATTTTGAAATATTAAACACTTTCAATACAAAAAAAAAAAAACAATAACCGCCAAGACTCAGCTTATGGCATGAAGCTCGGTGATTAAACGAAGTGGTATACTCTCTATATCCATTTGACACATTTTTTAAAGTATCTGTCAAAAGTAGATGAGTATTCTAAATAACATTGAATGGAGAAGGTTTACGGGGAATTTATCTAAAAATCAGTGGAAAGAAACAAAAGACAAACTTACTGTACTGACTTTTGGGTAATTTTGCTTTATATGGAAACTGTTGTATTTTCTTTTCTGATATTTCTTACTTTGTTCTCTCTCGTCAAAATCCAAGGCAAGCATTTGTTCATTTTCTTGACTGGTGACATTTAGTTTCTTGTGCTTATTCCCTGAGAAATAAGAAGCAGTATTTTATAAGCCACTTGAGCCCAGATCTGGGGACGTAGAGAATAGAAGTATATAGATACTGTAGCCCCAAACTCCCATGCGTCTGGTAGAACACAGCCGACATTATTTTGTGAAGCGCGTAATAAGGTTTGGTGAAAAACGCCCTTTTCCCCTTCTACATAGAACAGGGCTCCTAACAAATTAACTAGATTTGAGCAGAGCCTTCAAAAAAAGCCGACATTGCCAATGTACCTGCATGTCTAGAATTGCAAATTAGTGGCTTTTCTCTAAGCTGGTTGCAAAATACTCTGCTTGCAATTGATTAGCTAGCATAGCTTGACTTGAATAACAGTAAGTATTTCGAGTACATATACGGATGGTAAATTAAAATTAAATTACTGAAAAATCTGTCGTATCTATATTTACTCTTGGTGATATTTCTTGTTTCTTTTTTCTTTCTTCAATTTTTTCTGGGCAAAGGTAAACATGTCCCAAAACTACAAACCATTTTTCAATTTTACCTAACTGGTTCGATCTGTCAAGAAGGATATTTCTAGGTGTTTGTCTATTATATTGGCAAATATTTCGTGTTTCACGTTGTGAGCCAAGATCCCTTCTCTATTTTGTCTTGGGTGTTATACTTTCGGAAATTTTGAGCCTTTATGCTTTATTATCTTTTTCTCGTGTAACCTTGATTTTCAATATTCCCACACGAATCAGTTTGCTAAATTTAAACTTTCCTAAACTAATTGATATATATATCTGCCCGGAAGTAATGTGGTGTTATTTTGATATTCAATTTTTTTTCTCTTTAGAAACCTGTTCACATTTTGTATTTAATTAATTATTTTATTAATTATCTAGTCTCAGGTTTAGGAAAAAAGTCTAGTACTAAAACCCAACTATGATTCGCTCGTTATATGTTTCTTTAGCTGCTTTGTTGTGCTTTTTGGCTTCATTTGTTCAAGCAGAAGATCTCCCAGAAATTGAAGTTATCGGTAACAAGTTTTTTTTTAAGAATAATGGTACTCAATTCCTTATGAGAGGTATTGCTTACCAACAAAATACTGCTAATGCAACAGATGTTAGTTTCATTGATCCTTTAGCTGACGCTGAGAGTTGTAAAAGAGATATTCCCTACTTGCAAGGAGTAGCAACTAACGTCATTCGTGTCTATGCAGTTAATACTTCTGTCGATCACACTGAATGTATGACTGCCTTAAATGATGCTGGCATCTATGTTATTCTTGATTTGTCCGAACCAGATAAGTCTATTAATAGATACAGCCCAGAATGGAACTTAGATTTATATGACCGTTATACTGAAGTTGTTGATGCTTTCCATAACTATACTAATGTTTTAGGTTTTTTTGCTGGTAATGAAGTCACAAATGCTAAAAATAACACTGATGCCTCTGCCTTCGTAAAGGCTGCTGTTAGAGATGTCAAGCAATACATTTCTGACAAGGACTATAGAACTATTCCTGTGGGTTATTCATCGAACGATGATGGTCAAACTAGAGTTGCAATCGCTGATTACTTTTCTTGTGGGTCTCTTGAGGAAAGAGCTGATTTCTTTGGTATCAACATGTACGAATGGTGTGGTGATTCTACTTTTGAAACTTCTGGTTATGAAGACAGAACTAAAGAATATTCCAACTTGACTATTCCTGTTTTCTTTTCTGAATATGGTTGTAATGCTGAACGTCCAAGAAAATTCACTGAAGTTGGAGCTCTTTTCTCTAGCGAAATGACCGATGTTTGGTCAGGTGGTATTGTTTACATGTATTTCGAAGAAGAAAATGACTACGGTTTGGTTAGTGTAAGTGGAAACAAGGTTCTGACTTTGGCTGACTACTCTTACTATAGTAAGGAGATTCACCTGATTTCTCCAACTCTTGCCTCAGCTTCCGCCGCTTCTGTATCCGCTTCAAACACTTTATCTTGTCCAGCTGAAGCTGCTACTTGGAGCGCATCTCCAAGTTTACCACCAACTCCAGATAAGGATACTTGTGAGTGTATTGCAAATTCATTAAGCTGTGTTGTATCAGACGACGTTGATTCAGACGACTATGGCGACTTTTATGGAACCCTCTGTGGTTTGGATGGTGTCGATTGTAGTGTTATAACTGCTAATGGTACATCTGGTGTTTACGGTGGTGTTTCATTCTGTGCTGACAAGGATAAACTTTCTTACCTTTTGAACCAGTACTATGAATCTAATGATAAACATTCTTCTGCTTGTGACTTCAGTGGATCTGCTTCCATCAACGCAAGTGCTACAACCGCATCTTCTTGTTCGTCTAAAGTTGCTGCCGCTTCGAGTGCTGCTTCAGGCTCAAGTGGTACTGGCTCTTCCTCAGGTTCCGGATCCTCTAGTGGCTCTGGCTCCGATTCCACTTCTACCTCATCAAGCACCAAGAAATCATCAGCTCTGAGTGTCAGAGTAGCATTCTCAAGTGGTGAACTTTATGCTTTTGCAGGTATGATAACTTGTTTCCTTGGTGGCTTAGGATTTATGTTTGTCTAGGTAGTTTATTATCGAAAGTGATAAATTTAAGGTATTGAGCAAGGAAAAACTGAGAATTTCTTACAAAAAATCTATAGGAATATAAAACCTTGTATTCTACTATTAAATGTAGTAAATTGTTCTTTAATGCTTGTATGTATGCTAGTTTGTAATCATGAAAATTTCGTTTAAAGCTTTAGCATCCATCACAGAGGCTCTCTTTTGCTTAATCCACCTAGACCTCACAGATAATCTTGTAGAAATTTGAGGAGCATCAGATTCTTTGGGCTTTAACATACTTTCACGGGTTACTTTCTCTATTTTCTTTTCATTCTTCAGTTTCTTAGTATTCTTCAGCTCTTTCTTCTCTTTCTTCTCTTTCTTCTCCTTTTTATCTTTGCTTTCCTTCTTTTCCTTCCTCACTTTGCTTTCTTTCTTTTCCTTCTTTTCTTTCCTTTCTTTCTTTTCCTTTCTTCCTTTGCCTTCCCTTTTCTCTTTGCTTTCATTCTTTTCTTTTTTATCTTTCTTTGCTTTCTTATCGTCTTCCTTGTTAGATTTGCTCTTCTTTCTCTTTGGCTCTTTAACATCCATGTCACTTCCTTGTGTACTTTTTTCATTATCTCTCGACCTTTTCTTTGAAGCTTTCTTCGCTAGTTCAGCGTCCCAGGTACTCAGTAATACTTCTCCTTTGATAAATGTCATTCCCCACTTACCATTCCAAACTTCCGTCTTTTGTCTATCTAACTCCTTGTTAATTTGATCTTCTTTCCCATTTAATCTACCTAAAATTCTTTGAAAAACATCTAAGCCTGCACATTCACCTGAATCAAATTCGTCTTGCTTTTGTTTCTTTGCCAACAGAGCGCCTAGCCCTACGTTACCATCCTTGATAGAAACTTTAACATGAGTAGTGGTAGCATGATCAACGAGTCCCAAACCTTTTCCCTGCGTCCAACCCATTTTTTCTAAGTATTGATGCCCAAATCTTGAAGTATCATTGGACCAATTTGTATTTCTTGGATCAAGTCCAAATCTTTGCTTTACCTTAGTACCAGCTAATCCCATATTTGTCTTCAAGTAATACGTTATCGATGCTTTCAAGCTTTACTTCATAAATAAAGAAAAAAAATAAAAGAAAAGTGATGAAGATGATGAGATGTCCTGCACACAATAAACCTATATATAATATTTTATCTTTCTTGGTACCAACTAATGTGTACATTACATTTATTGTGGTTCTCGAAATTGGACAAGTTTATCTTTTTTTAGCTAATTCTATATAGCAGGATTGAAGTTTTGGTCCTAGTCCGAAGTGTGCAAAGAAGGTAGCTCTTTCGCCTAGACACGGAATATCGATAGGAATTCTAAGAATTAATTAAAGAAAAAGTTACATTCAGTTCAATTCATCGAATGGAATTCCACTATTAAATCTAAATATTATCAGTTGCCAATTATAGAAAACCACTGGTTATTAGCAAATAAACTGTCCCATGTACCTTCTTTGATGACATTACTACTTTCTAACCAAGAAAGAACTTCAAGATAATCTCTAACACTCAAAACTGTTTGCATCTTCTTGTATAATGCTGCTCTTGTTACACCGGGCTTGAAAACTATATGATAAAGTATTGAAATTATAATCTTTCTCCACAATGCTGAATTAATACTCCCATTAAGGTCTAGCCATATGTGCGAACAAGCTTTTCCTGTAGGTATTGGTATTATGTCAATTAAATTTTTCCAACGAGTATCATTTTCGGAGGAGACAATAATGTTGCATGACAATTTCGACTTATCTATTAATCTTGATTCATAACCCGCAAATTTATATGTTTTATCTATTCTAGTAACCTTCAACGGAGGACCATCGCAAATTAATAAATTTAATAGTCCAGCAATCTCTCCACTTGATATTCCCTGGGACAAAATTAGTCCTTTTCTCGCTTCAATAACTGCCTTGAGATTTGACTCAAACCTTGATGCTTGATGAAAGAATTTTGGAGTAAACACCTTGTGAGAAATTAAATTGTAAAACTTGTCAGTCAAGATGAATCGTATATCCGAATCTTGGAGAGAATAATAAGAAATTTCTTTGTCTTTTAGCAAACTAGTAATAGCTTCTTGTGTATTTTCTTCTCCGTACTCCGACAAGATGTTGTTAACAGATTGCTTTGAAAAATTTTCCTCTGCAGTTGCAAACGTTGCCTTTAAAGTAGATCTGAGATCATCGTGCGCCTTTGGCACAATTTTTTCAATTCCTTCGCTGTAGTAAAAAGTTGTGCTCGAGAGTATAGCTTCCTTCTGTCTCATTGAATTTTCTTCCAACTGCTCAAATAGTTCCGCTTGATAATCCTTATATGGTGGAATTTCATAATCTTCTAAATTTCCTTCGATAGTTGAATAGAACGGATTAGTATCCATTCCATCCAAAATGGAGTTATCCGCATCTTCCCATATAGAAAGCAAAAATTCATAATCTATTTCCGTTAAATCTGAAGTCGTTACATTTCCGTCTTCAATAGCTCTGGTTACAATTTTCTCAAATACTTTAATGCCTCTCATAACAGCGGACAATCCCCCAGCAACTTTTCTCACGGAAATCCATTTTCTTTTCACCTCTCCAGCGTCCATTCCATCAAATAAACGAGCAATTGCTTCGAAGTCAATGGGACCCCTCTTAAAGCTTCTGGAAATAATGACTGCTCTATACAAGCAAGTTGCTTGCTCTTGGTCGAACCTGTTCTCGCCTCGAACCCTATATACCGATGATTTTGTAGACAAATCATTAGTAGTTTTAATCTTACTTTGATTTTGCTTCGTTCTACCTTTCCTCCTTTTAGGAAGGTAAAATTGTACAGCATCGTCCAGACCTTTTCCAACAGATTTACTTTCTTCCCCATTCTTAGTGGCTTTTTTTGCTGATTCTGATCCTTTATGTTTCTTATTTTTTAGTTCACTCTCTCTATCCGAGATTGAAGTACCATCATCATCATCATCAATTTCTCTCTTAATCTTTGCAATCTTCGTTTTACTTTTCAAACTGGCAAGTCTAGTACCACTCTTCTTTTTTGCCGGAGTAGGGTTGTATAGCGTAACTTCATCTTCAATTACCCTTCTATTGGTGTACAAATTCTGTTTGTTCGAATTGTCATTTAGACAATCCTTCTTGATATTTTCAATAAATTCTTTAGATGGACGCAAAGTAGGGTCAGTTAAAATTAACAACTTCCTTGTCACTACTTGTCCAGATCTAGTAAATGTAATATCCTCAGCGTCTAAATCTTTAATTGAAATTAAATAAGACACGTCTCTCGCAAGAGTTTTTTTATCCGTAATAGTAGAATTCCCTAGTTTTTCATCTACTAATCGACATAAATTTGCTGCGGTGTATGTTGCACCACCCTGCGCTTTAATTATTTCAATAAGAGCAGATCTCCTTTTTATAGCCTTGAGCGAACCTACTGAAGCAGACACAGAATTCTTCTTTGAGTTATCAAGTCTAGCAGTAGATAAGGACTTGGATATCGCATCTTTTGTTAAACTATTAATCACCGGTTCAATTTCTTGTCCCATGCTTAAGTTTGTATTTCCTAGCTCATGACCTGCCTGTATATTGAAATCAATTGATAACAACGAATTATCAACTAGTATAGGTATTTCAGTAGGATCAACTGATGGAGAGTTAGTGTTCGATGAAGCATTTGGAAAATCCGAGTTAGTCACTTGACTGACATCCTTTGGTGGTCCGTTAGCCTTATCCTTGTTCAGTTGAACTTTTTGTGATCTAGTATCTCCTCTTTTTGGTCTCCCTCGTCTTTCAACTTTAGTATTCTCATTTTGGTCTATATCGTGTAGTTCATCAAGTTTTCTTTTATTGGAGACCTTACTATTGTTAAATAGCGAGGTCTGAGATATCTTGCCAAGTGCAACATAGTGCTTCTTATTCAAATAGTGAATGCCAGCCGTCTTTGGTTGCTTTTTCAGAGAAATAGACTTGATTTTTTTATCAGCTCTGGTCGTCTTTGAGATTTTCAAGTAGTTATCTCTCGTAAAATAACGATAAAACTTGTATTTACCTTCGAAATCATATCCTCTAACAATTGAATAATCTTCATATTCATCTTCAAATTTCTTCAACTTCTTTAGTTTATCGTTGTCAATAACAAAAGACGTGAATATATCAAGTGATTTGGTGTATGGTCTACAATCCGAGACACCTGTAATATGGCGCACAATGTCCATTGAAGTAGCACCATCTGTTCCATGAGACTGAATGAATTGAAAAAATTGGTTCTGGAGTGGAAAATGTTTAGTCAAAGAGGGTATGGAGGGTTCATCCTCAGGGTTGGTCTCTTCATCTTCTATCCCATCAACATCATCCAACTCATTGAAAAAATCTGCAATTTCGTCTCTCTCGTCGTAATCTTTCGCTAAGTCTTTTAAAAACTTGATACAGTAAGTCAATGACTTATTATCAGACTCTTTAACCATCAATCTTTCAACATATCCCCTTTTGTCCAAGTATTCAATAATACTTCTGAAAAATTTAGATGAAGATTTATTCTTATCTAATTTTAACTCAACTTTCAAGTCAGCAAACCCTCTCAATTGATTAGGAGCACTCTTCACTGCGTTCACTACATATATTTTTGTCTTTTCGACATTCCTTGAGCTTTCCAAATTTTCGTTCAAATCCGCAATTGCACTAGAGACGTCGTCTTTGACAAAGTTCTTGTGAATGCACAAATTTGTGTGCTGTTTAGATATTTCATTATAATAGTTTCGTTTGGAAATGAGGTTTAAGTCCTCTAACTTTTTCAATCTTGGAGTGAGTGATCTTGGATCTTGATTTGTGTTTTTTGACAAGTCTGGGGCCAATATTCCACTTGAGCCATGTCTTGCTATCTCTACAAGCAATTGAAAAGGAAATTCTCCAAGCTGTAATTTCAATCTCTTCAGATTTACTAATCCTGTAAGATATTTCCACTGAGTTGGTGGGGTAGGTTTTAGACGGAGCTGATTTTCATTGCCGCCATTACTAGCAATAAATTCATCATATGTGCCAATTAATGGCAATGGAATATTCAAGTCTTCTCTAAAGACATTTAACCCTTCTTGCTCATCGTCAAGTCCTTCGTAACCGATCTGATGTGGCGTACCTTTTTCATTGAGAAATACCCATTGCCATATTATGTTCTTCAAGAATGCATCAATTGGTTCTTCAAGAAAAGTAGAGATTTCATTCCAGATCTCAGACAAAGATATACCATAATTTCCAGAATATGCAGTCTTCCTCAGAATAAACTCGACCACTTCCACCGGAGGATATTTCATTATCTATGAGGGCAGTTAATTCAATTGAGTTCACTTGTTGATTGATATATGTACTAGCGAAACAAAAATAAACAAGAGTTCTCGTAAGGGTGAGAATCGAACCAGCGATGGAAAAAATAATAAAATAGAAAATGATACTGAAGTTAACTTAGAAACAGTAAAATATTCCTGCGCCTAATTTTATTTCGAACTTTCTACAATTATGAAGGAAATGGATATCGTTCGTAAGTATGTGTAGAGAGCCCCAGTTGTCAAAACTCAAGTTATGTGAAACAGTGGCACATTTACCAAGTGCTGAAATTGTTCTTTGCCCTTCATAGCAAGATCTAGAGTGAGTTCTATTGAGAAAAACGCTCAAAACGCTTCCCATCACTCTTCACGTGATACATAAAAAAATTTTGTAGCTGGAAAGATGAATTATATCATCTAGGATACTGCTCCAACTACTACCCACTCAAGGTATATTCAAACAACACGGTAAGCAAGTTGAAGAACTCCACCGGGATTAGATTTGAACTTAAATTCTACTTTGAGTTTTTTTTTTTTTTTGCAGCCATTTTTTTTTTGCAGCCTAAGATAAAGTCTAAATTACCTACCATCTACCATGGACTCTGACGATGAAGTACTTACCCTTTCTGCTTCCACTTTAGCAGCTCTTCAAGAATTCAAGAAGGAAGAAAGTGAAAGAGTAGAACAGTTCACTAAATTATCCCAAAGTGCTCAGGAAGAATACGACGAAAATCAGAGGCAAATATCAATTGATTTATTTCAAGAAGATTGGCAATTGTCTCAGTTTTGGTACGTTGATAAAACAGCAGAAATATTAGGACGTGCATTATTAGAAGGTGCTGATGAAGATACAGTCATAGCTATTGCAAGTGCACCATCGGTGTACGCTGCAATTAGGAAATTCCCAAAAGAAGAAATTCCAACTAAACATATCTACCTCTTCGAATATGACAAAAGATTTGAAGTATTAGCTGGGAAGGATCATTTTTATTATTATGACTACAACTTCCCCAATGACATACCAGAAATTTTAAGACATAAAGTTGATAGATTATTAATCGACCCACCATTTTTGGAAGAAGTTTGTCAAGCAAACTCTGCAAAGGCAGCATTCAATTTATTGAAAAAGGACAAAACTTCATTAACCAAGAAAGGTGACTTAAAGTATAAGATTATGTCATGTACTGGAGAGAGAATGAAGCATGTTATCAGACATAATTATCCAGAGACCAGAATGACCGATTTCTATCCAGAGCATTCAAATTTGATGAATGAGTTTAGATGTTACGCATCGTTTGAGTGGTCAGGATGGAAATTCTTACCAGAAAGTGCACAAGGAGATGCTTGACCTCATATTTTGATTCATGTTGATATCATAATTTACACCAGCGTTAATCGACGTTTTGTAAGCTCAATATCTCTTCCAATACTTTTGAAGCTGATATACATTTCCGCCTTATCTTCGAGTAATTCTTCTTATTTTCAATTCTCTTTTTACAATCTTCAAATATCAGTTATACCAGAGATGTATTGGACTTGAAACGGTAGAGTTCCATAGGTGTTAGGTTAGTGGCTTAAAGCATCTATCAATTATTCCACGAAAATATATAAAGGGTTAGGAATCTACAGAAATTAAATAAATGTCAAGTATTAAAAGTTGGGCAATGCCGTTCAATAAGAAACTACAGAAATGACATATATGTCAAGTATTAAAGGTTAGGTAATGCCGCTCAATTAGGTAAATATTTAATTTCTAAAAGACACATTAACATAAGTTCTGATCTAATAGATAGTTCCTGGTATTGCAACATTAATATTGTGGATCCTCCATGGTGTTACCCGGCATTCTCTGTATTACTCTGATACTAGGGTATTTGTTCTCGATTATTGTGTAATTTTTATCACGTCGAGCCCTAATTTTATTCGATGTGTAGATTTGTACGAAAATTTTTCAGGCCACATTGTCCATATATTAAACCTTTCTCCCTTCTACTTATAAGCAGTTCTTTTCCCTATCAAACAATAGCTAAAATGTCTTTCTCCGACTTCTCAAAAACTGAATCTATCAAGTCCTTAAACGAATTCTTGGCTGACAAGTCTTACATTGAAGGGTATGTTTAATCATTGTGTTCGATTATAGAACATGCAATCGAGTAATCAATTCAAAATTAAAAAGGTATATTGGATGTTAAATCAAAGACCTTCTATACTTTTTTGAATTTCGAATTGAGGAAATCTTTTCTTCCTAAATTGCAAATTGTGTTCAACATTGAAGGAAAGAGTTTGGAGGACAGTATATTTTGGTCTTATAAAGTTTGCTCTTTTAAAATGATGATCTCAATCTTTGGTCCGTGTTTATGAGGTGGATTCAAGACCCACCGTATGAGTGACAAAGAAGATTTAAATATCACTTTCTGATTTATTTGACAAATCCTATTAAAAAAAGATAATGACCTAATATCCTCTTTCCATATTGATATAATGGAGAATAGTTTTTCATTTTATTACTTGAAATTTTACTAACATTTTTTTTAGTACTTCTGCCACTCAAGCTGATGTAACTGTCTACAAGTCTTTCCAAAAAGAATACCCACAATTAACCAGATGGTTAAACCACATCGCTTCTTTCACTGAAGAATTTTCTACTTTACCAGCCGGTAAGGTTCCAGCTGCCGCTGCTGCTGAAGAAGAAGATGAAGATGATGTTGACTTATTCGGCTCTGACGATGATGAAGTCGATGAAGCTGCTGAAAAGTTGAAGCAAGAAAGATTAGCCGCATACGCTGCAAAGAAGGCCGCTAAGGGTCCAGGTCCAGCAGCCAAGTCTCTCGTCACCTTGGATGTTAAGCCATGGGATGATGAAACTGACTTAGACCAATTACTTGCCAACGTTAAGGCTATTGAACAAGATGGTTTAGTCTGGGGTGCTCACCAATTTATCCCAGTTGGTTTCGGTATCAAGAAGTTGCAAGTCAACTTAGTTGTTGAAGATGCTAAGGTTTCTCTTGATGAATTACAACAACTCATTGAAGAAGATGAAGATCACGTCCAATCTACTGATGTTGCTGCTATGTCGAAATTATAAGTTCACTCACTGGTATACAATGTATTGTTATTTTTAGTTATGTCTTTCACTACATAGTAATGTACACGAATATTTAATATTCCTATTTTTCTAAAATTAATTTAGTTCTATAGTTTTAAAGAGGTAAATAATCGATACTTTCATCAAGATATGCCTTTATGATTTGTTCCGGGCTTTCTTCAGTTTCCCAAACCCTAAAAACAATTTGCCTTAGAGTGAATAAAGTCCCCATTTGAGCATTTCTATATAAAGTGTCCATGAAAAGTTCTAGTTTTGATTTTTCCCAGCTAGTGGTACATTCGCATCCCATTGCAAATACCGGCCATACCATTTGGGTAACAAATGGCAACGTTGGCTTCATAGAACCGTACACATCTATGAATTCATGTAGTAGCGACTTAATTCTCTTTTCGTAGAATGGAAATTTCACGGTTCTAATCAAGGTTATGTAAACTGCCAACAGCCAGCATTGTGCAGCTTTTAATCTGATGGGAAAAGCCTGACCTTCGGTATCAACCATTTCATCCTCATCATACGATTGTTCGAACAGAACATACTCTCTATACCTCAAAATCTCATTTTCAATAGCCAGATAGTTTACCTTTAATTCTTCCTTCTTCATTTGAGTGCCTTTGTGAAGCTCATGCCTTAGTGAGCACACCTTTGACATTGCCTTGAAAATTTCTCCTGGGCATCCCATCATTTTGGCAGTAGAAACTTTACCACTATTACTTACCGAAGAACCATACCACTCGGGGTTGCAGTATGGAAGCCTACAATCTGCAGAAACTATTGCTGAAACTGTATCATACCAACTCAAAATGACCACCAAGGATTGCTTTTTTGCGTTTTCTTTTAATGATTCATAAAACATTTTGTCCTGACATACGGATGCAAATACTTTAAAAAAAAATCTCGAGAAAGAAGACAAACCTTTTTCTAGAACAGCAAACAAAATATGAACATTAATAAGTACTAAAATTACAAAAGAACTGATCAATTTTTTCCTAGTATTTGCGGTGACGATGTTTTCTGTTTTACTGATATCGTTTGCGTCGGGAATTGACATCAAAATATTTCCCACATCAGCATTTATATCTTTTTCCTGTTCTATTTCGAATTCCGCTCCAGTTGAGTTTCCTTCATGTATGTCATCCTGGGAATCATTGCTGCTAATAAATTGGATTAAATAATCCATGGTTCTATTTATATGAGCCATTCCCTTCTTATAATATTCTTGTCCTCCTTTTCTGCTTTCGTAAATATGTATACATGAAAGTGAAATGAAACAACTTCTTGCAATATCAAAATCACAGTATTTTAATGCCAAATCTGGCCACGGCGTGTTTGGATGTGCATCTAACAACGGTAGTAAATTCTTGAAGAAGTGCTTCAACATCATATTCTCTTCGGAATATGTTAGAGAGCTGTCTTCGGTTGTCGTAGAATTATTGACAGGGTAGTTTCTATCAAAGACCTGTGTGCCTGAATAGGAAGAGTGTGGAGTATCTTCTGAGCTACTACTTGTCAACGCTTCAGACATTAAAGAAGCTGAAGATCCACGAGGAAGTGAGAATAAAGGACTATCTGTCTTTTTGGGCTTGTCATTTTCCTCCCTGATTTTAAAATCATGGGCATTAATTCCAATTGACGGTGAATCAAGAATAAAGTTCAAGCTTTGAGAATTTTTTCTTCTAGTGCTATCAACAGTGGCCAGTTGTGCTGCAGGGGATTTGAGTAAATACTCTAATCCTTCGAACAATTCAGTCCCAAATAGCTCAAAATTTGTTCCTGGGTGGTTATTTATCCCTATTTTTGGTTGCTCTTCCATCTCAATACTTGAAGCCAGAAAAGGATTTTCCACGTTATCTGTGCTAGACTGTGATACTTCTGTTGGGGTGTGTGAATATATATCACCTTTACCTTTCAGAACAAGGAATTGTGAAGTGCCATGAGTAGCCGACTTCGGCCCTTCCGATTGAATAGTGTTCTGATTTTGAAAACTACCTGTTCCATTCAATTCTTTGGAGCTATCAGTCTTTTTCTTAGCCCTCGGCCTTCCTATAAAACTGTGTTTAAAAACCCCTTTGTTGTCAAATCTGTCACGGTTTCTAGAGTCATCAACATCAAAGCTTAGTCTTATACCATAGCCTTCACACGTTCTATTTGTAGTAACGCAATTATTACACTGAGGTTTTGCTTCATCGCACTTTCTATGTCTTAGAATGTTAGTATGAAATTCAACTTCAACTTCAAAATCAGCAACTTACCTTCGTTTGCAGGTCCAACAGCCGGTTCTAACCCTAGTTATTTTACCCATATCTCATCAAGCTTAAAAATATGTCACTAGTTAAGGTAAAAAATCTCGATCTCGATCAAGTTTAAAAAAAGCGAGATTTTCAACCGCGCTTACTCAATGTTTACCAAGGCGAGAAGAATCGTCGTAGATTACGCAAGAAAAAAAGAATATGCGAGTGATAAGATCTAATCCAAATAGAATAGATCTTTACAGATACAAAATCAGCCTACTATTTTATGATCTATTGTAGTAAGTATTACAGTAGTAATTCAGAATTTCTGAATACCGTATTTAAAAAACACTTTACCTGACCAACCTGAAGTGAAATACAGAATTTCTTAGATATCAATTGTTAATATATCACACAACCCAAGCGCCAACAGCTAATAAATAATGTACCACAGCAAAAGTGGTGAGAAAAGTCAAAATATTTAATACCGGGTTACGCCAATGGAAATCTTATCTATCAATCTCGAGTTTTCTTTACTACTTCAAAGTATAGCTGCAATATTACTCTAGCACAGACCAAGTAAATAAACCATAAAAATTCCGTGTAGATCCCCTTCTCTTGAAGAAAATTTGTAACTAAATGCACCCAAGTTCATCATTGGGCTGTCAAAGGTAAGCTCACCTGTCAAGGATCTCTTTTTCAATCCTAGACCAATGAATATATAATAACTTAAAGCTTCACTTCTTTGTAGAACTTCAAATAAAGTTGTCGTATCCACGAATAGACATCTACGAAGAGGAAAATCTACAATAAACACTGAAAATTCCAATATCGACTACTGCAATAGATATCATAGTTTCATTTCAATATCGCAAATGAATAAAAATACATTCACCTTCCTGTTCTGAAAAATTGACAAACAAGGTAAACAAGGAAAAGGGAGTTCATATTACTCCGAAAGGCACCATATCTTCAATCAAGAGAATATGACCTAAGTTAAGAGTTAATAAATAGATTTTTAATCGCAATTACTTTCTTACTAAGAGCTTTAAACACATCCATGTAGCACTCTTTGAATTTCTCTAATGTGATGTTTAAAGCACTTCGAAGTTACTTAAAGAGAATCGCACAGCAAACCCCAGCCATTAAACGTAATGGATGCCAAATAAGTTTTTAAACAATCATTCACTAATCCTTCACCGCATATAGACAGAAATGCTAATTTCACATTTTCTACATCGTAAAATTGAAAAAGAGTTAGACGACTTGAGTATGCATTTATTTGCAAACACTCAAGCTATATATCGCTCGACCTTTCAATTTGAAATGTGCACTGAATGGTTCAGCGGTTTCAAAGAAGCATTTGTCAAAAGATTGGCCCAAATGTAGATTACACAACACATAAACAAACGTGAGTGTAAGATTTTCAGCTTACAAAAATGAACCGTAACCAAATAAGGTATTCAACAGAATACTCAGTATACAGATGAAAATATATAACTATCATGAAAGTAAACCACTTATAAATAAACTTTCTTCAGTCACAGCTGTGCCAAAAAAACAACTGTAGCGAAATCGAAGTCAACTCTATTGAAAGAATTTCTACTTCCTTCTATTAGAATCGGAGAACTTCTGATTGATTAAATCTGCAAGGTAGATAGAAGAAACAATAACAATAAGCCTATTGATGAGAATTAACAATGCTAGGTACTACCAAATGATCCAGTGAACTTGAAGACATATCTGAAGAAACTGGATAGAACTTGAAAACTAACCACATTCTGGATTCATAAATTATGAGCTGCATATCTATTAAGTCTCAACATATCACATCCATCCTCACATACGAGATAATGCATGCATTTTTTAGAGCTACAATAATTTGTACGATAAAAGAATAAAGAGATTCTGCAGGGGTAATGAGTGTCATCCTAAAACTCATTCTAGAACTCCCTAGCAACGTACATTCATCGTTAATCAATAATACATAACATCATAATGGTGTTAAAGTAAGCAACTAGTACATTAAACTTAGAAACATACAATACTACAGAGATTTTAGTATCAAGGCCTTAGACTGGGAAAATTGATGTCATTACTAATTTTAAAAAGGCGGATAGTATAAGAAGAACTTTGAGAAATTTTGCTCCGAGAATCCTTAGTATTCGGATTTTCAAATACGTGAATACGATATGCTTAGAGATTTCTATACAATTTAAGTGCGGTTTATTTTGTACACATTTTCTTCTAGCTACTTCTAGCTTATAGATTACCGCTTTTCTTGTTTACCGTTCTCATCATCTTAAGCAAAAGGAACAGCTCCATTTAGGTCGCTAGCTCTCGTTCCTATTTCCCTTGTTATTATAATGCTGAGACAAACTGCTATGAGGCTGAATGACATTCTTATTCTTACTCTTCTTTGGTTGCACCTTTATAAGGCAATTCTTATTTGTTTTGGGTAAGGCAGTATGAAATAGTGGTGAGAGAAGCAAGAGAAAATATTGGTTACCAACATTCACAGAACATTAAGAAGGCAGTAATTTTTTCAGTGAGCCAATATGACATAATAAACAACATTACTTTTACTTTTAGGAATTCGAGTAGTAGGAAATTTTGTTAAGTTGTATTCCACTTTTCAATCTTCAATTGTGATATTCATTAGACTTGCTTGTTCATTGTAGATAGAATGCTCTTAATTTTCAAATCTAGGAGTAATCAAAGATTAGAGACTTTTAAACTCTATATCCTTAGCTTTGCACTATTTTAGATGAGAAATAGGTTTTTGATTATTGTTCGTGGTATTGCCCGTAATTTATTAAGGATCAGGTAGATTTTGAAATGAAAAGACGCTTGAGATTTATAAAATGCTATCGAGTGGACTTGCGAATTTACTTTGAGAAAGTTCTTTTTACTGTTGCTGGCCCTGTGTAATTAGCTCTACTTTAACATCAGCAAGCTCTTCATTTTTACTTTCTGAGATTTGCTCTTAGTTTTCATTATTAGAAGTCTCTGCTTTCCGAACTTGTGATTTTGATGTACCAACCTTGAAGTGACTAAACTAATATGCATATCATGTTGTACATGTAAAATTGAAATTTTTGATCTTAGGTATTTTGATATCAAATGAAGAAGTCTACATCGTTGCTACATCTTTAAGTATAAGTTCACTACAAATATTTATTCTCTATGGAGAGGCTTTTTTTCCAATTTCTTCCCCATGGTCAACGTCAACCACATTGAGAGAACTTAAGTCATCGCTTTCAAGTAGTCTTCCATTACTATCATGGTGAGCATCCCATTCTGCCAATTCCGCATAGGGAACTTTAATAACAGTGTGACCTTTCTCTCCGTTTTCCAACGTGTAGTACGATGTTCTATGCTCATACTTAAAGATTTTAGGTAAGATTCTACCCCAAACATAGTAATATGCAACACACAACAAAAGTAAACCAACTGTCGTAATTGTGTAGGCAGCGTAGAAAAATGAAACATCTGACCCAATCAATGTACCATCAGAAGGAGGAACCCATGCAAGGGCAATAACAAATATAGAATATAAAATAACAATAACAACTATTGGCAATGGAACTTTGAACCCTTCGTATCCTAAGCCCTCAGCTTTCCTGGATTTTCTGACAAGCAATAATCCGACAACCAATAATAAGCTGAATATATATCCAGAATATGAACCGATATCAACCACAAAATTATATGCATCACCTGGGGGTGGTGCAAGAAGCACTATGATGTTGACAATCCATATGGCAATTACAGGTAAAACAGGAGTTCCCCAGGGTTTGGTAGTCGTCCACCAGCTTGCATAAGGTAAAACACCTTGTCTACCACATTCTCTGATTGATCTCGATTGACCGACTACAACCGCAAGTAAATGACCCAATGCTGAGAGCGCAACGAAAACATCCAAAGCTGTAGCAGCTTTTTCGGTTCCAAAAACACTTTTGAAAAATACTGCTGAAACTAAACTGCCTGATTTTTTAATTGTATCGACGTCTCCGATACCAGCATAGAAGGCCGTAATAATCAATAAGTAAAAGATGAAAATTGAAAACATAACACCTGGAAGGAAATACTTAAACATATTTTTAGTTTTTCTGGGGTCGGCTTCACCAGCAATTGCAAAGAGATATTGTGTTCCACCATAGGAGAAAGCAACTTTGATAATTGCATTTGAAATTGCATTCCCATCTTTAGTTGTCCCTTCCCACGAATTATGGAACACTTTAGTTGGGTTTTCAACTCTTGTATTTCCTCCAAGAACTACGAGACCTGTAATTGCAATGAAGATAACAAAAACTGTTTTAATGAAACCCAATAAGTTCGAAAGTTGAAGTGCAAGTCTTGAGTTGGCAATGGTCAATACGCAAACAAACGTCAATACGGCAACACCAACACCTCTTTGTTGCCAGGCAGTAGCATCATAATTAGCAGCTGCTAATATGTACAGTCCGAATGCAATCGCTGATGAAGTCAGGAAAGACAAGATAACACTAACAGCAGCATAAGTTGAGGCAACTAAAAATTTTGGCTTTGGATAAGACTGTTCCAAATAGACGACATTTCCACCAGAACGACGCTTAAAATAAGTTACAAACTCAATATATACTAAAATTTGCAACATAGCGATGATAAACCCAGTGACCCAAAGTACGTAACTAGCACCGACAGAGCCTATAGATTTTAAAATACTAGCAGGGTTGGCGAAAATACCAGTTCCAATAACTCCTTGAAGGGCCATGAAGTATGCCGTAAAGTAATCTAAATTATATCCTAATGGATTAATCTTTTCCACGGGAGCACCGATAGAGAATTGAGCATCCGAACTGTCATCTTCAACGTAGTCATCGGGTTTTTGTTTTTCTGCACCAATAATTGGGTTGAGTACAGCTCTAAGGTATCCAGGCATTCTATTTCTTAGTTATCGGATACATTATCATCTTAATTTAAGGAAAGACTTTTACCTTTTTATACTCAGAAGCAGATTTAGAACATATCTCGAAAACATAAAATGGTTGCAGAGACGCCACAGAAAGTCCACACTTCTTTTTTATCAAAATCGGAGAAGTTTTTGTGGCTCCTCCTCCACCAAATTTCATGTTAATCGAGCCAATAAACTTAACCGCTTTTACACTTACTACCTAAATATAGGATTCTGGTGTAGATTTTGAAAAGTGATAGTTATTTCCCAGTTCCCAGTAACATTGATACCTGGAACAGATTATGACGCCAAAATATAACAATTCATGAATTGATAAGTCGATCAATGAAGTGGTACTTGTCAGTTCAGATGAATCCTCGACAAGTACACTATCATGTTATCATAAGGTCTGTTGTAATGTGCAAACCACAATTACTAATTAAGACGTGATTAGGATACCACTATTTTCCAAGCTTATTAACTTGATAAGGTATTCTTTGAATGTGTTACAAAAAAAATTTTTTGTGCAAAGCAACTAATGAATAGTCCTCTGCAGAGAGTTTCACTGATTGACATATTTGACATTTTAGCGACATTCGTTAAAACTTTCACTGACCAATTTAGCTTCTTAGATCATATACATTTCTACTAATTTAGTAGTCAGCAAGCAACAAATACACCGATTGTATTGTTCAAATCTACTTTGACTCTTAGTTAAATGCAAGTAACAATGTAGCTTCGTAGAACAAAAACTGTGGTCCAAGAGAGGCTGAAATAGAATAATTTTTTTTATCAAAGCAAGGCTTCTTATGTAGATTTAAGCCAAGTATTGAGAAGCTTATTGTTAGATCCACTGTGAACAATAATTCGTCAGCTATCATATACTTCATTTTGTGAAACGCCTTTCGCACGATTTTTCTTACTTTTCTGCATTATGTTTAGCCACACTGAGGAATATCCAAATCTCCTGTATGGAGAGGTCTTGAAGGACCCTTAACAATTATTATCAGTAACATATCAAGACACTCAGTAAAAAAATCTCAAATGAAAGGCCACGAACAGTAATATGAAGATCATTCGCAATTCAATTCGGATCTGCATGAGAATATCTATAATCAATTGTTTTGAGATAAAAATTAAATTCAATAAACAATATATTCCGCAAAATAAGTTAATTCAAGAAAATTATGTTCAAGAGTGTCTGAAAATTGATTTTATGTTGTTTAATGTAGGATTTTTTAAAGTCTCCAATTTTACTTAAAATTTCTAGCTCCTAGTCTATTAGGCATATAATTACTGTATTTTTCTAATTAGCGCCTTGCTTGGCTGATTTCTTTTGGTTTAAGTATCGCTAGTTTAACCTAAAGGTACAAGGCTACAGGATCCGAGATTCAATTCTTAATTCGATTATTCTAGGGAAGAGTTTTGCCCATATTGCATACGTAATTTTATAAATAGGTAAAGTTTCGCTGCCACTGGAAATCGACTGCATTCATTTGAAATTCTCGTGCTCACTTCGCATCTAAGTTAATTGGCAAAAATTTCATGGCGATAAAAGGTAATTTCAGGCAGCATCTGACAGATAATTCTATACATTTGGAGAATGAGAGAATAGTAGAAGATCATGAAATAAAATTGTAAATTATATGCAGGTCAAGAGAAAGATCATCAGTATTCCAATGTTGTAAGTATTTTAATTTGAGTCTCAATTATTCTTGATCAAATATAATTCCTTGGAAGTCACTACATAATTTACTCTAAAATTCTAGTCTAGTTTATCATTTGAAAATTAAGTTACTTCCCCTGTTCTCATTATATTGCTGATGGATTTCATCTTCCACCCAGTGAAGCAAAACGTGGGCATTTCTTGGTGCTCGAAGAACATTATGCACGAAATATACCCCTTCATGCAGGAAACACGTGGATACCTAAATTTTCATTGCAGTCATTTTAATCCAAATAAAAGGAAAAGAAGTGATTAAAGCGAATGATAAGCTAGTAACCGTATTTTACTGATAACGGGCTACATACTAGATAAAGGAGATCTTTCGTCTTCAAGACAACCAACGTTGAATATTATTCTTTTTGGAGGGTCACTCACATACTTTTTATAACTGTAATAGTTTATTGAGAACCAATCCACCATCCTTGTCTTAAGATAAAGTCATTACTATTTTTGAATTTTAACATTACACTTTTACAAGACTCAAGCTCTTCTTAATATGAGTATTTGAGTAATAACTAATAACTATTAAAGACCAGTGAAAGCATATGAGTTTATTAGAGCGAGTGTCACCTTTACACTCTCCATCTTCAAAGAGCAACTGTTCTCGTGGATACTTTCAAGTACCCAATAAAAGTAATGGTGTTGATTCACTCAGTGAGTCTGCAATAAGTAATGTAGTAAATGACTCTGACTTAGATACTGAGAGAAGTTTCTATAATAGACGTAACAAGTATCCATTCACATCAGACGAAAGAACAAAATCACCCAGCTCATCTCAGATATTAAAAGATGATTCTTATTTACAAGGTTACATAAATAAGAAAGACATGAACCGGAAAGTACTCCGAGGGAGGAGTTATTTTCCTGCTTTTGAAAAACTACAGAAAGATCAATTTTATTCCCAATATATACGCCAACAGAATAATAAGTCATCACCTCTGGGAGACAAATTTGATATTCAAGAGAGATACCAACAACAAAAAATCATAATAGAAAACAAATCTCAAAAGGAACGTGCTGACAGTCTTGCTGATGACCAAAAGAATGAATCGTCTAACAATAACTGGCAGTCCAGGAGCCCACATGTTCAAATATTAACCCCAAAGTTACATTCCGATGAAGCACAAGAACAACAACAGGACGAATCCCAAATCCAAATCATTCCAATTATTTCATCTTCAATAAACTTACCAAGGGACTTCATAGATTGTTCTATCGACCATCTTATAACTTTAATATCCCGTATGCTAAAGTCCTTAATAGTACTTAATGATAGCAACGTACCTACATCCATCTCAAGTCCTCAATCAGAAACTGATGCAGGAAGTAACAATGGGAATAATAGGTCCTCTGTGCTTACAAGATACCACTCAAGAACACCGCCAAGCATTTCTATTCCGACATATTTGTCAAGATTGACAAAGTTCAACAATTTTACTACGGCCACTCTATTGACCACAATTTATTATATAGATTTGTTATCTCATCATTATCAACCATTCTTCACCTTGAACTCTTGGACTGTGCACAGATTTTTACTAGTTGGTACGATGCTTTCGCAAAAATCTATGGAAGATTTCTTTTATACAAATGATCATTATGCTAAAGTCGGAGGTGTTGCAGTGAGTGAATTAAATTGCTTGGAATTAGATTTCTTAAGCAGGGTAGATTGGAAATGCATACCCGCTAAACACCTAGAGAATGGAAAATCTAGTATCAAATATGCAAAGGACGTATTGGATTTGTATTACGCTCAATTAATTCAATTGATGGGCAAAAATGTATCCAAAGACGATCATAATTATTTTGAAGCTGGAACTCAAAATGAATCTGACGTCAATAGCGGTCAGAAAGGTACCATGGAGACATCCGATTCACAAATTGAAATCAATGGACAAGATGCTGTTTCAGAGGATGAAGAAATAGGAGAAAGAGAAGAAGAAGGAGAAGAAGACGAGGGAGAAGACGACGAAGGAGATGATTATGATAATTATGATTCTGACGAAGAAATCGAATATCAACGTTCTCCTGAAGCTTTTCCTGCTTCAGCTTCAAGGAAAGGAAGTAGTACTGAAGAGGCAGCAAGTGCTGCAACTCTTGGAATTAGCTATTCAAATAAATTTGACGTATTTGGCTACAGCATTGATGGGTCTTCTTCTCCACATTTGAAAAGGAGGTTTTCTATTCAATCTGAGGATTAAGTATATAAAAATCAGCATTACATTATAAAATTGGCTTGGCAGATGGGAAGGATTATACATAGGTAGGATAACCAGGGCACCCATAGAGTAAACAATGGAATTAGATTTGAAGTCATGTAGATTCTCATAAAGTATAAAAGACAAAAACATTTCTTAAATAAAGTGCTGAAAATTAAATAATTGTTAGTTACGTTTGTGCCTAAATAAGCTAAACTCACATCATTCGCTAGAAGATTATCTAGCCATCTCTAGCTGACCGAGAGGTGTTTGAATGAAGTTAAAACTAAAAATTTTTTAGTACTTCAAGTAAGATTGTGATTTTTTCAGTCCTACTTTGACTTGTGCATATAGGAGAATTGGAATTTAAGTTTTTGGCAATTTTGACTATAGCGCACATAGCTTTTGGTAAAGAAAACCCGTTCAAGCCGAGCCAACGGCTAGCAGTATATGACGGAAATCATACGAGAATTTTGAAGCTTCTATGAATCAGTAGATTGAAGGGACTTATTAGGAGCTAGTGAAATATGAAAATCAGCTCTAACTTTTCATAATCTACCACTGGCGGGGTTAACCAAATTTCTCCATTATTCAAACTGATGCTTTTTGAAACGAACCGTTTGCAACTATAAAATTTTATTATTATTAAAAATTACTAATTTGATGGGAAGGCATGGAAATTCACTAACAATTTAATAAATATAGTAAGTCTTGATAAAAGCGTCATTTCAAGGACTTTGCAAATTTGAAGCTTGGTGAAGTAGAAATTTTAAGACCTCTATTTTATATTTATACGTATAAATTTTAGATAGTGTACATATAACTATGAAAGCTGTTTCCCTTCTTTTTCCATGCAGATTAACCGCCCTTTGGACCATCTTTTTAAGGTTCCAAAGATCTCAGCCGCACCAAATATTTCGTAAATGTCGTGAACCCACAATCTGGTTAGGAAGGCACATATTTGTCATATTACATATTGGCTTTTTATGTTCATTAATTATATAAGCAATTCAATTTACTTAAAATTCCAATAATTTTAAAAAGTGTGTTTCATTAACGTTTGTAAGCTTCCAAAATTTTGTAGACAAAAATTAATGAATGTCAAATGTCAACTTCTCCTTCTCTAGAAGTATTAATGATCTTGTCGGAAAAGATGGAGATTTGAGTGAAGAATGTAAATTTCAATTGGTTAGGACTATTACTGATCTCCGCAATGAAGATGTTTTGCAAAGATTGTCTAACCTTTCGAGAGAATCGTCCAGAAGAAATCCCGAGTTTAACATTAAATCTGAAGATTTTGACCTACAAAACATTTTATCACTTTTGACGAGTCTAGCTCACAAACAAGGCATCCACTCACGTCAAGCAGGAGTCACCTTTTCGAATATAGAAGTCACAGGTGTAGATGAATCTTTCTCTGTAGCAGTGACTGCTCTCGACATGTTAAAGGGTCCAATTGGAGCCTTTCAAGCAGCTAGAGCTAAAAAGAGAACACCAGACAGAATAATTTTGAAGGATATTAGTGGTTATGCTAAACCTGGTGATATGGTTCTAGTACTTGGTAGGCCCGGTGCTGGATGTTCTTCATTATTGAAAACATTGGGAGGAACAGATATTGACTTATTTAAGTCTGTATCTGGGGATATTAGGTATGATGGCTTGACTCAAGCAGAAATGTTGAAGAATTTCAAGCCTGAGATTATTTATATTCCTGAACTAGATGAACATATGCCTCATTTGACTGTTGAGCAAACTCTAACTTTTGCAATCGGATGTAAGACTCCTGAAATGAGAATAAACGGTATTTCTCGTGAAGAGTTTATCGGGACTATGAAGGAAATCTTAGCAACTGTTTTCGGGTTGAGGCATACTTATCACACAAAGGTTGGCAATGATTTTGTAAGAGGAGTGTCTGGAGGAGAGCGAAAGAGAGTTTCCATTGCTGAAGCGTTAGCTTGTCGTGCATCCGTTTACTGTTGGGACAATGCTACTAGAGGGTTAGACTCCTCGACGGCTTTAGAGTACGCAAGAGCTATTCGTACTTCGACTAACTTATTGAAAACCACCGCATTTGTTACCATTTACCAAGCAGGAGAAAATATATATGAGACATTCGATAAAGTCACTGTTTTGTATCGTGGTCATCAAATATATTTTGGACCGATTGAAGAAGCTAAGATATATTTCGAAGATATGGGATGGGAATGTCCGGCTAGACAATCGACAGCAGAATTTTTGACTGCAGTTACGGACCCAATAAGTCGTTTCCCAAAGCCTGGATTCGAAGATAGGGTACCACGTAATGCTGAAGAATTTGAAGCATATTGGTTGAATTCTCCAGCGTATGCTAGGTTAAAAGAAGAAATTGGAGAATATAATGCTAATGTCAATCAAGTTGAAACAAGGAAATGTTATTATGAGTCAATCAAACAAGAAAAGATGCAGCATCTGCGTCTTAAGTCAATATATACTATTAGTTACTTTGAGCAATTGAAATTGTGTTCGATCAGAAGATTTCGAGTAATGTGGGAGGACAAGGCTTGTACAATTACTCAATTAGCTTCTGCATTATCTCAAGGTCTCATTGCTGGGTCGATGTATTACAATACGCCAACAACTGTTGGGGGAACACACTCTCGTGGAGGTGTGGTATTTTTTGCAGCATTATATGTGTCTTTAATGAGTCTTGCGGAAGTCACAGCAGCTTTTAGTACCAGACTGATTTTGATGAAGCAAAAGAATTATTCAATGTATCATCCCTCAGCAGATGCCTTAGCATATTCAGTTACTACCATTCCACTTAACTTCCTTGTGACTGTCACCTTTGTTATTGTTCTCTACTTCCTTTCGAATTTGAGTCGTGAGGCAGGTAAGTTCTTTACCTTTTTACTATTTACATTCATGGTCTTAAATACAATCAGTGCATTGTTCAGAGCAATCGCTTCATTAAACAAGACTATTGCCGGAGCCAACTCGATTGCAGGGATTCTTGTGCTTGCAATCCTCATGTATTCTTCATTTATACAAAGGCCATCTATGCACCCTTGGTTTAAATGGATTTCATATATAAATCCCTTACTTTATGGATTCGAATCAATGATAGCTACTGAATTCCATGGTAGACACATGGAATGTGATGGCCAGTACTTAACACCGAGTGGTCCTGGTTATGAAAATTTATCATCGGGAGAACAGGTTTGCTCTTTCAGTGGGTCAATTCCTGGCCAAATATGGATATTAGGTGATGACTACCTCAAAACTTCTTTTACATATAGTTTTTCTCATGTATGGAGAAATTTTGGTATCCTTTTGGGATTCTATTTCCTTTTCGTAATTATCAATGCCATTGGTTGCGAGTTCGTCAGACCTGTAGTTGGAGCAGGTGACAAGTTAACCTACTTGAAAGGAAAGATCCCGGATTCAGTTCTTTTACCTGAAGAGAAATCTGGAACAGATACTCCTTCTTCATTAGAAAAAGAGAAAAAGGAATCTTCTGTCTTTGAAGATTTGAAATCGAAAGACTTGTTTGCTTGGAGAAATGTAAATTATGTTATCCCCTATGATGGGAAGGAAAGGACATTGCTTGATGACATTTCAGGATATTGCGTTCCAGGGACTTTAACAGCACTTATGGGAGAATCAGGAGCAGGTAAAACTACTTTGTTGAATACTTTGGCACAAAGAATCTCCATGGGTGTTGTCACCGGTGACATGTTAGTGAATGGAAATCAATTAGATGCAAGTTTCAGTAGGAGGACAGGATATGTTCAACAACAAGATGTTCACATTAGTCAAGTCACCGTTAGAGAGTCGTTGAGATTTGCTGCGAGACTTAGAAGATCAAATGATATCAGCGACGAAGAGAAATTAAACTATGTTGAAAAGATTATTTCTATGCTTGATATGAATGAATATGCAGATGCCATCATAGGAAATCCCGGTGAAGGACTCAATGTCGAACAGCGTAAAAAATTAAGTATTGGGGTTGAGTTAGTTGCAAAGCCATCTTTATTGTTATTCTTAGATGAACCTACCTCAGGACTTGACTCTCAGTCTGCATGGGCCATTGTTAGCTTACTTAGAGATTTAGCCAATGCTGGCCAATCCATTTTATGTGTTATTCATCAACCTTCAGTCGCTTTATTTGAAAAATTTGATAGGTTATTGTTGTTGAAGAAAGGAGGAAAACCTGTCTACTTTGGCGACATAGGTCACCAGTCGCAAATCGTATTGAACTACTTCGAAAGAAATGGTGCAAGAAAATGTCAGGAAGCAGAAAACCCAGCAGAGTACATTCTTGAAGTAATTGGAGCTGGAGCAACTACATCGAACAATACTGATTGGCATAATAAATGGGTTGTGTCATCTGAAAAGAAGGAAGCTGAGTTGCAAAGGGACAAGCTCATCGCCGATTCTCTAATCGTGGGGCAAAATAAAATTTTAACTGACGATGGAAGAAAGAAAACGACTCAGTTTGCAACGTCGTTGTATTACCAATTTATCATTGTGCTTAATAGAAACGCATTAACATTTTATAGAAATACTGAGTATATTAGTGCAAAGATTGGGTTGTACACTTTAACGGGTTTGTTCATTGGATTTACATTTTTTGACATTAAGCATAGTATCGTAGGCATGCAAAATTGTCAATTCACAGCCTTTATTTCTGTTCTTGTTGCTGCACCATTAATTAATCAAGTACAGGCACAAGCCATAACAGGAAGGAATTTGTACGAAGTAAGAGAAAAAATGTCGAACACATATCATTGGTCCGTAATGATTCTTGCTCAATTTATAAATGAAATACCTTACTGCATTATTGGTTCAGCGATTCAGTTTGTTTCAATTTACTTTCCCACTCAAGCTAATACCTCAGGTCCTCATGCTGGAGTTTTTTACTTAACATTAGGTGTCTTTTTCCAATTTTACTACATTAGTTTTGGATTAATGATGCTTTATTGCGCCCCAGATATTGAATCTGCTGCCGTTTTAGTCTCATTCTTTTATCCATTTATAGTTGCATTCAGTGGTATCGTTCAATCTACTTCTTTGATGCCTGGTTTTTGGACCTTTATGCACAAGGTCAGTCCATATACATATTTCATTGAGAACTTAGTTACTTCCATTTTGCATGGAAGAGAAGTTAAGTGCTCGAAAGCCGAATATTCATACTTTGATCCGCCCAGCGGACAAACTTGTATTGAATTTGCAGGTGCATATTTGAACACTACCAATGGATACCTACTGAATCCAGATGCAACTAGTAAGTGCGGTTACTGTTCATTCAGTGAAGCGGATGCTTTTATGGCAACTATTGGAATGAAATATTCACACAGGTGGAGAAATCTAGGATTCTATTGTGTTTTCGTAATTTTTGATCTTGTTGCAATGCTTTTCTTGTACTGGGTTTTCCGTTACAGACAAGGCTCCTTGATTCCTAATTTATCTTTCCTAAAAGGGAAGAAATAAGAATTAACTTGTAAAGAACATTTGAGAATCGAATTGTATTACGTAAAAAGAACTTGTCCTGTCATATTCGAATCCGGAATTCTATGAAAGTGTAAACATAGCAAGTCGCTTATTTTAGCCATTATCTTAGATCCTTAAATGCGAGCCTACTACAAAATAGGCTTTGACGTAATGTGGCTGTGAGATATTTGTTTTGTTGTGGGTTCTCAGTTGACTCGAATATTTGATAGATTTCAAGCAAAACAAGGAATTATTTGAGAAAAGTGTCAAATAAGACTTACAAAATTATGTGAAGTGAAAGACCTAATACAGTATTAAAACTTCAGAGATGATATGGAGCAAGGATAGTAATTTGAAAGACTCCAGAATTTCAGTGGTCAATCATATGCTAATACCAACAATTCAAACGGACTCAAGAGACGGAGTTAAGCAATTGTGATCTTCCAAGGTTATAAGAGAAGGACGATGCTTTGTGTAACCGACCGGTTCTATCCACAATATGTAAGTATTATTAAACATGACTAATGTAATTCCTGCAGGTAATATACCTTTTGCGTGTAGTTAGATGTATCATATTGATAATTATAATGTATGAATTTCTTTCGTCAATGAAAGGTTTTCATGAAAATCTTGTGATTTTTTGATACTGTTTAACGGAAAAATTGAGCGCATTTCGATCTTTGTAGTTTATAATACGAGTATGTGATATACTTCAAAGCTACTTTTTTTTGTTCTTTCCTTTTCGCATCGCCTCAATTGGGCATCTCGCCCGTCCGCTTCCGAATATTTCAGCCGTATGAAGGGCTATTGCTTACGGCCGTAAACATACATGTTCTTCATGTTTTTCAAGATTTTAAAGCAGGGCTCAAACTTTTTGTTCCTTCATGGTCTATTTCCTCTGCAGCAGCCATATAAAGGATGGGGGCTGCTTACAATCCAAATAATGTTCCCTTCCTTAACATTAGTACTTCCTCTATAAAATTGAATTGATCTGATTGCAAATTCTTTAGTTCTTCTAAAAATTTTATTGATTAGATTGAATTGAGTAATGAATGTCATAAGTCCTATTGACTCTTCCTCTGGAAGTATCAATGATTTTGTTGGAAAGGATGGAGACTTGAACGAAGAAAATAGACTTCAGTTGGTAAGGACTATAACCAGCCTTCACAATGAAGATGTCTTACAAAGATTGTCTACTCTTTCGAGAGAATTGTCTAAGAGAAACCCGGAGTTCAACATTAATCCTGAAGATTTTGACTTGCAAAACATATTGTCGCTATTCACAAGTTTAGCTCACAAACAAGGCATACACTTACGTCAATCTGGAATCACTTTCTCAAATGTCGAAGTTAAAGGTGTAGATGAATCTTTCTCTGTAGCAGTGACTGCTCTCGACATGTTAAAGGGTCCAGTTGGGGCCATTCAGGCAGCTAGAGCTAAAAAGAGAACACCAGACAGAATAATATTGAAGGACATTAGTGGTTATGCCAAACCTGGTGAAATGGTTCTAGTACTTGGTAGACCTGGTGCTGGATGTTCCTCATTATTGAAAACATTGGGAGGAACAGATATTGACTTATTTAAGTCTGTCTCTGGGGATATTAGGTATGATGGCTTGACTCAAGCAGAAATGTTGAAAAATTTTAAGTCAGATATCATTTATAATCCTGAACTAGACGAACATATGCCTCATTTGACTGTCGAGCAAACGTTAAATTTTGCAATCGGATGTAAGACTCCTGAAATGAGGATAAACGGTATCTCTCGTGAAGAGTTTATCGGGGCTATGAAGGAAATCTTAGCAACTGTTTTCGGGTTGAGGCATACTTATCACACAAAGGTTGGTAATGATTATGTAAGAGGAGTATCTGGAGGTGAGCGTAAGAGAGTTTCCATTGCTGAAGCGTTAGCTTGTCGTGCATCCGTTTACTGTTGGGACAATGCTACTAGAGGGTTAGACTCCTCGACGGCTTTAGAGTACGCAAGAGCTATTCGTACTTCGACTAACTTATTGAAAACCACCGCATTTGTTACCATTTACCAAGCAGGAGAAAATATTTATGAGACATTCGATAAAGTCACTGTTTTGTATCGTGGTCATCAAGTATACTTTGGACCAATGGAAGAAGCTAAGCTGTATTTCGAAGAAATGGGATGGGAATGTCCAGCCAGACAATCGACAGCAGAATTTTTGACTGCAATTACTGATCCAATTGGTCGTTTCCCAAAACCTGGCTTCGAAGACAGGGTACCACGTACCGCAGAGGAATTTGAAGCATATTGGTTGAATTCTCCAGCGTATGCAAGATTACAAGAAGAAATCGCAGAATATAACGCTAATGTCAATCAAGACGAAACAAGAGACACTTACTATACATCAATCAAGCAAGAAAAAATGAAATATCTGCGTATGAATTCTAAGTACACTATTAATTATTTCGAGCAGTTGAAGTTGTGTACTGTCAGAAGGTTCCAAGGAATTTGGGGAGATAAAGCTTACACAATTACACAATTAATTGCTGCATTATCTCAAGGTCTCATTGCTGGGTCATTGTATTACAATACGCCAACGACTGTTACTGGATCATTTTCTCGTGGAGGTGTGGTATTTTTTGCAGCATTATATGTGTCTTTAATGAGTCTTGCAGAAGTCACAGCAGCTTTTAGTACCAGACTGATTTTGATGAAGCAAAAGAATTATTCAATGTATCATCCCTCAGCAGATGCCTTAGCATATTCTGTTACCACGATTCCCGTTAGTTTTCTTGTGACTGTCGTCTTTGTTATTGTTCTTTATTTCCTTTCGAATTTGAGTCGTGAGGCAGGTAAGTTCTTTACTTTCTTACTTTTTACATTCATGGTGTCAAATACAATCAGTGCACTATTCAAAGCAGTGGCTTCATTAAACAAGACTATTGCCGGAGCCAACATGATTGCAGGGATTCTTGTGCTTGCAATTCTTATGTATTCTTCCTTTATGATTCAAAGGCCCTCCATGCACCCTTGGTTTAAGTGGATTTCATATATCAATCCCTTACTCTATGGATTTGAATCAATGATAGCTACTGAATTCCATGGTAGACATATGGAATGTGACGGCCAGTACTTAACACCCAATGGCCCTGGGTATCAGAATTTATCATCGGGAGAACAAGTTTGTTCTTTCAGTGGATCAGTTGCTGGTCAGAGTTGGGTCTTAGGTGATGATTACCTTAAAGTTGCTTTCACATACAGTTTTTCTCATGTGTGGAGAAATTTTGGTATTCTTTTGGGATTCTATTTCTTTTTCACGATTATCAATGCTATTGGATGCGAGATTATCAAACCAGTAGTTGGAGGAGGTGATAAGTTGATTTACTTGAAAGGAAAGATCCCGGATTCAGTTCTTTTACCTGAAGAGAAATCCGGAACAGATACTCCCACTTCATTAGAAAAAGAGAAAAAGGAATCTGCTGTCTTTGAAGATTTGAAATCGAAAGACTTGTTTGCTTGGAGAAATGTAAATTATGTTATCCCCTATGATGGGAAGGAAAGGACATTGCTTGATGACATTTCAGGATATTGCGTTCCAGGGACTTTAACAGCACTTATGGGAGAATCAGGAGCAGGTAAAACTACTTTGTTGAATACTTTGGCACAAAGAATCTCCATGGGTGTTGTCACCGGTGACATGTTAGTGAATGGAAATCAATTAGATGCAAGTTTCAGTAGGAGGACAGGATATGTTCAACAACAAGATGTTCACATTAGTCAAGTCACCGTTAGAGAGTCGTTGAGATTTGCTGCGAGACTTAGAAGATCAAATGATGTCAGCGACGAAGAGAAATTAGACTATGTTGAAAAGATTATTTCCGTGCTTGACATGGATGAATATGCAGATGCTATAGTTGGAAATCCCGGTGAAGGACTTAATGTCGAACAGCGTAAAAAGTTAAGTATTGGGGTTGAGTTAGTTGCAAAGCCATCCTTATTGTTATTCTTAGACGAACCTACCTCAGGGCTTGACTCGCAGTCTGCATGGGCCATTGTTAAATTGCTTAGAGATTTAGCCAATGCTGGCCAGTCAATTTTGTGCACCATTCATCAACCTTCGGCAACATTATTTGAAGAATTCGATAGATTATTGTTGTTGAAGAAAGGAGGAAAAACTGTTTACTTTGGTGATATCGGTAAGAGGTCTCATACTTTATTAGAGTACTTCGAACGCAACGGTGCTAGACCATGTGACGATTCGGAAAATCCAGCAGAATATATACTTGAAGCAATTGGGGCTGGAGCTACTGCTTCGGTCAAAGAAGATTGGCATGACATATGGGTTGCATCACCAGAAAAGAAAGAATCTGACCTTAGAGGGGATAAATTAATATCTGAGTACTTGGCTAACAACGAAAATCAGACTCACACTGATGCTGAAAGAAAGCAATTAGCTGAAAAGTATGCAACTCCTTTTACCTACCAGTTTATGATCGTGCTTCGTAGAAATGCCTTGACATTTTTTAGAAATCCTGAGTATCTTGGTGCAAAGATTGGGTTGTACACTTTATCAGGCTTGTTCATTGGATTTACATTTTTTGGAATAAAGCATAGTATCATAGGAATGCAAAATGGTCAATTCACAGCTTTTTTATCTGTTGTTGTCGCTGCGCCATTAATTAATCAAGCACAGGCACAAGCTATAACAGGCCGGAATTTGTATGAAGTAAGAGAAAAAATGTCGAACACATATCATTGGTCCTTAATGATTCTTTCTCAATTTATAAATGAGATACCTTACTGTATTATTGGTTCAGCTATTCAATTTGTCTCAATTTACTTTCCCACTCAAGCTAATACCTCAGGTCCTCATGCTGGAGTTTTTTACTTAACATTAGGTGTCTTTTTCCAATTTTATTACATTAGTTTTGGATTAATGATGCTTTATTGCGCTCCTGATGTTGAATCTGCTGCCATTTTAGTCTCATTCTTCTATACATTTATTGTTGCTTTCAGTGGTGTTGTCCAACCTACTACTTTGATGCCTGGATTTTGGACCTTTATGCACAAGGTTAGCCCATATACATATTTTATTGAGAACTTAGTTACTTCAATTTTACATGGAAGGGAAGTTAAGTGCTCAAAAACTGAATATTCGTACTTCAATCCACCTAGCGGGCAAACTTGTATTGAGTTTGCAGGTGCATATTTAAATACTACAAATGGTTACCTTCTGAATCCTGATGCTACTAGTGATTGTGGTTATTGCTCTTACAGTCAAACTGACGCTTATATGGCAACTACTGGAATGAAATACTCACACAGGTGGAGAAATCTAGGATTCTACTGTGTTTATGTAATTTTTGATGTTGCTGCAATGCTTTTCTTGTACTGGGTTTTCCGTTACAGACAAGGCTCCTTGATTCCTAATTTGTCCTTCCTCAAAAGAAAGAAGAAATAAAAATCAAATATTATATAGAGAGAACAATTATGAAATTACTCCGAGACTTTATGAGTGATACTTGAATATAAATACTTCCCGCCAAGTATCCTGCAAGGATTTAATGAAATGTAGACTTTAACAGGTAAATGATCTAGCAGTCAACTTACATTATTAGCTGTGCAATTATTAAGATTATCGTCGAGCCAAATACTTCAGCAAACGTGGTGAACCTGACTTCGAAGCACTGATTTTTTAGAGAAGAAACATTACTTTTGTAACTGTTCACCACAAATTCCCTATTCTCATTTGTATATTATCACATATATACGTGGGTTTAGATGATGAAATCATAAAACATATAAACACTAATTGGTGAACTAAAAGTTCAAAAGTTTGATTCGAAGTAAAACATAATAAGGTAATCATAATAATCGTAAAGATAAGATGACACAGTATTATAAACAAATGCAACTCTATAATTTCAATCCTCTAAAAATATACTTATTTCTAACAATAATATAAGTTCTTTCAATAGAACTTCACCCTAATATAAATCACTTCAATGGTTTGAGTAATTCAAAAGAGCAGCACAATTTTTTATCAACACTCATTACTGCACCAAAATTATCAAATTCTCCACAGTAATTTGGAGCTGAAAAAATAGTTACTAATTTTCGTTTGTTAAAAAATTCATAACCATCTTCAACAACCATATGTCCTCTAACAATTAAATCAATTTTAAACTTGGAACAAAAGTAATCGACATGTTTCTTACCAAAACAGTAAGAAACACCTCTGTCATTTTTGGGCCAATTGGAAATTGAAAAATTTTTAATCAGAGGGTCTGGATCTGACCACAACAAGTCGGCCAATAATCCTCTATCAGGAATATCGGTAGGTCTTTTAATATTTTCAATTTGCTTCAAATCGACCAAATCGGGCGATAAACCACCATGGATACAAAACACTTTATCGTTGATTGTAGCTGCAATAGGTAAAGTACTGAAAACATCGATGAAAGATTTCCACATTCTATTACTACCACCACCACCACTGGTGAGTGAAGGTAACCTTCTTTTACATTCATCGTAAAATCCATATATCTTAGTAATGTTAGCACTTTCATGATTACCTCTAAGCATGAAAAAATTTTCTGGATATTTAATCTTGTAACATAACAAAAGTAAGATAGTCTCTAATGATTTATAACCACGATCAACGTAATCACCTAAAAATAAGTAATTAGTGTAAGGAGGGTAGCCACAAGAGTTGAAAATTCTGATGAGATCATGGAATTGGCCATGAATGTCACCAACAATCTTCACTGGAGGTGACAATTTCAATAATGTTGGTTGTTCCAAAAAAATTGACCTGGACTTAGATAAAATGTACTTGATTTCCAATGAAGTTAAAGGCAATTTATCTTTTTGGTGCTTCTTCCTGAATGAAGACGAGTTACTCGGTTTCTTCATACCAATTTCTAAAAGCCTGTCAATAATCAAATCAAGATCGATCTCTTCTTTCTTCTTGCTACTACTTTTAAATAATGGAGGTGAAGCAGAGGCAGAGGAAACAGTTGAGGAAGAAGTTGACTTCAAGCTGTAGGTTGAAAGCTTAAGCTTAGGTTTCGGCACCTTTAAAGATTCTGGAGTTGGGGTAGATTCAACCGAAGGAGACGCAGAACATTCAACAATCGGTTCTAACAATAAATCGTAAGAACCAATGGGTTCTTTTTCGTCGCCTAAGGGCAATGAATAAGAAGATAAAGACAGTTCCAGGTCATCGTTTGAAGAAGTGAAAACAGGGGAAGTCACGAAGTTAGACCTTTCAGAATCTGCAGACGAACTGTACGAGTTGGGGAAAAGGCTATTCGGACGAGCATATAAGTAATCTGGGGATGAAGAAACTGAACTGCTTGAAACTGCAGTGGGTGAACTTCCAATCGCAGAATTACTCAATAGTTTGGCCATAGAAACATCAATCTCCATGTCAAGATCTAAGTCATGTTTCTTTATAGGTGAGTTTTTGCTTGAATTGAAATTGTGGCTGCTGTTATTATTATTATTATTATTATTATTATCGTAAGTATTATTGCTAGTTTGCAATTTGGAGGAAGAGATTACAGTAGCATTAGCTATACTGGTCTTCTTCTCTATTCTTATAGCAGAAGTCGAGCTGCTATAAGTTGGATCCTTACCCTTGGTTACGGATAAGGAGCCACTTGGCCGCGATAGCGCAGCTTGCACAGAAGAGTCTTCTTGCTGTTCAAGTTCGCCACCTGCACTTAAGTTTGGATTGGTTTGATTTGACGAGGTCGGTAGGGGATCATCTTTGGATGGGCTATTTCCCATAGCTAGCTAAACAGGTATTGACGGAAGGTTTAAAACGAAAAAATTAAAATATATGTGTATATAAAATTTTTCTAATGCTGAGGTCCTACTTTAAGTTGGCAGCTTATAATTCTATAGTTATTAATTTGTTCCTAAAAGTGATGGCTTGACTTCTTTACTTCTTCGGAAAAATAGTAAGGGTATATCTTGTTATTGTAAATTTTTGGTTGCTTATAAATAGAACTTAAGGTTCGACTCGTCTGATACAAAGTTCATTACAAACTCATTCAAGGCACAGCTAGCAGAAAGGCAAAAAAAAAAAAGAGAATCTTTGTGTAAAGTCGTGCGCACTCAAGGAGCATCCATCTTCTCCGAGTCGGGTGCTGACTTTCCCTGCAAGTTGACACAATTTAGCTTTTTAAATCCAAACGTCGCTAAAGTATATATTCACAAGGCACGGATAATTCTCTTGTATTAGATAGACGTGTTTTGCCTTTCCTAAGGCTTGAGAACAGAGGGTGGTGGGTCGTGAAGTATACCTGGGAAGAGTATTAGTGGGGAAATGCTAAGTGTCACGTGCGGACCAGAATATGTATGGAACAAATGTGGTTCATTTTTTTTTTTTTTTTTTTGGGGTTGTGCTGCCGCTGGAGATAAGAGAAAGTGAGCCAAGCCAAGCCAAGTAGGCAAGGGAAGAAGATATGCGGTAAATAACATGGATTGTGGATACTGTTGCCATGAAGTTCGCCTAATTCACCTTTCTTATCGTCACCACACAAATCACGCGAATGGGCCTAAAGCTTATGGGGTTTTTTCATTTGTTCCGCTGTCTTTGTTAATTAATCCACACTAGATTACGTCAAATCCTGCACAGTGTTCACGCTAAACAGATTTGATTGCATACTCTTTAGGGGGCGCTGAACAGCTCGCTTATATGACTATAGAATTCGAAATATGATACATGTAGTATGAAATAGTATCTAGACTACAGAATCTGAATGAAAACGTCAACTAACCAATGAAACATCCCTATAATGGGGTGCTCGCCAACTGGCAGTAAATCCTACACATAGAAAGAAAGTGTCGCAAATCTGATTAGATAATACATCAGCATGCAGGATATATACTGCATAAGGATAATTTTCAAACTACTTAGAGTTAGCGTTATTGGCGTGAATTCCTTTAGATCTGTTCTATTCTTGAAGTCAGTTTTTCCTTTGAGGGTATATCAAAATTCTCCTCCCAAGATTCCTGTTCATAAAATACTCCAGACACTACCTAGCAAGAAGGATGTCTGGGTCGAGCCCCATAAAGTCAGCTGGGATTCTTATTATTGGAGATGAAGTACTCAATGGTAAAATTCTAGACACAAACTCCCACGAGTTTGCAAAGTATTGTTTCAAGGAACTTGGAATACCACTTAAGAGGACAGTTGTTTGCGGGGATGATGAGGATGATATAATTTCGTCGCTTGAAACTCTTAAGGATTGTGAATTTGTCTTAACTAGTGGAGGCATTGGATCAACTCACGATGATATTACATATCCTGCAATTGCAAAGGCTTTCAACTTGCCTTGTGAATTGGATCAGGAAGTGGTGGAAAGAATGCAGTCTATAAGAGAGTCGTACCTTCTGACTCTTTCCGAGCAGCAACTTGACGCATTCTACAGAATGGCTACATTGCCAAGGGGAGAAAATGTGGAGAAAATATATATAGATGACAAATTGTGGGTGCCCATAGTTGGAATCAACAAAAGGGTCTTCATTCTTCCAGGAATTCCCCAGTTGTTTACTAGCTTGATGCTTGCGTTGGGAGAACTGATAAAACCAAGAATTGTAAAGAATGAGCAAACAAGACTCTTCGTCACCACGAAAACCGGAGAAAGTGAGCTCGCTCCATTTCTCAAGTCATTACAAGAGAAGTATGATTCTAAACTTGGAAAATTAACTGTGAAGCTTGGAAGCTATCCGCATTACTTATGGAAGATTAATACCATTAGCATCATTGGCGATAACTCTGTTAGCAGCGAGCTTTTAAATGAAATCGTCAGCGAAGTAATTGAAGGAATTGGGGGTGATGCAAAATTGATAACTGTGGAGGAAGAGGATAGGTTAACCACTACTGAACCTGAAAGGTAAGAAATTGTCTACAAAAGCATTCAGCTTACTTTGATTTATATATATTTACATATATATCTATATATAAATAGACACCAATACAAAAAAAGACTAAGGGAAAACCTGCAGCAAAAGTAAAGCTATGAGTATTCCTATATGTAAGTAAGTATATTACATTTACTCTTCTTTGCCTTATATTTACAACTTTTCGGAAAACAACTTGGTCACCTCTTCAATGGCTAGCTTGATTCCTTCTGGCTTATCACCCATACCTTGTACGATGTTACCCTTACCACCAGCCTTACCACCAATCTTATCACTAACAGCCTTGGCTAATTCATTAGAGTTGACACCCTTTGCAATAGCTTCATCTGAAACATAACAACCATGGGCAATTTTATTATCACCTCCTTCTATTCCACCTGTAATTAAATAGAGAGACTTGTCCTTATTTTGCTTTTTTAACAAGTTGATAGCCTCAGTAATAGCCTTTGCGTTAGCACCAATTGGAACGTGTCCTACAAAGTAAGCACCGGACTTTCCTTCATCAGATTCTAACCACTTAGAAACGAGTTCAGTACTCTTCTTACTCTCTTCCTTTTGCTTCAACTTTTGCTCGTCCTTAATGGATTTATCCAATTTGTTGAATTTATCATTAAGTTTTTGCTTAGTTAAAGTAGAAATAGTCAATTTCTTTAATCTGACACCTAACTCCTTAGAAACAGATTCTTTTTTAGTACCAAATGGTAATTTAAGTGCACTTTCGAGTTCGTCATTGAATTCATTAGCAATTTCTTGCACCTTCAATGCTTCTTGACCAGTAACCGCAACAATTCTTCTGATACCCTTGGCAATACCTGATTCTTCAATAACAATTAAATCTTTGATTTCTCCAGTCTTAGCAACATGAGTACCACCGCAGAATTCAATAGACACCTTTTCCCAACTTGGACTGGTAGGGTTTGCTAATAAGTCTTCAACTGGGACACCAACTGAAACAACTCTGACTGGATCTGGATAAGTTTCTCCGAAAACAGCTCTTAATCCCGTGATTTCCTTGGCAGTAGCTAAACCAACTTCTTTAGCATAGACTTGCTTATTGGCCTTAATGTATTCATTAGAAATGTCTTCTACAGATTCTAATTCCTTAGGAGTTAAAGCTTGCTTGTGTGAAAAATCAAATCTCAACTTTTCTGAGCTAACAAGAGAACCCTTTTGATCAATTCCATCACCAAGGACTTCTCTTAAAGCATAGTTAAGAACATGGGTACCAGTATGGTTGTTTCTGATTGGCCATCTTCTTAATTCATCATATGTGGAAATTACTTCATCTTCAACTGCAATACTACCTTCCACAAGTGAACCTGTGTGTAATACATAACCACCATACACTTGAACGTTGGTAACGTTGAATTCAAAAGAACCATCAACAACTAACTTACCAGTATCATATTCTTGACCACCCTGTTCAGCATAGAATGGAGTTTTGTCTAAGATAATACCAAATTGTTGTCCTTCTGAGCTGGCTTCGTTAACAAATTCTTTACCATTATATATGGCCAATATCTTGGACTTGACATTTTCTAAGCCATACTTGAATGAATCGTCAGTCTTGGTAATTTTCTCGTTTTTATCCAATTCCGATAATGAATGGACATCCAATTTTATTAATACTTCCCCACCGATAGTCTTCTTTGCCTTTGATGCTTCTCTACTTTCTTCCTTAGCCTTCTCAAAACCTTCTTCGTCAATCTTAAGACCGGCTTCTTCTGCCATTAATCTAGTTAAATCAACAGGGAATCCATAGGTATCATATAATCTCCATACATCCTTACCACTTAAAGTCTGTTCTGGAGTTTTAGAAGCAACAATAGAATATTGTTCAAATAATTTTTCACCTCTATCTAAAGTCTTGGCAAATGAAAGTTCTTCTTCGTTAAGGATTTCTTTTAAGTCATCAACCTTCTTAGATAATTCAGGAAAAATCTCTTTGTTTTGCTCAATAACAACTGGTACTAACTGTTGGAAAAATGAACCAATTGGATAGTTCATGTACTTTCTAACATATCTGGATCCTCTTCTTAAGATTCTTCTCAAGACGTAACCTCTACCTTCATTGTTTGGAACACCACCATCACAAATAGAAAAGGTTAAAGTTCTAACATGATCAGCGATAACTCTGTATGCAGTGTCAATACCGTCCTTATCTTCACTTCCAAATTTTCCAGTGTAAGGGCGTACGCCAGTGATTTCTCTAATTTGTTGGAAAATAGGTTGGAACACATCTGTGTCGTAGTTAGAGGATCTATTTTGCAAGACAGAAACCAATCTTTCAAAACCCATACCAGTATCAACATGCTTGTTTGGTAATGATCTCAATGATGAGTCTGCTTCTCTATTATATTGAATGAAAACAACGTTCCATACTTCCAACACGTTAGGGTCATCCATATTAACAAGATGAGCAGCATTTCTACCACCAATTCTGTCGTAATGAATTTCTGAACAAGGTCCACATGGACCCTGTTCACCCATTTCCCAGAAGTTGTCCTTAGCATTACCTGGTAAGATGTGATCTTCAGCAACACCAACTTCAAGCCAAAGGTTCTTAGCTTCTAAGTCTGCTTCCAAACCTTGCTTAGCATCACCTTCGAAATAAGTCACGTACAATCTATCCTTGTCTAAACCATAGATTTCAGTAAGTAATTCCCAAGACCACTCAATAGCTTCTTTTTTGAAATAGTCTCCAAATGACCAGTTACCCAACATTTCGAAAAAAGTATGATGGTAGGAGTCTCTACCAACGTCTTCCAAATCGTTGTGCTTACCACCTGCACGAATACACTTCTGTGAGTTGGTTGCTCTCTTCCAAGATGCCATTTCTGAAGTTGGGTCGACCGTACCCAAGAAGATTGGCTTATATTGGTTCATACCAGCATTGGCGAATAATAAAGTTGGGTCTCCATGTGGAACAACTGATGAAGATGGAACAAAGGTGTGGTTCCTGTCCTTGATGAAATAGTCTAAAAATGTTTGTCTTACACGTGAAGCAGGCCATTCGACATTGGCACCGAATGCACTGGTGGATAATGAGGCCGATGACATAATGATTCTCTTTATTAGCAATTTAGGAGTGTTTGCTCGAAGGACCATAAACTGAAGCAGGAAAATCGAACCCTTTAATTATAATAAAGTAGCAAAGAGTCAGCTCCAGAATGGGAGGGCTACAACGAGAAGACAAGCGAACAAGAAGAGGAAAAAAAAAATGAAACGCGGTCGTGTGCAAAACGAAAGATAATGTGAATAATTAAGGTAAACAGATGAGTCAAGGTTATGTATTGTTTAGATTAGAAATAAACTCGGAGAGATAAGAAAAAAACACGAGAAAAACCTACGGAATGCTGTAGACTATTTGGTGAATCAATGACAAGAACGCTGCAGCATTATCATAGTCTTGCTGTGTAGACTAGGTGCCCATGTGTGGTATAGTGCAGTGTAGAGCTTACATCGGCTCAATGGAACCATGAACACATACCAAACTTGAAAATTGTAAAATTTTCACTAGGAAACCATTTCCACCGTTTCCTCTTGTATTGTAGCATGTAATTCAACAGATAATGACACAGGGTCCACGCATTGAGCTGAAGAGCTCAACATTCACTTACTCTTCATTTGTGAAACTGAAAATCCTCGATCTTTTAGATTGCGAGTGTAAAGCAGCATATTAGATGCAGGTCAACGGTCTTAAGTAATCATGGAGGAGCGCCTAGAGATTCAACTAGGTACACAACTAGGTTGCCCTATCAGAGTCTTTGGAACCGTGGCATCCAAACATCTCTCAGTATCTCAACATCCAGACTCTGTAAGACCAGTCTCTCTCTCTCTACAATCAGCGTGGGAACTGCAACGGGAAGGTATTTCCTCATCAACCAGCTTTGTCACGTGATCCTACACTACAACTCAAATTAATGTGCTCATTCTTAGCAAAAAAACATGCCCGAAAAAAAAAAAAAATTCCGTAACAGAAAAAAAAGATCTAAAGGAGGTACACAGTGAATGGGCTTGGATTGTATAAGTATCTTCATAACAGAGAGCCATTTTAATACAGTGCTACAGCGGAAGCAATAACTTGAGGGCAAAGCACAGGGAAACAAGAGGACCAAGTAAAAAAACAGTTTTGAACTATTTATTACCCTACCACATAGTACACACATTGAATGGTGCATCCTGTATAGGGACATGATATTGATTGACACCATAAAGTATTCTTGTATCGAATGCATTCGGGGCCACAGATCTTCACTTTGTCGTCACCATACTAGGCCGTTGCTTCAGGTACGGTCCAAGGGAAGACCCAACGTAAGTGCAAACGGGAATCCGAACCATAGAGTGGCCGTTTTTGCAGAAGAAATCGAAAGTGACGCAGAGAAAAATAGTGAAGGAGGTTGTGAAAACGGCCATCACACTACAGGTGCCGCTGAAAATACCAGTAAGAATTGTAAAGCAAAGGCTTCTCCGGTGGTTATATTGAAATGCTCAACTAAGCAGGTGATAGACTTGGAATCGGGGCAAATCATAGGTCCGTATGAAAGTGGAGCTGATGCTAGCCAAGACCGAAGCTCAATTCCAAATAGCATTAGCACAGATAAAGTGACTTCGACTCTTCCTTCTTATTCAGCAATACTGAGTATCGCAGAAAAAAGAAATGGAGGTGGAGGGTGCTGTGGCTCTCAAAAGCAGTCTACTCCTATACCCAAAGTTGAGAAACCCACAGGATCTTGCTGTTCTTCAAAGACGAAGAGTAAATGCGCTTGTACAAACACAGGCAAGACTATAAACAAATCCAAAATCTTGAAAAAATATTTGCAGAATCATCTTATGAAACTGAAGGATTGGAATTTAACTGAGAAGAAACTCTTAAATGAAGAATATCAGCAACAGCTTTTGAAAAAGAAAGAAAGACAACTACCACAACAGTACCCTCAGCTGCAATCACACCAGTATGATCATAGGACAGAGAAGTCAATAAAAGTGGAACAGTTGGAGGATGAATTTTTAAGTCAAGCAAATGGATTTTTAAATACTCAGGATCCTCTCTTTCCACTTCTATCTGCCATTCAGCCCCAACTTCAATTCCAAACGCAACAAAATGGACAATTTGACTTCCCATATGCCAATCCAGTGAAAACTGAACCAAACTCTATACCTATATCTGCTCAACAACCGCATAAAGACAATGATGTATTCTCTGATTCGACAATACCCACACAAGGTGCTGTGTACGACCTAGTAAGTGTACCTGCTTGCTCTATTCCGGGGACTTGTAGCTGTGGAGACTCATGCTCTTGTGAAGGTTGTGAAGTACACGGTAATCCTTTAAAATCAATATCACAAGAATTCGATTCCTTACAACCCGCCCAACACCACCAGGTTGTATTAACTACGGATCCTATGCAGGTGCTGGCACAACAGTATAACCTTTCGGATTTATTCAATTTCAAAGAGCTCGACCAAACGGCAGACTCTCCCTCGTCTACTGCTACTTGCTCGTGCGCCAAGGATGATTGCGATTGTGCCAATTGCGAGACCCATGGAATAATCAATGGAATGAAATTAGATGATTTTTTCAGTGAACATAGATCACAGTACACAAATCATTTTTCAACTTTTCCGCAAAGGCAGCAGCCACTTCCAATGTACCAACAGGACACACCTTCATATCCTTCCCTGGTAAATGAGAAGTTAAATGGCGGTAGACACCCCGGAGCAGATCATCAAATACAGGATCTGCATTTTGATTATGCTGCCACTGTAAGAAACATGTTAAATAAGGATATTGCTCAGATTAATGATAGCTTGGAGCTGAACGGGAACAAAAATTATTCAATATAATTGTATTTATAAATGTATATAAGTAGGAATGTACACAATAGGATCAAATAGTTTGCAACTTATGCAGAAGATGTTTCGTTGAGACGACAGAAGAAAAAGCCATTAAGCACAATTCCTTGACTGTACATCCCATTACACGGAGTTTAGTGCTATCGTTTCATGCAACGCAGAGCAGCGAGTATGATGCGACAAATACAGGAGACATTTGAGACAAGCTTAATTCTTCATGTACCTAGGAAGCCACCTCTTATCCAGATAAGCTTGCTGTACCACTTCTCGTAATGTGCGAGCAACGATGTTGCGCATGAAAATAAATGCAGCATGCTTACATAATCAAATGTAAATAAACCTTGGACCACAGTAGCAGAGCTTGCACAACACCAGGCTAGGTTGCTAGAACAGAAAAGGCAGACCATTTTTTCATCACATCCATACATTTGTCCCGACTGCTTCTCACGACAACCAGAGTGTCCAGAGCTGTTCATAGTCAATTACTGGTTATTCAAATGCACTGCTCGTGCAAATCTGGCCCACTTGGTGTTCAAATCTCGCATGCATATCTCCTCTGTATTTCTTTTTTTTTTCGTATTTCTTTTTTTTTATCTCCCAGTGGGGAGATTAAGGAGAATATCTGAGAAAGTTCCAGAACCTTCTGCAGGGCATTACACAAAAAGTGTTCGTCCTAATACACATCTACTATACATAGAGAGGAAGTGAATGGAAATTCGTTTACCATAGTGCTTTTATCAATAGAAAAGATAATTGTTTATATAATCAGTTCTACACACGAAGCACTGCAAGGACTAGAAAGTTCCATATATAAATACTTGGGAAGCGAATATTTTTTTGCATAACAACACAATAATTCCATACCTACATGAATTCCTATAGTACCGAAGACCCGGTTGCGGATTTACTTCGTGCTCCAGGTGGAAATGAAGAAGATATACCTGTTATTCAAAGAGATCTGGGGCCCATTGTGGACTATCCTTATGGATACAAACCTAACACCAACGCTAATGCCCACAGCAATGGTAACGTCGAAGACCATCACCATGAGTATTCTCAGGTACCAAATGCAGGACAAGCATCATCATCTCATCCCCATAGTCACATACAGTCCAATCCGATAGACGACTACCAATTGGTTCCACAGGGAAAGTATATGTCTACGTATCCTCCATTACAGGGATTGTCGGAGAGTGTACTACCCCCTAGCCTCTCTATTCAAGCGGCAATGAAGAGCAGTCTCAACGGGAGTAGCAACAATAACACTGCTGAAATGAATAACAGCAGCAGCAGTAACAATGTCAAGCACAGCCAGAGCGAGTTTAATAATAATGAAAACGACTCAAATGATAACACTGGTGCCGGTAATGCTCTGAAGAAAAGAAAGGAATCTACAGGTCCCAAGACAAGACCAGCGTTTGTGATGAAGATCTGGTCGATGGTTAACGATCCTGCTAACAAGCAGTACATAGCATGGAATGAGGACGGCAAATCCTTCCACGTATTTCACAGAGAGGAGTTTATGAAGTTGATATTACCTAAGTATTTCAAGCACAATAACTTTGCGTCGTTTGTGAGACAATTGAACATGTACGGATGGCACAAGGTTCAGGATGTTAACAACGGATCTTTGTATAGCCAAGGAAAGGAAAATGATAATGGTGGTGGTGCAGACGAAATTTTGCAATTTGAAAACCCATATTTTGTGAGAGACAGAGAAGATCTCTTGGATAAAATTCAGAGAAACAAGAATTCCGGCACGAATGATGCGGTTGTTGTCCAAGATCCAAATGCTGCTAATTTCTCGTTGATTTTGAATGAATTAGACCAAATTAAGTTGAACCAGTTGGCATTGAGTGAAGATTTACGTAGAGTTAGAAAGGATAACAAAACTTTATGGCATGAAAATTACATAGCGAGAGAGAGACACCAACAACAAGCCCAAACTTTGGAGAAGATACTTTCATTTTTGGCAACAGTATATGGTAATTCAGGTGGGAAGATTTCAGAAGTTGAAAACAGTCCGTTTGATATTCACGGGGTTCTTGCACCTTATAGGCAACAACAGCAACAAAATAACCAAAATCTGCACCAACAGCAACAACAGCAGCAACAACAACAACAGCAACCCCAGCAACTGTACGAATCCGCTTCTCAACCTACAAATTTCGAATCTAATCCTTTTGATATGCCTCCTCCAAGCCCTTTCAATAAACCAAGGTTGATGTTGATGAATAAGGCTTATCAAAGCTCTCCAGATTCAAACAGAAATGGTAGCACTTCTAATAATTCAGAAGGTGGTGTTGACTCAGTGGAAGAGATAATGAGATCATACGAAAACACACCCAAAAATAATAATTTCAACGATAACAATGCGCCCCCTGCTAATAGAGTATATCAACACCTTATTAACCAGGACCATCCCTCACCAAGGCACTTTTTTCCAGAACTTAATGGTTTGAAAAATGGTAATAATTATTTTGAAAGGCCAGGAACCCCACAACCAATTCAAAATTCGTCTTCTTTGGCTAACACAAATGTTGCGAATTCTCCAGGAAACAACGATGCTATGAATGTATTGGAGCAGAATATCTACAAGCAGGGGCAATCAATACAACAAGTACAGGATTGGATTCTGAAATTAGCTGCTCAGCAACAGGAAATCCAACAAAATAATAACAACCTTAGTAAGGCTCTGCAATTTACACCAAGCCAACATATACTTCAATCACCATCTCTTCCTCCTGATTTCCAAGAACAAAATTTTGACATAAACAAGCCAGATTTCGATGAGTTTGATGTTAATGATTTCTTGGATTCAGGAAATGCAGGTTTGCCCCCAACTCCAGTAATACAAGACCATAATACATATGGAAGGAAGAGAACGATTGAAGAAGTGCATGACGATGAAGAAGATAATACTTCTAAGAAGTAGAGCTTGATGCTTTATGTATATAAATAGTTTTAATGACTTTGATGACCTGAAAGATAACTAATTAAAATACAATAGATAAAATAATTATATAATATGATGTATATTCTCTCTCATTTTCATTTTTGCAGACATGTGTCTGATTTTGTCAAGATGTTTTCTAATATAGGATATACTCTATGAATTCAATTCAATGGATACTGTTTCTTGCTTTAGAATCCAAAGCAATGGTATCCCAATTTGAGGAGAAAACAAAGTATGCCTCAGATACAGCCAAAGTGAAAATGCCCACACCTAGACCAGCCCAAAGGCCAACTAATTCCATTTTGAGAACGAACGCAAATGTGAGCCCTAATGGAACAGCAAGGATATAGTAGGCAATTAAGTTTAATTTGCTACCAATTTGTTGTCTACCTTGCCCTCTGAGACATCCTGCGAATAGTATATTTGCACAGTCATACAATTGATTAATTCCAAGGATGACTATAATTTTCTCTGCAATCCGGGTCACTTCTCTGTCGCTGGTAAACAGATTTGCAATCAAAGACTTGCCACAGACTAAGATCAAGCAATCCACCACACCTAAAATAGCAGCAAAGAGAACTGCAACCTTATTCACTATCTGTGCCGCATCAATCCTCTCTCCACCTATGTGGTTTCCCATTCTTGTAGATACTGCAACGGATACTCCGAAGGGAACCTGGAAGAATAGAGTTGCCATTGTCGAAACTATAGATTGAGCAGCCAAAGATGCAGTTCCGAACCTTGCAGCTGCTAATGTTAAGATTTCAAAGGCTATAAATTCTGAGAGCAACATCGCGGTGCCGTTAAGAGCTAGCTTCATCATGGGACCCCATCCTTGGAATGACTTTTTGATTTCTAAACCATCCCAGCACCTTTTCCCATCAACAAAGAGAACGTAACACAAGAGTAATCCACTCATGAGCCAGTATGAGATAGCAGTAGCAATAGGAGCCCCAATGAAGCCAATGCCAATAGTTTTATCCCACACAAGTACATAATTAAGAAGAACATTAATAGGAGCAACTATGAATAAACAGTATTGACCTGCATTAAATAATCCCTGTGCTTGTAGAAACCTTTTACCTGTTTCAAAGAATATATAACCTGGGGAACCCATTGAAATAACTCTAAGGTATCTCTGAGCCAAGTAAGCTAGCTCTTTTTCTTCGACAACTAAAGAGAGTATACTTCCACTAAAACACCATAACACAATAATAGGAATAGACATCACGAGTAGCATTGCAGCACACTTTTGGAAATAGAGCCCAACCAAGTGATATTTCTTAGCTCCGTATGCTTGAGCACAAAATGTATCGAGACAAGTTGCCATACCATTGAAAATCGATACTGTTACATTAAAAGTCATGATGGCCAATGAGACAGCCGCAAGCTCAGTTTTGCCAATATGACCAACCGAAAATATAGACACTACTGTGAGTGAGTATTGTAAGAAGAATGTAATGATCAACGGAACCGAAGATTTACATACTGCTTTCATTTCAATTGGGGTGTTGCTTTCATTTTTACGTATAAGTGGGGAATTTTCATCCATTTTAGTATAGTCTATGGATTTGAAGTTCCTTGAATTAGATATTATCTAAAAAAGGTGACATTCCAGTTCATTATTATATTGGTTAACTATTTCATTCAAATGGATGTGATAGACCGACAAAAAAATAAACTAAGATAATCTCCATACCGACAACTTGGTAGATAAGGACAAAAACAACAGGGAATGTCGGTCATTGCCAAAGCGCAAGCGCAAAACCTTATAGGTGTAAACATTTTTCATTAATTGCACCTCATTTCTGCTTTTCCCTTTTCGGAGATTGCGCAACGAGAAAGCTTAATCAATGTAGGCTTCATAAGGTACAGAACTGATACAGCTGGTGCATTGTCCTGCTCAACTTAATGTCTGGAAAATATTTGCCATAAATGCATAAACCTTTCAATTTCATGCGGACTGCAGGTAATATCTTATCTTAGTAGATTACCGAAAAAAGTGGTATATGTCCTGCGAAAAATTCCGTGGAAAATCTGTAAATCCTGGTAAGCCAGTCTTTGAAAAGTTTAAAATGTTAAACCACTGATTTGGATATGATAAGAGTAATAGATGATTGATTAACAAGTATTGAAAAATGTATAAAATGTGACCATGGGTTGACATATTTCAAACAAGTTTCAGAAATCCAATCAATAATATTAATTTACCCAAAATGGTTTACGTTAGTACCGATACTCAAGCTTTCACTAGATTTGTTAAACAGCTACCTGAATATTTAGAAGTTCCTCACGATAAGGAGCCTACTATATTACAAAATGCTGATTTGGAACCAATACCTCCAGTTAGAAGAATTTGGTCATTTTGGAGTTTTTTTGGATACTGGGGTGTACCAAATATCACTATTTGGACATGGCTGACTGGGTCAGCAATGTTGGCCTTAGGTTTGAATATCGGACATACCATGGGAGCATTGACTCTTGGAAATATACTCATTTGTATCTATACATGTCTGAATTCAGGTCCTGGTTCCAAGTATCATATTGGATATACTGTCTGTCAAAGAATGATATTTGGGATATACGGATCTGGTATTGGAATCGTCATAAGAGTTATACTCTCTATTGTATTCTACGGTTCCCAGAGTTGGTTAGGTGGCCAGGCAATGGTCGTCATGTTCTCAACCTTCAGTGACAATTTTTTGAACTTGAAAAACACATTCCCTGAGTCACTTGCAATGACAACTAGAGATTTTATTGGATTTTTCTGCTTTCAATTTATTCAAATGTTCTTCTATTTTATGAAACCCGAGAAGATGAACTCGTACGTGAACTTTTCATGTCTTATTACCTTCATTGCCTTTGTTGGAGTCCTTATCGCCTGCTTAGCTAAAAATCATGGTCCTGGTCTAATTTACTACGAAAAAGTTGTTTTACTGCCTAGTGAGACAGGATGGATGTGGTTGTACGCTATGACCATTTGGTATGGTGCTTTATCACCGGATTGTACTAATCAGTGTGATTTCTCTCGTTTTGCATCTAGCAAAAAAAAGATGTACTTTGGCATTGTATCTTCTATTATGATAACAGGAACTTTCGTACCCTTAGCAGGACTAATTTGTGCTTCAGCTACTCAACAACTATATGGGACCTCCTTGTGGTTGCCTACCGATATTGCAATGCAATGGATGACCGATAACTATTCATCTGGTTGCAGAGCGGCATGCTTTTTCCTTGGGTTTGCCTTTGCATCTTCTCAGTTGACATTCAATGTTTTAGCAAATGGCTTTGCAGGAGGAATGGATCTTGCTGGAGTTTGTCCAAAATACATTAATATCAGAAGAGGTGCTATAATTACTGCCTTATTATCGTGGGTAACTCAACCATGGAACTTTTACAACACATCTTCTGTATTTATGAGTGTGATGAGTTCTTTTGGGGTTTTTGTTACTCCTATAATTGCAATTGTAGTTGCAGATTTCCATATCATTCGTCGTGGAAAGCTTCCACTCCAAGATCTTTATCTGACACATTCTGATGGAACATTCTACTTCACGAAAGGTTTTAATCTCAGAGCAATCGGAGTCTGGATAGTTAGTATGGCTCCAGGAATTCCTGGATTAGTAGCAAGTGTTGAAGCGACCTTTAAGATTCCATCTGGGTTGATGAATTTCTTCTATGGTAATGTGGTATTCGCTTTTGTATGTCCTTTAATACTTTACTCAATAGTGTGTTACATTTTTCCACTCAAAAATGCAGGTGTTACCGACACAGTTGATTATTTCAATGCCTTCACAATGGAAGAATGCAAGGAGATGAACTTAATTCCTGCCTCCTCAGTAGAGGTTCTAGACGGTGAATCTGTTACTTTGGAACTTGAGAAATTCCTGCTGAAAAAGGTATAAGATTAAGTTTGTTATCTTTCAAATAATGTGATTTTTTTTCGATTCCCCTATATTTCTTAAATTAATACAATAGATAAACTTTTTACCTGGTTGTAGATACCAAACAATTCAAGAGTACGGCCAAATAAAATGAACATTCAGAACTTTAACTTTAAATGTGTAATCCGAAAGGATAGAGTAGAATTAATTTGGTCTTTGGCTGTGACATAAAATTATCCTAGCGTATCTAGCTACCAATAAGTCTCTCTTAGCTGGATTTAAAATTTTTCTTAAGATGACTCGCCCACATTTCTCTTTCTTCGATGATGATAAGAATTGCGCGGCTTAGGCAGAGAAGCTATGGATAACCTTTGGAGTTTAATTACCGCAAACATGTTCTTTTGGTGGTCCCTAATTAGGATACTGTGAAGAATGTAACTTGGAAATCAGAAACATTTGCAAAGCGCAAAAGTTGAGTCTTCAAATCTGGAGAATGTCAAATTGCGAGCAATTTCCGGTTTTGGAAAATGCGCACTCGACCTCATAACTTTTTTTCATTCATTATTCACATTCAATTGAGCTCAGTAAGTGCTAAAATAGATAAAACATAAGATTATGATTTCTATTGATTGCTGGATAAGCTCGGAATTGAATTTGATTCGCCAGTATTCAACCCTTACTCCTTGTTTCTTTAGTTGTTTTCTCAGCTTTATTCTCCAACTTAAAGTGGAGATTAAGTAGTGGCTGCAAAATTGCTGATTCTGGTGTACTATAGAAATAAGTTCATATAAAAGTACCCAATATCCTTGAATTATAATAATATTTTCTGTTTCCTTATCCAAGGATTGTAGTCCACAATCTATCTAATAAAACTTACCTTTTTTTTTGTTAGTATGATATTCTCTGTTCCTGTTTTCATTTCACTTTATCTTTCGCTTACCCAAGCTCATGTCCTTCCTGAGCAAGTAATCTTGAAGTGCGAGACTTCGGACTCACAGCTTTACTCCCAAGAAAGCAGGGACCCTATGAGTATCTCACGTACCGGTAATGATGTTTCCCAAGTTTCCTTCTTAGATCGTTACTTTGGTCAATCATTCCTTGATATGGGATCTATGACAGTTGCAACCAAAGCTACAAACAAGAAGGCACCACTTCCATTATCAAATAGCCTTCATTCACTCATGATGAATGATGATTATGAATATCCAGATAAGGATGATCTCCGTGATATCAACGGTACTTCAACCCTTTATCGTGGAGGTGAGTTTGGTGGTATCAACACATTCGCTCACGTTCCTTACGCAAATTGCTATGACCCTGAGTTATTTGACAAGGAAACTTTCGATATTGCCATAGTTGGTGCTCCATTCGACTCTGGTGTGTCCTATAGACCAGGTGCAAGGTTTGGGCCATCTGGTATTAGAATGGGATCTCGTAGGTTGGCACCTGCTTATTCTGTTTACAGAAAGGGATTTGATCCCTATTCTAACTGGGCAAAGATTGTTGACTGTGGAGACCCGCCAGTTACACCTTTGGATAATAGAATTGCTCTTGATCAAATCTATCGTGCCAATCGTGCCATTGGACAGCATAGGACAACTAAGTCCAATAAAAGTAAGGCTCCAAAAATTTTTACTTTAGGTGGAGACCACACCATTACATTGCCAGCAATCAAGGCAGCCTTTGAAAATTTTGGTCCAATCACTGTTATTCATTTTGATTCTCATTTAGATACTTGGAATCCGTACTATTTTGGAGGAAATGTCACTGACTACCAATCAGTAAACCATGGAACTTACTTGCACTGGGCCCATGAAAAGGGTTTGTTAACCAATAGTTCTATTCATGCTGCAATTAGAGGACCATATCCAGGGCCAAGAGATGTAAAGCACGACATTGATTGTGGATTTGACAGAATATTGGCCAGGGATATCGACACCATTGGAACCAAGGGGGTAATCGAAAGGATTAGAAAGAGAGTAGGAGAAAACTCAGCAGTCTATATCACTGTCGATGTTGACTCCATGGATCCAGCAAACACACCAGCTTCAGGTACTGTCGAGCCAGGTGGATGGACTTCCAGGGAACTTTTGACCATTTTAGACGGATTGGAAGGATTGAACATTGTTGGTGGAGATGTGGTCGAGGTATCACCTCCATTTGATACAGTGGCTGAATTAACTTCAATTACTGCCGCTCAAGTTGCAGACTCTATCATTTCATTAATGATCTTGAAAGATGAGGATGCTCATAAGGAACCAGAAGATGAAGATGACAACTAAGCGTGGACTTCAACTCTTTCCTTGAAAAAAAGCAGTGCAAAAAAATAAAAAAATACTACAACTTGTTTCCCATTTCAAACTACCGACATTGCTTAAATGTAAACACATTCTCTTTGCCCCTTTTCCTTCAATCTGTAGCCTTTCAGTTTCAATTCTTTCTATTTCACCTGGAATTTCACCTTGTAATTCTGAGCCCTAGTTGCGAGTAGAGAGGTTTATTTTTTCAGCTTGGCTCGTAAAAATTATTCTGCAACCAAATTCGGATAACAGAGGGAGCAAAAAAACACTTTCCGAGGGAGCGATCTGTAGCTAAACAGCTGAAAGAATAGTAGAAACATCACTAAAAACGCACCATAAAACTAACCTCTTACATTGATTCAGGTTTAGCCGAGTAGACTTAGTCTAACGTACGCATTTAATGTAATTCCAGATCCAGAATGGCTTACTTGCAGACTTCAAACCTCTGGGATGAAATTCGGGATTTCTTTTTGACATTTTCCGCTGCACAGTAGTCCGATTACATAATCAAAAAATACTTATCATAGATACAGATTGAATCAGAAACAGTGAGTAGGAAAGAGAAGAGGAAGTGTAGAACGCTGTAGCTATAGTAGCTGGTTTATGTAAGAGTTGTGGCTCATTGAAGGTAAGATGAATATCCTAATGCTTCAAAATATGAAGCCATTTAAACGAAGTCATTACAGTAAGAGTGGGTGTAAGGAGTGTAAGAGACGTAAAATCAAGTGCGATGAAGGGAAGCCAAACTGTTGGCAATGCGACCGGTTGAAGAAGCAGTGCCAATACCCTGCTAAGGGAGAAAAGGTTAGAAGGGAGGGGCTAAATAGAATTGAAAAAAACAACTGGAATGACAAGAATAGAATCCCACAGCAGCCTACTCCAAATAACCCCTCTACTTCTCAAAGCTCTAGAGGAACATCCACTGTCAATACCCCACTACTTAATCCGGAAAATGGGATTGACACACATAGCAATACCATTGGGACTGGTAACGTAAACGATTCCACGCATAGTGGTCAGAAAAGGACCTCAACTTCTTCAATTATGAACTTATTGAATGATAACAGTGCGTTATCACTTCCAGAGAAGGGGCAGACGGAGTACCTGGCAACTCAAGCCCAGGGGCTCCCGAGCTTCCAGCCACTACATCCTCAAGTGCACCAGCTCCCAGCAATACCGCCTATTCCAACACAAGCTTCCACGATTGCGAACCAGTCATTCAGAGCCAATGAGGCAAGCTTACCAGTGCAGCAGCACCCATCCAACAACGATGCCCTTAATTTGTCTCCACTTCCCTCGCTAGTCAATGAAGGTTTCTCTAAAGACGATCTAGACCTTCTCGCGTCAGATTTAAACAACATTGTAAACAATATAATGTTTGAATCCAAGTTCGAGATCAAGGGTGTTGCTAGCGACTTTGACTTTGGTAGTATATCTTCTCCGACCTACCAAAAAACCTACAATATAACAACCGAAGGGATCGATAACACGAATAATGGAAACCCTGACCCCAATAATGATGCCACTACAAATTCAAATCCCAACTACCAGCGTCTAATGGCCTCTAGCCAACCTCAAAATAGTCCTGTATCGAGAACATATTCGCCAGTCTCAGTGGGCTCGTTGAACCACTTCTCGCCTCCGATTCAAACCAATGCAGCACTGGTAGCAGGTTACGGTACATACGACGAACTCGATAATAGAACAGCCTCGTCCATCCATACTATTCCAAAATCAGTACCTTTGGACTTCATTAAAATTACCAAATCACACGAGAAATTATATCTCGAAGAATTCTATAACGAGTTCGCATCTATAATTCTCCCATTTAATGGTTATGACAAAGCTACATCTACCTACATGAATCCAGCAAGAGATATTCTTCTAACGTGCGCTGCCAGAGAGACATATTTGCTTGCAGCAATTCTAGCGCAGGGTGCTAAATCTAATTTTAAGAAAAGTGGGATCCAAGAGGATGAAAAACTATACTGCTATTATTTATCAAAATGCCTACAATTGTTAGGACCAGCTTTAGGAAAGAGCAAGGGTAATGATGAGACAAATAATAGTAACAGTAATACAGATTCCAACTCAACGGATCTCACATCCAATATAGAAGCTGTATTACTTACCGTCCTTTTGTTAACATCTGCAAATGCGTCAGCTACAAAACAGAACTGGAGAGCTCATCTTCGGGGTGCTAAAGACTTACTATTAAAATATTCCTTCACCAGTAGCAGCAAACACATCAAGCAAGTTCGTAGAACCCCAATATTAATATTCTGCAAATTTTGGTATGTGTCAATTGAAGTGCTTGCTGGCTTATCTTCAGAATATGGAGGCACATTAAAGGCTGAGGAAGACTTAGATAAACTTATCACCCCAGGAGATGAGTATGAAGTCTTTGTGATGAAATCATTTAAAATTATCAGAGATGACGGGTTTAATATATTATTTGGCTACTACAATGATTGCATAGTTCATTTGAGAGATTTAATAAAAATAATTAATAGGATTAGAGCAAAGCCACCGACAGGATCAGAACCACCAGCTACCGCCTTTGAATACTTCAGACTTATATCTGCGTTTTACGAAGAATCTCAGCGCACCTTCGTAGACTCTTCTGGTATTGTGAACGAAGATCGCCTAGCACATATTTCCCCTGGTGGTTCTCTAATTGAAACGTTTGCAAGTAGATCTAAGAATCGCTTGCTGGTAAGCTGGGTGGATATCCTGCATCAATCTTACATAATTGGTTCATTAGTTACTATATTAACCAGGGGCTTTCATTTATCAAGTTCATCAACTCAGGTACAAGAGTTAGTGAGCAGGTTTATACCCTTTTTGGAATTCTTAAACTTTTCAGATCCACCATCTATCAAGTACTCAGTATTGATGATTCAATGGCCAGTTCTGATCATAGGATTACATTGTATAAATGAAGATCATAGGTTCTTAGTAATGAAATTTTTCAGACTCTCTGCTCAAATTGGTTCTGGCAGTGCAGCAATATCTTTGCGTAGGTTGCACAAGGCATGGAACAATAAGAATGAAGCTGATGATGGCAGCTCAGAAGATTTAGATATTGACTTAATGACTTACTAAGTTTATTGAAATCCAATGCAACTATATTAATGAAATATACAAAATATACTGATTATAATACTAGTAGACTAATTCTCATTCGGTTTCTAATAGAGAGTACCAATTTAATTCACCCCCAGCAAGCTTAAGCCTTGCCTCAAAAGCAGAAAATGGCTTCTCTTTCTTAGTTACTTCTTTACTTACTTCACTACTTGTAGTATTTGAAGAGATCTCGTTCGAATTCATGCTACTGATTGAGGAAAGATCACTATCTGAATATTCACAGACGGGACAGTCGTGAATAGAGCATGTTTCATCTCTACTCGTGTAAGAAGAAGTCACCCAGTCGAACAGTCCTTGTGACCTCATTTCTTGTAGACACCACCCGACTCTTTCAGCTCCAAGTCTTGCGCCATCTAGGTTGGCAGAAGAAGGACCCATCTTTAACTGAGCATTTTTACCTGTCATGAATAATGGAATTTCATTGTTCCACTGTAAATTATCAGTTAACACAGGTAGGCCATGTATTATATCAATAGGAAAGTGCTGAATAATATTATCCATGAATCCCAAACCTTCTAAATCTGGCGTGATGCCTGTGGCGAAGTAAATGTAGTCGACATTAGTCAATGTTCTGAATTCAGCTGAGTTGCCGGTTATTCTCGAATTGTTCTTATTAGGCACACACTTTAACTTAAGCTTCCAACACTTCTCAGCAGCGATCCAATCTTGCTCATCAATAGTAGTGAATCTTAATAACTCCAATTTACCACTTTTAACATGGTTCATGATCTTCTTATAATATTCAGGGTTTAATGATCCACCTTCTCTTGCATCCTGAATCATTTGGAATCTCTCTTCATCAGAATCAAGCATGTAAAAAGCCGACTTCTTGACGTTCTTATATTTAGTAACCCAATCTAGATGGAAGTCAAAATGCTTAATTTTCATTCCACCTCTAAGTAAAAGGTAGCATTTTTCAACCCCAGATCTTAAGGCAACATCAACCAATTGGGCCGAAGTCAAGCCTCCTCCAACAACGACCATTGAATTTCGTTTTCCTTGCTCAATCTTATGGATAATGTTTGCGTCAGGAAACAGAGAGACTTTTCGTTGGAAAATATGAGTGGTATGACAACTTCCTTCTGGAGCTTCAGGTGAGAGTTTAAAAGGCAGAATTGGGTAGTTGATTTTACCAGCATGGCCAGTTGTCACTACACATGATTTGCACCCAAAAATTTGACCACCTTCTGTTCGAACTAAAAAGCCTTTCCCACATTCATTTGTATCAGTGACGTTCAACAAGCAATATTCTATATCAACTACTTTATCCTTTTTGACCATATTGTGCAACTTATATCTATCTATAATATCTTGACAAAAGTCTCGGAATAAGGACGTGGAAGGGCGATAGTAATCTTTCCAATCTCTCATATTGATATCGATGAGCCCTGGAGAATTTTGGCTAGATGGAGATGGTAGTTGACTGTTAGTCGGGACCGGCTGACTCTTCCGTTTATTGTTTTTCATTCTTAGTTTCTTTTGCTTGTGTTTAGAGTACTCCTTCCCCACAACATTGTCAATTTCCATGAGATCTCTGGAACCTTCTCTTCTGGTTAAATATGCAAAACTAACTAATCCGTCAACATTCACTGGATCTGGATGGAAAAACATAGGCGATCTTAAATAAGGAATCAGACAAGTTGCAAACTGGTGATCCCATTGGCCCAACCAGTTATCACTCGTCGCATCAAGCACTAAAATTTCATGAGGTGAATATTTCTTCAGCGGTTTATATGCGCTGAAAAGACTTGGTAGTTTATAATTTTTCTTTGAAGAAACATTTCGATTAATCAAGTTCACCTTACTCCCTCTTTGTTTCAACCAATGGAATCGCTGATGTTCATCTTCCGTGTAAATTGATCCAGGACTATCTTCGCAGAGTCTTGAAGTCACGGCCAAGCCGCATGTTCCACCACCGACAACGATCACTTCCAACAAATTGGTACTCAAAACTTCATAGCAATTCATCTTATATCAATTAATAGAAGGTATAGTCTAGCCTGGCATTAAAATCCTTGCTGAATGGTATTATTTATATGGTATAACCTATCAAGTCCATAACCTCAAAGGTTCGAAATTTGCAGCCATTAACACCTTAACACCATAAATAAAATGCAACATATGGGCACGAAGTAAAGCCTTCTCTGTGCTAAAGAACTTAGGGTGAATAAGTAAATAAGCCATATATGTAATATTATATATAATTTTATTTAGTATTAATAAATAAGGCATATATGTAATATTATATTTAATTTTATTTAGTATTTTCAAACGTAATTATTAGTTCAAACTATTGATATAGCCTTCGATAATAGCTAATAAACCAACAGCTCCTGGGTCAGGAATCTTCCCATCACCGCCATCTTGGAATTCTTCGTCTGCGACATAGCTTGCTCTTCCAAATTTCGCCTTCAAGTCCCCAGTTGAATTGCAACCTTTCTTTGCAGCTTCAAGGGCAGCTTTTAAGTCTTTACCTTTCACTAAAGTATCTACAAAAGGTTGTAAAGTGTCGATAAGAGTTCTACCTCCAGTCCTAGCTCTAGTGTATTTAAAGAGTCCATCATAGAGTGAACTTTCAAGAGCACCACTGACTGTTTCAATTGAAACCTCCTTTAACTTCTGTAAGTTTTGAACTAGAGCTGTCAAGTAAATTGAATAGAGACCACCAGAAGTGCCTCCCATGCTTTCTTCTACTAGTTCAGTGATAACTGATAATGTTGCAACAGGATCATCAAGATGTTCTTGGAAGGATTTATTCAGTTCCAATGCCTTCAAGATGGAATTTGCACCAGCTGCCAAAGTCTCACCACAATCACCATCACCAACTTTAGTATCGTAATGAGTGATTTTAGGCTCCTCCTTCAAAAGGTTTTCCAAAGCACTCTTTAGCGCTTTTCCAAAATACAATTGACCATCAATCTTGAGGCTCGATGTCACTGGATCTTCATCATCTTTGATTGGAGATTCATCAAAATTATCACCTGGTGCATCCCATAGTTTCGAATCATAAGTCTTGGGCTTCCAACCAGGAGCATTTGTAGGTACATCTATATACGCCAATATTTCATGTTGATCGAAATCAGTGATATTCGATAAGTTAAGTAAGGTAATTGAGAACCCTGGAGCATTGAGAGAAGTCACAAAATCGCTAATGAGGATTCTCTTTGGCTTTTTAGATAACGGGATTGATTCTAAAATCTTCTCCGCAATCACATACAATTCCAAAGTAGATGTACCACCAATATTGTTAATGAGTAAGACGTACTCATCATCGTTCTTAAAGTCAACATAATGACGATCTTTGTCTTCAGAGGAGAGTAGCTTCTCAAACATGGTCTTTAGTAAGTCTTTAATATGAGGAATTGGGTCAAGGCGCTGGCCAGGCTCGTTATGTATACCCAATCCCAATTCAGCTGATTCAGGGTGTAATTGCTCTTCCTCTTGTTCCTCATCATCTTCGGATTTTCCTGGAACACTAGTTCTATCCAAAGAAGCACCAATGGTAACCAAGTTTGAATTGATTAGATTTCCAAGTTTTGCAATATCTGCAAGATCATAATTCTTATCTTTTGCAGAGGATGCACCACCTACAATTTTATGAACTAAAGCTGTCCCGGCTAATGCTCTCCTTCCAACCATTTTATTCTGTTCCCTTCCTACAGCTACATCATCAGTTACAGGGAGCAATTCTACATTATAGCCATCAGCTTTTGCTCTCTCAGCAGCAAGCCCAAAATGGAGTATATCTCCAGTATAATTTTTCACCACAATTAACGTACCTTCACCATCCTTTTTGGAACCAACCTTTCTGATAGCAGCCATAATCTGTCTAGTGGAAGGAGAAGCGAAGATAGCTCCACTCACTGCAGCATCAATCAAGTTGTCCCCCACGTAGGCCGCGTGTAGCGGTTCGTGCCCACCTCCACCTCCTGATATGACCACAACTTTTTTGGTTTCCTTTTTAGGGTTGTAAATCACCTTCTCGTCAGGAATGAGCCTAACTGCTGGGTTCAGTTTTGCCAAAGCAAGCAAGTGAGTAGAGACCAAGTCCTCATGCTTATCATAAACCCAATGCTTTCCAATAGTCATATTTTTTTAGTAATAGAAGAAAAATAGTCCAATTGTTCAGACTTTTTGCTTCTACGGATACAGTGGGAATATGCTGGATTTAAGTGCAAAGTGATTGGAGCAAGCGAGCAGTTTTGCTCAGGTGGTGCTTGTAAAGTGATGATGTAAGGGTACAGATGCAGTAGCTCGAGATCCTAAAGCGGTTAGAATATGCACTTGCGAAAAATGATCCTGAGTGAAAAATGTCTGGAGTTAATGCGCTAATAAAATGTCTGTAGAGGTGTTAAGATAAGTACACGATAGTAGACGATAATAGTGCGACACAGCTGTGAGTAGTGGGCCAGTTGCTTTGGAGCAAAATTATCAGCAAATATAAATAGAAGAAAAATTTTAAGTAGAGCAGTTAAGTATTTACCGTGCTAGTTATTGCAGACTGGGGTAAAAACAACACCTGCAAGAAAATGATACATATGGGCAAGGGCCGAACTGACTTGATAGGAGCAGTAATATAAATTACTGAAAGAAAAAGAAATAATTGCCAAATGAAAAATATACATCACACACCACCTGTAGATCTCTTACACCCGTATTCTTTGAATTTGCAACAATATTCCGATGCTCCACTGCTGCACTGTTGCACTGTTCCACTTATCTGCCATCTCGTTCTCTACTCTGCTTCCCCAGCTAGCGGCTCGGCCCGTTCTTCACCTGGATCTTGGCGCTATTACTTACCCTATACTGCGAAACTGCAGAGAACTTTTTCTTGAAATCTGAACCGCGATCTCCTTCCTATCCTACAGATGCATCTGTACTTTATAAATATTATCATGTAAAACTCCATCTCATGCCATGGTGCTAAGATACATACAAAGAATTTTTTTCAGATCTTCAAAAATTTAACGTTTTGGAGTTGGTATAGGTTCAAAACTCAGGGAACTATTCTTTTAATCTCAAATTGCATATTTACATGTGTACCTAGGGGATTGCAATTGCCGGAAACTCTATTTCGAATAATTTTCTTAATTTTCTTCTTGGTTATTCCTGTCGTGGTGAAATTCACCTCGGATCCAGAGATTGAAATAGAAAGGACAAAACAGGGAAACGTAAGAAGTCAAAAAAAAAAAGAAGTAATTGAGAAACTTGCGGTAAAAATATGGCAGAAACTCCTGACTTAGAAGATGAAACGAAATCAATTGCCCAAGCCTCCACTCACTCGAATGGTGATGGGGGCAGAAGCAAAATCAAGAGGTCGAAAACATTCACTGGCTGTTACACATGTAGGGCCAGGAAGATACGGTGTGATTTGGGTAAACCTGAATGTCAGAAGTGCATAAAGTCTCAAATACCGTGTGGTGGATACGACATATATCTCAGATGGTCGAGTCCCATTCAGTTTAACCCAAAGACAGGCAATGCACTAGCTCCGCTGGGGGTGTTCCAAAGGACTCAAGACAATGACGATGATAGTATTAACGAAGAGGGAGGAGATGGTGCCTCTGCATATGTATCTCATTTCTCAAGAAGACTGGTTGGATTTGTCGATTGGGAAAACCATAAGCCCTACAGATACTACCAGGATATGGATACAGATTTGGCTATTTTGCATAACAGTCAATCGGATCCTTTGATACTGAAAAACAAGACGAAGATGTTGGGGCCCTTTGGAGTTTTCCAAGGTTCTGTACCCAATTCATCTCCAGTTCTCTCTAAATCTGTCAGTGTGGCTCTGACCAATGGTAACGAGTTACGTAGAGCAATGAGCAGTAGATCCGCTGCTTCAAGCGTTAAAGATGGTGGGAAAGACACCAAAGTTACAGCGGAGGCTGGCCCTTCAACACATTCCTCTTCGGGTTCGCCATTGAAGAAGAAAAAGCTAAATACCAATCTCACATCTGATGCTATTCCTACGACAGGAAATGGAGGACTCAGTCCCAACACTGAACAGGTGCCTGCTATGGGAGCACAAGATCTCTGGCTTTCCAATGAACTTCGTGATGATGCTATGCTTACAGCTGCTGCGCTTAATGGTGATGTTCATTTCTTAGACCTTATGTCTACTATTTCAACACCAAACAGCAACATTTTTACTCCAGTGAACTTTAACAATTACAACTATAATACCAATCAAAATGATTTTTTGAATTTGGTTTTCCACAGGAATAGCAATCATCAGGGCCAGCAGCATCTGAATGCCAACGGGGTGCCGCTAGATCTACCAGTTGGTGACCATCACACGTCCATGCTGCAACAACAAGAACAACTACAAGTACGAGAGCAGTCGCAACAGAACGATATTCAACCACAACAGCAACTTCATCAAAATCAGCAACAACGACACCAACACCAACAACAACATCAACAGAGCATACAGCACCAGCAGTCACGTCAATCACAAAACCACCAACATGTATCACTAACAAACGATGCACAATACTCGAACTATAATGATTATTACTATAATAATCCATATAAGCAAAATGAAAATCTTGAAATTCATCTTGATGCTTCGAGCAAACATAATACTTCTAATGAAAATGAACCAAACACTGACATAGTTGAAGGCGAACTGAGTAATGCGACTACTATGCCAACTTCCATCATGTGCACAGTTCAAAGTTTACTTGAACCTAAATTAGGCTATGATCTTACCATCCCGCCTAATTCTCCCGAAGAAAACAAGACTAATAACAGTAACACCACCACAATTATTCCACCTGGACTTCCCTCAACGGCTTTACAAGTTCAACCATTGACTAGGTACTTACTTAATTATTATGTGACTACAGTTGCCGATTTAATGACTGTGATTCCGTTAACTGAAAATCCTTGGAAATCGATTTATTTCCCTAGAGCGCTTATGGCAATCGGAGAGCTACTGGCTTTAGGTCATACTAGTGATGCAAAAAATGCATTATTGAATGCATTATTGGCCGTCCTGGCCTTCAATCTCCAGCTGAAATTTCCGAAGAACTCTTCACCAATGAAGTATTATCTTAACTTGGGGATTAGACTAAGAAATCAAGCGTCCGTGTTTGTCAAAAAGTTACTTAACAGTAATAACGATGGAAGCATTGAGAACTGCGTCAGAAATGAGAAATATAAAGACGTTTTGTGTGCCGTCATGTCAATGATTAGTGTTGATTTAGTTTGGGGTACAATGCAAGACACAAACTACTATATAAACTGGTGTGGGAAGGTTATTTCACAGAAGATGATCAATAAAAAGAAGTTGTCTACGAAAGCAAGAATTCTACATCGGATTTTCAGTAGTTTGAAATTGATCCAGGATTCCACTTGTTTGGATTTGGAGAACATTAAACGAGATCTTGAAATGGAATATGATGTTAATGGTGATAAATTCGGCAAAAAAGGAGGTAAATCTTCTTTATCAGACAAAAATGATTGGAAAGACGAGAAGAATAAAATTGATTACTTGGTTTCATCTGGAAACAGGACTATGACTCCAACGAGCACAACAACTGGCCCAGCATCCATCAAACTCCGTAAAGCATCACCATCTTTCTTGAACAAAAAGTTAATAAATACGAAGAAGAATGATGAAAATTTTGCTACCGATGCGTTATATGGACTTCCAAACTCTCTCATTATGCTATTCTCGGAGACAGTTCGATTGCTTAGATCAAAGATTTATCAAAGTCACCAAGGCAACAGCATGGAAACATTCAAAGAAGAAGTTGACGTTGTTTTGAAAAACTTGGAGAATTGGAAGTTGGATTGGGTTCTATACGAAGGTGACATGAAATTTTTTAGTCCAATGCATGAAGCTACATACCATCATATTATGTCTTTTTACCATGCTTTGAATATTTACTTCAATAAACTTATATTGGAGAAGCCAGGGCTGGAATTGCAACAAGGCGTTGAAAAAACATTAGAGCATTTGAATGCAATTCAGATATTAATATCCAAAGATGAGGCTGTGATTATTCCATTATTTTGGCAAGGATTCATCGCAGGGTGTGAAGCAATATCTCAAGAGTTACAGATGGGCTATAAGAAGTGGGGTGCAGACATTTCACAATACTTGGGTAGTTATTGGGGTGCAAGACAAATTATGTTGGAGGTTTGGAGAAGAAAAAGGATGAATGAGGAGAAGGACGATTGGGTAAGTGTTATTCAAGATTGGGAGATGAATTTGATGTTGAATTAGAGTAAGTTATTTTTTAAAAGAGAAAGCAAAGGCTTTCATCGGCGATGCATATGAAAAGTGTACACTATGTAGGATAAACGAAAGTTGTGGATTATTGCAGAATAATAATAATAATATAATAATTGAAGCGATAGTACTAATAATAAAATAGTAATATTGGTTGCAGTTTTTTGAAGCTAGAAGAAAGTACATCAGTGATGAATAATAGAAAGGAAATAGTAATAACAGCAATATTTTCAGAAGTGTATATTAGGCAGCATTAGCAAAATTTGTGGGTTATTGCAGAGTGAATGTATAAGTAGGAATGATGTTGATATTAACAGAGTATTTCCAATGAGCATAAAAGTGTTTACTATGTAGCATAAGCGCAAATTGTAGATTGGAGCAAGAACAGAGTAATAAGAATAAAGGTACTAGTAATAATTAGGGCCATATTTACAATTAGTGTGAAAAGTGTATCCTAGGTAGCATAAGCCAAGAATTTGAATTATAAATGGAAGTAGTAATGATAATAGTAATAGTAATGATGATAATACTAAAACAGCAAGAGAGGTTGCAGTATTTTTGAATTTGGCAAAAAAAAATACATCAATATAGTATAATAGAATGCCAAATGGTAATGATAATGATAATAATAATAATAATAATAATAATAATAATAATAATAATAATAATAAATAATAAAAATAATAGCAATAATAATAGTAATAGTAATAATTAGAGTAATAATAATAGTAACATTATCAACCATCATCTGCAACTCTATGCTGGAAACATTTGCAATTCTATGTTGGTGCTCGAGCAAGGCTTCGCAAGAACAATGCTATTCCACTTTGTATGTTTATTTATTTACTTACTTTCCATTTTCAAGTAGATCTTTAGCTACTCGTGTAACATGCTATGTCAGAGCTCATACGATCTGCTACAAATTACGTGAGCCACTTTGTAATTGTAATGGTGGTTAGAATGCCGATTTCATTTAGCACGAGTCACATGTAGGGGAATGATCTTTCGTCAAAAATAAAGGGTAAAATATACTGTGAGCCGCTAGGCGAAGTTTCGTGTCCCAATTATCGGTGGATTCCCTGCACTCAGCGCAGTGTACCTACAGATCACATTTCTTGGTATCACGAATGTACATTCTTGCGTAAAGCTAAGGAACAAACTGCAATGTAGCCTTGATCTAAGCGAACCACCTATTTTTTCTTCATACATTCGCTAAAAATTATTTCTTTCGTGTTTCGCGTTTGATGTGTATACCCAAAACAACAACATGTAAATAATAACATTGATCTGTAAAACGTGTAAAGGGTTAAAAAATACGCTTGAGAAACGCACCATCCCCCATGGAAGCCTTGTAAAACGCTTAGTGAAGACTGTGGTTATGAATTCATGTTTGAGGTATTGTTTAACGTGTTTTAAAATTTTTTTTTTGGAAGGAGAGGGGGCCACCACTTTGTCGGTATCGTGACGCGTGAAAGCCTTACATTTTCTCATGGCGAAGACACCATCCAGAAGTATATATAAATGGTAGGGGTCTTCTTCTACGTTAGCTAATATTCTTCTTTCCTTTTTTTCTTTTCATTAACAAATAACACTAACCCACATACATTCGTTTATCTTTAACACCAAATAATTTTTAAAATGCAATACTCCAAGACCTTATCCTTCGCTGCCCTTGTCGCAATCGCATCCGCTGCTAACGTTACCGTTACTGACCTGGAAACCACTTTAATCACCATCACTTCTTGTTCTGACAACTTGTGTACCAAGACTGCCGTCCCAGCTACCGTTATCACCACCACTGTTGAAGGTTACGAAACTGTCTACACTACCGTCTGTCCAGAAACTGAATCCACTTCCCTTGAAGCCGAAGCTTCCACCAGTCTTACTGTTGTTACCACCACTATTGAAGGTGTTGAAACCATCTACACCACTGTCTGCCCAGAAACCGAAACCACTGCTGCTCCAGTTGCTGAAACCACCAGTGCTGCTCCAGTTGTTGAAACCACCAGTGCTGCTCCAGTTGTCGAAACCACCAGTGCTGCTCCAGTTGTTGAGACCACCGCTGCCCCAGTTGCTGAAACCACCAGTGCTGCTCCAGTCGTTGAAACCAGTGCCGCTCCAGTTGCTACTGAATCCGACTCTTACGTTGACGTCACCGTCACCCCAACTGTCACTGAATCCACTGCCGCCGAAGAAACTGTCTACTCCCAATCTACTCTTTACTCTACTTACTCTACTAACTCTACATCCGCTGCCGCCGCTGTTGTCACCGCTGCAAACAATGCCAACTCTCAAAAGATGGCTTTCGGTGCCGTTGGTGTCGCTGCTTTAGCTTTATTAGCTTAAGTATAACATACACGTGGATGTAGATAGTACCTTGATTAATTTTAGTTGATCCATAAGCGAACTGTCTCGCACATTATACCCCAAAACTTAAAATTAAAAAGGACATGAATATAATATTAAAGAGTTGAAATAATGATGTAGATTTACTTTTGTAGAGCCGATCCATTTCTTAATGTGGTCTTGAGATATGGTTGCACCCGCTCTAGAAAAGTATTTGAACCGCTTTAAACCATTTTAAACTGACGCGGACTATTGCTCTCGTGTGCATTGTTCTAATTGTTCTTCTGAGCGAACTGATGTTCCAGCGACATGGCTGCAAGTACCCTGTTGGATGTTATACTGAAAAAACTTACTGAACTACGTTAAACTAAGTTGAGCTGCGATAGACTATAAGGCACAACACTGTATCACAGGCTACTACATTCCTACGCCTTGTTCCTCTTCTCTTTCGCTCACTGATGTTCCAGTCCACAAACTTGAGCCCACCGACTTGCGCACACCGACTTGCGCCCACCGACTTGAGCCCACCGACTTGCGTCCACCGACTTGCGCCCACCGACTTGAGCCCACCAACCTGCACCCATCGACTTGCACCTACTGACTTGCGCCCACTCTTCTCTTGCCGAATAAATTTTCACCACTGTTCCCCTTTCGGTTTTCTCCATTTTGCAACCATTCTCGGCTTTTCTTTAGGCTGCAGAGAGGCTCATTTTTTCACCTGATTCGCGACTTGATCTAAAATTTTTACACCGCGCGCGCCTCACACGCCAAAATCGCGTTTGCAAATAATAATCACGATGTGTCAAAAAATGGGCCCTTTCTTTGTTCTTTGGCCTGCCTTCGGAGAAGTTGTAGCATCTGGGGGCCAAGTCACCATTTGGATCCACTTTGGGCTTAATGGTCGTTTTGAACCTAAAATCAAGGTGGAAGCGGTTCTTTTTTTGGCTTTATTTTTTGAACTGCCTCTATAGATTCTAGTCCCCTTTGATTTACCTTTGGGCTTATTCCCCTTGGGGCTTAGTGCTGTCTGCAACCCTTTAGACTCAGTGCGGTCTGGAACACTTTGGGCTTAGTGCGGTATGAACCTAATACCAAAGTGAAAGTGAATCAAGATGTATCAGAGTGAAAGTACAATAATTTTTCAAAAGTGAAATACAGCGTTACCGTTTCTTATGCATTGAATATTGCTTGGTGTGAAATCTATATATGTACATAAATTCTTTGATTCCCATCTTACTACTTATTCGAATAATTTATTATAAATGGAATCGTCCTCGTCCTCGTTTTCATTATCCTCTTCTCTCTCTAAACTAGGAGCATCTTTCCAAGTAGATCCCTTGGCAGCCTCATCCTTCTGTTGTTCTGCTCTCGCCATTTCTCTTTGGTACCCCTTCTGTATAAGTTGGTCGTAGTACGCATTGTTGCCGAGGAACTTGTTCCAAGCATCGTTCAAGTATATTAAGGCTATGTCACGAATCGTTGGGAAAAAAGTCCTGTAACTGTTGAGCACAAAATAAGTAGCATGGCTCACCTCATCCAATGAAGCCTTGAATTCATCCTTGAAGGTCCTTTTGTTCTTTTTCTCAGGCATGAGGAGCTTCTTGGATCTGGTCTTCTTAGTCTTGGTATCCGACTCAACTGATTGTTTTGGAACCGATTGCAGCTGAGGAGCACTACTAGTGTCCTTTGCCTTGGATTCCACAGCCAAGAAGGGGAAACTGAATCCCTTCTTACTTTCTCTGCCCTTCTCATAATCACCCAATTGTGCCTTACCCTGCGCCACATCTTCCAAATGCTTCAAGTACATTTGCTTGAAATTGTTTATGGCTTCAATACTCTTACTGATTCTATCAAAAGTATTGAAAAGGGATACCATCTCAATTCTCCTAAATTTGAGCTTATGGCTTTCATCTTCAAATAAGATTTTCAATGCGGTACCGTAACCGATGGTCTGCAATTTCCCCCACATTCTGCATCTGTCACATCCAACACAGTCCATAATTGCAGAAACGTTTCTGAATCTTTGTCTGAATTCCATTTTCAACTCTGGAGAAACCACTTTTGGATCGAAGAGCTCTGTTGTGTTGAAAAGGGTGTGTTGGTTTAATAAGGGCAAAATAGATCCAAATACCTGCTTATAGTCAGGTTCATCGTTTCCAAGCAAGGCATTGTTTGAACCAAAGGATGCAGCAGCTTTATTAGCAGCCCCTAAGGATTCGTCACCGCAAGTAATTTGATCTGCAAGTCCTCCCTCGAAAATTTCACTCAACTTAACAATGGCCTGACTGACCAAAGCATAGTTAAAGTAGATATTACTTAATCTATCGTTGAAGGAACCAACTCTCTCCATGAAAATCTTTAAATTAGGCTCAAAGATTTCCTCTACGTTGTAATCGTCGTCATTCTCAACATCGCTTGGGCATAAGTACTCGTTAGACAAGTGGACAGCAATGGAGGCATGCATACCACTGATAAGTCTGTAGAACAAGTTCTTCTCTACGCATTGTTCGAGTTGATCCGAGTCGTCCATGGACATTGGGTTTGTGTTAGGGAAGCAGTTTTCACTGTAAATGGCCTTCCAGACGTCAAAAGCCTGTACACCACCGTATCCAGTAAATCTTTCAGGGTTGGCCAACAAATCCACATACACACAGTTTTGGCCCTCATCGATATGACAGTAGTCCAAATCTTCACAAGTTCCCGCGGCATCGTTGTCCTTATCGGCGGGTCTTTCGATTTCCCCTAATTTGGAAGGACTGAACTCTTCAATATTGGACCAGTTGTATTGATCTGCTGGCAAGATCTCCACCGCACAGTTTCGGGTGGCACAGAAATGCTGAGCATTCCAAAATTTACATTGCTTGTCGAAGTCGAGCTTGAAATACCTGAAGTACGGAGACCTTACCAAGTTGGAAACGTCCGGTCTGATCTGAGCGTTTAAGTTGTCAATATATGAAAATGTCGTGTTACAAGTGGGAGTGATGATCTGAGAACAGAAATCCTGAGAATCAAATGGTGAAAAATTCGATATCGGAGAAGATCCACCGCCCCTAGTGGCAATAACGCTAGATATCGTTGCTGTCAACGTTACCAAAAGGCCTATGTCCCAGTGCAACATCACGTGTCTATGTATATATGAGTCGCTAGTACGATAATCGCTAACCTGTAATCAAGAATGTTTAGATATCTGCTAAGAAGAAAGAGGTATCGTTTTAGCTTCACTGTCCTGCTGGGGTGCTAAATACTTTTTCTCTGCGAAATTTGCGGGCCATGTTAAGCGCATGGCCTAGCAAAAATAGCGCCAAACTGGAGAGAAAAAAAAAATTAGAAGTACATAGAAAAAGAAACGTACTACGTGTGCCCCGATAGAAATCAATAGAATACTACAGAAAGGGAAATCCAAACGGAACACCAGGAAGATAGCTAATCTCACAAGTGCCACGTCAGACTTGAAACTCAACTGGGGACACGGATGCTACAAAAATAGCCTGATCCACTGCATTTAGTGCCACTTGTCTAAAGTGGTATCGGTGCTTATTAAGCTTGCTGCAACCAGTAGTGGCAAGATGAGCTTCAGGAAAAAGGAACGACGACACCAGATGCTGCACCAAAGTAGTAACCGTTGACTGATACTTTATGCCGTACTAGATAGCGGGCGATGGAAGAGGGACGAAAGACGAGAGACGAGACAATGTATGCAGGAGTCTAACCTTCCCGATATGGTGCTATGCCTAATTGGGGCATTGCGTTGTTTCGAAAGTGTTTCGAGAGAACACCCAGAATCATAGGACAATGGAATGTATGGTCAGGCAAGAAACAGTTACATCAGGCAAGAAGCGGTGGTACCAGACAAGAAGTGCAGTGGTAGAGTATGGAGTGTGAAGCCTTTCGATTTGGAGAGGGTATTGTTATTGTTCCAATTCTCTGTATGTTTTTGCTTGTTTCTGTGGGGTTTGTTATTGTTATCTGTAGACTTTGATTTTGTTTGACTACCTGGAGGATTTCGTTTCCTGGGCACCTGATTTTGCTTCTGTTTCTGTTCCCTAAGTACCTGATTCTGTTTCTGATTTTGGTAACTTGTAGACTTTGTTCTGTTTTAGGTTGTATTCTTTTGCTTTTGTTTCAGGATATATTTGAATTTTACTTTGACTTAGGTGGTACATATGAATATGTTAATACTTGCTAATTTTTTGCTTACTTGTTTGTTTTGATTACATCTTCAATCTGCTACTCATTTATCTTGATATTCTTATATTACTCTTACTTTACTTTTCTAACTACGATCTATATGCAAAAACTTCATGGTGTAGTGTTTCTCTAACTACCATGCCTTTAATTTTTTTTTTAGCTAACGTCTTCCGACTCATTCCCTGATTGCTATTCTCATTCTGTGAGATGACTGGGGTCAACGTTCTCTCTTCCGGCCATACTTTTCCTTCTAATCAAACTTAATCTTCTTGGCTGTTTTGGTCATATCAACGTCTTTGAAGAATGCACCGTAGGCCGAGTGGGCTTTCTTCTTGGTATGTCCACCGAACTTCAATAATTCATCTGGAACAGGTTGGTTTGCACCTCTCAAGATATTCATTAAAGCACCACTCAAATGCTTTTCATGTTCAGTGAATAAAGTGTGTGCAGTTCCGGTTTGTCCAGCTCTACCAGTTCTACCAATTCTATGAACATAATCTTCCACGGTTAACGGGAAAGTCAAGTTGATAACAGTCTTAACATTAGGAATATCTAATCCTCTGGCGGCAACATCAGTAGCCAATAAGATAGACAGTTGTCCTTGCTTAAATGAATTCAATGCATTGGTTCTTTGCTGTTGTGACAAATCTCCATGGATGGCAGCAACATTGTACCTGTTTCTTTGCAAAAGTGCCTCAATTCTACCAGCTTCCTTCTTATACAAGGCGAAAATCAATACCTTATCGTTGGCAGTTGGTCCCAGTTGGTATTTCTTTAAAAGGGCAAGTAATTTCTTTTCCTTGTCATAAGGTTCAATGACTTCCACTATCTGCGTGATTCTCTTGTTGGCACTGAGCTCGTCTCTGTCACCAATACTAACCTTAATTGGCGAATTCATAAATGTAGAGGCCAATTCTCTAACTTCCTTTGGCCAGGTAGCAGTGAACATCAAGGTTTGTCTTTGGTCCTTAGATTTACATTGCCCAATAATATTTTTAATATCTTGTTCAAATCCCTTCTCGAGCATTCTATCAGCTTCATCGAGGACCAAGTAGTCTACCTTGTCTAAGCTCAAAGCTCCATCGTTAAGCAAATCCAATAATCTACCTGGAGTAGCAACTACAACGTTGGCATTTCTCAATTCTCTAACTTGGTCACTTTTGGAAACACCACCATAGATGCAAACACACTTCAATTCAGAGCTAGTGTTGGTCAATTCCACCAAATTGTCATAAATTTGAAGAGCCAATTCTCTGGTTGGGGAAATACACAACACATTGAGTCCTTTCTTTTGCATGGTAATGATATTGTTGATAGCTGGAACTCCGAAAGCGAACGTCTTTCCGGAACCGGTCTCAGCAACACCAATAACGTCCTTTCCAGACAACAAGTAGGGCCATGAGACAGACTGAATAGGTGTAGGAGAAGGGAACTTAGCTACAACCTTGGCAATTTTTGGATTAAGGTTGATTTGGTCGAACGATAACAATGGACGAAGGTTCAACTTGTGAGGATCATCAACTGTGACTTCGTTTGTGGAGAGGAAGTTTTCGATCTCTGATTGAGGAAGGCTGGTTAAACTTTCAGATTGAACATATCCTATAGAAGAAGCAGCATCTCCAGTTGGTGCTGCAGTGAATTTTGGCTTTTCTTTCTTTTCTTTCTTGTCCTTCTTGTCCTTCTTTTCCTTCTTGTCCTCCTTGCCTTCCTTGTCTTCCTTGTCCTTCTTTTCCTTCTTCTCCTTCTTGTCCTTCTTCTCCTTCTTCTCTTTCTTTTCCTTCTTTTCCTTCTTATCCTTCTTGTGCTTCTTCTCACTTATCTCTTCACCTGCTTCGTGCTTTCTCTTTTTCTCTACCTTATCAGAACTACCCATTGTGTTTATCGTTTACTGTTACTGAAGTGATGTGCTTCCAACTGGTGCCAAACTAAAAGAGAAAAACTTTCCATATCACATCGGACTATATACAGGACAGCGATGGAGTTTCAGTGCGATGGGATCATGTGACCTGTGCTATGAGGATATGATTTGGCAGGGTAGTGGGTGCAAGGTCCCCATAGACTCAGGAAGCAGCTGCTTCAGGAGGGGTTTGTGAGGCTTATTTGAGATACAAACATTACGACGGGCTCTCTGACTGGCTCAGCTCACGTTGGGAGATTTTTGTTTCTTCCTGCATTACCACACTGAGCTGTTAGGGAACGGAAGTATCACTACACCACGATTTAGCAGGTTAATATGCATGTTGCTACCTTACTATCGCACGCAGCGATATCAATTTGCACGAATTACATTTAATAGTAACACATCACTCAAACAGACATGGTTTGGCTGCCAATACAATACATTCCATCGGCTTCCCATAGCATCGCAATGCTGTCACCTGCATACGTACAGTCTCGGTTCGAGAGCGCTAACGAACAAAATCTATCTACCGTACATGCACTCCGCCCATTTAGGTGATAAGATAAGAGCCCGAGAACAAAAAACCGACGGACGTCAAAAAGTAAACAAGCCCAAGCCCAAGATCGTGCTCATCCCGAGCCAGCAGCTACCTACTGACTACCTGCCAATCTACTAATCCAACAGCAAGTCTATATATCTGGCTTTGGTCTCAATTATAAAAAAAATTATGTATTAACTGTAATTGTTTAAATATATTTGTATTTATAGTAGTAGGCAATAGGCGAAGAATTAAAAAATAAGTTAGGATCTGGTTAACATAAATCAAAAAACAATAACGGAAACAAAAATTCAGTGGAAGAAATTAATAATCTAAGTTCAATTAGGCAATTAAGCAAACAACTTCAGATTAGTTGATGGAGTGGGAGCTGATGTTTTTTTTTTTGGCTGGTGTATTGGAGTATGAATGAGTGAGTGTCAAACTGTGGTACACTAATAAAAAGGTGGGGTATGATAAGGGATCGAGCGCGAATTGTAATTGTTTTTTTTTGTTCCCTAGGGTTATCGGATTAAAATTGTCCTCGATAAACAATTCCCGAGAACCATCAAAAGACGCAGACAACTCTTGCTGTTGTTCCATAATCTCCAATTACATGTAGACTTCACTCAATCGCACAGTGTATGGTTGGGATCTCCATTTTTTGTCTTCTTTCTTTTTTCCTTGGATTCATTTAAGTGGGTGTTTTATAACTTCTTGTTAGGCTTGTAGGATAACTTCTTTTTTTGGCCTTTGCCCTTGCCTTGCTTTCTGGAATGAACGTCAGACTTAAACTTCTCTGGCAACTCGTCTTCAATCATAGATAACGACAATGGGTCGGACGATGGGACTATCTTGGACGAGGTGCTGGTCGAAGCAGGTGTAGCTTCTTCTTTCAATATCTCAAATTCATTCTTCTCGATTCTACCCTTTGCTGGAAGTGCAGTGGGCTTCAATTTCTTTGGGTTCAACGAGGCAACCTCCGCATAGGAAAGCTTGCGACATTGAATGTCGACAAATCCGTCGCCAGCAAACTCGGCATCGGTTTCAACCATTGAGACTTTGACCAAGCCTGACCCATTGCCCTTTATGGTAAAGGCTTGGGGAGATTGAATGGAAGCAGCATCTTGCTTGTTGGTAGTAGCCTTAGCTGAGTCACTTATGGTGGATTTGCCCCAGAAAAACGAGAATGGAGTAGACTTAAACATTTTTGAGATAAGGAAAAAATAAATACAACGGAGAGAAGCGGGAGTCTTATAGTTAACGAGGAGGTTAACTATATAAGACACGCAGTGGTTACTTCGAAAAGAAAGAGAAGAAAGAGAAGAGAAGAGAGAAAGAAAGAAAGAAAGAAAGAAGAAAGCAAAATAACCAAGAAAGAAAAGAACCATATCATCCAACAAAAAAAAAAAAACAAATGGAGGATTCGGCACAAACGCATTACCACAATCTATTGCATATTGGTCATAAAGTTAATCATGATAATTGATAAACACGATTTATATGCAGAAAGATATGACGCGCGCATGTGTGATAATGACTTTATAATTAGCAATTATATAATTAGGTAGACTAAAAATAATATGCACAACCACGAGGGAAGAAGTGGAACTGGGTCCGGTGGTAACCCACGAGGTATATGGGTCATACTCTGAAGTGGAATAGCCAATGATTTCATCTGTATGTGGGGCAAGCAATCGAAAGTGGTGCACTTGACCGAAAACAGAGAACAGAGGAGGCTAGGTTTTATTTTATGGCTTGCGATCCCGTAGTGCTCCAGTATGTTCGTAGAGCTTCGGTTCTAGAATGAGCCGTTGACAAGACGAATATCCATGGCCATAGAGATTACACAGCTAATTGAGCTTGTAATTTTATTGAGTTGGTTTTCTATGTAGAAGCTAATTTCTTCTTTTAGCTATTTAGACGCTTCAATAGGGGCTACCCTGTGCTATAGAACAGCCTCAATAGGAACACTAGTGTGAAGACGGTATACAGGAGTGTGGTCTAAAAGTTGAATGATCGTTCTGCACATAACCTGATTGCTGCATATGGATTGCTTGGTAGATAACTACTAGCACTAGATTGAGTCATTGCTGTAGAAGCTTCTTTCTTCTTTTAGCCCTTTAGATTCTTTATTAGGGGCTACCCTATACTGTTAAACAGTCCGAAGGGAAAGTTGGCTTAAGGACGGCATACTGGACTCTGATTCCAGTGATCGGTCTGCACATAGTCTCATTGCTGCATATTGATTCTTGGTAGCTACCAGCACTGTAGCAGATTGGGACATTCAAATGGAACGCAGTCACCAAGTGGTTCAAACTTGCGTGGACTACGCCCTTTGGAAAGATAAACTAATACTTATGTTCGGGTTATAGTGAAGCTGACGGCACTTTACACCTTCTATTGGCTATTTTGGTGCCCTGCACCGTGGATTGCTCGGTACTAACTTACCTGCCCTTTATTCATAATTCTCCTGCACACTCACTTCTGTCTGCCTGTACTTCGATCCTGCATACACTTCTACTTCTCTGTTTTCGATTCTCCTGCATACACTCGCTCTACCTGTTCAACTTTTCTTAGTATGCCTGAGGGATGTAGAAAAGTTTCAGAAACACTAGAGAGCCATAAGTAGCCAAATACTCATCAGATATATAGAATATTGTATTCAGACTTCGACAATGGAAGGTTGGGGAGAGGTATGTAATGATCAACGATGAAATAGGACTTTTTCTGGATCAGATTTGAAAGAAAGGCTGAAGAGGTCACGGAGCTGACTGTATTCCAGTAGGAAGCAGTACGAGGTGAAAGCACCAGTAACAGACAGATTCCGGACAAATATTAATCAGATCGAACCTAATCTGAATCAGCAGGAGATTCTAAATGCTAGTGGACCAACTTTACCGCACTTTATCTACCAATGGCTGGACTTCTCTTCCATTGATTGGGCTTAGATCCCGCGTTTGTTTTCTCTTCATTGTGTCTTTCTTACTAACAACTAGATATCACGAATAATATCGACAACAACATCGTCAAATGGCACAAGGTCACAGATAACTTCTTTGGAATTTGATTCCCAGCAAGACTTGCTTTGGTGTGGTGATTCTTCAGGGTATACGGGCTCGTTCACGTCCACGATGCTCACGCCATACACCAGATTCAAGCTGTCACTTGCATTCGAAGACCCGGTGATACAGCACCTCAACCACCAGAGGGGAATCCTTTCGCTTTCGAACCATAATATAAACTTCAATTCGAGAAGTGGAGCTAGTAAGCTAAGTATAAGTGCCAACCTGTTTACGCTGATAGAGGAAAAGAAACTCTTTGGCGATTTGTCTTGCATGACCCTCAATTGCAATTCAAACAATGATTTAGTATTGGGTGGAGGGAAGTCACTCTTCAAAGTAGATTTATTGAAGCCATCCTCGGTCGCACAAGTATTTAATCACCATGGAGGAGTTTCCTATATGAATACGTCGTCTCTGAAGTTCTTGGTACTCGGAAACTCAAACGGTTCCTTGGAAACGTTTGATCCTGCTTCTAACCAACTGTTGAAGACATTCCATGGACACAATGGACTATTGAGCGACTTAGATGTCCTGGGAAACTATGCTGCGACGTGTGGGTACTCTTTGAGGCCGAAAAGGTACAACAATAACAACAATAATAACGGCAACAATAGCGACTATATTGTGGACCCATTGGTTAATATTTATGACTTCAGAATGATGAGACCTTTATCACCAATACCATTTCCTGCGGGCGCTTCATTTGCTCGATTCCACCCGAAGTTACCTAATATAATTATCATTGCCTCTGCCAATGGGCAGATCCAATTCGTTGACATCTATGATCATCTGAATGTAACTGTGTACCAGGGTGATGTCAACGGCGGAGAAAATGTAGGAAATGGAGTAGGCGTCGGAGTTGGATACTTGTCAAATCTCAATATCAGTCCAAATGGTGAGTTCATTACTTTTAGTGATAGTTTCCTGAATCTTCATTTATGGTCCTTTATCAACAACGACAACCTGACCTTCAATAGTTTCCCCACACCTATTGAACAGCCAGACATGGACATGAATCTCCATATGACACAGCCAGCAGACATCGACGAACCAAATTTCCCACTTTCGTCCATTGGATTACCATACTACAAGGATTATTTGTTATCTAATTACCCTGCTGAATTGAAATTTAGCAAGGAACAAGCTAAATTACCTAGGGCCATTAATGATGAAATAGTAGAAGTTTATGAACAATTTACGAGAGGAAATGGGATGGAAAAGAAGTTTATGGCATACGACAAATTAAAATATGGACCAAGGAACGTCGAGAACAAGTACGAGCCAATAGACAATAAAGAAAAAGGAAGGACGACAGGAAAGAAGACTTTAATTCCGAAATTCATTAGTGAAAGAATGGGTGAGTTAACGAAGACGTTAAGCAATACTTCAATAGATAGTGATTATGGATTCAACCATTCCAATAGTCCTATTCAAGCGCATAGTGTGATAACTAATTCTGCGGGAACTGGAATATCTTCATCAGCAACGGCAATATCCACTTCAGCAGGACCGGGACAGACATCTGATGATGATCATATCTTCCAGTACAGTTCTAACGCAAAATCTACTCCTCCCAACTGCTATACAAAGCTTCAAATTCAATACTCTCGATTCGGGGTAGAAGACTTTGACTTTGATTATTACAACAAGACTAATTTCTATTGCGGATTGGAAAATCATTTGGACAATTCATATGTGAACCCACTTCTTCAACTTTACAGATATTCTCCGATATTTTATAACGAAGTTATCTCACACTTGTTTCATGAGTGGTTGCCTAATGACAATGAAACTATCTTAAATTCTAAGAATCCCCAAGGAACTTCCATGCTCAGTGAACTAGGTTATCTCTTCGATATGATGTACAAAGCACAGTGTAAAAATGTAAATATTTCGAATTTTTCGGAGTGTTTCAATTCAATGCAAGATGCAGCTCAACTTGGATTATTGAACCTTGATGAGGGAAAAACTTTGAGAGGCAGCGAGTTAAGATATTTGATTATAAACTTTAACAAATATTTGACTTCAACAGTTGCAAAAGATGAAAGAAGGCAACTGCCTCCAAACCAAGGAGGAAACAAAATTTGGGGGTTGGATTCGACTCTAGGTTTCTATGTTATCTCAGAGGCCAAGAGTATAGGATGCGGATTCTATGATCAAAGAAATAATATTCAATTTACAATAGATTTGAATGTACCACCACAACAGCCTGGTATAAAGCATATTAACAGGGATAACATTATAAGCTACCTTGATAAATCATTATTCCAGTACAAGACGATCCAATGCCAGCAATGCTCCAACACGAAGTATCATTTATTGGAAGTTAAACACCAGGTAGTTAAACTTCCACCATTGTTAGTTATTAATCTTAATATGTCAAATCAAGAATTTGAATCTGTTGATAGGGGTTGGTTAGTGAATGAATTTTATGCAAATAAAGGCGGAGACAACAGAAATGGAAATGGAGTATCAATCTCTTCTCGCCCTTCAAACACCAACCCAACCAAATATGAACTTTTAGGATTTGTTTGTGAAATTAGCCATAAGTCAGATTCTACCGTTGGTGAACATAATTTGGTATCTTTTATTAAGATTCAAGGTGAATGGTACCTTTTTAATGATTTCTTGGTCATGCCTATTCCTGAATCAGAGGTATTTGACCTAACAAAATCATGGAAAAAACCTACTATTGTCATGTATCAGGAAACTACCACAATTCAGTTTAACTATATTCAAAATTTGAAACGCTCGGACATCACTGACTCCATAATTTATCGTGACCACTTTGCAGGAACTATAAGGAAAGATTATCAAAAGCAATACAAACTTTTAACATTGGATGAAACCATCCCCCAACCTGGAAGTTTGATTGCTATTGATGCTGAATTTGTCACTCTAGAGCCTGAAGTTTTGGAAATTAAATCAACAGGGCAAAAAACTATTATCAAACCAAGAAAGCTTTCCCTTGCTAGAATATCAGTTATAAGAGGAGATAATACAGATGGACTAGAAGGGGTACCATTTATTGATGATTACATAGTTCATACTAAGGAAATAGATGACTACTTGACGAGTTTCTCTGGGATTGAACCTGGCGATTTGGACCCTATCAACTCGACCAAAAATTTGGTTACTTTGCAGACAGCCTACAGAAGATTATGGCTATTATTAAACATGGGATGTATATTTGTTGGTCATGGATTATATAATGACTTCAGATGTATCGACTTACAGGTTCCAAGACGTCAAATCAAGGACACTGGTGAATTTTATTACTTATCTGAATTTAAACGTAAGTTGAGTCTTAAATTTTTGGCTTACATTTTATTAAAAGAGAAGGTTCAAACAGGGAACCATGATTCCATCGAAGACGCACACACAGCACTATTATTGTACAAGAAATACTTGGAGTTAAAATCTCAAGGAGAATTTGAATCTACATTGTACAATATATACCACGAGGGCCAATTATTGAGATTTAAAGTACCAGATAGTTAACTTTACAAATGTAGGACTCCAAACTTAAACATGACGAAATTTTGCATATTAACGGCGATAATGACCCATAGTATAGATTTAGCATATTAAATACACATTATATTAAAAGAAGCAAGTACAAACTATTAATTACACACCTTTTGTAGAAATATTTACTTTCTTCTTATTTTGCAGTATACATATATAAATTTCAATTTAGTTGTCCATTCAATGGCCCATATTTTTACTACACACTCTTACTAAACAAATCCATCTAAAACAACATCAACAAACTTTTCAGTTTCACCCTTTGCTTGAACCTTGGCTATTAACTTTCCGTTCGTCATTGCAATTCTAACCAATAATGCAACCTTTCCTCCCCATACATCCTTACCTAACAACTTCAAAGTGTGTGATGCAGAGTCATCTGGAACATAATCAGAACCATCTAAAGCCATCATATTCAAAGGCTTGGTAAGTTTTTCAACAACGGCTGGCAAAGTCTTTCCGAAATCCTTCAAGTTATACATACTACTTTCTTCAATTGGCAATTGTTCAAATATGGAAGCGAAATTTGAGTTGTAAATTGGTTGGATGAAATCACCTGGTGTTATAACCAAGTCTTCAATTTGATAATCATCGGCCCAACCTTCATCACTAGGGTCTATATTACCTTCTTCATCAATAATCTCCTTATGAATGTAATTTAAGGTATTTCCAAATGCACTCAAGATACCTTCTCCTTCGTCCGTTAAAGCTGGGATCAGATACACGACATATACCGTTCCTTGCTGTTGTGGTTTCAATTCGTCTAATTGAATTATAAGGTCTTCTTGGTAGAGTTCATTATCTGGTTGAGTAACAATGGAAATATCTTGAAGAATCATATGGTCAACTGTGTTGAGAATATTGTATTGCAACACTAATTTAGACGAAGAAATGAAAAAATGCTTAACACATGAAACAACGAATTCATTTTCTTTGTCAGTAAGATAAATGCTTTGAGAGGAAGTCGTAAGGTTTCCAAAGGTAGAAAATTCTGGAATTGCAGAAAGTTCAGCGGAGAAAGCTTGAAGACGGAGTGTTTGGTCAATATTACCATTACTGCCCAGTTTATTATCATTGGATTGATCCTTGGAGTCTATTGTGGTTTCTTCCTTTTCTTCTTCCGAACCATTGTCCAACTTTCTCATCTTTCTACCATATTCCATACTCTTCAATTCTTCAGTAGTTAACAATGGAACTTCTTCAATTTCAAACTTCTTCAGGAAATCTCCTCCATTTAAGTAATGCGTCAACTTAGATTCTAAAACATTCAAGTTATACCTTTCTTCCTTAACGATTAATTCCTTCTTCTTATTTGAGATGAAACTTAATGCTAACACTGCTCTGTCTCTAACTTCATCGTCAACATCATTGAGGCATCTTTTAAGTAAAATTTCAATATTCTCGCTAAGAGAACCTCCGCAAATAACAGCGAATTTACTTAATGAAATGATAGCAGATGACCTAATGATTGAGTTTTCCAAAACCAATCTGTTATAAATGTGTCTAATGTAGTAAGATGGGTTGGAAGTCTTTGGACCTTCATCACCAAGGAGATGGAGAATCCTAACTGAAAGTTCTGTGAATTCACAATCTTCAATGAACTCACACAAGTTCATCAAAATCAATTGTTTAGCACCGCTTTCGTCAGACAAAAACTTAATAAGATCAAAGAGGGCATCAACAATGCTACTTTTCAAAGTTAAAGTACCGTCATCTCTCAATAAATCAGTTAAGAATGACACCAACTTTTTGTGCTTTGAAGGGAATTTCAAAGCCAAGTTTTCAATTGCTTCAATAATGACAATTTTGAAATCTTCAGTAATTTCGTCCATCAAAGAAGTCATCTTGGTAATAAGACGATCCACAGATTCTCCACCGGATTCCAGTTCTACAGTACCAACACCCATGGTCTTAAGCAAAGTGGTAATAGCCAAAGTTTGAATAGATCTGTTAGAGTCATTGATCAAGTTTTCCAATTCCAAATTCACTACCATAATCTTCTCAGGATGCTTGATGGAAATCTTGTTTATAAGTCTAATAGCAGCAAAACGGGTGGAAGTTCTTGGAACCAGTAAAAGTTTTTGTAGGCAAGTAATGATTTGCATGAATTCATCATCTTTAATAAGGTGTCCCAAATTGATCAAAACCTTACAGGCTTCCAATTCGACCATGTCCAGCTTATGCTTAAGATATGATGACAAAATAGGGTACAATATTTTGATCAAGTTTTCGTCGTCCACCAAGATCTTGTTAATGTATCTAAGTAACTGGATAATACTCAACGAATTCTTCAACTGAGAACCCTCTGACAAACTGGTTATAAGCTTCATAAGAGCCATCTTATCGTGATTTCTTAAGTGATACAATAACCCTAAAGCATGGTACTGGTACATGTAACTGGTACTTGGTAAATTCGTAGTTGCAGATCCGTAATACTCGTGCAACTGGAATTGATTGGCTGGGAATTGCTTGTAGCTCGTCAAAGTTTCCAAAGTTTCATTAGTGAATCTTTTGACCACATCCTTGGCAATTGGGAGCAAGTTGTAACTACTGATAAGAGCAGCAGACAGTAAAATTGGATTTTTCTCGACAATGGCGTTCTTGAACAACCTTTCACTGGCAGAAACGGTACTTGGGTCCAACACTTTACCTAACGTTCTAATGGCGTTTGGTTTGTAGATGATGTCTCCAGCCTGAATATCCTTCATGATTGATGACGTGACCATCAAAATATCGTTACTGGTGGACGATAACTCCTTGATCGCCAAGTAGACCATTTGTCTCAACGAAACGTCCTTATGCTGGAACAATTTCGAGATCAGGAAGAACAACGTCGTAGATTCTGCTGCAGGGAAGTTTTCTCCGTGGTAGATCAATCTCAACAATTCTCCAAGAAGAAGTCTACATTTTTTGGCGTTCACCGGCGAAGCGTTGAACTGCTGAAGACACTCTTGGAAGACAACCATTTTGTCTGGGAGACCGTGAGCCCCACGATTCCCGACATCCAGTTTTTTATAACTTGAAGTTGACATACTTATGCTCTTGATTGGTGGATGCTGTTCAATGCGTAAATATGCGAACTCTGGTCTACGTAATTGGACTGAGAGGGTACTGCTGTATGGTTTTATGGTACTCTACGATTGTTGGACCTTGATTTCTATTTTGTTTTACGTGTTTGGATTGACTGAGGCCGAAAAAATTTGAAAATTGAAAAAGGTGCGACTTTGTGTAATGTTGGATCAGACGTTTGTGAGCTCCTGCAGACAGCGAGGGTGAGTGTAGAAGGGTAGCGGGCAGGTGGTGGAGGGGGAAAGCAAGAAGTTTGAAGTTCAACTCTGGTGGGCATAACAGTGCATTGAGGTAATCTATTAGATGCGACAGAATTGTATAGAGCTGATGGGAGGTTGAAAATCTCGAAAAGCTCCTCTGCTGGCAAGTTTGCCTCACCACCTTTTCTGTCGATCTAAGCACACCAGCTCTCACTGTGTTTGCACACTAAAGTGTAGAGTAGTGTATCCAGGCAAGCGAAGCTGTAGCCCAGTACCTGGTGGCTCGGCAAAGCCTTATATTTTCTAGTTTACTTTAGACTCGAGATTGGACCGCAAGTAATACCCCCTCCCTACCCAGCACGGTCCAATGCTAATATACATCTGCCCACACCTCCTCCTCTACTCTCCTAACATATCTGCTTAAGCTGCAAAATGTCAGACAGATGCGGCGACTATATGCAGTCCATCAACAAGCTTTGGAACAAAAAAAAAAGATGAAAAGATTGAAAAATCAGCACCGATCAACTCGAACCATTGAAAGAGACCTGGAATACACAGTAAGATGCTCGGATTGATAAGTGGAATATCTAGAGTTGCCATCAGTAGTCCTTCCACTGCTGTGAATAGCATGGCCATGAGATCTATCTTCTTCAAGCCTACGCTTACACAGATTCCAACTGCTGCCCAGACGATAGCCTTACAGACTGTCAGAACATTCAAAGTTAGGACTGCAGTTAAAAAGTTCTGTAAAGACTGCTATATGGTAAAGAGAAAGGGAAGAATGTATGTCTACTGTAAATCAAACGGTAAACATAAGCAAAGACAAGGTTAAATAATATAGAAGCACGCTGAACCAGTGGTCATGTACATAGAGAATAATAAATCTTATAACGAGTGAAGAATGAAATGAAGAAAGAAGATTCTGCAGATTTGAAATCAGTATGATTCTCTTCATATATTTGTAGAAGTCGAGGACCAAACCATGCAACCCAACCCCAATAAACGTAAAGAGCCGAGATGCCGGTATCCGGCTGGTAGGCTATATGTTTCTCGTAGAAAACCAGGGTACCAAGTTGTGCGATAGGGCAAGGCATACACTCACACTCACCCATGCGCTGCCCCCTTAGTCCTACTTATTCTCTACAAGTGCTAATTCTCTACAAGTGCTCTACCAGTACTGATTGCCTAATTGTAGACAACTACTATTTGTATCTTCACCTTTTCACTTGCTTTCACTATCACGGTACCTCACATTCGGACTCCCTCTCAATTTCCACTATTCTTTACATGTCTCTTTATCGGTGTATGTTTATGAATAGGTATGTATGCGTATATATGTTATGCTAGGTTGACCAGATGATCATTTTTCTTAAAGCTCTGTTGAGAAACGGATGCCAATTTCACAGCCCTTGTAGTAGGAGTCTGCGGGTTTCTCAAGTTACTGTAATTTGACTGAGTGTACGATTGCAATCTTTGGTTGGCAGGTCTCAGCTGCAATGGCAGATGACCGGGTCCTGAGATCGGTTGACCAAACTGCAGTTGCTGCAGTTGTTGAATCAGTTGTAGCTGCTGCAACGGTTGCTGCTGCTGCTGTTGCTGTTGCTGCTGCGCTATTTGAGTGGATATTCTGAGTGGAGATTGCTGCGACTGTGTTGAGTTAGAAATAAGTGCCTCTTGCCAAATTTTATTAACTAACGTTGATATATCTGCTTCTCTTTCGTGGAAGCTTGATGTGAAATCTTTTCCTCCTGCAGCGCCGGGGGTCAGTGAAGATGATGTCGAGGAAGAAGCCGACTGTGAGGCTGGTGGAAGTTTATTTTTTTGGTTTCTAGACTTGATAACTTTCTGGTTAATAGAGCTAGACTTGAAGTATTCTTGCGTCCTATTTAAACTCTCTCCCACTGGATTTAGATTCCTTCTGACATTAAGATATTCTCTATTTAATCTTTCGAATTCTGTTCTTGATTGAATTGAGTTTTGAGAACTTGTTTGAATGTTGAGAAGGAGCCCGTAGAGCGAAGTTTGAGAATCCCCACCAGCGACACCTGGTGTAGTTGGTCCCACTGGACCACTGCCCATAGGTCCTGATGATGTTGGCCCGTTACCAGCATTTCCACCAGGGGTGACCACATTCTGGCTCATGGCCAATTGCAGAAGGTCAACGTGACCTTGGTGACTGAACATAAGATTGTTCAACGACAAGCTGGAAAAATTTCCCAAATTTTTAGGCTCAATGTTGGAGACATCCATGAGGGAATTCTCACGCTGGAGCCAAAGTCTTTGCTGGGTCCTATTTTCGTGGTGAGATGAAGGGCCCGCTACACCAGAAGAACCGTTTCCAGCACCATTTCCAACGCTAGTACTTGCACCAGCTTTGGATCCTGACCTAGATCCGGCTCCGGCATTGCTACCACTGCCCACAGCAGAGGAATTTCCAGCAGATGCAGTACCTGTTGCACCTGAGGCACTACCAGTACTGGAGCTGCTCGAGTCGGCGCCGTTGCCACTCTTCAAGAAATTTTGGAAATTGTCTCCGCCCTTATTGCCTGAAGATGTATTTCCAGACTTTTGTCCCTTTCGTTGTAAATTATTGAATATACTTTGGTTGGGTTGGTAAGAATTCATGGTTTCTACAGTTTTAGTTGTTGTTATTGGCTCTGCAACTTTTCGAACAGAAGAGTCCATTGGGTTAGCATTAAACGAGATGCCACTGATGTTTTCAGATTCGATAGGAGCAAGTCTCCCAGCTATATTGTTATTACTGGTATCGTTTCCGTTTATCTTCTTCGTCAAACCAGTAGACTGTGATAGATACAACAGACCACCATATATATTGTTGGAGAGATCGTCGTTCGAAGATTGGAATGAGTAACCCCCATTCGAGTGTTCGTGTGGCTCCTCTTCCACCTTGGCGATGGCAGAAGTGTTTGAAGACTGACGTATTTCTTCTTTGCTTTCCTCTGGAGGACTGCCGGTGTCCTCGTACTCGTCGTCATCATCATTGTCTTCATTCAATCTCAATATAGCTTTCTCCTTCTTGCTACTACTCTTCAACCCACTCAAGGTAGACATATTGAGTCCCTTGAGCGAAGAGTTCGACTTATTGGACTTTATCAGTTGATTCAGATTGGATTTGGTCAAGGGATTCAAGCCCGTTAGTTTAGTTAATGACCTATTATTTCTTTTCAATGCAACTCCGTTCTTGTCAGTGGATTTATTCTTACCAGTCAAACCATCTGTAGATTTAGATCTAGCCAAACTTGGTCTATGTAAAGAATTACTATTTTTACTCAGCGATGCCAATATATGCGACAAAGATCTTCCATGGGACGGTTTATTACCTCCTGAAGTACTGTTGCCACTGCTTGTATTATTACCTCCACTATTGATGCGTTTCAACTTGCTCTGCGTGATAGACGAAGTGGAATACGATCCCAATGGCGGCATCTTGGGCCTTCCTCGGGGGTCTTGCGGGGTTAGCGTCAGCAGGGAACGATCCAGTGGCAATTCCAGTGGACCTAAAGACATGTTTGAGCTTCTAATGATGTTTGGATGTGGAGGAAGAAAGGATTGTATGGTGATGCTTCTTATGGAGTATGCTTACATTTAAGTAACCCTAGTGACAATTGTCACGGAGGAGTGCATACAAGAAGTCCAACAAGGCAATAATTCCGTTTCTTTTTTGTCCCAAATGACAGGAAAAGTAGTGTAAGCGTGACACAAAATGGCCATTTTTTGGGAGAGGTGGGACTGTTCCATGATTGTTAAAGACACCCAGTGCCAGAAATGAGGGATAGTAGGATTTTATAAGTTCCGTAGAAGAGTAGAGGGGAATCAAAATTTGTGTATTAGGCGCGGACAGTGGAAGAAGTGGCAATAAGTAGGCGTAGTTTAATTGTGTTGCTTATGGCCATTTTGCACCCAAATGCTACACACAGCAATTGAGTGCAAAACAAGAAGAAGCTTGCGGACCCGCCAACTTAGTATGGATGTCCTGTTGCATAAAGTTCCGTAGATGAGAAGAGTAGATTTTAATTGCACTAAAGTAAAATGCAGGATCCTTCAAACTTTCAGATGCTCTTCTCGCTTACCCTATACCTTAATCCAAGGCAGAGATTGCGGGGTGGAATTTGAGTAGATCAAAGAATCACTAAATTCGGGTGGACCATGCAATTGAGGTTCTGTAGATGGGAGATTGGATCGAGAATTAAAGCACAAGATCATTCAGAATATCCGATACTCTTCCCTCTTACTCTATACCTTGATACCTGCAAGGAAAAGATGGCAGAATTCGAGTAGACCAGAAAGTACTGATGTTTCAAGAGGTGCACTGCGGCTGGAGCAATAGAGACGAACGGCAGTATACGAGCAGTATTAGCGCTTCGGAAACAAAAACATATAATGTGTAATATGTAAGCCTTCGTAGAAGCTAAAAAGGAAAAAAGCAGATGTGTGTTTTCTTTAATTGGACTACAATATGGCACCCACTTAGGAACCTGTAGCCTTTTACGATATTTAAGCTTCAGCTTACACCTGCCAAATCATAAGCTCGCAGTGTTAATGAGTTTCACCAGAATCATCGGGAAAGAGCACCGGTCTAAACAATTGCCAAGCACTTATTAAGTGCCGATACAGGCAACTTGTATGATCCTAGCCGACTCTGAGCATGCTTATTATTCTGGCACAGCCTAACAAGCGTAGCGAAGCTCTTCCTTCCAGTATGGGGTTGAGAAGGGACTGCATGCACGCTTCCCATGACGATTGGTGAAAAAAACCAGAATGCTATTTTAAGCAACAAATTTAAGATCCACCGTATTATGTCATTAGGCGCGAGGCGCAGAGTATCTGGTTTAGGTATAACAAATCTGTAACATAGGGCACGCTGAAGGACGGTTTGAAGTATATAACAGAGGAATTTCTCGGGGACCCAAAGACACAAGTAATGTAGCTGAGCCGAGCAAAACTGAGCAGAACTGACTCTGTACCTCAAACCTACGACGACTAGCAGTAAGTATGAATTTTGCACGATAGTTATGTACTAAAAAGGGCATTACTGTGATAATTTTTTTTTTTTTTTGCGCTGATCTACACGGGAACCCACCAGGACAAGAAATGCACCACACCCACCACCGCTGGACTATTCCTCACTCCTCCTTGAAAGGAAAAGGAGAATAGGCGAAATGAATCATGCTCGCATGCACCGTTACAGATCACATCCCATTCTGACTTCCTAAGCTGGGATAAGCCACTTCACACCTGCCCTCTTCTATGGTACTCCCATGTGTTTCCCGTATAAAAGTTATTACCGTGCGTGGCTGAGAATTTAGCGTGTGTTTTTCACAAGCCTTCTATTTTGATTTCTTGTTCCTCATTTTTTCTACTGACCACTGCTCACTTTCTTCTTAGTCCACGAGTCCACCAACTAGTTACCCTTAAACTTTGGGAACCTTGTTTGAAATTTCAATCCTCAAATCGCATTCCCGACACTAACTTTCTTCTAGCTTTCTCCTGCCAGACGCAAAACGTTAACAACTTGCTCAGGTAACCACATACATTCGCGGTTCCTACACTCTTCCCGTACGATATCGTTTTGGAATTTAGACGTTAAGCGAGCGAAGACCGCGATTTCCCTTTCCAGGCAATTTCCAAATTTTTTTGACGTAAGAGAAAAACAAACCAGGCACAAGAAAAGGACAGCTATTCCAAGCACCAATTGACCAGTGGTAACTAGCATTAAGCATGTCAGACAGATATCAGCAGTCTGGGTCGTACCACTACGACCCCAGGCAGGTGTATACGATGCCAGAAAATTCAAATTCAGACCAGTCGATCAACTTTCAGCAGCCGCCGCCAGCTGCACACGAATCATTCTCGAGATCGCGCCAAACCTCGAACTACATCCCAGCAGAGGAGGACTACTACAGTGAAAGACCCTCCAATATATTCACCGCACCACAGCCGCCATCCCTCCAGCCATTGGGCCATCAACTGCAGAACACGCTGGGAAGTCCTTTCTACGACGAGCCACATCTTAGCAACTACGAACTAAACGATTTCCACGACTATAACAACTACGATGCACAACTGCAACCATTGCACCATCTGTACAACCATGCGTTTGTGCCCAACGTCTATGCCGATGATGATGACGATGAAAACGACTTCGACCAGCGAATCCACTACGGGGATTTTGAAGGTGAAAATTACGATGCTTTCCAGCCGGTGATCATCCAGCCAAGCGAAGAAGAATTGGTGGACTTGAACGATCCTGATGAAGACGCGATCTCTTCGCCTTTTGGCGACGGTGATGATGAGACCTTAGACAAACCGCCTCCGGATGGAGAACAGCCACAGAGATACCACAGAACTGAAATTCAAGGTCACAACGGTCATTTGGTCTTAGATTGTCCTGTGGCCACCGAATTGTTGAGTAAATTCCTGAATTATAACCCGGCAATCAAAGAAGGAGGGGGTTTGCCAAGAGAGTTCTCCCATATGAGATACACTGCTGTCACCTGTGGACCCTCCAATTTCGAGAACCAAAGATATGTCTTAAGACCTGTCCATTACCCTGCTCCAAGACAAACTGAGATGCTTGTCGTCATCACCATGTATAATGAAGACGATATTTTATTAGCTAGGACATTAAAGGGTGTTTTCAAAAACATTAAGCATTTGGAAAGTAGAACAAGATCAAACGTGTGGGGAAAGGACTCATGGAAAAAGGTTGTTGTGTGCATAGTCAGTGATGGTAGATCCAAGATTAATGAAAGAGCACAAGCACTTTTAGCTGGTTTGGGGGTATATCAAGAAGGGTTGGCCAAATCTAGTGTCGATGACCAAAAGGTCCAGGCCCATGTCTACGAATATACCACGAGAGTTGGTATTTCTTCCGTAGAGGACACAGTAAAATTGACCACTGAAAAGATTGTCCCCGTGCAACTTTTGTTTTGTCTTAAAGAAAACAATGCTAAGAAAATTAATTCCCATAGATGGTGTTTCCAAGCAATTTCTCAAGTACTTCAGCCAAATATTGTCGTTTTACTTGATGCTGGTACCCAGCCAACAGGTAAATCCTTGTATTACTTATGGAAAGAATTCGACAGAGACCCTCAAGTCGCTGGTGCATGTGGAGAGATTAAGGCATCATTGAAGAAGCGTCAAATTTTGACCAATCCATTGGTTTACGGACAAAATTTTGAATATAAGATTTCGAATATTTTAGATAAGCCCACGGAATCTGTATTTGGATTCATTTCTGTGTTACCAGGGGCCTTCTCCGCATACAGATACATTGCTCTTTTGAACGATGTAAACGGTAAAGGTCCCTTAGAGAAGTACTTTAAGGGAGAATTCTTGCATAGTAGTGGAGAACTTGATCCAAATGATGACGAGTACATATTAAAGAAAGAACAATTGAAGGAAGAAGCTGGTATTTTCACTTCCAATATGTACTTGGCTGAAGATAGAATTTTATGTTTCGAATTGGTAGCCAAAAGAGGTTGTTCTTGGGTGTTAAGATATTGTAAGAGTGCAAGTGCTGAAACCGATGTACCAGAACATTTGGCTGAGTTTATATTACAAAGAAGAAGATGGCTTAATGGTTCGTTTTTTGCCGCTATTTATGCTTTGGCTCATTTCCCCAAACTTTGGACATCCTCGCATTCATTTGGTAAGAAATTTTTCCTCCATATTGAATTCTTCTATCAATTTTTGAATTTAGTTGTGTCATGGTTTTCTATTGGTTCCTATTTCTTAGTCTTCAGGATTTTGACAACTTCATTGTCAGACTCTGATTTGAATTTTGCACCAGGAAATGTTTTGTCGGTGATTTTCCTATGGCTTTATTTAGCTTCTATTGTCACCACGTTTGTTTTAAGTTTCGGTAATACCCCGAAGGGTACAGAGAAGTTTTATATTGTGATTGTTATTTTCTTTGCCATATTAATGGCGTATATGATTTTTGCGGCTATTTTTATGGCTGTACATTCGATCCAATCTATATACGCTTCGGGTGCCATTACTGCTGCAACGTTTTTCAAAAACGAAGAGTTTAGAGATTTGGTGGTTGCTACGGCATCTACTTATGCATTATACTTCATTGCCTCGTTCCTTTATTTTGAACCTTGGCATATGTTCACATCATTCGCTCAATACATCTTGCTTTCGCCAGCATATATCAATGTTTTGAATATCTACGCTTTCTGCAATATCGATGATATTTCTTGGGGTACTAAAGGTGATACCGGTGCCACAGATTTGGGTGTGGCCAAGGTTAAGGATGATGGTACATTCGACGTTCAAATTCCAATCAGAGCGGAAGAAATCAACCAATCTTACTTGAATCAATTAGAAAAGATTAAAAGACCAATACCTCCTGACAATGGTCCACATAAGAGATCAAACGAAGATTATTATGCCTTCGTCAGATCTATGACAGTATTGGTGTGGATGTTTTCCAACTTTGTGATTATTGCATTAGTTTTAGAGACTGCAGGTATCAATCAATTGTCTACTTCTACTACCGAATCAAGATCAACCATTTTCTTGACGGTTATTTTATGGACAGTTGCCTTTATGGCTCTTTTCAGATTTATCGGATGTGTATTATACTTGATACAGAGATTCATTGGTAAATTCAAAGCTTCGAAGCTGGCAAGAATGGTGAAGGTATAGGAAGGGACAGAGAGAACACAAAATCAACTTAAATAGAATTATTAACTGAAGAAAAATATAAAGGAAGTGAATACGCTCGAAGCTCTATGTACCAATGTAGAATGCTCCATAGTTAGTCAGTCATAACACTTAGATTTTCGTTTTCTTTATTCTTTCTTCACTAACAATGTTACTAGCCTCTCACTATGGCAATTTACTAAGTAGCAGTGGAAAAGTATTAAATGAGGCTTAACTAGAGTGAGCAACGGAACCCATAGCGTCTGCTCTCTATGCCCAATGGATGCAACTATGGCCCACCACCGATCCAGTACATATTTTTATATGCAGGATAATCACGAGTGTATTTATTTTTTGTTTTGTAGTTGTTTTGATTTTGTTTACGCTTCGTGATTGAATCGATTCTGGTACACTTACTACACTCATTAGACTGCTTACTGTTGTGCAGTTCTTTCCTGAAACACCCACCAAGCATCCAGACCAACACACATTCATGAAATGAGCCGATTGAAGCGGAAAGAAGGAATACTGCTAGGAGTTCCACTACCGTTACCATACAAAATAGAGGCACAACAGGCACCAGGAAAATCGCAGCCAGAACAAAATCTCACGCAGCTGAAGATTGCATATAGTGAAGCAAGCGATGAGAAGGGTACCATAGATCAGTCTTTGAAACGAATATTGGTCGGTAGACTTCGAAAGAATAATAGAGTGCTGCTGCTGGAGTCACATGACCACAACCTGAGCCAGTACTACCATGGCCAGAACCAGAACCAGTACCAGTACCAGGACGGGGGTCCCGATCTCGAGTATGTAGACAGACAATACGGCGGTCGTAGTGCCAGTGGTAGTAGCCACGCCAACGGATCCGTCAATTCTGTTCTGAACAGGCTAAAAACAGCAGAATTGATTTCCAAATTTCACCGTCTTCGCTCCAAAATAGACTTGATCGAGTCAACCGTCAAGTCTGGAGACAGGGTGGTGCTGCATAGTATTGAGGGTCAAATAGACACCCTTAATCAAGAACTAGATCTTCTTAGCCAGCAATTGATGTCAGCAGAAGTGGATGTTTCAACCTTAAACGAGCCCTCAGTGCTCGAAGAACTCGATAGAATAAGAAGCGAGCTGAACAAGACGACTCAGCTGCAGCCCCAGTTAGGAATACTGGGACTATGGAAGTCCCACTTAGCACCGATTCTTCAGTTCCCTGGTCAACTTCTGAACACACTTAAGGTGATTTCGCTTCAGCGGTTCATCATCTCCTTAACAATCATCCTCTTCATCTTCTTCACGTCGTCGTACTACGTATCGAACCTAACGTACGAGTACTGTTACTACTACTGTTAAAATAATTGTATTATATGTATAGATAAAAGGAAAATAATATACAGACAAACTTATCGGAGATATATACATGTGCGTTTCATTTGATGACTCGCTTATAGTGAACGTTCGCTCGTTCGTTCGCTCGTTCGTTCGCTCGCTCGTTCGTTCGTTCGTTCATTCGATAGCCTATTCATCGTAGTCGTTTTTTGGTGGAGGAGCACTTTCACTTCTCAAGTACAAATCGATGGCAGTAGAAAAGGCAGCGAAACCAGCACAACCAACTAGCGCAGCCTGTGGACCAGCTTTGATACTTAACCCGGCCCCAGTGATGCATCCTGCACTCACACCGTTGTAAATATCGTGTTTTGCTCTCAAACTTTCCACACAACATTCTACACCAGAGTACACCATCCCAATGTACCCAAAATTTTTGGCACTGCTGTAGGACCTCTTAGCCATGTCTGAAAATTGCAACTTCATCTGCTGTTTGAAGGGTAATTCTGATATGTGAGCAGCTGCATTGTTCCCCACTGGGACATCATACGCCATAGAGGCCATAAATAACCCGAAGAACCCACCAAGAAAGAATCCTGATCCGCCTGCCATCGCCGTCTTCCCAGGACACGATTGCATGAATTCTACAAACTTTTTGGCACCTTCTTCGGCCTGTTCCTCCTGCGTCATTTCAGAGAGAGCCTTCAGGGGGCCCAGAGGCGAGTAAGTACCGATCATAACTGTTGTTCTGTAGGGTTTAAGTGTACGTCCAGTAGGTTAAGTTAGCGCCAACCGCTGGGCGATTTTTCTCTTTGCCTTTTCCATATTGAAAAACTTTGGACTATATACAGGACGTGAAGATCGGTGGTGGGAGGCATGGCGATGGGCGTCTGGGAACTGGCTGGAGGGTCGGTAGTTGTGGATTGGGGCCATGGGTTGAGTGCCTTAGAATGCGGCATATTACCGAGGTATACAATCGCTCTTCTGTAGACAGAGAGTGCCAGTAATGGGTACTATCTTGGGAACCACAGTGTGTTAAGCAGCAGCAGGGAAGTGAAGATGATGCCCACTATATACAGGAATCCACACTCAGACTCTGCTGCGTGCTCTGCTTGTTCTCCAGCAGCTCGTTCTTCTATTGCATGTGTACTAGTTTAATTTCTTTTTCTTCTCGATTCGAGAGCAGATACTGATCTCGAGCAGCCTCTCTCATCTCTTATCGGGGAAATGAAGTGAAAGATGGTGAAAAACTCTGGAAGCAGCATGTCCAGCACCGGGCCCACTCACGCTAAAGCTGGGGTCATTTTCTGCACTGCACCATCAGAAAATAACGTGATTCCTGCATACCAATCACCGGTTCATCTTGACGTAAAGATCACAGTTAGTCGATGCAATGATATGACACCAGCCCGTTTAGGAGAATCAAGCTACTTCTTTACGATACAGGGCAGGCATACTATGGGGTGATTCCTAGTCATGGAATGTGTAGCATATCGCAAGTTTGTGGCAATTGTACAGTAGAATTTGAGATCAGAGTGTATCACGGCTTATTTCCTTAGGCTCGCATAAGCAATCGAAATGGGGAAGGGGAAGGGGAAGAGAAAACTGCTTACACTATTTTACACTACTTCACACATTTTCCACCTCTCTTGCTTCTCCCTCATCTTACCCGTCCAGTCTACGTATAACCTTAAAATGCACCATAAAGCTTCTTTCATTCCTATTTTGTTGGAGACTGTGGGGAAGCACAACTATACCGAACGGTCACACATACAGCGTTTTTCTACGCTATTTGTCTCGCGACTTATCAAAAAGTAACACCACTAAAGTTTAAGATTGAGCATTTCTTTTTAACGTAATATTTTTTCTGCTTCTCCTCAGCCAGACACCCAAGCATCATTGGCCCTGCAACTCCTTTCATGCCCTTAGGCAAGAAAAGTGCTCTGACAATGGGAGAAATGGGCAAAATGGATGTGGAGGGGTTAATACCAAAGTTATAAAAAGGGGTTAAATATTCTTGTTTCAACTGTAGTGTGTAAAAAGTTTTCCTTCTCTATTGTTCTACATTAACTTTTGTATAACATAAAACCTTTCAAGATAATACGAACAGCTTTATAGTCGAGTAATATCTCACTCTTACTTTAAACAGAAAGAAGAAAAAAAAATTTCATAAACACTCTATAAGATGGCGAAAAAGAATAAGAAGCAGGTTGTACCATTAAACCTTGACAACTGCGAAAAGATGACGCAACTTAAGTCTGCCCCAGTCGATAGACCTACTGGAAGCGCAGTACCTGTTAGAGAATTTGATGATTTAGCCTCATTTGAAACCTTTGTTAGAGATGAAACTTGGGATAATGAGTTTGATAATTTCCACGCCCACTTAGCATATTACCCACCATTCATACTTAGTGAATGTCATGACAATTTAGAGAAAATTAAACCTACAATGAATAAGAATTCTTCCAAATTTAAGAGGAATTTGCAACATCACATTAAGAAGCATTTAATGCAAGATTTAGAGAAGGTTGCTGGTTACGAAATGAAGTTCCAAAAACCTGAAGTACAAGAAACATTTAATTCCTGGAAATTGAAGTACATTGATGATGGTCATCATGGATTTAGTCCAGAAGACGAAGAGAAGGCTCACAGACATTGGAAGATCGAGATGGAAGTGAAGTGTAACAATGAAAACCCAATGGTTGAAGTTGATTTTAAGTCAATTCCAATGGATTAGTTTTGTTGAATCTAATTATGCCATTTTACCTTTATGACCAAAGGACGATCAGAAAAACTGAAAAAAAAGAAAAAAAGAGCGACGAAAGAATGTTAACAGTGTATTTCCAATGTTTCCGCTGAGTTCAGCCGATGTTTCCCTAACGATTTATGTACGAAATGATTAAATGAATAAACATATTATAATAAAAGGCGTATTAGAAGTGTAGAGCAACCGTCGCTTAAATAATTTGCACCCAAAATACTGCATATAGACAAACCAATGGTTGCAATTTTAACTATAACCAAGGCATGGATCTTCAGAACCCGCTACGATATCCTACAAATACTATTTATGATATTATAGATTGAAAATACATAGTTAATACATAAATGGATGCTGAGGTCTTTCTAATCTTCCTCAATGGGCTAGGTTTTCGTAATTGGGCGAAACGTTGACGTATCCATTAGTGTAGTTTCCCAAATTTTCATCAATGTACTCTAGCAATTCTTTACATTCATCAATTAAAGTGTTGATACTAACAGGATCCATTGTAGTTTGAGCAATGAGGCCAGGCAAGGCGGTAAAGAGCCTTAGTAGATGCTCTACTCCGTATATGGAGCTCATGGGCTTCCCCTGCAAATCATCCAGATTTAGCACCTTGAGATACTGTAATCGTTCAAATTTATAGAGTAGAATAAGCCCTAAGGACTTGTTGAAGTATTGCTCGAGTCCCAGCAAAATCTCGTCAAGGGTAGCAATATTAGACCTCTTGGAATTTTCCGGATTCCGGTTTATCTTATGGCTTCTGTAGTCCGCAATTATTGTAGACACTGGCACCGCAGACGGTATACTTACTAGCGTCTTTTCTTTACTTATATTTTCCCAGTCATCTACCAAGATATACTTAATCCTCGACGATATCGGAAGACTTATGGAAGCTACGGATGAAGAATTAGAAGAAGAAGAGTGGTGGCTATTGTTTGACGTCGACGACGATGCGGACGCTGGTGCTGAAGAATTCGATGTTCGTTTCCGTTTGGACGGAGGAGCCGAGGTAGGACGTGTCTTATTATTAGAGTTCCCCGTCCCAGACGTGGATGCCAGGGTTCTCTTCCCGTTAAGAGTTATTGACAAGGTTGACTGAGATTGAGAATTAGCCAGAGTCTGAGATGCAGGAGGTTGCACTGGTGATGGAGGTGGAGGTGGTCTTGTCAACTTCTGCTTAAGTTCTTTCTGGATCTTGACATTTTCCTCGTTCCACTCCATGACTCTCAGTTGCTCAACCCATTCGTCCCATTTGGGTTTCCAGCCTTTATAGTGGAGGAAATATGCATTAGTCAGTCTCAACTCGGGCCCCAATTTATCAGGCACAGGTAGATGTTTACCTTCCAGGTCTTCTACAAACGTGTTTCCGGCCTGGAAAGATAGGAGCACTTTAGCTTCATAGATCAAAGGACCATGGTATGCAAGAAGCTTTGAGCCTGGAGCGAATATCATCTCGACCGTGTGAAGTATGAGCGATGAACTGTGCGTACGACAGTAAGCTTACCTTCGTGATATTATCGAAGGTCTGCCTGGAGAAAAAGTACGCGTATGTACAGGAGCAAAAAAGCGCTGAGTGAAAATTTAAGGTTTAGTGGACGAGAGTGAAATAAGAGATAAGAGAGTAGAGATGTGGGGATGAATAGCAGAGAAAAGCAGGAGAGAGGAGAAAAATGCTTAAAAGGGATTTGGTCTTTGCAGAAGTAGACCACAAAATTTCAAGTCTTCGAATGCGGTTAGAGTATTCGGAGTATACGCTTCTCCGCTAGGCTCAGCGCTATTTGGCGCCAAATCTTATCGCTAGACGAAAATGGTAGCGCTAGACCACAGCACTCACATGAACAAACACCGTGGAAAAACTAAGCAGAACCAGATCAATAATCTTAAAGCTTAATTGTTCAAGTGAATTTCGTAGCCTTTCGTGTCAAAATTTCAGTCTGCAATTCATTCCCGGCGAGTTCATCGTGCAAGTCCCAGTGGTAGACGACTTGTAGCTTCCATTGTGCTGCACTGTGCTGCACTTCTTCTATGTCCCTAGCCAAAATGCTCCCTAGCCAGCGGTACACATTAGCTGGTGAAAAATAAATTTTTCCTGTAGCAAGCAAAAGCGAGCGCACCAAAGCTGAAAACTAGCCACTAACGCACTAATGCACTGTGGGAGGGCGCATTAGTGGCCTGTACATAACTCCTACATAGGAGAACCTACAAAGGAGAGGAACACTACCATGACAGGTACTCAGCCAAGTCAGAGAAGGCTTTCTACACTCAAATTGCACTCAAATTAGCCTCCAGCTACCCTAGGACCACCTCAATGATCTTCCGGAGCCCACCAATGTCTCTCCAAGCTCCTTCGTATATCCTCCTTGCATCATTTCATCTCCCTCGTTCTCTCTCGTCTCTCTTCTCGCACTATCGCACTCTCGCGCTCTTTCGCTCCCATTCATGCACCGTTCTCCCCCAGAGAGTCCCGCGCAATTCAGTCCGCCAGGAACTATCTGAAAAAAAAAAAAGAAAAACAGAAAAGAAAAAAGAAAAAAAAACATAGAAACTGTTTCATCTCTCCAGGAATAATAGAACTGCATCACTAGACAAAGTGGTACTTCGATACTAGATAAAGAGAAGGAGATCATACCCATTCATCAGCCGACACAGACTTCCGGCATATAGAAGTAGAGTTTGTTAAATACTGTCAGTTGAGTTCCGCTTCAAGGCTCTTTCTTTTTTCTTTTAGTAAAATTTTAATTTCGTTTTTTTCAGAAGGTTTGCTTTCTTTCACCCGTTGCTCCTTTAAATATACACCTACAACAACGCAACTAAACAGAGCTGAATCATGGCCCAATCTTCTGGCCATATAGTAGGCGTTCACTACAGGGTAGGCCAAAAAATCGGAGAGGGTTCCTTTGGGATAATCTTCGAAGGTGTAAACTTGCTTGATAACACTCCGGTAGCGATTAAGTTTGAGCCCAGGAAGTGCGAGGCTCCTCAATTAAGAGATGAATATAGGCTGTATAAGATTTTGAACGGGAGCCAAGGGGTGCCCAAGGTGTACTTCTTCGGTCAAGAGGGCGTCCACAACGTGTTGGTTATGGATTTGTTGGGACCATCCTTGGAGGACTTGTTTGAGTGGTGCGGTCGTAGGTTCAGCATCAACACGGTCGTCTTGGTTGCCTGTCAGATGATTAGAAGAGTTCAAACTTTACATGAGCATAGTTTGATCTACAGAGATATCAAACCAGACAACTTCTTGGTGGGGCGCCCACAGACGAAGACTGCTCAACAGGTACACATTGTCGATTTTGGAATGGCAAAGCAATATAGAGACCCTAGGACTCATCAACACATTGCCTACAGAGAACGCAAGGCATTGAGTGGTACCGCCAGGTATATGTCTATAAACACACATTTGGGAATCGAGCAACTGCGAAGGGATGATTTGGAACTGATGGGCCATGTATTTATGTACTTTTTACGTGGCTCGCTCCCCTGGCAGGGTCTAAAAGCACCTACAAACAAGCAAAAATATGAAAAAATTGGATTAAAGAAGCAACTGACGCTGGTAAGTGAATTGTGCTCTGGATATCCAGTTCAATTTGCCCAATATTTGAGTTATGTGCGCAATTTGAAGTTCGACGAAGAGCCAGACTACGAGTACTTGATAGGCTTAATGGAAAGAGCCAAGGAAGAGACTACGGCCTCTGGATCTGGCTCTGCTAAGCTGATAGGAAGTGAAAGGCAGGACGATAATCTGGCTACGATTGTACAAACTCCAACACCAACATCTACAGTGAACAACAAGGAGGTAGACGACGAGGAATCAATTGAATACGTCAATGCGCACTATGACTGGATGGACCTAAATAATGGGAAAGGATGGGACGCAGCGCTCAATAAGAAGACCAACTTACACGGGTACGGCAACCCAGCCCCAAGAAAGCAAACTGGTCAACCTAATGCACATACAAATGGCAAGCCAACACAAAAACTTCTTCCCAAGCAAAGACCGATTCAAAACTATGGAGCTGTTCCAGTTATGGATCAAAGGCATAGTACCCATACCAGTAATCAGGGAGTAGTAGCAGGGCAAATAAGAAACCACCCAAACGATGATTTATATAGTGACAGTTCTTCATTTGCGAGAAGGAATCCATGCTGGTTAAGATGGTGTTGCTTTCCTTAAGGTTATAATACCGAATATAAAAGTGAGGGTTGAAGTAAAGGGTCGAATGCAGGCGGCCAAAATAGTGAGAATGAACCTTAACCAAGAATAGTAAGTTTGAGTGACTTCTATAAGAGGTTGCGGTATTCTACTCCAAGGCGTTTCTTAAGAGAACAAAGGCTGGATTGTACAATGGAAAAACCAGAAAGAAATCAACCTTGTGTTGAGGTGACTGAAGGGTCTGATGGCCATTCTAAGATAAAAGTCTTCACAGTCTAATGGCAGGAGTCTTTCGCTACGTTCAAGTCCTGTAAGTAAGAATGTGGTACACCCCCGTTTTTCGGACTAAACGTGGCTTCTCCAGACATACATTCTAGTCAAGGACATATTCGTTTCTAGCTCGATCCTGGATCTGTTTCTATGGGAGGATAGGCTGGGTTTAGATCCATTCTATGGGACCTTTTCATGGAAACATCGTTTCGAGCCCACACCAATTTACATGGGATCACTGTGATTGAGTCTGCCATTTTCATGGGAACAGTGTATCGAGTTACACGCATTTTCATAGGAGCAGTGCGTCGAGTTACACACTCATTTTCGTGGGAGCAGTGCGTCGAGTTACACACTCATTTTCGTGGGAGCAGTGAGTCGAGTTTTTACACCTTTCCGTGGGAACAATGCTCGAGTCGCTACACTTTTCCATGCGAATATTGTGTTGTTTCACGAGAACACTAATCAATCTGCAATTGTATGCCCGCGGCTCTCAAGACCAAGATAAGTCAACACCTCTGTGTGGTGTTGATGCTGAAGAATTTATCGTTTAACTGTAGGATCTGAGATCATACCAAGATAGTAATATTATAAAATTAATTCATTAACCAGTAGCATCCCAGCCAAGCACCGCTTTCACATGTAGCATTATTTTCTATGGTGCAACTGGCTTATCGTGGCATGCATCATTTTGACACCTTTTTTGCTAATATTTTTTGCCTGCATGTTACTAACAAGCCATGATTTAAGTTATGACATAAGAGGTGTTTATTTTTTCATGACAGAAGGTTATGGCAGGTGGAGGGCCACTTAAATAGGTACTTCGGAGCTCATTATTTGTGGAATACAGAATGCAAGATTCAGCACATAGCCCTCATGCCCCTGGTATAGAGAGTCCGCAGGCGAGAAGCCCTGATGCGGCCCAGTTTGGCTCTGAAGGATTGAGTGAAGGTGACAGAAGAGCGAAATCTGCGTGCATACGATGTCGTAATCGTAAGACAAAGTGCTCTGGTGACATCCCATGTAAACGATGTAAGAATGGAAATTTTAAGTGTGAGTACATGAGGAAAAGGAAAAGAGTTAGTTTATACGACACGGAGATCGAAGATTATGTCCTTAAGATCCAAGCCTTGGAGAAAGAGGTGCAGGATTTGAAACAGAGCTTGGGTGGTGAGAATGGTAAAGGTGCTAGTGGTATCAGTAATACTAGTAATAACAATAATAACAATAATAATAATAGTAATAATAATAATGACAATGGTAGTGTCAATTATAGCAGTAGCAGGAAATATCCAGCCAAAGATTCGGCAGGAAATACCATAGATTCAAAGGGCTCTGTCGATCTTTCGGTTTATTTGGGCTCTGGTAGTAGTGAGCTTGTGTGCTGGAATCTTAAACGGTTTACCATGAATCAGAAAAACCAAGTCAAATCCCTGGAGGTGTTCTTCTCTCCAGAATTTAATTCCTTCATCGAAGAAAGTGTTTATGATTATTTGTTGACTGACACATCTATACCGAGCTTGTATGCCGTTGAGACTTTGACTATCGATAAGGTCGAGTCGCTCCTTGCTAACGTTGTGTTGTTTATCAACTCGGGATACCTTACTTTGGATCCGATGTCGTTTAAAAAAAAGTTGCCCCAATATTTTGATAGTAACGGGGTTTTCAAAATCGATAAGTTGAAAAGAGGTTCTAGTGGTGGTAGTCCCATCAGAACTCCATCTACAGTCGCTTCGATACATTCCCCTTCTCCTTCTGTCACTGCGGATTCGGATTATTTCTTTTTGATAAAGATTATAATGATCTGCACTTTGGGCGAAATATATAGTCCAGAGTGTTCTTTGGGAAGCAGATTACAACATGGCGATATCAGTATTAATGAACCAACTCCCAATAATGTGAATTTCACTCTTAGCACCACACCCGGATTACAGTTTTTCAAGATTGTTATACACTTCCTACCATCAATATTTTCAACCTTGAATCTTTCAAGAAAGAACCTCGAGTCCAATTTGGATATAATTGAGCTATTGGGCCTCATTTCTATATACTTACGATGTATTGACAAGAAAAACCTTGCGGTCATGTTTACGATCAACGCCCTTCAATTGTGTGTTTCAATGAACTTGCACAAGAAGTCAAATAATACCACCGAAACAAGAATCTTCTGGTCAATATTCTGCTTAAACAGATTCTTTTGCCTGAGAATTGGTAAATCTTTATTACTTAGGGAAGATGAGATTACCACCCCCTTGCCCACTTTTGATTCTAGAGTGGATAACAATCAGACAAAATCACCATCATCCGATGAGTTTTCTAAGTCAAATTTAATGGTTCACTACATCTATCTAGCAAAAATTGCTGAGCAGATCACAAATGAAATATATTGCTTCAAGCCCCTGGTTGTTGATAAGAATAAGGAATATTTAAACTCTATATTAACGATAGTGCATGATCTTGTCGACTGGGTTAGTCAACTACCTGAGTTTTTGAGACTAAGGTTACCCTTAGAATCAGGAAATCCCTCCAATAGATTGATCTATACTTTGCATTTAAACTCTTTACATCATATATATTTGTCATGTATCCCTATCCTATTAAACTTGACAAAGCTGAGAATTGCCAATAACAAGGACAACCTGCTGACTGCGTTTGATCTTGAACAACTACCCAAAAACATCAGGACCATCATAAGAATATGTATCCAATCATCTCAACTTACTATTAATTTATTTATTGCCCTCTACAAGGAGAATTTAACTAGAATCTTTGGTTTCACGGATTTAGATTACCTTTTCAGCTCATCACTTGTATTTATAATCTGTCTAATATTAAAATTGCCTAACATAGAAGAGAATTATACTTACGAGGAGTATCTTCAGGTTGCAATTAACTTGATCGGCGAAATGAAGAATAGAGGTAATTTAGTTGCGAGAGGTAAGTTAAATCAAATACTAGACTTAACTCAAAACTTGAAAAATGGAACTGATGGCCAGCATGAGTTTGGCTCTTTGTACCAATATATAAAAGGCTATTACTACAATCAAAACAATCAACCGACTATAGTTAACTTAATCAATGAAACTGAAGCTGTTAGACAATATGAGCATATTCAGTCACCTGCAGCCTTATCAATCACACATTCAAATTCACTTCCTACAACTCAACTTCATCCAAACAATATTTTTAGCACTTACCCTTCAAATAGCCCACATTCTCCAGCTGCCAATACTCCTAAGGACAATACCAATCAGTTGCTTAATGATTTTGAACTTGGAAAGGATTTCACAGATTATTCTAGTTTGACTGAACCCCTCTTCAACGACTTCCCGTTGGTTACAGAGGAAGATATGATGTTTATGAACAATATAATTCAAGATTTCCAGTCAATGAGTGATTATGTCAATAGCTAAGGAAGAAGACTAATTAAAGGTATTCCTACAAAGAAAAAGTCTTAATTTCATGTATTCTTAAACAGTACTTAGCTATATAGTAATTTCCTAAAGAGATGCCAGCACCTTTGGATGATCAATTTTAATAGGCCAAATCAATGTCAATAGCGCTTCCTTTCACTTTACTCAAGATTTTCTGAGGATACACTATTGTTTCTACTCTTTTCACCATCCATTGATTCATATGAACCAACAGAATTCTGCCTTAATGTGTTATTGGTATTATCCAACTTTTCCATTGTATTTCTCATGTCAGATCTTGGTAACCAATACTTATTGTTGGTTGCTGAAGAGTGATAGTTGTAGAAAGGTCCTGCATTGACTTGGGAAGATCCAGAGTAATGTGGATGAGACTTACCACCGTTCATAGCAGTTCCTATTTTAGTAAAGAAGTTATCAAATAAATCGCCCATCTTTTGAATGTGTTTAGCTTATTTGTGGAATAGAGAAAAACATAACTACAATCAACAAATTGCCCCCATTCACCTACATATATATATAGTCCTACAACCACACACAAAGCCCAATGCACCACTGATAAAGCGTCATTACTAATTCATAGAGGGGAAGGATTCCCAGCAAGTTTCTCAAGCCATCCTATCACCCTTGTACAAGAAAATGCGTGAGTATGTAATCACCATCAAACGCTACTAACTCTACATTTGAAAAATTATTTACCCCACATAAACACACAGTTGCTTTTAATACTTAAAGGGGACCCGCTATTAAACAAAATGTATATGTATTTAAATAATAGATAGAATATTTTTGTGTGAATATGATTATAAGAAGTAATATGAAGATAGTTTTGATAATAAAAATATAGAGATAACCCTCTACCATATGTGCAAAGCAGCAATAAAGATAAAATAATTCGTTAACAAGCTTCCATTTGAATTTTTTTTTTTCCTTTTATGTGTAGTGAATATGATTGAAAGACATTGCTGTGGTCCAAGAAATAGAGGTTTTTTCGTGAGGGAGAATGGAATTTCCAATCTTTCACTTGGACTAGTCTATTCTTGTCCAAAACCAACAGTTTCCTCTACAGCCAACGTCAACTTTTGCTTTAAGCTCTCATAATTAGTATATGGTGGTAAATCAACTCTGTTGAAACATGTATGAGATTTAGGCAACTGGTTGCTTTCTCCAGCCTTTTCAATGGTAAACCTTCTTGGTCCATCGGAACCTTGCAAATCTTTAAACCCATTGACAGGAATTCTACTGGTACCAGTTGTAAATTGTAATAATCTTGCCTTTTGTTCAGAATCCCATTCCTTAATACATTTCCAGAACCATTGAATGACTTGATCATTTTCTTGATATCCCCTATAATCAGTATGCTTCTTCCAATCTTCGACATCGATTTCAGCCAACCCACCAATCAACAATTCCAATTCTCTTTCATCGAAAACGTTGACTAATTCTTGTGGGATTAATTCATTGAATCCATCTGTGAATGCCTTGAATTGTTCGTCAACTCTCTTACTAATTCTCCATTCACTAATAAGTTCCACATATTCGTGTTTGTTCTCCTCGGTAACTTCAATATCTCTTCCACCTTCCTTCAAATCTACTTCAACAATTTCACCGAATCTTTCGTCTTCTGCTGAGAATGTCAATTCTAAAACATCAGTAATATCGTTATCACAGATCCATTTCAATGATCTGTAAAATTCTGCATCCACACCTTCCATATCTTGCAATACCACTTTCTTGTGTAACATCATCTTGTAAAGAGCACCAACGAAGAAAGCATCCAAGAATCTTCTATGGAAAACACCTAAACCAACAACTCTACCAATAAATTTGAAATAATTCAAATGCTCAGGGTTGATACCCGAGTTAGGATTAATTTGTAAGGTATAGTTATCGTGGGAAGAGTACTCGAAAAGACAGTAAAACGGATTAAACATATCGTGAGACAACAAAAAGAAAAATTCTCTTGAAACTCCACCATAATCTAAACCTTCTTCACCATCGAACTTAATCATAAGTCTCTTTTTCAAATCTTCAGGAGTTTGTCTCATAATTTCTTGATAAGAGTCTTCAAAAATGTTGTCTCTTCTCACCTTAATGTGGCACTGACCAGGTAAGATTCTTAAGGCTGGTTGAGATCTGAAGTAGATCACCTTTCTTCTAAAATCTCTCTTATATTGTGGAACGTTCTGGTCAAGGGATGATGGCAATCTTGGATCATCCCATGTAGTAGTCTTAGTGTTATGGTCTACGAAGTAAACTCTGGCGGTGTTGGTCAATCTCATTTCCCAACCTGAAGGCAATGGACCTAATTGAGACACCGGCTGCTGTTGAATTGTAGTGTTTGGACCGAAAGTACGGATATATTGTTGTCTTCTTGGATCAACCCAAGTGGTCGTTCTTGTGTTGTGATCAACGAAATATGGTCTACCTTCGTTAGTGAATCTTTGTTCCCAACCAGAAGGTAATTCTCCCAAACCTGTTGTGGTAGCACCTGATGCAGCCATCGAAACGGCAGCTCCTGGGTTGACAGGTGTATTAGCGCCGGTTGAGTTTACTGTGATGTTGCCAGAAGTAGCGGAGTTAGTTCCTGAACTACTTCCACCGGTAACGTTAGGTGACTGTGGGGTTTCTCCAGGTAAGGTTCTTCCTCTATGCTGTCTTCTTTCAGCCTCAGTGGTGTTTATTCTCTGCTGGCCTCTTTCGCTTTCGCTTTCATCCAATGTTGGCCTTTGCCATGTGGTTGTTCTTGAATTATGATCCACATAGTAGGTACGGCCAAAATTGTCAGTTCTTCTTTCCCAGCCAGGTGGCAACCTTCCGTATTGATCTTCAAACGAAGAGTACTGGCGCAGTGCTGCTCCACCAACAGCTCCACCAGCAGGGGCTCCGGCTCCGTTTGTTGAAGTACTGTTGGCTATTGGGGGTTGTGGAGGAGCTTGGATTGACGGAGGAGCATCGGATCTACCGGTACCATTACCATTGGCAGCACCAGTACTTCCAGTGCCTCTCTTATTATGACTAATCACAACAATAATCTTCCCACTGACAGCCAAATTTTCATTCAGCTTTTTCAAATCTCTGGTGATAGTTTCTTCACTATCATTCAATGACAAATCGATAACATCACCAATTCTAACGTTGACAACACCCAAAAACCCTTGGTCCTTCTTTTTGAACTTCTTTTGGTCGAACACTTGGATCACCAAAATCGAGTCTTCAAGGGCCTGGAACGTGTATGTTTCGTTCCAGTAAGGGTTCAATGTTTTCTTTGCTGTCAAAGTTGTCTTCGTTTGCGATCCATCAACAGTCATCACAACAAAAGGGTCTGGCTGACGGAATACATCTCTCTTGTAGAGAGACTCCGCTGCCACAACCTTAACACTAATTGGCGTAGTAGATGGCATGGCTTACAGTGATGTGGTGTGCAAACTAGAGTCTTAATTGCTTTGGTGTGCTATAAGGCTACTTGTAATTTCCTTTTTGCTTTTTTTTTTTTTTTGCTCTCTCGCTTTGGTGCTGTTTCCGGTTCGAGGGGGTGGGAGGCGATCAGAAATGATTTTAGTGGGAACTGGACACTGATAACGGTAGAACTGGGAGACGGGAAAATGCACTCCAAAGTTTGAATGGCGCGGAATACGTGGCTATTAGTACTAGTGTATAAGTATGAGAGTGATCGGAGGAGAGAAAATCCAGCTTCCGTCGAAATACTCTAACTGAAACGGCTACTGTGGTATCGTAAGAATCGAATGAGGATGTGTAATAAATAGATTTTCAGGATTTTGGCTCGATTTGCTCACTAAAATGCTTTTTTTTTTTTTTTCAGGATGTTTTTTCCGCCTCTTTTGCGCTTCGTAATTGCGCTAGTGAGAGTGAAGAGAGTAAAGTCAGGCAGCCGTTGCGCATAGCATAGTAGGACCCGAAGTATAAACTAAGTACTAACCGCTACGAACTACGCAAGAGTAATGTGCGTCTGTACTGGAGATGCTGGACCCTACGTGATTTCTATGTTGTATGCCTCATTTACAAGGTGCTGTGGCTGGCAGGTAGCACACCAGGTGCCTACTGACAGAGATACACAGCTTAACGATTACCCTCTATGCAGCCTTCCTAGCGAAGGCAATTCTTTTTAGGGTCGGAATTTCGCAAAGGAGCACTGGCCAGTGCGGAAATCAGTTTGACATATAGTGATGGGAAACACAAAGAGAGTACTATGCACAGAAAAGAGCAACCATCTGCAAGAAATGACAAATTTTTGGCCAGCTGATGTTTTTTTTTTTGCTTGATTGGATTGTATTGGCGTTTGCACCAGTACTGGCCGAAATAGCGACATACATACCATTAACAGTAGCGTCGATGATACCTTGGTTCTCTTCCTTCTGCCGTCCCTATTAAGCTCGCAGCCTGCAAGTGCATATACCTTGTTCCAAATAGTATGCATAAAGGGGCCTCAGCCCTTTGCGATGCGCTTTTCGATGCGACTTTGTGCTACTTTTGAGCTGGTCCCTATTCTGGTTATCGGGTTGCCGGTGTCATTCTTATGTCAGCAGGCTGCTGTGGTCGAAGATCGCTAGGCTCTGTCAAGCTGCTTACACATCGTATTGTATTTTGCTGGATATTAGAGGTCATACGACACCTGCGGCTGAATGACTCGAGATCCAAGTCGCGGTGAGCACTAGTAGGTTAGTCGGGATGGTTACTATTACACAATATTTGTAAGCCGTTTTCACTTTTTAGTCATTTTTTTGTGGCCCATTGCGGCTGTTTTGTTCACTCTCTGGCCGGATACCTAAGCGGCCTGAACTGGCTAAGACTATAGAAGAAAACGAAGTATAGTGGATCTGAGCCCGGGGTTGTTCCATGGTGCCAAGTAAGTGGTAGGTGACTTCCAACAGGTAGTAGAAAGAGCGTTCTAATACTCTAATCATTGGTTCTCAGTCTTAATTTGCAGCCACTGTCTACTCTATGCTTCACTTTTTGTTTTATGATGCACTTGTACATCAATTATGCCCCACTAGATCTATACATATCTCTATCGGTAGAGGCCCTACGTTGCTGTGATACTTCTATTACATATGCCGAAGGTTCGCTGATGAGGGGTTTCTCTGTCAACAAATGCTCTAACTATCTGTTACGACTAAGAACTGAAGATTATGTTAATAATATATATGCGTACATCCATTCCTGATGCTTCACCACACTGACGAGGCTGTACAATTTTGCTTTATGTTAATAATATTATGCATAACTCTATATCTAAAGTATTAATGGGGTGTAACCTGAAGTATATTCTAGTACATCATTGAGTACCATATTCTATATGTCACTCAGTTCTATCAAACGTTCTATGTCAAATTCAAAGTCAAACGGTTCATGCTTTCCAAACAACTCAGACTCTCTCTCGATAACTGTTAGATTGGTAGAGAGAGAGTCGTTATCTGAAAAGTCTGCCGGTATTCCAGAATTTGGCGATGAATTGAGAGAGTTCTCACTGTTGTATGTATACCTTGAAATTTCATTGCTAAATTCAAATTCCTCTGAAACATCACTACCTTGCTGAAGCAACGTTTCGTTAGACATATTTTCATTAGTAGGAGAAAGTATTGAAAAGTGGCTAATTGATTTCGTCTCACCATCATATATATCTTCAGTATTTGTCACGACGCCGGGGTATCTATTAAGGTCGCTTTCGACCATTGCATCATTCTCTTCTTTAAGCTCATCCTCTGTTTCTGCTTCAACATCTGCTTCTGTTTCGGCTTCTGTTTCACCTTCATACTCGAATATACTGGCAAGTTCGCCAGTATTTTCTCTAACTGTAATAATTGTAGGGTTTCTACTGATATCTAATGGTTTAGTTCCCTCTCCATTCTCTAATATCAGTTTCTGACTGTCTTCTTCCGCTACTAATGTATCAGATGAAATGCCATCTCTTTCGGACTTGAGCAATAATGACACATCGCTGGAGGTGTAGTATAGCTTTTCGCTACTAATTTTCAAGTTGATTGCTTCGTAAATTTTTGAGTGGACTCCAAAGAAAGATGAACCGTCAATGGATAACACTTTACAATCATTGTCGCTATCTCCTGGGATTGAAGCCATTCCGATGATATTAGTATTGGAAGCAGGAAGAATTGTTCCACACTGTCTTTGACTCACCTTTGTCTCCAACTCATTCTTGTGTGGATTGAACTGAATACTATTTAAGCCCTCCTTTAAGCAGCAATTCAAGAGATCATCAGTAGTGTTGGAAAGATCCCAATGAATAATGTTCCCATCCTTGGCACCTGTGAAAAGATCTTCATCATTCCACTCAATGCTGGTAACCAATTTGTTACAATGACCATCCAATTGGCCAAAAAACTCTTGCTTTCTCACATCCCAAAGTCTTACCACACCATCTAAGTGTGCCAGGGCGAAAACATTCTCATTATAGGAACTCCACTTGATCACGTTGGCACCAATCAGTCTATAGCCTTTCCTATCCTTCCGTATATTTGAGTATGCAGAAGGAATTCTGAACTCAGATTGTCTTGTGTCGAAAAGAGATACCCCAAAATCTCCGCTGATAGCAATAGTTGAGTTGAAACAGGAATTCTGACTGCTGGAGGGAATAATGTCGAAATTTCTGATTCCCCGGATAGTAGAAATATTCACTGGTTTGGATCTAGCAGAGTTTATGTCCCATCTGAATAAATTTCCTTGATACAAAGTCACTAACTCGGATGCATTGCTGTTATTTGTCAAAAAGTCTAACTTTTCAATTTTAGCAGGAGTATGGGATTTTAAATATTTTTTATGGTTGAACTTTTTGATGATTTCAGCATTTTCGTCGATGCTATCTGGATCAGGAATTGAAAGCAAATGTGCATAACCTCCCGAGTTACCAGTTGCTAATTGTAACAGTGAGTTATCTTCATTACTATCAGGTACCCACTTCATAGAGTGTATGTTTGGGAGCGAAATAGTGTTATTGTGGGTTAAGAAATTTTCTTCTGTATCTAGCTGATAAATGAATAAGTTTGCCAGCTTATTTCCTGATGATATAGCTATCACTGGATCGATTTCGTACCCTCTTCCTGATTGGTTTTTTATATCTATCAGAGTTAAATTCATGTTGTTGTCTGGGATTTTCCAGTAGTTGGATTTGATATTCAATCTATTCAATGAGCATGATTTGTTGGTAATTTCGGTATCTTTTGGACTATCTGAAGAGTACAACCAAGAAGCTGGACTTGGGATATTAACCTCCAATGAACTTGAGTTTGGTGAAGAAGTCGGACTCTGTCTCATGGCATTCTGCCTAAATAATAGGTTTGGTGTGTAAAAGTCGGACATTTTCTGAAAAATAATTTGCAGCTATTTGAAATTCTGCTACCGTTGTTTTATAGATTTATTTGGACTTAATTCAATGTTTATGGCTTATTTTTTTCGTGACCTAGGAGTCTTGTAAGTACAGATTTTGAAGATCGCCGGAACTGTTATTTCTTATAAACAAATGCACTCGTACTAATTAGCTTCCCTTTATGGCTGGATTTTTCCATATTGAAGAATTGCTGGTTGCACAATCTTATGTTTCGGCCCTGTAGCCTGCATATATACGAAAATCATGCTTGCAAAAATCCCAACTTGGTACATTTTGACCTTTGTTTCGCGCACCATGCATCCAATTTGGAAGAGGCTTGCTAAAAAAAGAAGGTGCGGCTGAACTGGTGATTGGGAAAAGATGTAACTTTGCATAATAAATGCTGGCAAAGTTCTAAATAGGGCCAGATGGGTAGTAGATTTGGGGTCTTTTGGTATGGCTATTTGATATATGCCACTGATAGAAGAACGGAAACTGATGAGACAAATAAACAAACAATAGAAAACGGAAGGGGCTGCACTATTCCGCGTGATGTAGAACTGTGCAGTTGCTCTTGCCTATCAAGCAGCAGCAGACTCTTTCTTGGTATTCGTTAACTTAAGCCTACTAATATCAAGATAAGTAAGCCTTAGGATGAAACAAGCCAATCTTCATTATATGAATATCGATAGATAGTACCAATAGGACTTACTAGGTAATATCTATCTGCTACAGTTAGTACCAACAACCTAGAAAATTATTTAGATGGACGATGGGACTGCAGATTTACGATACACTATTAAAAAAATAATAGCAATCAAGCACCACTCAGGTAGCAAAGAAGATCTAATTTTCAGAAGTATACTGGCTGGCATTCCGATTGAAATCTAAAAATAATATTTATTGAGCTAATATTAACATCTACCTTCTTTTGTATATACATGGTTTCAATAACCATTCCCCTTCCGGTTGCTTTTCTCTTCTTAATTGAAGCTGTTCCTTTTCCAGCTCGACTTCAATGAACTTCCTCTGTCTCTCTAATTTTTCTTTACGCTCTTGCAAGATATCTGGAGGTGGTTTGAAAAATTCAAACCTAGTAAACATCTTATTGTCATTGTCTGTCTTTTTATGGAAAAACCCACTTAATTTCAAAGCTTCAACGAATTCTGTGCCCGCTTCCAAGGCTTGGCCATGGCCACCGATGGAAACCTTTTCTGTAAATCTTGATTTTATTTCTGCAATCCACAATTCACCACGAGGAGCTAAAATCCTATAAGCTTCTTTTATGAAATCCAAGAAGTTCGTTCCCATAAGCGCAAGACAGAATATAACCACTGTGCACGAGTTATCTGGCAAGGGCACGTTCTTAATGTCTGCAACAGTAATTCTAGGGTTGACCTTCTTCAAGTCAAAACTATGAACCTGAATATCAAGTCTTTTCTTTGGGTTAGACTTCTTGTTATGCTTGGAAAGAAATTGCGAAACTTGCAATGAAAGCATTGCTTCCCCACAACCCATGTCAGCAATGACTACTTTTTTATTATTGGGTAGCCCGGGTAATCCACCTGGGGCATTAATGACTCTAGTGGTAGCCCTTGACTTAATTTGATCTACAAACACGTCTACCGGATTCTCTGGCCATGACTGCACTTGAGATCTAAATCCTTCATGGTACTCATCGAAAAGAGCAGGTTGATCTTTGATAAGAGAAAGAGCATTTTCTGAAGAAATAGTATAGAGCTGTTCATTGATCCACCTAAATCTAGAGCCAGAGAGCTTATTCAACATTTTTTGTTGAAGTGGTGTTAATTTACGGCCGCCAGCACCTCCAAAGCTACTCTGGGCGGGAGCAGCCTCTAGCTCGTTCTGTGCTTTGTCCTTTTCTTCCTTTTGCACCTTTGGTTGAATTTTCTTTGCTACAGTATCCTCCTTTTTTCCTTTCTTGTCCTTTTTAAGCAGACTTTCAGTCTTGGCTCTTTTAACAGGTACTTCTTCTGCTTCGCCATCGGGTTTTGCTACTCCAACCTCATCGGACTCAGCTGATTCAGCTTCGCGAGCAATCTTTCTATCTTCTAATCTTGCCCTCTTTTTTTCTCTTTTGGAAGTCTTGGTAGAGTTTCCTCCGACCTTGATATTCTTCTCCTTCAAATCCCAGCCGTCCACTTGAAATAACGGCATCTTGAAGGTATAAATGCTTTGTGCTTGAGCTTCATCTGCCTCATCTCATCTCATCTCATAATTATTTGAATTTTATCAACGGTGTGCATATAAGCAAGATCATAGTATTGCGTTTTTGCTTAGGCTCTTTGGGGCCACTTGCGAAATGAAAACAAACGGATACATAAAGACACTGAAACTACCAAGTATATCTATATATATTGAAAATAGAGGATCTACATTATCTCGTGTAATATAGTTGTAGTCTGGAGAGTATTGTACAAAAAAAAAGCTTACAATTGTACTTTATTCTTAAATTATAGTTGTTTTACCATGATATGTCTTCTATTATCGACTTTGGGCCCGGTCAGAACCATATCTTCAAACGTGTAAACAACGTATCATTTTATGTACCCGAGCTATTTCATTGCTCGCCAACTTTTAATAGAAGAATCAAATTGTTCATAAACGATGTCAACCAATCCTCTTCCATTGTTGATATCTATGGTGCCTTGGGGTATCAAATTCAAAAACATAATTATCTAATGATCAATAATTATCCTATACGACAGATAGCAGTACACGGTAGAATTGTGTCGTGCGTATCAAAAGATATTTCTAGGCGAAATAATCCCACTTTATGGAAAAAGACATACGGAGGTTCAACTACGCTGGAACATGATAGCGCCGCGGACTCTGAAAAAACAATATTCATTATGAGAATCAATGATTTCTCTGGGAGGAAACTGATTATCGATTGTATTGTAAGTGAGTCTACGTATATAGCATCTGGTATGTCATATACTTCACCTCGATTCCAGTCACTTGTTGTGGAAGTCAAGGGAGAAATAGGTGTATTCTATGGAACCAAAGAAGTTTGCGTGGAATACTTGGATATAATAGGCAGAAGCTTGGACGATGAAATCGAAAAATGGGACGAATATTTGAGTGAAAGGAAGTCTTTATTAGAGCCCTGGGTGTATGAGGTGCCTGAGATTCATTCCGAAACAATAGACATTCTTGGCAGTGATGACGAAGACGATGTTATAGTCTCAAATATCTCGTTGATCAATGTTAAATCTCTCGATGAAATTGTATGCGAATTCATTCACTGGATTCTACAGAATGACCGTGTTAAATTTCAGCTCATTGAGCTATATCGAGACCCATTGCTAAACAAACTTATAGAAAACCATTGTGTTCATGACCCGAGTCGTCCCACCAAAGCTGAAGTTTTTCACATTATACGGCATCATATTCAAGTCGAATGCGGTTTGATTCTTGTCACTAAGGCTAAAAATGTTTACTGTTCCGAGGTTTTTGGAGCAGCGAAATATATAACGGGGCAACTCGAAAGGGTGAAAAATGGAGAAATACAGACATTGCTGGTTAAGAAGATAATCAGTGACATTAGGGAATTGTTTAATAAAGGAACTGCTAATAGCGATGTGGAGAAGAGTTTGAAACCGATATACATTAACGAAATTGTGAGGTGGAATACTAGAAAGGAAAGCAAACATTGGGAGTACGATGAAGCAGATTTTGGGACTTGGCTATTCAAGGATAGTGTATAGTGTGTATAATAGCATTAATGGCAACAATATTTAATAATTATAAGAGAAATGCCTTGTAACTGAATAGAAATCAGATTTCCAATCTATACCTTAAATATATGTTTGTTCACAAAACGGGCGAACGAGGGAATAAAATGTAAAATTCTTAAAAGAAAAAAGAAACTAAAGACAAAAGGGAACTCGAGTTATTATGGTGCTTTTGGCAGTGCCCATGCCATATTTTAACCTTATTTATTCTAGGGTGCTACATGTTGTGTAGACATTTCCCTGTTAGCATAAACATGTTATTGAGTTTTGTGTTGCATTCTCGTAAACTTAATGTTCCTCGCATTCTTATCTACTCGGCATTCTCCGAGCTTAGAACCGATCATTTCCAAAAGACAAAGCCTAAAGAATACAGTTGCTTTCTTTTCTCAGAACTATTCATTACGACTTTCTTGGATATATCGTACTGGAACAATGCCACCTGTTACTTGTCATATCCTAGACACCACTCGTGGTGTGCCAGCTGAACTGGTAACTTGTGCGATTTACTTCGTTTCTGAGCTTATTTCTAATCCAGAAGAGGAATCATCCTATGATGTCGCATCTTCAAAGCCCTTTGCAATGGGAAAGACAAATAAGGATGGCCGTATCACCAATTGGGTATTAAACCCAGAAAATTCTAAAGATACAAACCAAGAATTGGGATTTACTGAGTCAAATGAATGGTCAACCTTGAAGTCTGGTAACTATAAGATAAAATTCTTGACCGGACAATATTTCCATAAATTAGGACCGGGCCCCCAAGCCAGAACCTTTTTCCCCTTCGTAGAGATTTATTTTACAGTAAATAATCCTCCTGACCACCACTACCACATACCATTGTTGTTGTCCAACTTTAGTTATACGACTTACAGAGGTTCCTAATGACGTCCATTGTTTTCCTGTAATAAGTACAAAACTACCAAGTAGGAGCATTGTAGAATATTTCAGGAGATAAACTAATCAACGTCAAGCAAAAATATCGTAGCGAATCCTAAGATGATACAATAAAGCGCCCAGAAGAAAGAATTATAAAATCATTCATTTATATATATATTTGTATTTCGTAGATTCAATTTTCCTACCGTGAAGTATATACATAGTATTAAACATTCTACAATACATTACCTATTCTATCCTTCAATACACAAATTCATTAAACTTCGTGTAGATTGATATTTTTGGTTTCTTCATATCCTTAAATCTTCCTTAATAGAAAAAGTGAGTATTATTTTGACTCTGTTCATGCACCAACATCTCATTACACTTATACTGATTCAATTCCGTCTTGATCTTGTTGATCTCGTTAGGTTCAGAAATGGTGTACTGAGTAACCAGTTTATTGTATCTCTTATACATTTCTGGAGCGTACGTTTCATTTACATAAATCTTATTTCCGAATGCAACGTTCTTTCTCTTCACATTAGGAGGATACTGGAATCTCTTAAGCGACGGCTTAGCAGGCTGTTGCCCCTTGACGATCCTCTTCCTTCCTGTTTTGATAGTGATTTCCAAATTTTCATAATCTTGGAATTGCTTAATATACTTTAGGTGCATGGGTAACTGTCTCCTTTGAGATTCTGAAAGATTATTGAAAAGATTGGTGAGTTGCTCATTGTCAATGACAATAGTTTCAGTTTCATCATCTGGAAATAAATAGAAACTAGATTCATGATAAGTTCTGTTACGTCTGATGGAATATTGACGACCATTTTCATCATTGTAAATGACATCAATATATTCATCTCCGTTGTCAAGAATAGTATCAAGAATATCATCACTACTACTGCCGCTTCCACTATCTTCCTCATCTTGAGCTGTGGTGACTGTATGTCCAAGAGAACTGCCCGTTACTTCCTTGTTGACGTTTCTCTTAGGTTTTGCACTTGCACGACGCTTAACAATACTTCCAGCAATGGATTTCATATCGTCAATCCAAATTACCTCATTCTGTAAGAACAAAATGTTATCATCAACATAAAGTTCATCCAGATTAGTACGCATATGATCTTTTGGAGGAGGAGTTGGCAATTCTTCAGTGGAACTGCCCTCTTTAGAATATCCATCTTGATCTTTAATCTGCTGATCTTCAATTTGTTCTTGAGTCAATTCATCATCTTGTAAGAATGGAGTCTTGTCAGACTTAGAGAATAGACTATTACGTTTAAATCTTTCATCGAAACTGGTCAACATGTCCGAGAACATGTCAACGTCCTTTTCCAATGTTGGCAATCCAAATTCCATAAATAAAGAATCATTTCCGGTATAAGAATTCTTTGGAGGAGGAGTAGGGGCCACGCTTTCAACTGTACTTCCCAGTTGCTCTTGTTCTCCACTGTCCTTTGCTACTTCTTCCACTTCTTCCTTCACCTCCGTTTCATGATTTGCTCTTCTGGACGATAAATCAACATCCAGTCTTGACTTCAGTCTCAGTCTCACTTTCATTGACGGTGGTTGCTTCGTTTGCAGCAGCAGCATTTGTTGCTTCAGGAAATCATGAGTGCTATGATTCATCTTTTCGAAGGGGAATCCTGCATTGTCATTCTTATATGCCGCAATATAATTGGAATCTGCATGTCTAAGCAAACTATCCATACTCACACCTCCAGCAGAATTACCACTGACAAATGAGCTATTGCAGCTGGTATTAATCGAGACTTCAGTAGCAATAGGGTGACCCAGTTCACTTGGCTTAACAGTAAACATTTTCTTGAAAAATCTTTTCAATCCTGGCTTGCCGCTTTCTTCTAAGCTCGTATTATTGTTGCTACCAAAACTTGTGTTATTGGCAAGTGCTCTAATATTAGAAGAAGAAATAGCTTTCTTCAAGTTTGGCGTCGATTTGGCTTTATTCAATTTGTGGGCCGCTTGTTGCTTAAGATTGTCAGATTTGGAACCAAAATTCACCGCAGATGGTGGTTGGGTGGAATCAGCGCCTGTCTCCTTTTTAGGAGATTCACCTGACTCAGCTGGGTCTTCAACATCTAACATCGATTTAAGTGGTTGAGCAGGACGTTGAATACGAGATGATGAATATGTTCTTCCTTTTGGACCTTTTGGTCTTGGTGGAGATTTTTGAGGGGGAGTTGGAGGCACAGAAGATATTGAGTTATTTTCAACATCTTTCTTAGGGGCTTTGATTTCTTGTACATTCTTCTGTTCCTGAGTGAGTACGCTTAATGTTGGTAACGCATCACTTGCAGTTGATTTGACCGTTGGAGAAGGTAAACCATCACTTATAAGAGACTTCATTGCTACTGGCGAACCCAAAACTGATTCATTGAGCAAAGATTTTACCGGAGGAGTAGGAGGAGTTGGAGGAGTAGGTTTAAACTTTGATGGAGGTGCCAAAACAAAACTTTTACCTAATTCAAGAGGTGCTAGCATTGAGCGCACTGTTTGCAGTGTGGGTGTAGAAACTTCTTCCTTTTGTTTAACCTGCTCCTTCTCGATTGAAGTTAATGGTCTTTCTTCTATTTCTTCTTCTACTACACTTGCTTGTCCATCATGCACATCAATACTATTACCATCATCACCGTCATCAACACTATTTGAATCATCAATATCATCAACAGTTTCAATACCATCTTCATCATCATCATCCAGCTCTTCAATGATTTCAGTTTCCAAATCATCGTAATATTGGTGGCCATCCAGGGGAGAAGTTGGGGGTATTGCTCGTATAGATGCGGCCGCACTAGCCAAATTAATTGTACCGATTGATGGTGCAATTGATGCAGCAGATGAATTGAGTGTAAATGCAGACAGACTGAATCTGTTGACACCATATACTGAACCTTGGGCTGTTGTAAACGAAGGTGTACTTATAGAAATTGGGGATGTAGCTTTTGCATTTGAACTATTTGGGGGATGAAATTCATTCAAATTTAGAGCTGATGTGCTTGCAAATGAAGTTTTTGCTGTAGCGAACGAAGGAGCAAATGGTGAACTTTCTCCAGACATGGTGTTATCAGAGTTGAAAATGACAGGGCGATCAAAAGCTAGGAATGATTCCGTGTTTGGTAATTGAGGATGAGGCTTATTATTGTAAATGTTGTTCCTATTGTTCACATTCGGATTTGTGACTTGGATCAGTGGAGGTTCGACTTTCGCAGTTGACTTTTTTAAGTTGTTTTTAGCCTTCCTTCTAAGTTTCTTATTAGATGAAGATTTCAGAGACGCAGGCAGCACCAATGCCAGAGCCAGCTCTTCGGCGATAGGCAGGGGAAGAACGAGGTTTTTATTCAAACTTGAACTGTAACGAAGACTTTGACCTTTCAATTTCTCATTTCCTTTTATTGAATCTGAGTGCATATATTCTTCATCAATTGGAGATATAGATCTATCCCCTTTCATATCTCTTTTACTTGGAGACAGTTCAATTGTAAATGCATCGATGTTTGGAGATGGAACAGGTGTTTCAATTTTAGATAATCTACTTTGCGTGATGATCGAACTTGGTCTGTCATGATTGGACATTGGATCAACCGGAAAACCTTCAAATCTATCACTAACAGTGGAAAGTCTAAAATGATTAGGATCAGTTCTACTTGCAAATGATCGCAAATGAATAAGGTGCTCGGGTACATTTTCTTCTGATTCCGGAGCTTTCTTCTGTTGTCCTTTTTCTGCATTTCCAATTTTGGAAATTGGAGAACTTTCTGCAACCGGTAATGTTTCATTTTCATTCAGAACTACTGCCAAAGTAGACTCTTCATCTCTCGCTTCATGCCTAATAGTCTCCACCTCACTACTTTCGTCATTATTATTTGAATTATTACTGTTATTGGCTCCTTTGTCTTCGATAATGTCATTAAAAGATGACAAGGAGGAAGAATTTCTTTCATGCTTCCTTACAGTATTGGATAACACTGCCAAATCTCCTCTTGGAGGTACTTCGTTTTGTTCATCGTTCAACAACTTCTCAAAAGCACGCCCCTTTTGGTAGTCCACGTAATGATCTTGGTGTTCTTGGCCAAGTTGCCTATTTGGCCTTGGAGGAGAATTGGAAGGTGTCGTATATTCAAGGTCTTCATCTGAAGTGTCGTAAGTAGATTGACGCAGTTGAGGTGATTTTTCTGGAGACTTCTCTGTAGAAGCTGCTTGGAGAGTAGATGCTTGATTTTGCGATTGTTCAAGGCTTGCTGCGGATAAACTTGGTCCGACAGTAGGTACATCTAATTCCTTTTGAACTGGCACTATGGCTTCATCTTCCCTTTTCTCTGGAAGCAGTTCTGTAACAGCTTCCTCTGCGGGTTCCACATCTGACTTCTCTTGTTCACTTACGATAGGATCAACAATAACTTCAGGATGTTCTTCCTCTGGAAGTGCAGGAGTTGAATCTACCAACAAATCTGGTCCTTTTGTTGTAGTTATTGGCAGTACAGCTTCTGGCTCTTCAATAGCCACCTTTGTTTCTTCAATTTCATTCGAATTTCCTTCAAATTTCGGCAGTTGCTTCAAAGGTTCATCCACATGTAAAGTTGGTTCATTTTTAGCCCCCGAGTTCAGTTCAACTGGTTTAGGGCTGACTGAAGAATATTCATCCACAACGGGAATCTCCAGAGCAGGAAGCTCTGTTTTTATACTTTTAACGGGAGCTTCCACATTGTCAATGGGATCTTCTACAGCCAATGTCAATTGAGCAACAACAGAAGGAGTAGCTTCCTCGACAGGTTCTACTGTAATTGGAACTGAAACTTTTTCTCCATTTTGATCTCCCTCTTTTTCGAGTATATTAGTTTGCTCGTCGCTTGATTTCACCTGTTCTACAGGACTTCGTATAATTGCTTCGGGAATTTCAAATTGGGAAATTTTTGAGGAGTTTTCTTTGCATTCGTCAGATTTAGGAAGTGATGATGACGAACCCACAATTTGATGCAGCTCCTCTGATTCAGCAGCATTTTCATAGTTAACAAGGGTGGATTTAACTTCTGCCAATTCTTTATGCATGATTTTAAGCGGTTCTTCAGACTCAATTGTAACTTCAGATGTTACTGGAACCTCTACTTCTGGAGTAGCCAAGTTTTTAGGCGTGATTGCTTCTTCAAGTTCAGGTTGCTGTTTAGCCTGCTCAGCAGGCTTTTCTACAACCTTCTCGAGAGCTGGTTCAAGAACTCTCTCGAATGAAAGTGGTTCTATAGGTTCGTCTAAGACAGTATCAGACTTATCTGCCTTTTCAAGCTTCAATGGTTTAACAGGGGAATCAACTAGATCAACAGTTGCCCCTGACTTCGAAACTGGGACTGTTATTGGGATGGAATGAATTGTCTTTGCAGGTTCCACAGTTTCGTCTATACTTTCAATTTTAGAACTGGTTATGTTTGCACTTGTATTAACAGTGGTGTTGTTCGTTTCATCAATGCTATTATTAATCGATGTTGTAGGAGTATTAGACAACGATCTGTTCAAGTTGTAATTTGATAAAGATGAGGGGTTCGAGTCTGAATTGCTGTGTCCATTAGAACCATGACTGCTGCTCGTAGTAGCATTTCCAGCGCCGCTGGCACTATTGTTGTTATGGTCTTCAAATGAAATCATTGACAGCGATCTGACAATGTTGGTGGATTGATATATCACCCTTGTAGGTGAGGTATTATTACTACCGTTGTTGTTTGCGGGCGATTCAATGCTAATATTCGTTGGAGTGTCTATTGTGCTTGCCCGAATGGACTGGACCAAGTTAATCTTTTTCATGTTGTTCACGGAATTCGACTTTGTCAAGAAGGAGGGAGATGAAGTAAAGGATGTCATCGACAGTGATCTGGGAAGTGTAGCAGATGGGCTGTTGGTGGCATTGTTCGACACAGTAAGTATGCCATCTGGCGCATTGTTACCAACATTTGAAGATGGCGACGGAGTGCTAGCTTTACTAGCCGGACTGTTACTGTTGATAGCTCCCTGTATTTCGCTGAAACTACTCTTTGTGCTCAAGTTGAGCTTTCCAACCTTGCTTGACTTGATCAGGTTCAATGCTGGGATCTTTGGAGCAATGATATCTCCGTTAACTTGCACAACTTTCTTCTTCGGCGGACCAGTGTTGGCGTTTGAGTTTCTCGGACGGAACACTTCTCCGTTCGGGAAGTAGTAGATCCCCTGCTGCTTGTGGAAACCTCCTCCTGGCGACGATGTTGCAGCCTGGGCAGGCTTAGGGGGCGAATTGTTAGGAGGCGATACCGACCTAGGTTGCTTCCCATTTGTGATCTGCGTAGGGGTCCGTTTCATGGCCTTCTTGGAAAACTTGTCTTCGTTCCCCATCAAATGTTCTATCGATGTGTTTCTTATGAGGTTGGATGACTGGTTCGTAGATATCGAGACATTGGATGTCATGGAGTTCCTACGAGACATTTCGGGATTCGCCTGTTTTCCGGATTGTTGTTTTCTGTTTATTTATAGTGGGTAAGCGAGTGACTGGGGGGGAGCGGCCGGTGTGATTGACTCGCTAAATGGCGATTGAGCGCTGGCAGGTTTCTACTGGTAGGTGAGAAATCACAAAGAAAACCCGCACAATATTTATGAAAATAAACAAATGAAAAGAAGAAGCGAATGAATGGTTAAAAACTACCTGGAGACTGTTATTTTTTTACTCTTCCTTAACGCTGTATTTTTTTTTTTCTCCTTTACTTAGAAATTTCAAGAATCGAGGTGGCAGGAAGAAAAATTGAGATTAAGGTAGCCTTATTTGTGCATACACAGTTGTGCATGCAGAGCGAAGTGCTTAGGTTATTAATATTTTCTATGGGAATGAGCTGGATTTTGACCGAGACAATTGGGATTATATGCATGCAGAAGGAAAAAAGTTGACAAAAATATGTAGAAATCGATTTGATTACAGGAGAGATGCATGAGGGAGGATAGACTGTAGAGGTAGGTAGCAGTGAGAAGCAGGGCCTTGGTTCAAGGGGAGAGAGAGAAAGTCGCAGGGGAGTCAGAAAGAGCACTTCAAAAGTATACATAACACCTTGCACACGGCGACACGTACAGGTTGTTGTTTTTCTTTTTTATTTTATTTTATTTTATTAGTTTATTTTTCATGTTGTATCTTACTTAGGCGTGTCGTACAGTCGTAGTTGAAGGATAATATTTTTTGGTGTGATATTAAACTTGTTATTTTTGCATAGGTTTTTATTTTCGTTTGGATATTTTGTTTTTAAACGAGGCAGGAACTCACCCAAAGTTTAAAAAAAGAGTCGCACTATTTCCCACTCATGTAGGGGAACACCTTAAACTAATTTGCATTAGGGTGAAAATCGCACCAAAAGGGAAATATTAAGCTTTTAGTTGATTCGTTCATTGAGCTTTAAAACTGGGCCTTTTTTTTTTTTTTTTTGGCTTTTTTTTTGTACTGGTTTACTTGCTTCGTTTCATATAGTAATAGCCTCTTTCTTCTTTCTTTTTGTTTTATCTGCCAATTTACGGCCCCTGCGGTTAGGAGCTTGCCTACTTCTTACAGAGATAGCTTGCTTACTACTTATTGTGTCGTTGCCCTTACGGGAGCATCTGCACTATCCTACGTTAAATTATGCAGAAGCTTATGCATACGAAAAGATAACAATCCAAAATCAAAAAAAAAAAAGAAAAGTAGAAAATCTCACTGTACAACTAGAAGCGAATAAAGCTTGCAAATAATGAATGTGTGACTTCGACAGGGGATACAGTTAGAGAGCCTCAACCTTGAACAATACCCTGCTGCTGGCTATCCAAATTCCAGCTGAGGTTCTCCCAGTTACTAACTTTTTGAATAAGATCACACCGTACATTCCACAACTGCATACAATGTGAAGAATTCCAGGGGTACCTAAAAAACACCTTGGCTACGCCCAAAGGTGGAAGATTCGATAGGAGGTGTAAAAAATAAAAATACGACTCTCTCTCTCATAGTGACAATCAATATTTTCTAGACTGGAGGAAAATAAAGGTACTAGACTTGGGCATTCCGATTCTTCATCAAGAAGTAGAAAATTATTTTCAGTTGGGAGAGGAGTAACTTAGTATGGGGTAGAATGTCATAAGAAACAAACTATTGATAACAGAATATCTTTTACCAAAAACAGCGATTATTACGTAATATATGATGAATACTTTTCTACACAACAATAGGCTGCAATTTATGATTTTTCACGTTCAGCAGCGTTAATTTCAATGCTGGATACTTCTCTCATTCTCTCTATTCTATTACTTTCTTTGTAAATGAACGCAATTTGTGATTTTGTTTTTGGGGGATTAAAATGGGTGCAAAATAATATAGAGTGCCATTGATTTGGCTCTTCCAGCATTCTGGTTCCACAGTTTCAATGAAATACACTAAATTAATTGCTATCATTTTCGTAATGGCTAAAGTACTATGCGATGAGGGTCCAATACTTAAATCTAAATTGTTACTTCAACCGGGAGAGTTTCAAGAGAGTGAAACGACAAAGACGCTGAAAGCATTCAGGTATATGGACTTAAAAAACCTCAGGTATACTATAAATGATAACACAATGAATGTGCTACCTGGAAAGAAGGATTTGAAATCCGATGTTACAATCAAAGAGTCCAAAAATAGCAAAGAGGAAGAGGAAGACGACTTCGATACGTGCGATGATATCGACAATACGGAAGTAGATACAGATGAATTTACAGAGAGTGTTCCATTGTCAACTACCATTATATCCAAGAAGTCTTACGTTGACCAGTTTTTCATTTTCCTTAAGAATGAAAACAATTCTGTCTCTGCTGCTGAGAACAAAGGGATAGTAAACAAATATATTGATCCCAAATCGACCGAAGGGATGCTAAAATCTAAAATAAAGAGTTATGGCAACCTTATTTCTAACGACAAGGATTTGAAACAGTACACGGAATTACTCGTCAAGGAGAACAGTGACGAGGACCCAAAGTATGACGATATTACCTATAAGAAGTATGGCCCTAACAGATCTTTATCTCAAAATTCCAAATTGTACAAAGCAAGTAACCTTTCAGATATTGATATTGACAAATTTTGTTCTTACTTACGTCTGCAAGGATTCTCTGATACTGAATTGGGGTTTTTATTTAAGCAAAATTTGAACTATGGATTTGACGAAATCGAAAGTGAATTGAAAAAGATTGAAGAAGAGAGATCGAAAAAGGCGCCAACTACAATAATTCAAATCGGGGGAGAAGAGGGTATCGCAAACAATGCAAATGGTAAACCAACGGCTAAGTTGCATTACATACTTATTCTGTTATATATCATATCGTTCGTACATTATAAATTTTAAACACCAGCAGCCCTAATTTGGATTTTTACCCGTAGTTCCAGCTAAGACATCAACATTTGTACTAGACAATCTCCACAACAACATCATCATAATCAGTTGATATGGCTCAAATTCTTCGCCTAACTTAGCAATGTAAACATCATGATATGGGGTCCAATCTCTCTTTCCTTTGGATGCGGCAAACTTGGATTTTCTACTTAACAATTTCGTAAGCGCTTCGTCTTTTTTCACTTCTTTCTTAATCTTTTCTAATAGAGACTTTCTTCTATTTAAGTATCTATAAGAGCCTCTTGCAACCCCCAAGTCATCAAATGCAAAAACGTTGAATCTGTTCAAAGTAAACGTCAAAAACATCTTAATAGACCATGGACCAATACCCTTCAATAAGATCAATTCTTCGGAAATTTCCTCATCGCTACTATTCTCATAGAACTCTAATCTAGCCAATTTATTATCCTTTGGATTTATGAAATGTTCACTAATATTTTGGACATATTCAACCTTCTTATTGGACAACCCTGCACCTCTTAGTTCCTCATGAGTTTTCTGCAACACTAATTCAGGTGTTGCATTTTTTGTTCCTTCAGGTCCAAACAACATATTGAACTTATTTTCAATTGAAAGAGCAGCAGCCCCTGATACCTGCTGACTTATAATACCCGATATAAGCGCATACCAGTACAGCTGGAGGATGTCTGCCTCTGTCTGGGGTACCTTGGTGTCGGTAGAACCAGCGACTGCATATAAAGGAAAATTCTTATACACTATAACTGGGTATAAGGTGGGGTCGGTTTTAATGATATGTTTAACACCGTCGATGAACTCTGGACGATGAAACTCAGCAAATTCTTTGGGTAAACTCAAATCTTTGGGAACAATGATATGACCTAAAGCATCTTCTAATTCTACATTAACCTTTTTGGGCGAAGCATTTTTCTTCTTGGAAGGAGAAGAAGGTGGGGTCTTGAATTCTTCTACTACCTCATTAGTAAGAACAACTTTCTTTTTTTGTGTTGCTTTTGTCGGCTTCAGTGGACTTCCAATTACAGTATTCACTGTTTCTTTCTTTATTGACTTTGAAGTAATGGATCTGGTGGATCTAGTAGCAGCAACCATTAGTGTATGTGATCTTTTGTTGAATATTTGAAGCATCAACTGAAGAATGAAGAGAGGAAAGAGAGTGAGATTTTGTAACTCTCTGTAACTCTCGTGAGGCTTGGAAAGAATTTCATGAATTGGGCAAATGCATCATCCTGCATACCAAATGTATAGAAGGCTAATGCTTAGATAGAGTCTTGAGTACTTTTAGTTAGCTAGTGATTTTCTAAGACATGAAGTGCTAGGGAATTGCTGCTATAATTCAGTGATTTCTTAAGGTAGGGAGTAGTGCGCAATTTCTACGGAAATTAGTATTGGTGAACACTTTATTCTTTAAGTGATACTTATGTATATATAACTTAGATGTGCTTGTATAATATGTAATTCCTTGAAAAGGAAACTGGCCAATAAGTCACTGCATATTTTGCAAAGCAACCTCTAAATAAATTACTTCAATTCCCTTTTAATTCAATGAAGTTGCTATTGGTGAACATAACAACGCTGTTTTTCTAAAATAATCGTATCTTTTAAATCAATAATCCTAATCTCATCTCCACTTTCAGTTGAGAAAGTTGCATTATTTAGTTGACCTTCTGCAGATTTTTTGAGTTCTTCGAGAAAACCATTTGATTGGAATGGCTTTACCAGTGGGTCATACGTTCCAATTGTAATATGTGGATAAGTATTCGAAGACTTTATTCCTTGAATTTCAACTTCAAAAGATGAATCATAGCTTTTCAAGATTTCGACTTCAACACACACAAGCTTATTCTTCACCAAAACTATGCTTTTCAATTTAAGGTCAGTGTAAACATCAAAGTAATGGATAGAGTCTAGTTTACCGTCGAGTTGAAATATTCCCTGCAAACTTTTCCAAATCTTCTTCTTCTCCACATTTACTTTAGAATCCAATATATGAGATAAGGTGACATGAAACTCTTCTTGAATTCTTGAGCTAGCAATTGTTGACCAGGTTTCAGCAAAGCCTGCACTCTCATTAGCTAATGAACTTTCGATTAATCGAATCAAAGAATCTTTGTCTGATATTCTCACCCCGTAATATGAAGGTTTCGGAGAATTTTTGGCAGTCTTGAAATCTTTATTTCCAATTGTAGCCTTTGGATATGCCGATGAAGATGATCCCTTATTGGGGATGATTTTAGTAAAAGTTGGGGTGTACAAGAGTGCTCTTTGAAAGCTTTCTTCGTATTGAGATTCTGTTGGAATATATGGCAACAAACCAGGGTACTCTTCGTTTAACTTCGAAACAATAACTTTAGCATTGTCTAAGGATGATCGATTTTCACTCACTTCCAAGTTTATAACTAAGTCAAATTTACTGTCTGGTTGACGTCTAGTATTTAAGGGTTGATACCTATTGATGAACCCATTCATGATTGCTTTTGCTAATTCTACTCCCTTATCACCCTCGGATTTAATGGATTGATGATTATTACCTCTTTTTACTACTCTATTATATGTAACATTCCACCTGGTTTCATCATCTGGACTAACAAAATTACAGCAAATGAATTTGATACCAACTGTTGGAAGTAAAAATTTTAATTTGTTTGTTTCGAAGTTATCGAACAATTGCGTTCTTTCTCTCCACATATGGTTGTTACGATCACAACATACTATTTGAGTTTTAGAATGAGCCAATTCATTTAAGCAGCTATCTACAAATTTAAATTTGGATTTTGATCCAATATTATCGTTTTGAACGTGCCCTATTAAACCTGGTGGGAACAGGTCAACCAATGTTTGAAAGGTTGTCGTTTTACCACAACCAATGGTTGCAATTGGTATTAAGACATATTTGAATTCATTAATAGGCATTTCAACTGTTCCATCTAATGCATCCAACTCTAATAAGTCCATACCCCTTTTCCCGCAATACTCGGTAAATAATTCTCTTACTTTGATGATACCTATTCCTCTTTCATATTGCTCCGCCATATCAGGATGCTCTTTAAACAATCCTTCAACAAAATCAATATAGTGATAAGATAAATACCTGTGCTTCTTGACTTCGTATTTAACCAATCCAACGTCTCCAGTAGAGATGTATCTCTTGGTGAGTTCTCTGAATTGTCTATATAGTAAGTAAGGCTCTTCAAACTTGTACTTATAGAAGTAATCTTCGTTCTTAAATTTAGTTTTACAACGGATGACAAAACCCTCAACTTCTTTACCCTTGTAAGTGCCTGTCTTGGAGCAGTTCTCAAAGAAACTTTGTAGTTCGTCAAACTTCTCAATTTGAAAGTTTTGAATCTTGTGGAATTGAAACTCGTCTGCAAATTGCTGAACCTCTTCCATGGGACATGTTTTGAATTTCACAGTGTTATAGTTCAAACCATGCAAATATAATCCTGCCTCTCCTTCGTCCCTGGAATAAGGCAAGACGTGCTCTTCAAAGGAATCGTCACATAGTTCTGCGACAGCAGTTAGATTTTGCGTGTAAAGTCTTTTAGCTAAAGCTTCTACAGAAATGCCATTCTCTCCCAATTGCTGCCTGAGCTCATATTCTCCACGAGAAGCATGGTTTCTTGTCATACCCTCTCTACTACCTAACAGATGTTTCGAGGTAACTACGATGGATCCGTCTTCCAAGCCAGCTATGAATATAATACATCCATTTTCCTTCAATGTCAATCGGTAAGGACCTATAGTGTTTTCCCTTAGATAGTCTATTTTCGTTTCAGGTACCTCTCCAACATTGAAAAATTTATCATACCCTCTAACTAAAATCTTTTTGCTGTCATCCAAAGTGAATAAACCTCTTGCATTAGTTGGAAGAACTACATTGGGATTAGCATAGTCCCATTCGCTGAATTTCCAAGAAGTCACAGAAAGCCCATTTTCTAAAGTAGAAATATACCTAGTACTTCTTCCATGTTTCTTTAGTTTGAGAGATTCCTCGAGTTTTCTTATCAACTCTTCTTCTTCTGCATTTTGCCTGCTGTCTGATTCGGTTTGCGCAAGAGAGAGATCATCCAAAGGAGAGTCTATATCAGTAGCAACCTCAGATTTTTCCAGGTAAATCGTCGATCGCTCTACAAAGTCCTGACTTCCACTACTAGCCATTCTTTGGTTCAGGGAAAGAAATAGTGACCTGCTGGACTTGATATATACCAGCTCCAGTTCTGCTCTAATTGAAGGCTACAAGCACCGAGATGCATATATGGCTCATCGTAAGCTATATGCAGGTCATTGAATCAGGAATCTGTGCCAATGTGAGTCAGTATAGCTTGTACAATTCTGCGCTGTATGGAGCTTAAGTGAAATAATAAGTCGTACTATCTGAACTGACCATCCTGTACTCAAAATTGTAGAGAGTACATGTCGTATCCCTTTCTTGGAATGGCGCTAGTGTGCTCTTGCGCTTCTTAAAGCTTCTCCTACACAAATCACAGTCACGTGACGGTGTATTGACAGAAATGCCAGACATCAAAAAAGTGAAATTTACAAACAAACAGCCTATCAGTTTGGATTTAACACAGAATTAGCAGGTCATGTCGTTCAATTTTGATATAGATGAGGCCGACGTCGCAGTGCTCACTCAGAACTTAACGAAATCGAAGGAACTATTCAGTTCAATTTCTAAATCTTTGAATAAAATATCGACTAAGTCTGGAACTGCTTCCAAAAAGATTAAGCCGGTCCTTAAACAGGTGAATAGATTAAACGAATCCAAAACAGATATAGAGCTGGGATTGAATCTTGTTGCCGAAGTACAGCAGTATGCATCACAAGCAGCTCAATTCGAGTCGATTTTGAATAGCCCCATTGAACAGAATGGGTTGAAGAAATACTTGTCTACCTTGATCCAGTCCAAGAAGTTACTCAAGGAAATGAAATCCAATGTGGGGGGTTTCAAGGGTGTGTTGGTGAACTTCCAGAACTCAATAGAGAAGAGTGAGTACAGTTTGGTGACATATTTCAGGAGAAATTTGTTGAAAGATGGCGATGTGAATTTGGCGAAGTACGTAAAGCCCAACCAGGATGCAATTGGGCCTGGAGGACAGCAAGCGCCAGGAACAGCAGGGGCACCCTTAGCACCTGCTCAAATACTGACGGTCAAATTGAAGGAAATTGCGTTTACCTTTGACTACTTTCACAATTTGAATCCCGATGATAAATCTTTGGATCAAGCATACATCCAGCAACGGTCGTCATACTTGGTGCAAGCGATTGGCTCGATCGAGAACATCACCACACCTGCGCTGAAAACTAATAAGCAAATCCCCTACGAGCGTGGTTCTAATGGGATTAATATATACTCCAAGATCTTGTGTCGTTTGATCGAGCAAGAACTGCAGCAACTTAATGAAATTAATGAGAAATTGGGCAGAGAGAAGATCGATGTTAACCTGTATTTGTTTGACATTCTTGGTAAGACGTTGAATGAGGTATACTCTAGCCAGATCTTGAAAATCATGAAGTACGTAGAGGCACACATGCAGACTGATAGTTTGCTTGCATTGGAAACAGTTGTTTGTGTCAAAGAAGTAGAAATGACTGTCTTCAAAGTGATAACTGCTACCGGAATCACCACCAATTTCAAGCAGTTTCTTGGCTCATATTTCAATCTAAAGAAATTGTGTCAAACGATATTCTTTGACTTGTTGAAATTTATTGAGCTGAAAATCACTGCATTAGAGAAATTACCCAATGACAATGGTGTGCTGGAAGTTACAGTAGACTTAATGTCTAGGATAAGAAAAGTTAGTGATTTCCGTGAACTGTGCCTAGAAATTGTGTCAACAATGAAATTAGGTAGCTGGATGATGCAGACTCCTAAGCCTAAGTCCATGAGTGTTTTCAGTTCAGTATTGCCCAATGCAGAGGTTCAGGATGAACATGATGCCAGTTTCCTTTTATCATCATATTTCAGTGACTGTATAGATTCTATATTGATTAATTTGGAAATCATTACCAAGCTGGGAGAACTTAGGATTGCTAAAAAATCGGTCCAAGGATACTTTCTTATTACTAATTTAACCCTTGTGGAGCAAATCATCAATAGATCTTCAGAACTTTATAAGAGCTTGGGGTCAATCGGATTAGAGAGATTGAGCAAGTTGAAAAAGAGATTTTTGGTACTATTCTTGGATGATTGGAACTATGCTTCGTATATTATTATTAGAGATATGACTACAATCACAGCTACCCATGCAGCCACCACAAGTACGAATTCATCAGGAAATGCGGTTGCAGCAGCAGCAGCTCCATCATCTTCTGGATCACTCAATAATAAAGAAAAAGAACAAATCAAAGAGCTTTTCAAGACATTCAATGAATCATTTGAAGATGCCGTCAGCAATTATAAAAACTTCAATATTACAGATCAAAATCTTAGAGCATACTTAACCAATGAAATTAAGAAACTTATCATGAATACGTACTTCAAACTATATGACAAATATGGGACCGTTGATTTTACAAAGAATAAGTCGAAGTACGTTAAGTACGATAAAAAGTCGTTTGAAGATGTATTGAATAATACTTTATAGTTCACAAAAACCTAATTTCCTTCACTCATTATTAGGAATGCTTTAATAGCGTATAATCGAGTACTTGCTATGAATGTTCACCTCTTTCTTCAACTTTCCAGGTGAGAGTTTGAATGACTTAAGCCGCTCACAAGAGCTTAGCGTCAAGGCGGACATACTGTGTTGCAGATTTTACCTGCGCTTATGCATATGTCAATGCAACCGTGGGGGATGCACTATATCAAAGTAGTTAACGCGCATAATTTTTTCTCGGGAGTTTATACATTCCTCCACGCTTAGGCATTGATTTTTCTGTCTGCCAAGTTGGCACATTTGCGTGGAGGATTTGAAAAAAAAGCCGAGCATTGGCGCGGGTTGTATTTCTGGAACTGTTTACTGAAGAAATTGGTAACATGGTAAAGCAGAAGAAGGTATAAAGGGTTAAAGAGCTTGAATAAGCTAGTGCTACTTATGATTGTAATTCTTATATTGTCCTCTAATGCATAAAACATTTTCCAATTGTGAAAGATCCCTTCTTTGATTAAAGTGTTGAATTGAGTTCCGCTTTAGGCAGGCGAATTTTTGGCCGCGCTTTTCAAATTACTAAATTGCTGTAGTTTCATTCCCAAAGCGATTACCAGAACAAGATGTCAAATCATGGTAGTTAATACTAGTTCTCACCAATCTTGATTGTCCAGGCTAGTAGCTATACTAGAGGAATCTTGTTTTGATTTATTTCCTGTCCTACTCAATTCTGTACTTTCTAACAAGAAATACATACTATATAGTCTCGTAAGTAGCACGGGTTTAAACAGGCTGAACATTTTTCTTTCCGTTGGCTGCTCGAACTCATAACCCGAAAAAATATTTCTATTTTGGTAAAAGATAATTTAGATTAGTACGTCAAATTTACTTAGTTCAGATGGCACAGTTGTGCCAAGCTATTCGAATTCAAAGGGACGAGCAACAATAAGTTTAAGATTACGAGGCGATATTTGTGAGCAGTCAGTGTAGGTCAGTTATTTTTAGTGCCAAACTACCCAATATGTGGATCTCGTGGTCCCCCGAATAGGGGATTATAGTATGGCCCGGAGAGATTATTTGCGAATACTGGGATAGTATTATGTAAACCCAATGCTTGCACATTGTACGAGTTTTTTGGGGTTCAAGCATTCCAATAGGCATTATGAGTCTTACTCGCTAAATCTACTTCTGCTAGTTGTGCTTTGATAAGAGTGCTTATTTCCTAACTTATGTCGAAAGGTCACAGCTCAGTCCATTTAGTTCTCTCCAAGTTGAAGAACAGTATGCCAGTGTGATGCGAATTGCCCCACGTCAAGCACTAAATTCGGGGATCGTAACCAAAAAGAACAATTTCTTGGCAAAAGTTTATGCAGGTAGACTGTCGATGTGACATATTTTTAGCAGGTAACAGTAAGGTGAAATAATCCTTCAGGCTATTGGGGCAAAATATAGCTCCTAGAACACCATATGTAGAGAGTGAAAGTCTACATTGAATGTATACTCGATAACCTCTATATCTAGAGACATATTCTCTCTGCAAGAACGCTGTAATTTAGGCTTTTTTATCCTTTCTTTCAGTAGCTTTTCCTCGTACTAAGAAGATGAGGCTCTTTTTTTCTTTACATTTTGACATATATGTCACAGTAAGGAACTCCTATAAATGCCAAAAATGGAGAAGCGACATGAAAAAGAAAAAAAAAAAAAAACAATCAAAAATCAAAAAATAAAGTCAAAGATTTTTCTTGGATGCAGCTCGTAAGATCATGTAATTCCTTGTCACCTTCGCTATCGAACAGTCATTCTCTATATAAAGAATTAAATCCCTGTCATGTAACAATTTCTCTTTTTTTTGCTTTTCATATAGATATCGTCATAGCATCAATAAAAATCTTGAATATGAATGTAAATCAATTATTACACCCTATAGGACCCCCAAGGTACTCAAAGGTATCTCTCCCATCAATATCAGATATACTCTATGACTTGCCTCCACCAATACCAGTTTATCCTCCCCCAGAACTGAGAAACTACTACTTGGGAAGAATAAGCCCTCCTCCAATGCCTAACCATTCTCAAGCTCAAGGCTTACCACACATGACATTGCCCCCACTTAGTAGAAATAATCTGCACTATTCGAGTGTGAATGTGAGAGAACACCACCATTCACCTGCTACACATCATATACCCATGCGCACATCCTCATCTTCATCATCTGTATCATCATCATCGTCTTTAGACCACAGCCACTCGCATCACAATCACCACCAACACCTGCCTACATCACCAAACGCGCAAAAGAGGAAAACAAGAAACAATTTACCAAAAGAAACTACATATATTTTACTTAAGTGGTTGAATGAGCATCTTAACCATCCGTATCCAAACTCTTTCGAGAAAAACCAGTTAATGTTGCAAACTGGCTTGAATCAGCAGCAACTTTCCAATTGGTTCATTAATGCTAGAAGGAGAAAAATAAAAGTCTTAAAGAGAAGCGAAAGTTCCGGTTGAACCCCTATATTTTTTTTCTAGCATATTCAGCTTTGCTGTCTTTAGATTTCCTCCAATGTGAAATTGACACATTTATGACAGAAAACCTTAATCGGTCTTTATTGTGTGCTACATTGCTTGGCATGCCAAGAACTTCATTAAAAGGAGATGTCGCGACCGCATTGAGTGCGGCGTGACACTTTTTGATCTGGCTTTATTTATTTTCCGAAGTACCTTCTGACTATATAAACATATATGGTAAAAGTATTTAATACAAAATTCTTAGATAAATATTCGAATGAATGAAGCATTGTATAGTCATTCTCTTTAGATTTTGGCCAATTGACCAATCCTTTATGTGCATCCATTAGCATCTTAGGGATGGCTTATAACTGGCTCATTTTGTTTTTTCTTGGAACTTTGAAATTCAGCTTTTTTTTTTTTTTTTGCATTTTCTTTGTTGCATCGAAAAAAGTCTTGGCATAAATTTTAAACTCACTTGCATAACCTTAAACTGTCAAAAGCAAGGACACAAGACAAAAATAAGTGCAAGTTTATATTTCACTTCAACAAGATGTTTGCTATCAATAAGCAATTCAATATTCGGAGCGCTGAACTCAATAGACAATTACTTTCAAGAGTAGAATTGACTTTTGGGGCGACACATCCTCAAGCTTTACACTTTTGATTTGGAGGAGAGGTGAATGTGAATTATTTTCCAGTTCTATTGAGTTAGATGAACAAATACGAGAGCGGCAAAAAGAGTTTTCGCCCAGTAAAAAAATAAAACTATCTTCATTTGAATAAGCCTACTTATGACATGTTCGTAACGTGTGGCTTGCCCAGACTGTCAATAATTTCTTTTCATTGTGCGCTTATATAATAAAATTCAGAAGCAGTCAAAAATAGCTTTGTGTAAGATCCAGCTGTGTGCAGGCGACCACTTTGGTCACATTGACTTACACCTCTCTCTCACTATCTACAGGAATGGCTTTCCTCATACATTGAGTAAGAACCTGTGGTTAACAGCGAGATCTGCAGGTCGGGCTCAGGGCCATTCTTATAACTCTATACAGCGCCAACATGGATTTAGTTCTTCTCTTGTTCCTGTCTCTGCCTAGTTATTTATTTGCATCTATCTCATTCTTTATTTAAGTGTTTAATACCATAACTCAACTACGGAGCGCCTTCAATCTTTCTGCTAACTTATCCTCCTTCTCTTCTGATATAACCGCAGATGGCGGAGTAGAAATATCAACCTTTGTTGCATTCAATCCTTGCTTCATTTCAATACCCGCTTCATCAGCCAATTGGTTCATTAACTCGTCCACATCTTCCTGTGGAGTCGTTAACGCACTAACGTTGTTTGTCGCACTCTCGTAGTAATTTGTCAGAGCATCCAAGTCTTCAAACTGGGTCTCAAACTTTTCCATAACCATTGAAATTCTTTCCAAATTCATGGTTTGCAAGGCTCTGTCCATTCCCTTTATTACTTGAGTCATGTTACCGGTAACTGATCTCATCGTGACTGCTGTTTGCACTCTGGATGCCACAGCATCTATTCTAGAAGCTAATCTTAATAAATTCACCCTTTCGTTTGATTTTCTGATGGCATTCTGCGCATACAATTGGGCAATATCATTATTACCCTGTGTCATTGCCTTCTTCGTCTTTGCCTTTTCCTGGAGCTCCTCCTTAGCTGCTTTGCTTGCTTGCCTATTAAGCTGCTTTGCTGTAAATTTCAACTGAAATAATGATTGCTCAAGTCCTGCCATGTCTCTGTAGTCTGTACTGCTCTTTGAAGATATTCGGAGGGCGTTTTTTTTTATTGCCTTTAATCGTAGATAAAGAATTAAGGTGAGCCGGAAAACCGGGCGCTATATACAGGAATATCATATGTCTGTACGAAGAGGTTGCAGAATGATCAGTCGACTTACAGGGGCCATCAATTTTCACGTAAATGTCGTCGTGATTGATTGGAATATGTTACTGTAAGTAATTTCCAACATTAAATGTCTTGCAATAAGAAAAGATGTTACAAAATTCTTGTCTTTCTTAATGTTCAACAGAGGTTCTCACTTTTCAGAGTCCCAGACTTAGCATTCCACTGACGTTATGTTCTTGTACTTACTTTTGATTGCTTTTTATTGAAATTTATCTATCATTAACCAATATACATTTTTACCATTAATCAAGATCAACCTCTGGCATATCCGTATCATCCAGATTGCTCTCTTCATTACTGTTTGCGGCATTAGCTGGTCTATTGGTTCCATTTGGACGAGTTAACTCCTCACCATTAACCGCTATTCTAGCACCATTTCCCATTAAGCTCTCTAGCCCTTCTGCTACATAGTCTGGTAGTAAGTTCTGAAGAACATTACTAACCACCCCACTACGGCCATTACTTGTGCCGGTATTGGTGTTCGCGTTATCTATGGCAGAAGCTATTCCAGAAATTATTTGTCTATAATTTGGACCCGGTGCTGCAGTTCCTGGAGTCAGAGTAGTGGTAGCTGTAGCTAAATGTGGTTCCGCTTGCGACACAGTAGGTTGGCCTTGCTGCCTTACTCCTGATGCTCCAGGAGGTGTGGCTGCTGCGTTGCTGCTTGAACTAGTAGATATCCGAATCACATTACCACCTGGAGTAGTGTGAGTAGTGTGAGTAGTAGTGCTTCTTGTAGTTCTATTGACAGATTCACCTGAGCTATTAGTGTCACCATTGTTGATAGAGTCACCACTAGTGTTATTTTGGAGGTTGGTATTCATCCTATTCATAAACTGCTCAACTCTACTTAAACTAGCCACCGCTGGTTGGAACGGATCCCTCCCTTGTCCTCTGCCGCCTACAGGTTGAGTAGCAGGCCTTGGAATTACAGTTTCAATACTCATTGGAATTGCCGTGGCCTCAATACTACTGTTCACTAATAGGTCTTGTGATGCATCAGAATTCAAAATGCTTGGATTGAGTCGGTTGTTCCTTTCAGCTAACCTTCGAATTTCATTACTAGTTCCATTAATGTTATAATCCAAGTCATAGAAGTTTTTATCTTCAGTGGAAAATTCGTCTAAACTCCTGACCACTTCTTGAACATAATTTACAATGTTATCGATATCGTTCGCCGGCAACTTTTGTTGCCTAGCTCTTCTTTCACAGAGTTGAATTGACTCTAGTAACCTTTGGACGAACTGTGGCATTAATGTCTGTGCAACGGCCCTCTTCCTGGAAAGGTCTTTCTCATCATATGCAACGTAGCACTTTAATGCCTTTAAGTAACATTTCAAAGAGATCATCAGCGAGCCCATGTACAAATGGCAGTATGCCAACTGAGTCCATCCTGTAGTGAAATTGGAATCGTACGAGACTGCCAAGTTAAGGTCGTCAATTGCTTCAGGAAAGCAGTTCATTCCAATATATGCAATTGCACGATTAGTAAGCAATTGTGGAATCTGATGTACCGTAGTTCTGGAGATCTGTGCCGCTTTAAATGCTTCTGTGTAGATCTGAATAGCCTGTGGGTACGATTTATTGACCATTAAGTTGTTCCCAGCTTCACGGAGCCTATAGATGGATTGAAGTGCTTCTTGCGAAGAATCTGGGTTGCTTTTCTTTGCAATTGTCAACACTTCAACCAACTTTTCAAAATCTTGTTCAAATTGAGTTCTGAACTCAGTCGCTCCGCTATCTCCTTCATACCTTTTACACAACCTCTCAACTACCAGTTTAGAATGGGTGGTTCCTACCTTTCCGTAGAGCCACTGCAAGCCTTCCAGTAAGTATCCCAAATATCCTGAGTTGAACTTCGAAGCAAAAAATATGTCGAATACCTTCTTAGCGTATACTTTTTCATACGTGGAATCAAGATCTACAAGGGCACTGTTCCTAGTAGCAAAGTTAATGTGGTCAGAGCCGGTGTCTCTCTTCGTTGTGGATAAGTCTAAGACCGTCTCGGTCAGCGATGGCTTATGCGGAGTCACAGTTGCGACACCAAGAATAGTTTCTTGAACTACAGCAATATCGTCTTCTTCCTCCTGAAATGGTCTTGTTGCCATCGGTAAGACGTATGTTAGCACATGTCTAATATCGTGAGTATGAGAATCAGCGTCAATCTTCTCTTCAATCGATGCCGATGGTGAAGCAGAAGTTTCTTCTAATTTTGAAATGAGATTGTACAAGGACTGTTCAATACCTAGACAGTAAGAATAATCAGTAATTGTCATGTTGCTCTTGCTATATCTACGAAAGAAGTGTAGCACCCGTTAAAGAACACTAAACTTTTCAGAGTTTCCGGAATCTTTTTATTTTTCGGCCCAGTCCAGAAGCGGAACGCTCACTAAAGAGCCTAGAGATTGGCGATAGCTCACTAAAATTGGCCTTAAGATTGGCGATCGCTCACTAAAATTAGCCTAGAGATGGGCGATCGCTCTCTAGAGAACCTAGAGATGCAACTACAGCCCGAGCTGAATATATGCGTCGACATCCCAAAACATTGCTATGATACCAACCTGAAAACCTGGCAAATCTTTTTAGTGCATTATTCTGCGTGCCTCACCACTGTCTGTCCATTCTCCCTGCCAGCTTCTTTGCTTCCCTGCCATTCACTTGCTCGAAGTGCAGCACTCGCGCAACTGTGATTTTCTCGGTACGCGGGGTTTTTTCAGTCCCCAAATATGGATCATCTCTTCGTGCACCATTTCCCCGGACTCTTAACTCTTCTCCTTCATGCTGAAACCTAGCCTACACACAGTTAATGTTCTCTAAATCTCATAGCCCCTCATCCAAGGATAATGCGCCTCCATTTTCTCCAGAAAATTTGTACACACCGGAAAATTGCCAGTCTCCGGCCAGAATCAAGTCCTTCCTTCGTCTCTCTAGATTCGCCACTGATGATACCATAAGAGAACATATAAATGGTGACAGTAACCATTGTGACCACTATTTTCAAACCAAAATTGTCCCTCAATGGAATCTCAGAAGCAAGTTGATCCAATATTGCTCAGACTATGCAATTGAATTGCACCAGACAACCCAATTGGATAAGATCCATGTGGAGCTAGACCCCTCCAATCTTGATGTGAGACTTGACCCTTATGCGGTAAAATCGTACAATGACAAATTTGAAGATCGGTTTGCCCAAAGCAATGGCATTAGAAACTGGACTCAGAACGAGTTGACCGTGGAATCCATCGTAAGAGATCAAACTGTATCAGTTTTGAACGATAAATGTAGCTATAAAGATTGGATGGGCCAATTTAAAGAGGCCCAGCGAGAATCGAAGAAACCTCCAAGGCGCATGTAAGTCATAGAAGGACATAAAAAAGAATAATGAACACAATTTAACAGAAACATAAAAATACTTCGTACTTTAAATTTAATGTATATAGCTAAATAATATGAATGAAAAATTTAGAATGAGCCGACACTATCGCTCTGTAAATGGGTCTATGTTCTCAGGATTTCTCAGCTAAGATCTTCCTTTTAGCAATCTTTCACAGACTCTATTCAATGCCATAATCGAACAATGGTTCGTTCTAATCTATTTATGTACAGCAGCTGCTGCAGCATATGCAAATTTACTAATTGGTTTTTGTGTAGGCGATATACTTGAAGGTGAGCTACTCTCTGATCTCCTTAACTTGGGAGGCGCCTGTTTATTGCCTGCTACACCCGTCTTCTTGACGTTCTTCTTGACCTCGTTGCTGCTTGGAACCTTTTTGGTGCTTGGCTTTGCTTGCTGCTTTTGATTCTGCAGTGGGGTCTGTTGCTCTTTGGACACCATCTCCTTGGCCATAAGTAAACAGTCGATCCACCCAAAATTCTGACCTAGTTGAATTTCGGCACCATTCTTCTTCACAATCTTCACAGTCTCAGTTAGTGACAACTTATCCAAGCCGGTGATTTTCTTAAGAAATATCAAATCCCCTCCTTCTCTGATTAATTCAATAATGAGATACCCATCTTGTAGACTAACGACATCATCATTTTCATCGCTATCGCTGGCATTCTCAAATTCGTAATCGTACATCAGGTAATCGCTTCCTTGGTTAGCCTTCAAGTCTATTAACATCACATTTAAGCTAGCATCTATAAAGAAAACTCTGGCCAAATTTGTTACTACTGTAACCACTGGAACGGAAGATTTCTTCAATTTATACTGATGCTGTTTAATTAAATTATCAATGACCGAATCGTCAAGTGATTGGCTGGGTTTTCGCTTCAATACTTGGTGATTTAATTGCAGTTTCAAAATCGTATCCATTTTTAAGATCTTTTCGTTCTCAAGTAAGAGACCTGATATCTCCAGCAATGTAATCGCGTGTGATACAATGGCTGGTTTTGAAACTGGTTTTGAAACTGGAGCCGGAGGCTTTTGCGATTGTGGAGTAGAAGCTTGGCTGGACGAAGCTGTATGGATCGGAGTTGGCGGTAACTTGGGCAAATTCTTTGAAATGGGCTGTTGTTTATAAGAAGGATTACGTTTAACAGCTGGGGCAGCTGTCTGTTGATTGGATTGCGGTGGATCACTGTTTGATTGTCCAAATTGTCTTGAACTGCTGCCTGCAGCAGCTAATGCAGCAGCACTTGCTGGTGACCCAAAAGAGGTGTTGTTTCGTAAGTTTACGTGATGGGGCATTTTTGGTGACTGGGTGTTTTTAAAAGAGGCCAACTGAGGTGATTGAGGAGGAGTTTTGACTGCCGTGTTAGCATTAATTCTCTGTGATATGACAGTAGAAGGGGCACCACCATGATTGATATTGTTTTGAGAGGGGCTATGTGGAATGTACATCTGTTGTTGCATTTGTTGAGTTTGTTGCTGCTGAAGCATTTGCTGAGTTTGCTGATGTTGTTGCATTTGCTGAGTTTGCTGATGTTGTTGCATTTGCTGAGTTTGTTGTTGTTGTTGCATTTGCTGAATTTGTTGCTGTTGAATTTGTTGTTGTTGTTGTTGTTGTTGTTGTTGTTGTTGTTGAGGTGGACGGAATACTTTCTTGCCAACCATCATTGGTACAAATAAATCAGATTTTTGAATCTGTGTATGCAACTGCTGGTATGAATTCGACTTGTTGATATTTCTATTTGAACCATTTTTCAACGTCGGAACAAAATTACTTACTGCTTTAGATGCAACGTATGGTTCAAACCTTGGAACTTTCCTGCCCCAAATATATCCCTGGTCATCCCATTTTACATCTTTGAACCATGGCATTGCCATGATCTGCAAGAGAGATGGCCTATTTTGAGGCTCTACTTGGAAAATCTCGTCAATAATCCCAGAAACTTGTGGGCTTAATGGAGTAGGGTAACTGAAATCGACATTTATAATTTTTTCAAATGTTAAAAACTCAGTCGTACCCTTAAATGGTGGATTTCCGTTGAAAAATTGAAACAAAATACACCCAATGGCCCAAATATCCAGTTCCAAACCGCATGTATTGTACTTAAGTAATTCTGGAGAAACGTACTCAGCAGTTCCGACAAAGGAACCCTTGGAACTCTGCGGAGGCGGTGGTGGAGTTGGAGTACTGTTACTGTCCTGGACGCTGCCATAGTCTATTTTCTCACCCTCCTGCTCGTCTGTGTCCATCAACTTAGCGGCACCGAAGTCTGTAATTTTCAAATTGAAATCATACCCCACCAAGATGTTCTCTGGCTTCAAATCTCTATGAATTATGCCCTTCAGATGGATGAATTGGACAGCGTCGATGATCTGGCACATGTAAAACTTCAGCACCAGTTCCAGTAATGAGCCAAACTTTCTTATGATCAGGAGTAATTCCCCATACTCCGCAAAGTCCAACACGAAGAACAACGACGAGTCGTCTTGGAATGTATAGTACAATTGGACTATCCCGGGGTGCTGCTGGCCAAGTCTGTGTAAGGTAATTTTTTCAATGTTTACGTATTTGATTTTGTCTTCCTTCACGATGTGCCTTTTGGACAACACCTTTATGGCGTATGTCTTATTGTTGTGGATGTCAAGCGCTGAGAACACAGTGGAGTACGAACCCTCCCCAATCCTAGTGCCGAACTTGTAGTCACTCGCCTGTCTTCTACGGCCAGCATTGGAGACTTGGTTTTGATAAGTAGCTCCACTGCTCTGACCCAGACCCAGAGACTGGCCCATTGGCACTGGCAGTCCCAGTGCGACAGTATTTCCGCTTCCCAGCGCTAGGGACACACCCCCCACTTGACCCGGCGACTTTGGCACCTGAGGAGGCAAGTATGCTTGGTTGTTCATATAGAGAAGAAGTTCCTGGTTAGCTATAAAGAACAGAAACAGGAGCTATACAGAAATATGCAACAGATACAGCAAACTTGAAAAAATTCTTCAAGAAGAAACCACCGGCTCCATTTCTGAAACGGTGGTGATTTGTGTTTTCCTTACCCTCAGATTTTCGGTGCGGTGTGCGGTGTGCGCAGCGTGTAGGTGCACACAATTTGGCGCACATGAGAATAGGAGCGGTACGAATTTGACAGAAAAAAAGCTTAAAAGATAGTGGGGCGAGGAGAGAAGAGACGGAAGCTGGAGACGAGTGAAGAAATTTGAAAAGAAGAATGGCTAATAATTTCGGTTTGGAGGTGGAAATCATTGTCGAGTAGAGCAATTGGTGCGTTTCACCATCAAGAAGCACTTGTTTGCTGGGATATGTTGCTGTTAGAGATGCTAGCGGTGCTTAGTGCGCTACAGGTATTTTCCGAATTGTTCGGTGGTGGTTGCATAAAAATCGCGGATTGAAAAGTTAGGAAAGCGTCAGAAACGTAGCGAAATGCTACTGTGCCGTCTGACAGCTGCTAGGCAGAGGCTATGGGGAAAGGGACTGCAAAACGAGCACGGCGACGACAGAGAAGGGGAATATAGATCTGACGAACAAGGAAGCTGCTAGCAGCTGCTGGCAGCTGCTGGCGAGTATCTGTGCTCCGCTTCAGTGCGTTTGGTCCTGATCCCGCATATTTCCCAGCTACAGCTATGTGCTCCCCGATAATGCATCCTAAGATTTACCAGTGAAGCCAAAAAAAAAATAATAACAGGTACGGTATGCAAGCCGGTGCCCACTTAGCTCCAAGACTGAAAATCGCTACAGAGCATGCTTTCTAAATCTAGATAACCTTCCAGTATGGCGTTCCGAGGGTGGCTGCTAGTCGAACTTTGGTAAGTCTACCATCACGTTGGGATCATCAACCACTTCACCATCACCTCGATTCGCACGTTGAAATTTCCAGCTTTCTTCGTTAACGGATGACGTCATGGAAGCCCGACCACCCAGTGCTTCGTCAGTGAGTCGCGGCTATACGAACCACCATAGCGCTCCGAACAGCGAGAGAACAAAGCTAAGACGGATGCAGTCAACGTAGCAGCTAAAACAAAGTCATTGGAGAAGTCATGAGCTCGATACCCAGATTATCGCAGCATGTAGGGAGTATGCAAACGGAAAGCTCCTCAGTATTCTTTTTCTGAGCAGCTCGACCTGCTTTCGCCGTGTGAGCAAACCTCAGAGCAGCATAAAAGCCATCTCCTGGAACAATGCACAATACAATGCAAGAAAATAATTCAAACCTAACCACCTTATGGACCACCCTTCAGGCAGACTTCCCCTGTCATTTCGCTCTTTGCAAAACCCAACCCCATCCTCTCGTCAATATGAAATACTCTGTCTATTACTAAACAAACTGTTATCATTAGCTAATCATGCAACCATCCTGCATATGACTCCATGTCTTCTCGAGCGGACCGAATCAAAGTGAAGCGAAAAGAACCGAGACACAACCGAATGGTACACTTACAGAGACAGAAGAGTACACTTTAGACACCGATATCCTTCTATTTTCACAGTTCAAGCAAGTGCTAATGATTTCCTCACTTATCCCGAGGACCAACAAGCGATATCCAACCGTGATACCGAGCTTGATTACCGGTGTGCTACCCAGGAAATCGAGCAGACTCTTTGTGCGATTTTTAGCAACAAGATCAACCTCCAGTCCTGATAAACTTAGGAGTCTATTTGATGACCCGAACTTCTTCAAAGACTTCAATAATTCTTTGAACACCTACAAATTCGACAGAAAAGATGACAAGTTCAGCTCTTTTTTTCAAGAACCAAAATGTGGACTATTCAAGAATCGATATTTAACTTCACCTGAAGGTCTCACACAATTTGCGCTGGAGTCCTTGGAGAAAGCAAATAAAATTGTAGACCTTCTTGTGGAACCGAACCAGTCAGCAGAATCTAAGCTATTATTTATTAGGAGAATAGATCAACTAAGTGACACCTTATGTAGAGTAATAGACGTGGCCGAGTTTATCAGAGTGGTCCACACAGGGGGGAAGTGGATCCTGTCTGCCCAACAAACGCATGAGTCTATGTTTGAATTCATGAACAAATTGAACACAAATGTGGAGTTGTATAGAAACTTGGTTAATATCTTGCAAGACCCAGAAATTTCTGCCCAGTTGACTGATGAGGAGTTGAAAGTGGGAGACTACCTAGCCAAGGATTTTGAAAGATCTGGAATCGATTTGGATTCCCAGACGAGAGACAATTTTGTAAACGTCACTCAAGAGATTTCGCTCATAGGTTCTAATTTTAATAACGGTACTCAGTTATTGGAGAACTACTGGTGCGCTGTTACTTCAGAAGAGTATGCCTCCATCCCACAGCATATTAAGAATCAAATTACAAGGCATTTATTTAAGTCAGGCAGAATAGATTCAAATCATATTCCATTAACAGGAGAAATACCGTACTCCATCTTAACAACATGCAGCAATGAATCTTTGAGAAAGAAAATATGGATCCTGTTGCACTCTTCTTCAGAAGACCAACTCCATTTGTTAAATGGGTTTTTAAAATATAGATCATATCTAGCAGCAATGCTTGGATACAAATCATTCAGCTCATACCAATTGGAACATAAGATGGCAAAAACCCCTGAAAATGTAATGAGTTTCTTGGGTAACTTACAGATTAGTTTGCTCAAAGGAGGGGTTATGAATGAACTTGAAGAATTGTATAAAGCAAAAGACATCCAACACGGTAGCTCATACCCTTCTCCTTCTGATTTAATATCCTCTCTCAAACCCTGGGACAGAGATTACTTGTTGAATATATTGCAAACAAAACACAAGCAAGTCATTTCTTTTTCCGAAATTTCGGAATATTTATCTATTGGAACGGTAATCTCTGGTTTGAATCAATTGTTCACCCTGATTTACAATATATCGCTCATACCTGAACCCACTCAAAGAGGCGAAACTTGGGATTATAATCAAGTCAGAAAATTGAAGGTGTTTGACAATACCTGTGAGAATACCTTAGGATACTTGTATTTGGACTTCTGGTCTCCCAAGGTATTACCATCACACTTTACAATTGTTTGTCTGAGACAACTCAATAGTGGTGAACAAATTGAAAATGAAGTACACTTGGAAGATGGATATCAATTACCAGTGATTTCATTGGTTTGTAATTTCAGTAACAGTAATAACACTGTATTCAACAGAGCTAGACCTACATTATTATCTCTTGATCAAGTGGATACGATTTTTCACGAAATGGGACACGCAATGCACTCGATGATCGGAAGGACAAAACTTCATAATTTGGCAGGAACAAGATGTCTGACAGACTTTGTAGAGCTACCATCTGTGCTTATGGAATTTTTCAGCAAAGATGTAAGGGTGTTGAGCCGTATTGCCAGACATTATGAAACCAATGAGACGATGCCAGTGGAAAAGTTCGAAAAGTACCATAGTCAAAGAGTTTCATTGGATGACTGCGAAACGTATATTCAATCCAAGATGGCAATGTTGGATCAGGTTTTACATTCAGAGGCAATGATCCAGTACATCGCCAACGGTGAAGAGATTAATTCCACAAAAATCTATCATGAGTTAGAAGGTCAGTTGAAGGTGTTTGCAGATAAATGGTCGACATGGCATGGGAAATTCCCTCACTTGTTTCTGTATGGAGCAGTGTATTATTCATATTTATTAGACAGGGCAATAGCGGAAAAAGTTTGGATAGGATTATTCAAAGATGACCCATGGAGTAGACAAGCCGGGGAACAGTATAAGGAGAGTATATTGAAATGGGGTGGTACAAAGGACCCATGGGAGTGTTTAGCCGATGCGTTGGGCGACGAGGAGTTGAGGAAAGGGGATGAAAGGGCTATGGAGATCATTGGAAAGAAAGCTGAGAAGGTGTGATGTAAATATTAATAGTAAGAGAACATCTACTCAAGCTAGTAGGCGGGGTGTATAAATTCAAATAGTGAAAGTATATGTAAATAAGTATATGTAAATAGTAAAGAAATTTACAGGATGGTCAAGAGACTACATAAAGCTTCCATCGCTGTAGATCAATATTCTTTCACCTGTTCTTAACCCAAGGTAGATCTACTGCTTACCACATTCATCAACAGACCGGTTGCACATTTTTCACGCACATCATCGTAGCATCTATGCAGTAGTGCATATAACCATTTGTTTGTTTATATTTTTGATTACAAAAATTAACAACCGTTGATCTTCAAGATGATCTGGTTCTTTCAGCAATTGAAAGGTAGTTGATAAGCAGATCACATATTATTAACAATATGGATAAGGAAAACATCCCTACCACCCCAAAGCGTGAAGAGTCTGCGCATTCTTCTCCCCTGAGACCTTTGAAACCTGTCTCTCCCAACAAAGTCCAAAATGCTTACGTGGGAAAATTAAGCTTCTTACAGAATGATAACATTGATGCACATTTTTCACATATACACAGCACACAGGAGGAGCTCCAAGTGACGCTACAGAAATTAGAAGTCCAGACGGCACAAACGGCTTTGGATTTGGGTCAATTAGTGGACAGACTGAAGAATAACAATCTGTACTTGAACAAGTTGCTTGAGGGAATCTCAGCCAAAGATGATGAGAACAGCGATGCTATTCGTAGAAGTGATTTGGAAGAGATATTGAATAAGATAGAGGAAATTCAAGGTAGCCGGGGTACCCATGACGACAATAGCGAAAAATTTGAAGGACTAGTGGAAGAAATCCTTAAAGCCTTTCAACAGAGAAACGGAGACTTGATCGAGAGTGTTGAAGACAGTAAAGTGAAAATTACTTCCCAGTTCAGCCAGATGCACAAAGATATAGAGAGCACAATCACGACGTCTTTCCGGAAAGAACAAGAACGCATGGTATCGGAGCAGCAAAAGCTCAGCGACTTGACGACCTCGCTCACTAGGCAGTTGGCAGAACAGCAGACAGTAATTCAAGGTTTAATTTCCAAGAACCAGGATGTGGACCAGCTTGAAGGTAAAATATCCACATTACAGGGAAAATATGAGCAGTTGTGCGCTGCCTACCTGAGCAAATTCAACGACTTAAAGTCTTTGAAAGAGGAGTACACGGAACTACAGAGGATGACCGAAGCCTTCCAGGATGACAGCCAACTGACACAACAACTGCAAGTGCATTTGCCTAAAAGAATATCTAAGGCAAACAAATTCAACCAGCTAAATCAGCTCCACTCTACGAACTTGAGCCACATACAAGAATACGGAAATGGACTTCCCATGCAATATGCTGATAAGAGAGCCAGCCAAAAGAGAATCGCCAGTACTCCCAACAAGCTTTTTGTTGACGAATCCGGGAGCACAAGTGCCACTATGTCCGATTAGGTAGTTAGTTTAGGTAATTTAGGTATTTTTTTGGTTAATTATATATATGAGTATACGGTGTATTCTTCTATGTACATGTAGTTGCCTTCAAGGATCTCTCTCTTTTACTCTCTTCTTCACTCATTGCTGTCTGTAAATTCTCTCAATACCTCCCATGTATGGTCTAAGTACTTCTGGAATCAAAATAGATTCAGTTTTTGGGTCCCAGTAATTTTCAATGATGGCAACAATTACTCTTGGCACAGCCATTGCCGTTCCGTTTAATGTGTGTACAAAGGCAAGGCCGTTCTCCGACCTGTACTTAATGTTCATTCTTCTCGCTTGATAGTCTCTACAGTATGAGGAAGAGGTGACTTCACCCCAGGTTTTCCTTCCTGGCATCCAGCATTCTATGTCATACTTGGAGGCAGCTGGAAAGCCCAAATCGGAACCTGGCATATTCAATACCTTTGCGGTGAGCCCCAATTCCTTGACAACTTCCACCTGGAACTCTTTCAATTCCTCCAACTGTTCCCATGCAGTTTCTGGCGTGGTGAAATGGAACAATTCTACCTTGGTGAATTCATGTACTCTATAGATTCCAGCTGTTGTGGCACCTCTAGCCCCCGCTTCAGCTCGATACGATCTAGATACACCGGCGTACTTCAAAGGTAACTGTTCTTCTGGATTAGTGAAGACCTTTTTCAGCTCCAAAGCAGCGATAGAGATCTCAGCAGTTGCTGTCAAGTTCAAGTCTTCCTTGTTTATAGAATAGATCTGATTTTCACCACCTTTATCCCTTGGTTTGAACCCACAGGCTGCCACTACTTCTTCCCTCACTAGGGAAGGAGGAATCACCATCTTATAACCACGGCTTCTAGCTTTAGCCAAAGCATATTGAACTAACGCCTGTTCCAAGAGTGCCCCGTCTCCAAGGAGGTAGTAAAAAGCATGTCCACAAACCCTTGAGGCGGTGTCCAAATCTAGTATTCCCAATTGCTGTCCTATAAACTTGTGAGAGAGTGCCTTCGGGTCAGCGGCTTTTTCAACTGCTTCCACGGACTCGCAATTGATTAATTGCACAAGTTGTTCCTGATTAGTGACTGTTTCACCAATCAATGTGGGAAAGTTATCAGCAGAACTATGAAAGGTATCCAAAAGATTGGCCCTTTGCTTTTCCACTCTTCGGATCTCAATCTTCAATTTCTTGACTTCATCTTTAGACGTTGTAGGATCACTCTGAATTCTTTCATTTAGCTCACTACGTTTCTTCTTTAATTCTCCAAGCTCCTTTCCAAGTTCTGTTGCAACGTGATAGTTGTCCCGTATAAAGTTGAGTTCACTAATAAGTGTACCTTTATTCAACCTTTTCAACTCGATCGATTCTCGCATACGATCATAATTAGCCAATATGCTTTTAATATCGTATTCTACCTTCCCAAATGTCTGAAGCACCCTGCTTGTTTTAGACCTAGTGAACGTGATCAATCTAGATCCGAACGATCTACTTTTAGACCCAATTATCATATCTAAAGATTGAATTACTAACCGTATCTAACTTACTAACATGTGCAACAGCATGAAAATACAAAAGTGAAAAATTCGGAGGAACATCGAGCGCAGAAAAAGTGAGACAACACCACAAACGGCGCATTAGTTAATGAAGAGTAAGGTTGCACCCAAGCAAAGAAGGGTTGCTGGTACGAAGATTTGGCAGAGGAGGAAGAGTACACCTTCTGGATGGGTTTGTATTAGTGGTGGCAGAAATGGATATATCGGAATCGATTGAGATGAACATGGGAGTGTACTAGATGGAGAATTTTGCACCCAAGGGAAGACATGCATACCAACTGGATTATACTTATAGTTCAGAGTACGCCTATTTTCACTCTCGGCAACCTCACCTACTCTAGTGCTACGGTCTCACACCCTTGACTACCTTAGCGCTAAAGGTACTACATGAACATTCTTATTTAACTCTATTGTTCTTGGATATAAATTTATGCTAATACAATGTGATGGGATATGCAAATATCGTTTCGTTTAGAAAAAGATACTTAATATCTTTTTATAGAATGGAGATGCTGCATATCTTTCAGCATCTTCCTGTCTCTCTAAGGCTAAAATTTCTTCGTCGAAAATGGTCCTATCAGCATCAATGTCAATATCATCTAACTTGATCCACCATTTCCAGTTTCTGGTCCATAACTTATGGGCGACGTAGAACACTATTAAGACAACTGCACCCAAGTAGTTTTGGAAGAAGTTTTGTGCATCGGCGCTACCACCACCAACTGGGAATAAGGCAATCCAAAATTGGGCTATCAAAATGAGCCAATGCCATACAATAGCATAGACTGAACCCCAAACACCAGTGGAGGCAACATATCCTAATGATGTAATTGAAATGTTGTTGTGTTTCAAGGCAGCTCTAAATCTAACGTGGGAAACAACAATTACATTCCAGGTGAAGATTTGCGATAATCCAGAAATGGCTAATAACCAGTTGAAAACTGTTTCTTCTTTGCTGTAGGCAGCAATGAATGAAAATAATCCGAAAATGGAACAAACAATTAATGCTCTCAATGGTCTTCCTTGCTTATCGATATAGTTGAAGTACTTTGGAGCAAATCCTTGATCTGCCAAAGATTGTAAAGTTCTAGAGGCAGAATACAATGAAGCAGATGCAACTGAAGTAACAGACAACAAGATGACTGCATTGATGATATGGGGAACAACCGCAACTCCATGACTGGCTGCAGCAATGACATATGGAGATGCATGAGTAGCACTACCAGTGGAACCCATTAATTCGTCAGAATTGTAAGGAACTAACAAACCAACAATAGTCAAGGAACCCAAGAACAATACTAAGATTCTCCAAAAAATCAATTTACAAGCAGATGGGATAGCAGCTCTTGGATTAGACTGCTCGGCAGCTGAAAGAGCAACGAACTCGGATTGCCCTAATGAGAAAGCACCAGTAACAAAAACACTACATAAACCCTTGAAGTTGGTGTAGTAACCAGGGTCATGCCAGTATCTACCACCAATGAATTCTTTCTCTGGACCTCCACCGACATCAACAACGATACCCATAATGATGAACCCGATAATCATACAGATCTTTATACAGCCAAAAATGAATTCACCTTCACCAAATCCTTTGGCACCGATGAAGTTAATGACAAGGATAAGAACGTAAAAAATGGTAACCCAAGCGTCAGCATTGATGCTGGTGTTCCAGTACTGGATAGTAATAGAAGCTGTAACCAATTCAACAGCAATAACCGATAACCATTGAATACAATAGTTCCAAGTAACGGCAAAGGCAATAGATTCATCAATAAACTTTCTTGGATAGTTATTGTAACCACCAGAAAGATCACTATAGTTAACGGCCAATTCACCAGCAGCTTGTAAAGTTGGGTACAAGAAAGAACCAACGATGGCATATCCAACAATCAAAAACAATGGACCAGCGTTGTGCAAAGATTTTCCGGAACCAACAAGCAAACCGGTACCTACACCTGTAACTAAAGCCATAAGTACAAGATGTCTGTGAGAAATACTTTTGGAAAGTTGTTTACCAATGGTCTCATCTTTAGCTTCTTGTCTCTTGAAGCCATCAACAAATTTATGCCAAGTACCTGCCTTTTCCAGGGAATATGAGGCTGTAGCACTTTGGGCTTCATTTCCAATGTCATCAATCTTGATTGGAGTTTTTTGCGTTACGATAGACATAATTATCAACACCAATTAAAAATAAAATTATGTACACAGAAAGGTTTTAAATAGGGAAATTTGAAGGTATGTGCTCCTGGATAGTATTTTAAATTATAATGGGATATAATGAAATGTTTTATATCCTTTTCTATACTATCTGGGTTTTGCTTTCTTTTTAGGATGCCAGAAAATGCAAGTGCCTTAGTTCTCCACTTTCCTTAAAAAGTTGAGTGATGTAACAACAAAAAAATTACTAATAATGTTAATAATAACACTTTGGAAAAAAAGACGAATTCAGAAACTATAAAAAGAAATGGGGTAATATGGAACTGATTATATATGACTTCCACGGAAGCGCTATGTCATAGACCGAAATGAGCTGTGCTGCTGCAACATTTTTTATTTTTTGACCAGTGGAACTCTAAATTTTTTACTCTTTTTTCGCTCATTTCTTTTTGCTGACCTGTTTATCATATCAGAAACCTGAAATAAGGAATGCACTAGCGTATCTATACAAGCAAGATAGTGTCAACTCGATCCTCAATGGTCCACGAAGTGAACAGCTTGTAGGGCAAAATGAGTCTAAACGGCGTATTGCATATTCCATGCACAAGATGCCGCATATTGGGGCATATTCTTCCACTTCTATACAGTATTTTTCTACACTTGGAACTAAGCGCGCCGGGCTTGATGGCAACGATGACCAAAGAAGACTGTTTCTTTTTTTCAATCCTGACCACATAACTATGTCTTACCATGTCCTGCTCTAGCTCATTTCATGTCTTAGGTACAACAACAATAAAGGATTAAGGTTTTGAGTTTAAGCTAATACGAAACTTGTACCTTTTAAGGTTCGAATATGGAGATGTTCCGATGCGCGCATCACTGGTCTTTCTTTTTATTTTTTTTGTTTCTTTTGATTTTCTCTTTGGGTTCATCGGCATTTTGCATGCTTTTGCCTATAATACCTGCACGGCGATGCATTTTGACCTATTTTAGCTTTAGTAATGCCTTTTAGATTATTGACAGCTGTGCTCAGTGGAGAGAAACTCCTCTTGTGCCTGTCACATATCATTTAGATTCTACATTACAGTCGTTATCTTTATTGAAAACTTGCTACATACAACTTGTTTCTTGTTTAATTGCTCCAGGGAGCCAAGAGAGTCAAAAAAGAGTAAGCCTGAGCCTCACTCTGATGCGCAAGATGAAGCATAATAATCCAACATTTTCTTCCCCGGTGTCGCCCTAGTGAAACACCATACTCTGCTCAATGCTACTGCTACACTAGCTAATGTCCATGGCATAACTTCAAATTTTATTCATACTCTATATAGTATTATTAGTATGTGTTGACAGGTAATAATATACCCTAGTTGGCCATTTTCTGATGGTTCTGTGGCAGTCCCATCTGCTGTTTTAACTATTTCTTTTTTCTTTTCTTTTTTTTTTTTTAATATGCATTGTGTAGATGAGTCAGTATTATCAATTAGATTTGCAATTTCACATTTGGAGCTCTGAATCGAACAATACAAGCTGATAGAGTTCCTAAGCGCAACCTATAAGGTCTCAAAATCCCATTTTATTTTTTAAAGCGGCCAGGTACATTGACTTTTTAGAACCCTCCACACTTTCAGTCATTGCCTCACTCATGTTATTTGCATACCCATTGACAGATTCCTCTATACTCTCAATTCCCGTCTGCAAACTTCTCATAAACCCATTTGTGCCAAAGTTATATCCTCCTTTCGAATTAGCTCCTCCTCTTACTGGGTCTTTGTAATCCTTTGCACTGGTTCCGCTATTGCTTGAACCTGCAGCAAAACCATAACTTTGATTTGGATTTGCTTCTGGACTAATGTTGAAGGCCAACCTTGTTTCTTCATTTTTAGGTGGTTTCCTATTTGGACCTGCAATTAAAACATTCAAATCTTGCAAACTGACATACTTAGTCTGTCCCTTCACCCATTGTAGAGATCCAGCGCTTGGTCTTAAAGGGATTATGGCGTTTTCATTAAATAATAAGTCGGTCTTCGTCTCCACCAGCTTTTTTCCAATCTTCTGATCTTGCAAAAACGTGGATAGCAAAATACATTCACTTTGGCCTGTTCTTAAAAATATTTCACCACTTGGTAGTATATCTGAATCAGATGCAATTCCGGATTCTAAAGCATCTCTGACTTGTAAATAGATGTCCTTTGGTAATTTGAAATCAATAATCTCGTTCAAAGAAGGAACTGATAAGAATTTTATGAACCCAGTTCTTAGTAATACTGCTAACATGATTCCCTTACCTCTAATCCTAATTATCCCCGTTCTGAGGCATGTCTCCTCAATCACCTTATGTGATAATTTTTGTTTGGGTAATTTCATGATTCTTACATCTCTTGCTGAAGATATGATCACGTATGATGGGATGACTATCCCCTGACTTAATTTCTGGAACATGGATAATTGAGCTATTGAAGAGTCACCATTTTTAACGGAGATCGGAATTATCTGAGTCAATTTAGAGTCCTCTGGACTGGAATTATCTTTTGACTTGTAGTTCAACCCAAGAGTCTTATCAACAAATACACATTCGAATGCCCCATTAGCTTGAGGGATAATTTTGAACATTAGCAAATTTCCTCCAGCACACGTTCCAAGTGTCAACATCACTGATGAGTAACCATCCTGTCCAAATTCTAAAATTGAAAATTCCATTGTAGTTGCATAACAAACACCTTGGACGGATGGGATGAATTGTAAAATACTTTCATAGTTGGCAATTATAGCAGGACCTCTACTTATATCACACACAATTAACCTACCTGATTTATAAGCAATCGCAGCGAATCCTACATCACTCATTTTCAAACAACTAATTCTGTCCTTTGTAGCAGTTGGAATGGTCAAAAGAGCAAATGGGAAAAAGGTGTTGGAGTTCGAAAGATTCTTTGGGACTCTATGGGAAATACTTATGATGGAGGCATCATTGTTCTTATGCATCACTGGACAATCTGAGTAATCTCTCTTACTAAAGTCACCACTAGAGCCATTTTTCAGTCTACCAAACTTACAAACAACCACATACCCATTTTTCATACCAATAAGAACTTCCTTGCTTTCAAATGCGCAACTTACTTCATCTACATTTAACAGGGAAGACAGGGTTTTATGAAGTACACCCACAAGGGAAATTTGTAAGATGTCTTGTAAATCTTGGTGTTCTCCTCTAGAGATATCCAACATACGAACTCTTCCACGTTCGTGACCAGTCACAAGAATATTTTTACTTACGTCATCATATCCAATTGGTTTTGGTGTCTTTCTGAAATTATCTGCTGGAGCTCCACCTTTCAATAATGTAGGATTGTCTAATGCTGAAGCATTTGATTTGCCTGAGCAAATTCCGAACCAATCAATCTTACGCACTTGAACAACTTGCGAGAAGACAACGGGCGGTTGTACGAGACCAACAGATGGAGGAAGAACCAAAAAGGTGTCTGGTTTGGTAGATGAAGCATCCCCTCCCTGCGAATTATTACTATCAAAGTCTGCATAGTCCAGATAGGATGTACCCTTGGAGATACTGTAAGGGTCAAATGCTGGTTTTGATGGAGCTGCAGCAGCGGGAGCATTTTTGGAATTCAGTGACTTGTATTCAGCCAAATAAAATGCACCCTTGTTACTCAAAAGTATTAGATAACTTGGGTTCGAACATCCGGAGAAATATGGAATACCATCCAAAGTAATGGGCACAATTTTATCAAGAAATTCCACTTGGTCGCTTTTGCCTGCATTAAAAGTTATGGGTATTACGCTTTGACCATTAGCTGGCAGTCCGTAAAATCCCAGTTGTCTCTCATGAGTAGTCATAGAATACTTTAGTGTAACACCAAAATCAAAGACATGAACGTTATTAGCCACAGCAACTATCAATTGGGTATTTTCTGGATCGGCTCCGCATACCCACTTGCAAGTTTGTATTTCGTTCTCTATAGTAGGCGGAGAGAAAGCAGACGAGTCTGGGGGGGCTGGACCGGTCAAATTCAATTCGAAAAGACCTCTTGCTTGAAGTAAGGTTCCGTCCTGTGCGTCCCAAAAGACAATACTGTTATCCCTGTGAATGGTCACGATATGCAATCCGTTAGGATGGAAATGGGATTCAATAACCTCTGGGATCACTGGTGCGGAGGACGATCCGAACAATTTCTTTTTACCATCATTGGCAATATACTGTGCTCGTGCAAACCCAGCAGAACCCTTCTTCAATTCATATACAAACAGGGAAACAATCTCACCAGTAACCATAGAGAAAAGTACCGTAGAGTGCGAGTAGGTGACCAAGATCGACCCAATATCCCTGGGATGCCACTCTATAGCCAATACGGCCAGCAATTTCTCTTTAGGAAGAATTCTTTTCTGTAAGTTATCCACTCTAAACGGAGTCAAGTTTGTCCTATCGACATCATAGACCACGATCTGACCATTTGCCAACCCAACGATAAGCCAGTCCAAAGATGGATCAGAGCAGACAGCCGTAATGGCACCGGGGGGTGAGTAAGTCCCCAAGATTGTCTTCTGGTGAAGGGAAATCACAGTGATTCCCCCTCCTTTTGTCAGGGCAGCCACAAGATAGATCCCTCTTACAAACATCAAGTCAGTAATAGGGCTGGTTTGCTTGAACTCGAACACTACTTCCACATGGTTCTGACCATAAACCCTAATTTCATTCTTGTTTGTTGAAATTGCCAAAAGCGATTGCACAGGGTCATGGGCCACAGCAAGAATCGAATTCTTGGGGATCCCCAATTGAGACGCAGTGTAGATGTCTATTTGCTTTGCATGAAGATCATTAGGCGAGAGATCGGTGTTTCCGGATGTCTTGATTGCGTTAGACACCGACGAAAGGGAAATCGGCGCCTTTCTCAGTTTAATTTTATCGAACATGATACCACAATGACACAATCAGTAGATACTTGCTACTTCTTTGTCGAACTTGACGATGTTGCTCAAGATTATCGTCTCTTCTCCACAACGGCTTCTCGTGCTGCTCAGCCTGAGGTGCTTGAAATTTGGGTGTGCTGTGAGCGGACTGCAGATAATCAAGAACTCGCTGGACTGCAGAGAAGCACCATACTTTCCTTGGATGAAGACTTGCACCACCAGCAGAGGAATAAGTAGCTGGGTTATATGGCTGGGTTTCATGAAAAACACTTCCCAAGCTGCGGGATTCAAGTCCAGTGGCTCCATTAAAGTGTATCAAGCCAATTTCAAAGCAGTATCTACTCTCGTGGCCCAGAATAGCCTGGGTGTTCCCGCAAGTATCTTTCTCTATCTCTCTCGATCCACTCACATCACGTGACCCTCTATCCTGCAAACAAACACGTAAATGCTAAAATTTCACCCGAAACCAAACGTCACACAAGAACCACACCTATTTTACTCATATACTTTCAGACAGAAGTAATATTGATACAATGGTAAGTAAATCTAGAAGAGAGTAACGCGGTACAACGTATGACCCTATTTTCGAGCCAAAAATCTGGGCTCTTGTGGCATTTTTATGTTCCCTTTACTAACTAGCCCACTCCAGTCTTTTGATAAATTGATAGGACTCTCCATGTTAGCTGTAGCTACCGCCGTATTCACATACTACACCACTTGGGTATTCGTGTTACCCTTTGTTGATGAATCTAACATATTGCAAAGCTTTTTCTTGAGCCGTGACTATGCGATTAAATTGCCTTTCCTCTTATTGTTGATCGCTGCTTTGGGTATTGGATCTTTCGTTGGGAACGTGCTCATCAAGAATGCAGAAAAGGAAAAGCTTAAGAAAAGTAAGAAAACTCAGTAAACAGTCAAGAATTTTGGAAGCAATCATCGACCCCTGATGATCGGTGGTGTGTATACATGTATAAAGAAGAAATTTCTACAGAAAGACCTCTTTTTGAATACAATTGTGTGAATTGATGAAATATTAACACTATAGAGAATGACGGTGCTAGTGAGCCATTGTGCGGTGGAACGAGCTCACATACTGACTGAATTGACTGTTATTTAGGGTGAAGTGAGTGAATGTGTCTGCTCATGTGAATAAATAGAAAATAAACGAATCAAGTAGCAAAGGTATCTTCGTAGAATGACATGCTGGAAAGTTCGTGTGGAGTGAGAGCACTTACTTCCCCTTCTCTCTACGCTCTGATCACGTACTCCCCAGTCTTTGTGATATACTTCACTCCCTTGTACGGTTTAACCGTGTCGCCTAGCCCTCTTGTGCTGATAATTTTGAGTGAATCTACCTTGATACCACTAGGTATATGGCCTTTATTAGAATACAGAAGCTTCAAGTAGCTCGGACTGAAGGTCTTGCCCAAACCCTTCACATCTGTCTGCACTTCTTTCTTCTGTTCTCCAAAGCTATCCACATCATCTTCATTTTCATCGCTGGTGATTACTCCTCTCAAGATTGGCTGGGTCCCCGTGGACACGGTACGAACGTTCCATTCCGAATTTCCATTTCCCTTGTGTGAGAATTCCCCGTGGGTGCATCTGGTAGACCTTACGCTTATTTCCCCCTCGCTCTTCTGCACATTAGTGGTGAATATCTTGATGACAAGATCTTCAATCTTGGTAACTGCCTTCTGTTGCTGCTTTATAAACAATCTTATTTCAAATTCGTTTTCATTAAGCCCGAGTCCTGTCTGGAAATCAACGTCCACTAGCCCCAAAACGTCCAGGTAGCTAGTCTTCTTCACGGCACCGACATCCACCTGGTATTGCATTATAGTTGACTTTCCGTCTGCAGGGACAAACGATAAGACCCCGCTATTTATCCACTTTTCTATCTTGATACACGGGTGGAACGACGGCACCTGCAAATCAATACTGGACGGGACGTTCAACACCAATTGCAATTCAGGCACTCCGGTCAAATGCGATGTGAAATTGATTTCTCCGTCAATGGTACCAGCCACGGGCAACAACTTAGTCGAAGAAGTGGACAAAGCACCAGAGGGATGGTGTCCTCCGTTATAGTATGCTGAGTCAAACCCTCCAGTAGCTGATGAACTTAGCGTGGCAGCTTTCTGGTTTTTCAATTTGGTTGGCTTGAGAATCACATTGATGGTTTCTACAATATCCACGAACATCTCATTGTTCGTGTATTTCACGTTTGTTCTTCTCCAGGGCGTGTCGGTGGTCGATGATGTGCCTTTGTATTTGTGGAGTGAGCCCATTCCGGAGCCCATTCCGGACCCACCTGATCCTAGGCTCGGCGAAGAGGACTGCCCTCCATTCGTAGACTGTATGGCCCTCTCGGCAAATTCGTTGGTGGTACTTAATATCCTCAGGAGCAAGCTCTTCAATGGTATAATGTCTCTGAGTCTGTTGGAATCTGTAACATTGGGGATACCCTCCTGGATCAACTCGTTTGCAATCAAATTCAATGTATCATTGTGTGCCTCGATCTTGGTAACTGCGAGCGGAGCTCCAAAGTAATCTTCCATCACCTCAAGCAAGTGCTTAATAAACACATAGGGAATCAAGGGATTTACCTTGATATTGACAGAGGAAACAAGAACGTATATGGTGAGGTTCCTGGTCTTTTCGAAACAGGTGTAATAGTCATTATTTATTCGAATCAATGGGATCTTCTCTTGCTCACCTTCGATTTCATTGAGCTTGGACTGAACTATGTTAATCAATGACTTGAAAGAGGGCGAAGATAGCTTCAAGAGATATTCAAATACCAATGTGTTTGAATTGTCTGATATGTATATCGCCTCAATCATGATTTCTGCAACTCAAGGGAATTGAAACACGACTGTCTGTCTCTGTCAGTCTCTGACTCTTTCACGGTCTCCATCCAACTCGCCCGCCAGTCGACTTTTCCATATGGGCGTAGTGTTGTTTATATGCAGTACACATCTTGACATAAGTTGGAACATGCGGCGACGGAGCTTGAACAACCACACATCGGGGACTCTGATGTGCTCTATAGCACGGAGCTCTGCTGTGTTTACTCTCATGCGGCTACAAGGCAGGATTCGGACACTCATTATATATTATTAAATAAAAAGTAATAGGGGGGATAATTAAAAAATGGGATTAGGAGTCGGTAAGTCATTAAAGAGATAGAGTTGTATCAGAAGCAGATGAGTAATTAGAAAGTCGAAAAATTCACAGTGAAGACGGTAATGATCAGCATAGGCATCACACCTCGAGGAAATATCAACTTCAAACTTTCTAGTGACCATAACATTCATCCAGAGCGAAGTTCCATATTTGCACATTTACTTGTAGCCTCTTCCCTTATACACACACAATTTTCATAATCTACGTATTTCAGTATGCATGGAATCTTCAACTGGAAGGTTTTCTTTTAAATTCAGAAAGTTTGGAGTCAATATCAACTGTCGGAGTGGAACTATACCTTTTTCATCAATTTTCACATTATAATTCAATACTTTTCGAACCTTCATTCTAATTTATTCAACATTTCTTCAAAAACACTATCGAGGGGGGGGGGGTAATTAAATTTATCTCGTTGAAGAGGATGATCCGTCAACGATTTCTTCATTGACGTCATCTTCCTTGTCGGAGTCAAGATCAACATCCAAGTCTCTGGCAACACGTTCTTCGATATCCTTGATATCAGACATACCGTAGAAACCAATGGTGCATAAACCAAGAATGGCAGTAAGGGCAGAGAAGACAAGAGCAACAATACCACGTGCAGTGAAACCAGCTGGTAAGTTCTTGACTTGAACGTTTTGGCCAGTAATATCCAAGTAATCCTTGGTATTGGCAGCGGCATTACCTTCGTAAGCAACACCAACGTTGTTACAGACATCAATATGGTTTTGGGTCAATTGTTGAGTGTCATTCAGTTGGATTAATTCTGGAGCTTCAACCAAAACAAGGGCTAAACCTTGATCCAAATGCCATTCAATGTGACAATGGAAAAACCAAACACCTGGGTTGTCGGCCTTGAATCTAAGAACAATGTAAGCTTGAGGGTTAAGGTAAACAGTATCTCTCATCATTGGATAGTCTGGGAAAGCAGCGTGGTCAGAAACGTTGTAGGTAACTGGATCATCATCATCGTCAACTGGAGCGTATCTTTCAATAACTTGGAAAATATGACCGTGCAAGTGGAAAGGATGCTTACCAGTATCGAAATTGTTAACAACAATATCGACGACATCATTGTGTTGAAGGACAAATGAATGGGTGTTGGTACCATAGACAACAGCATCAGCGCTATCGTTACCAGCTGACAAGACGGTATGTAAAGTTGGAACCTTTGGCCTAGTGTAGGTAATGTTGTTGAAGAAAGCATAGTTAACACCATTGTTTAAATTGTCCATGGCAACATCAACAGTGATGGTGTAATCTGGATCATCAAATAAGGTAGTGTTTGACTTTGGCTTTAAGTAGAAATCATCAAGGAAGTCATAATCATCAACAGTGTAACTTTCGACAGCATCGTTATCTGAGCTGTAAGAAATGGTGTTGGTGGTATTCAAGGTCAATGATGATGGAATAGTATCCAACATATCGGTATCGATACCTGCCATGAATGCATAATTCTTAGAAGTGTCAGATTTTGTTTTAACCAAGACACCGTAACGTTGAGCAGTAGTGATGTAAATCATGCTAGTAGTATTACTGTCAACCCAAACACCATCAACTTCAACAACTTCAAAGTCATGGTCTTCCATGTAAAGATATTGGGAAACAAATCTACCAACATTGACGATTCTTAAGTAATAGGTAGTATCTGGCTTAACATCCCAAGAGTAATTGTAACTATCGTTGAATAAAATACTGGATGGGATTGGTTCAGCTCCGGTAGGATTGTAAACACTCAAGAACTGTGGCATCAACACATCGGAAGTATCATGGTACCATTCAGAAACAGTCAAAATAACTTCTTCATCGTAGTCAAATGGTAAATCTTCAGTATCATCAATGATGAATGCAGCTCTCATACCTTCACCATATTGACCAGAAGTATGGGAATGGTACCAGTAAGTACCGGCCTGATCAGTAACAGTAAAGTTATATAAAAAGGTATCACCTGGAGCAATTGGACATTGAGTAACCATTTCTGGACCATCCATTTGAGATGAACCTTCTTGGAAAAGACCGTGGAAATGTAAAGAAGTGTTTCTATCAGTGAAACCATTCTTCAAGTATAAATTGACAGTGTCACCCTTGGTAATTCTAAGGATCGGTAATGGCCATGTTCCATTGAAACCAATAACCTCACGTTCATACATACCATCAGGATTAGCGGTAACCCAACCAGTTTCATAATACCAGGTATGTGTCTTAGCGAAAGTCACAGCCAAGAGACTGAATAAACTTAAAATATTTGACACCTTCATATCTGCAAAATATTCAAATTAAATTGCTCGCACAAACAAAGAAGTTGCTAATACAGTAAACTACCAAACAATCAGAAAGGAAAGGGAAAAGAAAGAGAAAAATTAACTCTTAAATTTGAGCAAATATTAATGAGCAAATTCATCTCAATTAAATAACAGAATGGGGGAAAGATTAATCTGATAAAAATTTTCAAAGGCCCGACTCGCAGAACTCTAAGCCAATGAAATTAGTGCTTGACGCATTATTCTGCGGGTGCGACATGGTTTCAGCACCCTAAAAGCGCATAAGTGCAGGAATTTTCGATCTTTTAGCGTTTTATCTATTCGATCAATAGCGATCAAAAATTAAAATGTAATTTACCAGAGTTTCCCGATGAGCCTAATTAAAGAATATTGAAACGTTTTTTTTACGGGCGAACGTCTTGATTACAGGGTGGAATTCATTTATACAATAGGTGGTGGTTACAAGTCCAAATCAAATGTGAAATATGTATCTACCCATTATATTTCACAATGGGTTTTAGTCCTATAACCTATTTCAACACAGTACGTCAAAAAGATAATCAAGGACTTATTCCCTTCGCATTTTGATCAATTTGATTGTCGAATTTCCACTTTTACTGTGCATATTCATGCACACCTTGCATGTGAACATTTTATTTTTTGCAAAATTGGCCATAGAGAGCTCGTTTTCACACTTGACACAAAACTAAAATTTAACAATTGATTGTACTAGAAGTTTATGTCGGATGGGAATGTTACCCATACCAACAAAAGCCTTACGAAACCGGCACTGCTTGCGCATGAAGCCTGAAGCCTGATTATGCGCTGATCGTAGAGATAAAAAATTTTCTATATATCGCTTATGTCGAGCCTTAATTTTTGCTTTACACGGTGGAGAACAATGGTGTGCTTTCCAGTGGCCATGGTGGACTTGGAATTACGAATCGTATTCTTCACATTCTTACAGAGTTATTCTTACAATAGCTTTGCACTTACAGAATAAAATTTTGGTGATGGCGGATCAATTTCACACCTCCCACATTGGCCATGTTACAATGGTTTCCTTTTTTCTAACTTTTTTTTTTTTTTCTTTTTCTTTTGCCTTACTTGCCCATTTTCACTTTCTCGTAACGAGTTTTTTTTTTTTTTTATTATTGCAACACCCCAGTCCAGCACCTACTTTGAGGTATTTACATCTTCAAGCCAATCGGGTTAAAATTTGCATTTCCATGTTTTTTGTCTTTGATCCTTTCACACAGCATGCATCACACTTTCCTATACCGCTTTTCGCTTGTAGCTGAAATACCAAGAAAAGGTTTGGTCGTACATGAAGGGCTTTTGACATGTAGTGGGGCCATTCCACCGGTAAGTATATATCTCGCATTCTTCTCCCAAGTAGTCACGTACATACATCACCGTACTTCGTCCTCGCCTAACAGACAATGTAATTGGGATCTCACCAGTAGAAAGGCTTTAGCCTTTCCGCCTCTCCGCCTTTCCGCCTTTCTACCATTCAGCCCTTCCTTCGTAATTGGTTCTCTCTCCAGTCACCTAATCCCCGAACACTTTTAAAGATTTTCACGTTATTAGGCCACGTGACATCCTTCGACATTACACAAAACACCCTACATGAAAAATATTGAGCCGTGACCACAATTTTCTTGTAGAAGTTGCAAAACGTGAAAAAGGTTCCAAGGGCACTTCGTAGGTCATATTTGAGTCTGATTCTGCGCTTTTTGCTGGTCTGGCTTGCCACTAGATGCTTCGGTTATATTCTGTCATTACGACTTTGAAGATAAAATCCGTACTATATACTTTTTTTTCTTATTAACACCTAACTCTTAAGTAACACAACACCCATTCGCTTAAGTTGCTGCTATGCTTGTTTTCAGAAGAGCTTTCCTGGTCTCTTATGCTCAACTTCAGCTGAGTATCTCGCCAGGCAACCAGTTCTTATCCTTTGTGTCAAATATAAAGGCATCTCTTGTAAATAAAAATAAAGAAAAGGATATAGACTTGCCAGCAAACGTCCTAAAGGATATCAACGAAAACGAACCCACGAAGCTGAAGCATACATCATCAGAATCAAGACAGTATAAACGTTCCACACATCCCACGTCCGTACCACTCAATAAGTTATTTTCAAATAGCTTCCCCTATAGCATTACCGAGTCATTACAAGACTATTCTTATAGGGCTAACCCTCTTGCTTTTCAGCACGAATTACTTTCGTTGCTACCATTTTATCCAGAGCCTGACTCGATGGGACGAACCAGTAAAGTCTATAAAGTGTACCTTGATGGTGAAGTGAAGGGTCAACCAAGAAACTTTATCAATGAATTTGTGATATATCCTCCAGGGAAATCAGAAAACGATGATCCAAACACGATGAATCATCTTATTATGATCCATGGCTATGGCGGTGGATTGGGATTTTGGTTCAAGAATTTCGATGAGATCTCCAAGTCTAATAAGTCTCAAAATTGGTGCATCCATGCTATTGACTTGTTGGGATATGGATGCTCTTCCAGACCACCATTCACCTTAAAGAACGAAACTCTTGATGAAGTAGAAGACTGGTTCCATTTGTCGTACCAGCAGTGGTTGCAAAAGAGAGGTTTGGATAAAGTTTCGAAGGACAAGATTTTAATAATGGCACATTCAATGGGCGCATACTTGATGGCTACATATGGAATTAGGAAAGATCCTAATTTTTGTAAGAAGATAATGATGGTCTCACCAGGAGCTGTCATTAAGCATAGGGAAGAAGTAAACGTTCCCGCCTATTTTGCGAATCTTTGGGAAAGAAACATCTCTCCATTTGTATTGGTCAGGAAAGCTGGTCCACTTGGTTCAAAATTGGTCAGTTTATGGTCATCTAGAAGATTTGCAAACTTGCCAGAGGAAGAATCCATGGCGTTGCATAAATATGCCTATGGTATATTCCAATCACCGGGGTCTGGGGAGTACATGTTGAACTACTTACTCGCACCTGGGGCTGATGCTAGACACCCTTTGTTGGAAAGAGGAATGGATAAGCTTAGATGTGATTTCCTTTGGTGCTATGGTAAGGAAGATTGGATGGATGTCCATGGTGGTGAACTATGCAGCAAGATTATCAAGGATAAGGGATTTAAAAGTGAAGTAATGGAAATTGCAGATTCAGGCCATCATATCTACTTAGATAACATTCCAGTATTCAACAAGTTAATGGTGGAAGAAATGGATAAATTCCAGGGTATATAGAACTATATAAATGGAAAGATTTTCGAATGGATCAATATTCAAATTACTATAAAATAAAATAAATTAATTAATGACAATGATAGCCCCAGCAGAGTAGTATACAAATATTTATATCTATTTGCCAGTATGTATCGCCTATACATCAGACATCAAAGCGCTAATGGTGTCGGGCTTTTCTTCTGGTCCTTCAAAGTGAACACGCACCTTTAAAGATATTGGCAAACTTGGGTCAGTCACTAGTATTTCCTCCATTGGTTCAATCAAGTCTGATAATTTCTTGATTAAATTACCCCTAGTTGCCTCTTCAAGTGCCTCAGGTGCACGAAGGTATAGTTGCTGTGTGGAAGTCGTCAACGAAGGCCTTTTCATTTGAATTTCTTGGTTCTTACTTAACTGGGAAATGAAATCCTGTAAGGTCCACCATTTCTGAGCTATCGTTGTCTTAGCAGTGTTCCCACAAACAGAGCAATCCTTCTTTTTGGTGTGACTGAAAGTGTACGTGAAAATCGAATCATCTCCAGAATACATCATGTAGTTGTTCAAGATAGGATTCAGGTTAGTAACTATCTTGAATACTTCATTGCAACAGGAAGCAGCTACTATTGCATTCGTTGCTGCAATTGCTGGTATTATGTTCTTTACTACACCTAAAGTTAAGCTTCTGGTAACTCCCTTTATATTGAACAACTTTGCTCTCTTTAATGAAGCTTCGTACATCCAATCCAAATGCTCCGGGTTGTCTGCGTCGAATTTTAGCCCAGAGAAATGTACTGGCCATTCTAATGCATTCGCCCATTCTATACAATGTTCTGGGAGTCTAGGAGTATTAGCAATAGTGCACACTGGGTATGTTTGTTTCGTCAGCAACATATCTAGTGAGCACTCGTAACATGAAGTCAATGTGGGAAGAATAACTCTGGCCTGTCCTCTGAAACCTTCCGTACCCCCATCGACAAGCGGTATTAAATTGTTCAATTCCTCATCTACAAGTCCCACTAGAGTGGCATTTATCCATCTACGGGCTTCTACACTATCTAATCCGCATATAACAACGGTAAATTGTTTGTAATACTCCAATGGCTTATCTTGAATCTTGCCAAAGAATGGAACAATACTCAATGAGGGGTCCCGTATTCTCTGTCTGATAAATTCTGCAGCTACCTCTGCTTTCGGTCTTCCTACGTCTGATTCTCGAAACAAGAATTGCCTATTTAGATTGGAAATGTCTATAGTATCCATGTCAATTACTTCTATGCTCTTAAACCCCGTTAACGCCAAGTTCTTAAGTATTTCGCAACCTAATCCACCAGCACCAATTACTAGGACTTTGGAATTTCTTAGAGCATCTGCGGCATCCACAGAACTATACTCATCTGGGTATTCATTAAATGGACCAATTTTCAATAATGGGAAAACAGAAGTCATAACTAGTTTGTAGGTATAAAGAGAAGAAGTGAAGATGGATGGTATCAGTAAGCTTGAATCAAACCCATATACATGTGTGTTGTATGCAGGACATACTTTGGCACATACTGTTACACCTTTTCCAGTTGAGGTCATGAAGAGTTCATACCTGATTGTATAAAGAGAAAGTACTATGGTTAAGTGAATGCATTTATATATTCTTCTATTTGAGCAAAATTGACCCCTTTCCCATATTTATACCTAAAACTTGCTATCTACTCAAGAAAATTACTTACCATTCGATGCTCTATGCAATGCTCAACGAAATTTGTCTCTATTGCAACCACCAGGGCCCCATATGATTCATGCAATCGAATTTTTTATTGACTAGTCTCAGGCTGGTTTTCTTTATCAACAAGGCTCTGAGACCTTGTAGAGTGCGTACGTTTATAAGCCAGTCTCTGCGATGGAGGCAATCCCAAGAGCCGTTTTCCCAATACAGGCGTAGTACTCTCATTATTAGAAGGCAGCGTGGCTATTGAAGAAGTACCTGGATTTATAGGGGTGGCGTTGTTAGCTAGGGGACTTCTAGCAGGAACAGGCTGATTTGTAGTTCTTTTAATTGGTGTAGACTTAGTAGGATCAACTGTTCTTCTCATACTTGAGGAAACAAATTTAGGATCAAATTGTGGAACTTTAGATGGGTCATCGAGGGCAATTGGGTTTTTCCTTATCAAATCTGCAGCCTTGGCACTTACAAATGTTACCATTTCTGGTATTATGTCGGGCTCATCTATATTCTTGTCAGTAATTGCAATTGATTCCGAGCTTGTATCGGCATTTGCATTTGCATTTGTAAGATTTTTAGGCGTCTTAGTAGGTGGTTGTGCATACTTTAAGGATCTGGCAATTATGGCCGGATCTTCCACTCCACCTTGCTCCATATTTTTCAGCAATAGCATTTCCAATTCGTATTCGTCCAAGCCATCGTTTTGGCTCATTTTGTCGTCGTCTATTGGAGGATTATCGTCACTAAATACAAATGAATCATCAAAATCATCCACTGCAATATCGTAACCTTGATTTGGCTGATCATTGCTTGGTGGATCGCTTGATGACTTGCGGGTTTTAGGTTTATCTGGAGGTCTCATGGAAGATGTTGAGCCTATAACTGAGCCAGAGCTGGATGCTGTTCCTGTCGGAGTAATTGTGGAAGCAGCAGCTCCATTTGCGTGATTCTTCTGTTGCTGTTGCTTGTGATCTACTTGAGCTTGGGTCAGTTTTGGTTCTTGATGCAACTCAAGTTTCAGCAGCAGCTCAACTCTTTGTCTTTTTCTTTCTCTCTCCACAACTAATGGATCCCTATGAAAGTGGCTATGATCTAATTCTGTAGGTGGAAGCTTAACTTTCTGGATTTTCGGAATAATTGTTCTATCATATAGACAATTACCCAAAACGTTCCCAAAACATCTCAAGCACCTTTTAAGGCCATCTGTAAACGCCTCCTTCTTACACTTCTCGAAAGCCATCGCCTTGTTCTTTGCATTCTCAATGTATCCATAGCCAAAATCTTCGTGGTACGTTCCATCTCGTATCGTGATACGCACCACCACTGAGAGACCCATGGAAATCCTCCCTGTATTACCGTGGGTATCAAAATAGTCTACTTGGGATGAAATAAGCTCAGAGCACCACCCATTAAACCCGAATATTTCATTGGCTAAGTTTAACGCCTTCCATCCTTCGATATACGATACTTTTTGACCACCACCTCCGGGACGGAAACTGACATACTCGGGGCCCAACACTTTATCAAGTGCCTCCAGAATTCTCTTATGCTCCTCGACTGTGTAAGGAATCAGCTTAAATGCTTGTGACTGAGCGCCATTGGGTTTGTATTTCGTCTCGTTGAACGGCGTGAACTTATAATTTGGTGTGGACAGCGGGAGTCCATTAGTAGGACCACCGTTTCTAAAATTCTGGTTACTCATATCTAATTATAATGCTGCAATTTAAAACAGAATAGACAGTAAGTACCTCCAACAAGTTAAAGAGGTTTAGCGTAAATAAAAAAAGCAGTGTTTATGATTTGCGATTTTGTGTCACTTTCTTTAAACGCGCCTGGTGAAGCGCTCAGTTGGAGAGGAAACGCAAGAGTAGCGAGACATAGAGAAAGCTTACTGGTGTGATAAACCAAAGTATATAGGGTTATATGTGTATAGGGGATGTTGGAATGAGGTACAAAGTGACATAGTAAAGAAGATGAGCAGCAAAAGAGACAAGAAAGATAATCTAAATAGTGACAATACTGCACCTGAGAGCAGCGCAGACCCTCTGTGTGAGGAAAAGGTTGCATTTCCAAAATCAGTCATTGCACAAGATGAAGCTTCTGAAAACGTACCTGAAGAGGTCACCATTCGTAAAAAATCCTCTATTCTTAAGCAAAGTCAATCATTCTTGAGGCGTAGACAAATAGACGAATATAAAATGTTAGTCTTGAAGGAAGAAAGAAAGTTGCGATACTTGAAGAGACATGGAGACTTCACTGATGATGAGGATGAGTTCAAAAATAGTCCCTCTTCGCTGCCGAAGAAAAAGGTCAGCTTTGAGCTGGATAAAGCAGGTACGAAGTACATGAGCAACGCCCATAAACCCAGTACCAAGAGTACAGTTGACGAACAAGCAGAGGAGAAAGTAAATGAGAAGGAAACTGCATAAATATATTATTTCAGAGACACCACTATCTTTTCTTCATAGGCAGCGCAGGTCGCCCTAAGCACCCTCGCACACACGCATACACACACACACATACACTATCTTAGTTAATACTCTATTATACATTCTGTACTAAAATCTAATATACACATACTTACATATTATTCTATAGCTCGACGCTAGATATCAAAGTGATATTATCTCCCTTTAATAATATGCGACCCAATTCTTCCCTCGATCCATCTTCGGTTGATACTTCGACTGCATCATCTATCACCACATTCATGAATTCATCGAATCCTCTGATTTTACCTTGAATTCTCAGCTGGTTTTGTTCATACAACCATATAGTTACCGGAACTTGTTGTTGCAAGTATTTGAATATAAGGTTTATAGGAGGAATCATCGTCCTCTTTTTATTGGTCGACGACATGATGGGATGTAATAATCTGTGTACTCCTTCTCATCTTGTCTTGGCTAGTCTTCGTTTTTTTTTGCTCTTGGGCTCTTTTGTCAAAACTGCAACTGAGAGCTGACATCATGGACTGCATGTAGAATGAACATGACATTTCACTTTGTATGTATATACAGGACTGGTGTTTACAGTTCCACGAAGCTCTTCATTAGTCTTTATAAGTAGGCTGGTATTGTAGTATTGCGTTGTAGTATTGTGTTGTAGGATGGACTTCAAAGGAGAGTTTAAAGGATGGCTCCTCGAAGAGGCTGATATTGCCACGAAAAAGGGATCTAAGGCTGCCTTGCTTTACAATAAAGCGGTAGATTCTATAGATCAAGTCGATGCGATTAGTGATTTGCAAGCATTGAAAAGCGTGAAGTACATTGGAGAAAGAACGTTAAAGTTATTGTTGAATAAATTGAAATCACATTGTGAGAGTCAAGGCGTCGAATTTCCTAAGGATTTTGAAACAGTAAGCAAAAAGAGAACTGCTGATACAGCAGAAGGTGACGACGAATCGCACACTTGTGTGAGCAAACCCATCAAGAAGCGAAAGAAAAGAATATACGTTCCAGCTAAAAGATCTGGTGGATATTCGATCCTTATTGCATTATATACTCAAGATTTCAATAGAGATGGACTTACTCAGGATGAGGTGATAAAACATGCTACTCCATTTTGCGATAAGTCATTTAAATCGAATCCCGCTTCGAACCAATTCTATTCAGCTTGGAGCTCGGTGAAGCAGTTGGAAAAGCATGACTTAGTCAAATGCACCGGTAGGCCAAAGAGGTACTATTTAACAGATGAAGGACTAGAATTAGCAACTAAATTAAAAGTAGGCGAAGGGATCGAATCCCCGCAAGCTTCCAAGATTGTAAATCGAGAAGAAACTGGATTTACAGAAGGAGAAATTGATAACTCGACAGCTGATTCGTACGCCGGGGTTAACTATACAACCTGGAATTCAGGCTCGTATGAGATTGTCTTAATCATTGACACGAGAGAAGTGAGATCGCAAAGTGAAAGAGATTTCTTTCAAAAGACTCTCTCAAGCTCTGGTATCAAATGTGAGGTGCTTCCATTATCTGTGGGCGATGGACTTTGGATCGCAAGAAATCATGTTACCGGTGAAGAAGTCGTGTTGAATAATATCTTTGAAAGAAAGAGAATTGATGATTTAGCATTTTCCATAAGAGATGGTAGATTTCAGGAACAAAAGAATAGACTAAAGATGGCTGCCATGAAGAATAATTACTACATAGTTGAGGAAGGAGGATTTGATCAAATGGGCGTATCTGTGTCTGGAGAAGCATTGCAAACTGCAATTTCAATGACCATCACATCTTCAGACTTTTATTTGAAAAAATTGAAAACCATAGAAGACACCGTTTCGTTCTTGAAGTGTTTAACTGAGGTTCTCATTGAAGACTTCATTGAGAAGCGAACGTTGATTGTTTTAAAGCCTAGTAGTCTTAAAAATCAATATGAGTACGAACTGGTCATCTCGATGTTCAGGGATAGATTTGAAAAAACAACCCAACAAACAATGCTGCATGAATCTAACTCATCTACTTTTGAATGTGTGTACCCATTTGAGACATTCAAAGTGATGATGGCCAAGTCTATGACCACAGTCAAGGAGACGTTTATACAGATGCTATTGTGTGTACGAGGCGTATCTATTGATAAAGCGTACACCATTCAGAAGCAGTTTGGAACTCCGAAGAATTTTCTAGACTACTTCAAGCGGAAGGAAGAAGAGAACTTGGAACTCAAAGAAAAGAAGCTATTAATGAGCAATTTGTTTAAACATCACATAGGCAACAAAAAAATTGGCCCCTCGTTATCAGAGAAAATCTATGAGATCTGGGGCGATATTGAAGGTAGTGATAAGGGTTGATCAGCTGGTCTGCCAACCGAAATCAATACATCGAGCCAATACGAGAAATAGGTATACCAATAAATAAAATACAGTGCATGTATAAAAAAAAAAAATTGTGCAACACCAAGAATTGATCTCTCTTACTCCACATACCATCAGAGCAATCATACTACTGTTATATAACCACTAGCCCTGATAACCTACTACTATGTAACCACCTAGTCTGTCCACTGTAGAATTGCAACCATTTGAAGTGGGTCGTGTGCGGGCTAAACCACATACATGAAATTTTTCACTTTCAATTTTTTTTTTTTCTTCACCAAACTTGAAAGACCTCCAACCACCAACTTACCCCCATAGATCCCCTATTATCTAGCTTATAATGGGAAAAGGTAACTTAAGGTTCGGCGGAAAGTCAGGTATTTTACCGAAACCCCGTCCGATTTTCAAACGTAACCCAATCAGACTCCCTACCGAGTCCGAACTCCAACAAGAAGCACAAGCAGAACAAGGTTACGTCGAAGGGATACCAGAGCCTGTGAAGTCCGGATTTAAATTCCCTAGGGCTCCTGTTTCGAAGCCAGTGGTAACAGTACAAGAAAGAATCGTCAAGACCATAGACCAGCAAGCAGCCAAGGTCGCCAACATCGATACATCTAAGTTATCACAGGACGAAATATGGCAACTCAAGAAAGATGAAATCCGTAGAGCTCACTTAAGAGATGCGTACCTCATCGAAGAGAAAAGGTTAGCCAGAATTGACGAATTGAAAGCCAAGCAGGAAGCTAAGCAAAGAGAAGAGAAGGCCCTCGAGAAGGTGTACGAAGAGTCTACTGCCACCAAATTGACCTTACCTACAATTGATTCATACTTAAAGGGCCCTCTCGTAAGAAGGAGAACAGCCGAGGAAGAGGAACTTTTACACGAGCAAAGAGTTCTTAATCGTATGCAAGCAGACTTGAAGTACAGGGAAAGAAAAGCCATTGATGTGTTAGACTTGTACCATGCCGCCAGTCAGTTCATTACTACTGAGAAGGAATTGGAACAGGCCATCACTGATGCATTTGAAGTTAACGTCGACAATTTCGACAAGGAGATGGAAGTAGAGGCTAAGTTGGCAGGACGTACATATGCAATCTCCCATCAACTGAAGAATGAAGCCATTATAATCGACCACGCCTTGGGTGAGCTTAACGGCCAAGCAGGCTTAGAATCTATTGAAAATGCCTTGGATGGAGAACTTGAGAAGTTGAGAATGAAGGCACAGACTGCATCGATTGAATAGATGAGACATGGGGCAAAAGGCAGACCGCAGAAAGCACAAGGAGAACCCCACACACCAGCTAGGTGATTAGCAATATATGTATATAGACCACATTAATGAAGATGAAACAGTTAAGTAAGTTAAGCAAAGGCTAATAGGTGAAGTGTAGGACGCAAAAAAGAGCTGCAACCACTTGAAGCCAGCCCAGGACACCAGTCTGTCTATCGTATAGTCGACCATGGGTGCTCATGGGGGACCCATCCTCTCGTTCTTGAACTAGCTCCCAGCAGCCTGATATTGCATTATATGCAGTACCAACACGGTCCTAGCTTGCACTGATTTTTTTTTTTTTTTCGATTTTTCTTCACTGTTTAGGAAGCTCTTCACTCTACTTTCCATCAAATAATCTGCCAATTACAAGCGAGGGGCTCTTTAGTCATGGTATCTCCTTCAGTAACGTCATACCACTCTATCTACACCAAGGTAGAGCGCAAAAGATTGAAGTATGTGAACAAAATTGGGATCTTGGTTGCGATTGCAATTGGAATATCGCTCTCACTTCCTTCCTCATTGAGCAAGAGTCCTAGCGACATCAACAAACCCGCTGGAACAGGCTCTGCAAATAGCGGAAAGAGCTCAGCAGCGACATCTACGTTCTGGTGGAGCTGTATACTAGGCACTTTCATCTACAGAACTCCAATAATATTTCTGGCAATCTTTCTGGTGAAGTTAGCAAGACAATTTGACACCACTGTTTTATTCTCCAAGCACAAGACGTTGGTTAGTCAAACAATTCACTCTGTGTCATCCAAGAAATTCCTTGTGGTTGCGCTTTACTATATCTTATCGTCGGTATTGATATTTTTATGCTCGTATATCCAGAGCCCGATTGCGGTCTACTTGGTTGCCAAAGAGTACAGGCAAAAGGACTTCCTTAACGATGATTTTGTTTACTTTGCCTTCAGTTCCGTGTTTTTGGCTGTATTGTATAGTATACAGCACTTAGCTCTCCAGAGAAACAGACTTAACTTATTCAAGTATGGAGTCGCAAAGATACGGCCATCCATCTTGGAAAGCATCTTGAAACCAATTCCACGTTTAATCTTGATCTCATTGATTTCCAGTTTTGCTGTGAGCTTCGTGTTGTGCCCTGCATTTTATTACTTGTTCGGCACTGGCAGATTGATATACAGGTTGAACTGGTTGACATTGGTCATCGTTGGCTTGGATACCGAACTGCATTCCACTGGATTGGCGAATAAATGGCAAACTGCCAAACAGATCCTGTGGTGCTCGTTTCATGTGATTTTGAGTTGGGAGCTAATCAACCATTACTTCAACGTGTACTCATCCATTGGCTGTCTTGATGGTAAGAAGTCCATCAGTAGCTACAGCTCTGACCCATTGAATACGTTAATATCTGGACTTCGTGACTATTCTAATGAGTTGACCAGATTGACTGCCTTCCAGGAATTGGCTTACATCTCTACCACAACCATGAACGATGATGTCATAAAATTGAGGCACGCCATCTACAACGCCAACTCAAATAAATTTGGGCCTATTTGGTCGATTATCTTCGAGGAATGCTCGTTAATAATCAGGGAAACTTGTCTGAGGGTTAACTACAGATCTGTCAGTGACTTGAATAGGCAACAGCAGCAAACGAAAGAACAATTGCAGAACTCTGCAAATGCAGCTGCTGTTCTTGCAGCAAGGTCAATTCCAAACGTTTCTGCTTCAGAGAAAACCGATATCTTTGGAAACTCCACTGCTGAAACTACTGCTCAGAAAAAGAACTCCATTGGTATGAAGAGGTATAGCGAAAGCTCCCCATCGCCAACTACGGTGCCTGCAGAAGATAAACCCCATAAGGAAACACCAAAGAATGTGTTATTCACATATTTTGTAATCCTCAGATCGCATTACTACACATTCTATGCACAATTGAATAAGCTAGGAGCCAAAACAGTGCTCCCACCTATCTTCAAATCCATATACACTTTGTACCATACTAAGTACATCCAATATAGAGATGAAATTATTTCCACGCCAATTGGCATAGTGTTCCGTGTTTCGCTCAAAAGAGACTGTGAATCTCGTATAATAGACCCAATTACATTTGGAAACGCAGTGATCTCTGTCTCACAATTGCTTATTCGTGCAAATGAAGAAGATAGAAGGGGCGCTATTCAAAATCATGACATCGCTGATGTGTTGACTCTCTTGGAAAGACCAATTAGAGCGATGAATAATTACACCGAACTGTTGCCTCCTAGTATTGATCTTTCAGCGCTTCAAAGGAAATCATCAGAGTTGACCAAACAGCATCTCATTGCTTTACTTCACGACTTGTCTATTAAAGAGTTCTTCGATATTTGTGTCAAGTACAACTCAAAATTGAATGATCTTATATTAGCACCAAGAGTTTTCAAGCTCGCGAAGCGTGTCATTGATGCTGCCATTGCCCAGAGGTCGTCCAAATCATACACAACAAGCTATAGGTAAGGGAAAAGAAGTAAGTGAGAAACAAGAATGTACAATATAAAACCTTTCCCCTTCATTTATATATAAATAGGAATATATTCTTTTTACTTGTCTATATATAAATATACAACAATATCTATACATAATTATTATTTTCGGTATTCACAACTATTTACTCTGTCCATCGTTGTCATCCTTATATTTCTTATCACTAGGTAAGTTGTCCAATAATACTGGTTTTAGAACTTGTTCATCAAATCTAGTAAACCACTTAGAGTGCTCATCTGAGCCAAGGAAATTTCCTAATAATCCACCGCTCGATTCTCCGCTATTCAAGTTGTTGGAACTAGTACCGTTATGAAGAAGATCCTCAAGATCACTTCCTACTTCATCATCGTCATTCATCAAATCTGCTGATGAACTATTCAATGAGCCCGGTAACCCATTTTGTAACTGTGATTGTGAAGGCACTCTGAAAGTTCCAAGAGAAACCTGAGAATCCGTTCTAGATCTGACATCTTTACCCCCAAATACTCCCTTGGACCCAATGCCTGTAGATGGGACAAACCTTCTACTTCCTAGTATTCCGTTACTATTGTTGTTGGAGGAATTAAGGTCTAATCTTGGAGCCTCAATTTCAAACTCGTCATCTGACTCAGCGTGTTCATCTATAACACCTATCTTGATTCCTAAGATTTCTAACATCAGTGCGGTAGTTCCTCCAAAGAGAATCACGGTCAACACGACTACAACTAAAACAGTAGCCAACAAAGTCCACTTGGCTTCACCTTGAATTCCCATTGCCAATGCAACTCCAACTGCACCCCTTAACCCAGCCCAAAATATCATCATCTGATACGAGTGGGAAATCTCATCGGGGATAACGTTTGTGGATGCGATTCCTCCATTGGCACCTAGTCTATGGACAAATTCCTTAAATCTGGCCTTGTAGAGGAAATTAAGTAATCTTGATAAAGGAAATACAGCAGACCACCTAGCAACACAAATGGTTCCGAACGTAATAATAATTAAGAGAGGCTTGAAGACTAACTCCACCTCAGTGAAAAGTGATAACCCTAAGTAAATGAAAATAAAATTTTCTGATAATTGAGCCAATAACTGGAAAATATACTTGGTCGCAATTTGTGTCCTTCTTGACATGTTGTAGTAGGCATAGTGTTTTAAAGTAATGCCGCAGAACAATAACGATACAATTCCTGACATGTGTGCTCCGTTTGAAAAGAAATACGATTCATAAGCTACAAGCAACACCAAACATGTCTCAATCTGTGGGTATCTTCTAATGTGGGAATGCTTTAAGATCAATGCTACAAGGATCCCTATCAAGATTCCAATTATGGTCGAAATGGTAAATGTCATCAAAAACAATCCAATACCTTCAAAAAGTGACGAAAAGTGTAGGGCCTTACCATGGAACTTTTGACAAGTTTCAAACATAACGATTGAAATAGCATCATTCAAGAGCGATTCGCCAAAGATAATGGTGTATAATTTGGGATCAACTTTGTAGGCATTGAAAATTGACAAGATAGTCACCGGATCGGTAGCTGATAACGTTGCACCTACAGCGAGGGCATCTACGAATTCCAACTTAACTCCATCGAGTCCCAAGGATGTCCAGATGTACAAGATTATACCGACCACCAACGACGATATGAAGGTACCCGGAATGGCGAATGTCAAGATTGACCCCAAATTCCTGAAAAAGTTGGCCTGATGAAGTTCATATCCCGAATTCAAGATAATTGGGGGCAACAAGATATTGAAAAAGTAACTAGACTTGAACTTGACAGCGTCCTGGATATAGTGACCAGGTGATACTCTGATTATTAATCCTACTACCATACCGTAGAAGATGGAAAGAACGGTTTCATGTATAGCTTTGATTCTTCGTTGCTGAAGGAAATACGAAGACCACAATGCCGAGCATAGAAGGAACAACAAGATGAACAATGCCCACGACGAGAACATTTCTTCGGCTACTGGATCTGTTTCCTCTTCATCTGGAGTGGTTATTTCGGGTAATTCATCGTCTAGGTCGACAGGTGTCTTAACTGCTCGCTTAAGGATTTCCTTCCCAGCAAATAGTATAATTGACAGCATGCTGCAAAAGAGGCAATGTGATGGAAATCAATTAATTCGTTTATTTTCTGATGGAATTGAGTCTTGAGTCACGCCTTCCAATTTCTAAAACCTGCTTGATTCTCTATTACGCTGTATATGTATTCGATTATAGTAATATATGGGTAATGCTCTCTATCTCCCTCTTTCTTGTACGCGTTCGCAGTGTCCGATAGGTGAACCAAATCGCTGTCTATTTTTTTTGATCGACTGCGCTGCTGTGGATAATAAGGGGTCGTGCGTCGAACAGAAAAGAAGCTGTTCAGTATGCGTAAGAGGCAAGCTGGTACATGGAGTGTGCAACACCTGTGCAACACTTGTGCGACACCTGTGCGACAACACCTGTACAACGGTTGTGCCACCAGCACAAGGAACGAAAAGTATAGTGACTGAGACAAGAATGGTGGTATTGATTGAGCAGATATGGGGAATCGAGAACTTGGTGTTCAAAAGCGGGAAAAATGAAATTGCATTTAATATAAGCTTTAGAGTGGTTCAGTTCACAGTTGCAGCTTTGAAGATTGAAAGTATGCCAAATATTGGTATTTTGTACACTTTCTTGCTACTCTCTACAATTTTTTGTGTAGCCCCCATTCTTCTGAATCACACTCGTCTACCGTTCATTGAGCTACGATGAACTACTTGCGCTTACTAATTTCCTCATATACACATTCCAATTTTAAGACTTGACCGAACTTACTAACTCAGTAACTTAGCTAATCGTAAAATGAAGTAACAACTAAAAGTACGCTTGCTCTTAGTACCTAATATTAAAACCTAGTTTTGCACTCTGGCGCGGACATAACACTATTTATTAAATAGTGTCACTTGTTATTTCGGTATTGTGTAGTTCCATGTCCTCATCTGAGGAGTTTCAGGCTGTGCTTTATGTAGAAGTGAAACTAATATTAGTCGAAATGTTTTAGCAGAAGGCTGACCTGAATGGAAGTGAGCATGGCCCACTGACCTCTTCCGTTCGTATTTTGGTCCCTCCATTGTTATATGGGCTAAATTAATAATTTACGGCGCATATGTAGTGGTTAAGCCGTCGTTGTAGGTCACTTCCACCTATTAGGTTGTTATAATGTTTTCCTTATACTTTCTTCTACAAGCGGCTTTAGCGAATTCCTTAAAACCTAGTTTGTTAGTGATGTTTTGAAAATATAGTAACCGCTTGATTGCATCACTACAAATAGTATATCTGCTTTTGCAGTATCTTGAAGCTCTCATGCTGTGTATATATATATGTTCTATTTCCGCCCATCCCTATGGCCTTTTAGTTCTACTCTTCTGTATTTGTAAGTTACCATGACTCAAGAAAAAATCATCCTTCACTGGCTAAATTTCTCCCGTGCCCACAGAGTTCTCTGGCTTCTTGAAGAATTAGAGGTGCCATATGAATTAAAACTTTATGAACGTGATGAAGATTATCGTGCTCCACCTCAGTTGAAAAAAATTCATCAGTTGGGGAGATCTCCTATATTGGAGATTTATCCTGATGGTAACGAAGATCCAATCATCTTGGCTGAAACTGGGTACATTATGAGTTACATATTGGAAAACTATAATCCAAAAGGGAAATTGGTTCCAGAAAGTAAAAGGAACCAGGAGCTAGTGAAATATTACTTATATTATGCCGAAGGTACTTTGCAAGGGATTTTAGTTTCTCTTTATGTTCTAGGCGAAACATCCAAAAGAGCTCCATGGGGTGGTAGAACAATTGGTGGTTTGGTAGCTAAGGGAATTTCAAAAGGTTATTACTTACCAGAAGCATTTTCGAATTTAGATTTCTTAGAAGAGCAATTATCAAAACAGCCAGGTGGGTACTTCGCTGGCGACAAACTATCTGCTGCGGACATTATACTTAGTTTCCCATTAAATGATGACCTTTTCTCAAATAGAGCCGCTATGAATAGGGTTGGACTGGATATTTCTAGCAAGTACCCTAATATCAAGGCGTGGCGCAAAAGGATTGTTAAAGAACCGGGCTTAATCAGAGCAAATGAGATCATCAAAAAAGACTTGTAAAACTATGAGCCTCTATGTATTAGCAAATGTACAACCTTTTATGAATTTCTATGTAACTGACTTACATAATTGACTATATAAGCATATCTGACACTCTATGATATTCAGTTACGTACAATGGTACTCATTCATACGTTAGTGGTACCAGACCTTATTGGTGCCTGATATTCTAAAGATAACTCACCATAGAGATACCTTAGTGATATTCCAATCCAATGTGTAGAACACTTCGTAAAGAACCACAGCTTTAACTTTTGCAATCTGCAGCATCTTTTGAATTTTTTATTTTTTGTGATTCAAACGCAATCAGTCCTGTCCAAAAAGAGCCAGCATATTCTCAAATAGGTGGTTGCATATTTTTAGTTGACAATAAGTAAAGACAGATGCCCAATTAGTTACCACCTTTCTACATAGAAAATAAACTTAGAATGCTTACATTTGCGCTATTTGTGATATTGCAGGCGATAAGACCACTATTTTGGCCTTTTTCCATAGACTATAACTCATTAGAGTTATAGTTCAACTGACAATGCTGATTTTTCTGTGCTTTGTCAAATCTTTTTTTTTTTTCGTAAAATGCTAACTTGCGCCAGCATATACTTTACGTGAAATAGCTACAAGTAAATTTAGTGCTAGAGAATAAGAGACAGACACTATTTAACCGTATTGAAGCTAAATGTATTTTTACGTATACGACAACGAAATGACACTACACTACTCTAAACTAAACTACACTACACCACATTCCATCTATATTCTTTGCGTCGTCGTCTTGGGTGCAAACGATGTATCTCAATTTCAGCTCATTTTTGGTGTAGCGCCTAATATTTTTTCTTTTAGTTTTTCTTCCTTCGATTCTCGTACAATTTTTCCGTCTTTCGTTCTCACTCACAAAGTAAGCCACCATTAAACGAAGTAATCCAGAGATAAGCCTGAGGGTACCTTCACAACTAAAGTCCGTATTCCAAGTCCATGATTGAATATACTTCCGTAAGTTCAGTTCTTCACTCGTCTAGTATCCAAACCCTCACCTTATCAATTGCAATCACAAAGTTGCAATGCTGAATATGAAATAAGCTCAATTATTATTTATTTCTCCCCTTATGAAGACATGCAATGCTCAAAAAATAATAGCGAGAGCCCCCAAATTAATTTCAATGCACCCGCAACGTTCGCCCTGTTCCCACACCCACCTCATCTATTGTTGCCCCTTTAAATGGACTGGGGAGTATCTAAAAGAAAACGAATGTAGCCACTATAGACTTCGAATTCTTTCAAGAAGCCGTATATGTTTTCGAAATTTGCGAGCCCTGTCAAAGTTAAGCTTACTACCCTCTCAGAATTCCAAGCTGTTCCTCACATACCACTGTCAGCTTCAACGTAATCAAAGCACCATTGGTGAAATTTGGCGTTTCGTTTCTTTTTTTTTTTACTGTGTATGTTTTTTATTTTGTTAGCTTTATTTCTATTTACAGATTCCTCCTGCACACAGGACGACTCTTTTCTTTTTTTTTCCTCTATGCGTCTCTCTATTTTTTTTTTTAGTTCACGTTTTTACTTTATTTTTTATCAACAGTCTTCTTCGTTTGTTGCCAGTCTAGCACTAGTATACTATATATTAGATACATATCTTGCCTTATCGTTTTAAGACGTGCATTCTATCCCAATCCATTCGCTTACCAAATTTCAGGGATCTCAGAATCGTATTTTTTTTTATGTTTTTTTTCTTCTTACACTTGTCACCAAAAATACAAAACCACTAAGTGCAAGACGAAGCTCAGTAATTTGTTAAGACTCGATAAAAGTAGCATACTATACTATCTACCGTACCATTTTTCTGGCTAGGCTTCGCTGAAAGCATTACACACTCGCTGCAACTGACAATTGAATCTCAAACTACTTCAAAATGGTCTACGACTACTCCTCCCAGGTTAATCCTAACCTGTCCTCCACCAACTTACTCAACTTATCGTCTAGCACCAAGCCCAAGCCCGGCAGGATCCAGGAACCGAAGCCAGGGAGACTCTTCCTAAACAGCAATAGCAGTTTCACTGCTATAAGTCCGGGATTTTCCAACTTTTCACAATTCCAACTCCCTTTGACACCACCGGTTTCAAACACTGGCACTCCTGTTAAAGAAAGGGACTCGTATCCTCTCCCCAAGTTCTTGAATAAGGGACAGGATCAATTGAAAACCATCTCACTTGAATCCAAATGGCTTCCGCCCATAGATCTCAAGATTTGCATATTGTGCTTCGCATGGTACTTCTGCTCGGCCATCTCTGGTAACTCCACTAAGTCGATCTTGAAGCAGTTCAACTACTCCGTGACTCTTACGGAAGTGCAGTTCTTGTTGAACTGCTTCTTTTGCTTAGTTCTGTTGCTGTTGATATTGAACAACAAGAGCATTGCCAACTACTTCCCTGTGGGGTTTGCTCCAAACTTGAACGAAATGAAATCCGTGAGCCAGTTCGTCCAGCCAAACAGATTAGTGATCAACACCACTTTACCCATGGGAATATTTCAATTTGTGGGCCATTTAACGTCGCATAAGGCCACCTCTATGATCCCAGTCTCCATGGTAAATACAGTCAAGGCATTAGCTCCCTTGACCACCGTGTTGACTTATAGATTTATGTTCCAAATCAAATACAAACTAGTTACGTATTTGACGTTGATACCCTTGGTAATAGGTATTATGTTGACCTGCTACAAGCCCAAAAAGTCCGCCTCCAATGCCATTCCCTCGTACAAGACTGGATTGTTTTACGGCTTTGTATCAATGCTTATCTTTGTCTCGCAGAACATCTTTGCCAAAAAGATCTTAACTGTCATCGATAGGAATGCTGCCAAAGATCTCCCAATAGCGTCCAAGCCAAAAGAAGAAAAGAAGCACGACAAGATTACGATCTTGTTCTATTGTTCATTGATCGGATTCATATTCACCTTGCCAGTGTACATCATTCTGGAGTTTAAACATGAAGGCGGAGTTTCTCTTTTCAAGATCAATTTTACCATTTTCAGCATAATGATATTGAACGGACTTTCACATTTCCTTCAATCCTTACTTGCATTTCAGATATTGGGCAGCATCTCGCCGGTGAACTATTCCATTGCCAATATGATGAAGAGAATCGTGGTTATATGCGTAGCCATCCTTTGGGAGGGCCAAACAGTGACCTACATGCAAGGATATGGATTGGGGTTGACGATGATTGGGCTTTATTGTTATGACAGATGGGGAACGAGGCATTTATGATCACCAAACACTTTCAATCCTTTCTCCCTGTTGACACCGTCACCACCACCTGCATGTATTATTACTATTAGATAAATAAACTTAATGTATATTAATAATTTTCTTTTGAATATTTCGATATTTGCTATAGAAACCATCTGATTGTCATGATACTATTCTGGTCCTCTTCACGTCGTATTAATGACCACCGTCAGTCTTGAATAACTGCTTCAATATGTCACCAAAGGCAACCATAAACACGGTTTGCCAGACACTTAACCCAATTCTAGGTGCCACACCTCTGTACAAACCCTTGATACCGTTTTGCTTGTAGATGTATGCAAATGCGGATCCCACAGACAACTTCTTTGGTCTGTTTGGATCGTTAGTCTTGGATTGCATTTCAACCCTAATAACTTCGATAGGCTGGTTCCAAGCGGAGAGACCACCACCGATTACGGAACCACCAATCTTTTCAAGTGCAGATAACTTTTCCAGATCGCTCTTTCCACGAATCTTTCTAATGAAGTCTTCTGCCAACCTTGAGAATGCAAATCTTGAACCCCAGTTGGTCATTTGACGAAGAGCAACAGCATTGACACCCTTGTTAATACCTCTGATACCTTCCTTGGCGTAAATTTCCTTGAATACTTGGAATGAAGTTTGTTGTGCAACACCAGGTACGACAGCTTGCTTGGCTCTGGTTATTTCAACTGTTTTCATACAGGTACAGAAACCCATAGTCATGTAGGCTTGAACAAGACCACCTGAGACACCTCCACCCATTCCGGAAATGAATGGAGAGAATCCAAATCTCTTGAATTGGAATTCGGCCTCAGAGGAGACGAAAAGCAACACAGCACCCTTGGTGGATGCCTCAATCCATGCCCATGGGATCAAACCTTGGTAGAATCCAAAGACACCACCTCTTGACCACACGGTCTTTGTTGCTTGTAAAAGATTCAAGTTTCTGTTGGCAGCCATGGTAGTCTTTACAACTTCCAATGGTTGACCTAACGTAGACACTTCAGCAAGGTTAAGACCTGCACCAAGCGCAATGTTTGCAAAGCTGATCGGCTTCTTTTTGATTTCAGTGGACGACGATAATTCTGCAGCTGCCATTGTGTAGTTCTGAGTGAATAGGTGAGATTATTAATATACCCAATGCAAAGTAAACGTTGCCTAATTTTTCTTTGTAGGCGGTCGTTTTTCCTTCTAAGATTTGGTTCCCTATACTGTTGATGGGGTTATATGCACTACGCGAATTGATCAAAAATTTTCCAGTGTAGAGTTCAGTGCGGCTGGATCAAAAAAGTTCTGAGTCAAAGAGGAAGATAGAACGACTTTCCTTGGTGGTGAGGATGCTGAGATCCTTATATATAAGTGACAAGAGCGGACCGATCCCGTACGTACACGATATAGACATGAAAGCAGCGCCTAAAGCGTGAGGAGAACAGCCTGGATGTGTATCTTTCTCTGTTCTATTGGTTGGCTAGTTATGCATATTGATAAAAAATCGTTCAGCCTGCAGCGGCCGGGACCGGGAAGGCGGGGAAACGAGATTGCAAAAGAAAAAAAAAGATTTTACTCATAAATGGTCCTAGAATAGCTAAGCTACTAGGTAGTGAAGAGGAAGAGCTGTAGAGAGAAAGAGGCGATGAGCATCTAATAGTGGCCAGTGCGTACACGAAAACGCTGCACAATGGTACTAGCGGTGGTTAGACGGGTAAAATTGAATTCAACGAAGTATAAGATAGGTGGGGTGGTGATGCATTAATATATGGCGCTGTTCAAAATTGTTCCATTCCAATCTGCAAGTCTAATTAGCTTACCGGAGTCGAGATCGGGTTCCTACTCAACAATTTAGGAGATGAAATTCCAGGAGAACGCCAAAAGGAAGTAAACATACAATGCATTATTCCGAAAGCAGCACATAAATATGAACGGAAGTACTATCCAAGAACACCTCCCAGCAGTTGTATGATGTCACTTCAAATGCTAAATTCATAGTGAACCGTCCATGTTAAACAGTGCTGCCATTTGGTGCGCGGAAGACTTCCCACCTTGGTACAAGACAGTGCAGCACTTTATATGCAGGTCGTTACAAACAGACTGTGGAAGAAAATAACAGTAGGTTAAGGTCGACCAAACTCAATGGCAACTTGCTAGTATTTATAGGGAAGAGTAGCAGAATGGAGCTAATAGAAGCTAAAAACCAGAAACTAAGCTTTTGGGGTCTCGTGGTGTCCATCTATGCAAGCCGTAGCAATGTAAGCTGCACACTCTCTAAAAGACAGCTTCAATTGTCATCATCCTGCACATAAACCAAATTGCTTTCCTTTTTTCCTACATACACAAAAAATTGTGGTTGTCCCCTCACAATTAATAATCGATGGCAACGTATAAATTCATTCCTTCCTCCTGTTGCTTCACTTCTTTTCAAATATTATATGTTTTCGACAATTAAAAGATATTTTACAACACAAACCATGGTTAGCGCAGAAACAACTAAGAAAGTTCAAGAATTGATTAAGAATAAGCCAATTTTTATTGCATCAAAGGTACGTAGAGCAACAAAAAGAAAGATTGTAGAGAAGAATTGTGGCAGTAGGTAGTACTTGTAGACACATCAAGTCGTCGATGCATCATAGTGTAATAATGGGTGAATTCATTAGAAAGAGCCAAAGAGCCAGAAGGAAAATGCGACTTTCTGGGTTTTCTTTTATCGTTTGTCTTCGTAATCCAATGTTAAAGGGTACTTATTCTTCTTCTTCTATCGATTATCTAATTGAATCTGCGAAATTCTCTATATACTAACAATTCAAAGTCTTACTGTCCATACTGTACCAAGACCAAGAACCTTATCAATTCCATCACCAAGGAAGCTTACATAATCGAGTTAGATGAAACTGAAGACGGCAGTGAGATTCAAGCTGCTCTTGCTGAATTAACTGGCCAAAGAACTGTTCCAAACGTCTTCATTGGTGGTGAGCACATTGGTGGTAACTCTGATGTCCAAGCCTTGAACTCTCAAGATGCTTTAGTTCCAAAGATCAAGGCTGTATTGTAGGCGGTTCCATAAGAACAGTGAAAATACCGAGATTTTATGCTAGTGTTTATGTTATTTAATTAATAGAATTTAGTGCTAAGAATGTCTCAATTGTAACTATGATGTAGAGATCACGTAGCACATAGTAGTCCATCGAGCTATCCAGTTTAACTGGCGAACAAAGCTGATCTGCAACCACGACTCAAAGGCTCTGGCTGGATGGCCAGTGCTCTCAGCGAAGGTCGTGCACGACACCAATATGAGTTCCAATTTTTCAGGCAAATACAAAAAAAAAGTTGTCCCTACCGCTTCACTGGTGATCTGAGTTGAATAAGTCTAACTATAACCAAGAATGTCGACCTATAGTCTTCAAGTTCGTCAAGCGGTTCCCTCCGTCGACCCCGTTGTTGTATCTTATGCCTCAGGTTACATTCAGCATGTCTCCAACAACACAGAGGATAGCGTCACAGCTCAGCTAATTGATATCCCAGAAGAAATGTTCTTTATTAACAAGCTTTTAATTGAAGCAGGAGGCATTGAAGCTAAGGTCAACGAGCTCACTAATAAGCTCATTGAAGTCCTTGGCGAAAAATTGAGAGAAAACACTGCTAAGTTAGAACTTACCGGAGACAAGTCCAAGAGGTTATTGGACATCAATTTATTGCAGCAAAATAACTCCAAGAGAGATATCAACCTGTCCTTGGCACTTCTTAGTGCCAGTAATGACATCGAGCATACTGGTAGAAAGATGGAAAGTAGAGTCGATAAGAAGAAGTTAGAGAAGCAAGAAAGAAAGATTGCCAAGAAGGTGGCTAAGAGAAATAACAAGTTTGTTCAATATGAAGCCTCCAAGCTATTAAACGAATCTAATGGTGATGACTACGATTCCTTCTTCTTGAAGATTAACCCTATCGACTTTGGTTCTGGAGCCGGAAAGTCCAAGGATATTAAGCTTGATAACTTTGATTTGTATGTTGGGGAAGGTCAAAGAATCTTGAGCGATGCTTCATTGACTTTAGCTTACGGAAGAAGATACGGTTTGGTAGGTCAAAACGGTATTGGTAAATCTACATTGTTAAGAGCATTGTCTAGAAGAGAATTGAATGTCCCTAAACATATTTCTATTTTGCATGTGGAACAAGAAATCAGAGGAGATGATACTTCTGCTATACAGAGTGTGTTAGACGCTGATGTTTGGCGTAAAAACTTACTCGGAGAAGAGCAAAAGATTGCAGACAGAATTACAGAAATTGAAAAGTTAAGAGCTGAATTTGATGAAGAATCATTGGAAGTTCGTAAGTTGGATAACGAGAGAGAAGATTTGGAGAAGCATTCACAGGAAGTGACAGAAAAATTATCTGAAATGGAATCGGATAAAGCAGAAAGTAGAGCCGCTGCTATCTTATACGGTTTAGGTTTTACCAAGGAAACTCAAAACGATGCTACAAAGTCATTCTCTGGTGGTTGGAGAATGAGATTGTCTTTAGCAAGAGCATTGTTCTGTAAGCCAGACTTATTGTTGTTGGATGAACCTTCCAATATGTTGGATGTTCCATCGATTACCTATCTTGCCAAATATTTGCAGACCTATGAAGCTACCGTCTTGGTTGTTTCACATGACAGAGCTTTCCTTAACGAAGTTGCTACTGATATCATACATCAACACTCAGAAAGATTGGATTACTACCGAGGGTCCAATTTTGATAATTTCTATGCTACTAGAGAAGAAAGAATCAAGAATCAACGTAGAGAATATGAAAATCAAATGGCTTACAGGAAGCATTTGCAAGCATTTATCGATAAGTTCCGTTATAATGCAGCCAAGTCTTCAGAAGCTCAGTCGAGAATCAAGAAGTTGGAAAAATTGCCCCTTTTGGAAGCACCAGAAGATGACAAGGTTGTTACATTCAAGTTCCCTGACCCAGACAATTTGCTGGCTCCAATTTTGCAAATGCTGGAAGTTTCCTTTGGTTACACACCGGACAAGATTTTATTGAAGAACGTTGATATGGATATACAAATGGATTCGAGAATTGCATTCTGTGGTGGTAACGGTACAGGTAAAACTACGTTATTGAAGTTGTTAATGGAGAACTTAAGCCCACTTTCCGGGTTAATTAGCAGAAATGGTAGATTGAGAATTGGTTACTTTGCACAACATCACGTTGACTCGATGGATTTGAACTTATCTGCAGTGCTGTGGATGTCACAAAAATTCCCTGGTAAGTCAGATGAAGAATATAGAAGACACCTTGGTTCCTTTGGTATCACCGGAACATTAGGTTTGCAAAAGATGGAATTATTATCAGGAGGACAGAAGTCGCGTGTGGCATTCGCTGCTTTATGTTTGAACCAACCTCATATCTTGATTTTGGATGAACCTTCTAATCACTTGGATACCCAAGGTTTAGATGCGTTGGCAGAAGCTTTAAATAACTTCAAGGGTGGTGTATTGATGGTTTCGCACGATGTTTCCATTATTGATAAGGTCTGTAATGAAATTTGGGTTTCTGAAGACGCCTTGGTCAGGAGATTCCCAGGTGACATCCACGCTTACAAGAAACATATCTTGGAATTAGCAGATGCATCTGGTGTTGTTAGAAGACATTAAGGAAAGAGTGAAGCAGCACATAGTACTTATAGATAATATTTTATATACACATATAAATACATATATAAACACACATATATATACATATATAGATATTATACATGTGCATTCATTATAGGCCGTGTAGCAACTCCATCGCCTGCATCACATTTAATATGGGTGTACTGGTGTTTACATTTTCCTTGATAGATGCCCCAGCGATTCGATTGCGATTGTAAAGATTGCCTTAGGACCCTGAACCACTTCATTCAGCTGGCTTTATATAAATTACAGGCTACGGAGGATACAAGAGAAATGATATTATCACTTAAGGCCAAAATTGGCCTCGGTGTTTTACTTTCTTACACCTCTTTTGAATTGTATATGCAAATTCGAACACAGAGTGTAATCACCAAGAGAAAGCAAGAGTTCAAGAAACTAAAAGAATCTTCCCTTTCTGGGACAGCTTTGGATGTGGATTATGTCAAATTCAAGTCAGCAACAGTTGCAGGCATGTTTGTGAATCCATTTGACGAGTATAGACCACAGACTGCCTTCGAATTCCTCTTGGTTCGTATCTTGGAAGCCTTTGAAAGCATCTACGCCAACCTGTTCGAGTTGCACAATAAGATCCCAGGCGATGCTGGAGAAGGAGGTAAAGATATAGAAGATGTTTTGAAGCTGCATAAGCCGGACTTGGCAATTTTGAGACAGAACTCATTAATCTTGCAGAAATGCTTGGAGTTGAACGACTTTCGTCAGTTGAGCGAGCCATCTACGTCGTCGTTCTTCCAACGGTTACCAAAGCTTCGTGACCAGTTGATTTTCACGTGGTTGGGCCAATCTTGTTCCTTAGTGCAAGTCAGCGGAATAAATATCTTGACAGATCCAATTCTTAGTAATCATTTAATAAGTCCTTCCATTGGACCCAAGAGGTTGGTCCCCGCCCCTCTTACATTGGAAGACATAAATTACGCAACCAATAACAAAGTCGACTTTGTTTTTGTTTCTCACGATCACCCAGATCATTTGGAATTGGATCTCGTCAAGAAAATAGGCAATAAGACTACGTGGATTGTCCCTCTCGGACTCAAGAAGAAATTGAATAGAAAAGGTATCTACAACGTCATTGAAATGGACTGGTGGGATACGCTACCACTCAATGAGTATATCAAGTCTAATAGTGGTGTGCCAACGGCCCTAGCTGACAAGTATGAAGTGGTGTGTCTTCCTGCTATGCATTGGTCAGGACGTTACATCATAGACTCCAACAAATCGTTGTGGTGCTCCTTCGTTATCAGACGTAATGGAGAGTCCTTGGTGTACCATGCGGGAGACACTGGGTACCTGAAAGAGTTGTTCCAAACTATAGGTGAAATATTTGGACCCTTGAAACTTGCATTGCTTCCAATTGGTCAGTACTGCCCCTCGTGGCACCAGAAGCCTAGGCACATTTCCCCAGAGGAATCTATAAAGATCGCACAACACCTCAGACTGGAAAGTGTCATGGGGGTACACTGGGGAACATTTAAGATCAGCAGTGAGCCGATTTTGGAACCAAAAATCTTGCTTGAAGAGATAGCCAAAGACCAAGGCAAACCAGAGCATTACTTAGCACCCAAATTAGGGATGACATACTTGTATGATTTGAGTAACCAGAAGCCAGCAAAAGAAAGTAGTGTCAACTAGGTATAAATATATTTATTTCAAGGAAGTCTACTACTTCCATTTGTAGGCTACTTCACCCTCATACGGGGCTGAAAAGTATGGGCAAAATAGCCAACCCTTTGGAGCTTACTTGTACATTTACCAAGATACCGCCCTTTTTCTCTTACAAGAAGTTATGAATGTTTTTGCTTTATTATTTACACTATTTAAACTCTTATACTTTTAATCTGATATTGGTATCATCGTATTTTTTTACATTTTACACTATCCAGTCTGTTCCATCGTATTGGTACAAACTGCTTATTGTTGTCTATAGATAGCTCTCAACTTTGCCTGTTGGGAAGCTATCATAGTCTGTTGGTATGCCTGGTAGGTTGGGTCAGATCTGATGACTGAACCGATGGACATAAATAAACCAAAAGTACCTACAGATCCCATAATATATTGACCTAAGGTTCTCATCACACCATTTGGCCCTGCTCCATTTTGAAGAATGGAGAACCCACCGAATAAAACACCAACACAAACACCAACAGTTGATCCCATGATAGCACCCATTTTGAATTTGTCAAAATTGGATGGCTGGTGAGCACCGTATTGAACTTGTTGAACTGGAGGCATAGCTGCTTATAGTAATTAGAATGGTCTATACTAGTAGTTGCAGTGGACTTGATGTCTCTTGCTCCCAATAAAATGATCAAAGTTAGGCGAAAAAAAAAAAAAAAATAAAAAAAAAAAAATGAAAAACCGTACAAAAATACGAGGCACGTGAGAAGTGCTGCTGAATATAATACACTATTAATGAAGTTATACCAATATAGGTCTAAGTCTATAAATAACACTACTCTTCGAATAACATTTGAATTTCTTCAATCCTCCGTTTCGCTTTTTCGTCTTCTTCTTCCGCAACAGCTTCACCGATTTGCTTTTTCCGCTCTTGAATCTTAAGCATCTTCTTTTCAATGGTATCTTTCATTATGAATCTGACAACTTTCACATTGTCAACCTGACCAATTCTGTGAATTCTATCTATAGCTTGATCTTCCACACTTGGAGACCACCAAGGATCCATCATAAATGCTCTGGACGCACTAGTTAAGTTAAGTCCTACACCTCCTGCTTTCAACGAGAGTAGAAGTACCGTAGTCTTGGAGCTTAAGTTTTCCTTTACTTTATTGCTTGCAAATTCTTCCAATATCTTCTTACGCTCATTCATATGCAATCTTCCATCGAACTTATAGACAATCAAGTCGTTTCCACATTGGGTGTTTAGCTCTCGCTCAATGATATCCAAATAAGACGAGAATTGCGAGAATACTACTACTTGTTCACCAGGGTGCTGTGAATTAAGTATTCTCAAATGCTTAATAAGTGCTTGAATTTTGGATGAAGCACGATCTGCATCATAAAGGTATAAAAGGAAGCTTTTCTTAGAATGAGAAAGATCTATTCTTTTAACTTCTCTTGCTTCTTTAACCTTGAATAGTTTATATTTTGAGATTGGTTCTCGGCAGTTTGGACACGTGGCGGGCCTCTTGTTTTTAGTTTGAAATGCAATATGTTCTAGTATACAATTAATGCAAAAGATGTGACCACATCCAGTCACTCCCATCTCGTTAACAGGGACTGGAGACAGCGTGCAAATAGAGCATTCAGTCTCTGTAAAATTCAAGGTAGCAGCTAAAGAAGCTGACAAGACATTGATTTCTTCCTCGGAGTAAGTATCTCTATCCCCTTCGGTTTCGATTTCTTTATCAATTTCCTTCATCCGAACTCCATCAATGGGAGCGTCTCCTTCGGCATCCGCTCCCATTTCCTCTTCATCTTCTAATTTCATCTCGTTCGCAGAACCAACAAGGTCCATATGACAACAGACTTGCCTCAATCTAAGAATATGAGTTAATATTTGAGTATACTTCTTTAAAAGTTCACCAGTCGCCAAACCTTCTCGAAATGTTTTTGCAGCTCTACTTTTAAACCAGTCATACAATTTCTGTTCCTTTTCATTAAACTCAATTTCTTCAATTGTAATTTCCTTTGGAGGCAATACAACTAAAGGCTGCCCATCTTTCTGCTTCATATTCTTAGTTCTCCTCAAAAAAATTGGTTCCAAAATCGATTTCACAACATCGAGAGTTTGACCAATCTTTTTTTGTTCAAAAGGTAAAGTGACAAATGTTTTCCAGTAGGAAAAATTACTCCAAGGTTCCAATTCTAAGAATTTAACTATGGAGTACAAGTCATCGAGTCTATTAATAACAGGAGTCCCAGTCAAAACCCATTTTCTACTCAGGGCAATTTCGTAAATTGCTTTTGTCGTCTTAGCAGAACGATTTCTAATAGTGTGACCTTCATCAAGAATTACTCGAAAGAATTTTACTGAATAGATTCCTGTCTTAGGTAAGTTACCGCTTGAGTCCTTACGCAAAAGTGACTTAATGTATTCTTTAAGTATGGTACCATAAGTTGTTAAAACCACGATAGGAATATTCTTATTCCGATGTTGACACAATGATGGCTTTAAATCTTTTACAGTTTGATCTCCATAGTATACAATGCATCTATGGTTTGGATTATTGTTTGCCTTTTCAAATTCACTTTGCCATTGAGAAAGTAATGACATGGGTACAACAATAAGACTTGAGTTTGAAGCATATCTATTGCTGCTTTCTTCTTCAAAGGATAACCTCATATCGAGGGGAACGGAGTTTATCAAGGAAAGAGTAGATATTGTTTTACCGAGTCCCATTTCGTCTGCTAATATTCCACCTCTAACTAAGGATTTGATAATTGGCTTCGTGATCGATAATTCTCCACTGTACATATTAGCATAAAAGTATTCTTCTTCGCTTTGTGACGTCGAAGTTGTTTTCTTTGGCCACATATAAGTTTTCCACAATGGATTCATCATACCTTCGTCGTTCAACACCTGTTTGGTTTCTGAGGATAATTTAGGTAAGGAATTATCGTCCAGCGATGATAATTCCTCTAATACTCCAAGTTCTTTCTCTCTAGCTAACATCCACGAGAGTCCCTTCTTCTGATATGGTCTTAATTCCATCTTGAAATTTTCCGAAGGAGGTTTTGTAGTTTCAGGAAGACCATCTAAAAGTTCCGACTGTTGGTTTGTTTGATAAAATTGCTTGAGCTGATCCACGTTCAACTGATCAATTGGCTGAGGATTTGATTCATCTTTTCCTTCGTCGTCGTCTATTTCTATGCAATCATCTTCACTGCTAGTACCATCTCCTTTTCTATCAGGTTTTAAGTTTAATTTGTCAAAGAGTCTCACTAGAGATGACTGCCGTAACCTTAGAGCTGATTCTTGACTCGATTCTACCGCATAGTTCCAATTACTTTTAGTAACTTCCTCTGCTCCATTCAGCATTTCTTGTTTTAGATTCGGAAGCAGTACCATTGAATCATTTTGACTAGCTTGGTTGAATGCTTCCAGGGTAAGATGGAAACTTATTTGCAAATAGAATGAGTCACCAATTGATAATCTGGATTCTGTTTCCAATATCACATTTGCCGTACATTCAAGTATCTTGAGGTCAATGAGAGGAGATATGATGTCAGTTATATCAGTAGGAAGTCTACCAATTTCTCTTCCAGTCAGACCACCTGATTCAGTTGAAAATAGCCTAATTACTGCAGAATCCCCAAACTTTGCTGCCTTATTACTATTATTCGACCTTCCGAAAGTCATCTTCTTAGGCACGAGTCGCTTAACTTCTAAGTTTTCCTGATATCGAAGTGGTCTAGCTGTTGGTCTTGTTGCCCAACCTTGTAAAGCCAACTCACCTATAAATCTAGTCCATTTTATGTCAGGAGACCCCTGCTGAGGGAACGGAGAGAAAGAAGTAGCTTTTCTCTTCAATGGAATCGATTTCTTAAGTGGCATTATGAGATCGTGAAGCTGAGATCGTGGAACCTCATAGCTAGTGTCCTCATTTGAGTCATCTCTACTATGATTATTTCTCGCTACTACTTCTTCAATACTAGATTTCACTGTTTCTTCAGTGCTAGATTCGACAGTAATTGGTTCTGGACTAGTTGACTGTGTTTTAATTTTCTCATGACCAGAGGAAACTTGTTGCAACTCTTCTTCATTCTCTGAGTTCTGATCTACAAACAAAGATGTCTCCGGCTCTGGAGTCAACTCCATTTTAAAGAACCTCTTTTTCTCTACAACCATCCTTTTGTTACTACAATTAGTAAAGGAGACCTGCAACCTTATTCTTATACATATATATATAGAAATAGTAGTTGCCTGATGACTAAAAGCTTAATCTATGTTCAACTTCTACAAATCAGTATTTTCTTTTCTGCGCGTATGCAACCAAATTTTTCAGAGGGCCAAACGGCCGAAACATCGAAGTTTATTTCTTTTCTATCATTCTATAAACATAGAGTAGTCCATTATAAAACCAAATAGTTAGGATTTAACATACTTTTCTCTTGTTTGACGTCGATGTGATTATCTGAACACCACTTTTGAAAATTGGCCTTCGAAAAATATACATTCTCGTCTTCACTTTTAGTAGTGCTTCCCTTTGAGGATGCTCTTTTTCTACTACTACGATGCAACACCTTCATGTACTCTAAAGTAATAAGTATATCTTCTCTTCTAAAACCCGTGAGATTGGCAATTTCGGTTAGATTGAACGAAATTATGCCTTCTTTTATAATATGCTCATATAAGGTTAACGTTAACTTCTTGGACCAGTAATTGTAGTAGCTAATCTTTCCAAATGGTGATAATGGGAACTCTGGCCCACTGAATTTTTGGCCAGCTGTTACAGCTGCCAATTCATACAGAAACTCAATCAATAAGTTCCCAAGGCCCTTTCTTTGGAATGGAGGGAATACACAGATACACGCTAAATTATTGTCACAGTCCCAAGAAAGTACCTCTTTGGAAAAGAATCCCATGGGCTTGAACTTGAGATTGGATGATTCATCGTCTGTGGGATCATGCCCGTACACTATATAAAAGTCGAACGGATCTACATTGTAATACACTGATTTGTTGTCTAAGAATAGCTTGCCGAATAGACATAAGTTCTGAGTGAATAAAACATTTTCAAAACCTCGAACTTTCGTTATGATATACTGTGAGTACTCATCTCTATACATTAGCTTACCAACTGGGGGGTATGTCTTATTGAACGTGCAAGAAATCCTATGAGCCTGGCATTCTTGCTCCACATCGGTATATTTGAAGCAATACTCACAAACGTAAAGCTTGTCTAACCAATACTGCAGAGATTGTGATTGCGGGGTGGTACTTGCGGTGTCAGTAGTGTTATCTATTTGAGTAGTACTATGACCATTCAACGATGGCTTTCTCATCGCTGTAATAAGCTGGCCATTTTTTTCATTTGCCGTTATTTTTTTGTATCCTAAAGTCTTATGATCGGCACCAAAGTATGCAGCATTACCGTACCAAGAATCTATCTCATACTTCCCAAAGCAAATTCGTCGTATATTCGGTTGTTCTAAGACGCCATAGAACTCGCTACTTTTCCCCATAAATGAAAATTTCTAGTGTTAACAATGCAGAGTGGTATATCAGTATACAACTAATGATAGGGCAAGTAAATGCACAGCGTTTTCGTTCCTGGAAGAGTCAGAGCTAATGGACTAGACAATATATCCGAAATACAACAGGTTTCCAGACCAATACCACCGCTATCTAAGGGTATTCCTAAAGAGATATCAACCCTCGCTATGTACCGGATTTTCATCACTGGCATAATTTTTCACTGGTTTTCATTTTGGTGCACAATTTCTCAGTAGTGATTAAGAGGAGGACGCGTAGCATTTCGCTGTTGACTCCAACTATACCACACCAATATGCCACCAAAGGGATGGAGAAAAAATGCAGAAGGGCAATACCCTCTGCAGAAGCAAGATCTGGATCTTGTTTCTATAGACGATATCTTGTTTCCTCGTGCAACCGTGCAGAAATTGGCAAAGGCTATATTAAATTCCACTGAAGACGAATCAGAGTCCAACTCAATAATGGCCAAGGATTCCGTTATTGCACTCCAGCGTTCTGCTACTGTTTTCGTTTCACACTTGATGTTTCACGCGAGGAAAATCTCGAAAGAAAGCTCCAGAAAGACTGTCAATGCCCAGGATATCTTAGCAGCCATCGAAAGAGCAGAGTTCCCAGGGTTTTTACCTGAGATTAAGCTGAAGCTCGCCACATTTGAGCAAAATAGCTTGTTAAAGAGAAATGAAAAGAAACTGAAGAAGGTGAGTGAGAAAAAGGAAGAGGATGAAGCCAGCGGAGGAGAACAACTGTCCAAGAGACTAAAGGGTAACGGCGCAAATGCTCAAGTAAAAAGAGACCCAGAAGACGAGCAAGATGAAGACGACGATGAAGATGAAGAAGACGTGGATAATGACGAAACTGATCCCATCCCTGCGGATGATGATGCTGATGACGAAGAAGATGAAGACGAAGATGAGGATGAAGCGATTAGAACCCAAAATCCAATTACTCTTTTGGAGAGGGAGGAGAAGGAGCTCAATCAAGAAGAAGGGGTAGAAGAAGAAGATAACGCGGAGGAAGATGATGAAGAAGACGACGAGTAAGAGCATACTTATTAGAAAAAGAAGAGGACCTATAGAAATATGTATAGTAGCGATGATAAAATATATTAATTGAAATATAAACAAACTAGGCGACTTCTGCTAGCTTGCATGCAATTTGGAATCCCTATGTATAGAAACTAGCATACATGTAAGGTCGGAATCACACCTTCAATGTAACTGGGTGACAGCTGAAAGTCCTTGACTTTCATTTCTTCGTTTATTCTTCGCTTTTAGGGGATGCACTTACTGAAGAAGGGGAAACCACATTCAGTAGCGATAAGTAGGTACAATATAAATGCAGCACCGATCACAAGAGATAACACGAACCTTGCGTTATTTAACCACATTTTGCGCTTTATGGTGAGAGCTTTCTTTTGGAACACCAGGGATGAGTTGTTCAACCGATCTGTTTGATCCACTAAATTGTTTATCTTATCACCTCTATTCATCACCTTGTTAATGTTGTCCAACATCAACTGACGAACTTCATCTATTTCCTCATTTGCTAAGAGCAACTGGTTGGGGTTTATAACATCTGAGTCAAATAGAGAATCGGATTCTTCATCTGTATAACGCAGCAGCTGCAGCTGATTCTGTGTAGAGGCAGCACCGTATTTATAGGCATGAATGTTGGTATCATAGTTCATTTCTTCAAACTTAATAATTTGGTACATGTACGGCTTGAATTTGCTGAGCTTAGCCTTGGTGTCGTTTGTGCTCTGGGAGTTGGTGGAGGTAGTTGTTGTGGTCGTGCTTTCGCCTTCAATTTCCAGTTTAAATGAAATGTACTTATCCATGATCTTCTTGAGAATCGATAAGATAAGCATTTTATTCACGTTTACGTTGGCGATAGCCACAACCGTCAAAAGGTCACTGCTGCCATCGGAATTAGTTAAAGATTTCTTCATAAAGTAAAGCATCAAGTTAGATTGGGTCACCGAGGAGCTCGTGGCTACTGATATGGAGCCTACAAGGGTCTTGGAAGCATTGATAAGACCCAATTCTTGAGATACTATTTCCGAGCAGTTCAAGTTATTGACTCTGTGGATTAGCAGGAAGTTCTCATATGTGTATAGGGTAGTTGAGTTCAGAGTGAGCGTGGTATATATGACTACAGTATTAGTTAGTAAGATGTATAAAAAGAGTATAGATATGTGAGAGGACAAATAATGAGCCAAGTAGTACCAAGTAGTACCAAGAGTACCAAGCAGTACCAAGAGTACCAAGTAGTACCAAGCAGTACCAAGAAGTACCAAGTAGTACTAAGAAGTACCAAGTAGTACCAAGTAGTACCAAGTAGTACCAAGTAGTACCAAGTAGTACCAAGTAGTACCAAGTAGTACCAAGAGTCTCAATTACAATCAGGCATCTCTTTAGTATCTCTACAGTATCTCTCCACAGCTATTCCACGTACCATGCTTCTGCAAGTCAGTAGCAGACATGATTCTTCAGATCAACAGTATTCGAATTAGTATTGGACTTCAATTCTTTCCCAAAATCGAAACAGTTAACCTTGCACAAGTCTTTTTCTCAATTTCTGAGTATTTCAAAGGTGTACAAATGAACTTATGCCCTTCAATCGTTACTCTAGTTGTTAGCAACCTTAACAGCTGGCTGCGCTGACCTACTCCACAATTTACAGACATCTCGCTTAGCTACATGCAGGAATAAATCCAACACACAGGTCCGACACCGATCGTGAATTTTCAGTGCTGCTTGTGGTTGATGCGAAGATCATCGAGTTTTGGAAAAAAAAACTCTAGGGTAGCTGCAACTAGAGAGGATAAGTTGGGTATTTAGCAGAGAGGCGGGTCTTTTGTTTCCATTAGTTTGTGATTATAGAAGAAAATGGGTAAATATAGAAAAAGATTTAACGAGAAGGCCAGGTCAGGTATGCTTGCCAAACAGGCAGCACTCAAAAGAGCAAGAAATAAGCAGTTCACTCGATATGAGGAAGAGGCAGAAGCAGCTGAGGATAACTCAATAGAAGAACAAGAAAAAGGAGATGTAGTACAGGATTCAAATGCTGAAATTCTCAAACCTATGACAGATGAAGAAAAGTTGGAAAGGAAGCGTAAAATGGAAGAAAACTTGTACAGTGAGAATTCTAAAGAGACAAAGATGTCTAAGTCCAAGAAGAAGAGGCTTGATAAATACATTGAACATCAATTGAAGCGAGAAGAAAAGAAAATTTTGCTTGAGAAATTGTCCCACACTAAGGTCGATAGTAGTTTGTATGCTCCCTCTAAACTACTTGGTTCAGGTAAGCAGACTAAAAGAGAACAAATGGTAGAAGCCCTAGAGCTCGAGAAGCAGGGCCGTGGTGACGAAAGAACCAAGGATATTCTATACGAAGAAAGGGAAGTGAAAAACTGGGAAGACGACCCAGATAGCTTCCCCCAAACTAATACACACGACTATAGTGACTCAGGTGAAGAAGAGGACGAATTAGAGAAATTTGGTGAATCTACATCTTCGTTCATTGACAATCGACCTGCAAAATTTGGAGGAAGTGGAATAGGATTTGGATTTGCAAACTTGCCCAAAGTTGAAAAGAAAGCAGCCGCTCCAAAGAAGAAATATAGTTGGAGAATGAGAGTTGCAGATGAAGAAAAGAAGAGATCTAAATTTGAAGATGACCAAGATTTTGAGAGCAGCGAAGAAGGAGAAGACGGAGAAGAAGATGAAGAAGAGGATGATGAGGAAGAGGTACAAGATGAAGAGTCATCTGACGAAGAAGAACAAGAACAAGACGATGAGGAAGATGAAGTAATCGCTAATGAACCAGTAGATACCTCAGATATAGAAGAAGATGTCGCACAAGAGTCAGAAGAAGGATCAGAAGAGGATTCCGATGAGGATTCAGAAGAAGATTCCGAAGAAGATTCCGATGAAGATTCCGATGAAGATTCAGACGACGATATGCCTAGGCTCTTGCAAAATAAACCCAAGCACTCGAAGTCAGCTGAATCTTTTAAAGAATGGGCAGAACAACAAGTTCGTAAGCTTGAAGGAAGAGAGACTGAATTTGTTAACGCAGAATTATCCGAAGAATTAAAACAGCAGTTATCAGTACCAACAATTCACGAAGAAGATATAGATCACTCATCCGATGAAGAAAATTATGTTCCAATTAACAAAAATTTGAAGAGAGAAGCATTTTTTGTTGACGTTACTCGTACAGATGATATCCAAAAACTGAGAATGCAATTGCCTGTTTTCGCTGCAGAACATAAAATTATGGAAGCAATTTATCACCATGATTGTGTAGTAATTTGTGGAGAAACTGGGTCAGGTAAGACGACCCAAGTTCCTCAATTTTTATATGAAGCTGGCTTCGGTAACTTGAATTCACCCTTATACCCCGGAATGATCGGAGTTACTCAACCTAGAAGAGTTGCTGCCGTTTCTATGGCTGAGAGAATTGGTAACGAGTTAGGAGATCACGGGAAAAGAGTAGGATATCAAATCAGATTTGACAACACAATCAAAAATGAAGGAACTCTTGATGGTACGGCATTGAAATTTATGACCGACGGTGTTCTCTTGAGAGAAATGATGGCTGATTTCTTATTAACAAAGTATTCCGTAATCATTATCGATGAGGCACATGAAAGAAACATTAATACAGACATTTTGATTGGAATGTTGAGTAGAATCTTAAAGTTGAGAAGGCAATATAATGAAAAGAACCCAGAAAAATACAAAGTCTTGAAGCTCATTATTATGTCGGCCACACTTCGAGTTTCTGATTTTTCAGAAAATCCCCTGTTGTTTAAGACTCCTCCACCAATTCTTAAAGTTGATGCTAGACAATACCCCGTTAATGTTCATTTCAATAAGAGAACTAAGGCTGAATACTTAGATGAAGCATTCCGTAAAACGTGCAAAATCCACAAAAAGCTTCCTCCAGGAGGGATTTTGATATTCTTGACTGGACAAAACGAAATCACTTCTCTTGTTAAGAAGCTCCGTTCAGAATTTCCACTCAAAAAGAAAATGAACAAAGCTACTGACGAAGGACCTACCTCCATCAAAGTGAATGCTAAAAACGTAGACATTGAAGCTGAAGAAATTGATTTTAGTGTTGGCGTTATTGATGATGACCGTGATGATTTTGATGAAGAAGTTGAAAATGAAGATGAGGAAGAAGAAGGTTTCGATGAAGAAAGAGAAGAACATCAAACCGATAAGGATCCATTGTATGTCCTTCCTTTATACTCGCTATTACCTACTAAGGAGCAGATGAAAGTATTCGAAGAGCCACCCAAGGGTAGTAGACTTTGTATTGTCGCTACAAATGTCGCTGAAACTTCATTGACTATTCCTGGCATAAGATATGTAGTTGATTGTGGTAGATCTAAGGAAAGAAGATTCAACGAAGAGACTGGCGTTCAGTCATTTGAAATAGATTGGGTTTCGAAGGCCTCTGCCGACCAAAGATCTGGTAGAGCTGGTAGAACTGGCCCTGGGCATTGTTATCGTCTCTTTTCTTCAGCAGTCTATGAAAATGACTTCCATCAATTTAGTAAACCAGAAATCTTGAGAATGCCCGTAGAAAGTGTTATCCTTTCGATGAAGAGTATTGGAATTGATCAGATCATGAATTTCCCATTCCCTACTTATCCAGATAGAGTTGCATTGAAGAAAGCTGAGAATCTTCTATCAGTTTTGGGAGCTTTAGATCACGAAAGTAAGGTCATTACCGAATTAGGTAAAAACATGTCGCTATTCCCATTGAGTCCTAGATTCTCAAAGATATTGATTGTTGCTAATCAACAAGGCTGCTTGCCATATGTTATTGCCATTGTCTCGGCATTATCAGTTGGTGATCCTTTCATCAACGAGCATGAACTTGGAATTGCAGAGGTAGCCAAGAAAGAAAACGAAGATGACAGTGAAGAAGAAGAAGTCAGGGAAACTTACCAGGAATTAGAGGCCAAGAAGAAGTTGAGAACCAAGTATTATCAATCTCAAGCCATATTCAGCAAGTTAGATAAGTTTAGTGATGCTTTAAAATTACTTTCAGCTACTTGTGCATATGAGCATGTCCCTTTGAAGAAGCGTGCTCAATTCTTGGAAAACAATTTCTTAAGACCGAAAGTAATGGAAGAAATATCGAAGTTACGTAAACAATTGACTTATATTGTTAAAGTCAATACGAGCAAAGACGGTGCGGCAGCTGCTACTGGAGCAATTGACTTGAAGTTACCTCTTCCAAGTAAGACGCAGGTATCAGCATTAAAGCAAATGATTTCTTCGGGATTTTTGGACCAGATTTCGATTAGAGGTGACTTGATTTCTTCTGATGTTCAAATAACCAATAGAACAAGTATTATGAATACACCGTATGAAACTGTTTATCCTTCATCGCAGTTTGGAGAAGAAGTTGAGCATTTCGTGTACATTCATCCTAATTCAGTTATCAACACGTCAGGATCAATGCCTCCTTCTTATTTGGTTTACCAATCATTAAATTTAGGAAGTAACAGAAAGGAAGGGAAATTATCCAAGTTGAGAATGAAACCATTGGTGGATATCGGTGGGAAGCAACTTGCAAACATCGCCAAAACCTCGCCTTTGTTGACATTTTCCAAACCCTTGGGCCATCCATATGCTCCTAAGAATATCACTCCAACTAAAAGGGAATGCTATGTCATTCCTAGATTTGGTGCAGCTATCGGAGATGGAGGTGTTGGATGGGATTTACCTGTGACGAAAGTAACTCAGGTAAAGAAGAACGGAGCGTGGGAGATGGAATAGTTCTAAAAAGGTAAAATAAAAATACTTTTCGGAACTCCAATGAACTTTATATATCTTGTACATTACATACATACATTAATAGACATTACAATAGATTTAATAGCACACTGGGCCAAGGAGCCATCGGTCACCAACCAGTTTCATAAAAATTGCAACCATTTCCCTCAATTGAAAAATCCTGCATACAGATTTGTTTTTGTTTTCATTTAGCGGTTTGATGAGATCACATACATAAAAAAAAGTTCTTACGAAGCACTAAGAGAACATCGATAGGGTACGCCAATTGACGTTTAGAGATAACAACCGAAGGTCATTGCGTTAAATATGGAGTACTCCACTGACCGTAAGCTACGTTCCAGAAGGAGGGAGGGAGAACCTTCAAGATCAAGGTTTGCGCCCGAGGAGGACGGCAGTAGACGGCAGGCTGATGATGAGCCATTGATTCACCCAAATGTTGTAGACCCTGCATCCCAAAGAATCTTCTTGGTGTCATTCTTTGTGCTTATCCAGTGCTGGAAATTGTACGATGTTGTAATGTTGAAAACAGGAGTAGAAAGGACGGTTGCTGGTGGCCTTTTACCATTGAACAGCTTTACCTTTGTGTTGAAGTATGCAATAGCAGAGGGCCTTTTTCTCTGGATACTACCAATCTTGAATGTGCAGTATCTTACGTTTTCCCCATTCAAGACGCTTTTGCTTACCTTTTTATTGAATGGGTATACATTTGTGTTAGCAAGCGACACCACGATACCAATACTATCAGGTATAGTACTACCAATATGGAATTCTATCAACAAGAAGAAGGAGTTGACTATAGGAGGTGATACAGTTACACCCCAAAGTGTGATTGATATGTCTACGCATTTCAAGGGGAAGTATACCATTAATTATCTTCCAGATCTGTCAGCCAAGTTCAATCCATTCAAATTCGAGAACTTATGTTTGACGGGTAGTCCTTCTTCCATATCATCGTACTCATCGTCATCGTCAAGCTCTTCTTCAGATATTTTCAACATGCCAATTGAATTTAATACTACAAATCAGTTAGGGTCTTTGGAAATTCAACACACTGATCCGTTCAATAAAGTTTCATATATAAATTTCACATCATATGAACTAAGTAAGCTAGCTAGAAAGGACTACACGCATTTATCATCATTCGTCTCTAAGGAAGCAAAGTTGGACCACAGAGTATTCTACATTGAAGTTCCTTTAGCCGCATCGGGGTCTTATAAAATCCACAGTGTTAAAGACTCGAAAGGAATAAGTATCAGGACCTATAAATCACTGGTGTTGCTACTGAACTGTCCAACGGCTAAGTTTGTATATCCCAAAGATTCAAACGCTTATGGAAGACCAATATGTGTTCCCCCAAGCAGAGATGAAGTTGACTCAAGACTCTCCAATTTGGACTTACCAATTGTCAAAGTCTATGGAGTAACCCCACTTACTTTGAAGATAGATACAATTGTAAATGGAAAGAAGAAGAATGGCTTCTCCATGGTGGTTAATGACAACGAAGAAGATAAACTCAAGGTAAAGAAGAGCAGTACGGATCTTTCCTGGTTGCAATCACATTCCATTTCGCGTAATATAATTGAACAAGAAATATTGCAAAACCCTTCAGCGATCATTCCTGCGAATGAAGGAGGCTCCCTTGAATTCCATTTATCAGAAATTGTCGATTCTTTGGGACACCTGATTCGCTATAATCCATCGTCGAAAGACCTGGAAATATTTCATTCACTTGATCTTCGTGTGGAGCCTACTATACTGATGTTAGAAGCTCAGCCAGATCAACCTTTGTTGATAAACAGAACGAAGACGCTTCTGATAGCACCGAGATCGAATTCATTTAAGAATTCTGACTTTCCATTGTCTGTGAATATCGCTTATGAACACCCATCCAAGGACTCTCTCTTGGCTTACAACTTCACGAAAGTATTTGTTGACAGTCTTGACTTGAAGAAAGGATTCACTGTCGACAAAGAGGGGATATACACAGTGCTAGAAGGTAAAAGCAAATTCTGCGATTGTAATATTGATCGCAGTAAAAATAAAGTAAGCCTTACTTTAGCTCCGTTACCAGTAGTTGATATTAAAGCTGAACCTATAGTTGACAAGTGTGTGGGTATGACTGGGTATAATTTCGAATTTGAATTTATCGGAGCACCACCATTCCAGATTCAATATCAAGTGTTTCAGAAACAATCGAATGGTGCAGTGAGATTACTTCAAAATGAAAATGGAATGGCATCAAGATATATTAAGTCTTATAACTCCAAACATGATTTTATGTACAAACCACCAAGAGAGGGTACATACTTAGTCGTGTTTAATAAACTTAAAGATATGAATTACCAAAAAGACCCTGTTCAGTTAGATGAAGCTACCCACACTTATGAAACGTATTTCAAACAAAGATCTAGTGCAAGTTTATCCTTGGGAGGCAGAAGAAGTTTGAACGGCTGTCTTAATCAAGCTACTACCATTCCTCTTCAATTGCGGGGAAATCCTCCTTTCTCATTCGCCTATAGTATCATTGAGAGGGAGTCGAAGAAGAAGTTAATAGATAGAAAGATAGTGGAAAATGTTGAGACAGATGTCTTCGAAATCCAGACTCCAGCTTTCGAATTTGGAGGAGAGTTTCAAGTTATTATTTCAAATTTGAAAGATGGGTTATCTTGTGACGTTGACTTTGACTACAAGAAAGAAATATTCACTATCAAAACAAGAAAGGATATTCCTAAAGTTTCTTTTCCTGAGAATTTGAAAAACAAGGATATAAAATTAGTTGAAGGGGACTCTATGAAAGTTGCACTTAGTCTTTCATCTAGTACTGGCCGTACGAATAATGATAAGTTAGTATACAGTGTAACGAGCTTAGACAACCCAGAAGATGTAAAAAAATTTTCATTGAGAGATTTGGATTCGTTTCATATTAGAGAAGAAGGAATTTACTCATTAGTTTCATTCAGCAATGGCGATTGTAGTGGAGAAGTATCAGCAGAAAAGGAAACAATTAGGGTATCTTTCTACTCAAGGCCCAGTCTTGAAATCCAGGGATTAAATGAAAACGTACTTAATAAAATTGATTCTTCAACTCATTTGAAATCAGCTTGCCAAAACTGTCAAAATGAAATAATGCTAAACCTTAAAGGTGTTGCGCCATTTGTTGTTGACTACGAGGTGACTTTACCAAGTGGGAAAATTGAATCCAGAACCATGACAATAGAAGAAAATAGCCTCAAGATATTCTTGCCTACCAGTCAAAGTGGTAAGTATAAGCATAGCTTCAAGGCAATTTACGACCAACTATACACAAGAGAGAAGGTTCATAAGTCATCAGCTTCGAAGGGCGGAGTTTTGGCTTCAGTAAGATATGATATTCATCCGTCTCCAGATGTTTTGTTTAACAAGGAAAAGTTTATTCAAATTTGTGAATCAAATGTGAATCAGGTTGGTGTCATTACAGAAATCCCAATCAAATTTGTTGGAAGTTATCCATTTAGGGCAAACGTTAGCTTAACCCACGAATTAACAGGAGCAGTGGATCACCTCATTCTTGAAGGTATCTCGGAACCGGTTTTGAAGATTAGCGAGCTCCACGAAACTTTATCAGTGGGGAACCATATTCTTACATTCAATGAGATTGTAGATAGTAATGGATGCGGTAGAACAGAGTTTTCTGAGTTGAATAATTTTGTCATTGCCATTACTGAAGTTCCAAATATTTCGAAGAGAAAGCACCTGAATAGTACTTCTAAGAAGGAACATTATTGTGTTGGTGATCACATTAGCTACAATATGTCAGGGTTCCCACCTTTTACCGTGTACTATGAATTCAATGAACACCAACAAAAGGCTGAACTTTCTCCTCCCATTTTCCAAAGATTGGCTTCCAAGGCCGGTAATCTCTCAATTACAGCGTTACTGGACTCTTCTGCAAACCAATGTCTCGTGAACTTTACTTCTGATATCAGCAAATTGGAAGAACTTAAATTAAGAATTTACGATTTACCTTCAGTGGAGATCAATCAAGGTGATTACATCGTGGAAGATATCCATGAGGGAGATCAAACCGAGATAGTGTTCTCATTCGAAGGTGTACCTCCATTTACTTTAACATATATCAGAACCATTGAAGTGAAAGGTAAAGGAAACACGGTGTACGACAAAGTAATGGAAAAGAAGACGATAAAGGATATTTGGGATTACACCTACACTGTGAGAGCAAGTCTTGAAGGTACGTATGAAGCCATTGAACTTAGTGATGCCTATTGTGTAGCGCGCAAAGATGGAAGAGACTATTGAAATGAGGTACAACGACAACACTGAACAAAAAGAAAAAAACGTTTGTCAGCGGGTAAAATAAAAGTAGTTAGCACTTTCCTAGTCTTAAAGGAATATAGAAATAGATCAATTTGTATATATAATTGAAATATAAACATATAATAGCGATACTTCTAGGTCCTCCTTTCTTAAAATGAGCAAATTTCGAAATTCGTGCCCTGCCCTCTAAGCGGTTTCTCCGTTTATGCGAATTTCATCACACTTTCAATCAACATGAGTTCTGGGGAAAAGGAAGTTGAGAAACTATAAAGCAAAGAAGAAAGAGGTAGAAGCCTGTTTAGCCCAATATCCGATAAACGAACGTTCACTCATGTCAACGATAAAACAGGCAGTCAGAAAATATGCTTCCTTTATAGGACCGGGTGTCATGGTGTCTGTGGCATACATGGACCCTGGAAACTATTCCACTGCGGTCTCGTCTGGAGCAACGTACGAATATAAGCTTTTGTTTATAGTGTTTATGTCTAACTTATTTGCAGTAATTCTCCAATGTCTATGTGTTAAGCTTGGAACTGTGACAGGTCTTGACTTAGCAGAAATGTGCAGGCTCCACTTACCTCCTTGGTTAAATTTAATTCTTTACTTGGGCTCCGAGTTGGCGATAGTCGCTACTGATTTAGCAGAAGTGGTTGGAACAGCAATATCGCTAGAGATCTTATTTGGTATTCCAATGTTCTATGGTGTGTTATTGACAGTTTTAGATGTGTTGGTTGTACTAGTTGCGTACAATAGAGACGGTAGCATGAAGCAGACGAGAATCTTTGAAATCTTGGTGTCCGTATTGGTTGCATCCACATGCATTTGCTTTATTGTAGAGTTATTCAAGTGCGATTTTGCACCAGGATCCATGAAGGCTATCGTGAAAGGGTTCCTTCCGTTGGACGCTAAAATATTTAAAGAGGCCAATGCATTGTTTTTGAGTTGTGGTATTGTTGGTAGCACTGTGATGCCACATTCTTTATTCTTAGGCTCTGCATTGGTACAACCAAGGCTAAAGGATTACGACGAAAAACATGGGCTCTACCTCGAAGAAGAGGTAGACGAAGTCGAGAATGTATCAAACGGAGCAGCTAGTGGTGAAACCGCCCCAGTTTCAACTGAGGGGTCAAAACTGTACACTTTTGGAGATTCATCCGAGTTGACAAAGAAATACAAGCCTTCGTACCAAGCAATTCAGTATTGCTTGAATTACTCATATGCTGAGTTGGTTCTTTCACTCTTTATAATTGCTGTATTTGTAAATGCTGCAATCTTAATAGTTGCTGGTTCTACATTGTTTGGTAAACCGGACGCTGAGGATGCTGACTTATTGTCTATTTACGAGATGTTATCAATATATATCTCCCCGGCTGCCGGTATTATATTTGCCCTTTCTATGCTCTTCTCGGGCCAAAGTGCAGGTATTGTATGTACCATGGCTGGACAAATTGTATCTGAGGGATTTATCAACTGGTCTCTTGAACCATGGATTAGAAGACTATTCACCAGGGCAATTGCCGTAGTTCCTGTTTTGATTGTCATTAGCATTTTAGGAAGAGAGGGTGTATCAAAAATTATGAACTCGTCTCAAGTTGTGTTGAGTTTCATCTTACCGTTAGTCACAGCTCCGCTAATTTGGTTCACAACAAATAAAAAATATATGGTGGTTCATACTAGCACCCAAAATCCTGCTTCGACAAGCTCAGAGACGACAACCTTATTACATAACTCGCCAGTGGAAACTTTTGAGAACGGCCCCTTCTTCACCATCTCAGCAATTTTGACATGGGTTATAATTTCATTTTTAAATCTTTATTTGATTTATGCATTTGCCAACGGTGCCGACATATAGATAATTTAATGAACCTTACAAGGACACTAAGTGTACAATATATATTACAAAAGTATAATCTATCTAATTATCTTTCTTTTTCTATTTGCTGCAGACTTACATACGGTTCTTCTTCTTGTATGGACCCCTGATACTTGGAAGTCTAGCATTCTTTGGAATATTTCCTGTGTAATTCTTTGTGGATACTACTGAACCTGGTAATGAACCTACGTATTCGTTCATCAAGACAGGTAAGCGTTTGCTAAATTGAAGTGATAATTGGTTAGTGGTAACGTTATTATTCTTCATAAATAATGTAAGCAACTTCATTATTTTCTCATAAAGCTTGATCTCCACAGGTGAAGGTATTGGAGATGGATTACTTCCAACAAATCTCTGCTGGCGCAATTTGTTTAGCTTGAGTAGATGTACCGAAATGAGCCTCTGAAACGATTTTGGAGATTCTATTATCTTTTCTGCATCCTCTTTTAAATCATCAAGAAGCTCAATTTTAGAGGGGTCCCAATTGATCAAGTTATCAAGACTAATCTTAGGTGCGTCAGTTTCGGCATCAGTAGCAGTCTCATTTTCCTTCTGAGCAGTTTCTCCCGCTGTATTTCCATTTATTTCAGATTCAGTACCTTCCACCTTTCCGTTTATAGGCTCTTCATTTTTGATTTCGTCGTCACCTTCTACGGCAACTTTTGTTTCTTCATCACTTGTTATTTTGTCCACTGAATCTTCTATGGAACTTTCAATCAATGGTTTCTTCAGCTCTAAGAATCTGTCCCTAATTTCATTAATCTCATCAAATCCAATATGTTCCAACCAAATATTTGATTTGAAGTCTTGGCTTATTATTGAAGATCTCAGATCCACAGTAGGAGCAAATGATTTGACATAAGAATTGTATGCCTTAGTGGAGCTTACTTCATCTGTAGTCTTTCCCGTGAACGATGTAGCTCCACTCAGAATTTGCTTCCTAACGGCTTGATAGTTAAGCCAACTAGGAACTGCCAAAGTATACCAGTTAGGATGGAAGAAATTGTTCATCATTTCGGTGGGTTGACTTGTAGGTGGAGGGATCTTCAGTATTGGAGGTGACAAACTATTCAACTTAGCTGATTCTCTGTACGCTAACCTGCTGTTGGGCACAACTTGCGTCAATTGGTATGGGTCAGGGATTAAAGTAGGGCGCTTGTCAACAGACGACTTACCAGTCAAGGATGTGAATAAAGGTTGGTTTTTCTGTTTAGGAGGCTCCGGTTGTTGTTGGTTGTGGGGATATAAACTGCTTTGAATCGGTTGCTGAATTGAAGCAGGATCATCAATCTTGTTAATCAAGTAAATGACTTCTCCATTTTCAGATGAATATGTCGATGAAATCTTGTCAAAATCTTCTGCAAATTGAGACTCAAAGTCAGTTTCCTCCAGAGATTCAGTTGTGCTCAATGATAATCTGAGTCTACTTGATTCTCTAAGTAACAACTCCGTGGTGAACTTGTAGAAGAAGTCAATACGGTTGTAAATGGAAGATCCAACTTTATATTTCTGTATTAAGCTCGAACTAGAGATCTTAATGTCATGGAAAAGTTGATAGAACGACTTGTACTCCTTTTTTTCTATCTTGAGGTTGATACTCGTGGTTGTTGCTTCATCGTCCAATGGATGCTCTTTGATGTGTTCAGCGAATGAGTCGAGAATATCATCGGGTTTCTCTTCCAAAAATGACTTGGGAATAGGTGTCGATAAGACTTTCGAGTCAGAGTCTGCAAGTTGAATTACGGTATATATATCTTTCAAGAAAGATGAAATATCTAAATAGTAAATGTTAGTACAAATCTATCGAAAGGAAAGTCTCTGATAAACGATGCCTCCATTTCTCAGTTGTCCTCTTTATTTCTTTAGCTTTTTTCTTCGATTCTTCCGCATCTAAGTCATTAATTACATATAATTCATACATACCCTTGGTATTGCTCATTCTTTATACGGGAGATCAGAGTTATCTATTCTTATTTGTCTTTTGTTTGGTCTCTAATCAACTGCCTAATTTTTTGTTTTTCAAACAACAAAAAAAAAAAAATCACCAGCGAAACGCGGAAACCTCAAGAAGGCTATATACAGGAATACCAATCACCAACGTCTGGAATGGCTGCTTTGGCTCCATAGGGTAGAGGTGGGCAATGGGTAGGTGTAAATGTAAAGCTATTTGAAATTAAATTAGGTGTGTCTAATTGTGCTATGAATTATTCTATAAGTTTGTTCTATGATCTTTTTTCTTTTCTCTAGTATTTATGTATTCTGCATCACCATCTGTCTTTCTTGTCAGTAGACATCTCTCACTCATCGTCGCTCTCTATAATATCAATTTCATTGTAAAGTCCATTCATAATTCCTGCTTTGGTCAAAATATCATCCCAATTGGCCATCAATATCACCGAAATCTCCGTTCCTCCAATCAAAATCATCCCTACTCCAATACCGATCCATAATCCTTCTAACCCAAAGTCATAGTATCTACTTAAGAGTAAGGAAATTGGAATGCCAACGGCATAGTAGCAAAGGAAGTTGATAAGTCCACCGATTTTTTGTAAACCCATAGCCCTAAGAATACCAGAGGCTACTGCAGCCACTCCATCGAACAATTGAATTACAGCAACCAACGGGTCGATCAACTCAACGATCATTTCCACAACATCTGGAGCAGTAGTGAACATGGTAGCGATTTTGTTCTTAAATGCATATAAGAAGATCCCGTTTAGACTGGCAACTACAAAGGAGCACATCAATCCAGTTTGCGTGGCTATCTTGGCACTGTATTGATTTTGTCCTCCTATGAAATTGGCAATTCGGGTCAGTGAAGCGGTCCCAACAGCAAACGGTACCATGTACGCCAATGCCGCTATACTCAGAACTGCCGATTGTGCAGCCAATGCCGAAGTTCCGAAATAAGTAGCAAATAAAGTCAAGATTTCATAAGCTAAGGATTCAGATTCAATCATGATAACCCCCGGAATTGCTAAGTGCAGCAATTCGGGCCATTGCTGGAACATTTTGGTCCATGAAATCAACCCAAACCAACACTTATTTCCATCAATATACACCACATACAAGACCAATAGTATACTCATGAGCCAGAAGTTGATCACGGTAGCAATGGGAGCACCAATGTACCCCATACCGTACGTTTCATTCCAAACAAGAAACCAAGACAAAAAGATATTTATAGGAGCAGCTACAAACAACACTCCAGTACTAGCTTCAAAAATACCTTGGGCTTGCAAAAATCTTTGACTACATGCAAAGAATATGTAAGCTGGTGCTCCCAATATCAAAATTCTAAGAAACAACTGAGTCAAATAAAGAACTTCATCATCTTCAATGACAAACTGAAGAATATTACCCGAAAACCACCACACGAACCCAAACGGTATATATGCAACCAACGAAAACATTGTACATCTCTGTACGTGACTGCTAACTAATTCATAGTTCTCAGCACCATAAGCTTGAGGGCACAAGGTGTCCAAGGCAGTAGAAATCCCATCGAAGATCCCCAACGTTATGGTGGAAGACATAGATGCTAACGATACAGCTGCCAATTCTTTCTTACCCAAGTGACCAACTACCAACATACAAACCAATGAGAAGAAATGCTCCAAAAGGAATGCAATAATTAAAGGAATGGAGTAACGAATCAACATTTTCAATTCTATCATATGTGTGGTTTGTAAATTGACATAATCTTCTAGTTCACTGTATGGGTCTATCATTGGAGCAAGCAATGATGAAAGAGATGAACCTCTTCTTACATTACGATGCTTTCTGCCAGTACGAGCATTCCCTTCAGTGCTATCTATCTCATCATGCAGAGCAGAGCCATCTTCGTAACGATCTTCACTAGCGTAAAATCCGCTAGTTCTTCTCCTTTCAGATTCGTCCTGCAACCAACTGTGGAAAGACTCTTGATCACTTGCTGGCGCCGAATTCAAAGTAGAGGGAAGTGATCTCGATGTACTAACACTGGCAGCATCGGAGTCTGAGTGATTTTCTGTCTCCGGGAGAGAAATAAACGACCGATCTTCGCCCTCACCATACAAGAATAATGGAGTGTTGGTGGAAGGTGGGATAAAGAGATGCCTTCTTCTACCCCCGAACCCCCCGGGTAGACCTCCTGTGGGGTTCGCTAATTGGTTTATAATCTGAGAAAGAACCATGGCTATAAAGGAACGTCTGTTGTAGCTAGTCAAGCTATAGACTACTAATCTGCTTTAACAACCTCTTAAGAGGAGAACCTTCACTTCCCTGCCTCGCACAAAAACGAAAGATAAGCAGGCCCGTTGGAAAATCAAACCAAAAAAAAAAAATTAATCCCACTACTTGCAGTGATATGCAGGATTTATACCGGACTTAGCTCCTTCTTTTGGTGACAGAGATGGCTGGGCTGGAATGGCTGCAGTAGCACCTAACGCTCAGTGATTCTTAAAAAAGGAACATGGAAATATGATCTTTATGCAAGCTCCACCTATATGGAAGAATTACTCACTGTAGACCTTCACAGGCTCAGGCATGCACAGCTCTTGTTTACCTTTCATTCTTTCTTTTTAAAGTTTTTTCTTGTCTTAAATCGTGCCACGAATGGGGACCAAAATTTTCTTGTCAATTTCTTAGCTACTTGCGGTTGGTGCCAGCTATAAAACGTGTACAATTTCTTCCTATATTACAATTTTTATCTTCTGTCTTTACGCTTATATGTGTATATATATGTAAACTATCATTGTTTTTTGCTATTTTTGTGTTATCGTAATTTTTGTTATGGAAAAAGAAGTAGCTTAGTAGCTAAATAGCTTTATTCATCATGTCTCTGTCTACAAAACCATCCAGATAGAACCGCCTACTATTGCAATTAAAACAACCGCAGTGAGAATACCTGCACCGGCCTTATCCTTTGTACCGATTGTTATCAAGTTAGAATTGGTTGTTGTAGTCGAGTCAGTTCCTGCTTCCGTGTTACTAGTCGAAGAACCACCATTAGTTGCCGTATAAGGCAATGCCATCTCGCCATCAAATGCGAAAAGGGCCAATATGATTTCCAATGCTGACATTTGTTCACCCAATCCATACCAACCATCCCATCCATTATACGACCAATTGATACCACAAGTAACACCATCGGAACCACCAGAACATGACTGAGCTGCACCTGCTGCACTGGCTTTGACATTGGTTTCTATCTCACTAGAAATAGAGGGTACGAACAAAGCAGCTGAAGCTAAAGATCTTGCAAACAATGATCTAAATGACCTTTGATCGGTATTACATTTGTAGTTGGTTTGGCACGCAGTCTCATACATGATAGTATCATTGAAGAAATAAGCACCTGCAGTCCAAATTTGCTGCGCTCTGGTTTCCCATGTCGAATCACCTGTCTGGTTATACAAAAAGGCACAACCTTGAATCATTATACCGTATGTATACGACCATTTAGTAGTAGTCAATGATGTACAATTGGTACTGATATCTGCACCATCATAAATAACCAATTCACCATCAGACTCACTGATAAATCCGATATCTTCCATCCAGTCCCAAACTTTTTCAGCAGTTTCTATATAAGTATCATTGTCCAAATATCTTCCTAATCTGGCAGCAATGTTGAACAAACATCCATTTGCAATGGTATTCTTATAAGTGTAACCTGAATTCCACGTGAAAATTTGCCATCTCATACCACCAGCGCAGTAAGTAGTATCCCATCTTGATAACATTTCGTTGTAGATAGCCTGGGTCATTGATAACCAACTGGCCTCGGTTGGATCGGTGAAGTTTAATTCCACAGCCAACATAGAGGTTAACCCCCAAACACCTTGATCATCATTACCTTCTGTAAAAGTTTGATTCGAAGGCATGTAGTCGTGATCATCTCCCGATTGATGGTACATGGCGTTGTAAATTAACTCCTTCAACGTGGTATTAGATGAATCACAATTTACATAGTAATTTAAGATCCCTCCAAATGCTTCACCAGCTTCCCACCAATAGTATGGACTCAGGAACATTCCAACAGCTCCACCGTACTTGGTTCCTTCGTAGTAGTTTAGTTCACCGTCCATTATTGCCTTTGCAGCAGCACAGATAGAGTCGTTATCAGTCAAATCTAAATCGACAGCGCTCACTAGCGTGGATAACAACAATGTTATGGGTATGTAAGGTAACAACATACTTGTTTTAATTTGGGAATGACTTTATATGGCACTAGTACTTATTTATAGAATTTGAAAAATGAATCGTCGGTTTCTTCTTGATCCCGTATCTAGTAAATGGCTATCTCTGGGTTACTTGTAAGTGTTATCTCTGCTGTTTGATCCCTAGCTAGTAGAAGAGAAAAGGATAGCGTCACAAGGATTAAAGTCAGAAAGTAAACGAAAACGCAGAAAAAAAAAAATACGTAATAAAAAAAAAATGAAATAAAATCGGGAAAAAAATAAAAAAAAGAAACTTTGATCTGTAGTTACCCATTTAGAGGGGATGTAAATTGAAGTCTTCTGGCACGGTGTTGCTGTAAAGGATACCACATTTGTTTCTCTACAGTACCAGGCTTCACTATGGCATGTTTATTACGAGAATCCTCTAAAAAAATTCGCTAAGTGAGGTGACTTGACTGGTACCTTCCTCCTGCTAAACGTTATGTATTTCAACTAGCCTGCTAAATATAGATGGTGTGCAGGTCAGCACATCCCAGCCGCAGAAAAAAAACAAGGCTACTGGCAAGAATGACAGGAAAACAGTACTTATCCTGGGGCTATGGTGATCAAGGATGGGAAGACTGAGTGGTCAGAGCGGTCAAATTCCTGTAAGGCAGTACGTGGGTAATTCTATTTTTACGGTTTGTTATACACTAAGAGAAAATAGTTAGAAAGATAAAGGAAAAAATAAAAACAGCTAAACTTTATTGTATCAAGTTCAACCTGTCAATCGCTTTTGACAGCTTGTCTTGGCGCCCGATCACTATCTATGAATTGCTTTATATCTGTCAAATACGCTATCGCCTCCACGCCGGTCGCTTCTAGTAGATCCCTTCTTTTCTTGTAGTCCCTTTCTATTAATATGCCCTCCCAGTTGATGCCAGCCTCTGATACTCCGACATAGTCTTTGTTGAACTCGTCACCAATGTGCCATATTTGGCCATTTACTTTCTCAAGGCTCCTAATCTTTTCAAAGAAATCCCTACTTGGCTTACTGACCCCTAGTTCATATGAGAGATACTCCCCTTCGAAGTACTGTGACAAGCTTAAATCCTGTAATACATCCCTCAATCTGCTGTCCGAGTTGCTGCTAATTATCATTGGTATATTTTTCTTCTTTATGTACTCCAAAGTAGGAACCACATCTGGATACACTTCATAAGCAACTTTGGATGTGAAGTAATTCAATAGCATTTTACAGAATTTTTCAGATTGGGCGTTGGTATGGAACGACTCTAATTTAAATAGTCTAACGATCAACTCCAGCCACCAGTCGTCGCACGATTGGATTTTAGAATTGTTAGAGTGTTTCCCATAGTTTGGGAACTCCTTCATCATCCCAGTGAAAACTGTGGGGAACTCTTTGTCCAACTCTTGAACGGGCTTGTTAATCCCGAACTGCCTGGCTAGTCTATGGTACAGTAGCGAAATGGGCTCTCGAGGAGTGTATAATGTCCCAAATGCATCAAACGATATTATACATGGTGCAAGTAGGCGCTTAGACATCGTAATGTGTAACTCTTCTAATGAATGCTTCTTTGCATATTTATTTTTTCTATTGCTCCGTTTGGCATGAACCGTACTTCTATTGCTTACATAAAAAATGGTTGCACATTATCCCACTACACCAAAAAAATCTACAGTTTTCACTACCTATTATACTCTTTGTATATTATGTATTATTCACACAAGAAAAATGTTTCTTCTACTCCTTACATGGAGAACAGTTGTAAATCCTCTCAGTACAAAAAAAAGAGCTTCTTCAGTTAATCATTACCTGCTATTTTATTATCTCTATATCAATTTTCTATTATTCACGCAAGAAGGACCTCCCATCCCCATTCCTTCATGACCGAGCTCCAATGAAAGCGGCTATTAATTCCGCCCCTTAACTCGTCTCCATCGTTTCCGTTCTCGTTGTTAATTGCGGCCATTAAACCACTCAATTGAACGTTTATGTTCGTCAACTTGGCAACATCGTTTTCACCTCCGGCTATATTAAACGAGGCTTTTTCGCTTTCACGATTTCTCTCATTTCTCTTATTTATTTCTTCATCTTTTCTTCTCCAGACTTCCTTGACCACTTCAATTGCCCTATCGATATTTCCAATCCACATTTTTTCTGATAATGTCTTCCATCTAAGGAGGCACCATTCTCTTTCTTCTCCTTCATCGGCTTCGCATGAACTGACTAGTAATGGGAAGATGTGAATAATGTAAATATTCGTAGTCAATGGGACAGAAGCAAGCAATATGAAAACCTTTTCTGCGAGCTGGTGAGAAGATGATGATGGTATTTCTGGAACTGCTTGGTGAAGATAAAGTAAACTAGAGTACCTATAAGCTTCAGCTGTTGCAATACAAGAAGGCATATCCCAGGAGGTCAATGAATTAGAATCACCATCATCATCATCATTTCTTTGCCCGTTCCCATTGAACATTCCACCTCCCTGATTCATCATAGTGGACGAAATAGTTGGCTTCCACTCCATTAATTGTTGTCTTAGTTGGGTTCCTAGAGTAATAGTGGAAAGGGAATTTCTAAATGTAAGATTCGTAGTGCTCTGTTTATTTTGGGTCTTCTTCCCCTTTTTAACATCACCACTTTTCTCATCTTGTAATCTCCTAATTTTCGAGATAAGGGTTGCTACTTTACCCATAATTGGAAATAATGTCTGAGCACATCCTAGTAACGGGTCAATGTTATCGTTATTGAAATTGAACGTTTCAAAATGATCAAATATGTTGAAGGAGTTCTTCACATTAGAGTTGTTCCCGTTTCCATACTGGTTACCTTTGAAGTTATTGCTGTACTCCAAAGAAGACAGATTACTCGAGTCCAGTCTTTCACTTGGTGATAATTCACTATGAAGGTCACTACTTGAACCAGTTGAGCTTGGAACTGGTCTAATTTTACTGCTCTTCCTTTTTTTGTTCTTCTCAGAGATTGAAGTAATCGTTGCAACTAAATCAATACCTTTATCATCATTGTTAAAGTCCGTAGTCATTTGAGCTAGCACTTCAAAGTAAATCCAGGCATTGAAAAGAAATTGCAAATTTTGAGGTATTGTTATACTCATATGATCAATACTGAACTTGCTGTCAAGTTTCATCTTGTCTCCATTCTCTTGAATTATTCTCTCCCATTCTACTTCATCAACAGTAACCAATTTCTTCTTCAATTCAACAATTCTGTCTACTTTGTTCTCATCGAAGTTATCAATAAACTCCAACTTTTTTGAATTTAGATATCTTTTCATATCAATGAACTGCTGGTTCTTTAAGACGTTCAACACCTTCTGAATCATACTCTTTGCTCCTTTCAAGTGAGCAATCCCACTAGAAGTCTGCCTATCCCAACACTCGCAAACGGCTAAGTTGATACAGGTAGTCAAAGCAATATCAGACGGTAATTCTTTAAAATCCATATTAGAAGATGATTGCTTATTATCATTCATCTTAGTTAGACCACTGGCTAGCTCTAAAATACACTTTTTCATGTAAGTGTAACCTCTAGCTCTCAAAGTTGCGCTGTTTGTTGAATTGCTTCCTGCTAAATGAAACAAAGTCATAGCAGCAATGGAATTAAAGAGGCAGGGATATGTCCTTGCTAAAGGAATGATAAGTGTTCTCCAGGGATTTTCGTTTGGTCCATTTTTAATTGACATAATCAGGCAAGTATAGTGTGAATACAAATGTAAAATCTGTTCATTTTCACTAGAATTCATCAACAATTGTTCCAAGCCAGTATTGACACTGGGGCTGGCAGCCCTTGAAATATCAATTGATGACAAGTAGGATACCTGCAGAAGCAGATTCCGATGTTCTTCTTGTTCCAGATCGTGATGCTCATGTTGTTGGATCATTGGTAGCGGCGAATGAGCTGAATTATACAATTTCAAAACCCTATTTGACGTATTTGTTTCCAAAGCCGTACTATTAGAGTTGTTCAAATTTAAAGGACTAAATGGTTGAATATCAAACATAGCTCCAAATTTGCTCTCTTCATTTTCTTTATCATTGAAAGCGTAGTTAATCAAAGCAGATAACGATGGAGTCAAATTCAAATCAATTAAACCATCTTGCATTGTGCCTTCTTTATGAACTAAAGACGTTTCTTTTCTTGACTTATGGCTCGATACCAGACTAAACGAAGGCAGATTAGGCCCCCCAATAGGTTTTATGTCAGAAGTTAACCTGCCCTCTGACGTGGAAGAACTAATTGCATGGTGGGAGTTTAGAAAGTCTGAAAACCCTGGTGAAAATGGACTCTGAGTAGAGCTGATAGGACTCTGGTCACTGTGAAATCTCTTATTAAGAAACTGCAAATTCTGCTGATGCTGCTGGTGGAGAATATGCTGTGCTTGATGATGAATATCCAGTTGATCTACAGAAGGTGAGCGACCTCTTATCTCATCTACGGCCACCTCTGCTAACGAAGCCAAGCCATTATTTGCTATGCCATGAAGGTTGTTCCTGTAAGTACTGACGTCCATTGGACTGTTCGTGCTTTTGGAACGGGGCCTTTTACTATGTTGGCGTATTTTACTGTATCCATGATCGAGTAAATCAGGAGATGATTTGTCTGTATCATGACTGTAGCTCCTCTTGTTCTTGTGCACCACTGGAATTTCGAAAGAAGCTTTCTTACTTCCCTCTTTGGAATAAGTGTTAGGGTTGATACCCTGAGAAATTAGTTCATTTTCGACTTTGATATCCAGTATTGACTTACCAGTAACCGATAACGATGCCAATTCAAGGTGTCTTTTCAAGACATCGTTTTTTCTCAATGACGACTCACTGACAGATCGTCCTATGGGCTCTGCTTTCAAGTCTTCGATTTGATTTGGGGACAAGTTGTGCTGCTTCGTATTTATTGATGCTGATGCAGAAAGTGAAGTGGCTGATGGTGTTGCTGATACAGGGTACGGGTTTACTGTGTTTATTATCATGTTGCTTGGTCCACTATCATTGAAAGATTTCCATTTGAAGTTCGTGGCATACCCTCCACACGCCAACTTCTTCTTAGAACAGTTTAGACATGTCGGCTTGGTCTCATCACATTTGAGTCTCTTCTTTTTACAAGTAAGGCACCCGTTCCTTGATTTCGATGCCTTCTTCTTCAGCTTATCTATTACTTCACTTTCATTATTCATCGTAACAGGTATTTAAATATATATTATGTATTTGCCTATGCTGGTGTTCTTTTCTATAAATATGCTAATTGTGGGAGTCCAGTTCAAGTGAATACTATACGAATGTTGTAGATGGAGAGGTGAAAAATAAATCTAAGAAATTTAATTACACCCAATAATATGTTTCAAATTAGAAAACAACCGATTCCAGATGCCTCTCTATGTGACAAGAATATTTCTCCATCTCTAATGTAACTTGCCAACCCTAAAAGAAATTTCCTCTATGTTTTACTATCTATAGATAAGATAAACTTGTGATCCTGCATGCGGTCGATGATCTGGTGGGTTTGTTTACCCAATGCGGAATCTTGGTCCCAAAATTTTCACAACATGCATTAGATATGTCAATTTCTTTTGGGGCGCAAGTGCTTAAACGCCAGCAGCTATAATCAAATGTGTCACTAGAGTTATCGATGTAACATCCAGTTGGTCATTTGTTTAGCTTTCACGGATCTTCTATTGTTTAGATAGCACGCAGGTCCGATTTTTCGTAAAAAGCAGTGCTATTGCTTAGACATGCGCTAGCTCACTTCGTTCGGATATTTCTCACTATTTACCGCGGATTATGGTGGAGATTCCCGCTAACACAATGAAAAGCAATTGACCCCAAGTCTGAACCGATAAGTAGAATTTTGCATTCCAGTCTCTGTGCTATATCTGACCCATGGAAAAGACGTGTACTTCATTTGATCTTCTTCAACTTTGAGGAATGTTAATTTGAGCCCAGAGTACGAAAGCATTGGGATGACAAAGCTAACATATATGTCATTGTCGAAGGGTTCATCTAATTTGGAACTAATAAATTTGGACTGCACAGATTCGACACGATTTGCAGTTTTGTTTACCCCATAATAACTGTCCAATTCACTAATACCTCTGTCGGTTTCATTATCATTATCATTATCATCATCACTATGATGCTCATGGTCATGGTCAAAGTCATCATGTTCAGCTGTGGGTCTGCCTCCATTTGCATCTTCTTCTTCGAGGTTAGTTCTCAATTCTCGGGCTTTGCTATGGTCCTTTTCATCTTTTACTTTCCTGTTGATAACATTTTCTACCGTGTTAATTGATGGATTGGTTATTAACTGTAATTCTGCCATCATTTTAACATCTTTAGTACCTCCCTTTATTTCCCCAATTTGCCAGTACAACTGGGAAGAGTCAACTTTGAACGTCACCTCTCCTAGTTGGGCCTTGAACTTTAGGTTTTCTTTATTATCTATAGGAAAAAGAGTTGGATCGACTGGAATTTTAACCAAAAGATTTTGAGTCTTTAGCCTTTTCTTAAACTGTGTGGATAAAGTACACATAATCTGTAAAGTCTTCGATTTCTGGTTCAATTTATAAACTGGGGTAATCTTAATCAATGGCAATTTCCTGATCTGTTTTTGCTGCTCAACATGGTAAGTTAAGAGTGTAAATTTATCGTCCGGTGGAGTAAATTTGACAAGATTTTCCTTATATAGCAGACTTAAATCTATGCATTGATGGAATTGAATGTTACGGATTGGTATATGTTTTCCCTTGGTAGTACCAATGGTAGAAGTCGATCCTTCATCATCTTCGTCATCAGATGTTGGTAAAATGTTACCTCCTTCTGTATCCTTGTTTTTATCTGAATGTTCTGTTTCGTCATCATCAACCTCTATTCCTGAAATGTGTTTTTCGTTAAATTCAACTTTACAGGCTGGCATACCTGAGAGGTAACATTTAACATCACATCTCCCAAATATTTCATTCCTTTTTATCACCTCAGACCCTAAGTCAAAGTAAAACTCGCAATTCTCTATAAGATCAATGTAAATCTCATTTTTTGCATAGAAAATACCCTTAGGTCTCCAGTTGATAGCCAGTGAAGAAGTTCTTAATATAGAACTGTTGATATATCGCTTTTCCTCTATGTCATGCATGGAAACTGGTTGGTTGTGTGTAGATTTGATGTTTTTTAGCTCTGCTTTGCTTTTCTTTTTGTCCCCCTTCTTCTTTCCCTTTTTATTCATGTACATCTTGATAGCGTCGTTTATGTTATGGGAGCTATCTTCACCACTCGAATCCGAGCTACTCGACAGGTCATACTGATTGTCATTCTCCGCATGTACGGATCTATTAACAGCTACCTTGATATATTCCTTCAAAATATTGTAGTCTGTGGTCTGTATTACTCCAAAGTCCATGCATTCATCCAAGAGTTCGTGGATCAAGGTAGCGTTATCGGAAATTGTGTCCCGGTCCAATGCAGTATGAGTGACTTGTCCTTTGATTTTATCATGAGAAGGTGCTGTAGTTGTAGTATGGCGGCCAGTTTGACCGGTAGAACCGGCAACTGGAACCTTCGCTGTTGTCAAATAGAGATGTAAAAGCTTGTATATATTATTCAAAAATACAACCGTCAGCATTGCATTGGCATTCTGTCGTGATACCGCCAATAGCACTATGTCATACTTGCCTGTCACATAAATATAGCTTATACCCTCAATCAAGAGAAAGGGTGACTTCTCCTCGGGCAATTTCTTATGATAAGTCTTGCAGAATGCACCCAAAATTATGTCAAAATTTGGTACGTCATTGTGATAACCTCTGTAGAGGAGAAGGTCATTCTGCAGGAAAGGTAAACTTGAATCAGGACGATGTAGTATATATAGAGCAGAGATCATATTCCCTACAATCTAGTTGTATAATGACAGCAACAACGATCGACTTTTCGCTGATCTCTTTCGGTTTGGTAGGTTCGTGGATAAGCTTGTCACAAATAAGCTTATTTCCACCGGCGCCTATTTCATAAACAGAAAAAATGAAAATAAATACTGCACAATGATGTTGTACGTTCTCCTTTAGTTTCACGACTGTTTCCGTTTTTCAGTTATTCGTATTGCTTGTGTGTTGATAATGAAGATACCACCACTTTCACAGCAGCTTATTGCTCGTCTGCTCAGTGAACTTAATAGTTCTTCCAAAAAGGTGGTGTGGCAGGTTACAACCTCCCCAACTTCCCATAGCCATCTTGAGACAAATTTGATTTTCAAAAATTTCGGTACCACTTGGAAATTCTTAAACGATGTAAAGGACTACTCCCACAAATTGAAACATCATCCCACAATTACCACAACTTACAACAAGGTCAACTTGGTTATAACAACACATGATGTAGGGAACAGCTTGACTGACTTGGACTTCCAGCTAGCTGAAGCCATTGCCTCCAGCTCCAATTTGGATGGGTTAAAGTGAATCTATGGCAACATGCAGGACTGCATATCTCCATCTTCATTTTTTTTTTTTTGGTTGCATTTTCGATATGCTGCAAACCTAAGAAAGATAACTTAGAATACTTATAAATGATGAAGTTCATGGTAAAATTGTGATTGTAAATCTGTTTTCTTCTTCATCACTCTTTCTTCTTCCGTGTCTTTTATATACGAAAGAAAAATATGCGTTTTTCCTATTGTGTTTGCCTTTTCATTCTGATCAACGCCGCTGCGTGTGCTTATGATTCGCTCTCTATCTCTGGAAGGATCAAGAGTCTCAAGCCAAGTAGGCTATTGAAGATATTCAATGACGTCAAGTATGAGGCTTATGAGGTGGAAGACTTGGAAGGAATTTCTATAAGCAAATTAAGAAAGTACGGCATTGCTAGAATCCTTTCCACAAACTCAATTATTGTTAGTGAGTCGCTTGCTGAGAACGTTCTTGATCCATTCAACTTGAGCCTCGATGGAATCTTCAAAAAGGGGAAATCTGCTTTATTGAATGATTTTTATGAGATTTCATATCAAGATATGGCTACGACTTCTTCGTATTCTCCTTGGAAGCCGATTGATGATTGTGTATCTACTAAGCGATCAAATGGACCTGTTACTGTTACTCGTGGCTGGTCAACATCCATTGGAACTGGTGTCACTACGACGCTTAAATTAGCTACTATGTTTGGCGTCACACCCTCTTTCAGTACAGACTACTTTGGTGTCGTGGGTGTATCAGGAGCTATCACCTGTACTGCTGAACTGGGTAAAATGTTGCAATTCGTTGTGAGAAACCAGATCTTCAATATCTCTGGGATTAAGAAAAGAAAAGTCAACATAAAGGAAATTAGGGGAAGGTGGGGTCAGGGTGTTTCAGAGCTTGACTACAGTGATGATGGTTGGGAGGAAGAGCCTGTGTACAGCATCATCAATTCAAGAAACATTCAGACGTATTGTATCACCGACCCCAAGTATCAGACTTGTTAAAAAAGTATCTTGTCATTAAACAAAATATACTTTTGAGTTAAATTGTGAGAACTTGAGATTTTATTATTAACGAACAACATAGGTAAGGTAAAGTTTCACACTTGCAAATAGAAGTAGAAGCAGCAAACACACCTCAAATTAGTTCTCCTTCAAAGACCAGAAGTCCTCCTCTCCTTTCAGTAAAGAGAAAAGAAAATAAAACTAAAAATTGCAAAACCTCAGCCAGGCAAATGGCTGCAACTCTCTAGGCACGGTATTGTGTCATGTAAAAAACAAATATGCCCCCAGCGAAGGAACTACTAACAGCCCGAAAGAAGCTGAAAGAAGTCTCAATCTAGAGATGGAACAAGTGAGCGCAGAACATCTGATTAGCAGCCCACTTGCTAGCAGGTTGTAGAAAAGTTAAGAATAAACAAGCAACCTACTAGTCACCGGTGTAAATTCGTTCTCTATGCCTCTCCACCTTTCATCCAGTTAGAGTCAATGTTTTCACGTGACCGAGTATGGACCACATTGAATGTCAAATAGAAACAAAGCGACCTAGAGGCAGCGACATTCTACTCTAGCTTTGTTAGATACTCTATATAGGAATGATGATTGTTTCTTGTAGCCTACCCGTATCGTATGTACGAACTATTCCGCTGCTCACATTTCGCTCGTATTCCATAAAACTATCTCAATCCGACCCATTGGAGAATCGCATACATTCGACTAAATATGAAAAGCCATTGCTGTTGGCTCAAGCATTCCATTCCTATTTAGAAACATTCCCTAAAGATCTAGAAACGGCATCCAAAATTGACAAGTATGAAACATTGACAACCAGGCGAGGTTCTAATATCAGAATTGGTTTAATATACGGAGATGAAGAAATATCCAAGCGATCGAAATTATTGGAAACTCTACTTGCGGACCCTTTGGCTCTGGGAAATAATGAATGGTTTACCCAGATTGAGAATAGAAAGAGAGACTGTGACAATGCCTACGTATACGGTGACTTCAATCTGGAATTGCAAGAACGCTTTCAGCTAGGACCCGACAATAGCTTGACCGCAACGTACAAAGTTCCATCACCAATATTATCAGCACGCTATAGAGCGCCATTCAGTAAGGCATTCCATAAAGAAATTTTACCTGCTGAAAAGAATAATATTGAAATAGTTGAACTCAATAACTACACTCGTGGGATCTCGGACGACTTCCATCTATTCGTCAATGTGAGCTCCAACATATCTAATGCGTTAAATAATTTCCCAAAGGCAGCCCTTGAGAATCAAATTGTGTTGACAGTGATAGACAACAAGGACGTTTCACCTTCATCCACCGAAGAATCTCCCATAACATTTGATGACACCTTAAAATCTAGCAATAACCATCACATGATAAAAATCAATTCAGCTTCGTACTATGAAGGAATTGTCAACTTCCTCAAGCTCGACGCTAAGGCTGGGTCTCAATTTGTAGACTCCCTTATTCAAAGTAATATTTTTGAATTACAAAAAAGCTTGGGTTGGTACCTGAGTACCCCGATTTTATCTCAAGTCTTGTTGACTATAATATACAACAATTTAAAACTACAAGAAAGGCACTTCACAGATATCGAATTCAAATATAACCAGGTTAAGTCGAAAGATCTAGCGGAATTCAGCGAATTAGTACATTCTGAGTTGCAACACGAATTCATTCCCAAGACTGAAAGGTATTTCCGTAAAAATTTGAGATGGTGGAAGCTTTACTTGAAAAATGACAACGTTGAGTATAATTTAAAGGATTTCTTCAGCCATAACTTTATGCCGAAGAGTATTGAAAACTACAATTTTCTTAGAGGGAAGATTGTAAACAAGCTACAGAATGATAAATACGGTGAATATGAAGATAAAAGTGATATTGATAACCCGCTCTCGGACTTGAAAAAGAGCATAATCGACACCAGAATATCTACCGAGGTGCAACCAGTGGTGTTTTCTGCTATAACCGAATCTTTGTTATTGTTCCAGATACCGATTGGAATACTATCGGTTTTGGCATATCAATTCTTTGATTTCAGCTTGAACCTGTCGATTGCTTTATTTTCCCTTGGTTTGGCAGTCGGCTTCAACCATGCCTCCAAGAAATGGGAGACATTCACTACTAAATGGACAAATGAACTATTTGAGGAGATTAGGTTATGTTTAGGCAAGGGTTGCATAGAGAACGGGCTAGTGAAGGAGTTGGAGTTCAGATACCAAGATGAAAATGGAGTGACCGCAGCAAGAAGGGACATATTGAAAATAGTTCAGAATGAATTGGAATCCAAAGAGCAGAGGAAAAAGTTAGCAGATAACAAAAAATAGTAACCTACGTCAACAAAAGCAATGGGCTACATATTGTATTATATATAAAAGATTCATAAGGCAATAAACTCAATAAAACGAATATTCTTCCATTGTCACGTTATCATTAATAAATAAATAAAATACAACTAGCTAACAGTTATAATGATGGAGGTGGGGGTATGTCCTCATTGGATTTAGGGCTCTTTTTGGACTTGATTAATTGTTCAAGTCTATCGAACTCTTTGAGTGATATTTCTTCCTCTGGGTCCAAAATTTGAACAACCTCTTGCACTTCTTCAATGTAATGCATTAACATGGACTCAATACCATTCTTCAAAGTATCCTCACTCGCAGAGCAAGTCTTACAAGCCCCTTGGAGTTTGAGGAAGACTTTACCAGTTTCCTCATCAAAACCCATGTAGTCTATATCACCACCATCATCTTGTATGGCAGGTCTGATCTTGGTTTCAATCAACTCCTTAATCATCGAGACCAATTCCAGATCATTTTCATTTTCTTTTGCCATATCCTTTTCGCTTTGTTCGAGAAGCTCCTTTGTTATTACTGGTTCTTTCTTAGCAGTTAAGAACAGATCCATCGCTTCTACCACTTCCGGCCTTAACGTTGCCCAATTTATATAATCTTGTTTATTTACTGTCAAGAAATCAGATCCCAACATAACAGATCTAATTCCGGGTATTTTGAAGAGCTTCAATGCCAATGGCGAGTGCATCGCTTGGAATGTTGAATTAAACTCGAACGTCTTGTTCAATATTGGTAATATTTGACATTCTGACGATACAAATTTCAATGCGTCTGGATTGGGCGTGGGTAATGTCTTGAAAGACAAGAATCTAATACTATTTCTAAACATTCTCTTTACTTCTATGTGCAAAGAAAGAGTAACATAAATCCTTCAACTATTTTTTCTACAAAGCTATTTAGTCATCTATATAACCCATCTGTATATTACACAAAGCCACCAATCATGGGGTACTGTATAGTGGCATTACTAATACGGAATCAATTGGCTGCAAATGTACGAGAAAAAAAGAAAAGACTAGAGAGCAAGGCCGAAGGTCACAAGAAGAGAGAAGTGCAACTTCAAGTCAAAATGATGTACTGGATGAAGTCGTCGAGAAGTGTGATCGGAAATTACATTTAAAGTGCTCTGAATAAAAATGAATAAATAAATAAATAAATAAATAAATAAATAAATGATAATATTTCTTCGGCCTTTTTCGTCTCGGTCGATGCATCTTAGCCCGGTGGTGCTCCATGCTTGAGATATCCCTAGTTCTTTTTCGAAATATATCCGTCTAATCAGCCTGATCATCCTTCGAAATATCTGGGCCTGGTTCTTTTCTATTTCTTGAAGTAACCCTAGTTCTAAATGTTTGAAATCAAATCGTCCTTTCATCACATCTAGACTTAGTTCTCTTGGATGCATCAAGTCAGCTAAATACAGAATGCTTGAAGTCACTCTAATCGTCCTTCTTGAATATTTCCTTCAATCTCTCATTCATCTGGAACGGATTATCGATGTACAAATTATGCCCACCCTCATCAATTTCGCCATAGGTTGCAGCCGTATCGTTGTCAGCCAACTCATTGATCTTTTTCACCAAAAGTTTACCAGCTTCAGAGTTCATGAAATCAAACTGACCATATACAATATGAAGGTCGAATGGTGGTTTCGTTCCATCTTTCAAGAAATGCAAAAACTTATCGTATAACGGCCATTTACTAACAGTGCTCGGAGTCAATAGGTGTTTGATGTAGATATCCGATACTGAACTCTTGGACATGTTGTTGTACAAGTATTCAATTAATAGGTGAATTTCTTCGTTCGTGCCATAAACCAAGTCATTTGAGCTTTGGAAAAGCTTCTCTGCTCCACCTCTTTTGTCTATGAGTCTATTAATTTTAAATAGCTTAGAGTACCACATAGCGTAGTACATGTTTACTCCCCAGGGTCCGAACCATTTTAACAATTTTGGCAATTTGGGTTGAACATGATACCAGTTGAAGATGTGCTTCGATGAAAGAATGGGCCACCTAGAAAGGAAATTAAAATCTTGAGGGTCAAGCGAAGGAGTTAGTGTTACACGCTTTTCTTCATTTTCTTGTCCAACTCTAGTCCGAATTGGATTGGTCACCGCTTGGACGTGTCTTTCCACTCCAACTGGTGAAAGTAGAATTAAATGCTTTAGCTTCTCAGGATACCTTACAGAGTAAGAAGCTGACCAATGTCCACCATAAGAATGTCCGATCAAATAGTCTATCTTGTCGATTCCAGAACTAATTCTCCATTGATCTATAGCTGACGTATAATAATTCTCAATGTCCCTTAAGATAGGGAAGAACTTTTCTCTGTACCTATCAAATTCTCCCAAGTCAATTGAGTAGGAATCGATTAACTTATAATACTTATTGTACAACTTCTTTGGATCTGTCGGATCTGGATCGTTCATCGTTAATTCAACGCATTTCGGGATTCTCTTCGAAAGCTTCAACAAATCGGGGTTAGACGATAGCCCAAAGGATATATTATCTAGAAAGTGGATCTTATAATTATAGTTCATGTCTTTCAATAGATTAATCACTTGAAAGTTTCTAGCAAAACAGCCTAGAGCCGCACCATATCCATGAACGAACACTACATGCTTGATTGGTTTATTTACATTACTGGGGTCTACAAGTTCAATGCTTACTTCGTTAATATAGTTGTCACCATCTCCTACATTTATCTTCACCCTTTTATTTTCCCACAGGATCTGGGAATTTTCACTATTCTTTGGTGAAATCATAAGATCTAAGAGTTGATCCTGTAAAATTTTCAATCTATTTGGGTTCAATGACTTCCACCACCATGAGAAGCTCTTAGCAAAGGGTAGCTTCTTGACGTTGTTGCTGTTAGGCTTATATGAAGAAGGGAGACTGAAATTGGATTTCTGAAAGTATAGAAAGCATCTCTTTACGCCTACGTTCCTTCTGATAGACAACATCGCAGCTACCAGCACAAAAGAGGGTGGTCCATAAATAAAAAGAAATAGTAGAAGTTATCGTAGCTCTTGTGATGCATGGAAGATTCGCAGCAGTGCACCATACAGGAAAATATGGGGAATTAGTATGCTGCTTCTACAGCTTCAGGTTAAACAAACGTTAGACTCCAAAGGGCCAGGCCCTTCTGTTTCCTGTTGGTTAATGCAAGCTCTACAATACTAATATCGAAGATTTACTCACTAATTATCTTTATTAAAATTAAATTTTTTGATTACTAATATGACTAACATATAGATTGTACATATAGTTGCAAAGGCTTCTCCTGTAAGCCATGTAGTTAGAAAAGAGAACAATACGTATTGAAACAAACATTGTAAAGCATTTAAAATTCAGAAGCAGTCTTCTTATGTCTTCCTCCTTCGTAACTGAGGGTCTTCTCAAGAGCAGATGTTTGCGGCATGACATGACCTTGTATTTCTTCTTCGAAGTCTTCGACATCTTGCCATTCTTCGAACCAGCCCTTTTCAAATGGTTTGACTGGTGGAATACCTGCAACAGGTGAGAAGTAGTTCAATAAAGCATAAATAAGGAATGCAGAAAAGAATCCCATGATGAAACTCAATCTGTAAACTTCAGTGGCACCAATTGGAACAGTGTGGGTTTCAGTTGCACCAACGAAACCAACGATATTTGGTAAAATTCCACAGATGTAAGCAACGTATGCTCTCCAGTTAACACCAATAGGTCCAAATTTGTAGAAGGAAGGAGCAGATGGTTGTTCAGGGGCATGTAAGGAATACAAATGGGTTAACTTAATGTAACCTCTTCTGATATAGAAGTAATCGCAAGCAACAACACCGGCAATTGAAGACAAGAACACAGAATATGCAGACAAGTACGTAGTGAACATACTCGAAGAAGTCATCAAGTTCCATGGACAGATACATAAAGCCAAAGCTGCACAAAGGTAACCACCTCTTCTAATGTTGATGAACCTTGGTAACATAGCAGTACAATCAGTACCAAATGATAAGGAGTTTGCTGAGATGTTTGTTCCCAATTGAGCTAAAGCGAAAGCTGCAGAGATAAAGAAAACACCAGCTCTGTTTCCCAGAGTGTAATGATCAAGGAATTTTCCTAAAACATCTAAGGGAGACCACAAAGTTTCACCGTATAAGATAGTTGATGCAGAACTAACCAAGATACCAATTAAGGAGGTAATACTGAAACAAAGTGGGATTGAAACAGTGTGAACCAAATACTTAATTCCAAAAGATGGTTTGTCTGCAAATCTTGCAAAATCTGGAGCATTTACAATCAAAGTAGCGAAATTGGCCAAAGAGTTTAACGTTGATTCAATGAACAACCAACCTAATTCTGATCCGTGCTTTGAAGACTTTTCATGAATGACCGGTCCAGCACCCTTTGCCTTGACAAGAGTCCAAATAAGGAAACCTATACCTGCAAATGGCACAACGTAAGCTTTGAAGGTGAATAAATGACGGATTTGATGTGGATGGAACCAGATTGCTGGTAAGGAGAATAACCAAAATAAGAAGTAACCTAAGAACTTAAATGTTGTTAAGACATCGGCACCACCTTGTAATGGTGTATCCAACTTTTTGTCAGCATTGTGGAAGATAGACAATAACATTAATTGAACACATTGTCCACCAATCCACCCTTGCACGGAGTACCACACACAACTCATCACAACACGATTCAAAATGGGCCAAAGGGATCCATATATTCCGAAAGAGGATCTGGCGGCAACAGGGAATGAAATATGGTATAAGACACCAATCCTGGCTCCCAAAGTAACGAAAATACCACACAAAATGTAACCCACCCAAACGGAGAGCCAAGTCTGCCACCAAGTCATACCATTTTGAACACCAGTTGCAGCAATTTGCCAAGTATTAACGTTGAAAGAGTCGGCAACCCAAAAGAAGACGTAGTTATACCACGACCATGCTCTTCTTGCTTCCTCCACAGGTCTTAAATCATGGTTATAAAGGAACATTTGCACTGTGGTCAAATCACCTTTCTCTTGCACAGCAATATAGTCCAAAAACTTTTCCCATTTTGATTGCGAGGTGTTCAACGAAGTGACATCACCTTGAATGGATTCACCAGCATCTTCCTCAGAAGTGTAGTTGTTCTTCTTGTCGAGACTCATATTTTCGAAATTTCAGAGATAATACACAGCAAGAAAAGATGGTAGCAGAAAGCGAAGTGTGTGAAAAATTTATTTAGCAGGTCAGTCTTTCGAGAATAAAGCACTTCCTATGTGTAGCAATCCAAGTAGTTAAGCTATTCGGTTAGGATCCTTGGCAGTATGCGGCGGAATTAAATTTCTTTCAACTTAAATACTCCAATGAAGTCGATAGCTTGAAAAAAACTAGCAAAAGAAAGTCAAGATGCTTGATGCAGTTTAAATTATTATCCATAGAGTCAACAGAGGGAACATTCCCCATGCTTTATAACTGAAATTTGGGGCCGATGGGTGCAAGGAACCTGATTCATCTCCAGATTGCAGCATTCCCAGGGCTCACACTACATCATAGATAAGGGTTTATCATAGAAAATTATTTTTTGCGCAAAGGCGGAAATGAGAAGAGCACTCTATGGGCTGGGGTTGCACATTTCTTCGTAGTAGTTAAGTTCTTGGTTTTTTACCTTGGTATATGCTTCTTACTCGATTAAGGTTTCAATACGGAAATTACAAGTTCGCAGTGGTTCCTGTGGTTCATCCTTCGGGAGAATAGCTCAGGAGTTTTTGAAGTGTTGCGCTGTATTGTATCTCTACACTATGTTTATTGTCTTGCTATACTAAATTACATTTATTGCACATTTTGATTTAGCGTTGCATTCAATTTTGACAGCTTTTCACTGCGTGGTATTAAGACGGCACTATTTTTTTAGCGCGCTCAATAAGGTTTATCGATTAGAGATTGTTCTGACAGTGGCCATTCAAGTGACGTTTGATACACGCCGTACACTTTTTTTTACCCATATCACTGAGTTTCGAGAAAAAATTCCCGATAACGATTGGTTGAAAAAGTCCCACACCTCTTTATTCGGAACTCGCCTATCGTCCCGATAGAACAGTCGTTCGCACTATGATTCAGTATCACACGTGAGAATCCCCATACTTTGTCTGATACAGAGAAGGAGGGTTCTTTGCGACAGAAGAGAGCCGGAATGCTGTGAATGGGGCACTGTCCACGAAAACTCTTCTTACTTTCTCATTGGTATTCGGGTCTGTACTAGCTTCTCAAATTGCGGGGACCGGGTTTGCCCGCTTTCGCAGAATCAGATTCGCATCAATTATGAAAAACTTTCTTGATGATTATTGTTCACGCTTTAGCACTGATAAGAGTATGCTGGTTGCAGCCACCTCAAATGTGTTAAATGTATTTGAAGCTAGGCGCTCTCTGAGGGGTACCTCATATCTCTCCGAGAGTTACTTCGCAGTGGTTTTTATGCCCTATTGGAGGAATGAATTTTTTAGCTGATTCGGTCGTATGCATAGAATATGGTACCTAAAAGGAAAGGGTTTCGGCCCACTGCGTCACCCTTTGTACCAGGATATAAAAATAAAATATTAAAGTATGCTGCTTAATCATTAGAATATACGGTAGCTAGTCAAACAACTATTGACTGAGGACCTGGAGAGTAAATCAGAAACAAATTAACTGACTTCGAAGAAATTACAGAGAGATAAGATGAAAAAAAACTCCGCGACGGGGAATTGAACCCCGGTCTACCACGCGACAAGCGGTAATTCTAGCCACTAAACTATCACGGATGTGCCTTCAGGAAAGGGAGCCATTGAATATTCACATTGAAAGCAAGATTTATTCCCATTGGTAAGAGTTAAGCACTGCTTACCTTGTCCGAAGGAAGAGGGTTCGAAATGGATTTCAGAAAGCCAAAAGTAGTACCCTTTGTAGTAATTAGTCCCTTAGCGATTTACTTCAACTACTCAGAGAATCTCTGGTCAGGAGTCTAGTAATGTCTTGTATTCATTGTATTATTCATAGTATCTATATCCGGATATCACATTGTTTATTCTATATCTCTAGACGTTTTCAGCAAACGTTTTTGTTCTCTTCTCCAAAGCACTGTAAGTGGTACTAGAAAGATAAACATTGCACCACAAAGTGCTATATTGTAAGCGTACCCTTTAAGGTATCTTGGAGCATCCACTGTCTTCCAAACAAAGAGCGGAACCCATACAGCAAAGGTGTTTCCCAACGTATTCATTGTAGAGAGTGTAATAGCTCTTTTCTGTGCATTGTCCAGGCATATAATGTTGGCCCAAGAGTACAAAACAGCTGCAATTCCATCAGCAGTACCTGCGAGGAAGAACGCCGCCATTATTCCTTGTTTGCTAACCCCATTCCAAACCGTTAAGATGATAGCTGCTATCATATTGATAGAATTAGTCACGGCAATTACCCATGGATGAGAATCCTGGAAAGTATCTACAAGAATTCCATTAACGATAGCAGTAACCATAGTAACAGCAGGTTGAACAGTTGTAATTGTGTTCACCTTTGCAGTTGAATAACCTTCAGCCTGCAACCAAAGTTGCAAACCAGCATAACTGGAAATCCCATCGGCTTGACTGAAGAAAATTGCAAACGTCACTAGAACAATAAACTTCCAACCAAACACCGTCTCCTTTATAATCTTCCAATCTAATTTTGCAGTTGCAGCTCGACCTTCTCTGATCATTCTCAACTCAGCTAATCTGTACTCTCTTGGGCTCAATATCTTGAAAGCTGTTTTATTTTCAATTCCTGGGAGTCCAGGTAAGGTGAATATTCCATACAAAGTAATTGGTATGGTAATAATGAACGCAAGAAGGAAGAGCCACTGCCACCCATCAATTCCTCCCTTTCCTGATAAGGATGTCACGGCTGCTGCTTGCATATATCCTCCAGACATTGATCCAATTTGTGATGCACAGAAGAAGAGCGCCAGCCTCTTCGTAATTTCACTCTTAGTGTACCACGAACCTAAGATGTACTGAGATGTTGGGAAAAAGAAGGATCCTAACAACCCAATACAGAATCTAATGGCATATAGTTGATGATAGTTGGTCAATTTGAACATTGCCAAGGTAAAGAGAGACCAAAGAGAGTCCATAATCGGAAGGTACAAATTAATAGGGAGTTTTGTAGCCAAGATCGATAAAGGGATTTGACCAATAATGAACCCAGCCATGTAGCACGAAGATTGGTAAGTGTATTGATTTCCATACATCTTCAAATCTTGCTGCATTCCACTAACATATGAGTAACTAATTGCCGTGGAGTCAAGAGTTTTGATGAAATATGATAAGAAAAGGTATAACCAAACAATCAAATCAAGCTTAGCAACGAGAATTTTCTCTTCTCGAGTGTCATTCGGGGAGAACCATTGATACCATCTCTGAGACTTAACTTCTCTCTTTAAAAACTCAATTTCCTCTGGAGTAAATTCTGAGGACACTTCATTTGAGACCTTTTCGTGAATTTCAAGCTTCTCAGAACCACCAGCTTTACCCGAGAGCTCTACATTCTCAGTGTCGACATTGATAGAACCTGTTTTCGACATTAGACTAATTTTTCACTAAGGTGCACTCCAGCATGTAAGTTAATGCAAGCTTGACAGGAAATGTGTCACCTTAAATATCCCAAAATGAAAAGTCCCACTGTATATGTCCTGAAGCGGCTTTGTCAAGCGAGAAGACAGATTCCGCAAATCACGCATTATGATTGTGTCAAAGCCACAGCTTAATAGCGGACATGGCAATATGAAACTGGTTACTTCAATGGAGGATATCAGCACTTGGTAAGAAGTACTGACTGTTCTGTGTACACTTCAGCACTACGTAGGAACTTTAAAGGCTCAAATTTGGCTGAAAATGAAGAAGGATCTTAGATTAAGAGTATACGAAAGAAAACTGTGGAGCCTCAGGCACTGAGTCACCCGTAAATCTGCCACACCGTTAATGTGCAAGCGCCGTGTACAGACGCAAACGTATACCTATAATGGACAATTCAAAGGGCCAGTGTAGCAGACCCCAAATCTTGCAGACTGCAAATTCCGCTTGACGTGAAAATTAAGGTTTGCTTATAGCAGTGTGGGTAGGTGACAAAGATACGACTGTGCTTCTTGAGTTATGAGCCGCACCAACTCCCCTTATGTGTGAGGGCTTAAACGTTGGAACGGTTCCAATGCAGAGAGCCAGGAAATAGATGCACCAGGTTCTTAGTGGTAGACCTCAATGGTTTGCTTCTTAGACTGGACAAGGTACTGGTATGGAAATATATTTGGTAATAGAGACACAAGTGTATGCTGCTTTGAAATGAATATACGAGACATTTGCATTAACTTTAAGCATTATATACGAATCTCAGAATGAGCCAAAAAAGAGGTTCCAGAGAAATTCCAAAGAAGTTCCAAAGAAAGATTCTATGTGTAAAAATTTACTCTACATGCTAGTGACATGACAGTTCCTAGATACTTAAGCTCCAATAAGTTACAGAGAGAGTTTAAAAGATACATGTTGTAAGAGCAGTAGTAGTTGCGATTGCGCATTCATGATTTGACTCCTCTTCCCTTCACAAGCAAGTATAGGAATTAGAATACAGCCTATATGTCGAGCGAGCTCTAATATTTCCTAAAGAATACGATATATTAGAACTAGATAATACTCTCGCAGAGAATGATAATCTTCCTGTTTTAGTTACTACCATGATGGTGCTTGATCCAAAAACTTTTGCACGTGCCTAGAGTGAAAAATTCATAATTGCAACTGGGGTGCTTATATGTCTGAGTGCCTCAAAAAGCACGATGAGCGCATAAGCACAATGAGTGGATATATATTACACAATAAAGTAAGCAGCGGCATAAAAGTAACCCATGTCACGATAGAACAGTAGTATACAGCAATTCATAGTAACAGAAATACAAATACTGCATAACAACCGGGAGAAATTCTGATCACATGGAAGAAGCAGTACTACATCTTCAGCAGAAAGTTCAGCCCTGCCTTCAGAAGACTACCTGCACCCTGCATAAAGTATTTAAAAAAGCTCAAAACTTTAATTAAGTAGAAGTGATAGCTTAGTGTGGGGAACATATATTTTTTGAATTTTCAGAGTGTGGAAGTGACTTTCATATGGTGTAGTTGAAACCACAGGCTCATTTCCTCTCTCGTAAAAAATTTCAATTTAAGCTGAATGTGGACTGGCGGAAGGGCTGAACAATTTGATAAGACAGCATGATCGAGACCGAGGAACCTGAACAAGAGAACGAACGGGAGCAAAGTAAACTAAAATAAGCTCAAAGTTACGACTCGGCATGACGATTATTAATGTTAATGTTAATGTTAATATTATTATTATTAGTATTATTATTATTTACGCCCTTTTATCTTCTCCTCCCCCAACTGCTTTGTTTGCACCTTCCTTGAAAAATTCGCAGAGATGTCAGTCACTTAAGAAATAACTAGTAAGTTGTCAGGGCAACTTACGAAAAAAGAGCGAACAATTGGTGTGATTTATACTTTCAATCATGCCAAATGTAGAGGTTGTTGTTATCATAATAGTAATTACATTAATAATCCGTGAAACGCTCTCGACCTCTCTTGCTTTGTTGCCCTATTGCAACTCCTGGCGTATGTCACGTACCACATTTTTCAATTTCCAGTGCGATCGATAAGCGCAACTATTTAGAGGCTGTGTCAAATTTCCTAATTTTTTCCTTGCATGATAGTGGAAATGTTGCGGCACTAGCGCCTGCGCTTACCAAGAGTTTACCGTACTCCAATTTCTTCTATTATGATTACGATCATGCTTGAAACCTACCAGTGCAATAGCAAAAATGTGGACAAGTAAAGCTTATTCACACCTTTAGCCCTTAGTCCTCTTGCGTATTTCTGGCTTGAAATATGCCAAAGCAAGAAAACCACGAATGTTTCCCTGGTCTTGTCCTTACCCCCACTCTTTAACAAAAGAAGCTAGCGAGCCAAAAAAGAAATAAATATAAAATTGTCCGTGTGATTACTACAGAAATATATGAGATCACCACGAGCTACCAGTGGAGTAGTTAATCCGCATTATAATTTTTTCGCCTTGGTACATATACTAAGAAACTGTCGACTATTTACCCTTTCGTTGTACTGCAGCTGGAAACGATTCTGGATTTCTTCCTCTTATATGTTGCTTTTTCTCTTTTACCAGCATCTGAGAAAGTTTTCAAATTTATTTTAACTTCTAATTTCCACCCACCCGATTTAGCTTCCTTTAAAGCACCGTTAGCCTTTAACGAGCCTAATCAGTAAAAAATTCGCATCTGAAAATAAAGCCATACAATAAAAGAAAGAGAAAATCATCAAGTAGGATTTTCTACTGTTGAGTTGTTTCATCTTTATTGTTTTAAATTTTTTTTAACCTGCCAGCATTCTAACCATAGAAATCCCCTGTGATTCTTTCTCCAAGCATATATTCAACTCCTTTTGGGGGCCAGAGGAGCAAAGAAGGACCATCACCTGCCTTTGCCTCTACGAAACAGGCAAGATCAGTTAGTACAAAGCACGCAGATCCGCAAATGACTACTGCGGACCGAATACCGTCGTCACCATTGTCATCGCCCAAAAACAACTTGATCAGATCTTCGAAGGCACACTCGAATGGCAATGGTACTAAAAGTCTGGAGTTGAGTGTACCATCCCATTCACACTCACACTCACACTCACTGTCACACTCACGAAACCCTTCCAATACCCAGTCGCATTCCCAGACTCACTCGAGGTCTCACTCAAATACAGCACAGGAGAATGGCTCTGCTATACCTGCCACAACGACTAAGGATGTCATCACGTATATATTCCCAGACTTCCATGCTGTCAAATACTTCCAGAGGGAATTCGTGAGCCAGAACGAATTTCATATTGTGGAAGAAACCACCGAATCTGGCTTTGATATATACCTTGTAGAACAATGGGTGAATAACAGAAAAATTGGGTCCATTGTATCGACATATACTGGGAATTCGACCTCAACAGTCTCTGTCGTAAAATTCACCGTGATTAAGAAATTAGCAAGGTACTACCCTACTAGATTTCAAGAATACTTGAATGAATTGATGATAAATCACGCCAAAGTGAAAGTTATTGATAATGTCCACAAGAGTGAGGTCTTGTTTGTTACCAATTTAACTACTTTGCCCCCAAATCTTAACCTCATACCTATTCAAATCGGTGATCTCAGAAGAATAGAAGAAGATTATGTGATAAATTCCAACTTGAAGAAATTACACTGTAGTGGGAGATCCTTGTCTTTAATTACTGATAAAGTTTCAGTCGCCTCAGAGGATAAATTCAGGCAAATGTATAAGATATACAATGTAAAGATACCTGTAAAATTTGCTATCAAAGAATTGATTAATTTGATCCAAACAAGCTTATTTTATTTTGATTTACTTGATGCTAGGTATTGTGATGGCTTCTTATGTAACAAGACTGAAGAAGCAATTCTTAATTGGTGGAACCTTATTGGATTACCTCATTATAGTATTAAACCGAATCCAAAGTATGGAATTTTACCTTCGAGGACCGTAGCTGCAATCATTAGTTTTATTATCAGTATCAAATTAAGATTACACTTGGTTGGTGGATGTGATCCACCAAAGGATCCATTTGATTTTGAAAATTTCATGATTTCAATAGGACAATTTCAAAGGCAATATAAGATCGAAAAGAAGAGAAAGCTTGACTTAGAGACTTTAAGTAAGTTGTTTTCACTCACAAATCAGATGAATGGAAGTAGCATCAGCAACAATAGCAATAACAACAATGGGAGCCATTTAGGTAATTTATCTGGTGGAGGCAGTAATAGTGCGTTTGTAGATGATTTCCAATCTTTGAATCATACACTTGAACTGCAATTATTGCCTCAATCAAAATTCACCAACCCAAGATATAATAATGCAAACAGTTCTACCCGTTCACTTCGCTCTAATACCACAAATAATTCAATTAATAGAGGAAGTAATTCGAATGCGGGAGCGAATGGAGTTGGTAGTAATCTTGATGGTGAGTTTGGCCGTCATAATAATGGAAGTTCTACCAATTTACAGACATTCCAAAATGTAGGTAATGGGTCATCATTATCTTCATATCGTAAGAATAAAAATTACTACAGTAAAGAAATTAAGAAGTTGACTAATGTGGTGAAAAGTACAGTGCAAGACCACATTGGCGCTGTCAATAGAGGCGGAGATGATGCCAATTACTATAAAAATAACAGTAGTTCCAAATCTAGTGGTATCAAGAAGGTTTCTGAATTAAGTCCTATTGAAGTTGAGACTTTGGATTTGGAAGTATTGGTGAAGAACTTTTTGATTGGAAAGAAATTGTATAGATTATGGATTGGAACCATTCAAAGTTTGGGGGATCAGAAAAAAGATAGGGAAAGTAGTCAAGTGTACTACCCAGCTCATAATAACAACCATAATTCAGCTTTGGAAAATAATAAACAAATGTATAGTTTTCAAAGTTTGAGGGACGAAATTACTTCCAACCAAACAATATTGTCTTCGAATGGCTCTAGGTTGGAATTTTCAAGGTATTCTAGAGGTCTTAATAAAATGAAGCTAGGTCTACAAGGGAGAAAGGGACAAATTATAAGACAGCAACTTCTTGAAAACAATGTTAATAATCCTAACCTGACAACCAACAATTCTCATAGTGAGGCAGTGAAAAACTCAACTGCATTGGTAGATACGTTACTAGGAGTGAAAAGTGACGATAACGGAATCAAAGGTGGTCTTGGATCTGCTTTGGATTCTTCTGATGCCGGATTGAATTTCAAGGTAGATAATATCATTAACGATCACGTCGATAAAAAGGATAATAATAATTTGATTGATTCATTTTATTTTGGATTGAATAGAAGAAATTCTTTCCCAAATATTTACAAAATTGGAGAGCTAAATTTGAACATGATTGAATTTGGGAAAAGACAGCAGAGCCATATTCAAGAGGCTGAAGATGTAAAGAAGCTCAGTAAACATAATCTGCATACGAATCACGGATCTAGCAGAAGAAAAAGTTCATCTATTGGGGAATCACCTTTACACGATACAGTCTCGCTCAAGTATCGGGTCAGAAGTAATAGTTTCTCCACTGTCGAGGATTTTGTCCATTCTACTCGTAACAGTAATGCTCCATTGGAAACGATAGACAAGATTTCCATGAGCTATTTAAAGTCGATCTATAAATTATCCAACTTTAGGACCTTGCGGGATTTCACGATTGATCAAAGAAACGCAGAACCTTTCGCTACATCCATGACCGACGTCGATGAGGTGAAAATCATGAAGTCTTACGACCAATTGAATCTTGAATTAGTTAAGTTGAGCAATGTCAACTCGAAGATGCAAACTAATAAAATCAAGATTGTTGACGAGGATCTCTTGGGAAATCTAGATTACAAAATTCAAGATTTAGTTTCTATTATTGATAGACTAAGCTACGAAGCCAGAATTGTTGCTAAGAGAATAAATGAATTGGAGGAATCATCAAATTCATTAGACTCAAACCTCACTGAACAGTGCGTCGAGAAAGTGAACTCAATGATTAACATAATCATCGTTCTGGCTAAGTTTAATGACACTTTTAGCAATGTTGAAGAAAGAAAACAACTTTTGTTAAAATTAACTGGCACTGAAGAGCCCGAGATATTAAATCAAGAAACTCCAGACGCTCAAGTTTCATACGAATGCAGTGGAATTTTTCAATTCTTTATTATATTTCTTTATGAAATCATCTTTGGAATTTTCCAAGTGCTTAAGTTTGACAGAAGTAGAATGAACTTGGATAGAATAAGAGGAACGTGGGCCAAACTTGATCCCAACAGAACTTACATCGAGAAGGCCTACACTTTGATTGGTAGGAAGCCATCTATGTCAGTACCTAAGAACGAATAACCTTCTTGGCTGCCGAAGAAAAGATAAGCAGGATAAGGTGAAGAGTCAAGAAGAAGAAGAAGAAGATAGGGCTAACATCAAAAAGAATAACAAAAACAACTACAGCCCACAAGAAGAAGAATAAGAATACAATGTCATTCGTATGTTCTATCCAATTACAAGCGCACAACGTGCCAATTAAACCACCACCTACATGTATATGTACACATATATCATTCATTATTGCATTAATCTCAACTAGGAGATAAAAAAGAATTATACCTAAGAGTGAAATTCTTTACAAACATTACATTCTTGCTTAGAACTCTTTGTCTAGAAGTAAATTTAATCCACGTATTAACTCATTTAACTTTTCCCTGTAGTCGTTCAGCTCATTCTGTTGTAGTGAGCTCGTTATATTTATAAGAAGTTCTTGAATTCTCTTTGTTCCGATTTGCAAATCAACCAAGTTGATCTTGAGCTTATCTTCATTAGATGCTATGATGTTATGGGTGTACTTCTCAAGAATTAGATTATTGTTTTTTATTTCGTCCTGATGAATCTGGTTGGAGCGTAGCAAATACTCTTTAATAGACTGTACGATTTCGAAATTCTGCTGTACTATATCATTTAGCTTCGCAGTGACAAAGTCCTGCTTCTGAATGTCCATTAGAAGGGACATTCTCTCTTCTTCTAGGCGTTGAATTGTAGATTTCTCATAGTCAATACCTTCGTCACTGTTGTATTCGTTCTCATCGTTCAACTTTGGACTAGGTATTTGCGATAGTATTTCTTCATTTGGTACTATCTCTCTAGACATAGATTCTAGTAAGGCTATATGACTATTCGATTCATTGAGTTGATTCGATAGGGACAGAAGCAAACTTTTTATCGTAGAAAGGTTTTCGCTGGGAAGCAGTTCCATTATGAATATTTCCAAATGTAGAGCAACGTAGAACAACGTAGACCAAAAAAACACTTTATCAATACTACCAAATCAATCAGCCGAGCTCAGAGCATGCTCCCCCATACTCCACTGCTCACTTCTCGTACGCGCGCAGAGGGTGCCAGTGTTTTTTCTAAAACAAAAGTATCCTGCACACAGCGAGCTCACTACCTTGGGAACTGGAAGGTGAAAAAAAAGAGTTCGATTAGAACACGAACCCAAATCCAAACAGTTGGTAAATAGATTGAATCGAAGTAGTGAAAGTCAAGAGATCATTCATATTTCTATACACGGAAGCTAGCGCATCAATTTACGTGAACTAAAATTGAAAAAAGATAAAGAAACAAACAGTTAGATATGGTCACAATTGGAAATGCTCATGACGATTTGATTCATGACGCAGTATTAGATTACTACGGCAAAAGATTAGCCACATGCTCTTCAGATAAGACAATCAAGATTTTCGATATTGAAGGAGAAAATCATAAATTGACCGAGACATTGATTGGACACGAGGGTCCAGTGTGGCAAGTTGCCTGGGCACATCCTAAGTTTGGTGCAATTTTAGCATCTTGTTCATACGATGGTAAGGCGTTGATTTGGAAGGAACAACCTGAAACAAGACAATGGTCCATCATAGCAGAACACAAAGTCCATCAGGCAAGTGTCAATTCTGTTTCATGGGCTCCTCATGAACTTGGTGCTGTCTTGTTATGCACATCATCAGACGGTAAAGTGTCAGTAGTCGACTTTAACGATGATGGTACCACTCTGCACATTGCCTTTGACGCCCATGCTATAGGTGTGAACTCAGCTTCATGGTGTCCAATTATTAAAGATAATATAAGACAATTTGCCACTTGTGGTTCCGACAACTTGACCAGAATTTGGAAATGGGACCCTAAAGATAATAAATACGTCGAAGAAGCTACTTTAGAGGGCCATTCTGATTGGGTCAGAGATGTAGCTTGGTCTCCTTCAGTATTTGTCAAGTCTTACATTGCCACAGCATCTCAGGACCGTACTGTCTTGATCTGGACCAAAGAAGGTACAAGTGGCAAGTGGGAAAAGCAATTGTTGACTACTGAAAAGTTCCCTGATGTATGCTGGAGATGTTCCTGGAGTTTGTCTGGTAACATATTAGCAGTTTCTGGAGGAGACAATAAGGTTAGCTTGTGGAAGGAAAGTTTACAGGGTAAATGGGAAAGTGCTGGAGAAGTTGATCAATAAAAAAGTTTACAAAAGTATAGTTCTTATGGTATGTAAGTTAGGAAGATGAAATGAGAAGTTTTTAGAATAAACGATTAAAGAATATTAAGCGGGTAGCTAGTGGGTTTCACTGCATTGTCTACCGCTCTTAATAGATGTAAGCTCAGCGAATCAGCCATTCGATCAGACTGATAAAGCCGACTGCTTTGCATTATCCGACAAGAAAATGAGTCTTCGTAGTTGAAAGGTGTCCCCTTACCATAGTAAGCTCCACATAGGGAAGCTTCTACAACCTGGTCGCTCCCTGGCCAGTACAATGCCTAGCTGTTTCACTTACAGACTCCGGTCGTTGGGTAGACAGGTGACAATCCAAGTGAATGACGCACGTGACAATCCTTAGCGTTTATTGACGTGAGAAAATGAGAAACATCTCACTTTGAGCATAATATACTGTTACAAGATGCGAAATTTGAAGAATTTATCATAATTCGTCTCATTTTTGGATGACATCATTTCGAAAAGATTCACCTATAAAATGATCCAGGTTACTTGAGGAGCAAGTAAACACCTTACGGAGAAGATAGAGAGCTCAGATTTCATTATACAACAAAAACTGAATAACTGGACTATTATTGCACAAAGTCAAATCGTGTACCCCCCCCTTTACTTTTTGGCTTTTTTTTTCAACTTTGCATATTTTGAAAATTTGGTTCCTAAATTTTTTTGAAAGTCCGAAACTTGTTTAATTTGGCGATTTCCATATTGAACAGGTCCACGACCCCCATATTGAACAGAAAACGACCTTTGTGTTACACAAAACTCATTTGTGGATAAACCACAAACCAAAGAAAATATTTTAGAGGTTTCAGAAGGCCATGCATTCATACTACAAATTCCTTCAAACGATAATCTTCTCAAGAAAAAAGAGAGCTTCTTTTTTCTTGAGAAGATTATCGTTTGAAGGAATTTGTAGTATGAATGCATGGCCTTCTGAAACCTCTACCCCTGTGGCTTTGTTTCTCATCCTATGAAGTTGAAGCTAAGTTAGATGTTATAGTTACGTCTCTAGCTACATGATGGTATACTTAGATGTGTTGATTTATTACTTTTGAATTTTGTCGTTGGCCTCTTTGTGAACATTGGAATCTACAGAGGACTGGAAGGATAATTCATGCTTGCTGTATACCAATATGTAGCGCTCGTCTCTGGCTTGCATTTCGTATAAGTTTCAGCCATTTTACTCTAGGTTTGGCCAAGCTATTGATACTATTTTCCATTTAGGCCGTTTTCCAAGGTCAATTCTGGCTCTTTTACTTGTTAGAGCCACATACAGAGGACACAAAATGAAAATGAAACTATATGTAGTGGATTTTCCACATAAGGATCTACCTCAAAACATCTCTAAATAAGTGAGAGAGAAGTATCTAGTCTTGGTATTTTCGTAAGCGACTAACGAGTGGAGACTACCAAAAATCTCACTGAGCCATTTGCTTATGCTTGTCAGCCAACCGTTTCATAAGATCGAAAGCTTTTTAAATCAATGGCTGCAATTCGATCCATATGCAGTATTTGCAACCATTTTAGGGTATGCTTTCCTGCAGGTAACGAGTAGATTAAGGTTGAGCAAGATGGCCCTGGCAATGAATCACAACCGACTGATTGGCAATAACCTTCTTGAAATATGAGCGCTCAGGGGTTATATCATCGAAGCTGAGTACTGATATATTTGAGTAGGAATTGATATAACTATGTTCATTTGGGAATAGACAAGGGATGAAGATATGGGTCTAGCTATGGGGATAATATGCAGTGCTGAGTTAGACTGTTGTCCCACAGTAGTATCAACTAGGTTGCATTGTTGTATGCGATGCACTATTCATGTTCCATACCAGCATATAGCTTTACTATATACTGAGTTTTCGACATACTCAAAGATTCATTTTCACTTAAATAGTCTGGAAGTATGCCTTTTCTGAGTTGGTACCCTTAAGTTGGAAATAGCCAAGAGGGAGCAAGCTCTCTCCCTACACCACCATTATAGATTTCCGCAATTGTTGTTCCAGTTCAATAATACTAGAGTTTGCTGATAAATGATCAACGAGAGTATCCATACTCTTCATTACGACGTGCTTAAGGCAATCTTATTGTAATCTATGAACAGAAATCAACTACTTGACGATTCTTCCTACGGTCAGCTGTATTTGGAATTAAGAAGCTATATCTGGAAATAAGAAAGATATTCTATCATTAGGCTACTCAAATTATACATGTATGCACACTATTCTATTTTGTTATTATCTAGTTCGCAAGGAACATCATAATACTACACGTACCGCCTTACGGAATGAGCGTTAGCCTCTAGTGCAATTGTCACTACTTATGTTCAGTTTTTCTGATTATAACTCATTGATTGTGTATTCAAAGATCTTTTGCACATCCTTGGATGCCTCATTTGCAGTTTCCAATACTTCTGCATGAGATGCCATACCTTCATCAAGAGGTTTTGGCTCCTCATCGAAGGAAGTAGGAGGCTTTTCACCTACACCAGCATTAGTAATCAACGATAAAGCCAAAACTCTCAAGCCCGAGTGACGAGCAATAATAACTTCAGGAACAGTTGACATTCCAACAGCATCACCACCGGTCGCACGAATGAATCTGACTTCAGCTCTACTTTCGAATGTAGGGCCAGCTACGAAGAAATAGGTACCTTCGTAAACCTTTCTAGTGATCCCCAATTCTTTCTTCTTTTCGAAGAATAACTTTCTAAGACTGTGCTCGTATGCGTCAGACAAAGGTTGGAATCTTGGGCCGAAATTGTCCATATTCGGACCCCTCAATGGGTGGTACCCTGCCATCCCTGGAAAGTTAATATGGTCAGTGATAATCATCAAGTCACCAGGAACGTAATCTGGGTTCACTCCTCCTGCAGCATTGGTGACCACAAGAACTTCAACACCTAACAATTTGGCTAATCTCACAGGGAAGGTAGTTTCTTGAAATGAATAGCCTTCATAAAAGTGTAATCTTCCAACCATACACATGACTGGGACTTTCTTTGAACCAATTAATCCAAACACCAACTTACCAGCATGTCCAGGGACTGTAGAGGTCTTGAATCCCGGAATCTTGTTATATGGAACCTCGACTTTTGGCTCAGCCGCCAATATATCAGCAATTCCTCCAAGTCCCGATCCGCAGATGATCATAACCCTGGGTTTGGCAAGTTCTGGAGTGTCCGCCAATAAGCCATTTAAGGTCTCGGCAGCAACCTCGAGCTGCTTCGTGTACTCTTGTGGATCGAACGAGAGTGATGACATGTATATGCTAAAGTTAATATAACGTTGGTGCAATTAAAAACAATGATTAACTTAGAAAAAGAGATGGGTGTATTTTGAATCGTGGATCGTCTTCTTATCAGCGGGCCTCAAAGTGGAATTGAAAAAAAAAGCCCGATGCGGGGGTCGAACCCGCAACCTTTTGATCGCACTCTATTAAGAGTCAAACGCTCTACCGATTGAGCTAACCAGGCACTTTCTGATTGTCTAATTTGCACTGTCCTTCGCAATCAGTGGTTTGGATTTTAAGATGGTAGTCTTCACGGTCTCACTGGTTACTCTATATGTGCGTCCTTATGTTTACTTATAGACGTCTTTGGATGTTACGCTGTTACATTTCTTTCTAGCAGTTTCCATATTCTCGCTCTGTCAATGCAGCTTCTTGGCGAGTGGCAAATGAAACCAGTATCCTGTGACTTACCCTTGTGCAACCGGAAGACATCTCTGTTGACCTGGGTTTGTCTGAAGTACAGTGATTGAATGCCTTCATCTTTGATTAAATTGAATTCATCTATTATATATGTATGCTATGTATGCTATTAATGGATATTTTTCTTTTGTGCCATGTATTGATTCATGTGTGTGCTTTCCTTTGCATCTTCATTCGAAAAGAAGTCAGATGGTGGAGTAGATCCAACTTGATTGCCATCTAATTCTCCCAATTCCCCCTTGCTGTTATAATTAGACATTACCAGAGTAGTTGTATTTACTCTGGTAGCCTTTGACGTTGGAGATGAAGAGTTCACGATAGCTTCATCATCGATTTCTTGAAGTTCGCCTTCCTCAACTGCATCACTGGCATGAGTCAACATTGGAGATGAAGGCATATTTGATACCGTCATTTGCAGTCTTTGTTGCATTAAGGGGGATGAAGACTTCACGGTAGTGAAAGTTCTCAACTGTGGCAAATTAGGGTGTGGTGGAGATTTTTCTATGGAATCAACTTCACTCTCAGTTTCCTCGCTGCTTCCGTCTTTCATATCTGAGATGCCCACAAAAGTGTTAAAGTTGCCTGCACTTTCTTGATTGTTAACACTGTTATTGCTAGTGCCATCTTTGGGGGTAATGTGGTCACGAGGAGTGGAATCTCCGAATAGATTATTCATCCAAACAGTTTGGTTTGTATTATTTGATGGGCTATTCTTTTCAGATGAATGACTGAATGATTTCACCATCATTTTCTCAAAATCATCGAATTCTTGCTTATTGTGATGATCAAGGTCACTGTATTGATTCTGATCATCAGATGTAGCTGGTGGTGGACAATTTTCTTTATCTTCACCTTCTTCATCATCATACAAATTGATAATCCTGGTATTGGATTTCTCTGCCATCATCGGAGGTGTCACACCTTGTGGAAGTGGGTCAATGTCAGTCAAAGGACCTCCAAATGAATTCAATTGATTCATAAAATCATTCAAATCATTGAAGTTCAGGTAGTTAGGAGTTGCACGATTGGTAATATTCATGTTATTATTAGTAGAATTATTACGACTATTAGTATTACCATTACTATTAGCGTTGTTCATGTTATTTTGAATGACTTGGTTAATAGCTGATGGGGTATGAGACGGCGTTGTAAATTTATGGAATACTGGGGGTGAGGAAGCGTATTGCTTTGGTTGTAAGCTGCTATTAAGCTGCTCATCCTTTTGCTTCAATTCCTTCTTGTATCTTTGTTGCTGCATGTACTTTTTTACTACTGCCTCCGGACGCATAAACCCCTTGTTTCTCAAGAATAAGTAACATGCGTTGCACAATGGACCTATCATTCCCTCATAATGCTTAATATCGAAATCTTTTGCCCTATGCAAAGAGAGATAGTTCGGATGATATCCAGTTTCAAAGTATCTCCATGTGATTGAATAGTTAGTTGCACAATTGCTATTCATACACACTAAACTATGATTCTTGGGTAATCTGAAAAGAGGAATAGCATGGGTCTTCCTACTATCCAAATCTTCTAAGTCAGGTAAGGACTGAAATTGAACACCAGATGACGATGGGTGCTGTTGGTGTTGACTATGACTATGTTGAGCAATGCTGTTATGTTTAGTTGGGTTATAAGGTGGCTGCTGTGGAGTGTATGGAGAAGAATTGTTTTCATTGTCAATATCATCTTCTTCTTCGTCCTCTATTCCGTTTTCACTCTGAACATTCGTTTCCTGATAGTCAGTATCTGAGGCATCTGTTTCTTCGTTAATGGGGGACGAAATTATCATAGGCATCTGCTTGTTTGTCACCATCGACCTTGTTCGCATTGCTCTAAGTGGTTCATTATTTGTATTGGGCACAGAAGAGCTTAAATATCTGTGAGTACTATCATTGAGGGTGTTGCTAGGCATGGTGCTATTGCTAGCACTGCTAATTGAAACTATTTTGCTATTGTATCTCCTTTGAGGATTTTCCAATATTTTAGCTTGCAAGAACGGAGCCAGTTTGAATCTGTCTTGAACAGATTTATTATCATATTTTGAAGGAGCATTCGATTTGTCAGCATTAATGATGTTAAAAATTTGCTGGTTTTGAGGATAAAATATAGGTAAGGACTTAGTTCTGGTAGCCTTCGTAGCAGCATCAGATGCTGACGATGAAGAAGATGAAGCCGCAGGTTTGTTTGAACGTGAGCGCTTTTGAGCCTGAGCTTGACCAGAATGAAGCTCGGAATGCCTTTTGTCGGATAGCTTTTGATTCTGCTCCATTTGTGCATTTCCTTGCAGCTGTACTTCGGGATATTTCTCTATAGTATGTAATTTTAATCTTATCTCAAGTGTATGGGAGGAAGAGTTTGACTTGTCGCCAAACAAAAAGTTTGCTGATAAATTTTGGCAAACTCTACCTGGAATTAAGTGCTGCTTTGTACCAGAGATTAACCCAGATAGTACCCCATTGGCAACAAATGGCTCATCCGGTTGCTCGGTGATGTCCTTGTAGTAAACAGCGTAATCTTCAGTTTGTAGCTTGAAGTTCTCTGGTGAGCTTTTCAAAACTTGCAGTACACACAGTTTCAAGTCGAAGGCACCTAAAGTGAGGACTTCGCCACTGTCTCCATTTGCCATCGGAATCTGAGCAATTTTGATCGAATGTATTTGCTTGGATCTCGAAAGGAAGACCGTGGAGTTGTTGTTGAAGGAATACAACACTTTGACCTGCATTCGTTTGTATTCGTCTGACATGATGATAGTGAGTAGATCTCTTTGGTTAAGATGATGATTGTTGTTGTTGCTGCTGTATTAGAAGCCGTTGCTGTTGTTGTTGTCGTTGCCTTTGTCTTTGCCTTTGTAGTGGATTTTTGTTATTAGTTCTGCCTTAGGCTGGAATTTTCTGTCGTAACACCAGAGAGAAAAACAACAACTGGGGACAATACCTATATCAACTATATGCCTACTAGCTCTCTGAATTCTTGTGGTGGAGCTTGAGAAAGTTTCAAAACAAATGTGCTAGAAATCTTGAAGAGTACAAGTGGAACAGCTAACAGGAATTTAAACAAAGAAAAAAAACTACTCTATCAAAAAGAAAAACAACTTTAGTCTACTCAAAAAAGTTTGTTTTGTTCTCTCGATGTTATTCTCTTGATACACCAGTGCAATACTCAAATTCCCACAGCTCTCACTAGCTAGCCGCAACAAATGCAGCGTATTTTGTTATTTTTGTTATTTAATTTTTACCTGCTAACGCTAGAGCGTGCCCGTTGTATGCATGAAATAAACAGAATGAAATCCAAATGTACCGTAAACCTTATAACCAAAGACCCACATACAATTGAATGTACCACGCTAGCAGCCGCAAGATCTGTTGTTTATTTCTGATTTTTCGCAGCCAAAGTTTTCGTGTTTCGCGTTGATATTCCGAGAATCGCCTGCACAGTGGCCGGTGTGATACCAGCTTTCCTCTATTAGTTGCTGTAGTGAAGAAAATCGATGAGAGAAAAATATACGCCACGCAGAGGAAGGAGCAGAGAGAACGCGAGATTGTTAAGTTACTTGCATGTATGTTTGTATGCGTAGGAGAAAACTCAAGACGTGTCGCGGCATATGGCGTATGCGATGGATAATGAATGCAGTTCTACTGTGTAGCATTGGCATTAGAGATTTGGGTCGTGAGACACTTGACACTTTTGACAATTTGACATTTGAGATAACATCATTTGCAATTTACACTTTTGTTCTTAGATGTAGTGCGATTTGTTGTTTTCTGCCATTTCAGTTATTTTTAGTTGAAACACAGGCTAGAATACCTAATAGCTTATTTCTGAGACACTGTTTGGTTAGGCATACGCTAGTTTAGACCCTATATTTCTTTTTTTGTGATCGCTATTTTTTTTTTTTTTTTATTTGGTCCCGCCATTTTTATCACCATTTTCATGCAAGGACGCAATTTCTGATTATTTTTAAGCCTTTCGTATTCTTGGTATTTTGATCCTGCATAGTGCGAGGCTGCAATTTGGGTGAGACGAGAGTGTGGAAGGTAGCAGGTAGGTAGCAGGTAGGTGGAAGGTAGGTGGAAGGTAGGTAGTAAGTGGTTGTGTAGAAGGTTTTGCGATGTAGGTCTACTGTTCGAAGGGTGTTAGCGCTAAATTCGAATATTGAAATTTTCATTTTGTTCTTTTATAATTCTAAGACTATTTACAAGTATGCTCCATCCTATGTACCGTCACCTCACCGATTTGTCAATACGATCTACTCAGTGTATTTCCTTTGAGGTCAATCTCTTCTTTAGATATCTAGTTAATAGTTGCCTACGCCGTGGCTTCTCATCCTTCCCTCAATTAATCTAACCCCGTCAATCTCTTTACCTCTCTCATATTCTTTGACGCAATTTCCCGAGCCTTTTCGGATCCAAGCCTGCAAACTTTATCCAAGTAAGTGGTATTCCTTGTCAACTCTTCAAAATACTGCCTTGTATCTCTAAATTCAGTATCTAATAACTCACATATGTAATCTTTAAGTTCTTTGTGGTTTGTAATCCAGCTCAATTCTTCTACAGTTTGATCAATCAGATTTCTTTTTAACCCAGCTATGATGTTAATCAAATTGGATACACCAGGTCTATTAACTTCATCAAAAGTTATTTTACCCTGAATTGAGTCCGTGGTGGCCTTTCTTACCTTTTTTTGAATCACTTCTGGCGATTCATTGATGTATATACAAGAGTTTTGATCCAAGTCTGATTTGGACATTTTCTTCGTAGGATTTCTCAAAGACAACACTTTATTCGTAGGGGTGAGTAGTGTAGTGGGTAATGGGAAGAAGTCACTCTTAAATTGCTTATTAAAGCTAGAGGCAAGCAGACGACTGAGTTCTAAATGCTGGCTCTGATCATCTCCCACTGGAACATGCGTAGATTTATATAACAAGATATCTGCGGACTGTAATACAGGGTAGCAGAAAAGCCCTGCCTTCATGTTCTGTTCACTACTACCAAATGCTGCATTGTCCAGGTCGAATACCTTCAGTTTCCAAGTCGTCATACGACTCAAGAGCCCCATGGAAGTTAGGCAAGTTAGCACCCAGTTTAATTCAGCGTGTTCCGGGACTGAAGATTGATGATACAAGATACACTTCTCTGGATCCACACCAGCAGCAATGATACTAGCAATGGCTTCGTACCTGTTTCTCTTGAGTACAGATGCCTCGTTTGGGAGAGTGAGTGCATGCAAATCCGCTAAGCCAAAGATAAAAGTATTCTCCTGTTCATTCTCCAGAGATTCCGAGATATCTTTCCAGTTTCTTATTGCTCCAAGGTAGTTACCGAGGTGAATCTTTCCTGTAGGTTGCACCAACGAGAAAATGGTTGATCTTTGGGCAAACTTCGGTATCGTTGTGATCTGAACTGAAGCTGAAGAGTAGAGCCTAAGAGACGTTCTTATCATTTTCTAGATAGAAAAAAACAACAAAAACAGCAGCACTTTAGTAACCTAGATTTCTTTATATACAGAAGTAGCCAATACACCAATAATCTCCCTGTAATGCCAGATCTAAACGAACTAGCCCAGAACCTAAGACATCAACTTGAAATTTCAATCCATGCCGTGAAGTAACCTCATTCTCGGTTAATATGCAGGATCACATTTAAGAATATCGATGGCATGCGGAAGGAGCTTGCTGTGTACATGCCGCTGAGATGAAGGTCGACTACGGTTTGAAGGTCGTTCTTAGTAGGTTTGTGGATGCGTACCTTAGCACCCACAGTCTTGGAAATATTTTTCTACTGGTTTTTTACTTTCTCCTCATACTTTTCTTTGCCTCAGCTTTAGGCTCTCCCATTCAATCGGAGCAAGACATATAGCTCCACACTACAGGTTCAATCGATTATGCCTTTAATTATATATTATATTACTTAATTACTATGCCTAAGCACTAGGTTCCTACAATTGGTTACTTCTTAACCTCAACCTCTTCTTCATTCTTGCCAACGAATCCCCCTACGACGTTATTGATTTCGATCCCCTGTTTTACCAACCTCTTCTCCAACTTCCCCCTCTGGAGTTCTCGCCATCTATTAAGCTTAGAGTAGTCATGCAATTTGAAGCCAAACACCTTGGGTACGTATGTATCCTTGGTATGTATTGGGATTACTTGTGGGAAAGTCTGGAAGAACATCGCTGGGAACGATGTACCAAAGTAAGCTCCGTCAACAACTGCATGCCTACCTGACTTTGGGTTATACAAATCTTCACACTTGGCACAGTATAGTTTGACCGAAGCGAATCTTGGTTGATCGTGCAACCCAATTGGTAACAAAGGGTGCAACAGGCAATGGAACCTTGGACAGTAGCCAAAATCACCATTTCTGTACTTTTCAAACATCTTGTTCAACCCCCTGGAGGTCAAGATGAACCTGGCATGTATCAATCCATAAAGGATACGAGAATTATGTTCCAAAACTTCCCTGTGCTCTTCGGGCTGCAGTTCTATGTCAATACTATCCGTTATTATATCTATCAACGTGGGCACTCTACTGACTTCTTGGTTCAAGCCGGTCAAATTAAATCTATCCCTAATGTATTCATCATCAATATCACAGTAGTACTCATTTCCCTTAATACCTAAGAACAAATCGATCCAGTATTCGGTGTAATCCGAAGATGAGTCTGTACCATATTCCTCATTACCATTCGACATATTCACGAGAGTATAGTTGAATCAGGCCCTGCTCAGTAAAAATAAAAAAATTATATATCCTAGATTATATATGTATGTATATATATCTGCTATATCAAAATGGATTCCCTTCGCTTCTCTAAAACCTGCTTGCTTAAGTTTGCTGAAGGAAAGCCTGAAGGGTGTGATGGTGCCCTTGAAAGCAAAAAAAAAAGTTTTTGATATTGATTTTCTTGCGGGTGGTTTTGTGTCACAACTGCGGGACTTGCTCAGACGCAAACGCTTGGAACATTGTCGGTGGTGGTGGTGCGCAATTTGCAGCCACCACGGCCTGATGAGGAGCAGATGTTCATGGGAATGGGTGGACCTAGCTGATAGGAGAGACTTGTGAGTATTTATTTTGGGCCTGTGCGCTGACTACAACAACTTCCTGAACTTCGTCTGGGCTCTGTAGCGTGATATGCGAATTAAGTACCTGTTTGTATGGCTCTCATTGGGGCTAAAGTTTGGCAGGTAGGGAGCGTGAAACTGGTGCACTAACGAGTGCCCGTTGCTGCGACTCGCACTCACCACCCACCACCCACCACTTGGCGCTCGCCGTGCATCGAACGGTAATTTCTCCCGCTAAAATGCAGAACAGAACAAGACTAAAGACAGTAAAGTTGAGAAACTCTTAAGAACATTCTGGCTCCGCCAGGTTCAAATTAAGCATTTTCCTTATGCTGCTTCCCTGAATGCCCTGCTGTACACTGTGGTATGCTCTTAATACAATTCAAGGGTCTATTCGCACAACCACTGTGATCTTCTCTGAACGCATTTCCATTTCTCGCCAGCGCTTTGCTCTAGCGCCTAGGGCCCCAGCGACTGCCCTACCGACATAATTTTGTGTAATTCGCACGGGCTCCGCTCTTGTTATTATTTTCATTTAGTGGCTAAAATAAGATCCACATACACCAAACCCATTTGCAGCTCAGCTCTACACCATCTGTAACGAATGAAAGTCCTAGTCATTCCTCAAGTATTCCACGAGGGTGCAATCCACTCCGTCGATATCAATAAGGACGGAAAAATTCTTACCTCGGGAAAGAATTCGTCCATTCTTGAGTGGAGTCCGGAATTTTTCAAGTCAGACTTAACAAGCCCTGAGGCAAAGGAAACTGTTACCAGCATAAAACCTCAATTCACTCATAAATACCATAAGGCACCTGTAACTGTAGTCAGGTGGAGCCCGCATGATGTCAATTTATTTGCCAGTGGAGACCTGAACGGAGAGGTTTACATAAAGACAGGGCCGTCCAGTTCTACGCCCAAGCGAGTGAACGGAACCAGCACTGCAGGTGTCGTTGACTTGACGTGGTCCTCAGATGGCCGTCTCTTATGCTGGAGCACCGATGACCACAAATTGCATTTATACGATACCAAGAGCGAAACCAATCAAGATTTCACCTCATTATCTTCCTCATCTTCTTCGAGCTCTGGCTCATCATCAGCTGCTAATGCAGCATCTGCATCCGCGACAACTACGACTTCGAACCCTGCCACTTCTATATCCACAGCGCCTGACAAGAAGGGGAAACAACTTCCTTCAATTCAACGGAGTATTGCTTTTGACCCTACTGGACACTACCTCATAACATTGGGCGATGACTCCCTCATATACTTGTACCAATACGAATACGACTCCGATGACTTATACAAATTCAAACAAATTCAAAAAATATCGAAACTTGTAAATAATATGGCATTCAATTCAAACTACAAAAGAATTACCTGGTCTCCTGATGGAGAATATGTATGTATACCTACTGCAAGTAAAAATCTGACTTCATTGGTTTCCCTTTTGTCACGTTCGAAAAACTGGACCAACATAATTAGTTTGGTTGGCCACGATGTAAACTGTCAAGTTGCAAAGTTTAATCCTAAATTTTATAAACCGAATGAGAAGGTTTCCAGTCATCCCTATAATATTATCGCAACATCTGGCTCGGATAAGACTTTGGTGATATGGAATACAAGTAATGAATCTCCCATATCCATATTGAGAGACTTATCCACTGAACCGATTACTGATTTGTGCTGGAATTCTGATGGAGACACCCTATTGGCAGTCTCATTAGATGGTCATATAACAGTGGTCAATTTTGAACAGGAGGAATTGGGATCAACCGTTTCAAGTGAAATAGTACAAGAAATTGAAGAAGCTGGGAGAAAGCTGATCAAACCTTTTGATCACAAAAATGAATCTGAGACTACAAGTAACAATAGAAGAGGTGGTCAAAGCAACATACAAGAGATTTTAGATCAGAAGAATGCCAAAAGCATTCATGAAGAGAAGGCTGTATCTGCCGAAAATGGTGTTGAAGAGAAAGTTGCTGATGAAGCTCCTGTGAAAAGTAAAGTACCAGTAAATACTGACTCAAAATCCAAACTAAAGGGAAAAATAGTACCTGAGATCATCCCCTTACCCAATCTAGATGACCAAAACCAATCTAATGCACCTACGGCTGATGATATTCTTCAAACTGCTATGGGCAGGAAAAAGCTGAGTGAAACAAGCAATCAAGAAACAGGTACCAGTGCAACTTTGGTAAAGACAATTCCCAAAAAAGAGCCAGTATCTATTCCCAACATTAAGTCGCTGTCACAAAAAATAACCACGAAGAATGGAAAGAAGCGTATTCAACCAATGTTAATTTCTAGCAATGGAGGTAGCTCGAGTTCTACAAATGGCTTGATCTCAACTAAGGCTAGTGAAGCAATCAGTTCTGGTGAAAGCTTCTCTAATGGAAGCGCGATTAGCTCGAATGTTTCTCATATGGAATTTGACAAGGCATCCTATTCAGTCACGGAAGAGATTTTTAAACAAAGCAAACGTGGTAAGCAGCCAGAGACAGCAAATGGTACCGTCAATGGAAAAAAAGCAAAGAGACCGTTAGAGCCGGTCAAGTTTCTCAGTACTACCATTGTCAATCCTAATACCACATATGCTAAAGTTAGACTTTCTATCCCAAAGGTACGATTGAGTTTCCAACTTGAAAGCAAGTTTGAAAGTGAAAACTTTGTTTTAGATATCAAGAACGGATCAGGCAACGAAGCAAAACCTTCAAGGATTACTTATTATAAGAAGGATACCGAAATTTGGTCAGATTTCGTACCTCGCTTTGTCCAGCTTGCAACAGAAGGAAATGGCTTTTTGGCAATGTGTAGTATGGACGGTCAAATATTAATATACTCACGTATTCTGGGTAGAAGAATTCTTCCTCCCTTAGTGATTGGATCACCATTGTCTTTCCTTGAGAGTCGTGGGGATTTTCTAATGGCCGTTTCGTCCATTGGCGAACTTTATGTGTGGAATATTTCTCAAAAGAAAATCCATTTGCATGCGCCATCTTCATTAAGTCCAGTTTTGGAATTATCAAGTAAATATAGAGAAGATGGATTGTCAAAATCTGATAATATCACCATGTGTGCAATAACTTCTTCTGGAGTTCCTTTATTGACTATATCAAATGGTACAGGTTACCTTTTCAATAAGGATTTGAATACGTGGCAAACAATCACCGAATCATGGTGGGCATTTGGATCACATTACTGGGATTCAGTTGGAGATGAAGATATCTCCCGAAGATTACAGTCTTCCAATATTGTGGGTGACTCTTCATCTTCGTCTTCCTCGATTGTTGGCCTTTTAGAACAGAAGACAAACGAGGAAATCTTGAGGAAAACAAGAATTGGAAGAGGTAAATACTTCAACAAGATTTCTAAAAACATGATTATGAAGGAAGGCTTTGAAAATTTAGAAAACTCTATTTCTTTAAGTCATTTGGAAAATAGAATATTATGCTGTGAACTACTCGGAGAGAAAGACGATTTCAAAAGGTTCTTCATTGCATATGCTAAAAGAATCTGCGAGTTAAGTTTGAAACCCAAGTTGTATGAAATTTGCAATCAATTATTGGGCCCACCATTAGAATATAAAGAGTCACTTGCGAATGGACTAATGACGCCAGATAAGGAGTACGAAGATTGGTCTCCAACTATCTGTGAAATTGAAAAGCATGATTTGTTGAAGGAAATAATCACGAACTGTGCCAAGCATAGAGATTCTCAGAGAATTTTAACCCATTTCGCTAGAGAGTTGAATCTTGTCAAGGGAGAAATTGAAGATGATGTGGACATGGAGCTTTAGAGATATTCTCCGTTTCCATAGTCTTTTCTTTGCTGTTTAGTTTCTGCGATGAGTTATTAAAAGTTGTATAATTTAACATATCTATTTACAGTTTTGCTCTATCATAGTTTATATACATTGGTGCTATTCCATCCTTTCTTACCTAGTAAACCTTCGACGGGACCTTGTTCCTGATCTACCTCATTCTTCACACCAGCAACATATTCGATATATCCTTGAGGGCCACACACTATAGCTAGTGCTGCATCCTTCTTCTCCTCTTTGCTGGTCTGGATTGCTTGCTCAAGAGCATTTGAGTACCTTGGATATTCTTTCTCTTCTACAAGTTTTCCACTTTTTTCATGATCTCCTTCAAGAATGGACATTCTCAACTTTAATAGTTCTTCTGGGCTTTTTTCCACGTTCTTCTCCACTTGAGATTTGCGGAGTTCGCTAACATAATTTGGGGCCGCTGGCGGGTTGACATCCTTAATGCCCAATCTTGATTTGGGCACCGTATCATAATGGAAGGTGAAATTCACTCTGTCCAACTTCTCCAAAAAGAAGATAAACCTCTCTAGTAATCTAATTTCGCCAGGCTTCTGGGCTGAATAATGGATTTTTACATATCCCTCATATGGTTTACGAGACATAAGGGCCTGTAGTATGGGGGCCACACCAGTCCCTGCCGCGTAAAAGGTCAAGTTATCTACCGGGGGTATGTCAGCGCACGAGCTAGGTCTTTCTCTACTTTTATCCATTTCCATAGTAGAAGGTAAATCTCTGAAAATAGGACGCTCTTCCACTGCAGATTCTCTTACTGGATGATAGGGGAATTTATATTCAATATTAGGGCCCCTGAGTTGTATCTCGTCACCAATTTTCTTGTTTGTGATAAATTTCGACACTTCCCCATCTTCATACCTTTTGATATACAACACCATTGTACCATGTTTATCGCAGTCTTCTTCATCGTTATTGATAACTTTCAAAAGAGGTTTTTTGTCTCCAGCTCTAGTTTGTTCTGATTTGAGAAAATACAATGGCAATGGCGTATAGGAACGAACCACCATAATCTGTGGGTGCATTACTTCAACGGACCAGATGTGTTTAGCTCCGTTCCAGATCGATTTGGTCTGATAGCTGTTGGCGTATGAGTACTCCCACTGATCATATTTGGGCTTGATTTCGATGAGATAGTGCTGGTCATCGATTTGCTCCTTGTGAGTGATTATGAAAGGGTGGAATTCCTCAGGCGAAAGAATGTCATTGCTAGCAGCACCGGTTTCTGGCTCGTACACCCACACCTTCACCGAGTAGGCAGCCCAAGCAACAACAACGAATATGGCAATTTTCGGAATATGACGTCTCCAACGACTATAAGTTGTCTTTTGTGGATCGTTGTACTTCTGGAATTCGTCCTGATTGGGCAAACCGGGGTATTCATAGGTAACTCTCTTGTGGCTCACTTTGGGGAGGTACGGCTTATTATCTTTCCTGAGAAGAGGTTCTAGCTTGGACGAGTCTATTGGAGCGTGGGCACCAGGTGAGGTCACTTGTTTCACATTGTACTGGGAGATTGAGTTACTGGGTTCCTTTTTCGTATCCGGGACTGAAGAAGAAGAGCCACCAGACTCTTGTTTGTGCTGATCTGCACCTTCCTTCTTGTCCTTCCCAGATGAATTGAATCTGTAGAACCGGTAAGAGGCTGGTGTGCATCTCTGAAGACCTACACTTCTGCCAAAACAAGGTTTAGGTTTTAGCGACCATATAGATGAATACAACCTTATTCTTGACATAATATATGGACCCTTGCTTCTTTAAAATAGCAATGCTTTAGGCAGTTCTCTGCTACCACCTTCAACTTTTCAAGATTCTCTTGTACACAATTTTTTTTTTTTCTCTATTTTTTTTTTTTTTTTTTTCACAGTCCGTTGATTTCGAACTTTTGATTAGAGTTGATTGGAGTTGATTACATATAGGGCAAAGTAGAGACTACTTGGACCAAATTAAGTCGAAACAGGGATAATTTACTCGCTGATGGTTTCACTTATCAGGACATTGGACGCCCACACTGATAAAGTGTGGAGTGTTTCGGTACACCCTACCTTGCCGTTGATTGCGACCGCTTCAACTGATAAAACTGCTTGCATTTATGGGTTGAACGAGAAGTTTCCCTTATTGTCGAGGTTAGAAGATGCACACAAGAGATCTGTTAGATCTGTGGCCTTCAAGCCGCCTTTGACTGCCTCTGCTGACTTCTTGGACCTTCCAGCTGTTGCTTGTGGCTCCTTTGATTCTACCATCTCAGTATGGGGAATAGATGAGCCTGAAGATGAAGAGGATGAGGATGTAGACGATGAGTACGATGACGACGAAAACACCGGCAAAAGGAGCCAACTGGACATATTGTGCTCACCCAACAACCAATGGAACTTGATGGCCATTATAGAGGGCCATGAAAACGAAGTCAAATCTGTGGCCTGGAACTCCCATGGTAACCTCTTGGCCTCGTGCTCCAGAGATAAGACCGTCTGGATATGGGAGACCGATCCTGAGACGTTGGAGGAATTTGAATGTATTTCCGTCTTGAACGATCATCAGCATGACATTAAGCACATAGTATGGCACCCAACAAGAAATATACTTGCCAGCTCTTCGTACGACGATACGGTGAGGATCTACAAAGAAGACGACGATGAATGGAGCTGTGTTGGCGTGTTGAATGGACACGCTGGTACTGTTTGGTGCTCGGCCTTCGACCCCACACTTGCCAGTACATCGACCATTCGCTTGGTTTCTGTTTCTGACGACTTAACTGTTAAGATCTGGAAGAGCACGGTCGAAGAGGAAGAGTCAGAAGAAGCCAACCCAATCAGAAGCTCAATAAGAAAAGATGTTGAAATGGATTGGGAATTGGACGTTGAGCTCCCAGTAGTTCACACACACCCTATTTATTCGGTGGCATGGTCGAAAGAGTCTGGGAGGATTGCTACTGTAGGCTCCGATGGAAAATTGGTTGTCTACAAGGAAAAGGAAGATGGATCCTGGATTGTGCAGTACGAAAGGGAATCATGCCATGGAGTATTTGAGATTAACTGTGTAACATGGGCCCAGTTGAACGAGAAGGAAGTGATAATTACAGCTGGAGACGATGGAAAGATTAATGTATGGGAGGTATAGATAAGATTATATAGATGATGATAGAAATGAATATACAACATAAGATACTAAAGGAAAACGCATGTAAATGTGTAACAGCTCAATAAGAGCCCAATGAAAAATGGTCTGAGTCCTCCTCTTCCAATGATAATGGATTCGGCTGGCTCCTTTTATAGCACAACTCCTATGAATATTATCATGCCTAGAACACCCAACAATATCGCCAAGCAGCACATCATTCTGCCACTATTTCTCTTCTGATACCGCTCAGCCCTTCTGAGCTCTACGGTAGCACCTCTGGCATCGTCAGAATACTGAAGAATGTTATCCTCTATGCTGTCTATCGTTGTTTGTTGCTCTGTAACCAATTCGTGCAAGTTCAGGAAGATATCGTTGATCTCTGTTATATCCTGTGATATCTGGTGTATTTCTCTTTCACGTTCCTGTATGAGTAGCGACTGTTCCTCCAACTCCTCGGCGTTTACTGGCTCATAGTCAATTTGTATGGACTGTTGTACTTGGTCAGAGCCCGCGGTTCCTGAACCTATGGCACCATCACTAGCACTGGCGCTACCAGGATGCTCCAGTGCTGCCACGCTGCTCTCCTGTCTCTTCTTCACCTCTTTTTCCACAGCTTCGATCTTCTTTTGCTGCTTCAGAAATTGGTTTATGCTAGATTTTATTAAACTTATCAATATAGTTTCCTTCTGCCTAAGATATTCCAACGTATCATCGTCTTCGTGATTGCTGGCACATTCATTCAAGTACTGGTTTAGCTTGGTTGCACTGTCGTTGACATTCTTAAAGCTGGATGTCGTCTTGGTCACAAGCCCAGACATTTTCGTGGATATCTTTTGAATCTTATCCAAGTCAAAAGTATCAAGTTCTGCCAATAGCTGGTCATACTGTGTGAGAAGTTTCTTTAACGCTGGGATTTGGTTGTTATTGATGTTGTACAAATTGTTCTCTATCGCCTGGGAATAGCCTTCAAACTCTGGGAAGTCGACGTACCGAGGCGACTCTGCAGCTTCAAGATCGTTAAAGGACATTTGGAGTTGGACTTAGCTGTCTAAAGAACAGTTGCTGAAGTATCCATCTTGCCTTCTTTGGCCCTGCACCCTGCCTTCCATATAGGAGTGGCGGTGCGGTTGCGCAGTAGAAAAGTGTTATATACAGGAGAGAAGTATATCTAAGCGATTTCCCTGTACAGAGTAGAGAGACTACAGTTAAAACAGGTCCAAATGGTATGTATATATTCACAAATGAAGTGGGGGGGTTGGTTAACTCTAATGTATAAATTATAATAAATAAAACTCTCTAAACTTCTTGCTCGGCTAAGAAGTTTTCACACTCTAATGCAGCCATACAACCAGTACCGGCGGAAGTGATGGCTTGTCTGTACTTCTTATCTTGAACGTCACCAGCTGCGAAAACACCTGGGATGGAGGTAGAAGCGGTACCTGGGGTAGTGAGGATATAACCTTGGTCATCGGTCTTTAACTGGCTAGCAAAGATTTGGGTTGCTGGAGTATGTCCAATGGCGTAGAATAAACCGTTGACTGGCAAGTCCTTGGTTTCGTTGCTCTTGTTGTTGAAGATGCTCAAGCTTTGCAATAACTTACCGTCACCCTTGGCTTCCTTGGCTTCGGAGTTCCATAAGATTTCCAACTTCTGGTTGGCCTTCACTCTTCTTTGCATAATGGTGGAAGCTCTCAATTCATCTCTTCTAACCAAGAGGAACACCTTTGAGGCGTATTTGGTCAAAAACAATGCTTCTTCACATGCAGAATCACCACCTCCGACAACAGCCAATGGCTTGTTTCTGAAAATTGGGACAGCACCGTCACAAACAGCACAGGCTGAGATACCTTGTTGCCAGTAGGTGTCTTCACCTGGCAAGTGCATTCTCTTAGCTGAGGCACCAGTGGCGATTACGACAGCATCGGTGGTAATTGGTTCGGAATCTTCGTTCCATTCAGTCCACAACTTGAATGGTCTTGATGAAAAATCAACCTTGGAGATGGTTTCAGTGATGATGTCAGTACCAAACTTGACGGATTGTTCTCTCATTTGCTCCATTAACGTGGTACCATTGATACCGTTAGGGAAACCTGGGAAGTTTTCAATATCGGTGGTGGTGGTTAATTGTCCACCTGCTGCGATACCGTTAGCGAGCATACCTTCGTACAAAGTTGGTTTTATTTCGGCTCTGGAGAGGTAGATGGCAGCGGTGTGAGCGGCAGGGCCTGAACCAATAATAGTGACTTGATGATGAACCATTCTATTAATGTTTAGATATAAAGATCTGTTTTTTATGGGATTAAGCGAGTTAATCTTGTATGTTTTACTATGTTTAAGTACAGTCAGAATATTTCTAGATCTGAAAATACCGACACCAACCGTTTCTTTAAATAAAATTCGAACGCTTTCCAGTCTCGTTCTAGGCCGCGGACGGATTTGAAATCAGAAACTGTGGATGCGGTTGGTGCACGAGCGCAAAGCATCAGTAGACCATGCAGGATGAGATAAACGGTTAGTAATCGGTAGTACTGGGCAAGTGGTAGAGATATGGAGCTGGGAAAAAGTAAAGAGCTCGGTGGGCGAGGAAGCGTGACGCACAGGACGGTTAGAATGGTATTACAAAGACAGCGGTAGAGTGAGGCATGCGTCAGATAGATATAATGGCATAGGGTTGAGATGCGATGCGATGATTAATAAGACGCAGTACTCAGAATTGGGATGGGTGACCATACCATTAGTGATGGTAAGTTAGATACGCTATCCCATTACTGCACGGGAGTATGGAGCGTTCTGAACTGTAAGCAGCGATCACATGAGAAAAAAAAAAGAAAAGATATAACGTTACGCTATGTTGTCGGGGCCGCCAGGCTCAATGGGACCATGGGTGCAAAATCTAGACAGTGCAGAGCTTACGCTATGGAAAACTTGAAGAAAAAAGAAAAAAAAAAAAAAAAAAAAAAAAAAGAAACTAAAAAGAAAGATAGAGCGAGAGTAAGAAACAGTAACTTGTGCTGGGAATGGCCCAAGACCAGTCGGGCCCAGCATTCAGCTGTCAAGTGCCTAATGACGAACACTTATGGGGAGCAACGCTGGCAGCTTCAATGGTATTTTTTTTATTTACTGCTTTTCCATTTTATACCACTCACTACATGTGTAACTTGCTATAGTACCTGCTCTAGTAAAAGGATCTTATTAAGTATTTATTTATGATTACGACTATCATGGTCTAATCATAAATTTTTATGTATGTATGTATATATGCAAATTATGTATGGGCCCGGCCCCATTTTCTACGTTTTCCTTATCAAAAGTAGCACCATTCTTGAAATAGTAGCCCTATACGTAGTTGTATATCCTTCCTATGGTCATCTGATCATCCTCTATTCACAGTAGTAGGAACTCTCTCACCTCTGTCTGGTATCGAGGATTTAATAGTACACTGGTCAAAAACCACTGTAGTCCTCGTCTCCTTTCCTCAAGCCATGTCTCATTCATAGTTATACGCAGTATGCTGAATGCGTTTTTGGGGGGAAGCAATGGAATAGACTCCCTTGGATATACAGATACTAATTTCAGTCTCAACTCCTCAATCTCGCTATATCTCTTATACAATACAATTGATGAGTAAGAGGAATCATTTATAGTCACTTTTATTGTCCAAACTACGTAACTTGATGCATTCTCACCAATTAAATGATAGTCCCCTACCAATACATCAGTTACGTGCGAAGTAGAGAGATCGTCGGCATGATTTTCAAGCTCTATTGGCACCGGAAGAATGCTGTTTAACTGCGTTATTGTATTTCGTCTTTTCCCAGACATTTCTATATTCTACTTATCTCTATATCCCCTGCCAATTGGAAGTACTTAACTTGTAGAGCAATAAGGAAAATTAAATCCCGAACCATAAAATTGTGTAGTTACTGTGGGTATATGCAGGACTAAAAATTAATCATCACCTATAGAGCTAGCTCTTCTTAGATCTTTCCTACACTTTTTGACCGTAGCAGACCTATTAAGGATAAAATGGACCCGTTGAAAGGTAAATACACTTACTTTCAAAGAGTACTCCACAAATTTAAAGCTCGCAGAGATATTCCTTTCCGTAGGAAGTTTTTCATGGGCTATGATCTCTATGGAAATACGTACTGGGAATTCACTATCGATGGAAATATGCAAAGATTGAGAAGAAAATTGGAACCATATCAAGAGCAGCTATTCAAGGCAGATTATTTTAAAACAGTCCCACCGCAATGGCTTCAATGGTTAAGAAGAACCAGAATCGATCCACCTACCTTAGAAGAATTAATAAATGACCAAGTAAGGCAACAGAGAATCAAAATATTGGCTCAGCAGGCTGATGAAAAATGGCACTTGGAAAAGGAAAGATTGGAGCAACAGCATAACTTGCAGTTAGAGGAAGAGTTGAGAAGGGCAAAGGAGCCTACTGGCATAGATACAGAAGCTGATGGAGCAAAGAAAGAGGATCCTTGGGCTAAAGCAGCAAGCGAGAATTCTGATGAACCTCAGTCTGCGACCATCAATCCAAGAAGGTAAACACTAAATTTCTGAACCAAAAAACCCCCCCCAAGATGGCCACTTCAAAAAGAGGCTCTTACTCCCTGTATATATTAGTATATTCATATATCTCCACTGCATTTAATATTTAATTTATATTTATTTACTAGCTTTTGCTATTCCTTATTTCATTCATAGGATTATTCGACTTCGTTACTACTTAAGTCGTTGGAGTAGATTCTTTTGAAGATTCCTTCCGTTGAAGCTCGAGATATTGACCTTGTACTTAAATTATTGTTCTTTTCAACCAATTGGAGTTTTGTTTGGAACATATTAATCAATTTGTCGCTGTATAATTCAAGAATTTCATTCTCCTTATTTGACTGAAGCCCATTCTCTTTGCCTTCTAATGGAATCTTTTCATCACTAAGTATATCATGTAAATCCTTCAACATTGTTTTAAGTTTCAACTTTTCATCATCTTCTAGCCTAACATTAAACAAATTTGATTTCATCATGGTCAAGTGTGAAATTGATCTCTCCATAAATAAATTGGTATCACTTTTCTCATGAATCACTGCTGAGGGTGTTAGTTTATTCGTAACATTATCCAACAGCATTCTCTTCTTGTGCGTTGGAGTCAGCAGTTTCGTTGGAGACCATGAATATCTATTTGACGCTTTAGTGGGGCTACTACTCAAGGACCTGTTCAATTGAGGAGCCTGCTGCTGTTGCTTCGATGGACTCTTACTTTCTGTTCTCGTTTCAATCCTCTTCAATGTTGCTGCAGATAATAATCTAGGTACAGTTGGAGTGGGAGGTGAAATACTCTGATCCTTTTCTTCTCTAGTAGGTGATGATGATAATGAGGACCTTCTAGAACGTGTGGGAGTGCGTGTTGAAGATGGTGCTGTCACAACGTTAGGAATGATCTTTCTGGTTACTTTGGCATACAATGGGACGTACTCTAAATTTTTAAGCTCATTTTCACTTCTACTTTGGTCTCTAGCAACTTCTTCCGTCCTTTGTGACTTTAAGTTCCATTTAAATAAGCAACCATCTAAACTGATAGACAATAGCTCATTGAAATTTGAAACTAATTTTAAGCTTAATATACTATCCAGATGCCCCCAATATACTGCAATTGGTTTTCCCAGTTGGTAGTTGAAAATTCGTAATGATTTATCGGATGATGATGCTATTATCACATTATTATGCACAACAAAGTTCTCAATCAATAATGACTCATTGATGCTTGCATTGATTAGCTTTAGAGATCGCTTGAGTTCGAAATTCCCATTGATCTTATATATTAGAAGGACCTTATCGCTAGTAGAAACGATCAAATCATTCCCGTACAACTTCATTGTAATAGGAGTGTTCTTGAGTGAGATTATCTTTTCTTGAACTACTGTAACCTTGTCCGAACCTTCATCTTCAACAATGGAATGTATAGATATTGTTCTATCTGAAGAACAAGTATACAACTTATCATTCGAGTTAAAGACTCGAAGAATGTTCGCTGAATGAGTCGGCAAGGTTTGCAAAATATCCCACCCACTTACATCTGACTTCGACTTTTTAAAGATTTGTATCATTCTGTCCCTGGAAATACTGCACATGTAATAGTTTCTAGTCCCTTCGAAGAAGATAACTTCGTTCACGGATGAAGTGTGTGCTTTTATTTGATACTCAATCGAAAGAGTTTCCTCGTCTGTAGATGCTCCAACGTATATATTTCCATGTTTATCTCCACAGGCTAATACTTTCTCATTTAACTTATCGACTGCAGTGAGACAGTTGGGTATTAACTCATTAGAAGGTAACCTTAACGTACTGATAATGGACTCTTTATAATGATTTTCATAATCGATTTTCTTTATTATTCCTTCCTTCGAAAACACAAGTAATTCTTTCAGGTAAGTATTTTTGATTCCCGATAAGTTTTTAAGTAACGAACTTACAATTACCTTCTTGGATTGCTCTACTTTGCCGATGAGCTTTAATTCTTGACTTGGGGTGTACACCAATAGTGTATCACTGTCATAGTCGAATACCTTTAGTACGAGATTATTCGAAGTGTCTGACGAGCCATTCAAGCTAGAATTTGAATTCGAATGGTTCGGATTCAATGGACTATTTAACATTGTAGCAAGCTTCGAGTTCGTAGGCTGTTCGACTGCTTTCACTTTACCTGTTGACTCTTTCAATTCACTTATTCTGAGAGTCTCCAATTTCCCCTCTTTACATCCAAACCATACCTTTTCACCTAAGTAATCAATGCACATTGTATGAAATGGTTTCGTAATTGATGCAGAGTCCAAAGTAATCAATTTTAAATTGTCATACTGCAACTTTAAAAGTAAGATTTGGGAGTTATCGGTCATTATTATCACTTCATCGGCACTCAAACTTTCTCCTTCTATAAAATTAGAATTTATGAGCTGGCCCAACAAGACATTCTTACCCTTTAGCGCCATATTATTGAAGCTGTTATTATTACGTCTTTCTTCGTACTTCCAAACCTTAACCATGCGCAATCCTAAAGTTATTAAATAGTTTTCGTGCCAAATAAGTTTGTTGACAACAGAGGTACATTTGTTACTTGCTTGAAGTTGTATGCTTTCCATATATCCGGAGGGATTAGTATTGAACCTCCATATGTTTAAAAACCCGTCATTCAACAACCCCAAGGAACTGAAAGTTCTCAGATCTGGAGCAAATGATATGGAGTTGATCCCAAATGAGTGTTCATAAACCAAAGCAATAGGAGAGGAAGACAGGTCAGGAGCCAAAGAAAAAAGGGCAATTCTCGGATGGTACCCTATTTCACCAATGGCAAGGATGGACTTGTTCGGAGAGATGGACAAGCAGCTAATCGATCTCACTCTATCTTTAAATTTGGAAGGTGAAGAAGTGTTTACATCAAATGTGATAGATCCGCTGTTCTCTACTTTGGGGTTGCTATCCAAGTGGTTGTCTGAGGAAGAGCCCGATATGATTGTTTCAAAAGGGTACCCGAAGGAATCTGCCTTGAAAGATTCCTCGTTTGTGCTAGGTGAGATTATCTCCTTTTTAATCATATTCAAATATGCATTAGCAGACGAAGGTGCATATGGATTGGCAGAAGCTGCAGCATCTTGTTTAGAATTGACACAGAAAAACCTCTGCGATATAACATTGCCCTTTACTTTATCTAATTTACTGACAACTATTCCACTTCCTGCAGTATATGCAACCACATCGTCCTGTACTGTGAACAAAGAAGGTGACTTTATTGAACTGCCCAATATTTTATTAATGGGCAAGTTCAGACTGCCATTGGCGAGTATTTCAGTCTCATCGATCATTATAATGACTTCGTTCAGATCTAACCTCGAATTTGTAGGTCTTTCTCTATATGGACCCAAATGGACCCTAGAGACGTTTGAACGATTAGCGAAATGTAAACAAACCATCTCGTGTTCCTGTATGTAGTGCAGCTCGAGAGAGTGTTTGAGCCTCTCGAAAAATGGGGTAAGATGAAGAAGATGGTAGCAGGAAGAATCGAAGAAGAATGGACAGTCAGCACTGCAAAGCCGCAATTTTATCAATTCACATATCACACTATCACTCCTGAATTGCAGACGCTAGACAAAATTGCAAAAAAGCACCATCTATTCTATCTGGTCTGAATCTTGTTGTACAGTACGCTACCGATGTTCGTGTCCTGCATATTGTCTATCTCTTCTCATGCTCCACCATTTCTGGATGTGAAAATACTTGATGCCTTTGGGTATCTCTTCACTTGTCTAAGCTTTGCACGATTTCTACAAAGGGTGATGTCGGAGGAAATATCTCTATCCATTTCTGAGACCAACAAGCTTCGCGCTCAGCTTGGTTTGAAGTTAATAGAAGAGCCTGAGCTGCAGCATGAGCCATCTACAGATATCAAGTCATCCAGTGAATTGTCAATTGTAGAGACTAACAAGTTGAGGCTATCCCTTGGACTTAAGCCTATTCCACTTCAAGATACTGCTAGTAGTGAAGATATCGAATCAGCGCCAGCTATAAAATCTGATTCGCTGCAGGATAAAATTCGTAAACGTATTGAAGAAGCTAAGGTAAAAGCAATCAAGAAGAGGAAGCTACAGAGAGATGCTGACTCTGTTTTCAGTAATGAAGCTGAATCTACTGACGACTGGTTGAACAATCTTGGCAAGCTCAAGAAAACCTCTGTGGAACAAGAAAAACTGAAAAAGAGAATTAAAGTGTCGTCTAATCTTGAGGAAGATAATGATCTTGATGGAGCTACTGTAGATTATGATGCCAATGAGCTTGCCTTGCTATCTAACAACGACATCTTAACATTTAAAGATACGGATGTTTTGGAAGAAGATGAGATTGAGGGAGAGCTTTCAAACGCCATGTTGGAGAAGCGTAGAAAGTTGAAATATGAACTCAAGGAAAGGGAAAACGCTGAAAATATCAAGCATCTCGGTAGGCATCACAAACAGATAGATGATAACAATAGCAACAGTGATGTGGAAGATGGGAGCAATGGCTCTCAAAAGGTATTGGTACGCAATAAAGTTTCGGGTAACCTCATCAATGTTAATAATAGGAAAGTCCCCAAGGCTACTCTGGCCGAGGAGAAAAAACTTCAACTTGTAGACTTGTTCAATGATATAGGTAGCGAAGTGGCTACTGAAGATTATGCTAAACCAAAACAGACCAAGATGAAGAAGATCAAGAAAAGGGGACCTTCATCAAGCAGATCTAAATCAATAGAGCCCTTGGATATTAAAGTGGTACAGTTGGATCAAGAGCAAGCTGATGAAGAATATGTGGATTCTGAGTTGCAAGAATTATTATCTCGGAAAAGGAAGCTCAAACAAAGAGAGTCTCGCAAAAACTTGACTTCGGAAGAAATGGCGAAGGAGATATCTATATATGAGAGGTTGGAGAAAGAAAGGGAGCTAGAAAGCATTCATACTGTACCGGAGGGTTTAGTATTTGATGATGTGAGTGAATTTTTCGATAAATTGGGCAATGCCACAGAGAATGGAGATGAACCGGCTAACAATGGAAATGATAGAGCTGATGACACTGAAGCAATCGATAGTGAAGATGTGGCTAAATATATTGATATCACTAAAGAAGAAAAAGGGAGAGAAGAAGGTCAGCAAGAAGAAGCTGAATCTAACGATGTGTCTACTATTAATGAAGATGAAGAATCAGCTCCCAAATTCAATGGTCTAGGCTCAACTTTGAAATTTTTACAGTCGCAGAATATTGTCCAGAAGTCAACCCAGGAAGACCAAACTCGAGCAAGAGAATTGCGAGAGGCTCAAAGAGAAGCAGAGATCTTGAAATTCAACATTTCTGTTGAAGAAAGAGTGCTTAGGGACGAGTTGGCACAAGACAAGCAATTCATGAATACATCCAAGGTTGAAAGAGAAGAGCTATTTCAGCTTTATCTCGATCAGAGGCTCCGAGAAAAGAGAATTTTACCTGAGATATCCAATGCCAGTGGTAAGTACTCAAGGTATCGCCAAGCTGGTACAACTCCTACGGCCGTTAATAAGCTTAAGAACTACAACCCGCAAGTTAAACTTACTTACAGAGATGATGACGGCAATGAACTTAGTACTAAGCAAGCATACAAGGTGCTTTCACACCAATTCCATGGTGTTGGGCCAAGTAATAGTAAGCTGGCGAAGAAAAATGTCGCTTCCAATTCCAAAAATCAGATCATACACTAGAACTAAAAATTGAAAAAAGGAAAAAAAAAGATAAGAACGACCCAAGTTTCAACAGAAACCCAAGTGCCAACAGAGACCTAAATGTTTGAATGGCAGACCCATTTCTTTTCACAAGAAAAGAGTCCAATGGATTCCGTTCTAGGCCTGTGTAAAACAACAGTTCACACAAGCTCAAAGAAACGGCCCACATCATATTTTTTTGACCCAAGGTAGTCCGATTAATGCAACCCGGTACACTAGATACTTCCTAATATCCACAGTCTAAATCCGGTCCCCATATCCGAAGTTCATGCAAGACAGACACTACATTTGATTTCACCCGATGATCAGTCGGGCGAGCAATAATTTCCACACCTATTCCATATTGGTGGATAATAAACTATAGCATTACTAAAGCAAAATTATAACGTTTCCATTTTTTTTCTCTACTTCCCACTGGACCACAAAACCCTAACTAGCATTCAGCGGCCCATCAGTGGTTAATACAAACTTACAGTGGAGAATATATGTAGACTATCTCTTTTCTTTACTTACCAGTTCGTGTGCATGCAAGATCCACATAGTGAATGCACATTTTTCAATGTCATGCACGTTGGAATGCAGCTAGATCACAAACTTCACCCAATGGCTGGAGAACTCCTGCGCAGAGACCCCGAATTTCCCGAGCTCGGTGCTGATCAAAAAGATTAAATTCCTAAAAAAAATTAATTAATAATATGCCAAAAAATAAAATCTTAGGTGCAGAACAATTAAAAAAGCGGAAGGAAGGAAGTGGGATAGACATCCAACAAGTTTTCACTATTTTGTTTCGTCTGGTTTCTTCTTGATACTCTTGTTTTACTAGTTAAGAGTAAGGTTGACTCCTAGTAGAGAATACGTGCAAGATGGTAGATGTTAATTCGTATCTCTCTATATCTGGTATGACCTGTGGCGCATGTTCATCCTCCATAACTGAGCAGTTGAATAAAATCGATGGGGTGAGAAGTGTAAGTGTTTCGTTGATCACTGAAGAGGCCAAAGTCATGCATGATTCTAGCATACCCAGTTCTAAATTGATAGAAAGTATAGAAGATTGTGGATTCGATGCAAAGTTGATCAGAACAGAGACAAACAGCACAGCTTCGTCTTCCTCATCTTCATCTGCCGCTTCTTCTTCAACTTCTTGGCCGTCTTCGGCGTCTTCCACTTCTCTGTTGTCTACATCCAAATTCAGCATAAGCGGCATGACGTGTGGAGCCTGCTCCGCTTCCATAACAGAAGCAATTGAGAAACTTTCCGGAGTTGAACTGGTCTCGGTCTCCTTGATCACAGAGGAAGGGCTAGTCAAGCATAGCCCATCCCTCTCAACAGATGAAATCACGGAGGCAATAGAAGGCTGTGGGTTTGAAGCAAAGTTGATCTCCACTACATCCCAGTCATCTAATGTATCCACTAAGATTGCTGTGCAGGGAATGACATGTGGAGCATGCTCTGCCTCCATAACCGAAGCATTGGAACAGAAAGCGCACGTACTAAAGGCATCTGTTTCCTTAGTTACTGAAGAAGCATTGATAATACATGAGCAAGACTTAACAGCTGATGAAATTATACAGACAATAGAGGACTGTGGATTTGATGCTAAGTTGATTACTAGCTCTGGGATCACTTCTAGCTCATCCCACTCAGATGTTGTCCGTGACGAAGAAGTTTCGCTACAAATTTTCGGTGTCACTGACCATTCAGATTTGGTTGAGCTTCAGTACAACATCGAGGCAAGACTTAATGGATTCGTTGGAATCAAAAACTTCAAAATTAGGTTTAATGTGTCGATCAATAGCGAAAATGCAGTATTGTTGACGGAAGCACTTTCCCCTTCAACCTCTAACTCTGCTTCTGCAGCTCATTTGATCCCTGATTATCATAATACTGAATTCGATAACATAATAGATGAACTCTTCATAGTGTACTCGCCAACTTTGATTGGGATTAGAGATATTGTTGATGAATTGAATTCGATAGATGAGCAGTACCTGTTTGTCACCATAAACTCAGTGGACCAAGCATCGACTTCACAATTGAAATTACTTTCCAGAGTAAAGGATATTGAATTCTGGAGATCAAATTTCTTCAAATCTATAATGTTTGGATTTCCGGTCATCGTTATGTCATACACACAAGGCTGGTCCTTCTGGTCCAACTTGAAAATATTGCCTGGTTTGTATTTGGTATCATTATTGCAATTTGTTTTAGCTAGCCATGTTCAATTTAATCTTGGTAAGACATTCATAAAGAAATTTATTCTTTTCGTGAAGAATGGTTTTAAAAACGCAACCATGGATGTATTGGTTTGCATATCAACTTCTATCTCATTCTCCTTTTCAGTCTTTTCCATCATTTTGTCTGTTTGGTATGGTCAAAGTGAAAAGCCTCCCAAGTTATTATTTGAGACTAGTTGTATGTTGATTACGTTCATTTCCATGGGTAAATGGCTTGAAAATAAAGCCAAGGGTGCCACCTCTTCAGCATTATCCAGATTGTTATCTTTAACTCCTACAAATTGTACAATTATTGAAGATCTTGGCAAATACAACCAATTATTGAAGGAATCAGATGATAGAAATTCCATCAGTGATTTACCTACTAGAAGTATAGGTATAGATTTAATTCAAACTGGCGATATAGCTGTTATTTTGCCAGGTGGTAAAATACCTGCAGACGGTAAAATTGTACTTGGCGAAACAGAAATTGATGAGTCCTTCCTTACAGGTGAGTCTTTGCCAGTCTTCAAGAGCATTGGTGATGATGTTATTGGTGGAAGTGTAAATGGAGCAGGCTTAATTCACATAGAAGTAATTCATACTGGTAAAAACTCACAATTACAGCAAATCATTAATTTGGTTAAAGATTCCCAGATAAACAATGCACCAATCCAAGGTTTTGCTGACTATGTTGCATCTAGATTCGTTCCATCTGTCTTAATATTGGCCACCATAACCTTTTCCGTTTGGACTATGCTCTGCTTCTATTTACATTCTGATAAGTTGCCTGGAGTTTTCAGTAAAGAAGAAAATGGAAAGTTTTTTGTTTGCTTAAAGTTGGCCATATCTGTTGTAGTAGTTGCATGTCCATGTGCACTTGGTTTAGCAGCACCAACTGCCATGATGGTCGGAACAGGTGTTGGAGCATCTCATGGAGTGTTGATAAAGGGTGGTGATGTTTTAGAGAAAGCAAGTGGTATTAATATCATATTGTTTGATAAAACAGGTACTTTAACTACGGGAGGTATGACATTAACGAACTATAAAAATGCTTCAGATTCAATTAATGAAGATGTGTGGTGGAGTTTGATTGGATCTGTTGAGAACAATTCAGAGCATCCTATTGGTAAGGCTCTTGTTAGAGAAGCCAAACTGAAATTGGGTCTTTCATTTGAGGATGATTCGTTTGAATCATCAATTCAAAACTTCAAAGTTATGTCAGGATTGGGTTTAAAAAGTTCAGTAACTTTGTCTAACGGTAAATCTTATGATGTATGCATTGGAAACGAAAGGATGATGATGCAAGAGTTCAAAGAGAACAAATTCAGTTTCAGCAAAGAGGACATTAAGACTCCTCAATCTACAGATACTTTTGCCTTCATCATTATAGATGGCTCGTACGGTGGTTATGTATCTTTATCAGATAAAATCAAGCCAAATGCAAGAGAAGTGATCGATTACTTACAGTATGATCAAAATTACATTGTTGGTATGGTAACTGGAGATAACGTATATGCAGCCAAGAAGATTGGAAAGGAGGTAGGAATTCCTGAATGTAATATTTTCAGTGAAGTTTCCCCAATTAACAAGGATAAAGTTATTTTGGAATTAAAAGAGAGATTTGGAGGAGATGAAAACGTTAGTATAGCTTTCGTTGGTGACGGAATTAATGATGCGCCTGCCTTAGCTCAAGCCGATGTGGGGATGGCTATAAGCTCAGGCTCTGATATTGCGATTGAATCTGCTGATATTGTGTTGATTGGGGGTAACTCTAGCAAGCAAAGTGATCTCCATGGAGTCTCTGTTGCTTTGAGTATATCCAAAGCAACCTTTCAAAGAATCAAAATCAACTTTTTATGGGCTGCAATTTATAATATGATCATGCTACCATTTGCAATGGGATGCTTTTTGAGCTTTAATTTGATGTTACCCCCAATCGCCGCAGCTGGTTCCATGGCTTTGAGCTCTGTCAGTGTTGTAATTAGCTCGTTGTATCTCAAGAAATGGAAGCCACCTGTTATTGGGTATGGACTTACTGCTAAAGAGGAAGATGTGGGTGCTCCCTTCAGTTTGAAAACTTCCACATTGGAAGAATTTAATAGGAATAAGAATCAGCATAGATTTTGGCAAGTTCTTAAGAGAAGGCCATCAGAAGAGCCACATGGCTATCAAATGTTGTAATTAATCTGTATATATTTAATTAATTAATTTATCAAATAAAGTGTAATGTATGTGTAATAGAAGCGTGCAAGTTATTGTAATTATATAATTGATTCTACCATTACTTAGTAATGGATGAATGCTCAGAAGAATGTGTCACTCTTTGGCGGTTGCAATTTAGCATAAGGGCATAGGTGTTTTTGTGTAACATAACTGAAAAAATGCAACCGTTTTTTTGTGTTCATTTGTAGTAGTAGTAGAGTAAAGGTCGATCAAGAGGAGGGTCAGTGTGGATCAAGTCCTTGAAATGATTACAAATGAGTTGAATTCTTCCCAGACAACTGTCGCCAGGAGTGACACATAGACATGTAAGACTGATAAAAGTCCACTAATGGTTAGGTGACCTGAATGCATTTGATCATTTCATTATGCAATTTGCGAAATTCTCAAAAAATTATATAAAGAGGAAGTTGAATTGAGACTAGCTTGACATAAACTATACAGAGAAACGTTGAATTACAAGAAATATAACTAATTGAGAGGTACAGCATTCAAATCTGATAATAGGATTAGCTATGGAAGGTCCAATATCGAGCAAGTTGTAGTTTACTTCAGGCAGTTGCTGTTCTTGAAGAGTCTAAGACAGTAAGAGTTGGCCAGTACACAGTAGATGCAAAGTTAAGAAAAGTCTAATCAGAATCACAGGTCACTTGAGGAAAATTACTGGACGAAATCAATGCAAAAGAGGAAACGAGACGCTTATTGGAAAAACGAGCAAGAAGCAAGGAAAGTTCAATAACAACATATACTAATAGTAGAGTATAATACTTTAAAACACGAGCACGCGATAAGCAAACTAGTCAAACTTTAAAACTAACTTGAAACAAATGCAATTGACTTCCCTCCCGGAAAGTACGGTTTAGGCCCAAAACATGCAATCAAAGCCTATTCGAATAATCAGCCCAGAGAACATGCAACTAAGGCTTACTCAAATATTTTTTTTCAGAAAACTAAAGCTTACAGAGTCAATTATTAAAATTATCTATTCAAGGTATCACATTAGTATCAAACTAAAACTGAGAAATAACTTATAAAGCTAATAAAGCACCAGCAGCTAAAGCGGCAACACCGGCAGCGGCGAATTGCTTGTTAGCACCGTTTTCCCAGGTGGTAACGTTTGATGGAGCAACAGTGCTGTTAGAAGCTGAGGTAGAAGCAGCTGGACAGTCAGTGACTTCAGATCCACATGAAGTAATAGTAACTAAAGTGGATGAAGATTCGGTTTCAGTGACAGTGGTAGCAGAAACTAAAGCAGCGGAAGCTAAGATGGCGACGGTGGAGAATTGCATTTTATTAACGAAAGTAAGTAGTTGGGATTTTTTGGATAGTAAGAAAAGAAGAAATAATATTTGAAACCTTCGATGGGAAATCCTGATTCTTAAGTACTTGATGGTCGACGAGATAGCGCTTCTTTTTGATTAGTAAAAAGAAATTTGCAATCAACCTTGACGATATAAACATAAACACCCTTCTGCATGATTTATGCAACGGGTTGCCCAATTAGGAAAGCATCTATCCTTTTTAGTAGAAATTTTCCGCACAGAGGGTCCATGTGCAGTATTGTTCCATATGAGGGTGTAAATTTGCGAAGATTGGAAGAATTATTCCATACTGAGAATTACTGTGCATCGAGCGTCGAGGAAGCGCGTAAATATGGTACTCTTTTTGCATTCGAACAATAACTTGTATGGGAATGTACTCGGAAGGCATCGAAGAGGAATGTAGAACGTGATTGTAATTACACACTGCTTTTTGAAGAATGAAAGGAAATGGTAGTTTTCGATAAGGAGCCGTCTTGTGATCGGGCCAAATTCATGGTTCATTTTCTTTATTTGTTTTGATTTTATTATACAGTGAAATTCGCGTAGTATTTGTTGTTATTATTTCAAATTTACACAACAATCAACGCTAGTTGTACATTGTTACTGAACTACAAGACCTTTCTACTCCATGAACACTAGAGAATAAGAGAATGCTTTTTGAAAAGGAGGGGGGAGGCGAGGTGATTAAGGTGATCAGAAGAGTTTCCCAGGCCTCTTCGTGTAATATTATTTTCTTACCAACTACACATTTCTTAATAATTGTACCCATTTAAAGTTCATTAGTTTTGAGGATGCAGATGACTTCATCGTAACAAAAAATAATGTAGAAGAAGCTTTTACTCAGAAATGCATGTGTGTATAGTAAATTAGGTTACAATTGAGGTGCGTGCCGCAGTGGATGTATGATAACAAAGACTCATGCCTAACAATACTACCGGCTCTCATTCTACTCTTAACCGCGTTCTACGAAATATTTCAATGTTATTTTTCTTGATGTTATTATTTCCTCGAGGATGCCTAACACTTGAAAAATATGGTCAAGAACATGCCCCGCCTCAAACTTTAACACTTCTGCAGCGCTGCTCAGCTGATTCTTGTGGAAAATTCTGCTCCTGATGTGCTAGTAAATCGGTCAATCTACATTTTGTGTTGTTTTCTGTATTTGTTGCTTGTGAATGTCCCCATTAACTTCATGTAATATTAAAATTTTGATGTTCTCCCTCTCCCATTGTTTCACCTTTCTATCTCTATATATATGTCGAATGTTGTTTCGCAGTCGTAGCTACCTACCTGAATTACCAACTTTATACCTATTTACTAACTATTTATACCTATTTACTAACTTTTAGCTTGCAACCTATTCTCGCATTCTTCTATTTGGCCCACTTCTACGGTCCACTATTATGATATCTTTCATTCTCTTATGTTCTTTTCCTCATTTTCTCCCTCATTTTCTTTCCTATCCTTCAACTTCTTTCATCTAACTTCTCCTTTTTACTTGTATTCTTAAAATTCTGATCTTGGCTGAACATTCTTTCTAGTATACCAGTGAACAAAATCCTTCAACGAATTTCTTATTCTGCGTAAATCCTTATTTGGCAATGAAGTATTCACAGTCTTCAACAATTTTTCAACTTCCTTGTCGTTCACATTTGGTAATGACTTAATTACTCCCTCTAACCAATTTATTGAGATTCTTTGATCTGGTAAGACTATCAAAATCTTAATCAATAAATCATTGGCATCAAATTGAATGTCATTATGAAAATTCTTGAAAATCAATCCTTCGATCAACACCTTCATTAAATGCCCTCCATTGTCATCTACTGACAAAAACTGTTGCACAATAGATCTGATATGCTTTGTTTGTTCTTCCATTCCCTCTTCAAAAAAGGAAATTGGTGGATTTGGTAAACCCCATGATACAAAGTCGATTAAATAGTGCAAAATTGCAATCAAAGAATCAATTTGTTCAATAGAAGACAAGGAGACCATAGAAGCCTCCCAAGTAGATTTTAATAATTCAAAATTTCCAATCATCTTAAATGAGAAAAACATTAACAAATCATTCATCATTCTAAAGAAATCTTCTATCACGTCAGGTATTAAATTCAATTGAGCATGATTGTTTTGCAACAATTCAAAAAACAATTGGCATTGTTGAATGGAAAATTGGTAAACTGATTCTTTGACCTCCTCTGAGGTATACTCGTCCCCAAATTCTCTAATTAAAATTCCTGAAACCCACAAGTAACAACCAAACTTTGTGCTTTTGAACCCTTCGTACAAGATATTAGCAATTGATGGTAATATAGGGATCAAGTATGTACTGAAAGATTGCACTGCATTTTTAATCAATTTCAAGATTCTTTCGCTGATTACTAACGATTGACCAAATTTACTTAAAATATTGGATATGACTGGCCAGATACTATTTATGAAATAATCACAAATTGGGTAGCTAGGTTGTTCGAAATCCTTGCATTTAAGAACGGATATAAACATGGTAATAATTTCAACTTGATCTGCAATCACTTTATCGTCACCTTTGTGGTTGTTATTGTTGGTTAATTGTTCAAGATTGTCAAGAGTTGGCTTGATGAACATCTCGATGGTCTTATATAAATTTTCAGTTGGTAATTGCTTTATAACATGTGCCAAACCATCAGAAAGTTCATATGCGGACTCAATGTCCAATTTATCCTTCACTTGAACGTACAACAAATATAATTGTTCCAAGTAGTTGACTAGTAATTTCGAACAGTCTTGGCAGAAGAACATTAATGCATGTGCAGCTGCAACGATAATATCCTTATCTCCAGCACTACCTGTGCCACTGTTTTCCGTAAACCCCTTGATGATATAATTTAATTGGGGTTCCAAAAATGATGGGTTCTTTGAAGTCCACTCAGTGTATCTTCCCAAAACCAAAGTTGCTGCGTACCTCACCTTGGGGTGTTCCGGTAATGATACTAAATATTTCATAATGATCGGTAAGATTGTTTTTTCCTTCAAGGGAACCTCTTTGGCCATTGCTCTCATGGAAAACAATGGAGCCTCCAAGTATTGCCATTTAGTGTTTGATTGATTTCCACTCAAGATAGATTGAATTTGCTGGAATGGAACGTTTAATGCTCTTGTTGGTCCAACAACAGCGCAGCAATCTTTCAAGACATCTCCCATTTCGTACCTAAACTCTTTAAATTTATCTTCTTCTTCTTTATCCCCCTCAAACAAATTATTGTCGTCATTATCCGTAGGGTAAGTCAAATGCTTGATGATAATCAGAATCAACTTCTCATATATAGACACAAATTCGGCCTTGGATTCTTCGAATTTAGGTAATGTTATCAACTGCTTTAACAAATACCAGAACATAAATGTGTACTTCACCACGTCTAAATCGTTGTTCTCTCCTAATGCACAGCAATGTAATAAAATTTCAACCAATGGCTTGAAGTGCTTCGGGTTTTTAGCAATTAAAACGTGCCAAGACTCACCGGCTTCTACAAAGAGTCTTGTTATGCCTTGATAAATCTCTTCGTCCTCATTCTTTTCCAACTTTTCCTTGAAGAAAGAGTACAACTGTAATAATTGCTGATAAAGTGCATCTATCAACTCATGATTTTCAATATCTCTAGTTTCCACTAAAATGGTACACAAGCATTCAATGGACTTGTCAAAAGTTTTCTCGTCAGACAAGGACTGGAAAATCAACTGGGTTAACGATGAAATTTGTAAGAATGTCTCAATAGGACACTCCTTAATCCAGGAGTTAAGACAGTCCAATATCAATGAAGAGTTTTCAGCATTGGAAGTTCCCAAACTGCTTAGAATGGTCAACACAGACTCCACCTGGCTGGAAATCAATTGCTGAGTTCTTACATTGAATTCTTCATCGGTCAATGAAGTCTTCTTCACATCTGATAATTCTTCAGGTAATACTTTTAAAAATTCCAACAAACTAGTGATATAGGCACCGTCGTCGGCCGATAACTTCGTAATTATTTCGTTGACGGCGTTATCCCATGTCAAGTATTGGAGGGAGAGTTGCGACAATGCCACACACAATTGAGTTCTTATTATCCTACTGGAATGATCCTGATATTTCCTTAACAAATCTATCAAGCTGTCCTTCAATTGGGCCAACGCTTGGTCAGGCAATTGAACCAAATCATATGTCACTTTCGACCTTAACGTTTGAGCCGCAAACAATTTGAATTCAATGGAAGATGATGAATCGTTTAGGATTGAATGGACTGGTTCCCAAGCATCCTTTGATTTTTGAAATGATTCAAGGAGCTGAGTCGCAGCTTTTTTCTCATCCTGCGATCCGTTAGAGTACATCACGCCCAAGGCGCCCTTGATCTGTTCCAACATGGTAATATTTAGCAGTTTCTATGCCTTTTGTGGTTATGTTTACTGATAGAGATGGGGCATAAATTTTTCTTTTTTGATCTTGAGACTTGCTCAATTTTACATCCGCACACCTGAAAAATGAAAATGTTACACAAAAAGGTAATAGGGCCAGTGTGGTCGCAGAGATGAGAGAGTGGGCTACGGCGGGCCCCAGAAGTTGAAGTAATGGAGCGAAGAAGAGGTAGTAGAAGGATAGTAATATTTTATGAAGTTCCAGTGAAAGTTGTATAGCGTTGAAAGCTGCAGCTTGCATACCTATTTCAGAGAGGCAATATAGGATTGTGGGGTCTTACCCATAGTAAGGTAGAGTAACTACTGGTGTATGCAGAGAGAAGGGGAGGAGTTCGAAGAGCCAAGAAGCATGCGTGAAAGGGGGAATAGAAATCTAGAGTGAACAAAAAGAAAGCGAAGAAACCACTAGTGAATACCGAGTAGAAAGCTGTGGTACGTTAGCAGCATACTAGCTAGCTAGGCAGATCCCGATATGGGTGCGAAATGGTTCCAAAGGGCGCAATATGTCAACCTGTGTATACCCTTGCTGAAGAAAAAAATGTTTTGGCGAGAAACAGGCGCCCCAGATTCTATTGACATACTTTATAGTGAAGGATTAGACCTAGAGGATATGGGTCTAACAGGCAGAAAATACCAGTGAAAACCTAGCCTATGGCCGTAGCTCTCTCGTTTACAAGCTCTACTACTGTCACGATACTCAATTGACAAAGAACGGAGTCGAGCCACACACCCCCACACAACTGTTTTTGGTAATTTGACTCAAAGTGCCCACACGCTAACCTCTCTAAAAATTAGCGTCCCCCCAAGCCTGAACTCTGAACTCCGAACTCTTGACTCGTTCTTAATTTCAGTTAATTAATTTTTGATTTTTTTCTTTTTTTTTTTTCTGTCTAGGCTCTATTTTTTATTTTTCTTGATACGCGACAAAAAAAAATAATTTTCAAGTAAACAGTAGCAGTGATTTTTATTTTGCATTCTCTTCTCTTCTCTTCTAGCTCACACAACTATAGCTCACGCCCATCTCTTCACATCATGTCTCGTCCCGTCGTCATCTCAGGCCCTTCAGGTACCGGTAAGTCGACCCTTTTGAAAAAACTTTTCGCTGAATTCCCAGACAAATTTGGATTCTCTGTATCTAATACCACTAGACAACCTAGAGCTGGTGAAGTTGATGGAAAGGATTACCATTTCACAACTGTTGAAGGATTTCAGAAGGCTATTGAAGAAAACAAGTTCCTCGAATGGGCCCAATTTTCCGGTAACTACTATGGTACCTCTATCAAGTCCGTGGAAGACGTTGCAACTTCTGGTAAGATTTGTCTCTTGGATATTGATATGCAAGGTGTTAAGTCTGTCAAGGCTTCGCACTTGAATGCTAGGTATTTATTCATAAGTCCACCATCGATTGAAAGTTTGAGAGAAAGATTAGAAGGTAGAGGAACTGAAACACCTGAATCTCTTGCCAAGAGAATAAACTCTGCCAGTGCCGAATTGGAATACGCCAAGTCTGGAGCTCACGATAGAATAATTGTCAACGACGACTTGGAAAGGGCCTACCAAGAGTTCAAAGAGTTCATTTTGGAAGCTTAAGCTCGACCCAGTAATTAATATGAGCCACACCGCATGGACTACTGCGGTATAACGTATGGTGTGGGAAAAACGATCATGACCCCCTCTCTACCTAATATACCACAAGGAAGGATAAATCAAAAAAAATTCGAAAACATGCCAATATACAGACTTTAGATACTCAATATGAGATCATTTCAGTATTTAGTTTAAAAAAACGTGAATTCAGAATAAGAGTGTCACTTTCTATGTACGGTATAACACTCATTACACAGCATCAGCTATTCTCTTCCTCTTCTTTTCGTTCTGATTTACTCCTCGTATTTGAAGTTCCCATACCTCCATTCATCCACTTTCATCGTTGGGTACTCATCACCCCGAAGGGTTCAATGGGTACGCCTTCGTCCCTGCAAATGCCCTGGATCTGCAAGCCATGCACGGCACTTTCTTGCGAGACAATTGCAGCAAGATGAGCACTATATAACGTGATTCAGTGCACATGATACATTGCACGTGACATACATTGCACGAGATTTCTAGCCACTCTCAGATCATTTTAGAGTTTGCTTAGCGTTAATGAAGAAACATTGCACTGGCTAGTTGCTATTTCCACACACGTATACTCCACTTTATACGGCTTTCAGACATGGCTATTCCATCCTCATATGACAATGTGTCACAGGATGAAGAGTATGTAACTTCTAGACGTGGGGCCTGACCACTTTCTCTCAATCTTTCTCTACGCCTTTTTCCCGGTACTCGGACAAATTCTAACTGAAATTTAGTGAGATGGATATTATTCAGAAGATGGTCTTCAAATCTAAGCAACAACCTTTAGTTCCTATCGGGGTTATTGCCACGACAGGTGCTATTGCTATGGCAATCAAGTCTGTTAGACAAAAGGATAAGATCAAAGCACAAATGTGGTTCCGTATGAGAATTGGATTCCAGTTGGCTACTATTGTTGCTTTAGTCGTTGGGGGATGGTACTACCAAACTGAATCCTTGGAAAAGAAGATTTCAAGAGAAGAAAAGTTGAGAGCCAAGGCTAAATTAAGAGAAACCTTGTGGATCGAAGAATTGGAAAGAAGAGACGAACAGTTGAAGGAAAGACAAAGAAGATTGGAAGAGTCCAGAAGGGAGTTGGAAGAGTTTGCTAAAGAAGGTTTTGAAAAAGAAAGAAAGCAAACCGAAGCAGCCGAAGTCCAAAAGTAATTAACTAACAAATAATGGAAGAATGTGTTCCTCATGTATATAGTTCTATAATGCCAAATGAAATAATGTGAAGAAATAAAATGGTATTTGTATGCCCTGATTCCGATACCCAGGGGCCCGGAAGAATACCCATGCTATCCGTTTTAGCCTCCTCATGCAAGGGGTCAACGTGTTGGTGGTGTAGAATAATCCATTAGTGCCATATTCCTCCTACATCCAGCCTACCGTCGCTGCTCTTCACCACAGTGACTGTACTGTCGTTTTCCGCATCCTTTATGGCCATTTCTGCTAGCTGAGCTCTAAACTCTGCAATTTCATCCTCAACATCAGAGTTCTCATTATCACCAAGTACGTTTTCTGCACTAGATAGCTTTCCTTTTACAGCCCATAATTTCCCCAACTCGTCAATAAGCATCTCATTATCATCATCCGTCGCCTGCCAGTTGGTGGTGTCTACACCTTCCTTTGCAATCGCTAAGGTTGCATCTGCATTTACATCTGCGTACGCGATGTCAACCCCCCACTTCTGAAATTGAATATCCTTGTTCCCGATCGATTCGGTTATGTTTAATGCAATAGTTATGTCACTCTTGATTCTTCGGATATCCAGAACTACACTCTCTACCAGTAGCAAAGAACCCATGGAACAGTCAGCATGAGAAAGAACAACCACCACTGATGCGTTTATATCCTTTTCAAGCTTGCCTTCCTTCAATTCGTCCACTGAAGATATCCTCAACGTCTGAAGATCATCCTCCTCAAATATCCGCTTCTTCGTGATGAGCACTCTGTCCTGCAACCCTCCCCCAAGATATTCTCGCATATCTTTCACTGTTTTTGATTCCTCTGCACCAAATTCCTTCCGTCTTGGAGCATTGCCGGCAAATCTGGGAATGTATACCTTGTCGGCTTTCTCGCTCCGTAATTCTATTATTGATGGTGACTGCCTGATAGCCGTGCTTATTGATTGTGAGACGGTTGAGGGCACTCTGGCAGATTTAAAGAAAGCCGTATGGAAATCTGTAGCTTCCCACTTCTGTCTCTCATACCTGGCCAATTTGGGGAACTCTTGTGCAATTTCTTTAGCCAGCGTCTCCTTAACATGAGAATATAGCATAGAAAGTCTGTCCATCTCTCTCTCAATACTAAATGGCTGCAAAAAAATTTGTAAGTACTGGGATAAAAGTTTGAAAAGCCACCTAGTAACTTCTGTAAAGCCGGATTGTTGAGTTGCTTCTTTAATATGTGGTGATGCTGAATCCGAATTCTCAATACCAGCCTCAAATCTGTATAATTTTACCTCTATTGCACCATTAGTAACCAACAGTGGTGGATTGATTTTTTTTCAGTTAGTCTTTTCATTTTGCACTGGCATCATGTCTCGTGATGGCCTGCATATAGATACACATCTACAAGTATAAAGCAGAGTAGTATCACCATGGTAGCTCCATGTACACGTTGACCTAATTCTTTCGGTGCTTACATAGTTTTGGTATACCTAATATGTTCTCTATTTGTTATTCGTAGACAAGAAGATAAATAAATCCAAAAAACAGAAGTGTTTTTATATATACTCGTACATATATTAAAATTCTATTTCCAACTTTTTTTCTTTTTTTTTGGTTTCCCTTTTTCTATTTCTTCATCTTTCTTTATTAACCATTTTCAGCTTCCACTGCTCTAGTTATCCGCTCCAGCAATGGAATTATACTTGAAGAATTCATATACATCATCCATCATATCAGTAATACCATGATTCCCGTTGTCTGTAGCTGCTCCAGAGCTTGAAACATTTATACTGTTTGAATAAACGGCAGAAACTTGAGATTGGATCTTTATTAAGCCGTCTTTGGAAACCAAATCGCTTAAAATAATAATTAAAGTAGGTGAGAATTCACAATACCATCTATGGTTCCATACTAATAATTTAATACAGCATTCCAATATCTTTTCATTCAATTGTCCAACAATCTTGGTATAGTTGTGATTGCTGGTATTGTTGCTATTATTGGCCATTCCTCCTGTACTACTACCATTGGGTGCAGCTATTGTAGAGGAATTCTTACTCAACACTTTACTCCTTTCCATTTGGTAATATTTTAACATTTGACGAGTGGATTTCGATGAAAATCTGCCACTTAAGGCATTAGCAAATGCAACTGATCCCTCTTTGAAGTGCTTTAACCTATAGGCAAGCAGTCCCAAGATCTCCCACTCCAAAGTGGTCTTTTTGTACTCCATTTGCTGTGCTTGGAAATGAACGTATTCCGCTTGCCACATAGTATAAGCTCTTAAATCTTCGTATAATAACATGAATAAGTTGTCCAACCATCTTTCACATAATCTCTTCTTTCTGAATTCATTTTCAAATGATTCAACTGATTGCTTAGATGGAGATTTAACTCCAAGTGTAGAGGCTGCTTCATCTGCTTCACCGACCACGTCTTCGATATTACCATTCGTTACAGTACCATTTTCACCGTTTTCCCCTTCAAGTTTCTCAGCAGAGATATTCACTTGTTGCTTACTGCTGTTTTTCCTGTCTTTCCTATACTCTTCTTCCATAACGAAGACCTTCGCTCTATACTTCAATAACGCCTCCCAACCAGTTTTGTTCACAATTTCAGTCAACAAGTCGTAAGACTTAGCAAAAGTAGATTTTAAGTTAGGAGCAGGTAAATTCACTAATTGAGGGTCCAAGTTCCTCTGTTCAAATGTAATCTCTGTGCTTTGAAGTTTGCTTACTTCATCCAATGTGACATCAACAGGTGATGGGAGATGTAAGTCGTCATTACCACCTCTTAATGGCACTATCCTTCTTAAGGTAAACTTTTCCTTATGACTATTCATCGGACAAGAGTTTAAGGTCAAAAGAGCATTTTCAAAATCATTTAATTTTGTATAGACTGTCACTAAGATGGACCAACTTTTAAAATCAGATGGTGAAGATTTAACAGTTTGTTTAGCTAGTTCCAAAGCTAAATCATATCTCTTCTTATCAATACAGAATTGAGTTTGTAGTAATAGCAAATCGGAATCTCTTTTATTCTCTTTGATCCCCTCATTTATCAAATTTATTGCTATAATTTCTTCGTCTTTCATCAAATAAACTTTGGCAATTAATGTGATGACGGATGGCTCCAACTTCTGCAATCTTTCTAAGATTTTTAAACCTTGATCGTAGCTTTGAGTCAATTGAATACATTTCAAGAAACCATCTATTAAATAGTTATTAATCAAAGTAGCCTGTGGGATGTCCACTCCACAACCTAATTTGCTTCCATCCCAGAACAACTTCTCAAATGAATTCAAAAAGTTGTTCAAGATTTCCTTGGAAATTGCTCCGTTATTGAACGGGTTCAATTTTCTGACTTCGACTAACCCACCGATTTTATTTTCATCGTCGTCATCTGTGGTGTCAATTAAGCATCTTACAATGGAACTGACAAATGTTTCATTCCACAATTTTTCCATTTCATCCTCACTGACTTTGTCGTGAATCAATTTCCCATCATTACTTACAACGACACTTTCAAATTTTCCTGGAATGTGCACGGTAACTCTCATATCCACCTTGGAGAAGGCGTTGTAGGTACAATAAGTCAATTCAGGAACTTTCCAGTGCTTCTTTTCTCCAAACCAGTATTGAGACTTGGATCCGATAAGGGTCGCCAAGCTTTGTAGATGAGCAGCTATTGATGCAGAGTTGGATGTATCCACACCAGTGAAGTATAGAAAGGTTCCAATTTCAGCATTCTTTTTGGAAGTGACCGAATGCTTATGGATGTTACACAAGTCAGCAGGACCCAAGTCATTAAAAGTGTGAAGTCTGGAAGTTCTTTCGATGATGGACGAACCCAAGTACTCCTCACGAGCTCTGTGGATGTTAGTAAGTTGTAAACAAAGAAAGAAAGAAAAATTTATGAGAGGGAAACCATAGAGTGCAACTAGACAGCTAAGCGATATAAACAATGGCAATGAGTAAGACTTGGAGCCAACTCCATTACACTGTTCCACCACTCTCTTTGATATCTTTCAAAGGCAACACATTCCGTGCCAGTTCTATCATCAGATCCCCAATTTTACTACACTCTTAGCCACAATTGTGTCTACTAATCTCTGCCTGGGGTAACTGCGCTCAATCTCCACCAATCTGTCACGTCTCCATACAAAGAGATACACGCCCACACACAGGCACTTTCATATGCACTACTCCCCCTGTCATACATACTCTGGAATTGACAGTAAGGTTGTTTGAAGCATTGTCAATTTTTAACCTGTCCTAGTATAATCAGCTCAAATCTGTTTCCAATCTGTTTCGTAAATCGTCTCTTTCTCGGTTACTTTCGATTTGCAAAAATACTCACCGAAAGTCGAAGATTGTTGAGGGAGTGTACAGAAAACTTTGCGTGTTCAATTTAAACAATCACCCAGCAAGAGAAAAAAAACCATCTGTATAGCCTCAGAATGACGTAAAGAGCGAAACGAGTAAAAAATAAGAAAGCGAGAATCAGAGAAATCGCATCCTGCTGAAACAGGAAGCTAGGAGATGAGAGATATGGAGCGTATAGCCGCCTCTGGAGCCGAAGGATAAGAATGAATAGCAAAAAGAAGATACACTGAAGCCTTTAAAAATAAAACAAAAAAAAAAGCCCGATGCGGGGGTCGAACCCGCAACCTTTTGATCGCACTCTATTAAGAGTCAAACGCTCTACCGATTGAGCTAACCAGGCGCTTATTACATGGGAGCATTTGGTGAAAAGCTTTCAGCTGAGGTCAAGTTGGTTAGTAAACTGATGCAAAGATGCAAGATGTTGCATAGCGATGAGTGTTCGTAGATGACTATTTATCGATGAATGGTCATAGATAGTTGAGCTAGAGTTCAAAGAAGTCATTAGAAATGTACAGAATCGACAATCTTCGAGGGTATTATTTGCAGAATATCACTAGGAGCAACATTTACAGAGAGTTGATACTTACAATGGATATCACTTACACAACGTAAACATTCACTGTACTCTATTTTAGTGACTAATCAAAAAGAGCACCACGTCAAACACTCAATACACCGACTAGTCTTAGTCTCTTTAGGTGGAACCATGATGATATGTGTGGGTTGTTGGTAATACTGTGGATTCTGGCCTTGTTGATAGTAATTACCCAGCTGTGGATCTTGATTTGCACCTTGATGTGCACCTTGATGTGCACTTTGATGATATCCTTGAGAATATCCTCCGGAAGGAGGGGGTCCTTGATAGTGAGACTGGATGAGTATGTTAATACGTGAATTTCTGTAATTCATTGTCTATTCCATATCTTAAATAGATCTGGACTTCCTTCATTAAGCCCATTTCACATTAATACATACCATTGAATTTAAATCAAAATATTGGATTGACTGCACTAAAGAATAGATTTAAAAGAAGATATCACCATGGCACAAGACGAGTCTATTTAGCATATTTTGTCAAAGATGTAGACAGTCATCGTAGATCATTATTTTACTACAAAGAGTGAAGAATAGCCAGAACCTTAAATTTCGGGTAAATCCTCATTAGTGGTTTCAGATACACATTTATATTTTTCAAAAGGGAAGCGAAATTTCACAGAACGACAGAAACTGGCAATTAAGCGAATAAGTAACACTGTGATTTCCGAGATAGTTTCCAGGAGTCCTCTTTAATACGAATTGCTCAACCATGTTCACGAGTATTTGGAACACTAGAAACTTAAGGTCTATTTCTATAGCTCTTTTCGTCTTGACTTAGTTTATTGGCTAAGAAACGACAAAGAGTCGTAGAGCACGGCTCCAAAATTATTCATTCTAAATCCAACTTGCTTGTATCTGATCTACTTCAGAGTAAACCTTACAATTAAGCGGATCCACAATCGAGAATTGATAACGAAGACCTCGTTATGCTATTCTTGGAACCTCATATACTTCCTTATTTTTTATGCAACTCTGCGCATGTAGGAATTCGTAAATATTAGCTTTTCGTATATTGGCTGCAGCACGCTGAAGAAGAAGTACTAGGCATCAGTAGGACCACTAGGCCATCCTTATTCCACTTTTTGGTTTGTTCGAGTAAGGGAGGTTAATTCAGTTATGCAATAGTATGTATTCTTAAGCTGGAAAAGGTTCGAAGTCTAGAAAATAAGTTTAGCTAGATTTGTGGTCAGTTTATGTTGTACTTTGGAGTGGATATCGTTACTCTGACCTACATACATTTGCAAAGCACAGTTAGGAGCTAAGTTTCCCGAGATCTTGAAGCCGTCTACAAAACTGTAGCTGCTTGAATAAGAGCAGTGAAGAAATAAGATTTTGGAAATAATACTGTGTCTATTACTAATGTAAATAGTAACTGAGTGTAGAGTCCAATAGTTATCAAAGCGCACGCATAAATAATACTGTACCAGTTATCGAACAGTAGGCAAGTCATAGTGAAGGTTCACTGAAGACAATACAACCTGATACCCAATATATACTTCTTAACTTATTGTTCATCGTTAAGTTCCTTTCCATACTTCTGCTGAGTCAGACAGACATTCGTCCGGTCAAAGCACGGCATCAAGTTCAAACGAGTAGTCAGAAGGAAGAAAGCTAACAGAGATCTACATCAGTTCCTGGCTATGTGATTGAGGCTATCTAAACATTTTCAAGCAAATACACCTTCCTGTGCCGTTTACTGTGACTAGTTAACAGCAACTGATATTCTACAGCTATTTTGGTACTACACTGTTTGGCCTACTTTCTTAAATTTATCTTGAACCTACTCATTTTATTGATACTCTAATATACACGAAACATACGAAATTAATCTAAATCTTTTGTTTCTTTGACGAAGCTTGCTTTGCTGACGCTGGGGCATCTTCATCGTCAATGTTGTCCCAGTCCTTACCTGTTAAACAGTACTTTTCTGGTGGTAAATTCAAGCCCCACTTAGGAATAACTTGGGGCAATGGCTTGGAGTTTCTTTCTTGGGCCAATTCCAATAACAATTCTTTTGGTGGTGTTGGTTTGAATTGGTAATTCGCTCTCGCAGCGATAGCGAGCCTTATGTCATCGGTGTTGACCGTGGTATTGGCATTAGAATTAAGATTCGAGTTAGAGTTAGGTGGTTTGGCATGATCATTGTACGTGAGTGCATCCTTCAATACACCAACTGTATATCTATGAGCAAAGTCCATCAACTGAAGTGGGACATGATCTTGATAATTTTGGATTCCTTGAGTAGCGAAAATCAAATGAAGAAGTCTTACATCTCTAGGTACGATATTTGTTTGGTTCGTCTCCGAGGACGATGGAGGGACACCGCTCATATTGCAACTACACTAGCACTAAAGGATCCAATAGTTCACGAGATGGAAATATATCGATAGTATGATGACTTTATCAGTTGAACTCCTCCAAACAAAAGGAAAAAGTTTGACGCTACGAGCCTGCCATGTATGGCCTGGTGCGCACACGACCTTACCTAGACAGCTTGCCAACGCCGTGAGATCAGCTTCAGCTAATGACACACATAGAGGCTTCCATAGAGCTTTCCAAACACATCACTGTAAGATTAACATCAATTAAGACTCATATAGCGAAAAAAATACCATTTTACCCAAGCTTACTGCGTTTTCGTGGTAGCTGTCTCTGGTGACCTTCGTGTCCTGCATATAAACAAACCGTTGGAACCATATCGGAGGTTGTTATCACCAGACTACGAACCTTGTTTCTTTACTGGTAGAGTATCCGTCAGAGTATCTACTGGTAATACTACATGTCTGTTGCGGAAAATCCCGACAACGTAACCATACCTAAGCCTGCAGACCATGGGTTCAACCTTATCACTCCCTTCAAGTACTTGGATAAGCCGGATTTGTCTAGAGCAGTATTGCTTGTGCTAAATCAGTCTCTAGTTGGCATGAATATCCCACAATTGTGGAGTAACACCAAGCTCCATGTCTGTGCAGATGGAGGAGCTAATCAGTTGTATGAATTTTTCGAAGAAGATGAGGCTGCAAGGTCTCAGCATATCCCTGAGTTCATCGTTGGAGATCTTGACTCCTTGACAGACGAGACTCGGCTGTACTACGAACTGAAGGGTTCGATAGTTATTCCGCAATTGACCCAGTATGCGACGGATTTTGACAAAGCCTTGACGGTGAGTAGACTCTACTTCTATTCTGAGGAAATGAGAGCGAAAGTACAAGATTACAAGAATATTGATGAGCACGATGGGTTGGCTCAATTGGAGCTGGAAGTGCAAAATCCTCAACCAGGCGCTGAGGATATATTCGTGTATGCTTTGGGGGGCATTGGTGGTAGATTTGACCAGACAATTGCTTCCATACACCAATTGTACAAGATTAGTGAGAAGTATAAGTACATTGATCTAATTTTCATCACGAGTTCCGACACAGTCTTTTTAGTAGACAAAGGTATAAACTATATAGAGTATGAACTGAAGGGACTCTGGAACTCGAAGGATGCTGTTCCAGTGTGTGGTCTCTTGCCATTGGGGAGCACTAAGGTGATATTGAACACTAAGGGACTAAAGTATGACGTTACAGACTGGGAGAGTGACATGCTAGGAAACGTCAGCTCAAGTAATGGGATTTGTGGGGTCAATGGGGTGATAGTAGAAACGACAGAGGCCATAGTCATGAACATAGTAGTTGATCATCATACAGTTAATTAGTATTATAGAGGTTATGAAAGATTGAATAGTAATGAGGTACTTTTCCTTGCAAGCCCACTCGTTTAGCGTGTAGCTAGGTATATATTCTAACTTACAATCAGGCTTATAACCGCCTCTCTCTACTATAAGCTTCATACTCTTCATCAATGGATCACAAGCTTAAGCTTAAGCTTATAGAATGTATGTATTCCTGCACATAATCCGATGAAATTTCACCAGTTTTTGATTTTTTTTTTTTTTTTTTTTCTTTCAGATTTTTTTTACTCCAGTGCTTCAGGACTGACGCTGACACTCTTTCTTAATAACGTCCTCGATAACCTTAAGAATGTTCAGAAGTCTTGCTAGAGGAATTATGGGCCAAAGGCTTATGTCTTCCGTGGCCGCCACCCCCAAATTATCTTACCCTAAGTTCATAAGTTTTCCAGCATTCCCAAGCATTCAACCTCAAACCCCATCAGTATTTATCTCAACGAAGTTACCACTCTCCAACGATGTCATGGAAGTAGACGAAGAAGCAGACAATACTCTTTACACAGATTCCGTGTTGAGAAAAAGAAGATTGAAGATGAAGAAGCACAAGTTGAGAAAGAGAAGAAAGGCTCAAAAATCCTTGATGCAGAGACTTGGTAAGATCTAAAGTCATCCAAGCATCAAATAAATCAAAATAACATAAAAGTGAAGCACTACAAATAGCTTCATCGAAACACCTAAAGCAAGCAGAAAAATGGTGCAAGTAAGATAGAATTGGATGGATGTCCTAATAACCTGTATATACAATACGCTTTCAATGCATATTATCTCGTAAGATAGACCCTTTTAGTAGCCCCCAACACCTCTCTCTTCATAGACTATGACTAACGCTTGACTCGCGAAATTCGAAAAGTTCGCTGACTCAAAAAAAATTGCTAACGATGTGATGCTCTTCATGAATATATATCTTCTTCTTCTCTCTATATTGTTTTCAGAAGGATGAGTACTATCACATTTGTTACAGGTAATGCCAATAAGCTAAAGGAAATCGTAGCTATTCTCTCAGATGGTTCAAAGTCTGAAGATGGATCTTCCAAAGTTGGAAAGTTTACCATCGCGAATAAATCTCTTGACTTGGATGAGCTTCAAGGAACTATCGAAGAAGTCACTATCCACAAGGCCAAGAGTGCTGCCAAGCTTGTGAATGGACCTGTACTTGTAGAAGATACGTGTCTTGGATTCACTGCGTTCAACAACCTTCCTGGTCCGTACATCAAATGGTTCGTACAGTCTGTAGGTTTGCAGGGCTTGGTAGATATGTTATACAAGTTCGAAGATAAGGGAGCCAATGCTATCACCACAATTGGTTACTGTGCGGGACCTGATGCGGATGTTGTTTTGTTTGAAGGTATTACCAAGGGAAACATTGTTGACAGTAGAGGACCAACTAACTTTGGTTGGGATTCAGTATTTGAACCAGAGGGTTACAGCCAGACATATGCAGAAATGGACAAGGTGCTTAAGAACTCACTTTCTCATAGATATAAGGCCCTAGTTAAGTTGAAGGAATTCTTATCCTCTCAGTAAATGAAGGACGAATACCCGAATACTGAACTCTACACCAATACTTCAAAAACTATAATTTATACATCTAGCGTATATAATAAATTAAAAAATTCAAACAACGGTAAGATAGCGATAGAATAGGGAAATGGAGTAAATCGGAGCAAACCGCAAGCAGCACTGAGCACCAACAACTTAGAATAAAACGAAAACTATAATGACAAACTAAGTTTGAAATATTCCTTTCAATTTGCCCATAAATGACTTCTTCTTCTTTATGTCATAATTACCTTCATCTTCATGCTCTGTTATTTTATGATTGTTTCCATGACTGGAGATGGCCATCAAGTTATTTGGGTGGTTATCGCTGGATCTCCCAGAATTTTGACTGGTTCGTGATTTGGTGTTTGAGATCACGTTTCCAAAACCTCCTCTGCCTACAGAGAAAGACTTATTGGAGGTAACTTGATGTAATTCATTTTCAACCTTCTTCTTAGATGAACCGTCAACATCTTGAAGCTTTCTGGTAAGCTCTGGGTCGCTGTTTTTAAACATATTACCATATCCACCTCTACCCGTGGTGATCTTTTCTCCATGAAGTTGTGGGGTATTTGATCCTTGAGGTACTAATTTGGGTGATGGAATAGAGTCTGATGATTTGATGTTTCCAGCTCCTCCCCTGCCTGTAGCGTAGTAGAATTTCTTGTCACCATTAACGATATGGTGGCCATCTGTTGGTGGGGATTTGGATTTTATATGTGTCAAATCATTATTCTCACTTGTTATGGTACTGGAAGTCTTTATGTTTCCTGCACCTCCTCTTCCTGTTGAAAATGCCATTATTTAATTTCCTTATTTATACTGTCGTTCTTTCTATCAGAAATTTGTGCCAACGGATCGATCGTCTTGCTTTATCAAAGTATGCCAAATATGAATGGAATGATTCAAAAATTCCTCAGCTTTTTTTGTTGAAAATGGGAGTAACCTACTTATATTTCGATTCAAGGGAAAAGAAGATTAAAAGTAAAAAAAAAATCTTGGTATGCCAAGCCAAAAGCTCTCTCAGTTATTGGCAAGCTTGTAGGGCAAACTTATTTTTTTGGTTACCATTATATGTGATTATGTCACGTGAACTAACCGGCGAAACAGAAAAAAAATACAGAAGAATGCAAGACGTATGGAAGTTTTTGTCCGCCGATGAGGCCAAAATGCCTAACAAATCTTCTTGAAGTGTGGGGGTGAATGACTGTGGAGTCGGAATTTAATGCCCTTCGACATTCAACTAGTTCTGGAACAGAGCCCAAGTAACATAGTCGCTATCTGAGCAAGGAATTCTTCAGGATTGTATAATAGCCACAAATAATTACTGGTTCCTTTATAGACATTAATCTTTAATGCACTTAAACTTTAAATTCCTTATCATTTGCAAATTTTTACCCAATTGCTGGTCTACACTTTTATTTTTGTAAGTGATTGTCTTGACTTATCAGCAATTTTTTCCGTGATGCATGCGCGACATGATCTCAGATGGTGAACAAATTAGGAATGCATTCAACCAGGGTCCACATACTTGATGTGCAGCACAATCCATGGCAATATGATCCCTATCTTGTTTCTGTTATGCATTTTCCTTTATCTCTATAAAGTTTTCCCTCTTTATTCATAAATCATTTCATTCCAATCTCTTGCGAAGCACTATGCTAAATTTCCAAATTTGAAAAGTCAACGGACAAGCCTTTGTTCGGTGATTCGCGCCCCAGCTCACTATGTCCCGCTTCCGTCTTTTCTGCATTTTGCTTAATGTAAAGGAGGGCACCGAGTACATCCTCATTATCTTCGCCAAATACCTGCTGAGAAAGCAAGTAAGTTTTCGGATTGGTCCTGATCTTCTTTTTCTCTGGTAATGGAGGTTTTCTCATTGTGCGAGTAGCTTCTACACTTGCTGCCAGTGTATTCCCTTCTTGCATTACATTCTCAGATCCGCGGTCATTGACTTCCTTGCTAGGTACAATATTTCTCTTAAATAGATGCCTTAGTGATCCAAAAATAGGCTTATGAGTTCTCTTTATAGGCTGTATGTCTTTAGTGAATAGCCTTCTTATCAGATTTCTTCTAGTCGGCTCCGCTAAGCTTGGGCCCAGGCTGGGCTGTATATACTCCAATCTTGGAGATTTTTTCAAGCTTGGTGGGTTCGGTGGCTTGGTGTCTGGAATGAATAAATTCTCATAGGAGATACCTGTATACCTCGTACTGCCTAAGATTAGCTCTGGAGGCCCTTCCCATGTAGAAGAAAACAATGTTTTGCGCCAATGTGCTATCTCAACATCATTGACTGAACGAGGTGGGTTTTCTGTTGTATTCTCACTTTTAAGTGCTGCAAATTGAGTGTTTTCAGTAGGGCTTTCAGTCCCACCATAGATGTGAGTACTCGAATCAACCAAAAAATTAGTGTACGATGCTCTATTTACTTCTAAGCTGGTCAAAGTAGATGATCTTTGCTTAATCTTTTTGTTAGGAGGCTGAAACATACTACTTAGACTTCTTCTTTTTTTCACCGCCAATGGCACGGTACTGCTACGTAAATTGTCAGACATCAATAATAAAGAACTAATTATACAATAGGGTGATAAAGTTACTAGACTAACTGGGATTATTACTGTAGAGAGGTTAGACAGCTGAGATACGAGAGGATAACTTGGCCTGATTACTATTTAAATCTCAAATGGTGATTCCATCATTTACTGGGGTAAATTAATTGCAGCAAAAGTGTTTCACGTTTGGCAATATGCAATTTGCAAATTTGCAGCGCATAAGAAAACGAAAATTATTTCTTCGTTAGGCAGAAGAGAACAATCTACGAGAAAGGACAATGAGAAGGAAGTTGAACGATCGAAGAATGGTCAAAGAATGGTCGAAGAATGACAAAGAAGGACCGATGAATGATACAAGTTGGTGTGTCATGTGGATCGTGAGATCTTGGTATCGATTATATCCTTTCTATCATGAACTACCTACATTGGCTAATCCATTGGCTCAATTTATATTAATATTTATATATGTGACACATTTCTCCATTAGCTCGACCGTGGTCTCCGCCTCATTTAACTACTTGGCTTCCCTTCAACCTTTTCCTTCAAAGCAACATTCAATTTATTGAAACTAACTTCGGTATCTCTAATAATTCCTTTCATCAAGTAAAATATAAGACCGCCGAAATCTTCACCTTGAATAAGTTTGGTGACTTCCTTACCATTTTCGGTTACTGGAATGAATTGGAAGTAATGGCGGCCAGTAGCGAGAAATTCAAAGAATAATGTTCCTCTCCATGCAAACTCCTTTTCGGAATTTTCAAGAACGGTAGGACTGAATGTCATCGCTGAACCGTTTTCAGGCTGCATATAGACACTTAATCGAGTTCCGACATCTGGCTTATCGGCATTAACTACTTTGATGGACTTGAAAAATGGGTTCCAGTTCTCATGGCCAGGAAAATCAAAGAATACTTCCTTCACCTCTGCAACGGGTGCATCGATAATAATTTCAGTAACAATACTCATTATGGTTTTTGTTTGATCTAGAAAATTGACTTGCTCGAAATAGTGAATCAGCTCTAGAGTCCTTCTTTGTCCTTGCTTATATATGCATTGAACTTCGTAAACTGTAATTAGTACTTGAAATGTGGACGGAAAGAGTGCGGGTTTTGAGCGGGATTACGCGGAAATAGGGATCGGACTCACAATTTGGTCTCACTTTTTACTAAGTATTTGGCGCATGGCTGCACGGCTAATGCACATAAAACAGTTGCAGATGAGTGTTTTCCGATGGCTACCGCTAATGCTAGCGAGACGGACTCGGTTGACTAGATCCCATACACTTTTCATGCTGCAATAAGAAGTAAAGGGCAAGAAAAGTAGGAATTCTTACTATGTAACTGTGGTGCATTTTTTTGCATGATGTGAGATTTTGCTATTGAAAGTACTGAGAAAAGACTTCTTCACAAGAACGCCAATCAATGGCTACGATTACAAAAATGCAAAGAGAAATGCTCAGCAAAATATTCGGCCTCGACGCAGAACATTGATACTGCTGTAGACATCAATAATGATTCACAAACAAAAATAGCATACAAAACGTAATTCAGAAGATAGTTTGGTGTTAACAGTTGGTAGCTCCAGCACGTCCAGTATAATGCGCCAATGTTTTGTAATACATTGTATTCCAAATGTATGTCCAATTCTACATATCTAGATGAAGGGCCCTGTAGAGTAGAGGCTGAATAGCTAGAGATGAAAACTTTTAACGCCAATGGAATAGTACCAGAGGGACGAAATCATCTCCCAATAAATTACATCGTGTTTCCTACATACAGGAATTTTCAAACATAGATAAATGGTATCTCTCCGTAGGCAGATAGAAGCTTGTGTTATCCATCTAGCTGCAAGAGTGGATTGGTAAGCAAAAACTGTGATATAAAAGGACCACGGAACTTTTTCGCCAACTCTCTACTTCTACTAGTTATTCGATTTATTCTTCAAGTCTTAATCACTGCTAGTGTCACAATATGGGTGAAACCAATGGCACCAAGAGATTAGGTTTCTTAATTAAGAACATTAGATTCGCAGTTTCATGCAGTATTCGGTTTTAAATTCATGCTTTGGAATAGCAATACTTGAATTAATTTAATCTCGGGTAAAATTAGGGTTCTGATGTTAAAGTTTACCAGTAACCGAGGAAGCAAGAGCTCAATCCTGTAACACTACTATTAGACGACTTTATTGGTTCTTCTTCACCGCGTGTGGTTAGCTTTCCGCTTTGAATTATTTTCTTGTGTTGTTTTTGTTGTGTTTTGACTATTTTAATTAAGCTTTACATTCAAGGTTCAGCTATCTCCTTTCTGTTTTAACTTTTACACAAAGTAAAAATCGAAACAAAACCTTACGATTACTTTACTTACGAGCTTTGAAACAAAAACTTCCACATATGCAGTGAAGAAAGAAATTAATAGCAAATCTTTAAAAATATGTATCAAGTGAGGTACATCCCCACCGCAATAGAGAGAGAAAAAAAATAAAAGATAACCACACCCCACATTTTGCTTTGAAGCTTTGACATGCAGTTAATTAAAGATACATTTCGCAGAATATACTATCTTCTCTAGATAGATATATCTGAATTATGTTATCAAGGCTCATAGTTGAATGCAACAGAATAGTCCCTTGTCGTGTGTGTGTGGAGGATTAGTAACATGTGGAAAGTTTAAGAACTAAACAATGTAAATAGAAAACTGTGAAGGAATTTTATGATTTCGAGAGAACGGAAACGAAAGTTAGAACTCTAAATATTTCGTCATATACTAGGAGCCCAAAGTTAATATCTGCAATTAGGTTTGCTCCACTTTTCCAAACGTTGGGTGAACATTAAAACCTTTTGACGATCTGAAATTTATTCACAGCATCATTACCCCTAAATACATCAAGGCTCATATCCCATGCTTTTGATGGAAACTTCTTCCTTTTACTGGAAAGGTTTGCTGTGGGTAGTATCTCGATCACTTGGGGTCACAAAAGTTCCACTATGTATAGGTGATTGCTTAGAAACTAGCAATGCTATTGGACAATCATACACTGACACATCCGAAGTCCAACGATTGCTATTCAGGTTCCGCTTCGGGCCGGCTCTTTGGCTTTGTTCTTTGTAATCTCTATGCTTACTTGTGAACCACTTGATTGTTTGTTGTTAATATAGAGAGGAATTCGAGAATTTTCTTTTTTTTTTTTTTTTGTGTTTCTGCTGAATGCTTGCCTTGGGGGAACATTATCGGAACTTTCGTAGACTGTTGCTTATTTCACTCGTCAAGTAAGTAGCCGACAACTCTATCTTGGAAGCCATATCTTAATTAGCTATACAAAACACGATTTTCGTGTGTGCCGGTGTGCATCGGTATTTCGCTTAAATCCTCTGCTAGAATTTCCCCCTTCTACATTTGCAAGTACATCACTCACTACACAGTTATTTCCAATTAGGTTATATACCTTGCTCCCATAAGCGCGTATCAGCAATCGATAAGGCATTTTTTTTATTTTTCTTTCATTTCAATGTAGGGAACAAGTAATAATTTCATCTTTCACGTGTTGCTTTTTTTTCCGAGAGCAACAATTTGGAAAATACATCTTTAATCCAAATTAGTTACGGTTATGAGAGTGAAACTTTATAACTAGATTGTTATATGCAACTCCTTACATAATTATTGCTGTAGTTTCTTTCTTGCGATACTGGCCTGTATACCGGCTTGCATATCAGGACGCCTCTATCATGGTTCATCCTAAAACGCAGATAAGAAATGACTGCACGCGCCCCAGGAATTTATTCATGAAGGGAAAGAAAAGGGAAACTAAAAGAAAAAGGGCTTTCATTCCTGGTGTATATAACCTAAGTTTTTAGAGGTTGACTTCCAATACATGAGGTCAACAATGGTAAAAACAATTTTATAATGGGACATATATTGCGTTCAAGTATACCTCTTGTATTTCTTGATGTCATAGCACTGCAGTATAAGACCACTCTATAGCTATTCTGAGCTATACCCTGCGTCTTTTTTATTCTGGTATTCCCTTTTCATGCATCATTTAATTAAATTTAGCAACACGCGGCAAAAAAACTAAAAAAAAAAAAAAAAAAAAAATTTGGTATGTAGTGGAAACTCAGCCTTAAGTTAATTTTAGTGCTACACATATTTTTCAAACTGCATCAGAAAAGTATATATATTAAGGGAGCTTCCGTTGATTTTAACAACTCTTTTTCTTTCACTTTTCTCGTGTTACTTTACTAATTCACATTTTTAAATAATCCAATAACTATCACAATGCAATTCACTAAATTCGTCGTCGCCGCTGTCGCCTCCGTTGCTTCCGTTCAAGCTGCTAACAACTCATCCTCTTCATCTGCTGCCGCTGTTGTTTCTCACCAAGTCGGTGCCGGTGTTGTCGCTGCTGCCGTTGCAGCTGGTGCCGCTTTACTTATCTAAGTATAGTATGAAATTGGATAAATTCCTGATTACAAGAAAGTACTGAGTATTTTTTTTGAACGGGGAGTTGGCTTGTTTTATTTGTATGTTTATTAACTAGTTTTATATTATGTTTTATATAGACATTCACTTTAATAATAATACCCTTGAATGTTTTATTACTAAGGAAAATGTTATTGTAGTCAAACCCATCCACTCACTCTCCTCTCTATGTGCTTGAGCGAAGCACCCACATACTTGCTCTTATTACTCATGTTACTTTAGCTGTGACCATTTCAATGCAATTCAAGCCGTAGTCCTGTACCCCTGGACTGAAAACAATGCGTGGAATATGAAAAAATATTAAAAAATAAGCAAGGAAGGGTTCGATAGCAACCGTGTGTTAAAAAAAAAATTAACACTCGAAGAGCAGGCTTATTAAATAGCAAGCATTCGCGTGTAACGAACTCGGGGTGAAGTTCTTGTGTAGATTTGCTACTATTTGTAGGCTGCATGATTTGTGGTGAATTTATGGTGTTTTCAAGGTGAGTTTATGGCGAATATATTCTGTTGGCTTCAATTAGTCTTTTCACGCTTGTATTTTTTTGTTTCACTCATCTATTTCTTATCTGGATGATTCTGTAAATTCTGACTCACTCATTGACCCGTAGTAGTTAGGAGAATCACTCAATTTAAAACTTTTCACTGGCTTGGTGGGTTTTGCCTTGTAAGAGCTAGTCTCCTTGGGTGAGAGAACCCTTACACCTTCCTCAATAGATTGAATTAGTGAATTCAACTGTACTTGTTTGCCGTATTTTTTTCGGTTATCTTCATTCACAACTCGAAGAACAAGGTTTAAATCGTTGACAAGATCAAAATAATTGCTGATCGTGGGAGTCGAGTGTAGTTTGAAATTAATTGAAGAAAGATCAATCGGCTCGAAATTCATTCGTTTGAACTCCTCTAAAGGAAAGAACTGGAGCATGGGCAGCCTATTTGACTCTCCTGTGGTAATCAAAATTTCGTCACTCTTCACGTTTTTCATTTCTCCCTCTAACGAGTTCTCTAGGTAGTTGATTCTATCGTGCCTACTGAATTTAGCAGATCTAGCACTCAAAGTCGACCCATACATAACCAAACACTCTTACTTTGTGCAGATTTTTTTATAATGCTAATAGCCAGTAGACACGATTTTGCACCCACTTAGTTTCCTTATTGCCTTTTTTTTTAGCCTTACCAAATTTCACAAATGCAACCGTTTTAGCACTACACTGAACCCACATGGTACACTTATAGACTATTTCCTATTTCTTAACATTTCCCTTGTGTGTATACATGACTTAATCTACATTTTATCAACAGGCTACATCATTTGCACTACTTGCAATTTTCAAATGTTTATTTCTTCATACCTTCCTAAAATACATCGGGCAATCTTTCGATTACGTATGAATGACCACCAACACTCATGAGTGGTACACCAGGTACCTTTCTGATTCTCCTTTTTAAATCAGCATCATTGGTAGCTACAATATAGCACTTATGCTGAATGACTCTATGCACTAAACAATCATCTGCGTAAGTACCCTTGTGTGAGCAGGTCAATCTTTCGATTCTAGGATCCTTTGCTAATTTGAGGGCAATCCTGTACTTAGGTCCCAACTTCTCCAATTCTGCCAAAACACAGTCTGTTACTATAGGAATACATTTAGCATATAAGGTATCCATCATCCCCTTGACTATATCGATCTTTTTCTGAATGGAAAAATTTATGAAATTGGTATCTATAAGAACTTGGTATGGAGGTTTAATGGATTTATTAAATTGGAAGAATAATGCAGATGAGACTTGAGGCACATCTCTTACTAATTCAGAATCATCTTGCTTTTTAACTATTTTATCTTTATTTTTATTTATACGGGAATCTTTCGAGTTAATGGTACGTTTCACTAAAGCAAACTTTCTTGTCTTCTTGGCCTTACCCATGGTTATTTCTTCAAGTATTGCAATAAGGTGTTTCGTTAACGCTTATTCTCGATTTGCATTTTTCATCTCATCTCATCAAATATTTTTTTTGGTGTATGGAAGAGAGTTGTCGTTGTCCTGTATATAGAGTGTACCTATTAAGTAATATCTGTAAGGACAAGCATAAGAGCAAGACATAGGAACAAGATATAAAAACTACACATTAAACATTACTGTATCCATATATTATACCTAATAACTCCTAAAATCAATTCGACTTTTGTTTCTGATGAATTGAATTCAATCCATTTTTCACTTTTGGTTTTTTTATTCCTCTAATTTTTCACATCTTCAATCTCAGCTGTGTGACTTAAATTCCGTTACTTACCACATAACATACATGATGTCCACTTCCCCTTAATGCAATTTGGATATGGAATCACTGTTCAGTGGTATATATTAAAACAGATAGTCATCCCCTTGTATCATTTACTCATACTGATAAATCATTTGATAATCAAATCCCTCTCCACTTTTTTGACTCCTCTTCCAACTTAACATCTTCTGCTCAGCGAAATTAATTTCGAATAATCTTACTTTCCTATCATAATCTTGAGCTGATGTTTCTCCACTAAATCCAGTGACACTACTATAGCATAACCATAATTCATTCATAACCTTATCCTTATGCTTTGATTCACTTAAAATACATGCATCGTTTTCGTGTTCATGCCCGACAGAGACAACATGGTATCCTAAATTGTAAATATCGTCTCTATACTTAGAGTCAGTCTTTACATTTAATGGATGCTTTACGTTGTAGCTTCCAATAATTTTGAACTCTCCCAGTGGCCTATAATTTGGCAATGGGTAGTGGAAAAAGAGCAATTTGAATGGGTTTTCAGTTTTGATTCCTTGGTTGAACCTGTATAAATGGTTTATTTGTGATGAGTCAATCTTATGGTTTTCAGAATCTAATATCGATAAAACGACTGCAGGTTTAGACTGTTCAAGTGGTGCTTTGGAATTTGGATCGTTTTTATAAACTTTAATATTGTAGTTGCTCAACCCATGGATTCTATCATCATAGTGGTGTAAAACATTATAACAATATGGTAAAGACTGTAAGAAATTAAGGATGTTCAATTTTAAAACTGGATCAATTTTACGATCGTCCTTGTTGGAGACAGTACTTAAGTCCTCTTTTTCTTCAAGTGTAGCCACCTCGTCCAGCTCACCAAATGTGAATATAAACGGAACTTTTCTTTCCAAAATAGGAGCCAACCCCTTCAATATGGTAGATCTGAAATCTTTAGTTCTATAGCTATCGATTAAATCCCCAGAAATAATTATAAGATCGATTGGTTGCTTCAGTTCCTGATCAATTGAAGAATCAATAAATTCTAACGTCTTAGAGTCTGAATCACATATATCATATCCCTCCATTCCGTCATCTAATTTATTATTACACAATATTCCCTTATCGGCACCAAAATGTAAATCTGAAAGCTGTAAAATTTTAACATAATTCAGTTCAGTAAACATGATTTGGTTAAATTTAAGATGCAGAAATTTGTTCAGAGCGGCCACAACTTGAGCCTGTCTCAACATAGATACTCTCAAAAGTGAGAGATATGGCGGTATGGTATTATCTATGTTTTGAATTTCTATGGGTGTATCTTGCAATTCCCAGTTTTCCCTTCCGTCAGCCAAGTCATCCATTCCATACAAGATATTGATATCTCGGATAAACTCAGTCTCCAAGAAGGGAGGCCCATTCGTCCTTTTTGCTGGTTTTCTTACATACTTCTTCCAAATAGTAAAAGAGTCGGAGGGAGCTTGTTCCCAGTCTCTAGCGTCTTCACCTTCAGGAATAACTGAAGAACCCGACGACGAAGATATTCTTATATCCACTAAACCTCGTGGAGCATCCTTGACAGGAGTCTTTTTTATATAAATGTAATGGTTGAAGATCTCCAAATTACTGACAAAGTTCTTAAAATCATTCTTTGCATACAATTCCAATGGCGTTTCCAACTTGATCCATTTTTGGACTTTCTCCACTTTACTTAAGTCACATTTTGTGTACTTAAGGCACCTCTTGATTTTAATATCGGTCACGATGGTATTCTTACTTAATGTTGCTGCGATATTATCAAATACTTGCAACTTGGATGTTGCAGGAGTTGCATAGTACTTGAAAGGTAGCGATGCTAATGGCGATTTGGAGGTAAATGTATTGATAATCACAAACGTTGATAATATGAATAGCACAGCATACGTTATGGTAGACTTCCTTAATCTTAGATTGTAGAGGATCCTTTTGTCCATGTTGAAGTACGATAAAGGCGGAGAATTAAGGCCAAATAAGACGAATTAGTTAGTTAACAAGCCAAAGACAAACTTGAGCCTAAAGTCGGGTTGATAACTCGGTGTGCAGTAACGTGGGTGTAACGGTAGCTATCCGCTTATAAATTATACAGTTAGTTATTAGGTAATACAGCAGTGTGACAAACTATTGAAAGATTACACTGAGCGGTCTAATGTCAATTAGTGTCTTCTTTTTCTATTCTAAACTCTTAGGTTCTAGAGGAAAAGATATTTAATGATCTCTTTGATCTCAACTGGAAATGTAGGTGATATTACGATGAAGTACGCTTTATTCCCAGGCTCAATTGGTCTCACCAAAGCAGAAAAAAGGCAGAATTAAAAAGATCCCACAAGTTTTATTCTCTATAAGAAATCACTTCCAATTTAACATTCCTGTGATACGAATTTTAAGGAATACTAAGTCTTTATCAACTAACTTTCACCAGAGGGGACGAAAAAAAAAAAAAAGCTAAAAAATTGCTGAAAAAATAATAATAATAACAATATAGTAAGTATAAGCTCACCAAAAAATATAGGCTGCACCCCACCAAGAAATAAATTTATGTGCAAGGGCTCTAGTTAGGCAGTGATGTACGTAACGAGAAAATGGTAAAAACTTGACACTTTATTCGGAGCATGAGCCGTTAGTTTCGCGCCTGTTACGCAGTGGACTAAGCGATGTGTTAATTGGCTGTGGGCGCTCGGGACTCAATTGCCACGTAGAAAAGATAGAAGGATAACTCATTATATGGGTAGGGTAGGTAGAGTTGTAGTGGAAATATCTATATTAGAATTCAAATTCACAGTTTCGATACGTAAAGCTTAATTGGGGTTAACTTTAAAATGAGTGGTAGGTTATGTTCCAGGTTTTCTAGTCCATTCGTTCACCTGCCTTCTTTTTTTTTTTTTTTTTCTTGCACAACGCCATCAATGCCGCCGCCTTACCTTTTTAAGCTAGCAAGCGCTTAGCCTGAAAGGGAATACACTCACCGAACTAGAGCAATCCTAGCCTACTTTCGTGTATATCTGGTGTGTCGCTCTGCCGTGCTGGGAATTGAGACTTGACGTGAACCATCCCAATCACCTTTCATCTTCCTTAGATTTGCCTGGTTTATTTGGTCTAGACCCTGAGTCTGCATGATTTCATGCACTCATGCCGTCAAGCTATGCACTTCCATATTTCCTTTAACAATAGTAGAACTATCTCACTCTAGAGAATAATGGCCCTGTGTTTGCTTTAAGCAAGCTTCCGTCATCTGATGGGCATTATTCTCTCCAATTGTCTTCAGCTTTACCGAGTTCCATCCATGTCCGCTTGTCAGCGACACTGAATCAACTTTAGTTTTCGTTCGTATTATCAATCTGTTTTACGAGGAAAAAAAAAACTTTGAATCTCATTTGGAACAATTTTTCGAGTCTGCCCGCCTTAGGCTTGCCCTTTCACATCTACCCGCGTCTTTAAGATTGAAAAATTACATGCCAACTGAATCCAAATTGCTTGTGATAGTCCAATCCGGTAAATTTTTCGAAGGGGAAAAACTCGATTGATCTTCAAATGGAAGACCGAAATGGGAAAAATACGAAAACATAGAGAAATGACTACAAATTTACGCGATTAAATAATCGGTTGCATTTTGAAAAATTATGTATAGATGCATTTTGGTGCGAAGACTATTTTGGTCGTGGACAATTGGGTATGGATCCGATGGTTATGGTTCACTTCTTCATTCGTTTGGTTATTCATTTCTATGCACTAGATTCATTTCGATTCGTTCCTGTTTCATTAACTTCTTGGTCTGCTTCATCCTACACTTCTTCTATCTCCTCGTCCTCATCACTGCTCTCCTCTTCTTCTGGTTCATCCCTATCCTCCTGTTCTTCCCCCTCTTCCTTACTCTTAATCTTATTTTCCTCTTCCTTATTCCTCTCTTCTCTGTACACATTATCTCTGCCGAAAAACAGTTTAAGTCCGTTTGGTATGTTGCAAGTCAGGGTCTTCTCCCAAACACTCTTCTTCACATATGTATAGGTGCTGATTTCACCGTCGAATATATCCAATCTCTCCATGAGCTTTTCAAAACTTTCGAATGAGACGCATTCAATGTCTTCAATTAAATCCTTTGACTTTCTCCGCAAAAATTTGACATAGACCCATTCATCGCTACCTTGCTTACGGAAACAGTACTCATTCTGCAGTTGAATGACTCCAGAAAGGATATAAGGTTCAAGTTCCTCGCCTTCACTTTCATTGATCGCACTCAAAATGTTCTCCACATTAGTGATGTCACTAGTCGAGTAGCTTTTGCTCAATGTCTCTAGTTCTTCATTAATCTTCGTTTTTTCCAATTCAATTTCATCTACAATAGCTCTCAATTCAGTGCTAACCCTATCATCATCACTGAAAACCTGAATCGTACCATTTAAGATTCCATTTAATTTCTTGCCCTCAAAGAAGGTCAATTTATTCAACTGTTTAACAAGTACTAATTTACGTTGAAACATGGACTCTTTCAGCTTATTTAATGAAATTATTAAATCCTTATACTGCTTTGTGTAAATTTGAGGATAAAACTCCTCCAAGACCTGAAACGAACTACTGCTGTTTCGATGATTATAGTGAAGTTCATTAATCTTACTAATAGTGATAAAGTCACTAAGCTTGGTGAAATAAATCTGGCCCAATTGCTCCATTTCATTCCCCCAGATCAATTCATTGAACGAATGGTATATGTTCTTATTATTATGATTGCTTTCAATATCTATATGATAGATATTGTTCATCTGTTCTTCACTTTCACTGTAGACTATACTTTTGAAGAGAGATTCTAAGTTTCGCTTGATTAACTCATCATTCGAAATTTGACTTTCCTCACTCAAAACTTCAAGAATGCATGTGTTAAGGCTTTCGTATATCTTCGGAATTATTTCTTCAATCAACTCAGTATCAAAAAACTCTTCATTCAAGTTCTTTAGTAGATTCCAAGTGGATATGAATAAACGCTTACTATCGTCCTTCACCAAAAATCCTACAATTCTCTGAATCTCAATCAACTTCCTGTACGCATTTTCCTGCTTTTTAGATATTGTTGTGGGAATCAACACAGAGAGCCCGGATTTATTGTACCAATTGGCGTCCCAGCCATAATCTTTGAACTGAAATTCTTCATTGAATATAATATTTTGGAATTCACTTAATTGTGATAAGATGATGACAAACGGCACGTAGAAGTTCTCCAAGTTAGAAGGGTTAATTGGAACAACTAGCTTGGGAATCTGAGAATCGAAGTGATAAGTGTCCAATTTTTCGAAAATAGAACCAGAGATAGCTGAAGAATAGGATCCAGATCCTGGAGTTGAATCTGAAGCTCCAGTCCTGCGAGGCTCATCTTTGGATTCCAAGGAAGAGGTCGTAGTAGATGAGGCAGGAGACATCGATTTCGGAACCACTGCGCTACTCTCCTCAATGTGCTCACTATTGGATAGCTGAGGATTCATGTCTTCGTCAGGGGTCTGTTCGCCATCACTTTCTTCAACTTCAAGTTCCAATTGGCGTGCAGCCGTGGATGGTGTAGGTGATACAGCGGAACGAAAGCTGCTCAAGTCAGGTATATCCAACGGATTTTGTATAGCCACTGTGTCTACACTGCTCGCAGTATTACTGGGCTCATCTTGTACCTCAATTGGTTCCTCAAACAAGTAGCTGATTGCCGTTTGCACATTGTTGTTGGATACTTTTAGTGCAACCTGGGCCTGCTCAGGGGTAAACCCCATATCGACAAGCTGGGCAATTTTATCTTCAATTGATTCCATAGCCGGCTGGATTATCTCTCGTGTAGTACTTTAATGCGATCTGTGACTGGTAAACAACTAAATGAAAAGGGAAAACTACTCCGCTACTGCTACAACTGTGCTCCTCTACGTTGCCACAAATTTAGAGTGGGAACGATCTGAAGGCAGATGTCAGATATGGCCCTGCACATAGCGCAAGAGAGAAGATTTGTATGCAGGTCACGAACATCGGTTGCAGGATGAGTGAGCGCAGGGAAGAGTAGAGCGGGACGAGACAAGACAGGCAAGAGAGGCATAACAGGGTAGAAACAACAGCGGGTTCAAAATGACCAATGTAGGCTGTTTTCAGTAGTTTTTTTCTCCATACATCTCTAGAACCTTGAGTTAGTACACGCAGCTGGTTTTCAGCGCATTCACTCCTTTCTGGTGCCCAACTGACCGGTACTTTCTCCCTTCTTCTTCACTCATGCGGTCTTTTTCAGATTTCAATTTTCCAATTTTTTCTCATCGAGATTTTCAATTTTTTGCCCATCTCGAAATTAGTCACAAGGGAAACAAGGTAGCAGAACTAACCTAAACGACAGTAAGTACGTTCTAATCGTAAGCCTTATCTTTCTATTTTGGCAGCTTTTGGATTAGTTAATGCTAAATTTGAGATCTCCTCACATTTATAATAGAGTTTTCAAGTTATTTCAGTTATCAAGACCAAGTAAAAGGATCGTCGTTCTCCCTCCACATATACGTCGTACATTTCACAGGCCAACTCAGTTATATATAGCCAGAAATATGTCAGTTCAAACCATCACTTCAAACCTTGAAGCGTTGGGCTTAAGTCAACCTGCTCCCTATGTAGACTCCCAGCCGGAATTCAACGTCATTGACGTGATCAGAAACTACATCGCTGATGAGTTGAGCACAATCTCAGGTGTCGACAAGGCACTCATTTTCCCAGCTTTGGATACCCCTTCTACTTTGGAAAAGGGTGATTTGATCATCCCACTCCCAAGATTGAGATTAAAGGGTGTCAACCCAAAGGAGAAAGCCACTGAATGGGCTGCTATCTTCCCAAAGAGTAAGTACTTATCTGAAGTTAAAGCTGAAGGCCCTTTCATTCAATTTTTCTTCAGCAAGGAATTATTGTTCAATGTAGTCATCAAGGATGTCCTAACTAGAACCACCGAATATGGTTCGCTCCCATTGGGTGTCGGTAAGAAATTGGCCATTGAATTCTCATCTCCTAATATTGCCAAGCCATTCCACGCTGGTCACTTAAGATCTACCATCATTGGTGGTTTTTTGGCTAACTTGTACGAGAGATTGGGTTGGGATGTCACCAGAATTAACTATTTGGGTGACTGGGGTAAGCAATTCGGTTTATTGGCTGTCGGTTTTGAAAAATACGGTGACGATGCTCTTTTGAAGTCTGACCCAATTAACCACTTGTTCTCCGTCTACGTTAAAATCAACGCTGACTTGAAAGAAGAAGGGCCAGATTTGGAAGGCGGTATTAACGACCAAGCTAGAAAGTTCTTCAAGAGAATGGAAGATGGTGACGAAACCGCATTAAAGAACTGGAGAGTCTTCAGAGATTTGTCTATTGATAAGTATATCAAGACCTATGCTAGATTAAACATCAAGTACGAATTCTACTCTGGTGAATCTCAAGTCTCTAAGGAAGTCATGGACAATGCTACCAAGATGTTTGAGGATAAGGGATTAGTCCATGTCGACAGAGGTGCCAAATTGATTGACTTGACGAAGTTCAACAAGAAGTTGGGTAAGTGTTTGGTTCAAAAGTCTGATGGTACTTCCATCTACTTAACCAGAGATGTTGGTGAAGCCATTGGTAGATACGAAAAGTACAAGTTCGACAAGTCTATTTATGTTATTGCTACCCAACAAGACTTGCACGTTGCACAATTCTTTGAAATCTTAAAGCAAATGGGATTACCATGGGCCGACAGATTAGAGCACGTTAATTTCGGTATGGTCTTGGGTATGTCAACCAGAAATGGTACTGTTGTGTTTTTGGATGATATTTTAGAAGAAACCAAGGAAAAGATGCACGAAGTCATGAAGAAGAATGAAGCGAAATACGCTCAAATCGAAGATCCAGAAAAGATTGCCGATTTAATTGGTATTTCTGCCGTCATGATTCAAGATATGCAATCGAAGAGAATAAATAATTACGAATTCAAGTGGGATAGAATGCTTTCATTCGAAGGAGACACAGGTCCATACTTGCAATATGCTCATTCTAGATTGAGATCCGTCCAAAGAAAGTCCGGAATTGAAGAATCTAAGTTGGCCAATGCTAACTTCGACTTGTTGGTTGAGCCAGCTGCTGCAAACTTGATCAGAATCTTGGCTCAATATCCAGATACCTTGAAGAAGGCTCAAAAGACCCACGAACCATCTACTATAGTTACTTACTTGTTCACCTTGAGTCACGTTGTCTCTCAATGTTACGATATATTATGGGTTGCTGGACAAGAGGAAGAATTAGCTATTGCTAGATTGGCATTGTACCTGGCTGCTAGACAAGTTTTGTTCAATGGTATGACCTTGTTAGGTTTGACTCCAGTTGATAGAATGTAGAATGGAGAGTAAAGCTTAATGTATAAAACAAAAAAGAATAATAAGAACATAGTAAAATATCTAATTCTTAAATGAATTTGCAATGTAGAAGGCGGAGGGAAGGAACCAACTCCTAGACCTCTTGCTTCTTGGTCTTCACAGGTATCTTGCTTAATCACCTAGCCATTCATCACTTCGTACTGCACACCACAGCACGGCTTGGTCTTCTGTCTGATCGGTAGTGCATATAAGCTTGGAATATTTTACTTTCAAGTGCTCTGCGTAAGTAAAGATGAAGACTACCATTCAACAGTCCACACATATTGCCTTGGAATTGATCTAAGACTCTTCTTAGTAGGTGAAAAGTTCTGAAATATCAATACTTACATCAAACTTTGAACACTGTTCAAAGAAGCATATTTTTCTACTCCCTTTTGTTGAAGGAAAGGCGCAACGAAAATTACAACTGAGATTCTATCATCTAAAACCTTGTCAGCCTCCGTATCCCCATTATATGTCACCACATCTCCTATGTCGAATTCAAGAATGAGTGGAGGATCATCTCCGAATTTAATAACGATATCTCTGCATGAATATAATGAGACTTTGAGAATTATAGGGTTGATGAAAGTCCCCAATTTGAAGGATTTAGCAAGAGCTTTGGGCTTGATTGTTGGAGGTAAGAAATCGGACTTGTTCGACAGAATCTTCACAGAATTGGAAAGGGCAAGAACGAATCATGATTTCATTGCAATTGCGGTTGTTCGAATATTAATTTTGAAGATATTGCAAAATAGTCCCCTACCAAGATATAGCGCCTTGCACGGTGCTTTGACCGCAGGAGTCTTCTCATATTCTCCTGTGGAAACCACTGTGCCAGAATCATTGATACCTCGTGGTGTTTCTATTTTCAAATCACCAGTACCTTGGCTGAATTCTAACGCTAACAGCACGAGCCAAAACACAAGTTCCACTGTAAGAACACATGGGAATGGAGCGGTACGACCAAGCGCAGCTGTAATACGTCAAGAAACGGCATCTTACAAGGGCCATGTGCTTTACTTCAGGGAAAGTCCGTTTTATAGATTGAAAAGAATGATTCATGGAGCACCTCAGGTTGCTCCGCCTTGCTCAAGTCGAGGTACCTCCTCGCATAAATTCATATTGAATGACATAGAAACTAATTTACTATTTGGTGATGGCTCTGGCCCGGGACCAGAAAACGTTGATTGCCTCATACTATGTGGAATAGCTAATCCAAGAACGGCTTCTACATCGTCTGCGTACATACAATTTCCGCATCCTGTAGAGCTACGTGTTAATGGAACTTTGGTTAAAGATGGGGTAAAGGGTATTAAGAATAAACTTGGTACAGCAACTCCAGCAAAGATCACTAATTTAATTAAGAAGAGCCCTCAGCTAAATCAGATTGAAATGGTATATCTTGATACCAAAGAATCTTACTTGTTTTACTGTTACATTGTAGAAAATGTGTCCTCAAGTGAGATTCTTGATCGGGTGTTATCGAATAGACACATACACTACAATGCAACAACAAGTCAAATTCAAAAAGAGTATGCTGGAGTAGATGGTGATGATGACGATGACGACGATATAATAGTGGCTACACACTCTATTTCTTTAAGGGATCCAGTGACTAGAGCCAGAATGAATTACCCATGCAAATCAATTTTTTGTGAACATATTCAATGTTTTGATGCATTGGCGTATATACAGCTTCAATCTCAAGTTCCAACATGGCAATGTCCAATATGCAATAAGGATGTGAATGTCAACGATTTAGCAATTTCTGATTATTATCATGAAATTTTGAGAATGACTGACTCAGAAGTTGACAATGTATCTTTACTAACTGATGGAAGTTGGGAAGTTATTAAGGAGCCTGAAAGAAATGAAGATCAACACAGGGATCAGCGTCAGGCCAACGGTGTCTCGGTTGCTCTGGATAGGACTCTGAAGTCGAAGGAGCCAGAAATAGAGATTATATCTCTAGATAGTGAATCTGAAGATGAAGGTGATGTAGACTCGAATGAACGGGAAGCTCAACAAGATACTATAAGACAAGAACAAGAACAACGTGAGCAGGAGGTGCAGCAGGAACTGCAATACACTAAAGTGGTAAACAATAATCAAACAGATAATGGAACTACGGAACCTCTATTTTCAGCAAATACTCCGCTTGGTTTAACATGGAGTGCAAATGGACTGAACTCATTACCCCATATTTCAAATAACATCGCTACACAAATTGGAGACTTACAACATGATTCCACATTTCCTCTTACTTCAAATCAGCATGTCCCAGACATCTATAATTTTAGGCAACAGTATGCAAGACGGTTAATTTCGGAAAGACAATATCAGGAACAACTTGAATTAGAAAGATCAAGACAAGAGGCTGCAATTCAGTTGGCTCGTTTGCGTACTGACAGGAATTTATATTTTGGACAACTTAATAACCTTCAACAAAAGCTGTTTAATCAACTTTCTGAGCAATCGAAGGAAGATTATTCCGAGAAACAAACTGGAATAAGAACTCAGCATGAGCTGCAGAAAGAATCTGCTCGCAGTATAGCATTACAACAACACCAAGCTTCTGAACAAGGAAGATCTTACTCTTTAGAGAACATTTATAATTCAACAAACCATCTGCTGATTAGAAGCACACAGAATCTTGATCAAGCAAACATCCAGACCGAGGTACACCCAAATCTTTCATATGGGATGAACCAAAGCTCCACTTCAGCACAAGTGCAAGCTATACCTGTGAGAACTATTCAAGAAGACGGCTATATAGGAGAATCTCTTCAACGTAATGTGACCAATATTTCTAAGACCTCATTCCCTCCAAATCCTGAAACATCTGGAAATACTAATTATGTGGAAATTATTTCAAGCGACGATGAAATTGAAAAGGAACAAAACGGTTCTGCTGGTGCTTACCAAAATACGAATATTACCACTGAAAATAATGGCACTGAAGATCTTAATGTCGAAGACGTGGCTCATGAAATTGAAATGAGTCTTAGTGGGCAACTAAATAACAGTAATGACCCTGGTACCATTCCAGATGATGAAATACCAATAGGGCAATTTCAGGATCCTAACGAGGTAAATTCAGGTGGTGATCTGGCTCAACCACTTTCCAACCCAAGATCTCGGAGGGCACTTGATGATGATTCGTCTGGTTCAGATTTAACGCCATTTGAAGAATTACCACTCTCTGCTTTGAATGGATATCGAGAAGCTAACAATGAAAGTCTTGTTGGGAGCATTGACTCAAACAACCCTTCAAGTCGACAGGAAAAGTTGCTTAATTCAACTGAGACCTCAAATAGAAATCCTTCTCCATCACCTCCTCCATTCCCTGTACCACTGCTTGTTAGTCGTGTCAATCAGAGTCACACAAATTATGGAGCTGCACAGAAACCAGTTGATACTCTTAACAGGTATCCAACTCCCCCACCTCCTGCAATCCCTAAAATTCCAGTGGAAACTCTTGGTACGCCTGTTACCAATCAGGCCTTGAGTATTCCTGCTAGAGATTCCGTCCATGAAACTTTGCCTCCTGTAGGACTTCCAAATTCCGAAAATATTGATCTAGCTCAAGGTACCACTGATAATAGCATACTGGAACTCGAAGCTTCGATCACTCCTGTGGCCGCTTCAGTAACTGCAAACATACCTTCTATTCCCTATCTCCACGACAATCCTGCTACGGTTCCTTCCATTTCTGAGGGCCACTTAACATCGAACGAATCGCAGTCGGAGAAGATACTAGAAAATGAACAAAGTAGTGTTATTTCCTCGGCAGCACTTCTGGACAAACAACCTGTGGATAGATTGAGAATAGAAGCTGAAAGAAGGAGAAAGGAAAATGAGGATAGGAGAAGTTTAGCCAATGAGCATTACAGAGCACAGAATTCAATTCGAGAAAAGGTAAGATCCCATGTGATGTCTTACAATAACGCTAGCGAAATTAATGGGACAGAAGGTAAGACTTCTCCTTCTGACGTTAGTATCCGCATGGAAGATGGAGAAGTGGGACCTCTTCAAAATAATACTTCCAATAATCCAGTACAACTGGATATAAGAGATCTGGTTGCAATACCTGTACCCACGGCCACTGCGACGGCTACTAGAGATGATATTGTTGGTGTTTTAGGAATTGCATTCACTCCTACCTACCTCAAGGATTCTTTCCTCGAAGGAAATGGTTCAACAGCGTCGCCCACAAATGTAAACAATCATGACTTATATGGTAGAATTGGAGATATGTCACTCTCAAGTGGTAAAAAGAAAAGAACCATACTGCCAGTCCCACGACTGTGGAACAAAAGATTAAATTCCACGTCGGCAGTTCAAACAGAAATAAATGACATAGCTAATGACGAAAAAAACAAAGACTAAAGTCCTACATGTTTCAGCTGCATTTCCATTATAATATTATTCTATTTGATATAGGTACATGAGACCGGATCACATTTTTAAAGTTTATACTAATTTTTTTTGGACTTTTTTGCATTTTTTTTTTGGCATTTTGGGGTGTATTTGTTTTATTTTATATAGATATTGCTTGTTTTATAATACAACATTGGTACACTTTATATTACATTGGACTTGGTCCCAAATAATCTTCCTTAATACTTCCGATAGCGTAAATCTCATTCACATCGGTTCTTGTACCAACAATCTTCAATCTTACTCTGGAGCCTTTTTCTATATTTTCATCAGGACTAACGTAAGCTGGTGGATTTGCTGAAGGGTTGAATCTCATATCTGAAGGTATCAAATGTGTACTGACAAACACTGACAACGGTCCTACATCTGCAAAGAATCCCATCTTGTTCACGGTGGTCACCACGGCGTCTACAACTTCACCTTTGAACGGTTTCCATACTACAGCACGGTATTTCACTTCAAACTCGGCCATTCCAGACCCTGGCACTATTCTACCCTTTCCCACGTCGATATTCATACAATCCAAAACACACACAATGTATCCAAATTGACCTGTACAAGTTCCCTCAACGTCACTCAACAACTTATCTCTCAAGAACTTATCCATTTGAGGACCAAAGTACGATGGGTGTAACGTTAAGTTCAACGACAAATCTTTCAAAAAAAACATGGTCTATATGGTCTGATGTTTAAAGTCCCTTATGGTTCTGTCTCCGACCTAGTTAAAGGCGAAATCAAAATGAAAAATATGGAAAGGAAAATTTACTATTTTATCGATAGGTAGTCCAGCCTTCAAAGTCTATCAGATAAGATGTATATATATATATATATGTATGTATATATAATATAGTTATATATAGTTACGAAACACAGTGTACGTGTTCTAATAATATATAAGAAAGGGTCGTGATTCTTTTATAAGTTCCCCTTGGTAAAAGCAGATACACCAACTGGATGGCTTGTTTGATATGGGCTCGATTGAAAAATGTATGTCTATATTCTCAACAAAGGTTACACAAAACTAACTAAACAGGAAAAAAAAAAAAAAAATCCTGAAAAATTGAAAAATTCCAGAGCGCATGAGAGTGAAAAAAATTAAGCTTCAAAAGGTAAGAGAGAAAAGAGAAGAAGAAGAACTACACCTGAATAACTTGATATATAGCTAACGCCATGTCTCAAAGAATTGGAAACTCAGCTGTAGCATTGACTAGAGTGTGGCACCATGTAGACGTAGCCTCAGATCCAAGAACTTTGGGTCGTTTAGCATCCAGTATTGCAATCACCTTGCAGGGAAAACACAAGCCAACATTCTCGCCTAATAGAGATCATGGAGACTATGTAGTGGTCACAAACTGTGCACACTTAAAAGTTACAGGTAACAAATTACAAGACAAAACATATTGGTCTCACACCACCCGTCCTGGTTCCTTAAAGGTGATTCCTATGGAAACTATGATCGCCAATAAAGGATATGGAGAAGTATTGAGAAGAGCTGTTAAAGGTATGATACCAAAAAACAAGTTGAAGTGGGCACGTTTAGATAGATTAAAGCTTTACGATGGTGATGAACATCCTTACAAGGAAAACCTCATAGCTTTTGCAGACGAAACTGCTGAAATGAAGGCCAAGCTAGCTGAGTTGAATAGAAAGGAAGCTGAGATGGAAATTCTTCGTAACAAGTACTTGTCATCCTGATCCCCATGCATGTATATATATATAAATTTGTAAATAAACGCTAGATAATTTCTGCTCAAGAAAGCGATTGTAGGTATACAAATGCAAGCGGCAGTGAGTGTAGGGCACCTGGGAGTATAACTGCCAAGACCAGCTTTCATATTTACTTCTGGTGGTGCAAATACTGTTGTACCATGGTCTACTCCTGGTGGTGCAATAAAGTTGTTCCACAGCGGAAGTATGTTACTCCCACTCCTTCCTTGAGTGGAGCATCCCATAGTCTACCCTTGTCTACCGTTCTTTTCGTGTTCATTATTCTTATTCTCTTCTTTGATAACGTAAGTACACCTTATGTATATTTTGTTTATGTTTTGTTTATATATTGATTTATTTATAAAATACAAGTTGTCATTTTAGTTTACTAATTCTATTTTTTGCTCTGCATTTGCAGTTTAGCTAATTTTTTAATTTGTACCCCCAGGGTCCCATGCCTAATCGTACCATTCACGTTGGCAAGACGTGAAGTCATGAAGCTAACTAGAAACGAACACTAACTCCTGATCTTTCAGTATACAATCTAGGAGAAATATTCATAGCCATAAGTTCTTGGAATAATAACTTTGCGGCATATGGAATGTGAATTTGGTAAATATTGGTCTTGTTTTTACACGAACGACATTCAAATTGATTCTTTTTCAAATTGGCAATCACAGACATTAAACCACACATACCACAGACATGCACTCTAAATGCATCCGAGGCTTCCATCAATCTTTCTTTCAAGAAACCTGCGGCACCATGGGCAATCATACAATCTCTTTCCATTTCTCCGAAACGTAAACCACCATCTCTCGATCTACCTTCTACCGGTTGTCTGGTCAACACTTGAACAGGTCCTCTTGCTCTAGCATGGATCTTATCGTCAACCATGTGTCTCAATCTTTGATAATAGGTTGGACCAAGGAAAACTTGAGCCATCAACTTTTTACCTGTGTGACCATTATACATTACTTCGAAACCTCTTGAGTGGTATCCATGTTCTCTCAACAACTTAGATACAGCTTCAGCAGTCACATCAGTAAATGGTGAAGCATCACCTTCTAAACCTGACAAAGATGAAACCTTAGATAATAAACACTCAATTAAATGGGCAACCGTCATACGAGATGGAATAGCATGCGGATTGATAATCAAATCAGGAACCACACCTTGTGGAGAAAATGGCATATCTTCATGCCTATAAGTAACACCAATAGTACCCTTTTGACCATGTCTAGAGGCAAACTTATCACCAATTTGTGGAATTTTAGTAGTTCTCATTCTAACCTTGACGAACTTAGCACCATCACCATTTGTCGTAAGTAACACTTGATCCACGATACCAGATTCTGTACTTCTCAACGGGGTAGAAGCATCTCTCTTGGTGTGGTATTGAGTTCTTTGGCCCAATTCCTCAGTGTCTGGTGGAATTGGTGTTGTCTTACCTATAATAATGTCTTCACCACTCACTCTAACACCTGGTGCCACCAAACCATCATCGTCTAATTTTTCATAAGTACCATGCTTCAATCTCAAAGTATCTGATCTTGTTGGCTTTTCAAAAGTTTCTAGAGCCTTCATACCTTGTCTCTTTTCTAAATCCATGTAAGATCTGAAAAATAAAGATCTGAACAAACCTCTATCAATTGATGATTGATTCATAATCATGGAATCTTCTTGATTATAACCAGAATAACATGAAATAGCTACAATAGCGTTTTGACCAGCTGGTAATTCTCTGAACTTCAAGTGCTCCATAGATCTAGTAGTGGCCAATGGTTTCTGTGGGTAATATAAGATATTAGCCATAGTATCCATTCTGACACTATAATTCGTCAAAAAGACACCCATAGCTTGCTTACCCATAGCAGACTGATATGTATTACGAGGAGATTGATTATGATCTGGGAATGGAATAATGGATGCAGCCACACCTAAAATCATAGAAGGATGAATTTCACAATGTGTGAAAGTATGGGTGTTACTATTAAAAATAGGCTTGATTCTCTTTGCTGGATCTAATTCTTGATCTTCCAATTGGACTTCCTTTTGTTGTGTTACAGTTAATGTCGTCTTGGAAGCTTCCAAATCTTCAGGTGTCATGGCAATCATAATAGTTTCTTCTTCTTCGGCATCAACATATTCAACAATACCTTCATTTACTAATGATGACCAATTGTAATTGTTTTCATCATTGGCATCTTCTTCATATTCATCGTATTCCAGGTTAATTAACTTGTGAATGTTTTCCTTTTGCAACTTCAAATCTCCAAAGGTTTCACTTTCTTGGTCGTCATCAACCACAAACAATGGACGATAAACTCTACCAGCATCCGTGAAAATCTTGAATTCTTTTTCTCTGATGTCTCTGATAATAGAAACTTCTGGAGAAATATCACCTCTTCTTCTCAAGTTTCTCATAGTATCAACTAAATGTGCAGGTTCTCTGTGAGTACCAACCCAAACACCATTCACGAAAACTCTGGTAGAGTCTGGTGAATTCGATGGCACGTAATCTTCCAATGGCTCCATACCCCATTCCTCAAGGAAATATAATATAGGCTCGGAAGATGTACCGACAGAAATACAGGACATAAGTGACAAATTCTTGACCAAACCACACGCTTGACCTTCAGGAGTTTCAGCTGGACAGACAAGACCCCAATGGGTGTTGTGCAACTGTCTTGGCTTAGCAATCTTACCATCACGACCAATTGGAGTGTTAGTTCTTCTTAAATGTGATAAAGTAGAAGAGTAGGTATAACGATTCAAAACTTGGGACACACCTGCTCTAGATGACATGGCCTTCTTTTGCTCACCCCAGTTACCAGTAGCCAATGAGTATCTCAACCCATCTGTTATAGTTTGAGATTTTACTGCCAATGTTAAGTTGAATTCTTTATCATTTTCAACACATCTTTGCATGTAATTATAGATATCCTTAGTCAATTTTCTAAAAAGGATTCTAAACAAGTTGGCCAACAATGGACCAGCTAAATCCAATCTCTTCTTACCGAAATGATCTCTGTCATCAGGTTCCTTACGCTCTAATGCACATAATAATAATCTGTTCACCATGTAACCCAAAAAGTAGGCCTTTCTTGTTTCAAAACCTTCCTCTTGGGTAATATGTGGCAATAATTCCTTTTGCAAGATATCTTTGGCATATTGAATACGTTTTTCTCTTCTTATACCCAAAACACCTCTTCTACCGATGAAATCTAATGCAACTTCTCTCTCTTGGATAACAAATCCTTCTTCTACACAAGGTTTCAACATTTCCAACATTTGCCAATCGTTAGCGTCGTAACAGATATGTTCCAAGATATCACCATCTGGAACGACACCCAAGGCTCTGAATACAATTACGATAGGGATATCATCTTTAATGTATGGTAAAGTAGCTTTGATGGTTCTACCAGTGGTTCCCTTTTCATCTCTACCGTATAATTTGATTTGCATGGAGGAGATCAATCTGGAACCCTTTTCAATGGCAGATCTAATTTCTGCAACATGACTAATTGGAGAAGGAGCAGCTTTCTTGAAAACTTGCACTATATTGGCAGCACTTCTTTCCTGGGCAATCAAAACCTTTTCAGACCCATTGATGACAAAGTATCCACCCATATCATATGGACATTCCTTCAATTCATAGAACTCATGCTCACCCAAGTCACGCAACATACAGAACTTGGATCTCAACATTATGGGCACTTTACCCAAATATACTTTAATTTGAGGTTCTTCTACACCGCTTCCATCTTCTGAGTTGATGGTTTCTTCGATCCACTCCAATTCGTTGTTTACTCTATTATTGTCGTCAGATTTAAATACTCTCTTGGTCATATCCACGTAAAGAGGTGAAGAGTACGTCAAGTTACGTAATCTTGCTTCCTGTGGGAACATAGGGTGCGTAGTACCATCACCTTCCGTCTGAGTTGGTTTCGAGATATAAATTTTACCGAAAGTAATTTCGTATCTTCTATTTTCATTATCATTCTCCGACGTGTGCTGGGCTGGCTGATCTAAGATCAAATGAGAGTCTTCCCAAACCAATTCTTGAATCGTAGTTTCAATGAACTCATCGAAGGAGTCAAGTTGCTGCGATACCAACCCCTTTTCATGGAAAAATGACGAAATAACCGTCCAACAATCTTCTGGAGTAATCACCAGTGAATCATTGTCATATAAATAAGGATCTTCTTCTGACATCTTGCCTTTTCTTTCTACAAAACCCGATCGACTTAAATTAATAGACTTTGTGTGAAGTTGCCCTACTGGCTATTTATATTCTTTTGATAGGGGGGGATGACTTGGGGTGAAACGGTTCAGCTAATGGACAGTATGACTTACTAATTGACCGCCATTAACTTTTCATGTTTGGTTTTTTTTTTCCAGTTTTGTCGCCGCTTGGGATTTTCCAAAACTGGTGTGGAGTTACCCGGACGAGTCTATGAATTTTTTTTTTTCTACCTGTGCGCACTAAAGAAAAAAAATAGCGCCAATATGAAAAATCATTGAAAAATTCACAAGCAAGAACGTCAGTGGTCTTTAAAGTCAGCAGAAGTTCACGGCACACGCTCTAAAGATAGATATAGAACAGTTCTGACGGCAAAAATGAGTAGCTTCTGGAACGCTATAAGATTTGCACATTTCAAACCGTTGAAAAATTACCCCAAGATCAATGTTAACGATGTCACATTGGACAGACCTGCCCTCCAGAAAGGTCCAATTAGAAGGAAATTGATCTCACAAGAGGTTACAGACTCGTTATTCCCAGCCACAGAAATCACCAGATTATATAAAGAAGCAGGTAAGCCAATACCTAGAAAGTTCAACACCAAGAGTGAACTTATCTCAAGAAGAAATTTCGAATTCCAACAGGAAGCTTTCAGAACTGGAGATGCCCACTTCAGACTTGGAGAGAAGAACGTTTACTTCCCCAAAGCTAGAATTGTCTTGTTGAGACCAAACGCTAAGCATACACCATACCAGGCCAAATTTTTGGTTCCAAGAAACTTTAATAGATTGGACTTGAGAGATTATCTCTTCCACGTCTACGGCTTAAGAGCTTTGAATGTAACTGTACAATTGTTGCACACCAAGTGGACTCGTAATCGTCACGATTACGCCCGTTTCAGAGGCCCACAGTTCAAGAAAATGACTATCGACATGGAAGAACCATTTATTTGGCCAGAGGTACCAAAGGAACTTGCTGAAGAAGCACAGACTGTTAGAGATAACCAGATTAAGGTCATAGAACACAATTTTAAGAAGGGTTCTGATAAGAAGAATAAGCCCAAGGCCTTTGATGGCTTGTACGTGAGACCTAAATTGGCCGATAACTTCGTTCCACGCTCTACAAGAGACAAGGGTGCAAAGGAATTGGAGAATTTCAATAGAAAATCCGAAGAGGTTGAGAATAAAAAGGTACTTTCACAGTTCTTGAACCTCTAAGGACGGACTAAGGAGGAAGTAATTTCACTGCTTTCGACTTTTTAATGGAGGATGCTGTGGATAATCAAATCAAATAAATACATGTACATACGAGCGAAACGAAGTAGTCTAATAAAGTTGCTGAGATAGCATTTTCGTAGGAGAGTGAGTGAGAGAGGCTGAGTGAATAAGAGTAAGTGAGAGTGAGTGAGTGAGAGTAAGTGAGAGTAAGTGAGAGTGAGTGAGAGTAAGTGAGATGATGTGAATTCACAGTGGAGTATCTTGAGTGGTCCATTATATATCATATCTTAGAGCCATCTATGTACCAAGAATGAAGATAACGCAGTACAGCAAATCAATATATACTCTCTATAAGATCATAATAATAATAATAATAATAATAATAATAATAATAATAATAAAATAATATAATTATACGATAACTATAACTATAACAAACCCATATATAAACCATGTCCTCTAAATCATTTCGTTAATATAACATTGCTCTATTTTCCAATACTTTACCAAATCCATCCCTTCTTTCCTTCTACCTTATCGGGATTCTTTCTATTTATAACTTCTTCCTGCTTTGGTCTATCGACAAAGTCAAAATCTTCTCCAGTTTCACTTGAGAGTGAGGGCTTGAGAGGAACATCTTTAGAAGTACCAGAATCGGTAGAAGAAGTGCTTGGTTGTTCGGTTCGGTTGCCAAAGAATTGATTTACCAAGATAAAACTGCCATGATCATACAATTTGGAAGTGAGTGACGATATATTAGTACCCGTAGAAGTACCAGATGTACCAGCGCCCTTTGAGCTTGGGTTACCCTGGCCCAAATAGTACGAAACATATGGCTTAACACTCGTGAAGTTTCCTAACGCATTGTCAATGATCTGATTGAAATCCCATTTGGATAAAAAGTCAACTTCTCCTTCCAACCAAGGCTTGAGATAATAATAGTAGCAATACCCGCAACCATTTTCAGAAAATTCTAACCAATCCCTGGTTAAGCTGGCCTGAGAAACAAAGTCATCGGATTGACGTGACATGAAAATTGGTGCAACCATCCACGCAAACAAGATGGTCTTCAAAAACGAGTAGAATGGAACTGCCAGTTTCAAAAGTAAAACAGTTTCAATAGCAGAATACGAGGCGAAGACTATCCAGTAGACCAACCACTTCTGAGTTAATATCAAATGAGACTGTAAGAGCTCTTCTTGGTGGACATTCGATTCTGACAGTTCCGATGATCCTGTGGCTCTCTTTAAGAGTGACACAATTGGCACCTGGATGCCTCCAATGGTTACGCTTCCAGAAGAAACAATACTAGCAGTCTTTTGATATCTTTCAAAAGATTTATAAGTAGCAAATATAGGGTATACGGTAGAAATACCAGTTCTATAAAAAAAGAGAGATGTTAGTATTAACATGTAACTAAGATGAGTGTTTGCCCCCGCTCTTTCTGCTCCACATTTCAAACCAACCATTTCTATTCATTGCAGGGGGGTCAATTCTCGATATGCTCCTCCGGCAGTTAGATCTCTATCATTCCTACGTACGATAAAATAGTAAATAAGCCAAACATGATTCAATTTTAGTTTAGTAACTATACCTAAAAGAACAACACAATAAAAAGAGGAAATTAACTAATCGATCATCCTAAGGCTAGGGGTACAAGGATGAGGTTGTAGTCCTGCATGTATGCTGATAAGAAAATATTAATCCCTTGCACAAAATGCGGATGAAGGGTGTGTCACTCATAAATCGTGAGAGAATTACACAAAGCGATCTTATTACAAGGCACGAACGGAGTTATGCTAGAGAAATCAGCTGGTAAAGTTTCTCCTTTATTAGTAAATTAAATCACGAAATCACCTCGCCTAAGAAGATGCATTGAAATGCCACCGGTAATAACTAGGTTTGCTCCTTGGCCAAATATTAGTCTTCTTTCGAGTTTCTGCTGTATGTGCTCTGGCTGTTCCTGTACGGAAAAACAAAAAAATACGGAACATGAAATGAGCCACTGTGCTATATGCAGTCGAATTTTGCAGCCAAAAGGGCCTTATCTTCCCACTAGTAGAAACAGTTCACAATACAGGTCTTCCACACACATAAACAGGTCTCTCTCTCTCTCTCTCTCTCTCTCTCCCTCCTTCTTTTATAAATGAATGTAATAAATAATAGCATTGGTTTAAGTAATCAGCTTACGCACTAGCGGAGCAAATTTCCTCTTGAACCGCTTCGAATTGGTTCGTATCATTTCCTCAGGACGTATGTAATGTCGAGCCTTTAGCTCCTTTATAGTCCAGTCCCATGTATTTTGAGCAGCTTCCATATTGGTGCCCTCTATAGAAGGAACTGCTTCTTGACCCCCAGTAATATAATACTTTCCACCATCGCGTTTAGCACAAAGACTTGTGTCTAACGCTGCCCTTAAGGTAGCAAATGAACCTTCTTCATTAGTCACACCTATAGTACTATCGCCTGCCTTAAACATCCCCTTGGCGAAGATTCCAATAAATTTTATCTGTTTCCAATGATTGTATAATTCAGTGTTTAAAACAAATCCTGGATGCACAGAAACGCTTAAAATGTAAGGGAAATACTTATTCAACATTTTTGCAAAATGAATTAAAGCTAACTTGGAAAGGCCGTATCTAACCCAAGTGAAAACGTAATCTGGATTTTTCTTGACAAATTCGCCAGGAGGGAAGGTCTTGTAAACAAATTTATGGCTAAATGAGGATAGCGTTACTATTCTTGGTTGTATCTTTCTAGCTCTGGCGACGTTTTTGATGAAAGGTAATAATTTAAGTGTCAACAAAAAATGTGAAACATAGTTGACTTGATGTTGAAGTTCAAAGCCGTCTCTAGTCACTTCGAATGGAACGCCCATTATTCCAGCATTACAGACCAATATGTGAAGAGTTTTCTCCCTTAATGAAAAATGATACACAGCATTGTCAATTGTTCTTAAGTCCACCAAATCTATGTGAATATAATGCAATTCTCCCAACCATCTCATAGATTTCTCCATGGAGCCATACTTCTCGACTCTTCTGCTAGCCTCCTCGTGAATATCTTCAATTGCTTTGAGGACTTTCCCATCAGATCTACCAAAGATGTATACTATATATCCGTGTAGGTAAAGATGGAGTACGGTAAACCAACCGATTCCTGCACTTGCACCAGTTACTACTGCAACTCGACGATCATTGGAGGGATTGAGATAAGGACTTGTTTCTGGGTTATAAAACTGCGTATAATTTAGAACCTTATGATTTACATAGGTCATGTCTTTTTCCAGGTAATTGTGATATTTGAGCAATAATATTTATGGTTCAATAAAAGATATCAAAATCTTAGAGGAATGTAGAGAGATATAACCAAAAGATACAAACAGAATAGAAAAACACTCAGAAAGACAAATCCAAGAAACAAAAAGTAAGAAGACGTACAGGGAAGAGACTATAAAACCTTTTAGCCCATGGTATCGTCCATATTTTTTACCGAAGTAGAAATGCCTAAAAATCGCTTACTAGTAACGAGGTACTATATCAATTAAAGTTTATCAATCATCAGATCATCACATTTTTGCTAATATTTATTTAAGTTTAAAGAATCGTGGGGTAAACATCATGTAAACTTATTTCGGTAATTATACACCTAAATTACTTGCATCACGAAAAAAATAATATTTTTTTGCTCAAGTTTAAAGTTCAGTGGACCGATTCTTTCAACAACTATCTTGAAATCATTATTTTTTTGTGGGTTAATGCGTAACCAGTGGAATGTTGGGACAAGAGAGCAAACTCAGAGAGAAAAGTGAAAAGATCGTAGGTCTATCAAAAAAGTTTCGAGACCTCGGTTGATATGAATGTTGTAGAAAACATGAGTAGAATATACTATATTGTAGATTTAAAGTTCCCCCTACTAGTGTCACCCGTCTTGGGTTAAGCCTTAACTTTCATTTTAATCTGAATTCTATTTGGCATACTGAAATTTTCCTCTAGGGTCTAGTTACTGAGCTTTTCTAAAAGATAGTCTAAAATGGAAACTGTCTCTGTAGGGCTAGCTATCCAGACTGTGCAAGCACTTAATCTTGCTTTGAAATCGTTGGCGCCAAGACTGGCAAATTGATCCCCAATATGCAAGCTTTCTGACTTCAATATCGGACAAAACGGATGGTCCATTTCTCTACATAGATACCTTTGTAAGGACTCTACTCCTAAACTCTTGTCTCCGATATCAACCCATACGTCTGAACCCCCATTGAATGCACACACTTTGATTTCGTCTACATTGACCTTACCGTCGCTCGAATCTGTTGTGCGAAAGCTTGAAAGAATAGAATTTACTTTGATAGAACATGATAACACCAACTCTTCCAAGTTCTCTCTGATAATTTTATGGCCAGGCTTGGGCACTATACCAATAGATCTCTCCTTTTTAACAATGTCTGATTTATCTTGTAACCTTAACTTGGATTGAAGACGTTTCATATGATCCTCCGTGGAGTCCATGATGTGTTCAATTCTTTTCTTATCCCAATTTTTCATCATGGGCAAGTACCATTCATCACCTTCCAAAAACTTGAAATTATGTATACTGGTATCGTAGCGGAATAAATAGTTTGATTCACCGCCCATGATTAAGAGGTTGCATTTCTGTGCATCTGTAAGTTCATCGGTTATCCTGATAATATCAATTAATCCCTTCAATCTTTCGTAGTATCGATCCGCTCCCGATTGTCCTGGGTATCCAGCAGCGGTCACCACCCCAATGAAAAAGTCCATTTTCAACAAGCTCAATAACCTATTTATCACAGGAGAATCTTCAGTTAGTGAACTACCGTCGTTATACAAAGTGACATCTCCATCAAAGGTTATCAATTTCAATCTTTGATCATTGTGGGGGTCCTTAAAGATAGTCAGAAGCGATAAAATTTGAGCAGTGTTTAGCATCATCCTAATGTCATTGAAAGACGGAGAAACTAATCTTCTCTGAGATATTAATCTTTTACTATCTTCTATCAAAAATGCTTCACATAGTGGTAAATAGGTGTGGAATCGGCCTACAGTTGGGACTAGCTTCCTAAGCCTACTATCTACAATAGGAGATGACCCAAATTGCCTCTTGTCATTCTCATTATCAATCAATATTGTATGCTCAATTAGCCGTTCAATGTCTCTAAGGACAGATAGATAGCCCTTTTGGCATTCTAGAGCAATCTGACCTTCTTGGGAAATAGCATAGTTTTCATAAGATTCCGGATCATCATAATGGTCAAATTGGTTATCATAATTTTCAGCGTCGGCCCGCAATACAAATGGAACGGCAAGGAGACCTTTTATCCATTCAATGAACTCATCTCTTCTATGGCTCTTTAAAGCGTACTCTACTCTATACCTTGATGTCATTGTTAATGCAATTGTACTTTGTATGCCAGCAAATGAAGTGTGCTTAATTTCTTATCTAGGGTCTGCTTTTTGTATTGACTTCGGCTGCTCGTGGAGTATGCACGAGGAAGAAAAAACGCAAGCAATAAAAAAAATAAAAAGAAAAAAAAAAAAAAATAATGCACCAATTTTACTTTGGTTGCGAAAGAGAAAGAAGCACGGCGGTGCTAGAGTACATTAGTCTACTAGGACAGATGGACTACTGTTGGTTTTTTATTTGCTTAAGTGTATATATCTAAAATTTTAATCAAAGATACCATTTTGGACGTAATATCCACCGGGAATGGCGGTTACATTTTGATTCGGAGCATTGTGTTCATAGGCACAGCCATCATAGATGCCTTCTGCCTTGTAATCTGTTTGCTTTACATCGTACTCCTCACCATCTTTGAAGTAGCGAGGGGTCCAAAATGAATAGGAAGCCTTTGGTGTACAAGGAAATCTTTCAGAGATCGCTCCAGTGTTACCGTTCATCAGATACCATTCTAGCCAAGTAATCAAAGCCGAACTGAGCCTTTGATAGGTGGCTGGTAAAGTGAAGTTGGCAATGGTCAATTTCTCTCCAGTGACTTCATCTTGAAGCGTTCCTTGCCATAAGTTACTGCCATCCGCACCAGTGCTCTCTAATTCAACCGCAATAGTATAATTTCTATTACGGATCCACTCAAACTCATGCATACAAGATATACCAGGGTCACCATCAGCACCATTGCTGCAATATGGAGATTCTGAAGTAGCATTCTGGCCGAAGAAGCTAAATACTAAATGGTCGGGACCGTTTGGTCTAGGTTGAAATCCCATGTACCCACCTTGGCCACCTTGAAAAGCAAACTGATTGGACCAAAATATGCCCTCGTCATTACTGTATTCATTGTCATAAGTGACCTCGATTCGAGTAAGATTTTGTACTGGTTCAGCAGAATCGTAGTAAAAATAAAGTGCTGCAACCTTAGTCAGAAGATTTGCAATCAAAAAATAGAGGACTAAGCTAGAGAACTGCATGGCTTGCTAGATGCTTTCGAAATTGTGGGATAGTATGCTGAATTCGATTATGAATGCCTCGAAGCTTGGATATCATCTCTCATTTATATTCAAATTACCAAGGCCAATGAGAGAGAGCCAAAGACAGCAATGTTCCATCAGCAATCATTGTAACATTTCTCGCAATAATGCAACATGTATACATTCGCAATGACAACCTTTGGCCCTAATAATCAAATTTCAGTTGACTAAAATTAGAAAACTGATTGCTCAAGACCCCAAGTCTGTCCTACTAGAAGAGAAATATTTGAATAAAATGAAGGGTTTGAATTCTGGTGATGTATAGGAGGCGGAAAAAAGGGGATTGCTGTAGAATTAGCAGATGATGGGGTAATACTGAAAAGTCACCCGAACCCACCAATTTCAGGTTTGCAATTATCCATCTGCTGGCTTTCATAATTCTTAATATCTTCCCTTTTAGTCAATACTAGCCTAAGATATGGGATTTTGGTTATGAGTATTTTTAGTTACATTACGCTATGCCATCAATTAGCCTGCAATGCGACACTTTTGAAATGAAATACAATATAGCAGTATGTATGCAATACTAGGCTCATCAGTGGGTCAGAACAAAGAAGCAGAGAAGGTAATAAGAAGAAGAAAAGCATCTACGGCATAACGAGGTCAGTATCTCGTGGTTGATTGGAAATTTCATTTGATTTCAACTATTAATATACATGTATGATTTACTTTAATTCAATAAGGTTTCTACAATCCGGATTGGGCTCTTCTTCTGTCACGTTCTTCAGAAATAGACAATTTGATACCCTTACCCTTTGGTAATGAAACCCATGGCTTACCAGCTTCGGTACCAATAACGAAAACGTTAGATAATCTGGTAACGAAAGTATTTTCCAAGGAATCCTTGATGTGGACCAAATCGAAACCACCCTCGTGCTTTTCTCTGTGAGTAATAGCACCAATTCTACCCAAGTTACGACCACCAGTAACCATAACTAATCTACCAGTGTCGAACTTGATCAAATCGGTCATCTTACCAGTAGCCAAATCTACCTTGATGGTATCATTGGCTCTAACCAATGGATCTGGGTATCTGATTGTTCTACCGTCGTGGGTGACAACGTATGGAATACCTCTCTTACCTAATTGGACCTTCTTGACCTTAGCTAACTTGTAAGAAGCTTCTTCAGCAGTGATTCTGTGAACTGCAAATCTACCCTTAACATCGTACACTAATCTGAAGTGTTCGTTGGTAGCTTCCAAGGTGATAACATCCATGAAACCAGCTGGGAAGGTGGAGTCAGTTCTAACCTTACCGTCAACCTTGACGTGTTCTTGCATAAGGATGGCCTTGACTTCTCTACCGTTAAGAGCATACTTAAGTCTGTTTCTTAAGAAGATAACTAATGGTAAAGATTCTCTCAACTTATGTGGACCAGCAGATGGTCTTGGTGCATAAGTACCACTGAGTTTGTCCAACATCCAGTGGGATGGGGCTGCTAATCTTTTCAAATGCTTCTTTCTTCATAATGAGTTAGTAAAAGAGATAAAGAATACTATAAAACTTTCAGAATTACGAAAGTAACTTATGACAATTGGTAATAACGAATCAGGTTATACAAGTAGCAAATGATAAGAAGCTCCGCACGTGCCCCAACGTTTGCATCAAAAAGACATCGCTCCGTGTGAAGTCCACTGAGAGTGAGTATTTAGGCAAAATTTTGGCAAAAGTCCACTTCTTAATTTCATCTATGTGCGATAGTGAAATACACCAGCTATAGTATAAAACTACTATAAGTTCAGCATATTTCCTCTAGCCTACACCACACAAATATATCATCTACTTCTTCCATAACTAATCCAATATTAACAATCATCAAGACAAGGCTCCCTTCCAAGCCGGTTCCTGTTTAAGGGAAGATCAGCTGGTTACCGTTAAATTCGAAATTGAAAAGTAGATACTTTTCAAAGTTGAATCGGTGTATAGTGTAGTTTCACTCAAAAAAGGTATTTTGAGCTACTCCTGGGGTTTATTGTCACGTTACTTCGTATCTTATATTTTCATATATGATATATCAGTATAGACTTACGGGCCTCTTGCCATTTTGATAATGTTCTATTAGTGTTTAGTTTGGTGTTAGAGAAAAGAAGAAAGAGTGTGAAAAATTCGAAGAAAAAGTTTGAAGTCTATTTATGTGCGAGATCCGAAGGTGAAAATTTGAATTTATCGTCACGTGGACAGTGAAGGGCACAACCCCTAAAGCGTATATGCACTACGAACAGCCCCACGGTAAGCAATGCGAGCAGGACAAGCTCATTAGATTGCACTTGCTTCACTGCAACTCCCACTCTATTTGAATACAGTAATAGCGAGGAAGGTATCAATCAAAAAAGAAGTACTACACTGTCATCATTTTACATATAAATGTATTACCAAAACCATTAGCTAAAAATAAGGATCACACAAACCAGATCACAAGATCTCCCTTGCAGGTCACCAGTTCACTATTCGTGGGGTAACAAGTTAAAGGAGGGGATTATCAATAGAAATTGAAATTAAAGTTTTGATGTGTGAAAATTTATGAAGCCAAAAAATGCACCAACCTTTACTGAGAACAGATAAAAGATGGGGAAAAACTTAATCTTTGATGATGTACTGCGGCGGAACTTTATAACCTCTCCACCACACTCAACAAAATGAAACACACTGAATTTTTGTTAGCTTCGCATTCATTCTCAAAGTAGCTCAAATGTTATTTCTGAAGGTTTCTCTGTTTCTAGTAATAATCTTCGATTGCGCCAAACCCCTACTGCTATTAGTAAGATATGAGGGTTTACGTTCCCTGTTTTGTCTCAAAAACAATGTTGCATTCTCTAAAACACAGTAGCCTTTGGTTCTTCATACTGTTTAGTGTTCAATGCAGATCCATGTTCAGTAGGAATGTCACTCTCCACATTCTCGCTATCCAATGGCGTAGAAATAGCTACTCTTTCAATTCTGGACTTCTGGGTTTCTCTTTCCACCTCTGTTCCTGTCATCACTTTAATCCAGTCAACGTTCAATGCAAATGGTCCGTACTGCTTATCTAATAATCCTACACCAACGGTTTTAATCTCACTCTTATTCATTTCACAGCCATCTTGAATTACACCCCAGTTAGTCATAACAAAATCGTTCAATGGAATGACAACGGTCTCCCATTCACCAGGTGTATTCAAGAAGAGTCTATGTTGGAATAAATCAGTTATGAGTGGTGTATTAGCTTGAATGTTCACCAAATACTTTCTACGATCTCCCTTAACTCTCAATACCAAGGATGAAAATTGCGACCAATCCCAATATGAATCACCAGAGAGCCAAGATTCTTGTTGATCCTTGGTTCTGAACATGGCATAGCCTGATCTTGTCACGTCTGGGCGGTCCTTGGGCAAGTCCAAGTTCAAATATCCATGGAATACACCATTGTTATGCTGTGGGTCTAAATCAAAGTTAACTGACGAAAACCCTCCCAACTCTTTATCGCACCTTGTTATAATGCTATTAAATGAAGCGTCTGGAGCGTTTTTGAAATCTAAAATTGTTTGAACGGTTTTGGTCATTTCAGTTGGTCTGGTGAAAAGACCCTTTAATGGCGAGTTCAAGCCAAGAGTTCTTAAGGACATATTTGCTTAGCAGGTCTTGGTAGAAGAAAGAGTGATATCTCCTTTTCAATTTAACTTTAATTTTCAGCTATGATTTATCAACTGTTTTTGTGTGCGCTCGTTTCCTTACAAATGTGAAAAATTATGTAAGCTGTGCCCTGATAGTTATGATGCAATGACTTTGGAATTCTCTAAATCAAGTCAAATTATAGTCAAGTTAGAAGAGAGTAAACCAAATGCTTATTAATGTGCTTTGTTTGTTTTTTGTTTAACTTTGTTTTCAGAAATTTTATTTTAGTGTTTATTTTCTTCTCAATGTTAGCCCTTGCTCCTTCTGATTTTGGTGATGGTTTGTAAAATTGGGATGTAGAATAGATCGTCTAGAGACAAGGCTGAAGTAGAAGAAAAAGGAAAAAAAAAGAGCAAAAAGAAAACTGTTGATTAAAAGATGGAGGAAAACTGGGCCCCTATATATACCGAACGACATAGCAATGGATTTGCCTAAGCTCTTCTATTTTTTTCATTTTATTTTCATTATCGGTATCGGAGTACGGTGGGAAAAAGCTTAATGCATAAGATTTGCACCGATAAGTCTGGGTTTATTTGGGTGTAAAGGTGCATTGATTAGGGGCTCCTCCCGGATTCCCATAATTTAACTTTAAAAATACTTCTTCTAATCTATTCTATGCTCAACCCCACAATTTGCATGTAAGTGGAAAAGGATAAAGCTAGCCTCCTCCTTTCCCGAAATGTGGAGAAAAAATCTTGATTTCGATGGAGCGAGAAGATGTTGCAGTAGTGAGCAAAGTATATGAAATCAGCAATAGATTCAAGAAATAGCAAGCGGAAAGCACTGAAATTGATAGATTATTCAAAATAGATTGGTCCTTAATTTACGTGCAAAAAATATTTGTAAAGAAAGTAAACCTTAAGTGACATACAAAAAATATGAAATAATGTTTTTAGTTGACAACGTTGACCAAGTATGTATATCACTATAATTCCTGTACTACCTTTTTCGATCTATGATTCCAGTGGTCAATATGCAAGTGGCCAAACAATAGATGGTTGTGACTACAACGCAGTGGAATTTTACGAGACTTAGACCGCAATGATATTTTCTTGAATCTTTTTTCCCTATAGTGGAGAAGTGGTATGGGTCAATCTTACTTCAGAAAATAAAATCTTGGTTGCACCAAGCTGAGATGAAATGCGGAGAAGGCATATTTTAAAGATGGGTTGACAAATCCAGAAGGTCCCTGCAATGTGGCTGTCATAACCTTTAGTATGCAAACGAAGTAGGTCCAATTGTGGGGAATAGCTCAGAACAATAGGAAAGTGGCACTTGTCAATGATTTTTGATTCTAATCTAATTCGACAAGCATTGTGCTAGGTGGTAGTCCTTGATCCATAGAAAAGACAGGTGTGTGTCAATTATGTGATTGAAAGTATTTTGGCTGAAAATAACCCCTGATTTAGCGGAGAAGTGGAATTCTTGGAAGTCAAATGGTTTTAGGGCCCGATAAGCTTGAACTTTTCACTAAAAGGTAGTACTTGCAAAATATCTTCATACTGAGGAAGCTCGATGTTCAGATAATACGACAAAAATATTAAAAAAATATTTTTCCGATACCGGGAGTCGAACCCGGGTCTGCTCGGTGAAAGCGAACCGTGCTAGCCGTTACACTATATCGGAGATTATTGAAAGATGGAATTCGGCGTGCTGCCTTCATAGTTAACGATGAGTATCGTACTGAAAAATGTGCCACCTCTGCCCTAATACTGGTGACAATTATGATATGACGATGCTGTAGCATGCTGTAGCGTACTGTAATTAGTAGCGATGACCCAAGTACTCTTATATGCAAGTAAAAGGATACAAAAAAGAAAGGTAAAAGACGAAAATAATTTCCAGTCAAGCGTTGTTCGTCTCAACAATGCAGGAAGCTGGAACAGGAAGTGCTACCCCAAGGAAAAGCGCAAGAAAAGAAGTACAATCTCAAGATTATCCTAAAGGTCCTAGAGGACAAAAAAAGAGGACAAAGAAATAAGCTCTTCGCTTGTATAGTATTGCAACAGCAGAGAAGACTACAGGTTTTACGTAGTATCAAACCCTTGGCTATTTTCACATACGTTTTTTTGGAAAATAATCGATGGATTACATACATGCAGCATGTCTGCGAGGAACGCATATACAAACAAACCTCAATCTTAATAATGTACACACTTGGCCAAGGAGTAACACAAAATACGACAATAAGACGTTTTTCACAGTGCTACACAGTCGTCTCGATTCATGATTCACTTTCTTCTATTCCTCTATTCGCCAAATCGGATCCCTGACATAGATCTAACTAGCTTGTTCGACCCCAGAGAAGGTAAGGGGCACGAACGAAAAAAACCTTCTAATTTTCCTTAATTCCTGGTGCATGTCACAGCTACAGCCGCATGAAGGCATGAAATATAGCAAACTAATGCACATCCTTCTGTGTGAAAATAAAAAAAAAAACATAGGCCGCACCCGTTTTGGGTAATTTCAGTTGTCATTGTACATGAGTAAAACTTTTGCTAATAGCAGTATTCCTTTGCTTTCCATCTCTCATTGAAAATTGTGACTAAACTGATAAGGTAGGTTGTTTTTCTTTTACTCAATTCAATAGTTCAGTTACCATATCGGTTTTTTTAATTTATTTATTCTACTAGTTCGTACAAGATGAGTAACGCAGAGTACTATAGTCAGACTGAGCCCCCAAATTACGGAAAGCAAGAGCAGCAACAGCAGCACAATTCGTATGGTCCACCACCGGTTAATCCAAATCAAGATCTTGAAGGTCAAAAAGACCCCTTCTACGGAGAGAGTCCAAAGCCATCCCCAGAATTTGACCAGTCTTTCAAGATAGAAAAGCCAAGGTTCAATGACTGGCCTTTTGCGCTTCTATTCTTGTGTGTTGTTGGTGGGTTTATTGCCATTGCTGGGATTACATTGAATGCCTTGCGCAAAACTTATGGAATTCAAGGTTCCTCTATCTATGACTCTGCCAATACCTTCACGATGAATACCAATACGATCATCTTGTTTGGTTTCATAGTTGTTGTAGGGGTTGTCGGATCCTTTTTAATTATCCTTTTCGCAAGAATGGCACCTAGAATTTTCATCACTACTGGACTCATTGCCAACATTATTTTGGGTCTTGGTACTTGTATCTACTATTTTGTCGCCCATTACTATTCAGCTGCTATCGTATTTTTGATTTTCACTCTTTTGACGGCATGGGGTTACTGGAATTGTAGGTCAAGAATTCCTTTCAGTGCAACCATTTTGGAAATTACCATTGATGTCATGAAACGTTATCCATCCACATTGGTAACTTCTTTCGTGGGTATTCTTGTTAGTGCTGGGTTCAGTGTGTTGTTTTCCACTGTCATTGTTGCAACTTATGTCAAATATGACCCTAACCAAGAGAACACTGCTTGTGATATCTCAGGTGGTGGGTGCTCACTGTCCAAGTTGATTGGGATTTTAGTCTTCGTCTTCTTCGCTGGTTACTACATCACTGAGGTGATTAGAAATATCATTCATGTCACTATTGCTGGTGTCTATGGAACATGGTACTACTTGGCTAATTCTGACCAGGGTGCACCAAGATTGCCAGCTTTAGGTGCCTTAAAGAGAGCTTTGACTTACAGTTTTGGTTCTATTTGCTTTGGTTCATTGATCGTATCGTTACTTCAATTGCTTAGAGCTGTGATTCTGGCCTTGAAGCAGGATGCCTTCAACGCCGGGGACTTTTGTGCTGGGTGTGGATTTTTGATCTTAGACATGATTATTGGACTTATAGATTGGGCCGTTAGGTTTTTCAACAGATACGCATACTGCTACATTGCTCTTTACGGAAAGAATTACATCAGGTCTGCTAAAGACACTTTTGATTTACTCAGATTCAAGGGTATGGATGCTTTGATCAACGACTGTTTCATCAACACCTCGTTACAAATGTATTCGTTATTCATTGGATATCTCACTGCTTTATTAGCCTACTTCTACTTGAAGTTTACCAAACCAGAATACAACTCCAGCGGTACTTACTATGCACCAGTTGTTGCATTCAGTTTCTTAATTTCCGGACAAATCACCAGAATTGCGCTTACTGTGATCGATTCCGGTATTGCTACATTCTTTGTGGCTTTGGCTAAGGACCCAGAAGTCTTCCAAATGACAAATAGAGAAAGATTCGATGAAATCTTCAGAAACTACCCACAGGTTTTAGAAAAATTGACTGCTAACCATTGATTGAGAGTGTGAGAGTATATGTGAGTGAGTGTGTGGGTGGGTGTGCATCATCAATGTGCTTTGACACTATCGCCGCTGCTCCAATTTTACAAAAATGTATATTTAATTGAAAACTTGTGTCGTGTAGTTGTTCTTACCTTAGCCATGGCCTTACCAGAGATATTTTTCACTCCGAACTCGTCCATGTCTTCCCGTATAGACTTCCTTCTCTTGGTGCCTTGGCTCTGGCACCGTCTATGTGATCCTGCATATAACCTCTGCTTAATCTTAATTCTCTGGCTATCAAAAACAGTTTAGCGCATTTTGCCCCACTACGTAGCAAGATTAGGACATATATACAGCTGCAAAAGGTAAATATCCAACATGTTGACGCTTGCTATTGGAGACCTCTTCATTCCGGACCGCTCTATACAGTTGCCGGCCAAATTCCAGAAGTTATTGAGCCCAAACCCCGGTTCAATCCCCTCCAACAATAAAATCTCAAAAGTCCTATGCTTGGGAAACATCACCCAGTCGTACGATACGTTGGAGTTCTTATACAACTTGTCGCCCTCCTTTAATATCGTCAGGGGAGAGTTTGACGACACGCAGTTGTTAACGCTGAAATTGAAGTCATTGTCAGCCAAGGATGCACAGGTTCCCTTGTACCTGATAACGGCTCACGACAACCTTAAGATTGGATACACAAACGGGTACCAAATTGTACCCAGGAACGATCCATTGTCGTTGCTTACGTTGGCCAGAGAAATGGACGTCGATGTGTTGATTTGGGGCGGTACACACAAGATTGAGGCATATACCCTTGATGGGAAATTTTTCATAAATCCTGGAAGTGCCACTGGCGCCTTCACCTTCGACTGGCCGGAGAGATACGAGGAGGAGGAAGAAGAGGAAGAAGAAGAAGATGGCTCAGAGGCAACCGATACTGGAGCCCCAAAGGAAGACGAGGAGAAGCAAGACCAAACAGAGGAAAAGGCCCAAGAACAAGAAGGAGGAGGAGATGCCACTGTCGACGAAGATAACCTTGAAGCTGATAGCGAGAAAGAAAAGAACCCGGAGGAATTGTGGGGACCAGGTAAGGTAGATCTAAGCAATGTCCCAGAGTTGGAAGAACCAATCCCGTCCTTCTGCCTACTCGATACACATGACTCTACTTGTACATTATATATTTATACATATTTAGATGGGGAAGTCAAAGTAGACAAGGTCAGCTATACCAAAGAATAAAAGACACCAAAATGGTCCTCTTATGCCTGCACTGACGAGTAGTGTAGCACAAACTCCTTCTTGATCTTCTCCCAGTTATGTGGATCGAAAAATATATAGACCCCCTTTTCAACGTCTTGACTTATTAATACAGGTTCTACATTGCTATCCTTGGTGAGCCATACCTGAATGTCCTTGTGATACCTCCAGTTTCTGGCCACCAACTCTCTAGCAGCGTACTCTTGTAACGTATCTCTAGGTCTCATGTAGAAGATGTAGAACAATGTTTCGTCCGAGAACGATTGGATCTTGTTGTCACACGCTTCGGGTGCCGGTATGATGTTTTCTGAACGAATTGATTTGGGTAACGTGAAGTAAGGCTCCACTTCAGACCGTGACGTTTCTGCCCAAGGAGACGCCAAGTTTTGCAATATACTAGACTCCTTGGTTAAGTCCAATCCTAACAAATTTATGTCTTGTCCTATGGCAAACGAAGTCTGGTCGTTTTGCTCCATGTTGGTGAGAGAAGTAAGACCTTTCAAGCCGAACTTCTCAATATCATTCCAGTTCTCCGTGGGTGATGCTGTTGGTGCTACTGCTACCGCGGCTGAAACTGCTGCAGGTATATTCTTGATTGTCGTTATGCTGGCAGTGGAATTTGCTGTGGATAAACCAGGTGGCAAAGCTACATGGAGAGTTTGTTAGTACATTTAATTCATCTGCTTCAACCAGGTGAAAACGGTCATACATACGCATCTTTGTGAATCGGTTCTGCTATTCCTCTAGGTTCTGTTTCTATTTTGAATTTCTGAATTTAACTAATCTATAATTGCCTTCAAAATTGGTCTGCTTGTGTAGCTGAATGTCGATTATATACATAAATATATATACATAAATCTCGATCTCTACCTATGTGGAACTATCTGGCTGTCTCCGGTGGGTCTCTGATCTTGCTAAAGAAAAATGTTCGACTTCCATACTGGCTGGGTATTTGAGCCTCGCACGCCGAAGAAATGTGAGTGAAGCTTGGGGTCACGTGCGTGCTCTATGGAAAAGGCACCTCATCTCAAGTTCTTGTAGGGTAATTGGTGGCTAGGTGTATTCTTCTTCTTTCTGCCTACTTATATAGATAAATAAGCATGTCTAGACGCTATCAACCTAACATAATAATCACAGGTACGCCAGGGTGCGGAAAATCCTCGCATGCCGTCAGTTTGGTCTCGCAACTTGGAGACTCTTACACTCATCTCCCAGTCAGTGATCTTGCTAAAGAAAGAGACTGCATTGATTCTTACGATGAAGTGTTGGCTACCAGTGTTGTGGACGAAGACAAGTTGTTGGATTCTCTTGAAATTGATTTGGAAAAGGGCGGTGCTATAGTGGATTGGCACTGCTGTGATATCTTCCCGGAAAGATTAATAGACTTGGTGGTTGTATTGAGAACAGACACATCCCTCTTGTACGATAGGTTGCTGAAGAGAGACTATAAGAATAATAAGATCCAAGAGAATTTGGATTGTGAAATAATGGAGGTTATCTTAAACGATGCTCGTGAGTCTTATATACCTGAAATTGTTATTGAGTTGACATCCAACTCGGTGGAAGAGATGGACGAGAATGTAGACAGAATCAACGGCTGGATCGAGAACTGGTGCAAGGATCACCCAGAAGGTGTCACCAATGTATTGGATCCCGAATTAGCTGCTAAGTATAAGAAGCAACAGGAGGAAGATTCAGATGAAGAATTAGATTAGACTTTGGTGTTACCCCGAATCAGCTACTAAGTATAAGAAACAACAGGAGGAAGAGATGAAGAGCTAGATTAGATTATTGCGTTATAGATAGGGAAATTTCAATATCATGTCATTAAAAGTTCGAAAAGCGTAACTGATAATGAAGCCTACAGTGTATTAGTTAATTCCGATAAGCCTTTATTTTTTTTGAATCCCTTGAATCCCTTTTCTTCTCTATATAACTGTGTACACACAGAATACGAACCGTGCTTTTTCACACGTGGTTATACCGAAGCGACTGTATATCAAATACAAAGCACTCGATAGTCCCCCCATTTTATCTATTTGTTTTTTTGTTTTTTTGTAGTAGTTTGTTGACTTCCCGTGTTACCTTAATTCTCTAATTATAGGTCTAAGTCTAGTATAACAAGTGGAGTAATATTCTTCTGGCGTAGTAAATTGCAAGTATCACAAGGGCAAACATCAAAACGTAGTAACCTTTGGTTATAGCAATGTACGACCATTTCTGTGTCAATCTCTTGATGTTGTGTCTTTCAATTTCAGAAATACAGTTGTTATTCTGCTGGAAAATGTACTTACTCTCTTCAATGATCTCCAACTTCTGTTGCTCCGTTAAGTTGTTTCTGGTTAAGATTTCGTAGTCTCTCTTGTAAATAATTCTTAACAAGTTCTCATCAGCAACATCGAACGTGAAAAAGTTGGTGCCCAACTTAACAATTTCTTCGTGTTTCAAGCCATCCTTCTGTGGGAATAAACCAGATGCCTTGGATATGGATGATCTCATGATTCTACCACCAGCGAAAAGAGCCAAGTACATCACATGCATATAAGCTAAGAGCAAGTACGGCTTCTCGGTGGTAACACGTTCAATGTGCTCAACAAACTTGATCTGTTCGCTCAACATTGGCAGGATGAACTTGGATTTATCATCGTCATAGTAGAACAATAAGTCTTGTTCAGCCTTTTCACGTCTAGCTACTTCAGGCTTCCATATTTTCTTCAAGATATCAGTCCACTCGCCGTCTGTGTTCTCAAACTGCTTATAGAGACTCTTCTCAATAGCGACAAATACATGGTAGAATGACTGAAGTCCTTGACGGTAGATCTTGGCATCCCTGAGGGCTAATGCCAACTTTAATGTGATCTTCTTATCTATCTTGTTGTGAGCTTCACGGGTATCCTTATTAATACGATTTCCCAAGGCACCTACATCGTTAGCCAAGGGAATAATCTCATGTTGGTTTAATTTGGTGGTGGCACCATTATCTTGTACTGGCATCATGTTTCGCCTGTTCTAGTTCTTCTATTATTGTTCTGTAGTGACAATGTAACTGTAAGAAGACCTTGAGAAGCCAAAAGTGGGAATGCCAGGGTGTGGTATGCTACTTATAAGTTTTGCTTGGGACGCCTAAAGAGAAGATATTTTTTCGATTTTGTGTAATTTCCAGCGGACTTATCGCAAAGCCCGAACTTCGGAGAGAAGGGCGTGTTTCTTGGTGTTATGATTCTGGATTGCGGAGGGGGTTCAAGGATGTTCGATAAGTGAATTGATAAACAAAGAACAAGTATGAAATACGTACCTGATGTCAGTCACGATGCGGAGAGTCTCAATTCGTTTTGAAAATAGCATTGGCAACTTTAAATCGAACATGTATATCCGGATCGGAATCGCAAATGAGACATAGATCCTTAGGGACCATAGAACAATAGAATGTGTATAAAAGAACAGGAAGTAAGGATGATTTGAGGAATGGTTGTTTTGTTTTGTTTGTTTGTTTGGTTTCGTTTTGTATCACACCAATTGAACAAAGTAAGGAGAGCTTCTTTTTACACCGTAGATATGGCGTGGTTAATAATCCTTCTAAGCTACATCTCCTCTTCCTTATTCAACACTGGGACCCTGACACATTTCACCTTCAGGTGGTTCTAGCCAAAGAAAAAAAAAAATACACGACTCCTAGATAACGCTTGCACATAGGTAAGCTGCAGCACCAGTATGCCATTTCCTTGGCTCCTCGGTGGTGGGCAGCGTCTCTCTGCTGTGCACTATCACCTTTGGTCGGCTGCAAATGTTGTAGAGGAACTTCGGGTACTGCATATATACTCGCTGCTGGGCAGGTCCCAGACGAAGAAAAAATATCGATGAGCCAGACGATGAAAAGGTTGTCCTGCATGGTGACGCTGTGGCATGCAGTTCAAGATGAAGGAACAGTTTCTACCCATAGTATCACCACCATCAGCTCCGGCAATAAAAGGCGGGGCTAAATGGTTATGTCGTTAGAGAGTTACTCCTACCCTCATTCAATTATATCCGGTGACATTAGCTCACCTGCTTGTTTCAAATGTGTCAGTGTTTCAGTGTAGTTGCTGCGCTCCTCTCGTTATTCCCATCCTTCTCTAATTTTCTGGTGTATTATCTCCGCTTCCGTAACTTATTTCCTGGAGTAACTGGCCACACACGACTAGTGAGTTCTAGAGAGTGAAATAGTAAGCAGGAAAAAAAACCTCACCGTTAGGACATAAAGGTCACACCACAGTCCCCCATATTCTACGATTATTAGAGCCTGTTCAAGCAAAAACAAGTCTAGAGTTGCAGATTTTGGTCAATTTGAGGTGCATATTACATTATTAATATTTTTGCTATCCTTTTTGCGTCTGGCTTATTATCCATTTAAAGACTTTCTTTTTATAGTCCTTTTTTATTTGTTTCACTCCATTCTATTTTTCACTCCACCAAGATGGTTCAAGTCTTTGAAAACTCACATACATTTAGCCACGATTTCAAGACCGTGACCTTTGCATACTTAAATAGATATCCCAACCCCTATGCGCTGCATGTTTTAAGTCAGGATACACTTGAAACGTTTGTCGACGCTGATGGGTGCTTACAGACTACAAAGTTCATAATTAAAAGAGGCAGATTACCTAAATTTATGATGCCATTCCTCGGAGGCAGCTTGGACTCATGGATCATAGAAAAGACTTATATCAACCCGAAAACTGAAACAATGTTGACTTACACTTCCAACGTCGATCACCGTAAGTTTATAAGAGTGGAAGAGTTCTTGAGATATACAGGAAATAAGGATGGCGAAACCACTAACGTTGTGTCCAAGGTTAAATTTTCATCTAATTTAATCGGTTTCAAGCAGAGGATTGAAGACTGGAGCAGAAATAAATTTTCCAAGAATTTCTCCAATTCGAGAGAAGGGTTAAAGTTTGTGATGAATAGATTTAAGGAATCGAGTAGCTGGAAACAGGTTTCCAGTGCTTAACCGAAATGATGTAGCTGAAGGTGTACAGTTGCTTACTTTCATCACCAAGTAATACTGAACTTATGCATGTCGCTGCTAAAGTACTGCGACCTTTACCAAGGAACGGAAAATAAGAAAGAAATTAAAGAAACTGCAAGCAAGTAAGAAAAAAAAAAAAAAAAAAAAGAAAAAGAAGAAGAGAGAAAAGCAAAAAGGAACAGATAGTGAATGGACAGAGACTGCACTAACGTTAGTATAGATGTTATACCTATTTTTCTCGGGATTCTCTTTCCTCCCTGTATATATGTAATGAATGGCGTTATGAATTGAGTTGAACCAAGCGATGTTGTAGCGTAAACCATACCCTATGTCTGGCTCCCAGCCCTCTGGCATCTGGTTCCATGCCCAGGTTCCGAGTGCTCCCTCACTGGCCTCACCACACGACTCACCACCACAGTACTGCATACCGCTTATCTGCACTCTGCTCTTATCTGCGTGAGACTGGGCCCTTTAACCTCAGCAGCTCAGAAAAGTGTGAGCAATAAAGCGAAACCTAATTTTAAAATTTACCCTTTGCAGTTTTCTTTTGGGCATTTCTACAGGAAGGAAGCAAATTATTATTTTTGTGCCGTAGAAAGTGTAGACGAAAAGGAAGCAGAATAACAAGTAGTAACGAATAGAAGCAAGAGTGATGGTAGACTCTTTCTATAACTATGGGGTAACCGGGCGCAAAGGGAGACGGAAATCATTGATGAGCGAATCAGGACGAAGGGAAGATGGCGGATCAGATCCGAAGAAAGTGGGAGATGGGGTCGTACAACAACAACAACAACAACCGACTAAACAGCAACAGCTGGTTCTTGATAAGGAAGACGCAGAATACAGGCGAAGCTATAATAAGGAAAGGCGGGCTTCGTCGTTCACTGCCACAAACTCCCCCTGGTTTAGAAGGAACTCCTTCCTTTCCACTGCGATGATTGAGAATGAGAATTTCTCTGTATACGAGTCACCTTCGTACTACTCGCAGAATGCGAGCTACAATATCATATCGCTCAAGGAGTGTCAGGGGTTTATCTTCAACCAGGATTTGTTTGCCTCGCCCTACCAGCAGCTGAGGTCTTTGGCCAACGAGAAAAGGTACAGGGCAAGCTTCAGTCACCCCACATCCGGTAACAGTCCTTCTCGTAGGACAAGTTCTAGAGGGAGCCTCAGCACTAAAAATTTTGAAAATAGCCTGTGCCATTCATCTCAGAACGAATCTACTCCACCACCTGTGCCCACTGTGCAACCGCAGCGTAGACACACCTCGTACTTGGAGACCAGACCCACGTTTTTGAGCACGGCAAGGAACGATTCGGCCATAGTCGACGATGAAAACGAAGTAGACGAAGAAGAAACGGAGGACGATTACCAGATTGACAACGACGCTATAGACGAAGCTGTAGATGACATTGCCATGGATATTCTCACTGATGAGGAAGTTGAGGTGGACGAATACGATGAATATGAGGGGATGCAATACGGTGGAGAGTCTGCAAATAGAGGGTATAAAGTACATGTAACTGAAATTGTGGTGAACGAAAGCGATAACAGCATGTTCCCCACGCAAGAGTAGGGGCTAACCGTCATTTAAGTAAAGTAAAGTAGAGTAGAGTACAGTACAGTAGAGTAGTTACTCTATCCTGCATTAAAGAGGGTATTGGTTTCAGTTATTGGGTTCTTGGTTCGTTGGTAAATGGGAGCCAAGATAAGTTTTTTTTCTCTTTGACTCCTTGGTTTTTTTATGGTACAGTTGGTCGTTGGCATTAGATAGGTTTATACATAAGGTTCATATAGTAAATATAGTACACATTATTAGTCTACTGTTGAGCTGACGACTTCGAAACGGTTGCATCTTTGGATATGCACGGTATTCAGGCAATGCTATATGCAGGAGCGATCTACCATCTTTTATTTTTATTTCTGTTGATTTTTCTTTTCAGCAGCAAGAGCACCGAGTTAGCTCACTAATAGGTGTAATATCAGGTCGCAGCTCTATTAATATGTCAAGCGCGGATTTCGAAAAGCTTTCGCTTCAGTTCAGTGGTCAGCAGAATAGTCTCAACGAGCTCGTTTCGGCCAGACAACAGCTCGAAACGCAGCTTCAAGAGAACAAGATAGTGATGGCCGAATTCGAGCACTTGAACGATTCCTCAAAGATTTACAAATTAACTGGGCCTGTATTGATGCCACAGGAGTACGGTGAAGCCAAGTTGAATGTGGGAAAAAGATTAGAATTCATTGAGGCTGAAATAAAAAGAGTAGAGTCGAAGATTGCAGAAGAGGAAGCCAGCATGGAGAAGACCAGAGATCAATTATTGGCCATAAGATCGAGCATGCAATAGAGGGAGGGCTTGATGGTGTTGGTGAGAGTGATGGTGACTGTGCTAGTGCTAGTTTTTGTATATACGTATATTATACTAAGAATAATAACAACAAATAATGAAATAGAAAGGGTATCAACAATACGTAGTCTACTTATATGATGTTTCGAGGTGTGTCTCCTAACCTCTCATCCACTGGCTCTTTACAAGATTGACCAAACCGATAGCGTTGAATGCACCCCACTGCTCGATGTTGTTGTACACACCGCCCAAGCCATCAAATCCCCTGACCCTGTTGTCCACGAACTCCTTGGTGTTCTTAAAGTTCTCGCTGGTATCCAGCAACATATACAATTCAGAAGCAACATAGATCGACGACACACCGGCACGCTTGGTGTACCAAGCAAAGTCATTGGACTCGTCCCCCGCGTAGTACACAATGTCGTCACTCAAGTTGTGCAACTCCTCTAACGACTGGCTGAGGTTGTATGGTGTAGACAACTGCGACAACCCGTACGATAACTTCTTGATGATCGGCTCATTGTACTGCAATCTTTGCTTTATCAAGTAGCTGACTCTCTCGTACTCGTTTTCTATAGAGTGGAACTCCGATGCTGGATCCATGATATGTTCATGGAGCTTGGATCGTTGAATCCTGAGCCAGTGGAGCATCAATTGGAACTCAAGCGATTTCCCGTCCGCATTGGAAGTGAGCACCGAGTGGATCGAGTCTGGATACTTCAAGTCTTGGATAGACTTGGTGACACAGTAGCTGTTGAACCCATACTTTGGAATATGTTTTAACGAGTTCGTCAATATCGTAGACTCTATGGAGTCGGGGTTGACAATGAGATTGGACGAGGGATGGTCTATGGAGTGGTAGAAGCGCACTCCTCTAGCTTTGGGGATGTATGCCCTTACTTGTTTGAACATGCTGAGCAATCTGAGTCCGAGATACCTACAGAATACCGTTCTTGACCAACAACAAGCGTGAAAGAAGAGTGCAAGCAGAACGGTAGCGCCAGAATTTGAAAAGTTCCAAAATGAAATATCATGTCATCCTGCACATAGTGCCATCTCGTACCTGGACATCTGGAGAAGGCAAATTATACTGGAGAGCAAGAGGATGCACTTCTACAACCACAATACACCAGGCTGTGCCAAATTGTCGATTATAACCGGTAAACCATGCTTGTAAGTTGAACCAATGAGAAACTGCAGTGTTTTTCAGTGCTTTTTTTTTATGTCTCTAGCCGTTTTCGTCGTGCTTTTGTCCTCTTTCAGTATCGCTCTGTACTAACACCCACAGATCAAACCTTGGAACGATCAACCTACTCCCCGTCATACTCTTGAGGAGGAGTCTGAATCTACACCTGTGATCCCTGAAATCGCTATCGACCTTCAGTCGATTCCCGATCAAATTGAATATCTTTTGGTCTTACCAAAGTCCATTGATATCATACCCAAGGCATTCTTTGGTAGCGCTGAAATTGGTTCAGTCTCGGTAATCTTGCCGGACGTTGAGACACCCACACCCACCAAGATTGACTCAGATTCGGAATATGATGAGGATGAACAGCTCTATAAAGCTATAGATCATAGAAAGTCCAAAGATCAGTCCACGCATATCCCAATTCTTCAATTAACTAGCACCACCCTCTGTGTTGTCACGCCAAACTTCAAAAACGTCATAATCAACAACTTGGTGGCTCGTAAATTGGTTTCGGAGTTCCAGGGGAAAGTTTCCCGAAGCTGGATAACTTTGTCGCCATGTAGCTTAAACAATGGCCAGACTTTGAACAAATTGGACGTTTTCAACAACGGAATACGGGAATTGCCTGAGTCGTACAACTTTGTTCCGTACTTAAAGCCACCGCACTTCATCACTGGTATTGGTGCTTCTTTCAACTCTGTGTTGAACATAACGGAGAATGCAAGATTTGTAAGCTTAGTGTTGAATGCCGATGGACAGCCTGGATATGAGAAATTGGACAATGACTCCTTAGTGGACGCTGCGTATGTCTTGGTTGACTTCTTGATCAAGGACCAAAGCGCTAAGGAAGAGGTGCTAGGCAACATAAGTAAATCTGTGAGAAAGTTTACCAGTTACTCCGGAGGCGGTATGTACTTGTAAATGTGTGCTCTGTGGTGGGAGAAAGAGAAAAAATGAGGACTGTAAACGAATAGGTATGTAGCGCATTTAGGAGAGTAGTACACTTTTCAGGTATATAAAATAAAACGTCGAAGTCATATACGATTAATTGATAAATATAAATAGAGATTGAATTATGCATTCGAATTTCTCATGCTCAAGAAACAGTTCCATAAAACACTCACTGAAGAACTGAATGGTACCTGGAAGTCCCGTGGGACGAGCAAGAAATTGAAAAACTGTACTGGGAACCACACAGAGTAGTTAATCAACATCGTTTTGATATATATCTTGGACAATTTCTTCTTTGTATCCTTCCAGGTGCCATTCTCCAATATCATCGTACCGTATGTGAAGAAGCAGAATAACGAAATTGGTGAGAAGCACAACTGATCAGTCAAGACTTTCCGCAACACCTCTATGAACTTGGGATCCTTGGAGTATATGGAGAGGAACTTGTACCACCAGCACTGGGCAAAAGACATGATAAACCCCCAGCACATGAATCCTGCAAGCCTATTGAATTGATAATAAGAGAGCGGCACAAATGGAATAGGAGTGGTGTTAAAGCCACCAAAGGATCCTGGTCCTGGTCCACCTCTCATCCAGCTGTTGGTGTCACTAAGAGAGTCCATATCTTCCTGGATGTAGTCCACAAACCTCTCTACACCTTCCTCGTCACTGTCGTACTCGGAAACATTGCTAGGACGACGCTGGAGTTCGTTTGTATTGAAGCCAATGCCTGCATGATCCGTTTCGTGAAGATCGAAGCTCAACAACGGCCTTGCGCTATGATAACTTAAGATAGTCTGGGCCAAAGTCTCTGAGATCCCGTAGAGCACAAGGTTGGTCACCATGATGGTGATAAGTGACGATTTCATATAAAGAGAGGTGTACTTCGTGGTCAACCTGACTAAGAAGGTGCCTAGCACACCAATAATGCAGAAGTTTATGAATGGGATGTTATGTATTCGAATTGCATTGATTGCCCTGGTGAAGGCATTGGTCTCCTGGAGTCTATCATACCCTATAGAAGACTCGAGATCTGGGATGGATACGTCATCTACGCCATCATCTTGCAATCGGATTGGCATAATGATGGAGAGAAGGGTCGGTTCTTGGCAAATTTAACACCGTCTGTTTATTTTTTTTGTTGCTGTTGCTGGAGACTGCTTTGCCAATGACTGTGCCTCGTGTGCGCTACTTCCGTGAACTATAGATGCCCAATGAACCTGTGAAAAATCGTACAAGTTTCCCTTTATTTCCCTGTTAACGCTTTGATATGCAAATACTCGGTGCTCAGCTGCCCCAATTCAATGCGACCTAGATCTATTTTCCTACTATAGCCAGCAATAAGTGCACTGTTCTCACTCCCTTGCTCCTTCTGATAAGCCATTATCTCGCCTCTGTAAATAAACCTACACTATGTAATTCCTGTATATAATGCATTCAAGATGTCCGGGTAACTTGACCTGTTCACGTTTGTGCTCTCCAATCAGAACTGTAGAATTTTGGTTTACCAAAAAAAAAAGGAAGAGTACAACACAGTTCAGGACCTACTACGCCGTTAAACCAACGTATATAACCCGTATTAACAGCTCTTTACTATGTCGTATACCGCCAGCTCAGCTCCAGTCAGAGGAGCGTTGAATCCATCCGAATACGAACTCATTGACCTGGACCCTCACTTCAACAGAGTGGTAGGGTACATGAGACCTTCAGACTATGCAGTCTGGGGAGCCTCAGCCGTTGGATTCCCATTGGCACTCGTTGGAATGGAAAGATTACAGTCGTCAGCTGGTCCATACAAGGCCGCCACCAAGATTCCAGGTGGAGCCATCAGATTCACCACCTTCTTGGGATTGACTGGTGGGTTCTTGTGGGCGTACATTAGATCATCACAAAGATTCCTTGGATGGCAGGAAAATGCAAGAGAAGTCAAGTTGGACAGATACGAAATCAAAAAGCTGTTGAGTCAGGAAAAGTTACCTTACCACGAGAATGAATCTTTGTTGGACGACAGATTACAGGATCTTGCTAACAGAAACTCCCAGAACTCCGTCACCTTGTTGGCATTCGTACCATTCTTCAACTTCGCTCACCATCCATACCACGGAGTCAACATTGCTAAATACTACGAAACCAGACCTGGTGAAGAAAGCTGGGGGTTTGATAACTTGAAGCCATTCGAAGAAATCAAGGCCAAATACACCAAGAAGATAGAGTAAGTCTAGAGTATGGCCTAATTAGCGCCAGAGACAGGAGGAACTGAAGCGAAAAGCAGTTCCATGTGCCATGTACCATAGACAGTTCGAATATTTTGCAATCCATGAAACCGATATCTGGATGGGGAAAACATTTAAACGAACACGAAAACTAAAACATAAAAAAAAAAGAAAAGAAGAAGAAGAAGAAGAAGAAGAAAATTAATGATAAACCATCAAAGCACAGTAATACAGTGATGGGTTTCGTTACTCATGAATTCGGTATATTTCAGTCAAAGTGCAGTTGGTTGTTAACTCAACCAGTCCCGCTCGAAGAATATATAAACATAGCATAGCATTGAGAGTACTGTGTCTGTAGTGTTGGCTATAGAGCTGATAAAACTGTAGAACGTCAAGCTTTTGAGAAATATGAAATATGCCTGAAAACAAATGAACTTGAAGGAAGAAAGCATACCAATAAACTAACTATACCAGAGTAATTAATGGCATGCTATACAGCTATGACAACAGCCACCCACTGGCCACCACTGGCCACCCTCTCTATCCTTTCCTATCAGCTGTCACTCTCTCTTCATAGCATGTCTCTGATGAAATTTTCATTTCCTGCATACCAGCCCGTTTGGTGGTCGTGTATTTACCGATCGCTTGCTCTTTGTTTTGTAAACAAAAGAGCAGCCCGCTACATCGAACAAGGTACCATTCTAGTTCAGCAAACAACCCAGTTCTAGACCCCTTGCTCTTCTAAATTAACGCAGATCGCTCTTGCATAGATGTCGGACGAAACTGATTACTCGTCGCTTCCGATTGAAGACCGTTTGGTCCACAAAGTGTGGAAAGTGAGACTCGAGGCGTATGACCAAATTACCAAGCAGTTTGAAGGCTCAAGAAGCAGCCAGGACGAATGTTTCCAAAGATTTAATTCACAACCCCAAGAGTTTAAAAAGATCATAACAGACGCTAATGTGGTTGCACAGGAATCTGGTATACAGGCATTGTTAAGATATCTCGAATATGGGGCAACCCCGCAATCCGTTTCCAGGTTAAGATCAGCCAATGTGGTGTCGAGCTTGTGTGAAAAGGGACTTTCATCCAATAGAGTGGGGACAAAGGAGAAGTCCATTCAATGCATACTAATGTTTATTGAAATTTCTAACGAAATTGATGGCATATTAGAAGATATCTTGTCATTTTTGGGTAACAGATTGCCCAAATTAGTCAGTGGTTGTGTCAATGCGTTGGCACAGATCGTCTCCAACTTTGGGTGCCAAGTTGTTCCAGCTAAATTAATTATACCTCATTTATCTAAATTATTTGCACACGCTGACAAAAACGTAAGAGCAGAGGCTCAAAAGTTGACTGTCGAATTATACAAGTGGATGAGGGACGCCCTAGTCAATATCTTGTATCCAGAATTAAAACCTGTGCAGCAAAAAGACCTAACGAAGGAATTTGAAAAGATTGAAGAAGGAAGACCGACACAATTGAGATTCACCAGAAAGCAACAAGAAGAGATTGAAAGAAGGAAAATTGAAGCTGAGGAAGCCGCTGCTGCTGCTGCTGCGGCTGCGGCGGCGGCTGGTGAAGGGGGAGCTTCTGGAGAACAACCAGCATATGGTGACGATGTCGAGATGAGAGACGCAGAAGATGATGCTGCAGATTTCAATCCATATGATCTCGTGGAACCAACTGAAGTATTGTCTAAATTACCGTCAGATTTCCACGCTAGAATATCATCAGCCAAGTGGAAAGATCGTAAAGAAGTGTTGGACGAAGTTCATGCTATTTTAGAGAAAACTGTGAAACTTGAAACAAAGGATGACTACTCTGATATCATGAGAATTTTCACTAAATGCATGAAGGATGCTAACGTCCAAGTTGTTCAATTGGCGGCTAATTGTGTTGAGTTCTTGTCCAAGGGCTTGCAAACAAACTTCCAGAGATATCAAAACATGATATTGGCTCCAATGCTTGAAAGAACAAAGGAAAAGAAGCCAAGTGTTGCAGATGCATTAAACAACTGTCTTGATGCCATATTCAAAGGATCGTCCTTGAGCGATGTATTGGAAGAAACATTGAATGGGATGAAACATAAAACCCCTCAAGTCAAAATTTCAACCATCAATTACCTTCAAAGATGCCTTGCCGAAACGAAAATAGCTCCAAAAAGAGTAGAAATTGATGCCATAATGGAAGTTGGTGTAAAATTATTGGCTGATTCGCAAGAACCTGTAAGACAAGCATCAACTGAAATGATTGGTACATTGATGAAGATAACAGGAGCTAGAGAATTGAATTCGTTTTTGGAAAAAGTTGATGAGAATAGAAAGGCAAAAGTCATGGCATTTTATGAATCCGTCCAAGTTAAGGCCAAAAAGACCGTCGAGGTACCAAAACAAGCCCCTAGAACAGCTGGCAATAATTCTAGTGCTGCTAATTCCATCAGAAGACCATCAAGCATCGCTTCCACTACGAGACCAGTTCGTTCAACTACAGGTTCCACCGCTGCTAGTAATATAGGGTCTGGGGCCAAGAAACTAACGTTACCGTCAGCAGCAGCATCTACATTAAAGAAACCTCGATCTGCACTTAATTCTATACCTACAAAGAGATTGGCTACATCTCCAGCCAAAAGAACTGACTCTGAAGTTCCAAGAAGTTCCGTTGGAAGAATCGGAGGTCTCACTAGCGGCCCTGTATCACGATTGTCAAATCCCTCTAGAAATGAAGAAGGACTATCATCTGCAGAAAAGGAAGAATTGATTTCCTTGCGGGAGCAGGCGCAAAAGTGGAAGGCACAGGAGTTAAAATACAAACAGGAATATCAGCAAAGAGTTGAAGAGGAACGAAGCCAGTTCGAAGAGGAAATAGCAGGATTACAGAGGAAAAATGAAAGTCTCTTGAAGGAATATAATGGCAGCTTAATCACATTAAAACAGAGAGACACGCAAATATTAAGGTTGACCAGTGATTTGGAAAGCTCCAAGTTACGAATTCGCGATTTACAACAATCCATTGAAGTTTCCAATTTATTGAATGGACAACAACAACAACAGCAACAACAACAACATCATCAACATCAACATCAACATCAAGAACAAGGACAGCAGCAACAGACTCGAAACCATGGTCAGGGCGACCAACTGCCACTGAAATTTCTTCACTCAGCTAGTAACCCTACCAATGGTGGCATAGGCCCCAACAGATATTCCACTTCTTACCTTTCAGATTACCAAGGTACTCGTCTTTCTTCTAGTGAGCTTAGTTCAAGAGTCAAGAGGCTTTCCATTGACCCGGACTTAAGGGACCATAGCACTAGACAAGATTTAGCAAGTAACCGATTTACAAGTCCCCAGAAGATATCTGAGAGCACAAATACGTTCGATAATGGAAATAAGGAATCCATGGACCTTAATACTAATGATGATAGCTGGAAACGTGCTGCAGAGGTCACCAATCAGTTGAAGGCTAGAATTGAGAAGATGAAAGCAAGATCGAGAGTGAACTTTCAATAGTGTAGTGATTACTCTCGAAAATAATACAAATTTACATAGAAGCATGCGAGATCTGTTGGTAAGGTGAATTAAACAGAGAGCTTAACAGTGCACTACACAGAATTCTGTGGTAGCAAACCTGTAGTACCATCTTTACTCCAAGTATCCATCAATCTCTCAGAGTAGTGAAATTGCAGCACATTGTGTGCAAGAAAGCTTTGCATTATGTGTAGGAATAGCCAATACTATCCTGTATTGAGCGAATCGGCCCAATTTCGCAATATGACTCTGCGCAGTCACTGACTGGAAAATGAAAAGTTTAACGTGAGGACAGAAACTATCCTAAAGAGGACTACCTCCATATAGTAAAAGAAGATATTGAAAAAATATCATAAGCGATGTCTAAATTGAGAATTTTAGTTCCTGTCAAGAGGGTTATTGACTTTGCAATTAAGCCAAGAATCAATAAGGCAGGTACCGGAGTGGAAAAAAAGGGTGTGAAGTTCAGTATAAATCCATTTTGCGATATTGCTTTAGAAGAGTCTCTCAGGATTAGGGAAGCAAATAAGGGCCTTGTAGAACAAATCCATGCTGTTTCTATTGGGCCAACTAAGGCACAGGATGTATTGAGAACTGCATTGGCTAAGGGTGCTGACTCGACCACATTAATTGACGTTGGCGAAGAAGAAATTGAACCACTCAGTGTAGCCAAGATGTTACAGAAAATCGTTGAAAAGGAAAAATCCAATTTGATCATCTTAGGTAAACAGGCCATTGACGATGATGCCAACCAAACAGGACAAATGCTTGCAGGCTTATTAAACTGGCCACAAGCCACTAATGCCTCCAAGGTAGAAATTGAAGGAGATCAGGTCACTGTCACCAGAGAAGTTGATGGTGGTGCAGACACCTTGAGTGCGAAATTGCCAATGATTATCACCACTGATTTAAGATTGAACGAACCACGTTATGCATCATTACCAAATGTGATGAAAGCTAAGAAGAAGCCATTGGAAAAATTAAAGGCTAGTGATTTGCAAATTGAATTGACAAACAGATTAGAAATCTTGAAAGTTGAAGAACCACCTCAAAGAGATGCTGGTGTTAAAGTTGAATCTGTAGACGAATTAATTGCAAAATTAAAAGAGTTGAAGGCTATTTAGGTGGTGAAAAATAAAAATATAAAGTAAAATATAAAAAACTTAATTAAATAATAACGATAATAAACATAGAAAGTAAAGTTCAGAAAGTAGAAGTTTATATACGGAAATCTCATGAAATTCATACTCAATTATCGCCAGTATCGGCTTTTAACATGCTATGGGGTTCTGCCTGCAGTGGGTGTGTTGAACGAGCAGTAGCAATTTTCATTACTGCGCTTATAAGTACTCCACTTTTCGCAATACTCAAACTGAACTCCGCAACCGTACTCTTTCCATAGCATATATACTTCTTACTCAATGACTTCGCTATCTAAATCCGTGGACTACGTCAGTGATATAATCCAAAGGGATATCCTCAAACAGAAATATGCAAAGCCAATCGTAATAGGAGTGTCTGGTCCTCAGGGTTCTGGGAAGACTTACCTTGCGGAGCACCTTGTATCTGAAATAGCTCAGAAGTTCCCTGATTTGAATTGCGTTAAATTCTCCATGGATGATCTTTATTTGACCAACTCGGACCAAAGACATTTGACAAATGAAGCAGTAAAAGATGATAACAAGTTACTTCAAGGAAGAGGATTGCCTGGAACCCATGACATTGGGGTAGGATTGGAATTATTCTCCAAGCTAATATCCGGAGAACCAGTCGCAATTCCCATATACGACAAATCAGCATTTAATGGAGAGGGTGACAGATCTACTTCATCAATACCAATTGCCAAAAAGGCAGATTTGGTTATATTTGAAGGCTGGTTCAATGGGTATATTCCTCTTGACGACGATTTGGTTAGAATTAAATGGTTAAGCTCACTCTTGGATCCCCATTCGTGCCTAAAGATTCACAAGCTATATCAAATAGAAGACATAAATGAGAAATTGAAAAATTATGCTGTCCTTTGGGACTATTTCGATTATTTCATTTATATTGAAACTGACTATCAGAATGTAGGTAAATGGAGATTGGAGCAAGAGCACGCCTTGATTAAAATGACCGGCTCAGGAATGTCTGATGTACAAGTGGGTCAATTTATCGAAAGGTATATGCCAATTTATGAACTTTTCTATGAAAAATTGTGTGCTGAAGGGGTGTGTAAGAAGAAAGGACATAATTTGAAGCTCAGATTATCAGAAACAAGGGATGTTTTAGAGTCAAATATATTTTAGTCTTATGAATGGAACGAATGTTCATTAATGCAATATATGTATGTATGGACTGTTAGCTGTGAAAGCGAAGTTAGCACCAAACTTTGTAACACCTTATAAGGAAAGATTTTGATGCTATTTCTGCTCTTTCTTCGGCTAATTCCTGTTGGAGAACGTCAAGATCGATATTTATTCTTCCTGTATCGATATCAATATCCTTGGCTCTGATAATCATTTTCCAATCTCTACTCCAAAGTTTGTAACCTAACCAAGATACAAGGATTGTTGGTAAGCCCAAATAAGCTAAGAAGAACTCATATGCGCTTGGCTTTGCTCCAATTGGGAACAACCCAATCCAAAATTGAGCAATTAAAACAAGCACATTGAGAGTTAATGCGTACCATGACCCGTAAACTCCACCTTGAGAGATAAATGCAAGCTCATTCGTAGACCTATTTTGGTATCTCATTGCTCTTCTGAATCTGATATGACTGAAATTTATAGAAATCCATGTGAATAATGATGACAAACCTGATAATGCTAATAACCAATCGAAGGCTTCGACTTGTTTATCTGATGCTGCAATGAATGCAAATAATCCGAAAATATTGGTAAGCAATATGGCAACTAATGGTCTTCCTGCTCTATCGACATATCCAGCCCATTTAGGAGCCATTCCTTGTTCAGCTAAAGAGTTCAAGGACCTAGAAGTGGCATAAACTGATGCATTTCCAACAGACAATACTGCGATTAAAATTACTGCATTGATGACCAGCGGGAGACCTTTGATACCACCATTGACAACTGCAATCACAAATGGAGAAGCAGCTGCATCAACACTGGAAGCTCCTAACAATCTTTCGTCGTCCCAAGCAACTAAACATGCAACCATTGTCAAAGAAACTAAATAAAAGATACAAATTCTCCAGAATGTTGCCTTGATTGCCTTTGGTAATGACTTTCTTGGGTTTTCAGATTCCAGCGCAGTTAAGCCCACCATTTCAGTACCACCAAAAGAAAATGCTGCAGTGACGAAGACTGAACAAACACCTTTAAATCCATTGGCAAATGGACCTGGACTCCTCCAGTATTTTCCACCAATGAATTCATGTGAAGGACCACCTCCACAGATCAACACAATACTTAGTATAATAAACCCAATGACAGCGATAACTTTAATCAAGGAAAACACAAATTCAGCTTCACCGTATCCTCTGACACCTAACAATGTAATGAATAAGACTGCCAACCAAAATACTGCAACAAATATATCAGAATTCAACTCGGTATTCCAATACTTGATAGTAATTGAAGCTGCAACTAATTCTAATGGTAATAAGACCAAAAACTGCATGAAGTAGTTCCAACCAACAGCGAACCCAACAGCTGGTTCAATAAACCTTGTTGCGTATAAATTGAATCCACCACTTACTGGGAATGTTACAGCTAATTCACCTAACCCTTGCATGGTTGCAAAGACACCAGTTGAAATTATTACCCATGCTATTAAGAGACCAGCTGGACCTCCAGTATTAAGAGCAGTTCCAGACCCAACAAATAACCCAGTACCGATAGAAGAACCAATGGCGATCATTTGTAAGTGTCTGGTTTTTAACTTACGAGATAACTGTGAATTTGCAGATCTATGAGCTGCTCTCTGAACATCGTTTAAACTCTCATCGCTACCAAGTTCTGTAGTCGTTAAACCTTCTTTAACTTCAGCGGGTTTAAAAGAATCTTTAAAAGAATGCCAAACACCACCACTACCTCTAGTATTAGAAGCAGAGGCAGTAGAATCTATATTGTTATTCGAGTGATCGTTGTGTGTAGAATTAGATCTTGTATAGTCATATTGGACAAAACTTGAGGTCTTCGAAAGCTTACCTTCATCAGTTTTAGAATTCTGCATGTTGAATATTACAAATACAGTAATGTACGGTTACAAGAGTATACAGAAAAGATAAAAGAAGAGATAGAAAAGCAAATAGAACAACAAACAAAACATCCTGTTTTATTTATATTAATCGGTGGTACAGCTGCATAGTTGGGTACCTAACAGAAAAATTTCACCGAACAGTCATCATTCGATGCTTTGATCCACGAACATTGCCAGAGCCATAACGAAGTTTATGGCGAGTTTAGTCAAACGGTGCGGATTTTTTGGTAATATATGTAGGCATTTTAGAGCTTATGACTCATAGCTCTCATAAATACCGTCTTAAATATTGCAATATACAGGCTAGGTGGTGGCTTTAGCCTTGTAACGGTTGCACATTTCTATATGCTGCAAAATCTTTCAAAATGGAAGTTGAGCCCGGCAAAGAAATTTCTGCGTTTTAAAGCAGAGTCCGAAAATGGAAAAGAAACCATCTTTCCAGAAGGTTAAAATGCCGTCTTCCGCATATGGTTGCACGAGAAATATGCAGTACACGAACCCTAAATGCCTTTCAATCATCTTCCCTATGACTCTACTCAAACAACTTTTGTCTCTTACATCTGGGCGAACCTAGAGTATCGCAAAGATCTGATTCTGGTTCTAATTCTGGTTCTAGCTCTCGTTCTCTTTGTCTCTCTAATAGTTTAAGCTCAGTGGCTATAGTTGGACTTGGGGGTGGAGGAGGCGAATCCGGACACTCTCCAGTTAACGCAGTCCCTCTCACAAAACTCGCAAGTTGCATTATTGCATGGTACGTTTTGGCTTCATTCAGGACCATCTTCCGGCAAGAACTCTCGATGTTTATGACTTGAGGCAATAACAACTTCAAAAAATACTTAATATCTGAGATATTGGAGCGATCTAAGTTCAGGCTGCCACTGGCTATATTTTCGCTAGCGCTAGCCTGCTTTGCGTGCACCATAGACTGCATGTTCATGTTTCTAATCAACTGTTCTTGCAAATTTCTTAAATTTTCCACTTCAGATCTTAAACTAAACATGACAGAATCCAGCTCCCGGGATATTCCCATAACCTTTCTTCCACTGGCACCCGTGCCTCGGGTACCTTTAGTGGAAGGCACAACACTATTCACGCCATTATTTTTGATCGACGATATTTTTTCCCCTAACTTACGTATTGAGTTATTTATCAGGTGCAATTCGTTTTCTAAGTTCGAGTCTTTTGTTGATGGCTGAATTTCCTCAAACTGCCAAGTAAGGCATCCATCATTGAAGCTTTGAAGGACATGAACTCCATTTCAATTCTGGATGCCCAATCTACCAAAAACTGAGCAGAAGGCTCATTTTTATTTGAGTCATCTCTTAACTCATTCATTTCACTCTAATAGTAAAACTATACTTTTGCTGTTACTCTTACTTCTCTCAACTCTTCTTGTTGTTGCAACACCTTCACCTTAAGTTAGTTACTATTTTTTTTTTTGCAGCATCTTCATTAAAGTTACACAAATTCGCGTTTTGCGGGCCATCAAAATGAAAATATAAAAGGAAGGGAAGTGCCTCAAAAGTAAGCGCTCTTCTTTGTAAATAACTAGAATTGTTCGATGTCAAGTCTTAAGGAGTTTCTTGAAAGTATGTATGAAAGATAATTCCTCTAATCCAGTAAATCTGAACGCTTAACTAACTTTTGTTTTAGAAAAAGTCCGAGTGATCTCAACCGATGCAAGACTTTTTGAAGGAATACTTCAAGGTTATGATAACTCCACCAACGTGATAATATCTAATTGTATTGAACTAGTCATATACGAAGAAGATGAAGGGGAAGAAAACCAGCAAATCCCGTTGGGGCTCTATGTGATGAGAGGGGGCAACATTGTATGCATAGGAGAAGTAGATGAAAGTGAGGCGATAGATTGGAGTACAATCCATGGTAGTGAATTGAAAGGAACAAAGAATCCATTGTAAGGAAAAAGTTGAAAGCCGAAAGAAAGGCTGAAATGAGAGCCGAAGTACTGGCGTGAGCCATTCAAATTAGATGTACTACAGCTAAGATAAGAGCAGAGCACAGGAGAGCACAGAAAAGAGGGATCTTGATGGTATAACTATATTTGCATATGTGACTGGTTTTATTTTCATTTAGCTTTCATCTACTTCATCTACTTATTTTCTGACAGTTGGAATACCAGATTGCTTCATTTTCACTGCTAATTCAAGTAAGTAATCAATGGCTTCATTATATACCTTGGCCTTCCATACATCTTCACCCCATACATAGATCCCATGCCTTCTAACCAAGACAGCCGTGGTTCCTGGGTAGTTTTTGATGGCTTCTTGTAAACTATCGGTCAAATCCTCCTCATGTGGAGTATTTTCGATGATTGGGATCACAAGCTTGTCGAAATAGTCCATACTACCGACCTTCTCGATTTTCTTTGTCAGTTCATTGAATTTCAATCTTGGGAGGGCCTTGATTTGTTCGATGTGGGAGATTTCGAATTCGACTTTATCTTCCCAAAGTAACGTGCACATGACAGCTGCCTGTGAATGTGTGTGGATACAGGCACCTGCATCTCTCATGGAGTAGCAACTCATGAAAAGAGGTGTGCAAGCAGATGGTTTATATTTGTAAGATTTTGTTAACTCTGGAGGACAATCGTTGGGAGTCCTGAGGAGTTTTTCATCTGGAAGTTCTGCAACGAACATTTCCCAGGGTTGAAGTTTCTCCTTTTGAATACCTGAAGGTGCAATATAAACCAAGTTGGGATTTTCTCCCTTGGTATCCCTAATTGAGATACCTCCACCTGTACCAGTGACCCAGTTGTTATCGTAGAATAGGCGGCATAATTCGCAGATCAAGTTTGCAGGATGGTTTGGGTCGTCTGAGAGATATTTATCTTCGAGGTTAGCAGCTGCTTTTACAGCGCTGGACGACTTGGAGCATTGACAAGGGGCGACCATGTTTATTGGACTACTTTTACACTAGAGTATATGGATTGATGATGAGAATGTGTGAAGAGAAAACGATCTGTGAAATAATCGGAAATTTTATCTCGCACGTTTTTCACTGCTTTTTTTATGACGTACTAGGTCCAAGCTGGTCATGTGACAAACCAAACTCACATGAGAGTGAACTGCTACATGCTAAATGCTACATGATGTGATACGTACAATTTTAACAAACTTATATTAAACAAAAAGATCCCGTAAGGTCACACTATAGAACAAATTTATAGAAGAAAAACACCTCATAATAATAATCAACTTCCTGGAAAAGGTAATAAAATAAACTCTAATACACAATATTCTTAAAAGCAATAGTAAGAATATGGAAAAAGTATGTAAAGCAATGCAAATAATATAATGATAATGATAATAAAACAAACCCCACTTCGTTGATGAGTGAGTTATGGTTTCTATTTAGTTACATTCTTAGCCATATTTTCTTCTTTTGACATTTATGTTTATAAATTGTGATCCTGAATTAATTTAGATCATAGCTCTTCCGAATTATTCTAATTTGATGAATCTATTTTTTGGATTTCTTTTCCTTCTTTTCCTTCTTTTCCTTCTTGTCCTTCTTTTCTTTCTTATCCTTCTTTTCCTTCTTTTCCTTCTTTGGTTTTACTTCTTCTTCTTCGTCGTCTTCTTCTCTCTTTCTCTTCTTATCTTTCTTTTCCTTCTTTTCCTTTTTGTCTTTCTTTTCCTTCTTTGGCTTTACTTCTTCTTCTTCTTCAGCTTCAGATTCATCATCTGAATCAGCAGCGGCAGCTACTTCTGGGGCATCGGCATCAGCGTTGTAAGCTCTGGCTTCGGTGATATCAACCTTTGGTTGTTCTCTTACAATCTTAGAGGTAGTTCTCATGTCTCTACCTTCTAAGGCACTTAATCTAGATTCAACCTTGGCTCTCACACTTAAACCAAAGTCACCTGAGTCATCTCTTTCTTCAGCTAATGAATCGTATCTTAATGCAACGGCAGCCTTGGCAGCAAGAACTCTGGCAATCTTACCCTTGTTCTTACCAGAAGCTTGACCAACTAAGGAGGCATGGTATAATAAACCATACTTTGGTGTGTCATGCTTGGTCTTTAAAGCTCTGAATAAAGCCTTTTCAGCACCCAAGATTTGAATGGTGGAGGCTGGGGCCTTGGCTAAAGAGGTCAATGAACCAGCGTGAGCAATTAATCTAGCACCAACTAATTCACCCACTAAAGAGGTCAAATTTGGAGCAATGGCCTTCATTCTGGATGATAAGTAGTTGGATAATTGTTCTCTGTAAGCAGCAAAGTCAACAATTTGGTCGGCTAAGGCTCTGATATTTTCTAAATCAATATCAGTGATTTCAGTACCCATAGAAACTTCAGCAGCGTTCTTGACTTGCTCTTCTAATTCTTCTGGTAAGATTTCAGATAAATCGGTTTCTGAGGCGTTGGATCTAATTCCCATAGTCAAGATGATTCTGGCGTAAGCAACAGAGTCAACAACCATCTTGGCCAATTCAGGGAAGTGCCATCCGTACCATTCCTTACATCTCATGGCGTAAGTATTTAATTCTTTGTCTAAATCGTCCAATAATGCAATAGCTTGTACAATCATGGTATCAACCTTATCAGCAGAGAACTTCAACTTGTGTCTACCGATGGAATGGGCCAAACCTAAAGACATCTGCTTTAAAGCAGCATCATCCAAACCTGGCAATAATTCAGGTAAGAATTCCTTGATGGCTCTATGCAAATCTAATGAGGCAGCGTCTGAAACAACACTGAAGTTTAATCCCAACTTGTTAATGGAGTTACCTAATTTGGTTTCACTGACAATTAAGGTGGCCTTCTTTTCATTCTTGACGTCTTCCAACAACTTCTTCAAGTTGTCAGAAACCTTACCTTCAATGATGGAGTTGGCTTCAGCTAATGCTGAGGCTGCAGACTGGAACTTTTCAAATCTGTGGATCTTGAATTGCTCAGCTACCTTTTCTGCGCTGTTCAAATCTTCAATAAGTGTTGAAGACTTGTAGATCTTTTTATCAGATGCCTTCAAAAGGGCATAACCTGCAGCGGTTTCAGTTAAAACGAAAGCCATCTTCTATTTTTTCACGGTTTTTTTTCCTCTGTGTGGTCTACTTGCTATAAAGAAGAAAGAAAAATGAAATAAAGAGAATATGAATGCGTTCTATCAACTTCTTTTGATTCAGTTTTACTATCCGTTTCTTCTTGAAGTGTTACCCTTTTGCTTTTTTTTTTTTCCCTGCCACTGGCCCTCCTACATTTTTTCGCACCCACGCTAATTTTTTCTTTTTTTCCGTGCAAAGTTTGAAAAAGCTCGATGAGTTTGAAAATTTTCTTTTTGTGTCACGACTGGGGATGAGATAGACTGGAAAATGGGAAGAGCTGGGATGGAGGGCAGATTGTGCAGGAGCAGATTGTAGATGGAGCATCACTGCGGTGTGCAGGAAGATCAGGTTTCCTGTATGGTACCCAAAAGGTAAACAGTAGCTTAGACTATGGTATAAAGGTGCTAAATCAGGTGTAGGAAGTGTAGATTACGCGTCATTATTTTGGTAAGACATTGAATTAGTGACAGGATAAGTGCATTTTGTGCGGATTCAGTTCTTTTTTGCGTAATTGTCTCCCCTTTACTTGATATAGTTCTGCTATGGAGAAGAGAAAAAGAATAGACTCGCCCCAGAAGGCTAGGGTAAAGCCGAACAAGAGTAAGACTAAGTATTTCTTCCAACCTGTGAACAAATTGTCGGCGCCAGCATTGCAAGAGCAAGAAAAGAAGCGAGAGAAAGAGGTTCCCATACCGAACCGCTCGCTTTACCAGGACGATGAGGATGAAGAGCAAGAACAACAGGTGTTCTATGAGCAGGAAGTACATGAAACTCCCACAAAGAATATAGATTATGAGAAACTCATCAGGGAGCAGCAATCTTCGGACGATAGTTTTGATGGTGTAAGGTGGGGAGGGTCTCCAAGAAAAGAACACCAGCAACAGGGCAAGCGAAAGTCAAATGTAGGCAATTCATCATCACCCTTGAGGAACGTCACTTCGCCAATACTCAATGAAGAGAATAAGTTCTCTTCCGCAACTTTGCTCAATGAGCAAGTTAACTCCGTGCTAAACAAATATGGTACTGGATTCCATAATATCTTGTCACAGACACCGACTTTGACTAGAACTCGTAGTGATTCTTCCGAATCGAAAAGTAAAAGGCTAGTAAGGCAGCCACTCCCACCATTGCAGCTGCTGCCTCGGGGCGACAAATCTCCAACTTTGAAAAGATCGAAAACTGTAGGATTGGTTGAAATGAGTACATTCAGCAAGCCTGTGCTGATGACCAAAAGAGATGACAAGCTGGAAGCATCTAAGTCTTCTTTGAAAGGCTGGTTAAGCAAGTTCGAAGTGGACAAAAAGGCGACTAATGAAAAGATGGTCATTGGTACACAAGAATTAGTAGACGATATTGAATTTGAGGATGATTTCAGTGACTCGCTCTTAGAGGAAGAGAAGGTTGGCGAAAAGATAGCTACAGGAGTCAATGATATCGCTAGTGTAATAGACAATAAGCCATTGAACTCTCTTGAAGGTGCTCAGAATAGTGTTCCATTTAATGCTTTCAGCAGCCAAGCCATTCTTGTTGATGATGACGACATGTCTTTCTCGTCTTCCTCCGACAGCGAAGCTGAACAAGTAGTAGGAAAAGTTGAAGATGACGATGATGACGATGATGATGATGATGCTGATAGATCCTCTGATCCATTTTCAGATGATGAAGATGTGAATTTGATTATACCACCTCAGGCCAAGCAAAAAGACTCCTCATCAGATCTGCTACAAGGGGGTGTCAAAAATTTGGAAAACCTCCATTTATTGACGCCATTCTCCAATACTTCCTTCCAATCTGACTCTTTGACTGAGAATAAATCCAAATTATCTTACAGTAGGCTGGACCTCAAGAGATTTCAAATTCAAAAGCTAATAAGAAATAAATTCAAAATCCAAAACAAAATCAGAGATCAAATCATACTCACGGTACGTGATGGTGATAATTCAGTACTGAACATTATGGTTAGGGGTGAATACACAGAATTGGATTTCCAAATCGGCGACGTGATACACATCATATGCACTAATAAAGAAAAGGAGAACAGTCATAAACTTATTGACGATCAGACTAACTTATTGATTTGGAATCCTGACATTCTTGTCTCCGCGACAACGGTATCTCAGCAAATGTCTTGTCCAAGAAAGACAGTCCTTGTAAATAGATTGAGGTACCCAGGAGTCAGCTCGATTCCATTACTAGTGGGAACGATCATTCACGTTATTTTTCAGGAATGTCTCGCTAAAGAAAGTTGGTCAGATGCTTTCATGGACGAAGTTTTAGAAAGAGAATTAGAATTCCACTTATTGGAAATCTTCAGCATTGGAAATGAGTTGGAGAAGGTCAGGCTGGAATTAAAGGCTCAATTTCCTTACTTGAAAACCTGGTTCGATGCTTATTTCAAAAAGCCATTGCTGATCAAGAATAGTATTCCGACCAACCAAAGAAATCAGCAGGCTTTGTTTTCTGTTAATAATGTACTTGACGTGGAGGAAAACATTTGGTCTCCGATGTTTGGAATAAAAGGAATGGTCGATGTCACTTTAGAAGGCTCTGTGAAAAGATCCACAAATGGAGCCAAACCTGGTAAATATCTTATTCCTATGGAAATTAAAAGTGGAAGAGAACATCTCTCGCATCATGCACAATCTTCTCTCTATGCTTTGTTATTCAAGGACAGATATGACATTGATGTAAAATCATTTTTATTGTTATACACGAAAGAAAAATTACTAAAGCTTAACGATATTAGCCAATCTGACCTTAAGTCATTGATCAATTTAAGGAATAGAATCACTAAATATTTAAAGGATGATACGAGGGAATTGCCTGAAATAATCAGGCAATCTATCTGTGATAGATGTGATGTTCAAAAATCATGCATGACTATTAACAAATTAGTTGAAGACGGTGATCAGGAGGGAAGTGGGTTACCTGACGGCATATACGATGACCTAACTTCACATTTAGATGGAGAAAGAAAACTCCATTATAGAAAATTCTACAACTATTGGGATGATTTATTAACAAAGGAAGAGAGTGTAATAACAATGTTAAAAAAAGATCTCTGGACATTTACGGCAAAGGAAAGAGAAGAACAAGGAGGAAAAGCTTTGGCTGATTTAATAATAACTGAGAAGGATGATGAAGATGATTCGAAAAGATTTACATATACCTTTGAAAGAAAATCTGAAGAAGGAAGAGACTCATTGCAATTTTCTCAATTGGCAAAAAATGACAGGGTAATTATTAGTGATGAAATCGGACACTTTGCAATTGCTCAGGGCTATATTGTGTCTATTCGGTCGACTTATATAGTTGTTTCTTGTGAAAGGAGAATAATGACTTCAAGTCTGAAAACAGAAAGCTTCAACGACAATGACCATCAGACTTTCCAAGGGGTACTCCATAAAACTCAACAAAGTGCTGAAGTCGTTTCTTCGTCATCCAAGAGATCCTTCAGAATAGACAAAGATGATATGTTTCATGGAATGGGTTTGGCAAGGTATAACATTCTTAATTTGTTCATGAGAGGAGGAGATGAGCTTAGAAGAGAGGTTGTTGTAAATTTGAGGGAACCAAGATTTTCACAAGTTAAAAAGAACCATTTCATAGACAAAGATGGGCACTTTAACCCGGATCAGATTAACGCATTCAAAAAAGTCCTTTCCGCCGAAGACTACTGTATGATTCTTGGAATGCCTGGGACTGGAAAAACTACGGTGATCGCAGAGCTAATTCAATTTCTAATGCTGAAAGGTAAGACTATATTATTAGCATCGTACACTCACTCTGCGGTTGATAATATCTTAATTAAGATGAAGGACATTGGATTAAGAAGCATTGTTAGAATTGGTCACCCTTCTAGAGTACATAAAGATATTCAAGAGTTTGTCATTGCTCCTTCAAAGATTTCAAATTATAGTGATTTCGCTGAAGCATATATGGAACCTTTGGTATTTGCGACTACCTGTTTAGGAATTGGTGATATTGCATTTAGTCTTAGAGATCGCTTCGACTACTGTATAATCGACGAAGCATCTCAAGTTTCCATGCCAGTTAGTTTGGGACCTTTGAGATTTTGTGAAAAATTCGTGCTTGTTGGGGACCACCACCAGTTACCTCCATTAGTGCAACATTCTAGTGCAGAAGTCAAAGCCGGCTTATCCCAATCATTGTTCAAGATCTTGAGTGATAAATTTCCACTGCTGGTAGCTCAATTAACGTATCAATATAGGATGTGCGAAGAAATAATGCAAATTTCTAATATCTTGACTTATGATGGAAGATTGAAATGTGGTAATCATAATGTTGCTAAGCAGAGTTTACATGTTCCTTCACCAGAAAAGATTGATATGTACGTTGACCAACCAATAGAGCATCGTCTGAAATTATGGATGGACAAAATACTCAATCCTAAAAATAAAGTTATCTTTTTAAATCATGACAATTTGCCTGGTTATGAACGTATTGTCGGTGAAAAGGTTGAAAATCCTACTGAGGTTGAGTTGATTTATCATATTATTGAGTCTTTGACTGTTTGTGGCGTTGAGGAAAGCAAAATTGGTGTAATGTCTCTATATAGAGCTCAGTTAAGATTGCTAAATCGTACACTATTTCATAAACCAAATGTTGAGGTTTTGACTGCAGATCAATTCCAAGGAAAGGATAAAGACTGTATAATTATTTCATTGGTTAGATCGAACAAAGAAGACAAGGTTGGAGATTTATTAAAAGAATGGAGAAGAATTAACGTTGCTATCACAAGATCAAAATCAAAATTGATTGTTCTTGGGAGTAAGTCGACCTTAAAAAACAGTGAGACCTTAGATCTGTTCATGGAAATACTAGAGTCAAATGGTTGGATGTATGATTTAGAAGTTGGGGCAATGGATGTTTATAAATTCTCAGTCAGAGAAAACCAAAGTCCGGAGAAGAAAAGAACACTGACAAGTGTAACTAGAATTAGTGATAAACTTATTCGAAATCACCCAGTGTTACAGGATATTGTAAATGACAACAAAATATAGCATAAGTATTATTAGCATAGGAAAATATAGGCTGGTTTTATATGAAAAGACCTTCATTAAATTATATAATATGTTGAGGAAGTGACATTCTATTAAAAAGCATGGTTCTAGTATGAATTCGAACTATACATATGTAGAGGACTTATCTAGTACTTACTCCATCAAAGAGCAAAAAACTGAAATTCAAAATTTCCAAAATTGCCTCTAATTTGATTTCCATTCCATTGAAACTGATTCTGTGCTCTTTCCCTGTTGTTATTATCGTTGTTGTCATTATTATTGATGGCAGCATTTGCATTATTTTGGTTATTATTTCTTATCCTTCTAAACTGCCGTACAAAGTTTTGAACGAAAAACACAACAAAAAACATGAAGGTCAAGAATATGACTAGGAAGTCGCCTGCATCATATTCTTCTTCGTCCTCAACATAGTTCGTACCTTGATGATGTGCATCTGCTCTAGAAAATTCTTGTTGGTTCAATTCAGCTTCATTCTTCTTGCCCAAGCTTTTGAATGACTTCAACCAGCCTCCGTTATCACTATTCTGTTTGCTACCCTTTCCTTTTCCATACAAATTATTTCCTGAGCCTCCAAAATTAAATAAGTACTTGAGTCTAAGTCTAAGTAGAGCAATATTCACAGGAATTTTGTTATTCTTATTATACTTCAAACTCAAATCATAGTACCTTTTAGCCATAAAGAAGTCCACTGTATTATTTATTGGTCCAAGCCCGTATTCGTACATCATGGCTAAGTTGAAGCATGCATGCGACGAATGTTGCAAAGCACCTTTACTATAATAATTGAAAGCTTTGTTATAATCTTTAGAAAGGCAGTCTTCATCTCCGACACCTTTCCAGTATATATCACCTAGTAATATAGTTGCATCTAAGTTGTTTTGCGCAGATGCAAGTTCCAAATAATAAGTAGCTGATTCCACTCTTTCTTTGGTGAAGGTTTTCCCCTTCAGTAGAAGTTCAGTAAGCAACGATTCAGGTTGGTATAGGAGATATGCTGCAGAAACTTGAGAATTTTCTAGACCTTGTTCAGCAGCCATCAGATATCCAATTAAGGCATTTTGGTAGTTTCCACGAGTTAATTCTTCAAATGCATACCTCAAGTGTGGTAAGAAATATTTTTCCAATCTATCAATGAATAATTTGTAATATATAACTACATTCTCACAATTGTAATCCTTTTCAGCTTCCACTTCCTGAGTTAAACCTGATTGTAAGAAATCTCCGTAATAATACAAAGCTTCATTCAGTCCCTTATAGACGGCATCTTGAACTAATTTATAGATATAATTCTTATTTTTTGATTTGAACACATTTTGGTCTTCAGCTAAACTTGTAAGGTATTTTGCTAAATTAACTGCAGCATCGGCAGATTTCAATGCAATTGCTTCTTTGTAACAAACTATAGCCATTGTTTGATTGGAAGTTAGCTCTGTCAATTCCAATTCGTTCATAATCCCCAAATCGTTTAGCGCCTCATGTGTCTTCTGAACCTTCAAGGAAGTTTTCAATAATGCGTAAGCCTTATGATAATCGGGAATACCTTTCAATATGTCTCCTTGGCCCTTCATGTAAATTCTTCCGAGTAATGCAATACAGTGACTTAAAAATACCCGGTCTACGTCGTCAACATTTTTATAATCAGACTTACCAAAATTCAATTCTCCCTCCTCAACACATTCTTGTAGAATTAAGAAAGCTTTTGTATGGTTTCTCTGTGTGAACAAGTCACCTTCATACTGACTCAAGGCATTATAGTAGTAATCAAAATAGACATGTTCATTTATATCCAAGTTATACTCATTTAAGGCTTGTTTTGACGACATATATATCTTCGAGTGAGACCGTATAGAAGTGGAACTCTCACTAACTTTATTGCCATACAATCCCCCATTAAAATCTGGTAGTCTGATATTGTAGTGTAAGTCAAACTCTTCGATATCTTCGTCCTCTCCATTTTCTGAAGCTAGCTTGCCCTCACTGCGTTGGAGATGCTTGATTCCAAGATGCGCCAATCTCGTGTAGTAATGCAACGCCAATTCGCAATTCACAGGAGTTCCAATCCCGTTCAAGTTTCTATAAGCCAAGGCCAATATCGAATTCGTATCACCATTCTCCATTCCAAATTGGTAATAAAGAGTAGCCAAAGCTTCATTTTTCGGAAATTCCCCAAAGAGTCCTGTGGAATGGATGAACCCAAGCATGAAGTAGGCATGACCAATGGAAGACGTAAGCAGAACCCCATGCTTGGTCTCGATCTCCGTCCTCTCTTGGCTCGCACTGTTGCCCTTGTTGTTTTCTACGGCCAACTCGTAGTATTTAAGTGCCTGTTGATAGTTTGGTTCAACGTAGTTCTTCCCAAACATGAATATGTCAGCCAAAATCAAATACGACTTCGAGTCCTTGTGCTCCACTGCATAGCTCTGTAGCAATTCCACGGCCCTTTCTGTTCCTGTGATATCGATGTCCGCTGCGGGGCGAAAGCTGCTTTCATATTTTCTTGACACATTGTTAAATTGGGGTATTCTCAAGTTGTTTTCTATGTTATCTTGATTGTAGAAGTATTCTGGTTTGTGCATACGAGAATACTGTGTCAATAGCTGGACAGCATCATCATAGGGACTGGATGTTAGCACAGGCATCACTATTGCCAAGAGGCATGTAAGTATTCGCCCGTAGCATGCAATTAACATCTTCTACTACTAGGATTAGCTGTTTTCTGTTTCAATTAGCTGTAGTTGTTCTCTATAATCTTACTCCACCTGATTCATCATACGTATCGCAAGTGGTTTGTACTAGCGCAGTATGAGCGCTGTTCCTCTACTTTAGATTTCCTGCACTGGAGGCAATTTCCCGCGACGACTCCGGCTTTTTTTTTTTTTCACCATTTTTAAATAACACGCAAACCCGAAAAAGAAAAAGGGATTTGTAGCATATCAAGAGGTACTATCGACCCAAGAGCAGAAGGACGAACTCTGTGTAAAGTCGGGCATTTTATTCGATATATATCAGGCCAATTACTAAGAGTGGATACCTGGATTGAATAATGGTTAGTTTTTCGATGTTTTCGTCATCTAACAGGGCACCTCCTACCACGGAGGCGATCTATAGATCAGCGCCTATGACGTTGGTGCAATTTTATATGACATTGGAATTGGCAAGAGACGTGATATACGTCCTAGGAAATCTCGGGGATGTCCACTTTAGGGACTTGAATTCCAAATTGACACCTTTCCAGAGAACATTTGTAAGTGACTTGAGGAAAATAGACTCGGTGGAGAGCCAGTTGGATTTCTTATATGAAACTATGGAGACTTACAACACTTTGAAAGTTGACCCATATCTGCAATTCGAGTCAAGCTCACAAAGTTTCCCCTCGATATCGGAAATCGATGACATAAAGGTGAAGATTCAGGAGATCTATAATAGAATTCACCACTTGCATTCATCGTACCAAACGTTGGAGCAAAGAAAGGATAGCTTAATTGAAAATAGATACGTTTTGAACGAAGTGGTCAAGTTTCACACCTCACTGAGAGGTGGGCTAGAATCCCATACCGTTTTCGATGTTGGCAACCATGAGGATGAAGACGGGGTTGCGTTGCTCAATGGCAGGAACGAGAGCCTTGAATTGGGAAGGGGCAGTGGAAACGACCACAGTTTTGATATAGCTTCAGTGGAAGTTGACTTTGAGGAATCTAATTTCAATTCGATATCTGGAACCATAGTCAGTGACAAAATTCCTTTGCTAAGGAAGATCTTATGGAGAACCTTGAGAGGTAACTTATTTTTCCATGATATCCCTATTGACCTTAAGAGTGACGATGAAGAAGCAGAAAAGAAAAGTATTTTTATCATTTTCATTCACGGTGAATTTCTTCAATTAAGAGTTAGAAGAATCGTTCAGTCCTTAGATGGGCTCATTTATGATAATGTAAACGGATCCAACTCATTGAGGTGTGAGACTCTCGCTCAATTGAATCTCCAGATCCAAGACTTAGACACTGTTGTCGAAAACACTCGAAATCATTTGATTAGTGAATTAATGATCTTCCAAGATGCATTTCCAAGTTACTATTATAGCATAAAAAGAGAAAAATTGATATATCAAACATTAAATAAGTTTGATATGGATAGTACAAGGAGATGCCTTGTAGGTGAAGGGTGGATTCCTAAGCTGGAATTGGGGAAAATTAGACAAATCTTGAAAAATTTGATTAGACAGAAAACTAATGTAGCGCAGGGCGAATCCGAACCATTATCTGGTTCTGGAGATGGTGGTTTGAGTCCAGAATCAACAGGTAGTGTCCCGGTCAGTGTTGGGGTTACCTCTGCTTCTATTTTCCAGTTACATGCTGATGATGACGATAATAATTTTGATATTCAAGACGAAGAAAACGATGTTGATTCTTCGCTCATTGCTATTGTGAATGAACTATCAACTAATAGAACGCCTCCAACTTTCCATCGTACAAATAAATTCACTGAAGCGTTCCAACTGATCATTGATGCTTATGGTATAGCAACTTATCAAGAAATTAATCCTGGTTTAGCTACGATCATTACCTTCCCATTCATGTTTGCCATTATGTTTGGTGATGTTGGGCATGGTTTTATCGTCTTCGTGATTAGTTTATATTTGATCAAAAACGAATATAAATTTAACATGATGAGAAATAAAGATGAAATCTTCGAAATGGCCTTCAGTGGGAGGTATATTGTCTTATTAATGGGTTTGTTTTCAATGTATACTGGTTTCATATATAACGATATTTTTTCAAAATCGATGAGTTTGTTTAAATCTGGCTGGGAATGGGATTTCCCTGATGATTACAAAACAGGCATGCAGCTCATCGCCAAAAGAATTCCTGGTAAGACCTACTGGTTTGGGTTAGATTGGGCTTGGCATGGGACTGACAACAATCTATTGTTTACGAATTCCTACAAGATGAAACTTTCTATTATAATGGGCTACATACATATGAACTATTCGTTATTTTACAGTTTAGTTAACTATAGATTTTTCAAATCGAGAGTTGACATCATTGGAAATTTCATTCCTGGATTTTTATTTATGCAAAGTATTTTTGGGTATTTAACATTGACCATTTTATATAAATGGAGTGTGGATTGGTTTGGTATAGAGAAACAACCACCAGGATTATTAAATATGTTAATCAACATGTTTTTATCTCCAGGAAAGATTGAAGATCAATTATATCCAGGTCAGAAATTTATACAAATTGTCCTTGTGTTGATTGCATTATGTTGTGTTCCATGGTTACTTATCTACAAACCATTGGTGCTTAAAAAAGAAAATGATAGAGCCATTGGATTAGGTTATAGTGACTTAAATTCCCAGAAGAATCATGCTGTGCAACTACAGGAAGAAGAAGAAGCATTGACAAATTTAATAAACTCAGAGAATAACAATGATCCAGATCATGACGAAATTGACATGTTAGACGATAACTTTAGATTCCCAAATGATATTGAACCATTAAATGTCATTTCTCACGGTGACGGCCATGATGAGTTCAATTTAGGGGATATCATCATTCATCAAGTTATTCATACAATTGAATTTTGCTTGAACTGCGTTTCCCACACTGCATCATACTTAAGATTATGGGCTTTATCATTGGCCCATGCACAATTATCTACAGTCTTATGGACCATGACTATACAGAATGCATTTGGTGGTAATGGAGGAGCAATAGATATAATCAAAATGGTGTTTTTATTTGGTCTTTGGTTTACCTTATCCGTTTGTATCTTGGTGTTCATGGAAGGTACATCTGCTATGTTGCATAGTTTAAGATTACATTGGGTTGAAGCCATGTCTAAATTCTTCATGGGTGAAGGGTATGCTTACGAACCATTTACATTTAGTGGCATAGATATATAAATCATTAGGTAATGAGAGTAACACTAACTCTCGAATAATATATATACGGGAGAAAGTTTCTGATTCTACGTTTTTTATATTTTGTAGCCCCCTCTGATAGCGTTTTCTTGATGCTCTAATTTTCTCTTTTGCTGATAATCTACTGAATGCTCCTCTCCCCTTATGCCGAACAACAGCCAACATGGTAATGTAGCATTCAGAATGAAGGAGTTCTAACTAGTATCAACTTAGCTGAAACTCATTTAGTTTCAACGTTTTTTTCGACTATAGACTCAGCTTGGTCCGGATTAACTTTCCAGTGTCACTTTTTAATACACAGTGCATGAGAAGTGGATTGTGAAATTTTGAAAGAGCTTTGAACAACACCTCCTGAAGAACAAGTACGACTCCTAGAGTGAAACAACTACGTCTCCTGGAAAGGGATAATTGTAAAGACGACCCAATTATTTCTTTATTTGATACTTAGGGATGGCTAGTCGTTTGTAAAGGGACTAGCGCATTGAGAACATGCTGTGTACCTTAAGAGGGTAAAAATAAACTCAGGCACAGTGCGTATTTTCTTCTGAGCCTACTTGAATATTACTACTACTAAGTTAGGAAGGTATTCAGACTAAGCGATTATTATCTAGTTAAGAAGGTCAAGATTTTGACAAAAGGCTCTATAGTTTAAAAAACAATACTAAAGAAGTCAAAAGGCAAACAAATCATAATTACAGTTTGATCAATAGTAGCATTGTTTCGAATCTAAATTCCAGAAACCTGTCAATTTAAAAAGGCAATTTGGTGATGCAGCATTAAGGTTTACAAGTCATCACGTGAATTTCATATTTCCTAAATGGGTGCAAAAAGATTCGCTCGTAACCTCGTCAAGGCTTACTTCAACTACACTTGATTGATAATGGTCAGCCCAATGGACATAACTTAGAAAGAGAAGTGGCTTTTAAAGGTGAATTGAATGGTATGCCACATCTAGCAATTGTATCGTTTCAATACTATCTACCTCTCTTATATTGTACATGGTGGATAGTAATAAGGTGTCAAGTAATATTACCAGTGGAAAAAGAAATACATGGTGTAAATTAAAATTATACATGAATTGAGAATACACGGCTTGAAATTTCACTAACATTAGAAAGACTTTGAAGAATGAAATTAGAGTCCAAAACTGGATCTAAATACAGATGAATCATCAATTACTTTTAAGAATAACAACCTCTCCACCCCCCCTTTCTAACATCAGTTGAGACAAGAATCTACTTCGGCAAACAAATCAATAATTGTTTACCATACCTTCGCTTCTGAAGACGTATTCGAAGTTTTCCTCTCTATCCCTTTTAGTCATTACCTCTTGCGGTAAAAAAATCGAATTAAACACTCAATGTTGAATATTGCTACTAGTGCCTGAATTTTAAGCCCAACCACCTCTCCACTCGAGAGGCTGAAAATTCGAAAACAGTGAAAATTCGTCAAGCCCTTGGGACCCCCCACAAAATCGAAATTTGGTCGAAATTGGCTTGATGTACGGGTGTAGGTTGCGTCTCGTAGAAATTCTGTTTGCCTAAAAGAGTTAAAGCAAAGTTTCCTAAAAGGGCCAAACCTGCATATATCAATAGGAGGGGCTGACTAAACAGGAAAAGAATCAGAATGGCTGCTAATTTTATTTATAATTCTCCCAAGATACTATAAATTTAGAACCTAGAGAGAGGAGGGAATTGCCCAGGAGCTTAAAATATAAAAGGAAGTTTCCCCTTCTCTTTTGAAAGTTAAATTTTGTAATTTTTTTTCTTTTAAAACATTACTATTATCTCGATAACGACGAAATCAGACTCAGGTATTTACTTTGTTCTCAAATACAATCTTTTGAATATTCCCAAACAACGCCATTAGAACAAACTGAAAATCTTTTCTATTTAAAATGAGATTTAGTAAAGTGGTTGCAGCTGTAACAGTTGGTTTAGGACTTGTAAGTGCAGCCCCAATTGTTGACGTGCATGCTAGAACAGATCTCGAGCCAACTAACTTGGATCTTGATGCTATTCTTAACACAATTCGTTCGGTGGACATGAAAGTAAATACACCAGAAGGAAGTGCATCTTTAGGAAAGAGAGACGACACCACACATCACAGTTTTGTCGAAAGACTTCTTACACATTTTGCTGAAGCTGGTTTAAAGGAACATTTCATTGAAAGGGTTGCAAGAGCTCCAGAATTCTCCTTACATTTGACTGAATCGTTCAAGAGGAACTTACACAACCAAAAAATCCCACACAGATTTGTAACCAGAGCATTAGATAAGGCAGATCTCTTAGAAAGATTCTTTGACACTGCATTAGACGATGAAGACTTACAGGGCTCTCTTTTGAGCCACGCTAAGAGACTCTATGATGAAGGCAACTTTAACTTGGAAATGTCAGAGCCAATGGAAAAGAGAGATACTAAATTTGTTGTGTCAAAGAGAGACAGTTCTATTATCACTTCTATTTTAAACTACTTATCTAGTTCCAACCTCTTGGAGACTGTTGCTACGTACATTTCCAACAACCCTCAAATTATTACTACTGCTGAGCTGTTAATTGAATCTGCCATCAGCAGCATTGATTGGTCAAGTCTTTTCACCACCATTAAGAACTCTGGTGTTGCTCAGGATATTATTAGTAGTATTACATCCAAGAGAGATTTACAAGTGAAGCTTGCTGAAACTATTAGTAAGAGAGCTAGAGCCGCTGCTCAATCAGACCCAAGCATTGCTCTCATGGCAAGAGATGCCGCCGTCTCTGCAGCACCTAAGTATGAATTTGTTGCAAGAGCTGCAACCGTTTCTGCTTCGATTCCAACCTCATTATTTCCAGATGGTGTTAACACTGTAACATCTGTGGGATCTGATCTTCTCGGTCTTGTTGGTGATGCTCTTGGTGGTTCAGGTTCAGAAACCGTCGCTGAAACCTCAGTAGCAACTGCTGCAGCTTCAGTTGCTACAGCAGCAGAATCGGTTGCAACAGCAGCAGTTTCTTCTGCAGCAGTTCCACTTTACAGTGCCACTGCATCGGCTTCTGCAGGTGTTTCTACACCTAAGACGACTTCCTCAACATCTTCGTCTTCTTCAACCTCAGGTTCTTCCTTTTCTGATCTTTTGGATTCCTTATTTGGATCTTCCGATTCTACCGCATCAACGACCACTACAAAAGCTACTGCAACTGCAACTTCTGGTTCCACTTCAACTTCCACCGAAACTGGTTCCATCCTCGAAGATCTTTTAGATAGCTTCCTCGGAGATTCTAGTTCATCCAATTCGTCGTCAAGTACTTCATCATCATCATCATCATCGCTCGGTTCAACCCTTGGATCTCTTGCTAGTTCTCTCTTAGACTCCTTATTTGGTGACAGTACTTCATCGAACTCTACCTCATCAAGCAGCGGCAGCAGTTTCAGTTTCAGTTCCCTTTTAGGTGACATCTTTGATTCCTTGTTTGGCGATTCTGGATCTTCCAATTCTACTTCATCAGGCAGCAGTTTCAGTTTTTCAGGGCTCTTAGGAAGTATCTTTGACTCATTATTCGGTGGCTCTGATTCTTCAAATAGTTCGTCAGGCAGCAGTTTCAGTTTTTCAGGACTCTTAGGAAGTATCTTTGATTCATTGTTCGGAGACTCAGATTCTTCTTCATCGACTGGAACAAGTACTTCATCTAGCAGTGGAAGTGGATCTAGTTTGTTCAGTATTATTGGAGGTTTAGTATCTTCCTTATTCGGTGGATCTTCTTTCTCAGACATTTTCGAAAGTCTTGTCGATGACATCTTTGGAGACGGTAACTCCACTTCAGGTGGTTCATTCTCATTCAGTTCTCTCTTAGGTGACATATTTGACGAGTTAGTCAGTAGTGGTGTCCTTGAAGAATTATTACTTGACGGTGTTGACCTTATCTTCGGAGCTAACTCTACTATCGGCTCATTTGTTGACTCAATCATCGAAGACATTTTCGATGCCTCAGCAGACGGAACTTCAATTATTAGTGAAATAGTTGATGACATTTTCGGTGATGGAACTTCATCAACTTCTACCACAACTGCTGCTGCTGGATCAGGATCAGGATCTACTACTTCAACTACAAAGTGCTGTTCTGCTAAGAAGTTGAAGAAGAGAAAGGCAGCTCAGAAGAAGAAGAGACAAATGAAAGACCAAGCTGCAAAGAAGCTTAAGAGTGCTTTACTCAAGAAGAGAGAAGAGCTTATGATAAACCAACCTATCCTAGTTAATATTTGATTTTGGTCACATACCCTATAAATAAAATATAGTTTTAATATAAATTGATATAAGAAAAATAAATGTAAAACTGAAATAAAAATTAATAAGTGACCCATAAATGTATTGATTTTTCATATACAGATAGAGTAGCTACTATTCAGGAGCTGAAAGCTGGAGAATCAGAAATTACTTTCATTCCACACTTTTATTCAATAAAACAATTTTGTTCTCTAATAGACTCAGCCAAGAAGTATGGAATTGCAACTTCAAGCATACCGCATGTGAGAACATTTTAAAGTATTACTCTGAAACTAAATGCGATGAAATAGTAAACAATAAACTCATAACGGAGGTGTATAGAATGTAATTTAAGTTACATTGTTAATACGAGCAAGCGAGAAACGAATAGAGCTACTAAGGAGAAACTAACCAAAAAAGGAACATTCAGAACTTTTCCAGTTCCCGCTTGAAATTATGAAAATTGAAACATTCTGAATGAACAATAGAAGAGAAACAGTAAGAGTCGCAAACTGGCAAGCAACCTTACAAATCCAGCTAAAGTAAACAGGTAGTCAATGGATTATCCTTGACAATACTCACTCCTATTACTACATCATTTACGATCACTTAGTTCAAAAAGTGGGCTCATTCTAGGTTATACGTCAAAGTGAATTATTATTGGAGGGGTTCTTTCACTTTTAACCGTGTCTAAAAAGTAGATGAGCCCATATTTTACCTATTATGTATCTGAAGTGGAGCTCGTATAAAGTCCCACACACTCTGAAATGCAAGCGAGAACCCTACTTAGTTGCGCCCAGGCTTTAGTTCCAAAAATAAATACACCACTTGACTAAGCTTTCTACTGTAAAAGGGAACTCTGTAATTTCCTATTAGAGAAATAAATTCGAAGGGCTTTTCTTTTCGCACCCAATAAAGTAACCCTGCACATAGCCAGTAAACAAATTACTCAGTTTTGGTTACTATTAATGTATATTTTCCTACATATAGCGCACCGGTCTTGTATACAAATGTTTCGATATGCAGCTTTCGCAGCCATTCCTGCACAAACGTGTTGCATTTTAGATTCTTTCCCCTTTAGGATGTTAACTGGATTAGGCAGTAGAGTTGCAAAATAATGGGGTAGGCAACACTCAACTCTTATATATTGAAGAATTCCACCAAATTTGCACAGAAAATATCCCTTTTTGCTTCTTTCTCTTGAAATAATTGTAAGTGCTCCTACAGTCATTCATTCGCTCTTTGTTTTCAAATATATTTTCCTAGTAGTTTAGCAATTGCATTAGAATGAAGATATCGAGACTTATACTGGTAACAGTACTTTCGTCTGCAGTTGTTAACGCTGCTGACTATGAGAACAATGTGCACTTGAAGCGGTTTCTTGGATTTGGAGAAGATACCACGACATCAGCAGCAGCTGCAGCAGTAGTAGCAGACTCATCTAGTACAGTAGCTCCGACTGCTACCACCCTTTTAGCTGCTTCTAAAAGTGGTAGTGCTGAAGTGACTGGGATTCTTGGAGGAGCAGCAGCCGAAGGACTGGCAAACTTAATTGTCGATGCTCCTTTAGCTGCTGCTGCTGCAGTAAGCTCAACTTCAAGCGCTGCGATTACCACCCCTAGCACGACATCCACTGCCATCCCCACAACCACCACAAGCTCAAGCACTTCAAGCTCAAGCACTTCAAGCTCAAGCACTTCAAGTTCGAGCTCAAGTACTTCAAGTTCGAGCTCAAGTGCTTCAAGTACAATCTTAACTACATCATCAAGCACATCTCCAACAGGAGTATCTAGCACCTCATCCCCTACAAGCGCATCTTCAACAAAAGCTTCTTCCTCCTCGTCCGTCAGTTCTGTTGCTTCATCTTCAGACGACGACGACGACGATGATTGTCCAGAAACAGACGAGACTTCTGCCACTACCACTCCTGTTTTAACAACACCAATTTTGACAACACCTGTCTTAACTACTCCTGTTGCGACAACACCTGTTATAACTACTCCTGGTGTGAGTGCATCTTCTGGCAGCGCTGGGCTGGGAAGTGGTTCGGCTACTGTTACTAGTGCAACAGGTTCCGCTAGTACCACGATCGCTTCTTCGGCCGTAGTTGGATCTTCTACTAGTGATGATGATGATGATGATGATGATTGTGAAACTGAGACAGATGTTCCTACCACTGTCGGTACAGGTACAGGTGCAGTGATTACCACTCCTGTAGTTACAAACTCAGCTGGTACTACTTCTGCCCCTACTATAGTGGAAGTAGCAACATCGTTTACCAATGGTTCCGCTATTGTTACTACTCCGACAGTGACAACATCAGGGGGTACAGCTATTTCGACTGCTTCAGATGATGATGAGGATTGCGATTCTGAAACTGAAACGACGACTGGTGGAGAAGCTGTTACTACTGGAGGATCTGGTGGAGGTACTGTTACTACGAAAACTAGTGGCTCAGGATCTACTCAAACTGATGTTTCAGAAGATGATGATGAAGACTGTGAAACTGAGACCGCAACTCCAGTAGTTACTAAGATTACAACTACTCAAGAAGGTGGTACTGTTGTGACTACTGTCAAGACAACTTATACAGCTGTTGCAACAGGATCCAGCGGATCTAGCTCTGGATCTAGCTCTGGATCTAGCTCCGGATCATCCGGTGAAGAAGAAGAAGATTGTGACGATGAATCGTCTTCAGGATCCTCTTCAGGATCCTCTTCAGGATCCTCTTCAGGATCTTCATCTGGTTCATCGTCTGGTTCATCTTCTGGATCGTCTTCTGGTTCATCATCTGGATCGTCTTCTGGTTCATCTAGCGGTGTTTCTTCAGGCTCATCCTCAGGCTCATCTTCCACTGGAGACGATGATACCTGTATTCCTTGTGAAGAAGGGGAAGATGACGACGATGACGAAGATGATGACGATGATGATGACGAAGATACTTGTACTGTATGCGAAGAAGATGATGATGACGATGACGAAGATGATGATGATGATGATGAAGACGACAATTGTGTTGTCTGCGATGCTGAAGATGACGATGATGAAGATGACGATGATGACGATGATGACGAGGACTGTGTTGTTTGCACTGCAGACACACAAAACGATGAAACAGTTCCTAGTGTAACCACTTCATCTGTTACTCCTGCCGCTACTGCCACTGGTACGGTTGTTCAACAAGCTAATTCTGGAGCTAAAAGAACCATCTCAACAGGAGTGATCTTGTTCGCATCTTTCATTGCAGTATTATTCATTTGATTCCACCTAGATAAAGAAATATATACATACTTAAAAAAGAAAAAAAAAAGAAAAAGGTAAGGAGGAACATTATAATAGGGTTCTCCGCCTTCTGTTCGTTGTTTGCTTGCCTACAAGGCAATATAGGAATAAAGAAACTTTGATACCTAAGTTTGTATGGCATTGGAGAATACACCCCCTAGTTTTGATACATTCATGATACTAAATAAAAAGCCTTCCGATTCGATTAATATGAAATTCATAGCAGTATATCTTATTCACAGAGTAGTAAATCTAGTAGTCTCTCTAATGTGTCTTTCTACTTGGGTGCAAATGGCAATCATACCGTCCTGCACACAACCAATCGCAAAACGCAAAAACATTTCTGAAAATGTTCCTTCTAAAGTTTGCCCTCCACACATCAGGTTTACGTTAGGTTATTGGTGCTACTGAGTGACTTCGAGACTTAAATATCCCTTGATACCAACCAGGGAGGTGTAAATAACCGATATTCACTGTATTCAATTTTATAAGACGGGCTGTTATACCATTTCCCCATTTATTGCTCCTTCTGCTTTACAATTGATTGTATCTGCTGTACTGATTAGCTTCCAAGATGCAAATTGATCGCCAAACGTTGGTATTTTTCATAGTGATGTTCATCTTCTTGTCATTACCGAGTTCGGAAGATGAACCTCACTCGACAAAAGAAAAGGAAGCATTGGAGAAATTCGAGAAGTCCCTAACGAGCCAACACCACGAGATGATGAATTCGACTTACGAGTCAGGATATGGAAAGGTAGATGGGTTCCTTCTCTCTTACCAAGATTCCTTACAAAATAAGAATATATCGGACTGGCCCTTCCATCATTTTGATAAAGATAAGTTTCCCTGGGAGGAGGATGAAAAGTATTCAATACTCCCTAATGTAGTAAGCGATAGAATAAAATCCTTTTGGGGTATCAATAGCAGTAAAACAGATGAGTCTTCTTATCTACTTAACATAACTGGATCGTGCAAAGGATCCTTTGAAAAAAGACCATACAATAAGGATATTCGACCTTTAAATGTCCCACTTCCAGCATATTTGCAAGACTATGCAACTGAGTATACAGGCTATCGTAGAGGACGAGACTCGTATGATGACGATGGCAACCCGAAAGACGATAGAGGCGCAGACGACTCATCATCTTATATCCCAGAAAAGGTTGGGAATATTACGTTCGACACCGGAAAAGTATCTTTTGCTATAAACAATTCTCCGTATAACTTCAGAGATCCCAAATTGAATAAGGTAAACGTATCTGAAGAGGATCGCTTCGATAACGTGGTGGTGTCATATGGTTCTATGTACATTAGAGATGAGGACGATATCAATGAAAACAAAATCGATATGCAAGGACTTTATTTCCAAGATACTGGTAGTCTTTTTTTATCTTCCTTGTCTGCCAAGTTTATGTCAGCGCTTGCATTCCCTCATTTAGTGATGTACAAGGATTTATTTGCGAATTCCCAAAAGTTAGTTGATCAATACTTTTCATCCAATAATTTTAAGAAATTGTATTCTGTGGATAGTTTGTACAATTTAGTTTCTGAAGCGACTGATAAATGTGAGTACGTGGGTTACATTCAATTTCAAAAGACAAACTTCACCAAGGAACAGTTGAGAGAGATTGATGATGAACTTCTTTTCCCATCAGGTATACCTATCACTCATGATATCCCAAAACTTGTTGTAGAAGATTACCTTTTATATTCCCCAGATTGTGGAATAGTCTTGGAAAAGCCAAAAAACACAGAGTTTCAAGGTGAAAGCGTTGAAGTTTTCAGAAGGGAAGGGAAGTTAATGCTTAGGGGATTATTTGTTTTACTTTTCATTCAATTGATATTACTTATAAAAGAGATTAAGCAAATCAGAACCCCTGGACAACTTTCAAATATCTCGAGTACTACGGTCTCCATTTTTAGTTTACAAGATAGTTTGGTTGCTTTAATCTTTTTATTGGCAACTACCATCTTCCAATCGAGCTACTTATCATTTGTAAGTGTTAGTGTTTTGGCCTTTTTCATGAGTGCAGTATTTGAAATGAGATTTTTGGTCAATGTGTTAACCAATCAGCAGAATGAGAGAGGAATCTCATGGTGGGAGATACTAAGAGGGGGAAGCAGCAATGAAGAGGGTGCAGGAGGACCAACAAATAATACTACGGCCCCTACGGAGACTGATACCGAAGCCCCTCCTGGTACAAACACACCAGGAAATCCAATTGTTCCTCCAGCCGACGTACCTGGTGTACCGGTTACAGGGTTTGTTGAATCTGATGAGGCAAGAATCTCTAATGGTCTTTTTGCAAGAACATTTTTCTTCACTATTTGTACCATATTTCTCATCATAAGTGCTATATCATGGAGGCAGAGTTATCGTAGAGTGTTTGAAATAACAGCATTTATGCTCGCCAACTCTTACTGGCTCCCACAGTTCTTAAGGAATACGCTCAAGAACCGTAGAAGATCCTTTCTGTGGAACTTCATCATATTCACATCAATGATAAGACTCACGCCAATATACTACATAAACTTTTACAAGTCAAATTCGTTCAGACATCGTCAAAACGACTATTTAGAAGTTATATTAGTTACTTCATGGGTTTCAGTGCAAGTGGGATTATTGTATTTCCAAGAAGCACTTGGTGCTAGATTCTGGATAAATGATAAATGGTTACCAAAAGCGTTTGACTACCATCCAATTTTAAATGTGACCGACCTAGAAAGTGGATTTTCTTCAGATATTTTGGCAAATATTAGAGAATTGAGTGAGAGCGATGGGGATAGTCAACAGACTGGGAATGGTGTTGTCACATGTAAGGTTGGATGTACCATTTGCATGAACGACATTGACTTACCGGTGATTGTGGAAGTTGATCCCAAACTACAAGGAAGCTTGAATGCTGCAGACAAGAAGAAGGCTCAACAGTACATGATAGCACCATGTCACCATATATTCCATAAGGAATGCTTAGAGGATTGGATGAAGTACAAGCTACAATGCCCTATATGTAGAAATCCGTTACCACCGGTATAAGCTGAGAACTGTATATATAAAATAGTAAGGAATAGATTTATGAAAACGTAGTTAACTGTAACTAGAAAGGTTCCAAAAAGAAAGAAAGACTCTAGGTAAAGGATTTCCAGTGATTTTATTTTAGTGCCTTGATTTTTCACCTACACCAATAAGTGCATTTATATGATAATCTCACTTAAAGAAGGAAGGAACAAAATACAAGAACAACGTGCTAATCTCAACTGGTCGCCTCCCACATCGATAGGGAATGGACTAATTCCAATCAGCCGGTACGGGTGCGCTGTCAATGGGCCAGTTACTAGAAGTAGTAATAAAGTATAAAACTTTTCACATCCAAACGCTGATTACTTTGTCTGCACTCCTCTACTACAACGATATCTAAGGCAGTGCGTTAGCTCAATTGCCCCACCTGTACCCGCACAAGCAGAGTAAACTTAATCAAGTAACACAGCTCCTATTCTCACTTCGATCGTGCGTTCTACGTCCTCTTTTTTTTTTTCCCTTAACTGGCGCCTAACCTAACCTACACTATGGCTTGTTTATGCGCGATATACACCCGGTCATGAAATCAGCAACCGTCCAAGTTTCACCGACTAGCCTAACAATATTTTTTAAAGCTTATCCATTTCCCAATAAAATAAACATTATTTTTTCGATATTCTGGTCGCACTGGTTGTGCTTTCAGGGACAGCAAGACTTTCTACTTGGAGCAATCTTCATGGCGTATGGCACCAGCCAGTGCTCTCACACTGGTAACTAGTGCGCTGTGTATGGCTTACATATAGGTGAAATTTTTTCTACTCTCATTTATAATACAAAAAATATGAGCATACAGCTCAAAAACAATTAATACATACTTCTCTCAAGACCTCCCATTTCAGACTCTTTCAACTGCGAATTTAAATTGACCACGGCGGCTTCAGCTTGGCTGGGTTGAACCTTCTTTGGCCTGCCTCTTTCTCTCTTAACAACACGTCCAAGTTGTGAATGGTACATATCATCATCCTTCTTTCTTCTTTGCTTCATTGTACCGTTGACTCTAACACCCTTGATAGTGACCCCAGTTTGCTCAACGGGGAATTTTCTTGGACGGCCTCTTCTGTCTTTCTTTTGAAGCAAGTTTTGTACCGCGTTATCTTCCAAAGTTCTGAGATACGTTGGCTTATCTAAAAGGCTAGAAAGCTCTTCCTCGTCACCAACGTCATCATGATTCTGGACATGAACCTGGTGAACCTGGTGGTGTTGTTGAGGTTGTTGTTGAGGGGTCGATGAGTTGGATCTAGCTATGGAAGCCTTTAATAACTTATTAAGGTGCTTGAAGTTGGAATGTTGAGAATCAATATATTGGTTAGTAGTAGGATCCAAAATCAACTTCTTTGGTCTACCTCTTTTCCTCTTGGAGTCCCCATCGTCACCGGACTCATCCTGAGACTTTTGAGTGGTCAGGACGATAACATGATCAGTAGGAATGTTGTCTTTCTTCTTAGAACGCTTGGTCAGCAGCAGCAGCAGCAGCAATTGTTGATGTTGATTTTGCTGTTGCTGTTGTTGTTGCTGTTGTTGCTGTTGCTGCTGTTGTTGTGCTACAAGCTGTTGGGCTTGCTGTTGGGCTTGAGCTTGTTGCTGGACTAACTGCTGCTGAGCCAACTGCTGTTGCTGTTGAAGCTGTTGGTGTTGGTGTTGCTGAAGTTGTTGCTGCTGGTGTTGAGGGAGATGATGTTGCTGTTGCTGCTGTTGCTGTTGTTGAAGTTGATGGAGGTGCTGCTGCTGTTGGAGGTGGTGTTGAAACTTTTGCGCAGGCTGAACAACTTGTTGTGGTGGCAGTTGTTGCTGCTGTTGCTGCAGCTGCTGTAACTGAGCCTGTTGAGGGTAACGCAACTGCTGTTGCTGCTGAGGTGGCTGCACATGCATCGGATGCTGTAACGGACTATGGTACTGTGGGACTCCCTGCGGCGACATGGTCTGAGGTTGGTTCCTGTACATCATTTGCTGGAACAGTTGAACCTTAGGCATCTCCTGGTGGAGCTGTGGTGGGATTCCTTGGTTAGGAAATTGAACAAAATTAGAGTTATTCATTGGCTGACTATTTGATGAATTTTTTCCTCCGTTAAACTGAGGCAGAGGAAGGTACATGAAGGTCACTATAACTGTATATGTTTAGTGTTTATCTAAAAGTGTATTCTTTTTTTTTTTTTTTTCTTTTTTGGTTGTTTCGAAACGGGGGAAGAAAAATGGACACAAGAAGCTGAGGGCGAGATTCAGACTTGGTTCAAAAACGTCGACGATTTAACTTGAGCTTCGAGTTCTTCGAGTAATATGCCTAAGCAAGTACGTTCAAGTTCCAACAGATCCGAAGACTAAATGGTTACACTCTCTATTTGTAGTGGGCTACAGAGATGTTCTTTACAGAAATACCAAAAAAAAAGAAAATAAAAAAAAATAAAGAAAAAAAAAAAAGTGAGAAGCATAAAAAAAAAAAAAAAGGAAGCGAAAGGAAAAAAAAACCACTGTATGCAGGCGAACCTGTCACAATCGTGATTTGTTCGCGTAAATGCGAAGGTATTTCATATCATGAACACATCCGGACACCCTAGAAGAGGTGCAATGGATATCAACAGAAAGGTATACACAGGAACAGACAAGTATTCTAGTTCCACTTGCTACTTCACTCTTCCTGCTATGTTGTTGTATTTACTACTTTACTTCAATGTTGCTACTTTGACGTAAGTATTAGGTAATTACTACGGAATAGCCCGAACTCTAGGAATTTTATTCTTAATTCACTTCCTACTTCATTATATTTATAGTGTATTTACTTTTATACTTATGTATTGCCTAAGCTTCTATGCTTGTGAATATTTAGTGCTATGGTTGATCGAAGCACCGATGAGTTCCCGGCTCGGAAGGGCTCACGGCACGAATTTAGAATTTACTTCTGCATCTTTCCTTCACTCTTCATCAACTTCATTGCCATCATTATCATTTTCATCATTTTCTATCATTTTTATTTGCTGCTCCTCATTATTGACACCCCATTACTCTTCTCTTTTCTTTCATTTATAGAAGAGCTCGCTTCTGCTATTATTTCTTCTTTTTCTGTCTAAACTGATTCTTTTTCAACTGGCTCCAATAATTCATACAAAGCTTCTTCGAAATAGCTGATGAATTCTTTGGAATCGGACAATTTCTCATTGATCTTGACGGTAAGCTCAAGGTCTACGAGGGAGTTGCTCTTTGCCAATGCAGGTGTAGACGTACTTGTAGGGGAGCTGCCAATGATTTCATCAAACAAATCGTCAGGCGCTTGGCTGGATTGCACAGATTTGACTGGAATATCTGAGATTTCTTCCCAATGATCGAACTTGACATTGGTAACCTCAAATCTCAGTTCCGTAACCGAAGGAGACACCAACTCATCGAACAAATCACCGCTCGAGGGGATCGAAGTAGGGCCCTCGCTGAATTGAGGGAATTTACGTTGATATGCAAGGGATGTAGCATCTTTAATCAAGAAAGGAGCATAAGATTTGAAGCCGCTTAATCCATCAAATTGAGTCAAGTCTACAGTGATAGATAAGTCTAAGATATCGGTTGGCTTAGCTGGTTCTTCTGCTACCTTAGTATCTTCCTTCTTTGGTTCTGGCTTCTTTTCGGCCAATACAACGTTGGACAAGTCCAAATGTTCTTTTGATTTGATCCATTCAGCAATCTTAGAAACGGCATCGAGCTTGATTTCTCCTATGTACGCCAAAACGTCACCCTTCAATATTCTACCCTTTGGACCAGAGGCTTGAATCTTGGAAAGAGCATCTTCATTGGAAATCTCATGTTCATGAAGCAAGAGTTCAACGGCAGGCGAGAATTTTTGCTTTGGGTTTGCTGCAGAGAAGACTGAGGAAGAAGAAGAAGAGGAGGAAGAGGCAGGCTTCAGTTCTTCTTTTTTCTTTGGTTCTTCTTTCTTTGGCTCCTCTTTCTTTGGCTCCTCCTTCTTTGGTTCTTCTTTTGGAGCTGCGGCCTGATCATCCTTTGGCTTTTCCAAGCTGCTCAAATCATCACCTTCTTCTGCAAGGTAAGCAATTGGTTGACCTACAGGGATTGCTTTGTCCCCATCATTCTTTAAAATGTCCCACATAACCCCATCATCTTGTGCCTCGACGTCAATTGTAGCTTTATCAGTTTCAACTTCGACCAAAACGTCACCAGCTGCAAACTTGTCCCCTGACTTCAATTTCCAGGCAACAATCCCACCTTCAGTCATAGTAGGAGACATGGCTGGCATTCTGAATATGGTGGCAGCATTGTATACTCGGTTGGAGTGAAACGATCTCACTGAGGATCTTAAGGAAGCTCTCAACATGATATAGAACCGTATAGTAAGAAAGATGGTGATGAATGAGTGAAGCGTTTTATGGTTTGGTGAATTTTAATCTGTGCTACGGAGGATTAAATCCGATGGTTCGGGCGCGACTTACCCGTGGTGTGTGTATGTTAAAAACAGACTGTATGGTGGTACTGTAAAGTGTGGGAGTAGTAGGGCGACTAAGTGAGATACAAGGAGGAGGCTCCAGGAGGCCCCAAACGTGTGTCGAAACCACTGCTGAGTTAGTATCCTGTAAATCAGAAGAAATATGTGGGAGAAAGGGTGATGGGGTGGTGTTTTTCCGCTGGTTCACCAGTAAGCTTAGCGAATCTGCAAACTAGACACTATGCCAAGTAGAGGCACTTTAAAGGTAGGGAGGTCAACGTAAGATTTATTTGTACAGTGGTTAATAGGAATACACACAAATGCACTATTCTTTCAATGAGCATAAGAATATGCCCACGGCATCGCAGATGTGTAAACTAGTAAGCTGGTATAGAGTACCAGTAGCGCTCACTCTTCTATTTTTCGCAGCCATTCGTCGTCCGAGCGGACTTCGAGCTCGGGCCATACATTTAAGCTCGAGACATATGAGGGTTCCAGCGCTCCCTGCGCACCCTACAAGGTAGACACACATTTCTTAGTGGAGCGTCAAAATCTGTCAGCGTAGCCTTGTTGAACACCGTATGAGCCACCGTTTAGAAGAGCTTGTTCCTTTCTCCCTCAGAGAATCCCCATAGAAACTCAAGTCCGACTTTTTCCGAGTGCATCCCGGAAAATTAAGGAGCGCCTATCTGGGGGCTCCGAGACACAGAGCTTTGGTGCAAGTACACCGAGATGCCCCAATTTCACCCAGAGGAAAAGGCACCTGGAAGAGTTCAAGAAAGTATTGTAAAAAAGGGCCAGGAAGTGCTCAAGTAGTTTATGGAATAGCCGGTCTTGACAGCCATTTCCATTTCCGTTTCCTGCGTCCTATTACCTTTCCATTCGACAAGCATAGGCCGAACCGCTCCGTATTTCATATTCGGTCGCTCATTTCATTCACACTCGCATTCATTGTCTGTGCTGCGCAACCCACTCCAGGGCTTGAGTCTATTTTTCCCACCATCTCAGTAACTTTTGTGTGTCTCTCCACCATTCTATGCACTTTCCATCGCGCGCGGTGTTTCTTTTTTTTTTATTGTATTTTTCATTTTTAAGTTTGGAAGGTTTAGACCGTAGAACATATATTCTTGCTCTTCCTGTATCAGCCAGATCCCCTGCTCAAGACAAGAAAGGAAAGAAAAAAACTTGCCGTTGAATTCAGCAGAACCGTATCATTCAATTCAAAAGTGCCCCACCGAGCAAGAACCACTTTGCTCCACTCGACCACTACTCTGCCTGGACATTTGCACCCATAGAAGTTGACAAGCATTTCATTTTCCTCACCGTTTTTCACGATTTTTCCATTCTCGAATTTGTTCGCCTCGCTCGAAGGGAAGTTAACAACGAAACACCACAGAGAAAAAAAAAAATAAACTAGCAAGAACATCCAGAGATTTCTTTTATCTCTTCTTCAAATAAAATCAGAGTAAGTGTAAAGAGTTTGTTGTTTTCAATATCTAAATCAAACTATCGTTAGTAAGAAATAGTATCGCTATGATCGAGAGGCAGCCTTTCCACTACAATGATTCCAGTATGTCCATAGACGATGAAAATAACCAAATACGCGACCTGCTATTGAACTCCCAGCGATCTCCACAACATCACAACAGAAATATCTTGGGTGACCTCTCTGAAGATTCGCCTAATGTTGCACCTAACGTGGATACAGATCAGCCTACAAAGAGGTTCTCGATTTTAAGAATGTTGAAGAAGTACTCAAGGTTTATTGGACCTGGTCTAATGGTCTCTGTGGCTTATATGGATCCTGGGAATTATTCCACTGCGGTGGCTGCTGGTTCAGCCTATAAGTATAAGCTTTTGTTTTCTATATTGTTGTCTAACTGTCTTGCCATCTTCTTACAGATATTGTCCGCCAAGTTGGGGGCAGTCACAGGGTTGGATTTAGCAGCTAACTGCAGAGCAAACCTACCATTCAAGTATAACATTATCATGTACGTATTGGCAGAATTAGCCATCATTGCGACAGATTTGGCAGAAGTTGTCGGAACCGCCATAGCACTTAATATTCTTTTCAATATTCCGTTGTTATTGGGAGTTATTGTGACTATTATCGATGTTCTCATTGTGTTGATGGCCTACAGGCCCAACGGACCGTTGCTCTTCATTAGAATCTTCGAAGGGTTCGTTTCGCTCTTGGTTGCTCTTACTGTAGTTTGTTTCACCATAGAACTCTACCAAGTGAGTCATGACTCTGAGATTCAGTTCAGCCTCGTTGAGGTGTTTAAGGGATTCTTGCCCAACGAAAAAGTTGTCGATATGAGTGAACGTGAAGGAGGGAATGGGCTCTTTTTGAGTTTAGCCATCTTGGGGGCCACTGTTATGCCACACTCTTTATACTTAGGTAGTGGTGTAGTCCAATCTAGATTGAAAGACTTCGATATAAAGAATGGATATTTTGATCCATTGTCATTAGAAGATAAGGATTCAAATGAGCAAGATGTCATTCCTGAAGCCAATGAAGGCCCTGAAATTAATGACCCACAAGAAAATGATAGTGAGCCTGCTGTTGCTGGAAAGTTATCGGATGATGCAAACCCGATGAACTTAGAAGATCATTACAGACCATCTATTCACGCTATCAACGATACAATGGCATACACCATGGTTGAATTGGTTGTATCTTTATTCACAGTTGCACTTTTCGTCAACTCAGCTATTCTTATTGTGGCCGGTGCTACGTTACAAAATGGTAACTCCAAGAGAGATGATCACAATGATGATGGGCACCACAGCGATTCTGATAATGATTCTGATGATGACGAACCATCCAACTACGCAAACGCTGATCTTTTCACTATCTATAACTTGCTCTCTCTGCATATCTCACCAAGTGCTGGGTATGTTTTCGCCTTGGCATTATTATTTTCCGGTCAAAGTGCCGGTGTAGTTTGCACATTGGCTGGCCAAATGGTGCTGGAAGGCTTCTTGCTGTGGTCGCTTCCACCAGTTACTAGAAGGCTTATCACCAGAGGATTAGCTATCGTTCCGTGCATAGTGGTAGTTACACTTTCTGGAAGAGAAGGTTTGGCCAACGTTTTAAATGGGAGTCAGGTGGTGTTATCAGTTTTACTTCCAGTGGTCACTGCTCCCTTGATTTGGTTTACTTCTTCCAAACATATTATGCGTGTACCATTGTTTGTAAGAGATGGTGACGAAGATGCGGACTTGGTATACGATGTGGAAGACGATTCATCTATTCAAATTGTCAGTACAAACGCATCGGCGATGACAGTTAGAAGCTTCACCAAGCCAATCAAATTTAAACTGACTGAGCCAGCAATTAGGTTGCAAGACTTAAGAGCTGCGCATCCATGCGCTGGATGGGAAGAGGATGAGGAATTGGATATGGAGCACAGAAGATTGGTGCTTAATACAGACGTAGAAAGACATTACAGACAACAAGAAGATACTAGAGATTATCCTAGCAACAGGGATAACTCCGAGGCTACTACTGATGAAACCTCTACACCTATATCAAGTCGAACATTCAACACCGATGCCTTAGATAACAGTTATAGAGTAAAGGGGTACAAAGATATGAGTAATAGTCCATTGACCACGTTCCTTGCTGTATTAGTATGGGGATTTATTGCATCATTAAACTTGTTCCTTATCGGAAGTATGGTATTCGGAAAGGAAGTTCCCTTGTAGGAAAATCTTGTACAACAAAAAAGAGAAAGAAAAAGGGGTCAGAAATATGACAAAAATATGTCGATTTCCGTTGAATATTTTTTTATTTTATTTTACTATAGCATTATGGATCCAGGCTCCACACCCTGGGATCTTCATCATTTTTTATAGTTGCATTTTAGTTTCAGGTACATATTAATAGAAGTTCGATAGTTTTAATTCCAATGTAGGTGATAATCCGGCATATAACCATCGTCGATAATTTTGAAAAGTCACAAAAAAAAAAGACTGTCGAGGCTACTGAAGTTAGTCTGTCAGATTCCGCTAAAATTTGGGCAAAAACTTAGTAAAACTCTCAAAATGCCTTCAGAAAGTACTGTAGATAGATTCATAGAAAGCTCGTCCAGACTTTTACTGGCTTATCCCACTACCACTACACTTTCTATCACATATGCCAATGCCTTAAAAAAGTCCAAAACCAATAAGGAAGGAACCAAAAAAGAAGACGACGCAGACTCCAAGAAGGCAACCAATATAGTGACTTTTAAATGTTATGAACCAAACGCAGGAAAATGTATTAAATATTCAACGTATAAAGTTAAAGAACTTTCCAGATTATTGACATTTGTAGGACCAAGAGGAGTGCTGGTAACTAAACCTATTAATAAAAAGAGAAAGTTAGAAGACAGTGATGAAAATTCTGACAAGAAGACTAAAACCGAGAAAACTTCCAGCGCAGAACATGCCGCAGGGTTGGCAAGCATTATGAGTAACGTGAAATTTGAGGAAGAAACTGTTGCAAAGTTCTCCACACCACAGCCCGAAGAAGCTGCATCTTCAGCTGCCAACTCAACCGCTACTACTACTTCTGCTTCGAAGAAGAAGAATAAGAAGAAGAAGGGTAAGAAATAGGATAGCAACTTGTATATTTAGTAATAAAGGCATAGCATATTGCACCTGAAATGTAAAGCATAGGACATCATGTTTAACTAAGCTTCAGACGCGAACAAAAGTCGAACGAAAAGTGCTCATATAGAGGATTAAAATTACTATGAACATGCTAGCAATAGAACATTGTGAAGGGAATTGGTAAAGAAGTCTCATTTTAAGACTTGGCTTTGTTTAAAGGACTACCTCGAAATCTGTTTCAGATATGGTTTCGTGGTCTAGTTGGTTATGGCATCTGCTTAACACGCAGAACGTCCCCAGTTCGATCCTGGGCGAAATCATCTCTTTTTTTATTTTTTTAGTGACTAGTTTAACAGCTTCATAGCAATAGCTTTACGATCGGGTGTCAGTCTTTCAAATAGTCCATCATTTCTGATGACAATAAGGAGTGACCTACGACTCACGTTTTAGACAAAATTGCAATTCAGTACATATTATTCAACATATAATAAAATACAAATTATTGACATACTATTAATAAATATATAGAATGAGAGAATGGTAGCGGCGTATATAGATGTCCTGTTACATTATCAATTCAAAATTAATAATAAAAAAGAGAATTAAACTCTCATGACTTTAGGTTTTTAATTTAAAATAGTCCACTAGATAGCACGATTATCAATATGCGTACTATTCCTAGTGTGGTATGAAAGGAGGGTATCAGCTTGGGTAAGCCCTGGAAGTGCGTGCGAAGTGTTGATTCTCTCTAATGAAAGTCTGGAATCACCAAAGTCTCCATTAGCATGCATTTGTCGCCTTAAAGTCTCAAGATCAGTTGGTTTCTTGAGTTCATTGCTAGGAGCGGCAGGTTTTCTGCTAAGAGTTGCTCTTCTTTTGATGGATTTGAAGGTTCTCTGAATTGGATTTAAATGATCTTCTTCAAGGGGTGTTGCAGTCTTCTCATCCTTTTCACCATCCACCAAATTTGGGTTCGAATTCTTTTCAAGTGCATCAGGGCTTCCTGGCACGTCTAGTCCAAGTCTGTGGAGCTCCAAATCTTCCTTATTAGTTGGGTCATATGATTTGGGATAGCTATCAAATGCACCCCTTCTTACTTGTTCACGAATAATGTCAATATCCTTTGGCTTGAAATTAATCATCAAGAAATCAAATACAAATCTGGGAAGAAGGCATATCAATACCCCAATGAATATACTACACCAACATGACAAAGTTCCAAGAACTTGAGCACCAGCCTTGTAAAATTCTTCAGCGTAAACTCTGGAACTCCAAGCCCCTGTCCACATATATACCAACAAAATTGAGATAGCATTGATCAATAAAGTTAACCAATCCCATCTATATTGTCTCAATAAAATGTAAAGATCAACCGCAGTGACAGAAAGACATGCACAGACAACTCCAATCCAAAATCTATGATCAACAGGTAATCCTTGAGCATTTTGGAATCCTTTATAATAAAGTAAGTAAGGGAAAAAGAATGCAACTGCTGACTGAAAGATACCATCGATCATATAGTAGATAAATTTATACTGAGACCATTCCAATCCGAGAATACCACTACGGTACAATTGAGGCACCAATAATGACACAGTATCAGAAACATCTTGATCTAACACTGCTAAAAAGATAACAGGTAATGATGTGAAAGCTAAATTGTAAAACATAAGGTAAGTGTACTCGTACAAGTATGAACCATCAAAGTCATTGTAAATACCGTACCAGAAACAAGTCAAGGTGAAAGCAACATTCTTATAGAAGAAACATGGAATCATTTCAGCCAATCTCTTATAAGACCAACGTCCATGCACCAAGAGTAAACGAGTTAAGAATCTAAATTGCCCAATAGCGTAATCAGAAGACATAACAGCTTGTCTACCTTCCTCACCGGCGATACCTACTCCGACATTAGCAGCCTGAATCATAGCAACATCATTGGCACCGTCTCCTATCGCTAAAGTCATAACGTTTAACGAATCACGAACTATTTTAACAACCGAAGCCTTTTGAGCGGGAGAAACTCTGCAACAAATAACAGACTTACACTTTTTACCCATGAGTAAAAATTTCTTCTGCAAAGTGGTAGAAATATTCAACTTTGTATCTTTTAGTTTACTCTTCTCATCCGAGAAAACATGTTGCAATGCAGCACCATCAATAATAAGTGCGAACTTAGTAGATGGTGTTGAATGATCAAGTCTTGCTTCGTCAATCAATTTATCCAACACTCCTTCATCTTCAACATCGCCTCCAAAATCAAAATTCTCTTTCAAATGTTTAGTTATCAAATCTTCAACATACTGGCCATTATCAGGGTCGTTTTCGTCTGGTCTAACAACAAGCAATTTCATATGGTTTTCCAATAAATTACATGAGAAACCAATATTTATAGCAGTTTCAATTCTATCACCAGTCAAGACCCACAATTTGATTCCAGCTTCACTCAAGATGGAGATGGAATCTGGAACACCGTCTTGTAATCTATCTTCAATAGCTGTTCCACCCAATAAATGTAAATCAACTTCTAATTCTTCATATAATGCATTGATGTGATCTTCTCTGTCATCATCCAAAGATTCTGAAGCAGCTTTTACCTTCTTTAACCAACCAAAAGTAGATTCCCTATCCAATTCTCTACGTGTAATACACAAGGTTCTTAACCCTTCATTTGCATAGTTTTCTAAATGAAGAGCAGTCTTGGAAACAACATCAGGATCGTTCTCGCTCTGGGAAAGTCTTTCAAAGATAACATTATCAGCACCCTTGGTCAAAAGGAAAATCTTACCTTCGGGAGTCTCGATAATCTGGGACATTCTCTTTCTAGTTGAAGTGAAAGCAATTGTTTCTAACAACTTATATTCTCTTCTCTTTCCATATACTTCAAGGACTAACGAATTTCTCAACCTTTCTTTGAATACAATTCCAATATCTCTAGCCACTGCTACCAAAGCAGCTTCATCTGGCGATTCTGCTTTGAAATCTCTTAAACTTGGATCATCTGGGTTTTCTTCCGTTACAACAGTGTGACAAAGTGCCAATGCAAGCATAAAAGATTCATTGGCCAGTTTTTGCTCAGCATTCTTACTGGCTTCTGGAATAATCGTATCCTCGACGAATTGGTTAGAGCAAAATGTGACTAAGTCTGGTCTTAATTGATCATTGTCTAAATACTTGGTCAAGTTTGCCAACATATTATCCTTATCCTCATCCATCTTTAATTTCCATTTTTCTCCTTCTTTCAATGGATCCTTTCCGTCTCTTTTATCCAAACCCTGCTTAGCCTCCGTGTAGGCCAATCCATACGAAACTCCATTAATTGAACACTTTTTAAATTCCATAACATTCTGTGTCAAAGTACCAGTTTTGTCACTGAAAACATATTCAATTTGACCCAAATCATCAGAAATATTCCATGATTTTGGAACACATGGGAAATCTAATTTCTCGTAGTACATCTTAATATCAGAAAAGATGAAAAAAGCTTGCGCAGTCTTAATGATTTCCACGGATATATAAAGTGAAATTGGAACCAAAGCTTGATAAATAATCAAACTAACAAAAAAGGCAAGGACACCTCTTCCTGCATCCGTAGAACCGTATGGCTTCAAATCAAAATACAATCTGGAAGTATTCTTCTTTGTGTAAAACAAACCGTTAATCAAACCAGAGATAAAACATAAAACAAATAAGAATCCGAAATTTATGATAACAGACAAGTTCAATTCCTTGGAGATACGGGATTTCTTGGTTGGCGTAATTCCAGAATTAATCATAATTTTTGTTTCCTCACCGGTGTAAACGACCAAACCAATAACCCACTTAGTATTTCTTAATGTAGACCCACGAAGTAAAATATTATCGGCATTAATGGCTTCTTTTTCATCTGGGTTGATTAATTCACCAGACTCATCATAGTCTTCATAATGTAAGGTCCCCTTGAATGTATAAAGAGATCCGTTGGGAGGGTCACATTCTACCCAAAACTTGGTGGCACCTAAATCATTTGCATGTTTAAGATTCCCTGAGCCTCCACAATGAAGGGCAGTCTTGTTTTTCAAGTTGGTTTCCCCATCTAAATTCTTAGTTTCAATATAACAGTTACCTTCTGGGTCGAAAGTGGATATGATAACAATATCAGCTGGAACTTCTTCGTTAGCTCTGACTCTAACCAAGTCACCAACTTTAATATCTTTCCAGTGTCTATTCTTAAAGTTACAAGTCAAGCCATCCTCTTTTCTTTCCTTAATCTTTTCCGGATTTAACAATGTACCAGGGATAAACTTAGTAGGAGGAGCACTCTTTGTAGAATTTAAAGATCTGCGGATCGACCTTCCTTCCGCAGGAGATCTGATGTGTTGAAGGGATTCCCTTGCATGGTGAGCCAGTGTTCTTCCGCCGCCTACAGAGTAGTCAGAAACAATAGTGGACATTCTTCTCAATTCATTCTCTTCTTCTGCACGTTCCTCACGAATAAATTGGTCTTTATCCTTTTTCTTACTAAAGGTCATGATCCATGCTTTCTTTAAAGCCTTACCGGACTTCTTAGTAGCTCTTGTACATGCTTTTTTGAACTTTCTCCAGCCTCCAACTTCTCCGGTTTCAACATTTTCATTCAACAAGCCTTCTAACAAATGGATTGGGGAGTTATTAAGATCCTCATCGGATGAAGCTCTCTTGTAATCTTCAAAAGCATCCTTAATAGCAGTTAAAATAACAATGACAATTAAGGGAACAGCTGCCAACCCTGGACTTTGAACACCAAACACCTGGAAGGCACCCAAGATGATCAAAAATAAGAAATAACAATTAGCAACATTTTCAAACTGGAAAAAGATATTCTTAGGAAGGAACGAAATCGGAGTGTACTTTGTTGTTCTAATCTTGTTCCTAGGATAATTAAACAAGGGAGAATTAGTCCCCTCATGTCTAAGGTCATCGGGTATTGGCCAATTAACATACACTTGTCTAGTGGTCTTGTCATAAATCTCTTTCATGTAACCAGGCATCGGGGCAAGCCCCTTGTTGAATAGGAAGGTATAATACTTATCTTTGATAGTCTTTGGTTTGGCGGAGAAAACATCCTTGAGGGTATAACCTGAGGCAGTGGGGCTCCCTGGACTCCCCAGCGACAGTGCTAGTGCCAGCCCCAGTTCTGAATTTTCTAAACGGTCATCCTTGGGAAACGAGTTGTTCGATAGCGATTCCTGCTTATCATGCAAAATGCCTCCGTGATGACCATGTTCATCAACATCGGCTCCATGCAGCATTGATGAGTTGTCTACAAGAAGATTAGGCACAGTATGATACTAATTATCACTGAAATAAACAAACAATTATGATAAAAGAAGGATAGAGTCAATTTTAGATACCCGGGCCGAAAAATAAAATCTACCCTATGTTTTGAATGCAATTATCACCAACTGGAATTCCTGCTTAGAAGTTTTTGCCTTGCCTCACAAGCAATTTGTTTTTCCTGACTAAGTGGGGGGAGAAGAGCCTAACTGTAAGGGAAGGCGCACTGCGATGGGTGGAGATGTCATTGGGATTTTAAAGTTTATCCCGTAGGGTCCGACTATTATAAGCACGGGTCTTGCGATTACGTAAGAATTTCTAATTTAGGGAAGCAAGAAGAAGGCAGATGAAATGTCCAAGGGGTATGGTGTTGCAGAGGTGCAATTGATGGGGAGGTCCACTTAGACTACCTACAGTGTGCGATGACACAGACAAGGCTATATACGCTGATTCAGTCACACATTAGACGAAGAAAAGTTAAATGCATGCTGCTCTTAGGTAAGCTTACATAATTGTTTGGCAATGGAAGGGCTTTAGCTAAGGACCATGCGAGGCTCAGCTGAACATAGCGCATGCTGGATTATCTTTTCTATGGCATTGGAGCGAGATCGGAGAAAGAGAGAGAGAGAGAGCAGCTAGATAGAGAAGAAGTTGAATATGTGGATTCTGGCTCAGATGATAGCGGATTTTCAGATCTGGCAGAGTGATCCATATTATTATTTGCCTTTTAAGTTGTGCCTATGCCCTTTTCAATCGTAGCAATGCACCATAGTTCTTAAGTGATACTCTTTGCTACGGCTTCGTGGTGTTTCAGGTTCCATACTGGTTCCACCCTGCTCTTCATCTGATAGGTTTCTTGATTTTTTATATCTTTCCAGCTTTTATTTATTATAATAGGCTACTTGAAATAGCTATCTCTTTCTTTATCTATACAGTGCAACAGTCTCAAGCTTCTCTAGCGCTATTATTGATTTATGTGCAGTCGAATCTTTAGAGCTTATTTTTTTTTTCTTTTTAAGCATTTTTTTACTTCCACTTCGCCTTTGTGACACAAAAATGGTTGTCGACAACTTTCCAAAATTTTTCAGTTTCAAAATTTTTAGTTAACCAGACTTTATCCACTTATCAACAGTAAAACAATACTAAAAACAACCCAAAAATGTCTATCGAAGAAATCCCACAAGGTGCTAACGTCCAAATCCTCTCCAAGGATGAAAAGAAAGCTAGAGACTTAATCAAGAAGCTCAACTTAAAGCAAATCAAGGGTATCACCAGAGTCACCTTCAAGCAAAAGGGTAACTTAATTTACGCTATTGACCAACCAGATGTTTTCAGATCTGCTGCTGGTACTTACGTCGTTTTCGGTGAAGCCAAGGTTGATGACATGAACAAGAGAATTGCCGAAGCTCAAGCTCAAGCTGCTCAACAAGAAGCTTTGACCAAAGCTGCTGCCGGTTCTGCCACTGACGACAAGTCTCCAGAATCTATCACCGCTGACCTTCAAGCTGCTTCTTTAGAAGATAAGAAGATCGAAGAAGAAGATGTTGACGAAGTTGTCGATGAATCAGGTTTAGACGCTGCTGACATTGATATCATCATTGACCAAACCCAAGTCTCCAGAACCAAGGCTGTTAAGGCTTTAAGAAAGCACGATGGTGACATGGTCAATGCTATTATGGAATTATCTTAAGCTTAGAATAGGAATAAACATTTAGCTTGAACTACCTGTAGGTATCGTTATTAATGATTTATTATATTATTGTCATCATTATTATACAACGTTTTAATCCCAGAAGGAATAGTTAGTCGTTGTCGATTTCGACTTCGATATCGTCATCATTTTCCCCTTCATTTTCTTTCTTAGTACGCCTTCTTGTGGATGACTCTTGCTGGCCTTCATCTTCTAAGATTACCTCAATGTCTTCTGGTTCTTGACTACTACCCTCAACGCCCAATTCACTGTTCTCAAAACCATCGGATCCGTTTCCACCATCTCCAGCCTCTATTGCACTGTTTTCAAGTTCCTCACCACTTTTGCCATTCATGAATCCGCAATATGGGCATACGTATGATACTTTCAAAGGGTGTGTGCAACCCGGGGGAGCCAAACCATTATGATGATAGCATTGTGCACAAATCAATGCAAATCTGTTCTCAACAGACTCGTTATTTTCAGATCCAATAATGGCATCGAGCAACCGGTCTTGGAAAGTACGTGCCCTAGGACCCCGCGGAGAGAAAGAAATGGGTGTCTGCTGCGGTGGAACAGAATTAGCAGGCACTCCACTATTGATGTTTGCAGTATTGGGGATCTTGGAAGAATTAGGTAAGCTTGAGGGGTTAGCAGGAGCCGAGTTAGCATTCGCTGGCTTTGACTGAAGCTTCTTTTCAGTGCCGATGGTTTGCTTTCCTTTCTTATCATCTTCATTACCGTACTTGTTAAGGATTTTATTCGTAGAATTGAAATTAGTTTCCTGCTTCAATTGGTCAATTTTAGCTTCCTTTCTTTTCTTCAACGACACATACTTGACTCTTTGCCTGTTTTGCAAGGCCCTAAAGAATCTATTAACGAGTTTAGCCAATAAATAAATGAAGATTGGAAATACCACCAAAAATACTAATTTGGCTGGTGACTGATTGTAGAAAAAATTCCTGGTTCTTCCTAATTTGGGCTTCCAGTCTGGAGTGTTGACATATATTAAGCCGAATACAATGACGTAGATGAGTGATCCAAACTTGATGACCTTGTTTCTGACTGTTTTCGATTGCAGTTCCAACTTGAGCGTTTGAGTTCGGGAGTCTTGGATTTGCTCTGATAAATAATCTAGCTCCTGCTCGAATATTGTAGCATCGAATGCCTTCTTGGAGAAGATACCTCCGAACACCATCTGATTGTAATTGTGATAGTTCCAACACTGGGAGTAGGCGTGTCCTCTACGCCTGCCTGCCTTTGGGATAAGCAATTTTATATTATGGTTCTGTGATGGGCACGACTTTTGCTTTGGCTGCAAATTTGTATGGGACGAGGAGAGAGAGCTTCAGCAGGGTTGGTTTGATGGGAAGCAAGCTGGAAGATGGGCAAGGAAGATCCTAGTAGTATTAGTTTTGGTGCTCGAGGTGGGGTGGAGCTATTTCAGTCCATTTTTTTTCTAAATTGGTGGTGATCGCTGGATGGTGTTAGTGATGTTCAGTCAGTCTAGGGTTCCTGCATTCTGCTTACTGTCTCTGCTCACCGTTTATGACTAGGGAAGTGCTACAGAGTCGTTTGTTGCGCCCTATTTCTCGTGTGCCCTACAAAGAAACACTTAGTTTCCAAACTATTTCAGCCCTTTCAGGAACTTCTAATTTGTAATAACGATTGTTGGTGCCTGGAGGGAGCCAGAACTGTCAACAAACCAAACCAAGCTCCTTCCCTTTCCCCAGGCTAATGGGATCGGTGCACACACGACCGCGTAACTCATCACCTAGCCGAAATCACAGACTCGAGATTCTCAAAATAGAGCAGGCAATCTCGATGGGTAATAGAGCCTATCTCAAAGCTTTTTTCAGCGCCTTCTGTCGACTTCAGGTGTGTACAAGTGCATATATTCACAAAGGTAATCAATACGCACGCTAGGGTGAAATAAAAATAAGAATACCGAATCAAAAAGGGACACTAAACACGAATCTAAATTCTACCCAATTACGTTTCCCCAACATAATGACATATACGATTGGCGATAGAAGAATATCCATAGAAGCGGACCATTTACCGCCAGAAACGTTTGAGTTGATATTATCGCATCCAACACTCTTCAAATACTGCCTTAACAATGTAAGTTATACCTGCTTGATCGATTTGAAGAAGATAATACATCTCTATGGAGATGTGTTGACTATATACAGTACATTGCTTTGTAAGATACCCAAGTATGATGATGTTACCAATTTTGCTTCAAGAACCCAGATGAGAGTGCTTCAGTTGGAAAACTCCTTCAACAATTTGCTAGGTGACTACAATAGTAACAACAACTTAAACTTTAAGGAGAGCTGGGACGATAAGTCTTACGAAAAGGAAACCAGAAGAGCATGCCTTCTCTGTATACAATCTGCAAAAGAAGTCTTCGCCCAGGTAATAAGTTGTTTAAACTGTATCGAGGTGTTTTTCTCCACTTTTGATAATCTAAAGAAGCTTCTTATACCCTATCTCTTAGGGCAAGCAGAAGAAATTCATGCCCTGTTGGATAAACTAAGCGACTGGTTTTCTGTGGTAACAATCGCTGATGACGTAGTGAAGATAAGGAGCTACAAAAATGACGATTCCATCATACTTCAGCAATTGAAGAAAATAGAAAGGATAACTAGTGGCATTGAAAGGGAGCTGGGAATCTTTAATGTTACATTTAAGACATTTGACCAACTGTTGAAGCTGTACACGGCCATATTGCTAGGTAGAGCTATCTTAAAGAGAGACATTGGCGAAGAGCAATGCCAAATAATACGTAGGAGAGAAGTGTGTTTCCAGGCTGCAGAGCATGTGGTCAACATCCCGTTGCATCAAGATCAATTACATTCATTCTCCGGAACCCAAATAGCCAAATATGCGATGATCGGGTCGGTCGTGGTATTTTTGTTGGTGTCTATAGTGGTGTACAGGCTATTGAAGGTGTTGGTTTGGTAATTTTTTTAGAGGAAAGAAAATAGGAGAGAAATGATTGAAGGAAGAAGATATGGGAGGGATAATGAAGCATGAAGCATGAAGCATGAAGCATTCTTTAACGAACATTATGGTGGGGTATTTCAGTAATTAGTTGTATTATTTTGTCGTTTATGGACCCTAATGTATTTATACTACAATCTTAGTAAAGCGAGCTGCAATCTAAAGGAAGTATAAGTGGTAGAACATGCACCACATACGCAGGTGCTCACAGACTTCATATATAGAAAATATAATATTACATAATATAATACTATATAATACTACAGTCGCTTGACCTTTGAATAATGGCCATACAAAATCGCCGCCTGGCACCGTGCGAAAACTAGAGCCTCTGCCAGCCTCACTCCCCAGTATTCCATAATTCCGCTAGCAATTAAACTTTCTCACCCTTCTGCTCGTTTTCTCCTAATAGCTTGAAATTTTAACCATGCGAGGGCCTGCATATAACGAACATTGTTATTGTGGTGAATTTTTCTTCTGCTTGGTGATACTACAGCCGTAAACAAGGCAAGAAGGGAGGTTTAATCAATCCGTAGCGATATATTGACTACATACAAGAACAATTACGATATTTGTGATCTCAGGCAATTGGAATAAGAGCGATTTTTCAAGAGCAGATCTACATTCATTACGTTTTTGGATAGAATAGCTTGGAGACTGGGTTATCAAAAAAGGAGCATCACCGATAACGAAGAGATAGCTTGAGTTTGAAAGCAAAAAAAAGAAAAGAATTATCACTTCGTAATTGCAAACCTGTACACCAAGTATATGTATAAGTCATATACATGAGAGTGTGTGCATGAGTGTATCAAGAGAAAAAGAAATTGAAAAGACACACAATAAGTCCATACATCCAGTTCTACTGAATATTAAAAACCACGCTTCGGACCATGGACAAGCAAATATATTCTGCGACCTATAGCAATGTCCCTGTGTTCGAATTCGTCACGGGCGAGCAACCAGTGATGAGACGGAAACTGGACTCCTATATAAATGCTACACATATTCTTAAAATAGCTAAGTTCCCAAAGGCAAAACGAACAAGGATATTGGAGAAAGATGTCCAGACCAGAACGCACGACAAAGTCCAAGGTGGATACGGTAAATATCAGGGGACATATGTGCCGTTGGAGATAGGGGAGGAAATAGCCAAAAACTTCGGCATATACGACGTTTTAAAGCCAATATTCGAGTTCACCTACATTGAAGGCAGGTCACAGACCCCACCACCTGCTCCCAAACATAGCCATGCTTCAGCTAGTAATCTAGCGAGAAAGCAAGCACTCGCTCAGGCGGCCAGTGGATCTGGGAGCAAAGCCTCACTTTCTGCGGCAACCAGAAACAATACCTCAATCAGCAACAAACAGTTGAGCTCAATAGATGAATCATCCTTGGCAAGGAAAACGAAGAGTATGTCAGCAATCCCAGGTGAACCGCCTAGGAAAAGAGGCAGACCGAAGCGAGAATCTCTGCAGCATCAACCCATCCAGCAACCATTTGTTCCATCACTCAACAGAACCAATACTGTGCCGATAAAGGACTCCACCAAGGGCCCAAGCATTGGCACATTCAACAACTCCAGAAACAATAGTCTATTAAAATCTTCTCAAAATCTACAGAACATCCAGCAATTTTCTCGGCAGGATACTGATCAAGATGCCTTACAGTTGATGGTCAATAGTCTAAACGTTCAGAATGAAGACTTGGAAGTTGCAGAAAGAAGCAGTGACGATGAGCTCGGTCGTCCTCGCAATCCATCCCCAGCTCATCAAGATGCATCCTTGGATGATGAAGACGATGAAAATGACGAGCTCATGACCGGCCATGAATTATTTGGTAGTCCAAGAAACTCATTTGAAAAAATTGTACAATCACATAACCATAATAGCCAACATTTGCTGCAAGTCAATGGAGTAACCTCTTCTTTTAATTCATATCCGGCATATACTGGAGGAGGAAGCACGGGATTAAACCAGTATCATCATCTAACGGGCGTGGGAGGAGGTGTAGTTGGAGGTATAGGAGGTGGCACACATACTAACTCTTCCACCAACTCTGTTCCTACCCCCGTTCCTACCCCCTCAAATCCAATATCGTTGGAACAAAAGGAATCAAATGTTTACACTGAATATTTCACAAACCTTTTAAACTATTTCTTGGAAGATAGTAACAATAATTCAAAATTAAGATCAGAAAAAGTTAGCACTGCTCCACATGCCCAGAATGTGAAATCTGAAGTTGTCCCTACTTCCATCCCAGTTTACATTTTGAAACCACCACAACCACTCTCTAAAATTAATATTAGCCAGCCGGTGGATAATGATGGAAATTCCATACTTCATTGGGCCTGCTCCATGGCAAATACAAATATGATTGAATTTTTACTCGCAATATTCCATGAATACTTGAATGCTACCATAAAAAACATCAATGGTGAGACACCCTTAATGTTTCTCACAAGGTTTAGCAATAGTTTTCAATTGAAAAATTTCCCAACGCTATTAGATTTATTATTCGACTCGATATTATCAATTGATAACTCAGGAAGAACAATTCTACATCATATCGCAATTTCAGCTACTGCAAATAGAGATGGTAGTGGCGGTCATGGAAATGGTAGCATTAGCAGCTTTCAAGGAGAACATGAATCCGCTCTGTATGTCACATATAAAAAGAATAAAGAAAAATTCGGGAGGTATTATATGGAGACCTTGTTTGCAAAAATTATAGAATTCCAAGACTACAAACAAGACTCAAATGGTAAGACGAATAACAATAGTGGAACTAATGGATCTACAGCAAGAGACAACAAGTCAGAATTGATAGCGAAGGTGATCAACCACCAAGATATAAATGGTAACACTGCATTTCATATAGTTGCATACAATCTCAACAAAAAGCTAATCAAAGTGTTCATCAGTTACCACAAGTATATCGATTTCACTTTAAAGAATTTAGTTTCATATACGGTAGAAGAATATTTGGCATCTCACAATTACATTTTGAGACTAGGTAATAGTGTCGTAAGTCAAGATAGTGCTACCCGTATGAACTCAACAAATGGGTTCGATGGTACATCCAACACACCATCATTTGAGAATCAGTTATTTGTTAGCAAAACTGCAATGAATTCACTAAAATCTAGCTCGAATACTTTAAATGAAAAGCTTTTAGAATTGAACTATGCGATAGACAAAGAACTTTCCGAAAAAGATGAGAAGTTGTTACTCTACTATAAAATTTTAAAATTCGCCAAGAGTGATAAATTGCAATCCCAGAAGAACATCCTCAAGTTTTTCAAACTTGAGCATTTGATTGATGACCAAGAATACGATGATGAAGTGCACAGAGGGGAAAAGACTGACAAGATTGAGGACGAAGGAAAGGAGACTAGAGATGATATCATCCAAGGTGAAATAAATCGCTTGGTGAATGACTTGAGTTATGAGTACTTGAAAAGAAAAGACGAACTAGATACAAAGTTGAAGGTTTACAAAAGTATAGCAAATAAGGTACAAGGTGAGGAGCTTAAGAAATTGGAAGCATTCAATTTAAAACAAGGGGATGGCAAAGGAGGGGAAAATGGTGACGGTGACTTGCAAGAAAGAAATAAACTAGCTTTAAATTTACAACTAGAGATTTTGAAAAGAAAGAGGCTACTCAATCGTCTAGTCTTGGAGCAGCTGAAGGTGCCGATTACTATCAACGACAAGGAAAATAGGGCTGGTGCTAACACTTCTAGCGCTGTGGATTCTAGCGGAAATGAATCGATTGTAGCCAAATACCCCAAAGATGATAAACTCAGCAAGTATTGTAAACTTATCTCTTTATGCTGTGGAATGAACTTTAACGACGTTGAAAAACTAATTGATTTAATTGAGCAGTCACTTTCCAAGACGAACTCCCAGCAACCGCGCATGAAGCAAAGTAACAGTTCAATATCATGAATGAGGACGGTGGGGTATACCATAAACAAACAAAGGGAGCTAAAACTATGTACTGTATTATATATGTAATATATATAGAAAACAAAAAAAAAAACCACTAGGAATGTAGTGTTGCTCTTGAAATTGTAAGAGTGTTCGTGGTCACACGGCTTGGCCTGGTTTCCGTGTGGTACTTAAATCAAACTCTATCCAAAGGGCATCGTTTTCCTCAACCGCGACTAACCGAGTACACCTTATGAGGCACCATTGCTGCGAAACGGTAATATGCAAAGGGCGATGAATTTCTGTAACGTTCCACCCCACCGCTGGTAACCGCGCCGAACCGAAAAATTGCTGCAAAAAGTTTTCGCAGCATCTCTGGAACACTGTGTGGTTATATATTATGGGCAATTCCATTCCACTTCCATATGGTGGTTTAGAATCTCAGATGTAAATCTGTTTCAGGGTAATATTTATTCAGAATAGTAAAAGTTATTCAAACTAATAAATGGGAGAGTCTTCTTTGAAAAGTGAACAGTTCGGGAGCCATGAGGTCGATTTGAGCAGTTCATCTTCGAACGACACTAGCTCTCCACATGCATATACCGGGAAAATAGAGCAAGATCTTGAAAAGCAAAACCAGATTACTCGTAGTAACACGAATAACTCAGTAAACACTGTGAGTTATTCGGTAAGGGAAATTTATGGAGATTTGGACAGCGAAGAAATCAAAGTACAGCGCCATCAAACTAGAAACACCATTTTATCCGAGTTGGTTTCTAGAACTGAAGATGCCGAAGAGGGAATATACTATGACAGTTCAAAAGATGAAGTGGTGAAGGATACCCTATACGAAGATTTGCCCGATACTACCGTTGCAACTAAAAGAGACGGTGATGAGTTTGCAGATATTGATCCAGAATTGATAACATGGAATGGCTCCAGTGATCCATCAGACCCAAGAAACTGGCCAGTAAGCACCAAAGTTTCACTCACTGCATTGGTTTCATTGTACACCTTAGTATCGCCTATGTCTACTTCAATGCTTTCACCCGCAATGACAGAAATATCTAAAGAATTCGGAATCACTAATTCTGTAATTGCAGCCATGGTAGTTTCTATTCAATTACTAGCTTGGGCTGTTGGTCCCCTCTTGATAGCTCCGTTAAGTGAGAATCATTACTTTGGAAGAAAACTGGTCTTAGATGCCTCTTGCTGGATTGCATTCTTCTTCAACATTGGATGTGCATTATCGCAGAATACAACGCAAATGATCATATTTAGATTTGTCGGTGGTATTTTTGGCTCATGTCCAATCAACGTAGGTGCTGGAGTATTGTCTGATTTGTGGGATGCCAAATCCAGAAACGTAGCATTGGCCGGCTTTTCATTAGCTCCATTACTTGGACCAGTTATTGCTCCATTGATTGCGGGTTTTATTGTCGAACATAAAAGTTGGAGATGGGTATTCTACGTGTTGAGTATCTTCAATGGAGCAGTAGCTATCTTTGGAACTATTTTCATGAAAGAGACTTATTCCCCTAAATTGTTAAGATCAAGAGCCAAAAAGTTAAGGAAAGAAACTGGTAACAACAACTTACACACTATTTACGAGATTGCTGATGGTGAGACAACATTAGGCAAGATGTATTTGGCAATTAACAGGCCAGTTAAATTACTCTTCACACACCCAATGATTGTTGGATTAGGGTCATATATGGCATTCACCTATGGATTCATGTACTTGATGATTGTCACCTTCCCAACAGTTTATCAAGAAAATTATGGCTTTGGAAAAGGAACTACCGGATTAATGTATATCCCTATGGGTGTTGGCTTCTTACTAGGTGTTCTCTTCTGGACATATGCTATTGGCAAAGTGTATGCTGTGTTAACAGAACGCAATGGTGGAGTTCCTAAGCCTGAATACAGAATTCCATGTCTTGTTTCTAGTGGGCTCATCATCCCGATTGGCTTAGTCTGGTATGGATGGTCAGCTGAAAAGAAGTTGCATTGGATAATGCCCAGTATTGGGTCAGCTATTTTTGCATTTGGATTAGTCTGTGTATTTCAGAGTATGCAATCCTACTTGATTGATATGAATACAAGATTTGCTGCTTCCTCCGTTGCCGCCGCTGCTTTATTCAGATCATTGTTTGGATTTACCTTTCCTTTATTTGCCGAGAAAATGTATGGTAAATTGGGATATGGTTGGGGAAATACAATGTGTGCCGTCATAGGATTAATCTTGGGAATTCCATTTCCAATCTTCAGTTATTTGTATGGAGAAAGGATAAGAATTTGGGCAAATAAGAATATTGAAAGAGATCAGCTCAGAAGAGATAAGAAGAACTTGGAACGATTGCGTAAACAACAAGAGAGCATTAAATGTTAAAAAAACGCAATCAAACAAAAAAAACTGTATATAGATCTGCATGGAATTGACCCAATTCCCACACTACTGCACAGGTTGCTTCTTTATAGTGAATAAATAACCAATAATTTAATGAGCTTCGGGCAACATGTACTAAGCAAAATGGGTGCAAAATGTGTTGCGAAATTTCAGCTAAAAATATAAATAGGGACTACTCCCTTCACTAAATTCGCACATACCCGCTAAAATCGCACTGGCCAACCCCTAAAAATCTCAGTTGCCAAAACAAGATCTGATGAACATTTAACCTAATAAGAGAGAACAGGTTAGATCTTTAAATATGGAACATTCGACCTTAAGACTCCCTTCTGTAGAAGAATTGAAACCATTTCCATTGCCTAAGCAATTATCAACACTTCCGGAGCATGTTCTTAGAGAGTTCAGTCAGCTGTATGAACTTGTGAATGGATATGTTCAAAGTTTGCCCCAGTTTAAAGGGTACCAGGAGGTTGTTGTACAGGAACTAAATCAACAAATACATAAAATAAATGTATGCTGTGAACTCTTGAATGAGTACTCTGAAGTTGCTGAGCGAATCAAAAACCAAACACAATCGCTAAACTCAAGTTATGGAGAGTGGACAAACTTGGAAACAATCCAATACCAGTTGCTCTCAGCTAATTTTAATCAAGAGTCATTAAAAAAAAAATTCGAGAAACATTTGAATGAAACTAATCAACAACTGTATGATGAGATCAAGAAATTCAAGAATTCAAGTCAGAGTGAATCCGACTTCGCAGACTTTGTGGAAAATTTCAGGAAACAGAGAAAGACGTATCATAGTAAAAAGGAGAAGATGAATAGATGGAACGAAGAAAGGGTGACAGGGTTTGTATAAAGGGGGAGAGAGAAAAAGAAATGAACTATGGGCAATATTTAAGGCTAGTTCAAAAGGTATAGACTTTTCAAAGCCTTTAAGAGAATACAGAAATGGCTTGATTAGAACAGTCGTGTAGCAGTGCATAGCAATTAACTTTCTAACAGTTAATTGTTCCGTTAAGTTGATTATTGAACTTGCACAGTTGCAGATATACATGACTACACTTTGCAAATCAAGTTTGAGCATTGTTTGTAAGTGCGTTTCCTCCAGTCACGATAAAGGACCACGCTGACACGCTTCTCATCGTTGGTATCTAATTCAAGATGACAGTGAGAGTAAACCCTGGTAAACAAACTGTCAAGTCGATATGGAAGAGAAAACTCATCATATTGTTCTAGGTGTAATGCTGGATACTTCCAAACATCGAGTAATCGGCACATCTTTAGATGCAACACATGGATATACCTTAATATATATACATAAACATACATAGCTTTACTTGAATGTATAATAAAAGCTACCCAATAGTAGTGACTCACGAATGTTGACCTTCCTGTACACTCGATTTGACCCTTCTGCATAAGGGCACCACATTTGAGCATAGTGCCTACGATTCCTATCTGAAATTCATCTTCAGAAAAGAGGGGAGAGGGAAAACTAACAATCCAAAAACTTAGATTCACGCCTAACAATTAAAGCTACAGATGCACAAAGTAAGGCTACAGATGCACGGAGGGTATATCTACAATTGCAGCGGCAATTGCTTTGTTGACTGAACGGTTTGATCAATTGGAATTATTGCATTCAACTTTTCATATGCGCAGTGGAGTCAAATTCTTTGTAAGGCAAAAGAAAGGAAACCGTGTGGATACCAGCAACTAAAATCCATATATAAATATAGTTTGGAAATAGACTACTACCCCGACCTATTCTGAAGTGAAAAAATACACCACTGGCGTGGATGCAAAATACTCAGCGAGCTGGTACTCACATCACATCAAAATATGCTGCACGTATCCCGGTGGCTTTCTCCGATTCGATCATTTCTATTAAACAATTTAATCACTCAGGCGAATGAGAGTCATCGGGCTCGGCTGAATTATTGTTTACGGATAATTTTATTTGATTTCTTTTGTTGCGTATAGTAAAAATATTTTTTTTTTTTATTTTTTTTGTTCCTTCCCTCTGCTACTGCGACCCAGTTTCAACTTCGGAGTTATGTTTGCCGAGTTCCTACTGCTACATTGGCTTGTACATACTACAGCTACCACAATTGGTTATAGGCATTGGCCCCTAGTGACATCTTATCAGGAACAAATTACCAGCGGAGCCGACATTATTTCTCCTCCATACAATTAATAAGATTTACGGTTCGGCGTTTGTTCGTTACGATTCTTTAACACCCAGTTCTCACCTCCCACAAGAATCCTTTTTTACTATCGTGCAGTATCCGATCTTCCCTCAGTGGAAGGACTCGCTTCTTTTTTTTTTTTTTATCTTTTCCTGAAATGGCCATATATTAGCAGAGTGAATTCACCTGTTTTTATTCTGCAGTTGTTCTATTTGGTCTTTTTTCTTGAACTTAAGATAACGCAGGCCATAAATTATGTATAAATTCTCACAGAGAGCGTTCAGCTCTAGTGCTAGAATATTGAATTCATCAGTACCACCAATTCCTCCCAAGAAGCCTTTATTTTCTAGAATTTGGAAGAACACAAAGAGAGTTACCTTCTTGACTATCTTTGGTATCACTGCTAGTGTTTCCTATAAGGTTTACAAGGAATCGTACCCAGCAGATCAACTCAAGCAAACCTCAAGTTTCCCTAACGGACAAAAGAAGAAGACCTTGGTGTTACTTGGTTCTGGTTGGGGTTCTATTTCATTACTTAAGAATTTAGATACTACCTTGTATAATGTTGTCATTGTTTCACCAAGAAACTATTTCCTTTTCACTCCCTTATTACCATCCTGCCCAACCGGAACCGTAGAATTACGTTCCATTATTGAACCTGTTAGATCCGTTACCAGAAGAAGCCCCGGTGAAGTTATTTACTTGGAAGCTGAAGCTACCGATATTGATCCCCTTAACAATACGATTACTTTGAAGCAATCCACCACTGTCCACTCCGGTCACTCTGGTAAAGATACATCTTCATCGAAATCTACTGTTTCGGAACACTCCGGTGTCGAAGAGATCACTACCTCATTGACTTACGACTACTTGGTTGTCGGTGTTGGTGCTCAACCATCTACCTTTGGTATCCCCGGTGTTGCTGAGCACTCCACTTTCTTGAAGGAAGTCAGTGACTCCCAAAAGATTAGAAAGAGATTAATGGACTGTATTGAAGCCGCCAACATTTTACCAAAGGATGATTCTGAAAGAAAGAGATTATTGTCAATTGTCGTCTGTGGTGGTGGACCAACCGGTGTTGAAGTTGCTGGTGAATTACAAGATTACATTGACCAAGATTTAGCTAAATGGATGCCTGAAGTTTCTGGTGAATTGAAGGTTACCCTTGTCGAAGCTCAACCTCATGTCTTGAGTATGTTCAACAAGAAATTAATTGACTACACTAAGGAAGTTTTCCAGGCTACCAACATTGATTTGAAGACAAACACTATGGTTAAGAAAGTCAGTGACAAGGTTGTTACCGCTCAAGTTACCTCACCAAAGGATGGCTCTTCTGAAGTAGTTGAAATTCCATACGGTATGTTAATCTGGGCTACAGGTAACGCCTTGAGACCGATTGTTAGAAACTTGTCTTCCAAATTAGATGAACAAAAGAACGCAAGAAGAGGTTTATTGGTCGATGAAAGATTATTGGTTGATGGTACAAACAACATTTATGCCTTGGGTGATTGTACATTCACCAAGTTTGCTCCAACCGCTCAAGTTGCCTTCCAAGAAGGTATTTACTTAGGAAAGCATTTTGAAAAATTACACCAAATTGAATCTATTGAACATCAATTGGCCAATCCTTCTAATATCGAAGGTAACGTTGATTCAGAAAGATTATCTAAGAAGTTATTCAAGTTAAAGGAAAAATTGCCAATTTTCAAGTACAACCATCAAGGTTCATTAGCTTACATTGGAAGTGAGAGAGCCGTAGCTGATTTGGTTTGGGGTGATTGGTCCAATGTTACAACTGGTGGTACCATCACTTTCTTATTCTGGAGATCTGCTTACATCTACATGTGTCTTTCGGTCAAGAACCAAATCTTAGTCAGTTTAGATTGGCTCAAGGTTTCCATGTTCGGAAGAGATTGTTCTAAGGAATAAATGCAGTTTGAAGGTATGAAAAGAGATAACGAAGTATTTTTGATAATATTTTGATATGTATTAATATTATAGATCAATTTATGACGATGTATAAACATCAATGTAGGAAGGTAGTCTTTTTAGGAAAGAAGAGTATATTAGTTAAAGAGGGAAGGTCTACCCCTGTAGCACTTCAAAGCTGTTGGGGCGGTTTTATGCGTAAAGTGCTGCCTGTGTAGCGTAATGGTTAACGCGTTTGACTTCTAATCAAAAGATTCCGGGTTCGACTCCCGGCATGGGTTTATCCTATTCATTTTATTTTTAAAATGGTTGCACATCAATGTATTCCTACAATACATATTCATAAGATGTTATTATTTTTTGATATAATATAAAGAAGCAAGGTCATTAATGCTATAGATTATAAAGTGTTTGGAAACAATAATTAAGCAGAATCTTCTGCAACATCAAGGTCCTTTTCCAAATCCTCACTATGACTGTCGGACAGTACTTTATTGAGAACTTCTGGGGCTTCACGTATTCTCTTAGGAAGACGATCAGGTCTGTAAAATCTCAAGTCGATTCTTCCTACTAAATATAAGATATTGCATATCACCTCAAGTAAACCATAACAGATATACATCACAACCGGTTTACAAATACTGGTCTGCGTCATCTGAGTATTATTTTGGAAAATTGAAATACATCTGCAAATAGCACCAACCGATATAAGAACTGACGTAACCGCAAGAAGCGCTACAGAGAAAGTATGGTTTAATGCACCCCTTTCAGTGGAAACACCCGGAATCGTTTGAGCATGTTGAACAGAAGCACGAATAACCCTAACTGCATTTCTTTCATGTACGGATCTTTCCAAGAAAGACTCCTCGGCTTGCTGTGCTGCACCCTTTTCAACGTAGTAAAATGGAGAGAACTTTTCAATCCACCATGCTTGATAAGTGTATAAGTTCTTGTCTTTTTTAGTGGGCTTGAACTGGTATGCCATAGCAACTAAGTTTAAGGATTGGAAACAGTAAAGACATAAAAGGATTGATGAAGCTTCTGTGACTTTTAGTAATCTGCTTACCTTTGCAGGAGACATAAAGGAGAGGTATGGGGATATTTGAGCACCACTAGTTAACGCAATAACAACAATAACCGAAAAGTACAACGCATACATATAATACCAGAAAAGCTTTCTAGATCCACCCACTGGATGCATCCATGTGAATATTCTCTGGGCCAAAATCAAATTAAGAGTAAGCAAGAACACTGATGATGAAACTGTAAAGAATCCCCCTGCTGAACCCAATTGAACATTTGTAGGGTTGCTACTCCAGACAATTCTAATCACCCATCCGATAAATCTGCAAACACAATAGAAGGCAAAACCAAGAGAAAGCCAAAACTTATGGCCCCTTCTATAGTTTTCGTAGAAGATTCCTAAATGTGCAAACGCAAAAATCATGAAAACAGCAGCGAAAATAGCAGAAGGTGCAATATCAGCACTTGTAGGGTAGTCTCCGAACAAGTTGGTTTGAGTTGCAGTACCCAAGTGAACTACCTGAGGTGGTAAAGGCGTACCAAGTAACTTTTTCGTGATTTGGTTACTTTGGAGGGTACCTGATCTTGGAGAAGCATTTCCATGAGCATTGAGTAAAAGTTCATTAAACATCAGCAAGAAGAATTGAACTCCTAATGTGATGGTACCATTGGATGGGAAAATGTAATCCTTAATTTTTTGTGAAATGAACATACTATTGTTGCTAGGAACAGTATCGTAGAATGAAACCAATTGGCTGTAAAAGACTTTGGATTCATTCAATGGCATAGACAAAATAGAAACAACTGTGTTATTAACTAGTGGCACAACAGCTGCAGTTGGAATATTTAACTCTGCAATATAAGGGCTAAGATCTGAAGTAGAAATTGCGGACCCATTAAGAGAGCTAAGATGACTTCCAGCGTAAAGAAGGACCTTTTGAAGGTAAGGTATTTGGGTACTTTGAGGAATGTAAGCCAATGCAGCTGCTACATCTCCAACAAAAGTAGAGGTGTCATTAGCAGGCAAACTTAAAACAGATGGTAAGACAGTCGAAGTTAAGAATGATTTGAGACCTGATGAGCTTGAACTAGAAACAGTTAAATTTAAAGTGTTAACCATGGCGACGGTGTATTGAATAATGGTTGCAGTGGTGTTAGCTGGGATGTCATTGAAAACTGGAATGAAGCCGCTAAGTAAGCTCGTAATAACAGTGCTGTTTAATGACGAGAGCGAAAAGTTTCCACTTGATAACCCTAAGCCAAGAACATCACCGAAAAATGGTAATGAAACATTGGATGGAACATCTGCAAGAGCAGTACTAGTAACGTTTAAAAAGTTGGTAACTGCAGTAGAATTGGTTGCGATATCATTTTTGGTGAATACCCCCTCCAATAACGAATATAATGAAGATGCATCCATCTTCGATACAATACTTAAGAATCTTTACAAAAATTGCCAAATATTGAAATTTACTTTCATCTTCGACTCTGGGAGAGCTTTATTATTTATATAGATAGATTTTGGTAATTAAGGAATGCCACGATATAATCATACTATTTCGTTTATGCTACGCATTCTCTTGCCTTACTACTTACTTGAACCATCTACCTTTGGAAGAGGGTTAGACAAAAAAGCGGAGAAGAAATTGAAAACAAACGCCAATTAATGCCAAACTGCTATGACTTCTTCCGAACACACTTTAACATGATTATAATAAGAATACGGGTGCAGCTAAAAAATATCTGATATCTCCTCAAATAACCTTGTGAAGGCTTTAAGAAAAATTGGGTGTTTCCACCAAGGAATTAACGATTAAACGAAACTAAAAATACCTGGTAAAATGTTAGCAAACTAGCTAAGAGTGACGCAGAGGATGTCTTAAGAAAATGCAACAAGAAACAGTCAAGAAGAAGGCTTATAATTCATGTACTAATAAATATGACTGCTGAGCGACGCCTCATACTGATCTCTAAATCTGTTTCAAAGTGTTAAGACCTTTTTCTTTTGCACCTGTCTTAAGAGACTCCACTATAGGTACAATATTTTTTTCTTGGTGATGTATACCCCACATTTTAGATATTTTTCAAGCTGGGCTTTAATGCGCAAACCGTTCATAACAAGAAAGATTATGCGAGAAGATGAAAAAATAATTCTTGAAGTTTTATACTTTTCTTGTTAACTTGCCAATACCAACACCAATACCAAGAGTCACCAAGAAACTTATAGTTGCAAAAATGGCTGTGATAATTACTAAAATCTTCTCTTCGTAGACAGCAAACTTTTAGGAAAGTTTTTGAAATAAAACTAGATTTTTTGGGTTTCTAGCCTATCGAAGTTTTATGTCGCTGCATTATAGTCACCTCTAAACTATCAACTATAAAACTTTATCTCACACCTTATCATCTCTCCTCCGGTTAAAACTTAGTCCTTGGATGTAAAGAAGGAGACTGGGAGGAGAGAATGCATGTCTTAAAGAGGTGAAAAAGTAGACCGCAAACCAGACTTCAGCTAATCGTATCTTACCTCGCCTTGCCAGGTGATCAATTGTTTTGAGATCATTGGCTCAAACCTTTGCATTAATAATTTGAGTGAAAACCACCAATAGATTCTCTTGTACAATTGGTAACCAAAAGAATCTTGCCCTACGAGATACATATGAATTCCCGATCTATTAACCCCGATCATGTACGGCGCAAGGATTAACGTGGTTCAGGTGTCAACCAATTCCACATCTCACATATTTACCAGGTGCTTGCAACTATCGATACTCCGCATACTGATCAGCTTTGGCATTGTAGAAAAGTTATAACTTTGACGGTGAATGGCATTGCCGATGAAATCTAAATTCTTGATGGCATTGCCCTCACAGACCTGAAGTGGTAAACACTGTAAAAATTGGCGGGCTAAGTTTTATGTGGGGTAATAATTTGAGAAGTCCGAACTGTGCGTTTCCCACTCACCCATTTAGTATTTAAGTTCGATTTCTGCTGAGCGAACTCTGGATGAAAGGAGAAAGCTGTGTGCTTGGAAAATTATCTCACAACCCCATCCGTCTTCTATGGTACATGCTGTTTCCCTTAATTGATTTTCAGAAAGACTTCATTATCAATGACCCATAGGGTTGAATTTATTTGATGCAGAGCAAATCTCTTGTGTCTGACTGTGTACTCTCAGTAGCATCTGCTTTCCATGTGCCTTTTCGCATCATTCTTTGTGAAGAGATTTCATATGCTTAATAAGTTTTTCTTGGGATTCCATAAGAAACAGGTAGTTCTTATCATCACTAATCTGGAGAGTATGGCATAGATGAGCATTAAAAAAATTGACGAAAGACGAGCCTAAATATTTTCAACACATTTAAATTTTTTCCAGACACCCTTCAATAGAGCAAATTTTGTATTTAGTTTTATAAGATAAAGGATGCATTTCATCGAAAACTTTACAGATTTTGGTAACCAGACCTAATTAGCCATGAATATTCGTTTCAATGTGAACGTTCCACGAGTGTATCTACGCAAGTTAATATTTAAGTTTCCTTGATAGAAGTTTCTTAGTGCTTGTCAAAATGCATTTGAGCCGCATGTAAAAAATGGTTGCAGAGGCACATTAAGCCGCGCGACGATATCTGGCTATCAACTCAATTCAATTACTGTACTTGTTACCACCAATTATTTCGAAGCTTCTCCAGAATGAGTGTAGGAACATTTTGGACCGTCTTTTCATGAAGAACAGTAGCACGGGATACTTATGTAGCCCATTCGTATGTAAGAGCATGTTAGCACAGCATTGCACTTAGCTATCGAAATACCGCTTCGAAATACCGCTTCGCAAAACGGCTGCGGAAACTCTGGTTCTCCCAATGACCATCTATTTGCTCAAGACCAATTAAAGCTTCCTTGCTTTCATCTTGTCTTACAATTAGTCTTATCTGTGTAGTTAATTCGCAATATCAACTAATAGTTGTGGTGAAAGTATCTCATCAAAATTAATGTTAAAAAAATTTGCTACTCATCAAATGCTTACAGATTTAACAATTTAAGATGGAAATAAAGATTTCAGAGAAGTAGTTTTGCTGCAATTATCTGGCTAACAGTCACATTGCAGTCCTAGAATCTAAATTCACTAGCACTATCATCTGATAGCTCCGATTTCTTTCGATCATTCGCTTCATTATCGGATGATCTTTCATACTCATCATCACTGTCTTCAAAATCTGATACATTAACAGTTTGTTGAGCGGTAATAATTGCCCTTATCTTGGCAGGGAGTCTGTCTGGCCTGTAAAATCTCAAATCAACTCTTCCAACGAGATACAAAATGTTTATTAATGTTTCTAAGACTCCCCAACAAATGTACATTAGGATAGAATCACAAACTGAAGTTTGATCCCTTCTCATTCTCGCTTGGAAACAAGCGATGCATCTACTAATAGTACCTACAAGGATGAAAACAGTAGTCACTGTTAAAATTGCCAATGAACCATTATGTTTCAAGTCGCCTCTTTCATTGGTTAGTCCTTCTACCATATTGTGATGATGGCGTGTGGCAGCTATAACCCTTACAGCATGTCTATGATTATGGTTCCTCTTCATAAACGTTTCTTCGGCTCTTTGTGGGGCTCCATGTTCGACGTAATACATTGGATTGAAACTTTTTATCCACCAAGGTTGATATGTGTATAAATTTTCATCTTTCTTTGTTGGTTGGAATAAGTAAGATAATCCAATGAGACAAAGACTAGTAACCGAATACAACACAATCATTATAGATGCCACTTTGACGCAAACCACATATCTGCGAAATACCTTAGGACTTAAAAAATAAAGATAAGGAACGACAGATGCAACGATAGTCATGGCAATAAATCCCATGACAAATCCATAAAAAGTAAACATGGTGTTCCAAAATAAGTTTCTGGATCCTCCAACGGGATGTCTCCAGGTGAAGATTCTTTGAGCGAGGATTAAATTGAATGAAACCAAGCAAATGGTGGATAAAACTAGGAAAACTGACCCTGCAATTCCAATCTTAATGGACGTAATATCTCTAGACCAAATAGCCCTAAAAACCCAACCAAGAAATGCTAAAAGATTATAAAAGATCCATGCGAATGATAAATAGAAATAATGTCCTCTTTTAGCATTGGCGATGAAAACAAACAAATGAGCTAGCATGAAGACACCGAATACTGCAGCAAATATTGCTGATGGAACGATATCCTTCTTAGTTGGATAGTCTCCGAAAAGATTAATTTGAACGTTAACAGCATAATCTACCAAAACTGTAGGTATTTCCGTTCCCAACATATTCTTGGCCTGTAGAAGTAGTAGTAATATTCCTGTTCCCTCTGCTGGATCATTGTTAAGCGCATAAAGAACTTGCATTAGTCCATGAGAGGCAGTATAATTCAGAGGCATTTTTGGGAAGAGTCACCTTAATTGTTATTCTTTCGATTTGGATAAAAATTATGTATAGTAAAAAGAAGGTATTTACTTACCCTACTTCTCTATATAGTTTCTGGTTTGATAGCATACAGTTAGCAGATTAGAAATCATTGTAGAAAATTACATGAATGGATATATCACTGTCTATATATCATCCTTCGGTTCATCAAAGACATCCTTGAGGCAAATATATCACTTTATCCCACTACGCATTGCAAGGTATATTGAAACAATCCAAGTTCCTGCAGCAAAGCCGTTAGCCTAAAAGGAAATGCAAAATAGAGTTACATCTAAAGATGGAACATAAATATCACAATGCCTGCTTTGGAGAACTTGTAACTCCACTATTACAAGTGAATGACTTAAAATTTACAGGTCTGTGAACATTGTACTGATCTTGTTCTCTGACACTTAAGTGCTCTCACTTGAGATTATATTGGAGAAATAAATGTGGGGTAGTGAGATATTATTGACAATGTGCTGCATAAGATGGAATTGACTATATTTTAGATTGTTTGAAGGTTAATTTTATAGTGAAACATATAATGGGTAGCCTACAAAGGGAGTTTTCATGAATTTTAAACTTCTTCACAAGACTGTATTTGATTAAGATAGTATCATCACAGATACTTGGTATAAGCACGAGAAGTAAAACTTGTAGATGGAGTATTGTAACATTGTCTAAACTCTTCAACAGTAGAAAATCTAGATAAATAAAGTTACTGCTTCTGCTCTGCAACCACAAAACAATTTTTCGTATTTAAACTGCCTCTCTAATGGACCTACCAATCTATGGTTATATCTTGCAGCCTCTATCTCTAAATCTTTCTGTTATTTGGAAGACAGTAATGCTACGGGACCCTTCTAGGGAATCTAAACAATATTCCGGATATGTCTCAAGGTGTTTAACATTAACTACTACGCTCCTTGGATGTGTCAGCTTAGATGATGCGCAAACAACCCAGAGGACTTAAGGATAAGATGTGCTAACTTTAACGCTATGTACTACATGCTACATGCTATTACTGATTATTGTACTTTATTTAGCCTAAATCAAAATCGTATAAAATGTCAAAGTACATTTAGCGCCTAAACTAATTCTACGCTAGACGCTATTCTGAACGAGTATCAAGATGGTTGGTATTATTATAACACAAGTGTGATTAATCTCAATTGTATGTCAACAATAGAAAGAAGTACATTGATTTGGTTGCTTCACTGACTGAAATGACTGTGGGGGACTCAAATGCCTACTGCATTTTTTCTACCCAATTGCTGAATATGTGTCTTTTTGGGTATATCTCGATGAAACACAGGGAAAATATTGAAATGATTGAATTCTGGGAGAATGCTATTATATTAATGTCCGAAAAAACTGATGAAATAGTGCTCTAGAATCTAAATTCACTATCATCATCGTCATGCAACCCGGGTTTCTCTGGTGTGCCGTAGTTAACATTTGTTTCACTATCAGAAGATCCAATATATTCATCATCACTATCTTCAATATCTGACACATCAACGGATTGTTGAGCTGTGATAATTGCCCTGACCTTCTTTGGAAGACGATCTGGTCTGTAAAATCTCAAGTCAACTCTTCCAACGAGGTATAATACATTTACCATAGCTTCTAAAAATCCCCAGCAGATATACATAAAAATTGGATTACAAACTTGACTTTGTGCGTACCTTGGCTTAGCTTGGAAAACAGCAATTGATCTACCAATTGCACCTACAAGGATGAAAATAGTAGTCAATGTCAAAATTGCCAATGAACCATTATGTTTCAAGTCACCTCTTTCATTGGTTAACCCTTCAACCATATTATGGTGATGGTGGGTGGCAGCAATAACCCTTACAGCATGTCTATGGTTACTAGTTCTTTTCATAAATGTCTCCGCTGCTCGTTCTGCTGCTCCATGCTCAACGTAGTACGTTGGACTGAAACTTTTAATCCACCATGGTTGATACGTATACAAATTTTCATCTTTTCTGGTTGGCTTGAACATATAAGCCAACCCAATAAGACTCAAGCTGGTCAAACAATACAAAACAATCAAAATGGACGATGCTTTGACACAAGTGACCCATTGCTTGAAAACTCTATCACTCAAAAAATAAAGGTAAGGAACAGCAGATGCAAGAATGGTCATAATAACAATACCCGCCACAAATCCATAGAAAACAAACATAGTATTCCAGAAAAGTTTTCTAGAACCACCGACTGGATGTCTCCATGTGAAAATTCTCTGAGCAAGGATTAAATTAAATGAAACCAAAATAATGGTTGACATGATCAAAAAGACCGACCCAGAAATACCGATTCTCACCTTGGTGATGTCTTTGGCCCATATAACTCTAAATATCCAACCGATGACCTTCATAAAGTTATAAAAAATCCAAGCAAAGGACAACCAGAAATGATGACCTCTCAGGAGGTTCACCAAAAATACAAATAAATGAGCAAACATAAATAATCCAAAAACGGCTGCAAAGATTGCCGATGGAATTACATCTTTTTCAGCGGGATAGTCTCCAAAAAGATTTATTTGAACGTCATTGGTGTAATCAATCATTACTTTTGGAATTTGAGTTCCCAATAAGTTATGTGCTTGGTCAACAAGAATCTGGATACCTGTTCCTTCAGCAGGTTGATTATTACATGCATAAAGAAGCTGCATCAACCCATGGACGGCTGTATAGTTCTGTGCCATCTTTGTAATTTTTTAATTTCTTTAAATAAGTGAGTTTTCAAAAGGATAAAGTGATGAATTGAAAGAGTAATGAATGAATTTTTGAAAATGGTATGATTGATCAGATCGAAGGTTCAAATAGTAGCAACGAAGCAAATGACTAAATTATTTGCTCCAAAACCGTGTAGTCGATAAGGTCAAGTTAAAGTTATCTAGTAATAGATATTTTGAAAGAAAGGGTTAGAAAAATGGAAACATTGGAAGAAAATTATGAAATGTTGATTAAGTCACCTACTATATATTTGATTTGGGGAAACGAAATGCAGCACTTTGAGAGTTTCCTCTTTGGGTAATTGTCTGATTTTTTTTCCACCACACGCTGAGAAAAATATACAAATCAAGTATGGTCCTGCAGGTAATATTGTACTAAAAGGGAAATCCAACTTTTACGAGTGAGGCTCGAAAAAAATAATAAGATAGTGAATGGGGAAATTATTGGATATTGACTGGGAAACCCCAGTGCCAATAGCATTGAATTCTTGTGTCTTACTTCTATTTAGGTTTTAATGATATTTCAATGGGAAGAGAATACTGCAAAGAAAATAGAAGTTAGAAGGGGGACCTTTCGAGTATTTGGGTACTAGTTTCTTCTGTTCCAGCCCTTCTCCAAGGTAATTAGATTTTCGGTAAGGATCAGAGAGATCCAGACTTAATGAACTACAAATTGCAGTGTTTACAGTTTTGTTTTTGGCCATCCTCCAGTTGAATTCCCTCTAATGATGATAGATATCGTGTGTCGAAGCCCTTTGTTTTACATGCATCAGTGGCTTATTTATCAGTAGGGTTGTGTCTTGCTAACAAAGACAATGATGCATGTGGAACCAGTCAAGCGAAGAGCTCTGTATACGCATCGTATGTGTATATGCAGGAATATATTTTCACTCAGCTCTCTCACGCGTCCAGAAGAAGCTGTGCAGCTACTTCAAGATTACTTGTAGTCCATGTATTCGCCAGTTAGCAGTTGCAGGATGCCTAAAGTTAATATAGATTGCTCTGAAATAAAAAAGAATCAACTGAATTCCTCAAATGTAATTTCCACCCCCTTCGGGCTTGCCATAATAGAGATCCAAGGCGAGCTAAACATACCCGAAATTGCATCTAGTGAAGAGAACCCTGACAACTTGAAGGTTGATGATCTATACACCGCAGTTAAATTTGGTAAGCTTATAGTAGATCCAGTAGATGATAGCAAAGTTACATTATTCGTAGGGACGTCCCAAAGAATGTTAGGGAAAATAGTAAAGATTGACCCTCCGCTTGGAGTGCTTAAGATAAATGCCAATGATAAAAATGAAATGAAGATGATCGATGTGATCAAGAAGAAGATCATTTTCAAAGACAGACCTTTACCAATAATGTAGGAGAGAAATTGGCTAGTCCGAGAAAAAGAACATGCTAGGTGCTAGATGCACACAAGTGTTTTTCTACAAATAATTCAACTTATAGGTGTATAATAGATCGTATAATAGAATAGTATTACCCTTCAGTCTTCTCTAGTGTCAATTGTCGTATCTTATTTTCTGTATTTATTATTTTAAAAATATTTTTTTTTCCAATTGGATAAGCCTAACACTTTATATTTTTGCCTTATTAGGTCTATGGTCCCATGTGATGAAGGATGAGTCTTCAAATCCTCCGAAGTTGTCAATGTGGACCAAGTTCTTGTATATCTTAACCAAGTCATCATCTGTGAACTTCAACCATTCTTTCATATATCCAATAATACCACCGTACTTGGTCTCTAGCAACTCTATAGTTGAAAGCATGGCTTCATATCTAGAACTGATCAAGTTATTGAACCCATCCTCCTCCAAAGTCCAATTCTCTCTTCCTTGTCTAATAGTCTCTTCGTAGTCCAATGTACTTCCGACAGCTGCTAACTTTTCTTTGGTCTTTTTGATAGTTTCCACAAATTTGCCCTTTATAGCTTCATGGTCTGGCATTAAGCCATATGTAGTCAATTCATACTCCTTAGAAACAGTGTGTTTGTCAACTCCTGCCAATAGCAAAATGAGCATGGCTAACACACCAGTACGATCTTTTCCAGCTGTGCAATGGAAAACAAATCCATTTCCCTTGGGTAAATCATCTCTAATGAACTGGAATATGATTCTGAAGGTCCCAGTGGCCTCACTTAACAACTTATCATAGACATGTACGTACGTGTGCCACAGGGTCATCAAATTGGTGTATCTCAACGCAACAGCTTGAGGAGAGTAGTCTTCCTTGGTGAAGCAAGGAGCATGTATTCTTGTTATACCATACTTAGCTAAGTCCTTTGGAGTTCCATCTTTCCTACATTCTCCATCAGATCTTAAGTCAAACATTACCTTGACTCCTAACGATTGCATTTCTTTCAATCCCAAGCCAGTGACATTTGCAGTATTGGCACATCTAAACACGATTTTTGGTCTCACATAAATTTCACTATTTGGTAATAACTCGACTTTAAGGCCCTTTGGTGGGGTCATTGCGTGCCACCCTCCAATATCTCTGAAATTCGATATACCCTCAATATTCTTCCACCTTGAAAGATGACCAATGTTTAAGGAATTGTACCAGAATCTTTCAAACTCTTTGTCGGCACGCAAATAGTCCAAAATATGTCTTACAACGCTGTGGTTGAAATTGACCAACTTTTTAGAGTTTAACGGTAAGTTTTCCGGATTGTATTCTTCTTGGTCAGTCTCAGTCAATATTTCCTTATCTCCATAGAAATTATGATCTGCCCTTGGGATCAAGACCAATTCATGTGACTTCTTGCTGCCTCTGCTTAAAGTATTTGCATAGTAGGCCGAATCTTCTATGGGGATAATATGATCACTTAATCCATAGATACTTAAAACAGACATTTCGGTAGATAATTCCGACATGATGTCCAAGTTGGGGGTAGCTATTGATTCAATTTCTTGGACTGAGACCCAAACTGGCTGGAATTTGCCATGTCTAAGGCATGTCTGGTCAACCCCAATAAAACCGTCCTCTCTCGAGGGGTATCTATCCCAGACAGTATTTGATCTGTATCTCGCTGAGCAGTTAACCAAATTAGGTACGATAATAGCCTTGGAAGAGTGTTCAACGGATGACAATAATCTATTTTGCTCAAATGCCCATAAAAACATGGCCAAAGAGCCTCTGGAATGGCCTATGATTGAGGATAATGTGAATGACAAGCCAAGAGGGTTCATATCACCATTAACCAAAAACTCTACACAGTGTTGGATATCATCTACATCAAGGTCAATGGTTCTTCCATTTACCTTAGGATCTGGGACATCTGGGGAATCTCCACACCCTCTGAAATCAATTCTCAATGAGTAGATACCTAGTTCAGTAGCAAGACCATGAGCCAATAGTCTCTGGTAACAATAATTACGGTGCCCTGATTGTCCATGAAGAATAAGAGCACACTTTAAAGTTGCCGGAGCATATCCCTTACCAAGTGCATCGTCATCTTCCACCGAAGGCGGGATAGTAAGAGTTCCTTTCACTCCAGTAGGGCCAACGGTAACTTCAATCTCTTTGACCATGGTGCAAAAATTGGGGACAGCAAGAAAAAAAAATGATGAAGAAAAGAAGTTTTCTACTTAAATAGTCTATAGTTCTACGTCTATCAATTGGATGCTTCCTTCAACTAACTCCTGTTTGTACTCCTTAAGCAAAGAGTAAAGCAGGTTGAATAGAACATGTCTGTCTCCATGCTTTATATAAACATGGCACTGTGTGCAGGTACAGCAGAGATCGGTCAAAGACAGGCGCATCGGCATCATGTGAAGCTAGAAGGCAGAGGGAAGCTGGAGAGCGTTGAGCTTGAAAAAAAAAGAGATGCCAGATGTAGTGGTAGCACGCTTGACGGAGAAGCAGCGGTACTGGGGTACTTAGAGTCCGAGTTCTTCACTCCCTCGTATTCTCCTCATTATTACGTAGAATCAGAAGGCATCGACTGAGCACTTGCAGCTCGCACAATTCAAATGATGAGCAAGTCGGTATCTGTTTTTGCATCCAGTGCCAATGCCCATGCTAATGTCAATGCTACTCCACACATAAGAATTCCCCACATAAAATGTCGCAATCTGACTTTTTGGAACATGTTTTTACCGTGCGCCGTTATTACAAAGACCCAAAAAACAAGAAAAAAAATTTTTAGGTCAGATGCGCAAACCCGGAATCGAACCGGGGGCCCAACGATGGCAACGTTGGATTTTACCACTAAACCATTTGCGCTCTTCTTGAGATGAGTTTTTCTACCGCTCTTTATTTTATCTACAGAGTAACTAAAACGAGCTACCAGATATTAACAAGTGAATGCCATTATATCTCTTGGAAACTAAGTTCAACTCTACTAAATTCACTCAAATGATCTTGAAAGCTTTCTAGGAGAGATGGAATAGGAATTTGGCTCAGTTTTTAATGTTTACCGCTTCTTTGCTACAGTTCTGGAGGTCCTATAGTTCTCTTAGATTGATTAGACCAGTTTCAGCTGAAACGAATAGCATAGAAAAAAAAAAAAGAGAGATACGAAAAACAATCTCAAGCTGTTCTACTATGGCTGTCCTTATCTTGTTCTTCTTGGTCATATTACTGGTAATATGAACTTCCAAAGAGATGAGTACTATCAGGTAGGAAAGAACATCACTCGGAGGCAAGAAGATCAGCTCTCTACGCAGCTTGCTGTCTTCAAGTCGGCGTTGGTCAACTTTGCTTCTGACCATGGTGAGGAGATTATCCACAACTTGGAGTTCAGAACAAAGTTCACTCAAATGTGTCAGCTGGTGGGCGTTGATCCACTAAACTTACAAATAATGACCAGTGGGAGTAGTGGTGGAGCAGGCAGTGCCAATAAGAGTAATAATAACAATAACAATAATGGTGGAGGCGAGATTGCGTTGGCTGTCAGGGTGGTGGAGGAGTGTCATAAGACGAGAGATGCCAATGGTGGATTAATTTCTTTTAAAGAGCTTCTTTTAAGATTGAAGGGAGAAGATGATACCTCAGGTTCTTCTAACAGTAACATAAATGTAACAGAGCAGGATATTACCCAGTGCTTGACTAAGTTGAACTCATTGGGTAACGGATACGAAACCTTGAATATAAGCGGAAAGAAGTGGCTCAAATTTACCAATAATGTTTCAAATGACCATAAGAGAGTCTATGAACTTTGCGAGTTTATGGGAGGAATGGTGACGTATAGACTATTGAGAGATAATTATCAATGGGACCAGGTCAGATGTAAAACCGTCATCGATGAGATGATCATGAAAGGGTTCCTATGGGTTGACCAGGGTGAGCTGGAAACGCAATTCTGGGAACCATCTTGGCTATCTGTGTGATAGCTGATACAAATCTTCTACAAATACTTTGTCATTAACATTCCTATCATTTCCTTTCCGAAGGAAAATTCATTTATAAATATACATCATCTATTCATTAATCGAGTCGTTGCTCTCCAACTTTCTTCTCTTCTTCTCTCTATGTTTAGCATTAACAACCTCAAAGGTGTCACCATATTCACGATTCACAATCTTGACATACTTCTTGAAATTTCTACCTCTACCATCTCCAATATTAATAATACCAGACCCTGGAAGGTTCTTATACCCAGTTTCGTCGGTAAGGGCCAAGTTGGCGACCATTTCAGTAATCATAGCCTTGATTTGAACTTCCGTCACCAATCCTTTGACTATAGCATTGTCACGAAGAATCTTGGAAGCCTTGGTTTCATCAATCCCAGCAACCCATTCCATCTCAGGGAATACACAATCATACAAGACCAATGGAATATCGTTGGCCAAATCATAGATCGGCTTGCTTGGCATGGTGGTCACATCTAATAACTTGTCAATAATATCAACCAGTTCATGCTTTTGTCCTACGAGGAACAAAATTGCAACCATGCAACGAACTTGGTGCCATAAGAATGCGGTACCCTTTAAATCAAACACATAGTAGTCATCTCTTAAGTGCTGTATGCTCGATGATAGCACTGTTCTTCCGTAATTTGTAATTTGCTTGCTGCCATCAATTTTACAGAAGTTTCTGAAGTCATGAGGCCCCAAGTACTTGGCTGCTGCCTGCTCCATCAATTCCAAGTCCAAGCCATCCTTCTTAAATATATATTTGTAGTGTCTGTAGTCACAACTGAATCTGGCATCAAAGTCTTCAGGGGGACGCAAGCATACAGCGGTCACTCTAATATCCTTGGGCAACAATGTATTTAATACAGTGACATAGGGGATTTCATTGGAGTCGTTTGTCTTCAACTCCTGCTCCTCTTTGCTAAGTCTGGATCTAACCTTCAATGAGATGACCTGGTTCAAGGCAGAGACTCCCTTATCGGTTCTACCGCAACGGGAAAAGTCACAGCAGTGAGGATCTGGTGCGGCAATCAACTTGGCTGTGCTGAGAGCCTTCAAAATTTCCTCCTCTACGGTTGGTAACGGTGTCGGTTCGTTCTGAAAAGCGAGTCCGCTGTAGTTCCATCCCGCGTATGCAAAGCGAAGAGCGATAAACCTTTGGTTCTGAGTGGAGAAGTCAAATTTCTTCTTTTTACTGGTTTTATTCGTGGAATTGGCTACGGTGGCACTACCAAGACTTGCATCGGGAGCTGGTGTACTCACTATTTCACTAGCTGGAGTATTCTCCTTCGTCTCATCCTTATCGACTTCAGCGCTACTCTCAAGTTCTCTAATACGCTGGATAAGCTGCGACCTACTCCATCGTTCATAGTCCCTAGCCACTTGTTTTTCAGCGCCGATGATGTAACTGAAGGCACGCTTAAGCATCTCTCTACACGAAGTATTACCAGACTATCAACAAGGTAGATAGGCGATAAAGAATATAGTGATCAAACAACCATATTTCCAAAATCTTTTTCTCTGCTGCATAACTGAAAAAAAAAAAAAAATTCAAATCGGTGCGATGCCTGAGATGAGATGATGGTACAGACGAAACTAGATACAGTGTTCTTTATACGGTACCAGTGGTAGTAGATTGAATATTTTCTTCCAAGATACCAATAGTGGATCGTTCAGTATTGTAGTGTATACTGTTGAATAAAAAATGGTACAATCAGTAAAAGGATCGCTCTCATGGGACAACCTTGGATACGATCTCCACCCATGGCTCAAAGATGCAATCAAGTCACTAGGCTTTGCAACCATGACTCCAGTACAAGCTTCAACCATTCCGTTATTTAGTGCCAATAAGGATGTTGTAGTGGAAGCAGTCACAGGATCTGGAAAGACTCTTGCCTTTGTTATACCCGTACTCCAAAAGCTCTCGCAGAGGTTGTATGAGCTTGATGACGAAGGAAAACTCCCAAGTAACGCCCAACTAGGCAGAGGTAAAATGTTTGGAGTAATAATATCGCCAACTAGAGAATTAGCCAGTCAAATACAATCAGTATTCGAGTCAGTGATACAGTACCTTCCAGATACTTTGAGTCCGATCAAGACTCAGTTACTCATTGGTTCCTTATCTACCGTAAGAGAAGATGTAGAGCACTTTCTTACTAGGAAGCCGCAACTATTAATAGGAACTCCAGGTCGAGTCTTAGACTTCTTGGGCTCTGCCAATGTGAAGACGAGCGACGTGGAAATCGCAGTCCTAGATGAAGCAGATAAGTTGCTTGACATTGGATTTGAAAAGGATGTAGTGAACATCTTGAATAAGCTTCCGAAGCAACGTAGAACTGGGTTATTCTCAGCTACAATCTCATCTGCCGGTAACTCTATTTTCAGAACGGGTATGGCAAATCCAGTGAAAGTTGTTGTTAAGTCGAAAAACAGTGGTAAGCAAAATAATGTCAACTCTCCAGCATCTCTTTACATTAGTTACATGACAGTGTTACCGGAATATAAACTTGTCACAATGTTGAAACTACTCACCAACTACCAGTACAAAAAAGCTATAGTTTACTTCCCTACATGTGCTTCAGTAAAGCACTTCTACAATGTTTTGCATTATTATAGACAGCCTAACCTAAAATTTCATTCTTTGCATGGACAGTTGACTGCCAAACCTAGATTAAAGACCTTAAAGACGTTTGCAGATGGTGATACTTTTGAAGATAAACATATCCTAATGACAACTGATGTAGCAGCAAGAGGTATTGATATTCCAGACGTTGATTTGGTGATCCAGATAGATCCCCCAACCGATCCTGATGTGTTCTTACATAGGTGTGGAAGAACTGGAAGAGCTAATAAAGTTGGACAAGCCATAGTTATGTTGAACCAAGACTCCAGAGAAGAAGCATATGTTGACTTCATGGAAGTCAAGGGTGTGTTAATGAAAGTAATGGATCCCCCTGAAATATCGACAGAGGGCAAAGACTTGGAGTTAGTAACCACTATCCGGAAATTTATGTTAGAAGATCGTGCAAGACATGAGACTGCCATTAAAGCATATGTGGGCTTTGTTAAATATTACTCTAAGCATATGGCATCTTCGATCTTCAGAATGTCTACTTTGGATTATATTGGCATTGCAAAGATGTACGGTTTGTTGAGACTTCCTAAAATGCCTGAGACAAGATACATTGCCAACGAAAAGATGCCTGAAGATGGGTGGCTCGGAGAAGTCATCGAAATGGATACATATGCCTATGCTGATGAGAACAAGGAGAAGTCAAGAGTAGAAAACTTAGAAGAAGATAAAATGAAGAAAATTGAAGATGCTAAGAAGAGAAAGGAATTTAAGAAAAGGAATGAAGCTTGGTCTAGTAAAAGTGAACATAAAGAAGTTAAATCCGTGAGGAGGGATAAAATGAAGAGGAAAAGAGAAGCTATCGAGAAGCAATTGATGGAAGAATCCAGTGACAATGAAGAAGAAACCCAAGATGATTGGAAAGAAGTTGTGAGGAACAATAAGAAGAAAAGAGCAAACCAATCAAATATGCAAGGTTCATTTGATGATTTATGATTATATATTATAACTATATAGGAAGCTAAAGCGCTTAATAGCATGTTATCCGCTCTAAATCTTCCATTTTTCACTCACTGAGTGAACTCCATCGTAGACAAATAAATTATCTAGAGCTTTATATTGCCTAGTTACTAATTTTAACGTTTCTTGTCCTACTATCCCACCCATAAAACTTGCAACATTATGATACTGTTTAGAATGATGGATCAAAATTTCCTTCAAAGTCTTTTTGTATATCTGATTGTCAACTGAAGCAGCGATCATCTGTAAATCGTCCAATGTTGGATCGTGGTTGAACTTTTCTTTGAAGTCATTGAATGCTAACATCGCAAAATATATAGGAAGGACACTATTGTCTTCCGATGAGTTATTTAGCAGCTCTTCCATGTCTTTATTGAAGTTTTGCTTAGATCCCTTTGTCGTGTATAAGAATCTGCAATTTTTACAGAAAGATTGAATAGACTCTGAGGGAACTAGTGAGGGAACTGACACTAAGAGGTCTGTCTCTGACTGCAGAGTAGCTAAAATGCTGTTTATCTCATTTGCAAATAGCTGTTGATCTCTTCGTGCCTTGTCTCTATATATATTTTGTATTGAAATGTAGTTCGGAGTGTCAGCGGTCATATCGGGAAGCACACCTGATAGTGGTAGTTTTCCGTGATTATTTGCTAGAAAGCCTTGTAAGGCTTTAATAAATAACCAGAAAGTAGACGATAGATAAGTTGCAGGTGGCATTGAACTTACGGTTGTTAAAATTTCTTCGATGTGCTCTGGGATAGAAGAAGTCTGTGACGCTCTCCAAGCATTGCTAGATGCTTCTTCAAAATTTACTTCATTCATCATATCTCTACTCAATGCCTGTACATACTCTGCCTTAAACTGTTTCTTCTGTGCGTAAGTTTGTGGGGGTAGATTCTGGTGTTCAGACTTCCAAGTTTGTAGGGCCTTTATCAATATCACTACATATGGCACATGAGCATGGTCAGTATCGTCTAAATTATCTAAATTGATTGAATTTACATGAGAAGTGAGCTCGGGCCATGGGTCATCAAGCCTAAGGTCAATTAAGAATTCTGGATGTGTTTCGATTACGTTAATCTCCTTGGCTATGACATGAAGGTAGCCGTAGAAACCGATGTTATCGACTAGTAAGAGTGGAATATTTAAATCCCAAAGAATCTCTTTTAATCGGCCAACTGTATTATTTGAGGTATAATGTCGTTTAGTTAGTATGACTACATTAAACTGACTCCAAAACTGGCCATTCACGCCAACATCCTGAACTAGACGCTCCACGCTTCTCTCCACTGAATTTCCCTTCACATCACGATTAAGTTCTTGTAATTTTGATGTCATAGCGGGAGCAATAGGTTTTCCTAAATCATCTTCATTTAAAAAGAACCCGCTTGAAATATCGTCATCTGTAACCAAGTGGTCATCCACGATGGTAAATGACCCTATCCCTGGTAAGATCAAATTCTTCAATGCCTCACTTCCAGAAGTAGAAGCATTGATAAGACAAACGTGCGAGCTTTCTAGATTCGATTGACCAGAATTCGCCCATAACCTAAGCTGTCTGTCATATTTCAATTCTTTGGACGTCATTTTTACATTCAACAGACCAAGCGTATAGGGAAAGACAAGATATAGCAAGAAAAGTAGCTATGTTAGTATTAAAAGTATTAAAATCACTGCGGCTTTGATGTCAAGTGAAAAAAATATACGAGTGAAAACACATCGCAGAGTAAGCTATCTAATCAGTGCAACCAGCACTATTTCTAAATGTTATTTCTTATTGAATATACGAGAAAAGCGTGAGGTAGCACCATCATTTTAAACACTACATGTTTGTCTTTGAATAATATCTTTACTAATTGCCTTCGAAGTTTCTCAAAATGCTAAAATACTTTGCTTGATAAATGTCTCTACTTACTGAATTATACATTTATTTTTCCCAACGACTTCATCGTACCTTTCCTTATCTCTTTCCTTCATCTTCTCCTTAACTTCCAATGGGAAGTATTTTGTGATTAAATCTTGTCTGACGAGATCTAGGTTAGATCCATCAGCCATTGCTATGGCCCCTTCATACCTGCAAAGGGGACAATTTACCTTTTGTTCTTTCTTCAACTTCACTAAACAAGTCACGCAGAATACATGGCCACAATTTAGTCTGATTGGTCTGAATGCAACCGAACAACAAATTGGACACATGTAATCGTCCAATTGAGGAATTAACTTCAACAACAGATTCTGCATTACAAAACAGATCTTCTGTGCAAGTGAAGCGCCTGTCATAAAGATGTGATCATTAGATACCATTTTGGGGAACAGATTCTTGATTCCTAATGACGTTTGCTTATCGAATTTTTTCAAAATCTTGGTGAAAGCTCTAGAATTTATGGATTGGAACTGTAATACTTTCAATAAATGATAGTTCATGGTGACAAAGGCATTAAAGGCGTTCATTGACTTTTTATGTTTAAATTGAGTGAGTACTCCAGTTTTCTTCACACGAGTAAGAAATTCCTCTAAATTTTTCTTGATCTGTTCTGCTTTACGTTCTGAAGATGATATCGAGGTCTCATTGTAACGGAAGAATACTTCGCTGTCCAAATAAACTTTGAACACCTCTCTCCATTTATACAAATCCGACTTTTTAGGTGCGACGTTTGGGTTTGCCAATGTCTTCACTACTTCACCAATATTTTCCACCTCGTTGACCAATTTTTTCTCTTCGGAAATCTTGAGCTTATCTAAGTTTTCTAATTCTCCATCAAGCATTTGAAAGAATTTGGCGTCTGAGTTCAAAACAATTATAATTTCATTTTTCTTGGACTTAGACTTGGATTTAGATGACCTAACGCTATCATCGTCTTTCCCAGTAGATTGAGGTGAAAGTACCAATTCATGGTTCTCTTTCAACTCTACGGTGTGCCTTTTCTCTCCATCTTCCAAAGTTGACGCCCCATCTTCATTTTTGTTCAACAAATCTTCAATTTTGGACTTCAAATCCAAACCCAACTCCATAATATGGTCATCCGAATAGTTCTTTTCGGAGTAGTCAATAGTGATTTTAAGCATTGGTTTGATTAGGTCGCCATGCTCTGACTTGTTTATGGAATACTCTGCAATTACTGGATTTGTGGAGGTGGTGTTCTTTTCTTCGACTTCCACAATGTTTTCGCCATCTTCGGACTTGTTCTCAAGAAGCAAGGTTAACGTGTTCAGTTCGAGCCCAAGTAGTTCAAGCTCTGCAACAACATTATTAATGCATTTTTTCAACAATTTGTATTGAATGGCAGCACCAAGCCATTCTTCGGGTATTTCCTCCTCTACAAGTGTTTGCTGTAATTCCTTTGCAAACTTCATTTTTATAATAACTAAGCAAAAGACTTCTTACCACGTGCTATATTATAAAGACCATAAGGCAAAGTTAAACGATAATGATAAATTATTAATAAGTATTCCTTATAGGTACTAAATGACGACAATTTACTGCTTATATGTACAATATCCTTTAATTTCTGACGGTCCTAGTTGCTGTGGTACTTTTGGTGTTTTGCCATCTCTAGGAATCTGCCTCTATATATATTTATGTACTCCATACTATTTATTTTTTTTTTTTTTTTTTTTGTTGACCTCCCGATAGCTGACCTCCGCATGATGAGATGAGATTCAACTATGAATGTCACTTTAAAAAAAAAAGAAACTGAGAGGCACTTTATATCATCGGATATCTCTGTAAGTTTGGTAACCTCCCAGTTGTGTAGAGCGCTGTATGCAGCTACTGTTCAGTGCATGTCTCACACTCTAGGTTACTAAAACCGGTGTGTCTCTTTACTCGTACATTGTAGACCAGCCGTATGTATTACACATTTTAGTGTTATTGTTTCCTGCAAGTTAAAAAAGAAATTAGAGCTACAGGAAAAAAGAAATTCACATCAAAAACGTTAAATGAGAGAAGCTCATTCTTCCAGAAGTTGCTACAGTTCTAGTAGGAATAGAGAGAGGGAATGTTAAAGCTTGATTGCTTGCTTGCTTATTCTTTAGGTAGAACTCCGCACTGTAGCTAAATAGGTTATGCTTATTTCCCATTTCGTTTCTTCGCTCATTCGCTCCTTCCTTCCTTTCTTGATCTCTGAGTAGAGGGCGGCACGACATCTACATAGTCTTGAAGTCCGCTCCTTGTTTATTCCTGCACACCAGCGGGATATAACACTGCGCTTCTGTACTATACCATACTATACTACTAATTTCTCTACAAGTATGAATCTTATTTGTACTTATATTAATTTATCTCTAACCGAAAGATATCTATTTATCTCAATTGTTTATAACACTGAGCTACTGTACTATACTATACTATACTACTAATTTCTCTACAAGTATGAATCTTATTTGTACTTATATTAATTTATCTCTAACCGAAAGATATC